GAGGAGAGGAGGAGAGGAGAGGAGGAGAGGAGATGATGGGTGGGAGAATGGAGATGGGATAAGGTTTGGAATTGGGGATATCCCGGACTGAATGTAATGGGTGCGGGTGTGGGTAGAGGCCCTAGAGAGCGAAAGTGTGGAGCTGGAAAGTGGAAGGCGGAAAGCGAGCCAGCGAAGAGGAGTTCGATGTGCTGGCGACGGCGGGGTGGGCAGGAAGCAGTGAGTAGTGTTGGGGACGGATTTCTTGACTTGTCGACGAACACATTGGTTTATGATATCGCAACAGCATCAATGAATGGGGTGGGGGTGTGTGGTAATGGGGGATAGGGCGACAGCAGTGAGTTAAGGATACGGCGAATATAAACCCCTCCCGGGAAGACAACCGCTTATCAGTAGGTAGCACCCGCTGGTTGGGCAATGAATGATAATTTCGGTCTTGATCAAATTTCGCGTTCCAAAACCAATCATCTACCTTCTCACTACATAGTTGTTTGGCTAAAGTCTATCGCTCAACCTACGGGCATCCAAATGCATACGTGCGAGAACTTCTCCGTCCGCACGCCCTAGAATCCCTCAGCCAACCCCAAAACCAGCGCGTGGTCGACCAACTCCTTCCTGAACCCCGGCGCGCGGCCTAGACAAGCCCCTCCATCCACCAGCCGCTCCAGCAGCTTCTCCACGTCGATGGTGACGGAGCCGCCGCGCTGGACGAGACGGTCCACGACCCGGCGGGCGCTCTGCACGCCCTCTGCCGCAGTAGCGCGCCCCGCCTCGGTGTAGTAGTCGGCGTTGAAGGAGTACTGGTGGTCGCCTTGGGAGAAATCAGTAGTATTGTTGAGGTCCGTGAGCGTGGCGTCCAAGTCGAGGAGGGGCGCGGGCTCGGTCCACGGCCAGATGTGTGAGGATTGGACGGAGGCGATCTGATCGGTGGGATCTTGGAGACGGAAGTCCTTCTCTAGGTTGGACATGTGGGATTGTAGACTGATATCGGTTGGGTCGTCGGGGTTGAATGCTGTGGAGAACGAAGCATAAGTGTTGTCGGGCGCCTGTTGGACGAAAGGGTTACCAAAGGGGCCGTAGGGCCGGCTGAGGCTGACAGTCGCTTTGCCGAAGGGCGAGGGAGTGCGTAGAGGGCTGCTCTGAGCCGAAGAAGGGCTGTTGCCGCTGCTCGTGTTGCTTCCGACGTCGCCGGGTCTAGTGGTGTCCAAGCTAAGGGCCCGTGGATCGACTTCGACAAAGCTGCTGCTCGCATCGAGCATGATGCCCTTCGTTTCCAGATAGCCCTCGACGTCGTGGCTGTCGAACCAGAGACCTCCAAATCCGATCTTCTCCAGTAACTCCTGCACACTGTGCTCGCCTCTCGGCGTCTCCACTAACCCACTCTCGTAGTCCCAGCCAACTTGAGCCCGGCGCGGACCGACACTGAACTGCTGGGTTTCCACCGCCCTTTCGGGACCAAGCATATTCGGTGGCAGCACCGCCTTGCCATCCTTGTCACGTCTAGGAAAATGCGTGCCTGCTCCGCCGATCTGAAAGAATGGCACAGCAAAATTCTCCAATGCTTCGCCAGCTCTTCGCTTCAGCATGTCTTGAAACCGATTGAGCATACGACGGCGGTTGCTGAAGCAAAAGGTGAAGCGGAAGGTGCGGGCAATGTGCGCGGGCGAGATGGTTGGGGATGTGAGGCCTCGAAAGGCACGTTCAAGGCACATACGTTGCAGGCGGCGAGCAAAGGTCGTTTCTTGGAACGAGTAGGTGTAGAAATGGCCGCCGGTGACAGGAGATGGATTGGTGGGCGTGAGTGGACGTTGCAGCTCAGGTAGGGTAAGGCTTTTGGCAGTGATCTCCTCCAGAGAGACCGAGGCTTCGGGAAGATGGACATGGAATTGCATCACATCGTTGGAGGTGTCAGGCCATACAGCGGCGTCGTCAAAGGCGTAAATGGCGTCGTTGCTAGATAAAGTGGTCGAGGGAAGCTCTTCAGTATCGGAATCTTGGCTGGATTGCTGAGGACTGATTGGGGGATGTGCGGCTTTCGAGGACTTTGATTGGAAGTTAGATTCTTTCTTGGTTGGCTCCTTGGTGGGTTGAGGTTCATCATCGTCATCGTCGGCGGCGGCATTCTTAACCAATTCATCGAACTGGGCCATGACCTTTTCCAGATGGGACGACAGGCCCCGGTGACCATTGACCATTCCGGAATCTATGATGTTGTCATGTAGATCTGTGAAGGTAGCGTTCATCCTTTCAATCGTATTCTGGAGGTCGGTGACGCGCTGCTTCAAGCCAATGATTGTAGACTCCTTCCTATTCCGATAAGCACGCTGGGCGAGTCTGATTTGGGTGCGTCGACGGTCAGCGGCGGTCTCATCCTGTGTATCGAGGCGAGGCCGACCTCGAGACTTCTTGGTCGAGTCCTCATGGCCGCTGTCATCCTGCTGAACGGGTGCCTTCTTTGCCCTTTTGCGGGGCCTCGGTGGTGGATCCTCGGTTTGAATCAGTGAGGAGTCATTGCTGCTCTCCGTCGACAGTGCGGTTTGCCTCAACGTTATACCGCCGTAAAGTTGCTGGGGTGGCTCAGTGAGTAGTTGTTTCCTCTTGGTCGTAGCATGAGAATTCCTGTTCAGTAATGGGTGAGGATATTGCTCTGCGGATAAAATGTCAAGATCGCGCGGGGTGGCCTGGGGCAATCGAGCGTTGGGGCTGGCCTGGTATAGTAGGCCTGTTGGATCGTCAATAATACAGTCTAGGGCCGAGAGGGTACGCTCTCCAAAGTGATCGTTGGTATAGCCCGACATTCTGACGGGGTTGGCAAGCATGGCTGATTATAGGTGCGTGGTTGCAGAGCGTGGGTCCAGAAACGGCTGTCTGCTTCCGACTTTGTTATGCGGGACAAAGGTGGTCTGAGACAGAATGGAGCAAACACAATGACTATTTGCCAGTAGACAACGACCCAGATGGAAGCATGGCAAGAGATTGTGGTTGAGGAGCGGCTTAAGAGAGCGAGGTAGTCAGCGGTCTCGTCGTGGTTAAAACAGCAAGGCGTTTTGCGGCGTGAGATGAGGGAAGGCCTGACTAAGGATCTCTTGCTCAATTAACGCGCCCCAGATCCCCCGCCGTTGACTGGCCAGATCTCGTATCGACTCGGTAGGCTGACTGCAATTACGTCGGAATAAAAGTTGCTACAGTTGATCACGTCTTGAGTGTGGTAACGCAAGTGGCCCATCTGCGAGTAGGGCTGCAGAATCCCTCCAGCCATGAACGTGGACGGCGGGCCCTGCTCAGGCGTAGGAGAGCCATTTGTTGAGGGGAGGGGGGACAGAAGCGAGGCGGTCGAGAATGATTACTATTCATGCCAGGACAAAGCTGCGCGGCCGTAAGCGCCATCAACCGAGGCCTCAGAGGCTTCCCCGACCAATGAGTGGCGTTCCTGCGCCCAGCCTCGCCAGCTACGCCCGTGCCCAAAATGCAGGGTCCTTACCTACACATCCTTCGACGCTACCTGCGACGCTTAGGACGACAGAGAGAGAGGACAAAGAAACTTAACACTTCAGTGTACTCGTCATCATCCCCAGATCCATTCCATTTACGCCATAAACACTACATTCCATATACACTGAGCGTTTTTGGCTGTCATATCCAATTGCATTTGCCGGCTACCCAACATGTGTGTCGGCTGTGGTCCATTACCATGCCGCTTGAAGTATATCGTGAAAGTCTCGTGTCGTGCTTCGACAAAGAAAGGTTAAGATTTCCAGATCCCATACCCCCTAGCCCATGTCCCATATCGCATGTCCCAAACTCCATATGCGCATCCGAAACCGTTACTTCTTCCTCTTGAAGAGTAAACTCTCACAAACCGAGTTCTGGCTCCGGAAGATTCAGCCTGACCTGCACCAAGTGACAGCGAGAGCCAGGCCGGGCCAACCATGTGAGACGTGACCAATCTGCGCATTGGGTGCGAAACTCCCCCCCAAAGACACGACCCATCGACCGAGGGCGACTTCTCAGCAACGCTCGCCGCCTCCAGCCAGATCAGACTCCGTATCTCAGAAGTCTCAGGGTAGGTCTTCAAACGTGCCATCTCATCGTTGCCAACCGCCGCAAGGCCCCACATGTTCAATTTTGGCCTCACAATCATGAAAATGAACATCACATCATGACCCACGCTCCAGGACCTCAAAGATGCCATCCAGAACCCCCACCTCCATCTCCACGCTGCCTGCCCTACGGCTCTCGCCCAACACCTCCATCAACGAGCACATGCCATAAGCCGACGACGACGGCGACACCGCTCCACCACTCGCTGCCCGAGTCCGTGGCCGTGGCTCCAGGAGCCCGAGGCCGATGTTCTCGACTCCGACCGCATCGCGCTCGGCCTCCAATGCCAGATCCACCGCCGATGGCTGGCGGCGCATGTACGGATGGTGGCTGTAGTGGTGACGGCTGCTGAGGGATGAGGCCGGCGAGGTGTTGGCACTGGCGGGCGAGAGCATGCCGGACGGCGAGGTGGAGCCTGGTGTAGTGTTGGTGGGCGTGTGTGGGCGGTTGAGGAAGGGATAGGCTGGTGTGGGTGACGGGCCCATGGAGGGGCGGACCGCTGAGGTGCTGGCGGTGGGCGTGCGGCTGCTGCGGCGGGCGGAGCGGGAGCGGGAGCGAGATGATGCGGAAGACGAAGAGGAGCGGTCTTGGTGGTGGAACATGGTGTGTAGAGACAGCTTCATTTTGCGAGCGGACATGGCGACGACCGAGTCCAAGTTGTTGCTGTTGCTCTCGGTGAAGGCTTGATGGCTGCTCGGAGGGTATATGGTCCTGAGCTGGCGGGGCACCACGTCAGCCTTTGCCCTTCGGTCTATGGATTCGAAGAGGCCGACCAGTTGAGCCACGGTCATGAGGTAAATGGACGAACGTACACGATGATATAAAAGCGAGGGTGTGGTTTGGTCAAAGGGTCGGGAAGGAGAGTGCTTTTTCTGGATGGGTGGAAAGAGAGGAGAGCCAATCTGCCAGCAGACGGAAAATGCCTGAGGGTCGAGATTAATGCTGCATAAGGTATGCAATAAAAAAAGCGAGAGATAAGAATATACAAATCAATACCTCCGGACGGGGTCCGGGGAAGTAAGGGTCAAGAACTTCTAGACCTGGGGGTCAAAAGGCACAGAAGGGAGAGAGAGAAAATACTAGTAGAAGGCAGAGGGGAGGAATGGAAGCAATTAACAATCGTCTGATCCTTCTTTCTGGGCTCCGCAGCACGTCAATCAAAAAAGGCGACAGGCGTCAGATGAGCAAACCGTCAATCCCGTGTCTGAAGGAGCCAGGTACCCATACCGCTTTGCTCAAGACATCACCTTACTCCGTACCTCGAGTAAGTACTACCCCGTAAGTGACACACACGGCAAAAGGGGAGAAAACGCCCAAGGCAAGACAACAACAACAAGGCCCAGAGGAACCCCACCCGTTGTTGGGTGGTATGATACTGTAACAATCAACCTTTGTTGGAAAGCAATGTGACACACACCCAACTTCTACTCCGTAGCTCGTAACTCGAACTCCTGGATCTTCATCATCTCGGGTTTCCAATGACGCTCACCTCACCATCCCCGTCTGCTTAAACTTCTTGCTGGATGCATGCAATTCCCGCCGTTTCAGAATTCGTGGAGATCAATCAACTCTCGAAGTTCTCCCGTTTCTCGGTTGGCTTACAGCACAGCACAGTACAGCCCGGCTTGCTGCGGGCAAGCTGCCACCACGGCAAACCGCGTTGCCTTTGGGAGTCCAAGTTTCAGATGGGGCTTTGGAGAATGTCCCAGACCCATGCACCCTTAAGCGAGGTTTCCACCAAGACGTTGCGACGAGTCGGGGTATTTTATGGGAGTTGCAGGGGTGCAGATGCGTCGTGCTTGGCCAGAGCAAGGGCACCCTGGGCAGTTTTGGGGCATTGGACAGAAGGGAAACGCGTTTCAGGGGCCTGTCTAGTAGGTACTCGAGTAGTCTCACTGTGTCTCCGTTGTTACTCGTGTCCCGTAGCCCCCTCCTGAGCAATCCCCCCTTTCTGTAAAACAGTAGACAGTGTGTAGACGATGGCGAGTCAATCTCTTTCCCTCGGTTTAACGATTCGAGAGGGGACCTTTGCACCCCGGGCAGCCCTGCACCCCCCCGGCTGCTTACGGCGCGGCCGTGCGAGGGGTGCAATGCTGAATGCTGGTTTTCTCAGCCCTTGCAGAAAGTAGTGACAATCTCGATGGGATAAAAAAACGCGTCCCTCGAGGCAGTCGAGCCAGGTCGCGACATCTTCCGGAGTAAGGGGGTCGTGTCGCCTAATTGACGGGTGTTCCATGCATCGCCCCCACCGAAGACTCTCGCATATTGCATTCACGAGTGTCTGGGTCCTGGCAGCCGAATAATGCTCTGTCTTGAAAGTTTCCGGCTGCACGCCCGCGTTCTGTTGACGAACGTCAAACGCACGTCAACATGCACGTCAACGCGGGAAGAAAAGCTCGCATCGGGGAGACGTGTCGTGCGTCAGACGTTGGTTCGTGAACTCCAGCCAGCCAGTTACCCGGGAATTCGGCACTGCTCTCGACCTTCTGCATACGGCAGCACCCTACTCGTAGATCGAGGCCGCTGCATCCCGTCTGAGACATGGCGTGAATGATGCGGCCTTTCTAGGTCCCCGACGGTGGAAGCGGCGCAGCACCGAGCCAGACCCACGGTAGTAAAGACGTGTCAATGCTGAATGTTATTTATTGACTCGCATGAGTTGAACGCAGAGGTCATGTTGGCTCCATTCATCGATTCATGCATGCTTGCAAAGCTGTCTACATTGTTGAGCTGGTGCGAGAAAAAGGCTCACCAACTGCTCAACTCACGCTTGCTGTACATCTTCCACATCAAAAGGCCTGCTCCAGAACCACTAGAACGCCATCGCTATGCACCATATCATCCGTCAAGCCTCGTCGGGCCGTGCTCGGTCTTCATGCCCTGCGACGCCACGCAAATGCTCATCACACATCCCCGACACATTCGTGAAACTAGAAACTTCCCCTTGTTCTCGTAACCCTCGTTCAACGGACACACTCGACCGAATTTCGCCTCGTTGCTCTCGCTCTAAACAGGACTCGTCGTCAATCGTATTGTGTATCACAGCTCTCCTTTTCATCGTGATGTCCTCGTTGTCAGATTCCTCCGGATCGACTCGCCCCATGCCGAGTTGTCGAAGCTTTCCATCACGCCGGCTCCTCCCACATTACTATTCTGCCGAGAGTGAATTGGCGTCGTCGTAGTAGGCGACCGTGGCGGTGTTCGTGACGGTGACTTCCCGCCCGCTCCCGGTCCATGATACGTCGTATCGACACTTTGCAACCGTGATCGTGCCTCGCGAGGGCTTGCGGTCGGCGACAGGTCGAAACTGGCCCGGATTGGGGAATCCCGTGCCCATGCCGAAGTCACCGTTGTGTCTATCTGTGGAAGCTTGGGCGACATTGGACCCCCTGATGGAGTCGGTGCCCGAGATGCCCTTGAGGGATGCAGGAAATCTTGTGGCTCTGTTGCACTGCTCGACTCTTCTGGATCCTCGACAAAGATCTCCGGCACAGGCATCGATGGTGGCGCTCCGAGTCTAGAGTTGCGTCTGTTCGCCACCGCCTCACGGAACTTGCGAGACCAGTACATTGTGTCAAAGAAGCCGATCACAACGTTCCGACGGATCGACTCATGAACACGTTGCAGGCGTGCCCGTCGCCGCAGGAACTCTTCGAGCCGTAGACTTCGAGAGTCTTCAATCACGTTGTAGTGGGTCAGTGTCATCAATGTCGTCGTGAAAGAGATGCCTCGGTCGGGATCTGCTGACAGCATGACCTCCTGATAGAAAATCTCCATCTGCTGCTTCTTGGCCCGGACCTCATCAATCGGAATGTTCCGCAAACGCGCATTGAGAAGGTCAATATCAAGCCCGTCGATGACGCGTCGTCGCTTGTAGACCTCTCCTGGCTCAACTGAGCAGTCTTCCATTAGAGCTCTGACCGTGAAGTCGCCCTCATAGATTCGCATCTGGAAGACACCAGAGAGTTCCTGTACATGGTTAGCTTGCCTGAAGTGTCAAAATTGCGGGAAACTTACTCCTAGTAACCTCGGGAAATTCTCCTTGGAAATGTAACCGCTGCCCTGGGGGTCAAAGTCCGCCCACGCATGCTTGAAACGTCGAATCTCGTCCCGAGTGATGACCGAGAGGCCACTGCTTCGCTGGTAGACGTACGAAAAGCTCTCGAAGATGAGCGACACAAATAGAGACACGAAAATGTACATGCTGATGAGGTTCCAGGCAATAAATAGCGCTCTCGCCCACGAGGCACTTCCGCAGTCGGACATGTAGAAGTCGTCGTCGGATACGCAGAACGGTGGTTCGATCGTGGCGAAATCTTCCATTACTTCGTTCCACCCTTCGCCTATACTCGTTCGGAAGAGTAAAATCAATGCCTTGGGGACATCGCGGAAGTTGGTGTTCCCATTCTCTGACCCGCCAAATCTCGTGAGGCTGAAAGTTTGGGTCAAGGCAATGGCGAACACCAGGAAGAGGACGAACCATGTTGCCAACAGATTGGCAATGAGTGGGAACGAGGCTGCCGCCGTTTTCAGGAGCTGATCGAGTTGATTGTTGCGCGGGATGAGCAAAAAGACAAGAGACACCATGAACAACTTATGAAGCATGTCGATCTCTTGCACGTTGCGCGTAATGACCCGCATGATCGAAGTGGCTAAGCACCCAGAAACAGACACGAGCGAGTACAAGTCCCACGTGCTTCTCCGGAATCTGTGCCAAGATAGTCCCATGATTCGGATGACGATGTTGGCAACTAGGATGAGTGTGAACAGTAGGAAGATCCATTCTCGTAGCTGATCCCACCATTCTGGCTCCGGATAGAACTCCACAAGCAGGATGCAAAGGTGCACAAGAAGGAGACCAGTGACGAATCGCTGCCACTTGCCACGCTTCTTAATGGAGAGGTTGTAGCACCACCGACGCCAGCCCTTGCTGTTCTCGCCAACAGAGCGACGTGAAGGTGAAATCTGTTTGAGAAGTTTCCGCAATTCCAGCCACGACCGCTGCTCAGATGTCAGAAAGGCGACTCCAGTCTGCTCGGTGTAGTTTCGCATGAAAACCGAGATGAACAGCGTCAGGATGAAGACGGCGCCTAGCAAATTGAAGACGATGAAGTACACCGCGTTGCCTTGAGACGCGAAGTCGTTAGGCTGTAGACCTTTGCCAGTGATACTCATAGCGGTGGCCAAGACATCTGTCCATCCTTCTTGCGACGCGATCTGGAAGAGGATGAAGAGAGCGCTTCCGAAGTCGTCGAAGTCGTAGTATGGATTGGCGACTTCGCGCGGCGCCAACACTGGCCAATTGAAAAGAGTCGAATTGTACTCGCCCACACAACTGGTCAAGTTGTCAAAGCCGAAGTCGCCGTCGTTGCATGACTCCATCTTGCCATTAAAGAGGTTCAGTCCCAGAATGGCAAAGGGTATCAATAAACTTATAGACACAAAGGCAGCGGCCAACACCTTGTAGCCACCAACAATAATGGAGTGGAAGGTCTTGCGAGCGGTGTCGCTAATGTTAAGCAGACGTAGAGCTCTTAGAGCTTTGAAGGCGCCAACGGCGCGAGATATACCATCATCCTGGAAAATGGTTGTCAAGACGTTGATCCATAACGTGATCAGCACAACGCCGTCAATGAAGCCCCAGACTGTACGGTAGTACGCATGCGGAGTGAAGAAGAAGCCATCGGCCACGACCTTGATGACGGCTTCCGCGGTGAAAATGATGGCAAACCCAACATCCGGCCAGACAAACCAGTTGGTAATGTCTCTGTCGTTGACCTCCCAGTACTCCTTCTGGAACAAGGGCGTGGTAATGCATGCAAGTATGACCATAGCCACGATGCAAGCATATGTGAAGGCACTGAAGGCATACCACACAGGCTTATACGGAGAGACGCCTTCGACTCGCTCCTCACCTCGTCCTGGTCCGACGATGTATTGACATGCGCGTCGAACAGGGTTATGCGGACCAAAGATGAAAAGCGAGACATTGTACTTGGGATGCTTGTTCAGGTATTGCCGCTGTGCCCGGCGACGGTTCTCGGCGGATTGAACCAAATGCTGTGCCACCATCCGCGGGTCAAATTCTTCATTGGCACGATCGGCCTCCTTGTTGCTGTAGAAGGGATTTGGTTCGCGGTTGGATTTTCCCATTAGTTTGCCCCAGTACCTCGAAACGAAGCCCGGGTTAACCTTGGCTGCAGGTACAGTTGGCAGCTGCGTAGACATCGGTCGACGGGGAGCATTGTCGCCATCATCCAGGAAATCATTGACAACTGCTTCTCTCAGCAATTGTTCCATGGCTGCAGATCCATATTGCAGGGCATCGCGATGGCGCAGGGAATCTCTGCCCATTTTAAAGATTGAGGACAAAGACAGATTCGCGTTGGACGAGCCAGTCAACTCCCTCTGCCTCAGAAATGCTTTGACTTGCTGAAGCCGCTTCTCATCTTCAGAAACATCGAAACTTTCTTGTATGACAGCAATGAACATGTTGAGGATGATCAAGTTTGATATGATGAACCACAGGATGAAGAACATGGACCCCAGCCAGCCCGTCTCGAACTGCTTGTTGAATTGAGTGACGTTGTACAAATTGGACGTCCAGTTTTCGCTCGAAAATATTTGGTACATGCCGATGAAGGAATTCCAGATGTCGAAAAATTGAACCAAAATCACCTCACCATCTGGTCCTTGCTCAGGAATGTCACCTCGGAAAAGCTGCGATGCCAGTATAGCAGCCAAGAAGGTAAATAGGAACACGAAAATGATCAGATTGAAGAGACCCGAAGCATTTCCGAAAACAGTGAACAGGAGCTCTCGCGTGACCCTTACCGCCAGGACAACTCGGTAGATGCGTGCAATCTGGAAAGTGGTAAGCCAGGCATACGCCTCACCAGAGTTGCGAATCGGAGGAATCTGTGTAATGAGGGTGATGATGACCAGGAACAGATCAGCCCAATTCCTCTTGCTTTGGTGGAAATGCCGCCAATCGCCTGCAAATCGAATAACGATTTCCACCGCTAGGAGGAGGGTGACCACCGTCTCCGTGTTCATGATGAATGTTTCCCGCCAATCTGACATGGTTGCACTCCTCGTTGCCTGAACAACTAGGTCGAATGCGATAATGGTGATCCAGAAGCCCCGGGTTTTGTCGTAGATCCGCTTGAGTGTGCTGGCCCTAGGTGGGGGTTGGCTGTCTAGATCAGATTCTTCAGGTTCCTCGGCTTGAAATGCGCTGCGCCTACTCTCCTCTCGAATAATCTGAAAAGAGGAAGTGATCACAGCAACCAATAAGCCAATGAGCCAGAAACTCAATACGATGATGCCTGCCACAAAGAAGAGCGCAGCTGTCAGGTAATCCGAGTCGGTCAGATAATACATGATATCCGAGAAGGTGTTCGAGCTCATGATAACGAAAGTCATCTCTAGCGATTGGGCGATGTTGTCGAAGCCAATTGTACCATTGTAGGGGCCTGCGAAGTTCTCGACACAAAGCGAACCTATTGGGCAGAGGAAGCCTTTGGGGTTAGACGTGCCATTCTGCCCATCAGCTTTCAACCAAGGTAGTGCTTCCGCTGTGGATGGGTCTAGATGGCCTCCGCAAAACTGGATGTTATCCGGTGCGATGTTCAGGGTAAAGTTCTCGCCAGAGCCATCGTCCCCGACCCAGACGCAGGTACGTCTGAAGCTGGACTTGAAACTTTGAACGCCGACGATGCCAAAAATGAGCCAAAAGAAGCTGATCAAGAACGCGACGTGAACCAGTAGAGGGGCAGCCTTTTTCAAACTCCGTAAAATGATAGAAGTGCCGGCTGTGAGGCCCAGAAGTCGGAGAATACGCAAGGAGCTGAGCATGTTGAAAATGTAGACATGCTGATCGGCCTCATAGCCGGTCAATTGCAACGAGAGTGATATCCAGTAGGACACCACGGCAATTAAATCCAGTCTGTTGAACGAGTGCCGGATAAAGGCGCGTCGCGCCAGGCGTATCCGCTGATTTTGCTTCGAGTGTCCTGGTCCGGTTGCCTTGGCTTCGGGAAGACCAGTGAATGTTCGCACGATGGAGGGCTGGAAGTTGGGTTCCGAGCCTGGTACAGGAGATCTAGGCGGAGCCTGGGGCTGAGTGTGAGGGGCGAACAGACCTTGCGTCTTTTTCAAGATTGCATCCTTGAGGCCAACGGTACGGTCCAAGGTGCTGTACTCATAGGGATTCCAGATGAAGCCAGACACAATACTGCGGGTAAGAGCCTCCAACGTGTAGATGACAAAGAGGCCAAGGATACCATAATCAAACTTCGACGTACCCCATGATCTAGCCCGAGACTGGTGGTAGATGGCATCTGGCGCCGCATTGACAGCAAGCATGATAGTCTGAATGACGATGAGGACCAGAATAATGGGTTCCGTGAGGGGGTGTACAAGCACCTCACAGAGGCCTTTACGCAACGCATTCTCAGGTCCAAAGATCCCAAATGACTTGCCACGTAGAGGATTGGGATGTATTGGTGGTGGAAGAACGGGTGGTAGAACATCTACCGAAGGTGTCTTTTCGAGCGGTTGCTGAATGGATTGATCTGCCTCCACATCGTGTGGCAGGTCATCTCTGTCGTCTCCTCGGCTTGAGGAGAACGAGGGTCTAGGCTTCTTGACCGAAGATTTCCTTCTCGCATTCTGCTCCACGACATCTGTGTCATTACTGAGGTTGACCACTCGCTGAGACATCTCACGAAATATGGAGTTTGCTCTTGCCATTGGAGACGGTGAGGGCGAAAGGGAGCGGGATCTTGACCTGGAATGATCATCGCCGCGCTCGGCGGAAGAGACATCGAGACGGCTAATCCCACTTGTGGCGCTGAGCTTTCGCTGCATACCAGACCCTGTGTCTAATGTTGGGAGATTGTCGCCGAGACGAGATGTACGGCCTCGATCTGACGTAGGTGCAGGGCCATCTACCCAATGCACGCTTGAACGCCTGGTATCTCGGTTGAGGCGCAGCCCTTGGTCATGAGTGTCGTGTGAGTTGAGTGCAGGCTGCCGACCACCTCTGTTCGTCAGAGGAGTCGTATCTGTGTCTGGAGGAGAGAAGACTTCAACATCGTCCTCGTTGGCTGATGTTGTAATAATTGTCGGTCGTCGAAGGCCAGACGGAGGGGTATTTGGTCGTGGCCCAGATGATGGTGGACCCAAAGACAATCCGACGGACGCAGCAGCAAATCCTGAGAGATCTTCTATAGGAGACACTTCCCCGGAACTCTGCTGAGCCTGAAAAGCATTGTTTCTGTCCAGTGGATCGAGAGTACCGCGCGCAGGAGAGTCCTCTTGCAGTCGCGAGTAATTAGATGCCGGATTCATACCAGTCAACAGGGAACGGGCGCGGCTATGACGTGAATCCGGTGGCATATCATATTCGGCAGAGAAAGGATCATCGGGAGGGCGTGAGAGGTCTCGGAGCGGTATTGATTGAGGCAGCCGGCGCCTCGGAGGCGACCTGTCATGACTCTCCATGACTATGCACTAGCCAACCAGTCTCTTCGACAATCCGCGGCATGTTACCTCACCTGGGCTTCCATGACTCTTGTGGGAAGTGTGCGCTTGCGACCGGCCGGTGTTCCCACGGGTAGGGAGGTAGTCACAGGAATTGGGATCGACAATCGTTGCGGGGAGCGCGCTGGTGAAGTAAAGGACGTCAGAGCGAGTGGATAAATCTGGAGGCGTCAAAGCGGTCGATTTCGGTAGGGTACAGTTGAATGGGAAGTCTATGGCTACTGATGTGCAGCGAGTGCCAGCACGAGGGACTGCGGCTGTGGTTGTGGTAAAAGTTGAAGTCCACGGGGAGCGCATGCCGGGATCTTTGGCCTGGGGCTCCTGACGCGGCCTCGCCGCCAGGATCCACTTCCAAGCCACCAGACACCTATTCAGAGTCGCCAGTTTCCGCCCTTGCGTTAGCAGAATGCTGCCTCCTCACGATATACAGCTATAAATCCGCTCTCTTCTTTGATAAGCTCTTGCATACTGCGCTACCTGGTACCTAGCCACATACTTCGCGAGTTGGCGACTACAGGGGCTGGAGTTGAGCTGTAGAGAGCGTTTAGCTTTTTGGGGGGGGGGGGGGGGTTTCTTTTGGATTGAGACATGCTGTGGCTGTGCTGCACTTACAACAAGCGTCAAGCACCACGCTTCGTTACGTCCAAGAAGCATCCACACTGCGCCGGCGTGCGTGCGGTCTTTCGTGGCCTTGTACGACTACACTCTGAATTGGACTAAGGACCGTCCGCCGGGCCTGCTGGACAGGTAACGACAGGTTTGCCCGCAGCATGGGAGCGGTCTCATCCCAGCCAACGCTATAATCCACAATCTAAATCTAACGTAAGATGACTTGATCATTGCATACGAGTTGGCAACACGGTCGGTGAATATCGCTTAGTTCTGGTTATCCAAAATGTATGTAGCCCTGGTAGCAGTAGCCAGGTTCGCTTTGATGTCGTTGATACGTAATCGTCTCACTGTCGACCAGTACGTGTCAGCCTCGTCTCGGGTCGGAGGTTGGATCTCAGATCTGCAAGCCAAGCCTCGCGGTCTGTAAGAGCCGTTTCACGTGCGCTGGTAGCATCTTTTTGGTTCTCTGTCCGAACTTCCTGAGCGTCTGCAGCCCTCGGCTAGGGGCTGCGTGCTCATCGTCCCACAGTTTTGTCAGTACGCACTCGACCTCAGCTTTGTCCTCGATGGGACTGAGAACCAGAGGTACATCCATGACCTCTTCCCGTTGCTTCTTCCCCTTGTCATTGCCTGCAATGCGACTAAGTGGCGCCAAAGCCTCATCCCAAGTTCCAGAACGTAAACTACATTCGTCGAAGTTGAATTCATGAAGCACCTTGCGGTGTAGCTTGACGAAAGTGGCAGCCTGTTCCGCATCAAGCGTCGCATTGCGCAAATGCATGGTCCGCAGGCGACGATATCGGATGGGTTTGCAACTTGGCAACGTGCATGAATTCGGACAAGCGTTCACGCTGTCTAGAGAAGATGGTCTTGACGTGCAAGGCTCGGCGTCCAGCGACAATGGGCACGGACCTTGGTCCCCAAGCCACTCAAAATCAAAGTGCTCCATAGCAGGAAATGCCTGGAGGTAGGTATGTAGGATTTTGAGGTGGTCCGAAGGTAGGTGGAGACCGAAGGTGAAGCTATCCATGCCGATTTTCATGGTCTTGATCCGTCGCCAGACGCGAGTGGAAGACGGCGAGGAGCCATAACTCGCCTGAGGCCGCAGCGAGAACGCCGCGCCAGGGTGGATAGGATTCAGGACCAATGTGTCAAGAGCACAAGGGTTGGCTTGTTCGACTGCAACACGCAATGAGATCAGAGCGAAGTCGACAGCGTCACGCCTGTACCGTTGACCGTGGTCCTGGCCTGGACACTGAATTTCGAGCTTTCGCAGGCTTGTCAGCGCGCTGAACGCCCTGACGAAAGCTGGAATGTTGGTGGCCGCATGAAAGACGGGTGGATAGTGCTTAATCAAAAGGTCATCGATTTCCCAGGAGCCGTATTTCGAGCCGGACGAGGTGGACGAGGCGGAGACGGGCCTCGAGTTGCTTGTGTGTGGTTCGTAGATAAAGGTGAGTTCTTCCAGGGTATCGGGCGTCATCAATGGGGGTAGGAAGGTGGTGTGAGAATGTGGCATCACAAAGGCCAGCTTCTTGACATGATGTCCCATGCGTTCAAGAGCCACCATGCGGGAGTGCCTTGAGAAAGTGTTGGCACTGAAATGGATAGTCAGGTGCCGAAAGAGCTTGGGGGCGACATTTTGTCCTAGTTCGCGACAAGTGAATCGCAGGTTCTTGAGTTCATCTTGGCCAGCAAAGGACAGGAAGCACTCTCGAGTTAGATCAGTTCGCCAGAATCTGACAAAGGCATCGGATGTCATGACTGCTTGCTCGCATTGCTTGTGTATGACTTAGTGGGCCCCTGCCGAGTGCTGCTTCCGGGCTGATGTGTACAAGGCAATCAGGCGTTTGATATGGTACAAGGATCGAATCAAGGATGAGTGGAGATTCCAACAAACAACAAAACGAACAACTCAAGCTCTACAGCTACCTCATCGACGGGCCATGAACCGTCAGATCAGACGAGGATGGTGTTCAACGTGGCAGCCTGAGGATAGAAAATGCAGAAGAAGAACCGGCTGATCAGAAGAGCGGATGGGAGGGCATGTAAACCTACCTTTGCGTGTTACTAACCAGCCGCTGCAAATACAGGATGGTCCGGAGGCGTGTTGGATCGTGTTGAGCCAACGCTTTTGACGGATGCTGTGGGATATGCAGATGTTCTGCGACTTTGTCGCGACTTGCACACGGTGAAAGAACGCGAAAATGCGCCCAAATGGCCAGCTATAGGTGGGAAAGTCGGGGGCGGGGGTGGTAGGTGCAGCTCTTGGCGCATAAACAGAGCCTTTAGGGGCTCGGACGCGATTCGGAATCTCGCACCGCCCCCAAAAGCAGATCTATCACCAACCCACAGTTCACCAGAAACCATGAACCTGCTTAAGCAGATCTATTTAATTTTGCCCATGCACGAAGTACTAGGTGAAGCATCTCTTGCGGCACGTGAGACCGCATTCTACCCCGCCAAGGCTATCAAAGCCCGGGTTGGAGAGCGTTCAAAACGCCGCTTGTGTCTCTTGACGCGCCCGGCGCGTGGGAGATCCCAACACGGTTCGCGCCTCGCGCCGACGCCCAGAGCCTTTTCAGGTTGTTCGGGTTGAGGGACGACTCCGCGCTGGTAGTGGGGTATGGACCTCGGTGCGATTATCGGATCGAAACTCTGCCGGCCTCAAGGCTCTGTCCCTGAACCCTGAAGCACCCCCTTCAATTCCACCCCAGGTCTCCAGGCACCTCTGCGTCGACCATGTGCTCCCGGTACCGTTGCCCAGCCCCTCGGGAGCCACTCCGTCCGGCTGGTGCTCAATCCGATCACTCGTCAAACAAACACCCTGCCCATTTCGTCGCTGTAGCTCCTACTGAAGATCGAATTGGCAACACTCCTTCATGCAAGCCATACCCGCTTTTGCCGAAAGAGGACCATCACCGACCAGGGTACGCCAACCCTACCTCTACGGCGCAATGCCACAGTAAACCTTGCTCAGCCATGATGCTTCCCCTGTCACGGGCTCACTGAGCGATTGAGCTTCGCAGACTGTGCTCACAGTGTTGCCTAACTGTGCTTTGACGTGATAAAAGATATCGAGAGTACCATTTGTCTGACTGTTACTATTTGCAGCGCGATCCGACGGCTGGACTTGAGCCGAAGGATCGAGTATACAACGATTTGTCTCTGATACCTCTAACGCGCCCGGATACGGCAACTCTACAGATGAAACACTTCCGCAAAGCGAGGTCTCACTCCTCGATACCTGCTATCTCCCGGGTAAGCGTGGGTCTTTGGATCATGTTCTCATCTTATAAAGAAAGAAGCGCCATGTTGCGTTGTTTGGCCCTTTCTCTTCACGGGCTGGGCCTTGCATTCATTTCGACCTAATTCTTCCTCCGCTCCTTTACGAGTCGTCCAACTGTCCGGCACGGTGGTTCATTCATTTCAATAATTCACTGATCATATACTGTCGCTGTCACCATGAAGTTCACTTCTCTCACTCTTTTGCCCCTCCTCGCCGGCGTTGGCAGTGCCTTGCCGGTGGGAATGGCCAAGCGCCAGGAAAACCTGGACATCGACATTCTGCAGTTTGCGTTGACGGTAAGATCTCTGTGGCTCTTGCCCAGACATACCTTGCTGATTGTTTGCTAGCTGGAGCATCTTGAGAATGTCTTTTATAAGGAGGCGCTGCAGAGGTTCTCGCAAGCCGACTTTGAGGCAGCTGGTTTTGATAAGCACTTCTTCGACAACATGTTATTCATTGTACAAGACGAAGAGAAGCATGTGTCGCTACTAGAAGGCGCCATCTCGGCAGCTGGGGTTGCACCTGTCGCAGCTTGCACGTACAACTTTGGCATCACCGACATGTAAGCACTCGAGCACTGACCCACCGAGAAGCAAGCCACTGACATGAATAGTAACTCTTTTGTCACCCTCTCAACCGTGCTGGAAGGCGTCGGTACTTCAGCATACCTGGGGGGAGCTCCTCTCCTCCAAGATAAGGATATCTTGACCACCGCAGGCGCCATCCTCGTGACAGAAGCTCTGCACACGTCGCAACAACGGATCGCGGTGGGAGAGGTACCTGCTGCTCTGGACCTCGGAACGCCTCTTGATGCCAACTCGGTCTTCACCCTTGCCTCGTCATTCATAGTCGAGTGCCCAGCTGAGAACGCCGCGCTACCCTTCACGGCCAACCCCGGCCTGACGGTCGACACTACCTCGTGCCCCGCTCCGGCGACTGAAGTGCTTTTCAAGCGCGAGCCCACTTCTCATGAGGCTGGTCTGGTGGGACCCGAGGTTGTCCCTTCCGAGGTTCATCCACCCAGCCCGGAAGAGCTGCAGGCTGCTCAGCAACAAGCTCACGAGATGGCGGCAGCGGCGCAGGACTTGGAGGCCAAGAAGACAGCGATGATGAACGACCATGAAGTGATGCAATTCCAGCACGATGTCCAGATGCTCAACGACAAGAAGAACAACTTTATCGCCAAGTTCGGAGACGCGTTCAACGGTCTCCTAGGAAACCTCAATTTGGGCAACCTCCTTGGTGGCAATGGCAAGGTCGAGGCAGCCCAGCCTTGCCCCTTCCTGCATGAAGGTGGTCACGTTGCCTTCAATGCCGAGGCGGAAATTCCTCAAGGTTCTTTCGTGTCTTTCGTTGCCGGTCTGTCCGTCGTCAGCGTGCAAGCGCAGGTGGCTGCCCAGCAAGCATCGGTCGCTGTTCCTGCCGGCGTCAGCGGGCAAGTATATGCTTTCATCACCAACCGGGCAATCGAGGACAACAAGCTGGCTGCGGATGCTATTGCCTTTGGTCCAGCCATCATTGAAGGTGAGTCAACCCTGTCCATGATGTCCCATTCACCTACTAACATGTTCGCAGTTGCACCTCCGGCGCCCGTCATCGACTTTGGAGTGCTACGTAAGTAGGAGCGGAGGAGAATCAGGGAGGAGCAGGAAGAGTTCGATATTTTACATTCTGGTCAATATACCCCATACAGTTACGCTAAGAAGCCAGTATACGGACAGGGACGAGACGGGCAGACGGCAGGTCCCACACACTGGGGACATCTAACGCCGCCGACGGTAGTAATAGCGTCGCTGCTGGCCAATCAAGCATAAAGGATATCTGTTCACCAAGACAGCCATGAAATGTGCATTTCTTTTTGTGAAGAGGACTTGTGCCTGTATAGTCAAGTCACATGCGTATTGAGCCTCGGATCTGCCACGAATCTGCGATGATGCGGCGGAAAAAATGGAAAGAAAACTTGGTTGCTCTTTCTGACGTCGGCAGCCGCGGCTTAACTCTAGTCAACCAATCGGAGTGCCCGAATGCAGAACCGAGGACTCCATTTTTGTGGCGTCGAAGACCAGGAGCAGAAGCAAGCGGAAGGAACAGGCTAGCGAGCACACGACCGCGTCCTCATGATACCATCACAATGTTTCTTCTTCTCGCCATCACCATACAGTCCATACTACCTCCATCTCCATAGACTTCGTATTTCTTAGCCTCCGGCTTCATTAGATTTCATCCTTCCGCAGATGTTCGTATCTTGACCCCTTTTACGCATTCTCGCCGGCGACGTGTCAAACATGTTCTCCTTAAAACCAAGCGTTCCTATTTTGGGACCATATACCATCGGCAGCACAGAGTTCGAGATCCCCATCTCAGAAGTAGACACACAGACGAGTTCGCCAGATCCGAAGGTCAACACAATCAGATTTCGATTATACTATCCCACCGACGCCTCGCTCAACGGTCAGTCCGTCTCCTGGGTACCCTCACCCCAGAAGCAATGGACCGAAGCGTTTGGTCGTTTTCTGGGCGCATCACTGGGTTGGTCCAGTGTCGTGAACCCTCTATTATCATTAATGGCCTACATCACGATCCCTGCGGTACCTAACGCTCCACTACAGCCCAAATCCTCAACTTACCCCTTGGTCGTCTTCTCCCACGGGCTGGCCGGCAATTGCAATACCTACTCCTCATTCTGTGGCTCGCTGGCGAGCTGTGGTATCGTTGTCGCCGCATCCGAGCATCGCGACGGAAGTTGCCCCATTTCCTTGGTGCGCGATGCGACTGGCAAGGTTGCCACCGAAATCAATTATCGAAAATATGCTCACACCCCAACACCGGATGTCTTCAGAGGGCGCAACACTCAGCTACGAATGCGCCTTCAAGAGCTTGACCTGATCTATGTAGCTCTTACCAAGCTCAACTCGGGCGAGCACATGTCAAACTATGCCTCGAACGGCACCAAGAGCACGGCCCCTACTCTGACTGGCAAATTAGACATGTCTCCTGGCCGTGTAACCTGGGCTGGTCACTCTTTCGGCGCATGTACTGTCACACAATTCGTCAAGTCGGTCTACTACCGCCATTCTCTACCCTCACTAAGTGGTACGCCACAAGAGAACGATCCAGATTACGAACCAATCTACACACCTCGCTCTGGATCCGCGCTCATCCAACAGATCACATCTTCTTCACCCGTCGCCTTGCTTGATGTCTGGACCATGCCTTTCCGCGCCCCTTCCACGCAATGGCTGTGGGAGAAGCCAATGCCATGCTACAACGTTGCCTCAGATGTCGGCGTACCAAGCAAAGGCCCAACGACAGTCAGCGTCATGTCTTCCGAGTTCTATAACTGGACTGAACTTTTGAACCGCACCATTGCTCTCCTGTCCGCTAATCCAGCAAAGGCTGCCGAGGCGACGCAAGGTGGCCAGCGAAGCCCGAAAACGCCCAAATTGGAAGATGTCCAACCCAAGACACCCACGTTTGCGACACCACCAAACAAGCACGCCGACCAAGAAGACGAGATGGCAGATCACCAAAATGATTTGTTACCACCAGCGAGCCTGGCATTGGACGAAGCTGCGCCTGGAGAGCCGATCGATCGCTCTACCAACGCCTCGCCAGCACTCTCCGTCGCTTCCTTGGCCTCAAACTCCTCGGCATCCACAACCCTCCCAATATCTTCTGGCACCAGCCCGTCGGATTCTCCTACTTCTTCCACCACCTCTCTCTCACCTAGCATAACTGCGAAACCCACACCTGCCGCCGCTCCGAGCCAAACGCCTCTCACAACTCCCCTACCGATCTCACCCGCCCTGCAGAGCCGCTCTTCCCCCTCAACGGCTTCACCCGCCAGGCTCTTCCACATCCCCCATTCCGCACATCTGTCACAATCAGACTTTGGCCCACTCTTTCCCACCCTGACACGGGTGCTTATGAAAGCAGTCGACCCAAATGGCACGATGGTGATGAACGTCCGTGCCGTCACGCAGACGATGCGTAACGCGGGCATCCAGGGGATCGCGCGAGTGGATGATGCGAAAGTGCGTGAGGCGCGGAGGAAGGAACGCGAGAGGGAAACGGGGCTGTGGGACCGATTCTTCGGTGGAAAACAGACGCTCCCCGAGGAAGAGGAAAAGGAAGAACCCAGGGATGACATCTTGGAGAAGGGCCAACGAGACAAGCAACCGGGCTCCGTGGCAAAGACGGAGGCGCGTGAGGAGGATCTACCGCGCTGGGTTGAGTTGAACCTTCATCATGTCCGGTGAGAGGCATTGGAAAGCGTGTCAGCTGCGACTTTTCGTTCTCGTGAGCTTCGTTTAGGAGTGTTACTGGTGACGACAAAGCCAAATCTCATCTTTGCTTTTGTTTTTGGCGTGCGTTATCCTGCGGGAAAGCGGTTTCGACTACATGGACATCTGGACTTCTCTGAAGGTTCAGGTTCGGGTTCTGCTTACTTGTTTCCCCTGCATCCAGCGGCGAGGGAGTTTGACGGTAGGGAAAACAAAGAGACCACACTGCCATATATATGTTTAAACGGGTCAATCACGAAACGAAATAGAGCGGGTGGGGGGCCAGGCGGGCTGTCTGTCCATTTTGGCTTTTGCTTTTACATGACAAGACAGGGATAAGACGAAAAACAAGACGAGACGAGACGAGACGTGGACAAGGGGACGGGAAAGGGGAAGGCTTTCCAAGGGCCAGGGGTTCGTATAGAGAGATAGAGAGATAGAGAGATACCCCAGTGATGTTCAAATTTCAGGTCTTTGTGTGTTGAGCGGCCGTGGTGTTTTTGCGCTGGCTTTTTAGCATTATCTATCGTTGACCCGGATGAGGAGGGTATCTTCGCAGTAGACAAAAGTGATATCTATATGATTTTTTTTTCTCACATGTACTCGTACTTGCCGTAGTGGGTTCTGCCAATATTTGTAAACTGTTTTTAAGGAAAGAGTGAGGTTTCAATGGTAGGGTGACCGCGTGAAGTGAAGTGGTGAAATGGAAAAGAACTGCTGTGCTGTGTGTTGCGCCATGGTCGTCATACTGGTCTTGACTTTTGGAATGAATCTCGCTATGCTATTGTAGTCTAAACTAGAGGTGCAAGCACTAGTGGGTCTCGGAGGTCTTTGCAGGACCCAAGAAAAAGAGGAACAGAGAGCGAGCCCCATCGACACCGCCTTGTTGGAGAGGCAATGTTTTCGTGCTGTCATTTGCTGGGTATCGTTCCACTCTGAGGGCTCGTCATACGTTGAGAATGGGTGTGGCTATCCATCCTCTTCCGAGCCGTTGGTTTGGATGTTCTCCCATTTGATAATTTGAGTCAGTAGGACCATCTAATTTGTCCTCTCGCTTTCCCGTCATCCCATCGTTCATCAATGCTCCGTTGATCTGGTCAGCAACAGAGTGACGCGCTTGTCGCGGTTGAGTCAGGCCCCGGTGAATTTACAGGTCGGCATCATCCTCATCTGGCAAGGGCATGGCCGCCGCTTCGGTCATCTCCTTGTTGTACTGCTCCATGAGCTCGGGGTTGACCTGAGCCTCAGGAGGAGCAAGAGCGGGCGCAGCGACGAACTCGAGGTTGGCGTTGCCGACCAGCTTGCGTGCTAGCCAGAGGAAGGGCTTCTCGAAGTTATAGTTGGACTTGGCAGAAATGTCGTAGTATTGCAAGTTCTTCTTGCGGTGGAAGGTGATGGTCTTGGCCTTGACTTTCCGCTCCTTGACGTCGACCTTGTTGCCACAGAGAATGATGGGGATGTTTTCGCAGACACGGACGAGATCACCTGTAACATGAATGAGTGGTGGGGTAATTGTGGGGAATGGAAGGAAAACGTACGATGCCAGTTGGGGACGTTCTTGTAGGTGATGCGGGAAGTAACATCGAACATGATGATACCACACTGGCCGTTGATGTAGTAACCATCTCTTAGGCCGCCGAACTTCTCCTGGCCGGCGGTATCCCAGACATCGAATTGGATCTGACCAAGGTTCTATGGGGTTTGTCAGCGGGCGATTCGCAGTGAAGGTGCGGAAGAGCTGAAGCTTACGGTGGTGAAACCGAGAGGGTGGACCTCGACACCGAGGGTGGCAATGTATTTCTTCTCGAACTCGCCAGTCAGGTGGCGCTTGACGAAAGTGGTCTATAACAGTAATGTTAGCCTTGGTCTTTTGCTGAGTATCCCGAGGATGCGCTATTTGCAGACATATATTGCGCATGCTATGGAATGGTTGGTCTTCTCTTACCTTGCCAGTACCGCCATCACCGACCAAGACGAGCTTGAAGGTGGGCGTAGACTGAGCAGCCTCCGCCATTGTGTATTTTGGTGTTGAGGTGTCGGGGATAAGATGGAGGAAGGATTTATCGGGAAGCCGCAAGTGGTCCTTTGTCGGAGCCTGATAGAGAGTGATTGCGCAGAGGCTACTATGGAAAGAAGGGTGGACGCGGATGGGGAAGGAGAGAGAGTCGGCTCTTGTTGATATGATGATGGATCTCAAGCAGGCGGGCTTTTTCACCGCTTGGCAATGCCAAGCCAAGCTTCTGTCCCGCAGCTTTCAGCCTGCGTCACATCACGTGATTGTAAGTATGTACTTGTGTTGTTGAAGGCACCAACGATGTTTCACTTGTGGATTACAGAGCAATGAGGCGCTAAAGACAGTATGCAATGGTAGTGGTGTATGGTAGCAAAGACAAGATCTCATCAGTGTGGTTCGGATGTTGCGCGTGCTCGGATTTTGTATCCGGTAGGTCACTCGCTCTGGTACCGTGGTAACAATCTCTTAGCCTCCCTGTAATCGATAGCAACCTTCTGTCTTTGGTGCTCTTCCATTAGATGCGCTCCCATGAGTCCTCAGCCTGCATATTGCCGTCACACTGTACAGTTGCCAACGATGAGGCCTTTTGGCCGTTGGGAGACCACTTAATGTCTTTCCTCTGCTGCCACGTCTTGCGGGCGAAGCGTGTCTCCCTGCTGTTAGCCGCTGCTCAGTGTCTCGGCCTTCTTCGCTCGGGTCGTGCACTCTAGAATACATTGGCAGACAGATTCATATGGGCAGAATATGACATCCTAAAGTGCCTCTCCCACCCCATCCCTGCCTCGGTGTCAGCCTAAGATCCAATTCCTGACCCTCGCTGGCACCCTCTCGTAGCACTTTGACTGGAATAGGGCGACCCAGGTTCTGCTGCGTCACCTCTGCCACCTTCCGCAGATTCGTATGGTTGGACCAGATGGCGGTGCCAAATCGCCTAATCTTGTCTCCGGCCTTCAGACCTGCCTCGTGCGCAGGACTGCCTGGCTCGACACTATTGACTGTAGCGAAGGGCGTCTCAGGTGCGGTGGCAGGTTGAGTGACGGGTGCGGCAATCGAGGACGAGGAAGTTGCGGGTTTCTCCAGACTTCCGGACTGCTGTAGCTCAGCATGGTGCTCATGTAGGCCCTTCTCGATTTTGTCCATCAGCGCTTTCCAGTCGTTTCGTAAGGAGATGATGCGCGCTCGAGTGACTCTCACTTGGGCGACATCAATGTCGGCGCGGGGAAAGCCGTCGGCATCGGTGAGGTTTGTCTGCATATCGACTCCGTGAGTGTCTAGCACGGAGCCGAGGGCCTTGAGCTCTTCTTCCAGGTTGTCTTTGCGCTGGATTAGCTGCCTCAATGTCAAACTCTCTAGTGGGGCCGCCTCATGGCGTACGGAGGTCGGACCGCTGGGGACGTGGATGTCTGCTAGTCCGGAGTCCATTGGTCTTCCCATGATTTGGCAAATAGACAAGTACGGTTTGGTCACCGCTGCAATAGAAGCAGGCGAACTGCGTCTGGCAGTCAAGTGAAGGGTCGAAAGCGTAAGGGTCCAGACAGAAAAGATATGCGGGGTGGTATCCGGGTGCGGCAGGCGCGCGTCTAGACGCGCAGCCTTCAAGCACGTGACCTGAATGGTACCCTGAATGGCTTGTAAGCATTTAAGAATGTCCTACAATACTACTACTACATATTACAATACTCTGACTGTAGATCTCGCTGTGAATGGAAGCGTGAAGCAGATACTGGGCGGATGAATGGCTCCAGTATCGTAAGAATAACCCCATCCCCACCGTGAGTAGCCTGCCAATCTGATTCTAGTGGAAATACTCCGTATATTGCCTCATATCCTACCCAGGATGTGTGAATTGCGCCGTAGTGTGCCATTGGGGGTATCGAGCAAGGACTTTTGGACCGTACCTCCGTTCCTTAGCGTAAACTAACATGGGTATCGTCAAATGCACATCAATCAATATTGCTGTGTTCATGATACTCACTAAGTGAGTGTGTGTATTATTGCTGTCCAGGCGGCATCGTGATGAGTGGCCATGACACAGGGCCAGTGCTGTCGTAGTAGTGATTCGGTGAAAAAGCCATCATAGAGTAGTCGGCCATAGACGGTCCAGCAGTCTGTGTTGGAGCCTGAGACGGATTAGGGTAGCTTGCGTACCCGGCCTGCGGATTGTTGAGGATTGGTGCTAACGACACTGGAATGGATTGGTATTGCTGATCCGGGTGCGGATGCGAGCTCTGCGTCATTTGCACAGGAGGAGCCTGGGTATACGTCGAATAGCCGTGCATCACCGAAGCATTCTGAGCAAAATGCATGTTGCTCATTGACTGTTGCCATTGCCCAGTACCAGGCATTGTGCCCGGTGCTGAATTGAATGGTGGTGTAGGTGGAGGTGGCGCGAACGGACTGGGTTGGCCTGTTGTCGGCGACGGTCCATTCAATGTCCTTCCACCTGACATAGCTTGTGGGCTTGGCTCAGCTTTGATCTGTGACTTTTGGGCGGTACCATTGACCGCTTGGAATGTGCTGTTGGGCGTGAGCCCCGACGACTCGATGACCATCTTTCTGTACTCGTTCTCAATTGCTTGAGCACGGGGTCGGAAGATATGCTGTAAATGGTTGTTTGTCTTCATCACCACGTCAGCATATGCCACCAGTGATAACCATCCCTTGATCTCATTGCATATGGTCTCGAACTGATCCTTGGAGACAGGTGCCAGACGTCTTCTGTAATAGTAAAGTGTGATACCGAAACCCATTGCAAATGGGCCTGTTGAATGCCATGTGAAATCAACGCCTTTGTAATCCTTGGAGAGAGTATGGAAGGTCGACAGTAGTCGCCGCGCAGCCTTGTGGCAGATCTCTAGATGCCGATCGAGAACTTGCGGGTCATTCGAGGTACAACAAGCTGGGTGATGCAGAGTCAGCTGGTATTCGGCAGCCCACTGATCCATCAAAAGAGTTGCAACAGTCAGGTTGACATGCAGTGGTTGAGCCGTCCTCATGCAGTCGTCCCAGTCTTGCCGCCAGGCCATTATTTTATTATTCAAGGCTTCGACGGTCTTGAGATATTCGGCTGGAGGTCGCCGTACGCACAGGACATAATTGTATAGCTCTGTCAGAAGTGGTATTAGTTTCGAGAGCTGGTTTGCCGGATGATAGTCGCATTGTCCGCTTCGACTTGCCGCCAGACCTGACGCACTGATCTCGCCATCAGTGATAATCAGAGGCAGAGGCACATCTAGGTGCTGGAACTGCCAAGGTGCAGGTAGTCCCACGCGACACCCCGTTGTGACACAGACTCCGAGCACTGCGTGGAAGACGCGCTTTCTCAACTCTTTGGCCAATACGCTTCTCTCGTCCGGCGGTAAAGATCCGACCGCCTTGTCAGGGTCGCGGTGATACTGGAGCTCAATGGCCCGGACGAGCACCTGATGACTGAAGGACCAAGTGACACCGGGCTTAGGCAGGTTCCGGCAATAGAGAACTAACAGCGCTAAAGCTTGCATGGCTTTGAGGCCCGTATCGTGGTATATATCGCGATAGAAACCGAGCGCGTAGTGTAGCAGACGATGAGACTTCTCATACATTTCCGTAAAGAGATCGTGATTTCTGACAGCAAGCTGTTGAGTCATGGTAGCCAGAGCCAACACTACCTGGACCCGTTCTGGTATAGACACGGTCGATGGCTGATCGTAGAAGCGGTTGACTAGGTCTTTGAATGTAGGCCGATGTAGAACAGGAAAGTACTGCGTCATGACGACCAAGAAGCTGTCGATGAGGCCGACGGCTTCCTTCTTGGAAGGCAACCTTGGGTCGTCAACCCGTTGATAGCCAAACACTGTACTCACGATCGAGGTTCTGGAAGCATTGAAGACCTGCTGTCCTCCAGAAGGCTCTCTCATAACGTCGCAGTCAAAATCCGCCACATCTATGATCCCGTCCATTATGTCGACTTTCGTGCCATTGACCGGGCCTTTACACAAGGGCTCGATATTGTCGGGTGCCGGCCACCCAACGTAGCGAAACGACGGAACCTGTAGTGCCGTCTGATCGCTGCTTGATCTTCTCGCCAGCGCGTCATCTGACCTGAGTGGTCCATATCGAGTCTGGTATGCATTGAGCTGTTCTCGCAGGTACATAAGTTCACCCTCAGCGCGGTCAGTCTGACCTCGTTCGCGCGCGTGGCCGGTGACGCGATCGGTCGTATAGCATCTGAGACCTTTGCTTTGGCAAGGACCGCAAGCGACAGGGTTCGTGTCGCATTTCATCTTTCGCTCCTCTGGAGGGTCATGTCAGTACTGTGGCACGGGCTGAAGGGTCAGGGAGGCACTCACTGCACCGGTCACAGGCCTGGCCCGTGCGAGACGTGGAAGCCAGCTTTTTTCTAACGGCATCGCTATACTGCGCAGGCTCTTCGGCCTGCTTGACCTTTTTGGAAAGAGGACTGTCGTCGGCAGTAGGTGGCCTCTTGAGAGGATTGGAGCCTGGGTCCGTCATGGACCTGACTGAGGTAGGACGCCAACCAATTTCATGTAAACGGAAGTTGAGCCCTGTACTCCGTAGTTGCAGGCGGGATGGAAGTTGCCGGTGGTTCGTACAGGTAGGACGAACGAGCGAGAGCCGCAGGCTGGGCTGGGCTGGCTGAGTAACTGTACGAGGTGTAGGCGAGTCGAGGATCTGCTTTCCGGCCTCGGGGCGTGGAGGGGTGGCTGACCTAATAAGCTAAGCTTCAAGGACCCCGAGTAGCCCAATCACCGCCCCTACCACCCAGACGCACCTCTGTTGACATGCCTCCACCCGTTCATGGTCGATCTGGACTTCGAAAAGATCATCACATGCAAGACTGGCCCCCAGATATGCATTGTTAGCATAGCATTCGCAGACCATGGCTTTTTGTAGTGGTGGTGTGGATCTGGCGGTGGCATTAGAGCCCAAGTACCCGCAAATTCTTTGTTAGGCCACAGACCTGCTTCTTCAGGATGGAATCAGCCTTGGACCTGCTCCTGAAAAGAGACGTCAAAGGAGACCGCGACAATCTTCGCTATGGCAGTCTGGAGAAGTCAACCATACCCAAGTATCGGGTTGCTGGTCGTGGCAGTATCATTGGGTTGCCTCGAGCCTACAAGGTCAAACACATTCCAGGAGGCGCCCGTCAGATCTCAGGGCCCCAAGCAGACACCGGCCATCGGCATGCTAACAATTCTCTTCTATCGCCAGCACCACAGCCTTCCACTCGCCCCATCCCGAAACGGGAGTCTGTCAACGACGACCCTATCAGGCGCCAGTCAAGCTACATCTCGGTCAGAGCCGGCAGCTCGCGAAAGCGGAGGCGACTGTCTGACCTCGAACACCCTTTCTCTATTATTGACCATACTGCTCAGCCCGACCAGGATGACTCATCCAGCGCCGGCGACGAAGATGATATCGCCGACGAAGCCAATGCCTACGAGGCATTCCGCAGTGACACCGTCCAGCGACGTCAGCGAGAGTTGCTGAAGAGAACCAATTCCGATCCGGAGGATCTCGATGCCTGGCTGGCTCTGATCGAACACCAACAGGAACTGGTCCGAGGTAGTGAGTCCAATACGACGACGCTGAGCCCGAGCCAGCGTCGGACTTTGATTGAACTCCGCATTTCCCTCTATCAACAAGCCCTATCCAAGGTGACAACGTCGGACACACGTCAACGGCTGATAGTTGGTCTCATGCAAGAGGGAAGCAAAATCTGGGATCATGCGAAACAAACGGAGGAGTGGCAGAAGCTTTTGAACGACAGTGCTTCGGTTTCTCTGCGAGTTCTGCATATCAACTTCCTCATGACCAACCCTTGGACTTTCTCATACCCAGGATGCCTCCAAGCAATTGACGAGTGTCTACAAATATATCTGGCCGAGCCTACATCCGAGATTCGGGACGATCATGTCGTTTATCTGCTGCTTCGTGCAACACTCTTGATGAAGCAAGCCGGGTACGCAGAGCGAGCGGTCGCGGTTTGGCAAGGGAACCTCGAGATCAATTTCTTCCCACCGTCCGAGTGCGGAACAAGAGACCTAACTGCTCGCTTCGAGACCTTTTGGGACAGTGAGGCTCCCAGACTGGGCGAGGCGGACGTCCAGGGCTGGAATAAGTCCACAGGTGAAGAGCCTGCGTCGGCACAATCAAGAGAAGGCGAGATTCCTCCGCCCACGCTGGACCGCCCAGATCCTGCATGGGCAGCGGCAGAGGGCCAGATTCAGGCACACGCAACGCTGCCAGCAAGGACGCTGGACGACACCGACGATCCTTTCCGAGTCGTTCTCTTCGCCGATATCCAAGCGTACCTTTTCCATGCCATGACTGCACAGACCAAAGCAAAGCTCCTGGAGGCTTTCCTGTGCTTTGCCGGTCTACCTCCACTTCAGCGTTGTCAAGCAGTCCAACACCTGGATCCATTTCTGATACAGCCCCTCCGCGCCCCTGCTACATCAGAGCCACCCTCGCCATATCCGCCATTACGCTCGTTCAACACAGGCGGCGCAGACCCGGTGTTGCTCTTTGCCCACAAGGACGATCCGTTTGCGGCCTTTCAGCACAACCTCGACGCCGGCTTGTCCTCTCTGATCTTGGCCGCCCTTCAACAGCTAGCGTTGGCAGATCCTGAAGACGAGTTGCTGGCCCAGTACGTAATCGCCCTGACTCTGACTCTTTCTACAAGCCCTGCTGGTGCGGTCAGAAAATTCGCGAAGAGTCTCATCAAGCGCCGTCCAGAAAGCAGTCGATTGTACAATGCCTACGCATTGGTGGAGCGCCGTTTGGGGAAGCACGATTCCGCGGAAAGGGTCTGGATCACGACACTCAATATGAAGGCCGGACATGATCCGCTGGCGACATCACAACGCTTGCTGCTGTACCATTCCTGGATCTGGGAGTTGGCGCTGGCCGAGCAGGACGCCAAGGTTCTTGCTCTGATGTCTCGACTACCAGCGACACAGCCCAAGCTCGACGACCTAGAAACGGCGACGGCTGCGCCGCCGGCCCCTGAGCTACTCAGCCGGTTCGAACATTTCCTACGCTCGTGCCTTTCTAGAGCATACTCAGGGTATATCCCCGACGAGATCGTCGTCTGCGCAGACCTCCTCGCGCTTCTGCAGTATTACACATCCTGCCTCGACCTGCACGTCGCACTCGTCGCCTATCAGCAGATCCTGTCCATGTCCGGCTTGCAGCTGGGCTCCAGCCAGATCCCCAGCACCGCCGGAATGACAGTGGAAAGAATCCACATCTCCCGTGCCCGCCTCATCTCGCTCCACACCTACTCGCACAACGTTCAATTCAAGCCTAAGGAAGTCATCTCAACACTTCGCGATTCAGTGTCCGCTTTCCCCCACAACACCGTCTTCCGACACCTCCTGCACGACTTCTCTCTCAAGCACGGCGCCGTGGATCGGTTGCGGGAGGCGGCTGCTGCTGCGACCGTCACAAGCACCACCATCGCCGCGACCGGTGAGGACCAAAGCAAGAACATAGCCACTAATCCGCCCCCGGCGCTAGATTTGCTGCTTTCCATCGAGCACCTCCAACGCATCGACAACGAATTAAGTCGCGACCCAATCTACGGCGGAACCGAGCACGCCATCCGTGCCGCGTTCCAGCGCGCCAAGGCTGATGACTCGCCCGTCCGCTCTTGCCCGGCAATCCAGCTGCGGCACCTGCAGTGGGAGCTGAGCCTCCTTCGTCGTGAGGCACCGTCACTGCAACAGCCCGGCGGAGTGACCGGGAGGAACGAGGACAACAAGCAGCGGCAGCAGCAGCAGCTCGAGAAGAAAGCTCGAAAGCAGCAAGTTCAGCGCGTAAGGACCACTTTCCACGAGGCCGTGGCGGCTTGTCCTTGGATGAAAAGTATCTACCTGACGTACTTTGATGAACGGTTGGGTGGAGCTGAGGGCGCGGTGGATGAGGAGTGGAATGAGACGTACGAGAGCATGCTTGAGCGAGGGTTGCGGCTGCATATAGAGCTCCCCAATAGTCAACGATGATGACGTGGTTTGCTGCCAAAATCAATTATTTTCCATGTCTCTGCTCACCAGTGTGTAGTTGGTAGACTCGTCGCAGATCGAAAGGCCAACGATTGCCTTCGGGCACCCTCTAGTCCAACCCAAGGCCACTCTTTAAACTTGCAGGCTCTGATATGGGATGCAGCGCTCTCCTGGTGTATTGGACAGAACCCCTTGACGAGAAACGGATGCCCTCTTCACTTGGGAGACACAGAACGTTTGATGCTCACAATGACGGCTCAGAAGGTCTTGCCGGTGCCTAATAGATTTGGATCTGGAGATTCGCAATGCAGTACTGTAATCTGGGAAGCAGCAGATAGTCTTCGGCGAACCTCCACGGCAGACCCAGGCGCGTCGCCGGGAGGGCGGGCTTCGGTAATGAGATCCAGAGGATTTGGGAGAGCTGTGAAGGGAGGCGAGTCTTTTTGAGGCGTGTCAGAGCCAGCAACGCGCACTGGTTTCGGCAAAGATTCGAGCTTAGCCAGTCGCTCTTGTGGACTTACATTTGCCAGAAAGCTTTGGCTGTCTGGAGACTTCTGAACTGGTGTTGCCGAAGAGTCAATTGATGGTGAAGATCGAGCATTCAAGCCCCCGCTCAAGGGATGTGCAGTCCTAAGGATGCTGGCATAGAGAGGTGGTAGCAATTGGCCAGGCACAGGACGTTCATGTAAGAAGTCCCATTCAAACGTCGCCATTCCTGTCGTGGATTCCGCGGAGCTACCACCAGCGTAGGAGTACGAGCGGGCCAGCTCTTTCTCTTCGGATACATTCAGTGCCGCGTAATTGTGATTGTGGATCGTCGGGTCCAGGAGCGATGCATCAAACGGACGATGATAAAGGGCCATAGGGCCAAACTGAATAGGGTTCAGTCCCCTTTGCAACAGCAGTTGGACCTCTAGCTTCTTGTAGGATGCACCCCGTTCCAAGAGGTTGCTCATGCGCAGCATAAGTTGGAGCTCATAGTTGTTTTGTGGCGCCCCGTGACGGCGAAGAAGATGGGGCTTGAGGTACACACGGAAGATATCTGCATCAGTTGGCGAGGTTGCATCATGCCTGTCCCTCTTAGCTGACACAGTGCGCCATAGATGACTGTTCGAACTGAGTTGCAGCATGTCAACCCTATCGTTCTGCCAGAACTTAGTCTCGTGCGAAGGGCTTGCTTGGGCCTCAGCATCAATGGGTCGTGCCTGCAAGATCATGCGTAGCAACGTATAGCGATCTTCCTTGCTCCGACACGTAAACTTAAGCAGCGTTTGACAACCCTGCTTGCTCTGGTAGGTTCCCGAGGTGGAATTCCTGAAAATGGCGTGCTCACTGTCTATGAAGCAGCGGAACCAGAGACTGAGCTGAAAGTCCAGTGTTACACGCGTGTCGGAGGAGAGCTTGAACTCAAACGGCGAGCGTTGATTGTCAAACGATGTGAAAGGGCGGCAACCTGCAATTACCTCGAGCTCATTCTGGTCGATTGGGTCTCCAATAGCCTTCATAAGGCCTGGTGATACGGAAATTGAGTATGTACCAGACATGGCATTCCAGTTTGCTCCCACTTCAGACCATGTGGCGATGGATGCAGGTATCCCTAGTAGGAAATCAGAACGTACAAATACATCAGAGCAAACATTTTAGAGAACACTAGCGCAGGGGGTGCAGCAGTCCTGAATGCTTCTTGTGCGATATGCTGCTTGTTTTGCGTAGACTCACCTTCAGCAGACTCCAATTCAGTTTCGGCTGCGGTGTCTTTTGTCGCAAGTGGTGGCATGTGGCGGCCTGCACGAATTTCATTCTCGATTCGATGATGCATGGGAGACTCTTTGCCGATGGTCTTGAGTCCACACATATTCCGATGTTCAATGCGATTTAGTGGCAGCCCGTATTTGAGGTAGGCAGAGTGGTCGACTTGGCTGAGATCGAAATTGAAAGACGCATCAATGTCTAGGCCCACGACCGCGGGCGGCTGTAGGCGCTCCAGAGATTCCTTTCTCTGTATCTGTGCCTTGGCGTCAATGCTAAAGTCTGGTATCAATGGCGCCGGCGGTGATTGCTGTGGTGCGGAAGCTACGCCTGTATGCCGTCTTGTGGCCCTCTTCATCAGAGAGGTAAGTGTGCTCTTGTAGACCTTAGCTCGCAGGATCTCCGTGTCGAGGTGTGGACGAAGTGAGAACTGTGATGTATTTGTGCTTGTTACGGTCCGATCAGTCACAAACGAGGCGCCGTCGTAGATGACTATCAGGGACGAGGAGTCTTCCTCGAGCTGACCGAAAAGCTTTCGAGATCGTGGCGACTGGAGCACAGCCTTTTGTTCTTTGTGATCGCGACGCTGGAAAGCCGTAATCAGAAGGTTCAACGCATGAGTTTGTCGGTCTAGCCTCGTGAGGCAATTCTCGATCCCTCTGCCCTCGAGTACCAGGTTGACCCTGCTCTTGAAGGTCATTTCGTCAGCATCGGTGTACTGAACTGCCGACAATTGATCACGCAGGAAGTCCATGTGCAGCTTGCAGCAGCGAATCGCTGTCCCAAGGTCCATTGTGAGCTGGTAATGCTGGTTGTCGAGCGCAAGATCCTGCTCTATCCAGAATCGGATCTGCTCGAGTGCGGCTCTCAGCGTCGAAAGCTGAGCCGACATCGACTCCACAGCAATTGGAACATCTTTGAAGCGTGAACGTAGGTCCGCAAGGAGGGTAATGCATCTGCCTGTCACGTCGATAATGCCCAAGACGCCACCAATAAGCGATGGCACTGCTCCGATGGCGGCGACGACCTCCATTGTTCATCGTTCCGCTGATGACACATTCCCACTCAGAGTGAGGAAGTCAGACTCAACATTTTGGCCATCAGGCTGAAGGGGTGTTCGCAGCTCTTGATTCCGGAAAGACGACCGCTGCACTGCCACGTCGTCCTGCACAGGGGCTCCAGAATACGAGGTGTACGGCGAACTTGCCTGTGGCTGAGCCATGGTTCGTGGCGTCCCGGCTGACATCCTGTCAATGTGCCCGCATACATGTCTAAGGGTGCTTGATGCAGCAGGAGTAGATTGAAATGAGGATTGAGGGAAAGAAAGAGGTGTTGGGAGTTTGGAAATATAATCGGGGTGGGAACAGCCCGAAGTGGAGCACGCATCTTCTCACGGCAGCGACGAACTACGGCCCCATCTCGTTGAAGCTCGGGCGGCAAGGCATGAGTGCGAGGCTGCCTGAGCGATCTCTGGCTTATTCTGTTGCATTGAAAAATACTATTATAGATATTGAATGAGCATTTTGTGCTCATGAGAAAGGAAGCGGTCTCTCGCTTGTGGTATTGTGGCACAGTGTAGCATCGCAAGTCTTGAAAACGCCATTTCTAATCAGAGCATGATCGCGTCCCATCGTTCTTGCCATTGGCAAATTCGCTAGCGCCAGTGACTCCCCATCGCAATGCAGATAACAGGTAGCTCCCATCGAAAGCTCAAATGCGGACTTCTAGTCTCAGGCCAAGGTCTCCCTGACGACCTCGGCATAGCTCTTCTGGCCACCCTGACCGCTCAATGCCTGATACGCACCATCCCAGTACGAAACGCCCCCGAGGTTGGGAATGTTCAAGCCCTTGACGGTGTTGAGGATCGTCATGAGCTCGGCGGGCGTCACGTGCCCGCTTCCCTCTGCCGCGAGCACGCCGATAAAGACCTTTGGAGGTGGTCTGCCGCTGTTCACCATGGCTCGGCGGCGTCGAGGGGCTCGAGGGTTTTGTGGAGGGGCAATGTCAAAGGGGCCCATCGTGTTGCCTGTATCCGTCCCTGACCCGGTGTCTGGTCCCGTGGAACCGCCGGGAGATGCGGCCAATAGATCCTGACTCCAGGATTGAAGGGAGTTCAAGAAACCGGTGCCGGCATTGACGTTGCACTGGGGGTTGTTGTAGAACTGCACGAATACGTAGTCGAGGTCCGGGATAATCTGAGGCATCGGTATGCTCTGATCTGGCCGAGGACACTGTGGCGCAGCACTCAGGAAGTATTGCTTAGATGAGTCTTGTGCATACAAAGTGCGGAGGGCGCTGACAAATTCGGGAATATAGGTCGAGTACGCGGGTGCTTCGTTATCGATGTCGATGCCATCGAGTTTGATGTTCGGGCCGAAAGGGCGGAGAGGTTGCAGCCTAGCATCGCTGCCTCCCAGGAAAAGATCCCAGATCATTTGAGCCGCCGTTGTGGCCGCTTGGGCCGAGGGAAGATCGTTGGTGGCGATGGCGCCGCCGACCGAGAGCATCATTTTCTTGCCCGCTTGCTGGCATGCAGCGACCTGGTTGGCGAAACCGTCACCAACACAGTCGAGCAACCCGGTAGCTCCAGCAGCTTGTTGTACGGAGTTGGCGGCCCAGCACCGGGGTCCAAGGTTGAGCTGCACATGGTTAGATTGCGGATCAAGGTAAGCAGCGCTGTGTTCCAGGTGAGACTTACCATAGGATAGCCACCCGCCGAATAGAAATCGGTGATAAAGGACAGGATGACGATATCGACGTTGGGGTCTCTGCAGATATCGGAAAGGGGTACTTGATTAGTTGCCGGAGTCTGGGCATAGTACACGACGTTCATGTTACGAGCGCCCGCCGAAACTGGTGCAGTCGAGGTTGGCTGGCTTGTGGGCGCAGCTGTGCTAGATGGCCCGGCACTGGTGCAGACCGGGTCGGTACCAGCATATCTCTTGACCAATTCTCGAGCATCACCGTAGGTCAGCCCTAATTCGCCGAGGAGCCGGTCCAGGTCCGCTCGCTCAAGCTTAGAATGCTCATGTAGCCACGAGGCATCCTGTCCCTCTGTTTCATTCGAAGCATCGTCCTCGGATAGCCGGAGCAGTTGGGTGTTTCGGTCTTCTAGAACATCGTTGCGGCGTATAGACCGTATGTTGCTCTGATATACTGATTCAAGTGGAGATGATGCTGATAGCTGAGCCAAGCAGCCTAGGGCTGGCAGCAGCGTTCTTAGTAGTGATCTGGGGAGCATGATGAAGTGATGAGAGCAACCTCGAGCATGAGTCGCAACGGACACGGCGCTGAACTCAATGCATTATATGAGCGAAGCATCATGATGGCTGGATATACCCATCAATTGATGTGGGCACACACAAATCCAGGTCTAAGAATGTTGGCCAAGGCAAGGCATGTTTTGGCCTGTGCCATAACATGACACAACATTCCATGGCTGGGTGTCAGGGCTGGGTCAACAAGATTGGAAATCTCCTTATGCTTTCCCCTCACCGTAATGTTCATGACCTCGATGGACATTATTGGGCATCCTGTAGAAGAATTTGTACTGTTTTTGGGGGCACTCGTACGAGCATTGTAGGTGACGCGGTTCCGTTGCACGTGGGCGACAGGTCTTGTCATTTTAGAACAGGGCGGTCTTGGAAGTGATTGGCGGCCGACAAGACGAGACATTCTGTGCGCATATCCCAGCAGCACCGCCAGTTGTCACTGTTATGTGCAAGACGTCGATGTGAAAGCAGGGGATTCGAACATTGTTCTTTGCAAAGCTGTCAAAGTCCAAGCCCTTGCATGGCGACAAGTTGTTCCGTGCCGCCGTCAGCCCCCCGGATTTCCCGATTCTGGGGGCCAAGGATTAATGGCACCTCTGACAGACGCATGTTTCAACCGCCCTTATCTGTTTGACTCAGACCATCCGTTGAAGAGGACATCTGCCGGCAGCATCGCGCTGTCATACTGGCAACACAGCACAGCACAGCATGCGGCAGCGCCGGATCACGATCACAGGATTCCTATCCGCTGCAAGGTACCAGTGCCGCTCGGGGTTGCAGGAACCGAGTGTAACGCGGACCCTGGCCGCCTGCACCACGTCCCCTGTCATAACCTTGCCTTCGAAGCACAGGCCTTACTGATAGCCTGCGGGACATTGTGCCCTGTTACACAGCAGAACTTGTAATTGCTGCAGAGCTTTACCTTAGTCTTGGCCTTCTGAGTGCACCAGACGCTGGCGAGTTCTACCTAGTTAAGACGATTCCTCCGTCTGGCCCCAACCAGCTTCAAGAAGCATGCGCCGACGCCAGTATGAATATAGCCACTGGATACGTGACGTGCTTGTTCAGGGACAGCGCTCTTGGGGTGCTGGCAAGCGACATGGATACTAATACCGGCAACGGACGGAACAAGCCAGCTCACTAACTTCTGTCATGCTTGGTCTCGATTCCACATATCGTCAGGACAAACGAGATCGTAGTTGGGTGGTGGGCCCTGCTTTCAGTACACGCTGATTGTCACCATAGTAGCGCAAAGCGTCATTCAGACCCTTTGAGGGCTACCCCCGTTGCTGCATAAGATGAATCCTCCGTACAACGGATTGGAAATCCTCGAGATCCCTGTCAGACCTGCCGGCGTGCGTATGCCCGTACGTGCGAACATCACTGATCAACATAGCGGGGGAAAAAGTTGGAACAAGCGTCAAAGGGCAGCATAGCAGGGGTAGCGCTGATCATGATGCAGATTGGGAGCGGTCTTTTGGCAAACAGAACCGTGGTTTGGAGTCTTCCTTGATGCACCGCCCAGCATAATAGGGCAATCCCAAGAAAATCTCAATATCTGGTCCTCAGCATCTTTCCCGGTGCTAACCAGCATTTACGTCCGTGTACCCCGCCATGTCCATCATAAAACTCGTTCCGTCGTGGCCCTCACAGCTATGTACAAATCAGTCGTGCCATTCGGCCATAGGCCGAGGACGGGATGCAAAAGATGCAGGTTGCTCTATTCTGCCATCTGTAGTCGTGCTGCGAATCAGACTCGTCCTGGGACAGAAGTCGCTCTATCAGAGCATGCCGCCCCAACGCCCGCAAGCAATGGTTTCATAAAGCTTTTCGCCGTGCAAATGCAAGGCTATGAAGAGAAATGGCCGCCCATTGGTCCATGCCGGACCATTTTGGTATTCCGTCGCTGAAAAAGTAGTGCTTTTGAATAAACACCAAGCCTCGTGTGAAATCTGGGTTGAAAATGCGTCGCTGAATGGAAGAGAGTCGTCAATTTGATTACAGTGGCTGGCTGTCTAGGCCGCCAGCGCAGGGGTGCGTTTCGTGTCGTAGTAGGTGTTGTTCATGGCTTCGTGAAGGGGGAGTTTTTCATCGATCTTCTCGTCGAAGTATTCGTATTGGGATCGTGGCTGCAACTGCGGCTGCTTGATCATGCGGTCCTTGTCATCAGCATCTGCACCAGCGCGGCTGCCCCAAGTGGTCTAAGGGCAAATTAGTCAGGACTGCAGACGACGAAGAGTATGGATGGACTTACCTCGCTCAAGGTGGCAAGCGCATACATCTTGATGGCGCCGTGAATCCAACCAAACAAGATGGAAACAGGCCACAACAAGACATCTACCGGGTACCGAACAAAGTGAGTGATCAGCTTGATGAACTTTGAAAAGGTCATCCAGGCAAGCAAGAACCAGAACATGTTCTGAGAGGATTCAATTGACCAGTCGGCCGTACCAAGCCAAAGCAGCCACCACAGGAGGGCATCGCCAAGGAGGGCGGGAGGGGAGAGCGTGGTAAGCTGAACTGCGTAGGTGCTCCAAGGCTGCTGACTAAGATGGGGGTCAGTCAGGATTCAAATAGCTTGAGCGGACGTAAGGGGAAACTCACGTCCAGATGTTACGTTCAGCAAACAAGCTGGTAAGGTTGCTTCTCCAATTGCTGCGCGCCCAACGCAGACACTGCTTCAGGAATTTGGAGTCGTTCTCAAGGGTAGTCTTGACCTCGCATTCTGGATGATACTGCATGCGGACTTCATGCTTGTGGTTGACGAGCCAGCGAGTGATGAAGTTGTCATCATCGGCATTCAGTTGATACTGACCAAACCACCATTTCTCGTTGGTGAAACCGTTGGTAAAGTTGATATCCTGCAGGATGCTTGCTCGGTAAGCACAGGTACGACCGGAGATACAAGCCATGCCGCCGTCCATGCGAGAGGTAGCGGCACAGTCGAAATTGCGGCGTTCTAGGTACAGAGCACCGAGGAAGCCATAGATACGCTGGCTGAAGGTAGGTTTCTCGGCTCGACGCAGTCTCTGACAGGTGACCACGCCACCATAGATCTTGTGCTCAAAAGGAGCGAGGATCCACAACAGCAACTTCTGAGGCCAGTCGACATCGTCGTCGGCAAAGACAATAATTTCAGTGCGGACTTCGGGAATGGCACGGGCCATTTGGCGTCTCTTGTTGGCCTGCTTGATTGACATGCACCTCAGCCGGCCCTGCTGCCCCGCAGGCATCTTGGCTACCGTCTTCTGAGCCTTGACGAGATTATCATCCACCGTGACCAGGATCAGTTCGTATGGCTCGTTGAGCATGATAGACTTGATTGTGCGCTCCAGCTCCTCGCCCTGGCCCTCCAGGGTGGGAAGAATGACCGTGACATCTTTGTTGGTCAAGGTGGGGTTCTCGGGAATGGGGATCGACTTGAAAGTCCAGAAAGCCACCAAGTTGATGACCAGGCGGACGTATCGATAAGCGCTAACAGGTGGTTAGTCTGAGAGGTAGTGATAACGGTGAGGGAAGCAAGTGACTTACAAGTAGGCGAGGAAGACAACAAACCAGTAGTAGGGATCCATGTCGAAAGACCAAAGGCTGAAGCCCTTGTTGCCAGTTGCGGGAGAGAGGATCATGCGAGCATGTGACGAGAGGTTGAAACGACCGTGAGTGTGGTATCGAGGAAACCACTTGTTGATAAGTCACACGACGAGATCGATGGAAGAAAGTAGCGAGAGACGGTGGGAGGACAGAGGCAGGCGAGGAAATTAAAAAGATTACCAGGTGTTGGCTCAGAGGTCGGGAGTGAAGTGTCGAGGGTTCGTTAGTGGAAGGTGAGGTGACGCTGCAGGAAGTGTGCGTGCGTACGATGGTGCAGGTTGGACAAGGTAGGCGGCATGAACACCCCAGAATTGAGCAGGGTTGTTTTAAAACGAGCGTCAATCCATTAGCCGCACGAGTTCAAGGCAGGCCAGCAGCAGACAAGCAGGTGGGCGGGGCAGGTGATTGGAGGGAGGGGCAGTATCAGAAAGAGAGTGAGTGGTGAGAGAAGGCAGAGTGCAGGACGAGTGAATTGAGCCAAACCGGGGACCGAGGTGGACACTGGACACTGGGGCGTTCTGAAAGAAGCGCTTCGCATAAAAAAGTAGCATTTGAGGGAGACATTGAGTGTTTTGCAGCCGCCAGTGGCCAGTGACCTGCAGCCATGCACTGGTGGACGATGAAAGGAACCGCCGTGGAGGAGTAATGCAGAGGTGGAGGGACGGAGAGCGAAGGACAAGACTTTGGGCGCGCCGCTGGATGCTCGTGCTAGAACGGGCCTAAGGTCTGCACGCTGGTTTTAGCGAGTGTTTGGCGGCCAGCCATGGGCCCATGTCAGCAATCATGCCAGTCAACCATGGAGACCAGTGTGAAGCTCCAGGCGAGGGAGCCTCGCCCGAATCGGCCATGGCACGGCGGTCCACTTCAGATCCCTACTGTCTTGAGCGTTACGCTTTTCGCGTTGCCTGTTCGCCTGTCACTTGTCCGATGGCCACCTCGCAGGATAAACAATGATTCAAGTTGATTTTTCACATCTCACGCGCGTCTGCAGCGTCACCTCTCTCCACCGAACGAGCCCTGTCGAAGAGTGGGTTGAGACAACGCTATGGAGTAGCAAACAAGAGGCATGTGCTCGTCTGTTCAAGCGTGTCGGAGAAGACCTCGTTATCGAAGCCACCACAGCAGGAAGAGCATGGCGCCTACACAAAGGTACACACACACACACTTTCAGACAAACAAACTATGTCCGACAAGCTCCAGGCCTGACGCCAAACGCCCAGCGCACGCCAGACAGCCCAGGCCAAACTTCCCCTCGATTCGCCCGCTGATGGCCAGCTAGTTTGCCATCGTACCCCACTAACTCGAGTAATGCCCCAGAGCATCTGCATCTGCGCCTTTTGCCTCGATCATTGATTCATCTATCGCGGTGCAGCTAAGTGATTATCCTCCCACACTCCCACACCCTTTCAGCCTCCGAACCACTTCAAGGCTCCTACCGATCGCTACGAAAAGCAAAAGTGCGTATTGGATACACCCTGGTCGCGATCGGCCCCCTGACAGCTCAGCATCGTACTTGGTTAACGCGCACGACCGACGCTCCAGGGTCCAGCCACTACCAACATCGCCAATAATGGCCATCAAGGTCCACCCCGCAGGATGGCGCAATGATTGTAGCGTGATGCAACTCAGCACGGCTTTACCCGCAGGTTTATCAGAAACTATCGATTTCTTCACGGCTCGCTCCTCTTCACGCACGGAGCATTCTTCTACTGTGCCGCTTCTTGTCACGCAATAGTCTCACCAGCAATAAGCCTCAAGAGATGCACAAATCGATCTATGAGCACATCTAAGGCATTTGCCACTTTCGCGTGCTCGACGGTTGAATCTTCAAGACAGGAAGCCTCGCAGGTCTGAGGGCACAAGCTTTGGCAGCTACCTGGGCTAGCTTATCGTCAGCCAGTGGCCTGTGTTGAGCTACTCTTTTCGTGCACCCGCTCCGTTCTCGCTTCTCTTACGATTCTTTCGCTTGACACCGCGATAGACGGAGCTTGAGCGCCAACTCCAACATGTCTGTCAAGTGCGACTTTGTGCGGCTGTTTGGGTCCCCCTTTGGCACGGCCTATCCGCGCCTCAAGGATCCCACAAAAGCAAAGTGTCGGGCATTTTAGTTTCAGTTCTTTGCTGAGCTGCGGTGTTGAGATTGTGACTCGAATCTGCACTGAACCATGTGCTAGAGATGACCATCATCGATGGCACGAGACACATCCATAAGCTCTTGACTGCGGCGCCTGATCGTACTCTGGTCCACCATACAGTGCTGGACAAGCACATGACGATCGTGTTCCATGATCATCACGATCAGCTGTCATATGCTAGGCTACCCCAACAGTTCTGGCTTCGCCGCACGAGAGGCGCTTGCCGCAGGCACGACCTCGGCCGCCCCCCCACCCCGGTTAGTGGTTGGAGAGGAACACCCTGGTTGTGGCTGCTTTAGTGGCCTTGGTTACAGTGGTGTGTCCTTGGGATAAATTTTAGGCACGACCCCACATTGTTCGCGATGGCCGGTGCGCCGTGGTCTGTCTGAGCAATTGTTTTGCGCTGCACCGGCAGCGCCGCTTATCTCACGAAAGGCGGGCGTCTGTCTCAGCTTACCGCGCCCCGGTCTCATGCAGAGAAATCAACAGGAATTCGCACCAACGACAGTGCAAGCATATCGAACCGCTGGACGAGCCGCAGCACAAAATCCTGCTCACACAAGCTACCTGGCAAAAAGATCAAAACAGCCGGCATGCAGCCGGAGGTGCTTGTGCCGAAGAAACAATCGAGTTCTGCAAGTCTGCGGTGGCATGGCCCGGCCACCAGGACGAATCGCGAGTCATCTCTGATGACCTGTCTTGAAGTGAATAGCCTTTTCGACTACGTAAAATGATCCAGCAGATTCGGGGGTTCCAATGTGGCCAACCAACGCTTGTGGTGCGCCAAATCTTGAGATCTAAGATTTTTGCGAACCTTTGCGCTTGTTTGACGTGGACATGCACGCGAACACGAAACCCACCTGGTGCTTGAGGCCGAGGGCTGACCTGGGGGATCTGCTGATCCAGGACGCATGCACAGGCTCCAGTGTCTTCCGTGCTCCTACTACAGAACTATTTCCAATTCCGGCCAGGCACACTCACTGCAGCTCATGCGTTCGTAGCAGACCTAACTGGATAATCCATCCTCCGCCAGCGTGCAGCAGGTACAGCGTGTACTCCGTGCTAGGGACTGCACGATGTACCTGCGCGCCAGCGCCAGTCCTTGCTACCCCGTTATCGCTCGCTCGCTCCGCTAGACGCCTGCTTTGCATGAACCCTGCCTTTATCAGAGAGTTGCTTATAGGAGTTATCCACCGGCACATTTCCGCCGAGACCGCGCCCGGCTCGAGCACGGAAATACTGCTGCAAAAAACAGTAGTCGGCTTCCTCATAGCCGTCACCCTTTCGTCCATAGCCGTCTAGCGAGCACCAAGAACTGCCGACAGCTTCAGATTGGCCCTCAGTTTGAAGAGTGATGTCGAAATATGCAGCACTCTGACGTGTAGCACGACAGCGCACTCGCAGATAGCGTCTCGTCCGGAATGCAGGACTTGCGTCCCCGTCCATGCCCGGACTGTCCTGGTGCATGTTCGTGCAGCAGTCCAATTAATTGGATAGCCAGATTGCTACTGCTTGCGCGCAGGATGGCAACTTGTGCTATCATGTCTCGATCGAGCAAGCCAAGCCGGATTCCATACCGAGGGCGATCGATGGGCAAAAGGCAGGGCAAGGCACGCTTCAAGTGGTAAGTCTCGGCTGACGTAAAGTCCTCTTCCCATCAAACAGGGCCGATTCTCGCAAATATTGGCCTTGGCCAGCAATGCATGGGCGGGCTGCAGTACATCCCCGACGATAGTTCAGAGACCGGCGATATCACCAACAACAAAGTGTGTCGTGCGACCAGCCCCCTGATCGCGTCGGAGAAATCTGATGATCTGCATATCCGCTGTATGTCATTGAAGCCTCGTCTCTTTCATGCGAGTCACACCGCCTGTTCGTGCTCACCGCAAAGACCATTCCCGCGCGGTTCGGACCGTCCAGCCTACGCTGATCGGCTCCGAGAATATCTGGGGAACACAGAACTGCCTCGACGTTGTCGATAACCTTGTTTAGACGTCCCTACGTCGCCGGCGTTGTTTCATCGAACGCGTCGCAAAACGAGGCAAGATTCCGCCTGGTGGCCCAGCCTGTTGACTTTTGAAACCCACGTCGGCCACCTAAGGTGCCACCTATGCTGTGCAACCACACACGCCATGCAGATCGTATACGCAGCTGCTGTGCTATTCATCGCGCTTCATCCGTCAATCATTGCGCCTCTGGCCTGTTCCAACCTTGTGCTGCGCCTTCTGGACCTGAACTGGTGGTAGCGTCGTTGTTCCTTGGACCCGTTTGGGGTAGCCCCCACGTGCAAGTGGTCACATGGCCAGAACCGCCGCGATTTTGAGGGAAATCACGATGCTGGTCCCCCATTAGCAGATCTCTCTTGAGCCTCTCCCAATCCTCCTGCACATGCGCATCATTCAAACCTCTCACTCCCGAGATCTTGGTTGCACCGAGAACAGGGCGGCAACGGAATACGTTGCGCACCTTTCCTCCCGCGTACAACGCAGCGAGCTGATCTGCAGACAAGCGCTATATTCACCCCCATCGACCCAGTGAATATGCCTACCTCGCCATCAACGGAGCACCCAAGCCTCCCGTGACGTGCGCTGTCTCCGCTAGCCCTTGGCCTCAATTCGCCGCTCAAAGGGTCTTTGCTTCAGGCCTCTGGTTGGATGCTACAGCACAGTTGCCACTATCTGAGCGAGCTAAGCTCAGAATTCTCATCATGCCTACGCCGCACGCGGTAATCACCGATGCTACGTCGCTGCGAGCGATTGCCGTTCCTCTCCGAGTCAAGAGACTGGCTCAACCAGAATGGCTAAGAGAGTAAAACTTCCCAATACCACGCCAGCTCGCAAGGCGCACAGAGCCTCCTTCATCAGGGAAGCCCTCTCCCGACTGTAGCCGCTCCTCGCATGCGTTGGGCATGAATCGTGTAATGTAGGCTTCCTCTCCCCACATTGTGGTACCATTCTTCGCCATTACTGGAGACGAGGCCCCTAGCGTGGAAGCCTTGGGATCTAGCTACCGGTTTTCTGGATCCCATAGGCCAGCCGAACGAGGGGTTTCCCCCTGCTGGACCAGGGCCTTGGCTGCGGTGCGTGCCAGCGAACGGTTTCTGACGACCACACAGGCAAAGCAGAGGCGGATGCCCAAGTCACGAACAGCTTGGGCGTACTTTGTCCTAGTACTCCGAGTCTAAATTAGCCTCCTGTCACTGCGAGACTATGGACCACCCTGCTCCGAAACGAGTCTTGTGCCCATGCCGTTAGCTGCAGCGAGCTCCCCGGAAGCACACGTCGGATCATCCTGCAGGACCTATGCCCCCGATCTCTCCAATGGGCCAACATGCCTTCCTTCGGCTATCTTAACCAGAGTCGACCAAACGTAGCCGTTGCTAGCATAGGTGTTTAGCCCTGTCGTCGTACAGGAAGACGTATAAAGCGGGTCTACCCGTACTTGTGCAGCATGCTCTCCTCTCGAAATCGTGGCAACTATTCTCTATCTGTGCTGCTGAAACATCACTCATCAGTTCAAAGTTCACCTTGCTAGGCTTCAACTGCAGAAGTCTCGTCGTCGCCGTCCAAATCGCCGATTCGATATCACACTACACGTGCAGCAACTGACGACCTTTCCCCAGCAACGCGCTGTCCATTGACCGATTCCTCTGTCGTCGATCGCATCACATCACGGTATTCACGACACATATATTCCATGTGGTCAACGTAAGTTTGAACAAGAGGTGGCATCAAGACACAAGCACTGCGCTCTATAAAACCGACAAATCGTGCCTACCCCAACGTCCTCTCTCTCTCTCTCTCTCTCTCTCTCTCTCTCTGTCTCTCTCTCTCTCTCTGGTCCCGATCTCGCTAGTGCTCTGAATGGTGTAAGACACACACACACACTGGAGTGCTCCATCCTGTCATGGGCAACTATGCTCGCATAGCATCAACTCACCCCCGAGCTCTCATCAGCCAGGCACCCCGAGGCGCAAATATTGGAACCTCATTCGAACGAGAACGCCACACCGAAGAAAAGCAACACACCATGCTTCGCAAGATCCCTCAAAAGATGATAAAATCGGCTCGTGAACGTTTTCACATCACAATACTTTTCCCAAGCATGGCGTATGGCCGGCCCCAGCACGCGGAACGCGCGGAGACGGCGGACGGACAGGACCAAACCTTGTCTCGACTGCGACTTGATCACCAGGTACTTTGGTCGGCTTTCACAGCACAGCACAGCACAGCACAGCACAGCACAACTAAGAATCTGGCCTTGTGACTGTCATTGCATACCTCACTCAATACATTCACGACCGGTATTGCCACTGGTTCTCCATCAAACGAATGTCCACTTCCACGCCTCCCGACAACCCCACCGCAACGTGCAGGTCGCCCTCGCCTTCCAGGCCCTGCACACCCTCAAAGACGTGTTCCTGATCGCGCTCCTCGTCCACGTCCCAACTCCCCTCCTCTCTCCCGTTGCGCACGAAAAAGCAGCGCGTCTTCACCGTGACGTCCGTCTTGGCCTCGGTGCCGAAGCGCACGCCCAACCCGACGACGTCGCCCACCCCAAAAGGCCGCACAAAATCCACGCCGCCGAAGCTGTCGTTGATGTAGCGGCGGCCGTCGTCGCTGTGCACGCCGATGGAGGCGCGGTGCCAGCCGGGGAGGCGCCAGGGCGGGTAGGGCATGCCCGCGAATCCGATGGCGACGATCGAGTTGGCGTCGTGGATCCGTTTGATCTCCGCTTCGTAGTAGATGGTCTTGACTTGCTCCGTGTGCAGCGGGTTGGCGGCGGCGGCGAAGTAGATGGGCAGGGTGGAGAGCAGGATCGTGTCGGGCTGAGAGGGCTTGGTCTTGGCTGAATATGTCCCCGGGGCGGTGCGGGTCAGGCTGGATGATTTGGACAGGTTGGGGGGCCGGTCGAGGGTGAGGTTGCCGCTGTTGGCGGCGTCGATGAGGGGTTGTGAGGGCGCGCATGGGGCGTAGGGTGGGTAGCGTTCTGGGGCTAGATGTTAGGACTTCGCATGCGATGTTGGTTGTGTTGGGCAGAATGATTGAGGAATGGTGCCTGAGGCCAGGGGTCTGGCAAGAGAAGACACCAGCCACTGCAGGCGCCGTTGGCGAAGCCCGAAGGTCCAAGCGCCGTGGTCACAAGGCTGAGAAAGGATAGGGGCTACTCACCACACCATTGATGCGCTGCCTCGGCGGATTCAAGGGATGCATTGTTAGCTGGGGAGAACTCGGCAAAGAATGCGGGCGGTGGAGGCAGTTGAGAGTTGTCGGGAACAGATGTCCAGTCATGGTAAGGGGGTGGTTCGGGGTTCGTGAGGGTAGGGGGCGGCCCAGGAGGCGCTTGGTAAGTTTCTTTGCTGGGGGGAGGGCCTGCTGGAGGGGCGTAGGTTGAGCTGGAGGACTGCTGGGATTGTGAGGCCTGTGAGCGGGACGAGGAGGAGATACCGAACAAACGCCGCTTGTCGTTGGCAGTCGAAAGGTCATCGTGGGTGCTCGAGTTGTACTTGGTGTTATTGCTTGCCGACGTCTGGTATTCAGAATTCGTGCCTACGTCGACCTTACCTTTTAATGACTTGAAAAAGCCCATGATTGCGATAGCCACAGATTTCCAGCCTGAAGTGCAGAATAACTGGCTCTGATACGGCCTCCTGACTTATGGCTGAACAATACTCAATCTCTCGAGATGGACTGCAGCGAAGGTCTTGCCACAAAGTACTGATTGGGCGTAAATGCCTTTCTAGGTCTTCCGATTCCCTGAGACACTCTGAATTCGAAGCAGGCCTCGATGCCGAGCACTCAATCCGAGAAACTGCAAACTTCTTCAACGGGCAAGGACGAGTGTAATCGTGATTGGGCCAGGTCTGCGTCTGCTCTGACCACGTAGGTGTAGTCAAGACTTCCGCACCGGTGGTCAAAACCCAGGCCAAGTCGCCGGCACAGACCGTCTTCTGCGGAATTACTGGGCACGGTGATCTGCGACCGCACCGGTCTTCCAAACGATACAAACGGTGGAGTGATGCGTGGAAGAAAGAAAAATTCTTATCTGCAGCCAGCGAGTGCCCTAGTGTTCGTGATTCACGTCGCACACCCACTTATTCCACCCTGCTGCATGAGACGTCGTGAGTCAAGAGGTGGGGCGTGGAGTGCAAAGTTGCCCACGCCACTGCGAGTAAGGCAGGATCGCTGATATCTCGGGAGAAACAGACGCAAGGTCCTTCGAGGACGTTCCCTACGGACTTGGACGTGCTTACTGCAGGGCCAATGTCGTGAAACGCCCTTATGCACTTCGATGATCGCGAGGTGCTCGTGGAAAGTCGCTATGACAAGACGAGTCTCAGAACTGGCGTGGGTACCCTTGGCAGGAACAGTTGCTCTAATGAGGGGCTTTGTATGGCGGCGAATCAGTGTGGCAGCCGTCAGAAGCAGGTACGATAGAAAGTGTTGGAGGAGTTCCCGCAGGCGTTGTGTCAAAGATCTGGCTTTTTATGTAATAACAGAAGAGTGCAACACTGACACAGCACAATCACCTCGTCATGAAGAGGGTCAAGAGGGTAAAGAGGGAACACCGGGTGGCGCAGCCCGGAGTTTTGTTTCGCCGCACAAGGCTGAGAGAGTGATCCCCACGAGGCGCCATCTTGCTCTCTACTCGTCATCTCAAGTCACTTGCTCTTCTATCAACACCTGGGTTTTGGCTAAGTTTAACATCATTTCCATCGTCTTCGACTCCAGCTGCTACAAGGCTACACATACTGATTTGATGCCGTCACGACCTACCCATCTCTTTTACTATGCAACTTGCCAGTATCACGAGAGTATCGAGCACGACCGAGTCCGAATTAGTAATTCATCCTATATTTACTGAATTATCTTTGACGTAAGTGGCACATGGACCAAAGGTTCGTCAAGGTTCTTGTTATCTGCCACATGAAGAGTCTCTTTAGCAGGGATTGACGATGGCCACTTCACCATGAGGACTTCTTGAATCATTATCGAGTTGAGCGCTCGCCTTGCGTTTCCATCGCCAGGACAATGAGTGAATGTGGATCGCTCTGGAGCAGTCCCAGTTCCTTACCGGACGTCAGAGTTCACGCGCTCCCAATTCCGCATGCTCGTCTACACCTTCGTTGGTAGCTCAACGGTGTTGTTGGCGGACTTTTCCTGCTCGCTGGGAGGACTGATACCACCGCCCACTAGACGATCGAGGCCAAGTTCACGATTGATCTGCGCCATACGCTCTTGATCAGCAGCTGCGACGCCACTGCTGCCGAACACGATGTCCATCTCCTCGAGAGTCAGCTGCTTGGTCTCTGGTACGAAGAAGAAAATGAAGCCAGCACCCATGAAGATCAGGACGCCAAAAAGAATAAATGTTCCTGAAGAGGGTCAGTGGTTGTCTCTGGCATGGTAATTTGACTCACCGTAACGCATGCCGCTGATCATATCGGGCGTAACCTGACCGACGATGAAGTTGTTCATCCAATTGGACGATGCACCCAGGGCGATACCATAGGGACGAGCCGACAAAGGCCAAACCTCGGCAACAACAATCCAAGCACTGAGCACACGTCAGCACCTAGTCGATGTCCTAGAACAAGAGCACTTACCATGGTCCCCACGACCAACCAAAGTGTGCCACAAAGAGCCACACCATGACGATACAAGCCCAGCCCGCCGCCTTGTGAGTAGGCCACTGATGCTCATTCTTTGCGTAGATGATCGCGACGATGATATGGCAGAGCCCCATCCCTATCGCGCCCCAAATCAGGGCTGGCTTACGGCCGATGCGGTCGATGTACAGAATTGCGGGAATCTGAAGACTGTTAGAGACTTCTTGCAGGGACAAGGCAGAAGACTTACGGTGGCAAGCAGCATGACTACACCAACCACACCGGTAGCCAATAGAGAAGTCGTGTTCGAGCTCAACCCGAGCTCCTGGAAGATCTTTGCACAGCGTCAGCAAGTCTGTATCCCACCCGAGGCAATGCCACTTACAGTCGGTGCGTAATACAGGATAGCATTGATGCCGGTCCACTGCTGAAAGAACATGGTGACTGTCGCCACAATCACGCGCCTGAACATTGGCATCGTCTTAAACAACGAGGCAATGGCAACAAACTGGAGTTTGATTGTGTTGATCCAGGTCAGCTGTGACAAATGAGGGAAGTTGGCCTCAACCGTCCTCTTCTCAAAGATTGATTGCGCTTGGATTTCCAGGAACTCGAGTTCAACGAGCTCATGTTCGACCGGCATGGAACGCAGCTTGGCTAAGGTCTGTTTGGCCTCGTCGGGCCGTCCGTGGTGGACCAGCCATCTAGGTGTGAAAGGCATAAAGAACATGCCGACGGCGAGAATCAGCGCAGGCCCGAGCTGAAGTGCCAGTGGAACAAGCCACGCTGCATCTGATTGCCCGTCACCGGTGCCGCCAATATAATTGGTGCCGTAGTCGATCCAGAAAGAAACCATGATACCAAACTCGATTGCGAACTGTTGCAACCCGATCATAAGACCGCGAAGTTCAGGCGGTGAGCATTCGGCGACGTACCTGGCAACATTAGCATCATTCAGGATCATACTCAAACAGCGGCCTTACATTGGGACGATCATAGAGATACTCCCGACTCCCATACCGACGACAAATCGACCTCCAAGGATAGCCGAATGCCCAGCGCTCGTGGCAGTGCACTGGACAATGACACCGAGGATGAAGATCATGGTGTTGACAATGATGGCGTATTTTCGCGAAAGGATCTCGGCGAGGAAGCCAGAGTACATCGTGCCGAACCAGGCGCCCAGCTCCAAAATTGACGTGAGCCAGCCCCTCTTGGTTGTGTTTGTGATGTACGAGCCCATGTGGTTCCCGAATGCATTCATTGTCAAAACACCTGAGAAGACACCCTGATTGTATCCGTACAGCAGGCCACCAATGCAGGCGAAGCAGGCGACGCCGAACACTCGCAAGTTTCTGAACAGGGCTGCGGGTCCGGTGCCTCCTGCGAGCTCCAAACGGTGCTGAAGAGCAGCATCGCTGAACTGGGACGGCTTGCCGGTAGGTGCCATGACTGTCGGGACTGTAAGGTTCAGCTGGGCTGGCAAGAGTTAGGTGACAACGATGTTCACGGACCGGAGTCGAATGGCCATGGACCAGATATATGGATCAAGCAACTATCCGACGGCCTGAACCCCAGCAGCTGGTTGAAGGCGGCCGGTCGTGATCTCGGTTCAGGCTAATTCTCGTCGAACTGTTGGAGGGGCAGACAGCATTGCTTCCTCGACTCGTCAGCCCACATCCTCCATGTAGTGCGGTGGCTTAACGGTCCAACCAATTGAGAGCTCTCGGGTCTGTGGCGAGCACAAACGTGGCTGCTATAGGCATGGTCCTCATCGATCAGCGGAGATAGGTCAAGCTTCTGCAAGCATGGCCAAGGGTGCTTGGATCCTCTTGACATTTCAGTGGTGGGCAGTGGACCTCCGGGACCAGAAGGGGAGGGTTTGAAATTTGCCGTGCGAATCAACGGGTATAGAAGCTGCACCGAAGACGCAGAAGCCAATTTATCCAGGCTGGAAAGGTCAGGATCACTCCCGGAAGAGACAGAGGCCATCAGGGGCTGAGATGAACCCTGATCAGGGCCGACCCCGACGGTCACTTTCGCCTTTCCCCACAGTTGCGCCTCTCCACGATATGGCGACCGCGACTTTAGCCTATATTATTGCCTGCTATTCTCCCCGGCAAATCAGCTACCACGTATTGCCGTCCTTTCCATAATCGCTCACTCGGCGGCGCGTACCAGCTAGTCATGGCTACGCATGCATTCAGTGCAATGCGTCAACATCTCCGCATCCAAGAGTCACAGTCGCCGCGCTGTGAGGTCTTTGCCTGCCTCTTTCGGACACAAACTCTTCTCGACGAGCGGAGCTCGGTGGCCCAACTAAGCTTTGCGGCAGTCACCCTTCATGCAGGTCGTCGAGGAGCCTCTTTCATGACGGAAGATGACCAGGCACTGTCAAGCTCTACCAAGATGAGGAGAAACAGAGTCCTTGCCTCGATGCTGTCAAACGGGAGAATCCCGTACTCCGCATTGACGGTATAGATGATCGGCGGTAGGTACAAATATCGGCGAGTGCTACACGTTGTAGTGGCCAGAGATACCATTACCGGTCTCTCTGGCTCAATCGCACACCACGCTTGTCAAGATGGTCTTCACGAGGTCCGTCTCCTTCGCCGCAGCAGTAGCAGGCCTCTGTGCCGTGCCGACGCTGGCACAACAGTTCCCAGACTGTGCCAGTGGGCCATTGTCGAACAATACGGTTTGCAACACTTCAGCTTCAGTGGCCGACAGAGCTCGTGCACTGGTGAAGGAGCTGACAACCGCCGAGAAGTTCAATCTGACCGGAAGTTCCTCTCCTGGCGTGCCCAGGCTAGGTCTCTACTTCTACCAGTGGTGGCAAGAGGCACTCCATGGTGTTGCTGATTCGCCTGGAGTCAATTTCAGCGACACAGGAGACTTCTCCTATGCCACAAGTTTTCCACTGCCTATTCTCATGGGTGCGGCATTCGATGACCAGCTTATTCATGATGTTGCCACAGTCATCTCAACGGAGGCACGAGCATTCAACAATTTCAATCGCACAGGTCTTGATTTCTGGACTCCTAACATCAACCCTGTCCGTGATCCGCGTTGGGGAAGAGCCTTGGAAACCCCGGGAGAGGACACCTTCCACCTCAAGTCGTATGTCAACGCGTTAATCGCCGGGCTGCAGGGCAACCAGGACACCCTCAAGATCGTGGCCACATGCAAGCATTTCGTTGGGTATGATTTAGAGGATTGGCACGGTCACGATCGCTATGGCTTTGACGCCGAGATCACGATGCAGGACCTGAGCGAATACTACATGCAGCCATTCCAACAATGCGCCCGAGACTCCAAGGTCTCATCTATCATGTGCTCTTACAACGCCATGAACGGTGTTCCGACCTGTGCGGACCCGTATGTGTTGCAGACAATTCTTCGCGAGCATTGGGGTTGGGAGGCAGACGGCCACTACGTGACCTCAGATTGCGATGCTATCCAGAACATCTATATTCCTCATGAATATACCTCCACCCGTGAGGAGGCAGTGGCGGATGCTCTGATTGCTGGCACCGACCTGGACTGTGGCACCGTGTTCCCATCATTTCTGCCCAATGCTTTCGAGCAGGGTTTGTTTAACGAAACCGTCATCGACACTGCCCTCGTTCGCCTATACTCGGCACTTGTCCGCTTGGGCTACTTTGATCCAGAAGACTCGTCGCCCTACCGCAGCTACACGTTCGACGACGTTTCTACACCGGAAGCACAAGCGCTCGCTCTTCGTGCTGCCGAGTCTGGGATGACCCTTCTAAAAAACGATGGCACCCTCCCGTTAGACCTGTCCGGATCCAACAGCGGCAACATCACGGTGGCCATCGTCGGCAACTGGGCCAACGCCACGACCGAAATGCTAGGTAACTATGAAGGCATTCCTCCGTACATGCACTCGCCTCTCTACGCGCTCCAGCAGCTGCCCAACGTGAATGCACTCTACGCCGCGTTCTCCAATTTCCCCACGACGGGAAACTGGCCCGCTGGCCTCGCCGCCGCCCAGCAAGCGGACGTGATTATTTACGCTTCCGGGCTCACCACGGACGACGAAGAGGAAGACCATGACCGAGAGACGGTTAGCTGGGGTGCAGGTCAGATCGACGTTGGTCGCCAGCTCGCCGCCTTGGGCAAGCCAATGATCATTGCGCAGTTCGGCACCTCGCTCGACAACTCCGAGTGGCTGGCCAACGAGAATGTGTCGGCCATCATCTGGGGCGGCTACCCGGGCCAGGACGGTGGTCAAGCATTGATCAATATCATCACGGGGGTTACGGCCCCAGCGGGTCGTCTTCCTGTCACGGTGTATCCGTCTCACTATGTTAACGATGTGCCCATGACCGACATGGGCCTGCGTCCCAACGCCAGCAGCGGTAACCCGGGCCGCACCTACCGCTGGTACAACTCCCCCGTTCTTCCCTTCGGCTACGGGCTTCACTACACCAAGTTCTCCGCCTCCGTCTCCTCTCCCAACAGCACGACCTCTTCCCCCGCCGCCAGTAGTAGCAGCAGCAGCAACTCCAGCTCCACCGAGTCCCCCGCCCCAACCTACAACCTCTCCGCCCTCACCACCTCCTGCCCGGCCAACCAGCCCCTCGACCTCTGCCCCTTCCTAACCCTCCCCATCACCATCACCAACACCGGCAACGTGACTTCCGACTACGTCCTCCTCGCCTTCCTGACCGGTCAGTACGGCCCGCAGCCCTACCCGCTCAAGACCCTCGTGGCCTACGAGCGCCTCTTCAACGTCACCGCCGACTCTCCGCAAACGGCGTATCTGAATCTGACGCTGGGGAGTCTGGGCAGGTTTGACGAGCAGGGGAACCAGAAGGTCTATGCGGGGGATTATGCGCTCGTCGTGGATACAGATGCGCGGGCGGTGTGGAATTTTACTGTCACTGGGGGCCAGGGGCAGGATGACGCGGAGGTGATGTTGGATGAATGGCCGCAGATGCCGGTGGAGAGGGGGATGAAGAAGCACAAGAGGAGGGAGGTGTTGAAGGAGTTGTGAGTAGGGGGAATATGGAGGGCAAGAGACAGGCAGTGGGGAAAGAAGGCGTGAGATAGTGTTTTAATGCGGATGATGAAAGGTGCAATGTATGTAGATAGAACCTGTCTAGATAATAAAAGCACAGGTATAGTCATCGTGAGGATGTCTATGCGGTTGCGCCTCAGAGCGTGTCTATGGCCCTCCTCCCTCACCGACTCGTCTCGCAGTCAGCAACTTGCTCAGGCCGACACCTCACCACTGGATCAGTTCCGTGAAAGCCATGCCGCCGTCTCGCCCACCGTTAGAGACTTCTCCTACGAACTGCATGCTGAACTCGGCCCTTCCCCCTTCTTCATCCTCGTTGTATTGCAGATTCAAAGACTTGACACGTACCTCTTCCGGCACCTGTAGATCGTCATCGGCATCGGTGGCTGTTGTTGTCGCGGCGTTACCTGATGCGTCTTGAGTTGCCTTTGCGTTGGATTCTTCCAACATGATGAGGCGCTCTGCGATGCTGGCTGCAACAGCGGCGTCATAGATGCCTTCGCGTCGGTTGCAGTGCTTGAGGAGGTGGAGGGCGCGGTGGCGGGTGGCGCTGTGGCGACAGCGGGATGCGACGAGGTAGAGAGGCAGCACGCAGCCGATAGACATAGAGAAGGTGGGGAGAATGGTTGGTGTGGGCTGTTGAGGGCTCTGAACATGTCTCTGGTCTTGATGCACGGAGTTGGCTAGCGGTGTGCCGGAACTGCTGTCGTTGCTAGAATTCAGGGGCGAAGTGTGCGGTGAGGGTGGGTGATGGGAGACGCTGTATGATGCAGACCGGGCGATGAATCGTTCTGCGTCTGCGACAATGGATTGGAACAGGGGTAGGCAGAGGTCAAAATCCAGTTCCGCGTCCAGTATGTCGACTTCCAGGATGATGGCGATCGTGGTGCTTAACAGATTGACAGACAAGATGCTAGTTTCGCGGTCGACACAAGAGGTATCGGTAGACGGTAGTGCCATCAGGCGATCGAAAGCTCCGCGCCAGACCTGATATTCGCTGCGGTAGTATTGTTTTTCCTCGTAAAGAGGAGCCAAGGTTAACGGGGCCGTACCGTACGCTGTAGCGACGTGCTCGCATTTTCGCAAGAACCACTCAATACGGTTGAGTAACAGCTCCAAGTAACGCATGGCCTCATCCATGGAATGGAGCGTTTCAGGCATGGTGGCATCGGCGTCATTGTACAGCCAGAAACGCTCACCAAATTTGGGACCGCCGAGTTCGACGAGCTGGGAGTCCAAGCGGACAAAGATAGTCTGTAAGCTTTCGGTTGGAAGGATAGATGCTCGTTCTGGTCTTGTTATGCTTTTGTGGTCTTGGAAGACTCTGATGCCAGCGGCCAAATGACTTAAGCAGGAGTGGTAGAAGCACCTCAGGCTTTCCAAGCAGGCAAAGAGAATGCATGTTGCAAGGGCTACCTCAACAGCGTAGGGGTTTTGCGAGATGCGGAGGTCGACCACACCTTGGATGGCTTTTCCGTACTGACGCAGGGCATAGTCTGAGACTCGAGGTTTTCCGCAGAGGGCAAAATCTTCGTAGACACATCCCAGGGCGACTAGAGCATAACGGACGCTCGACTCATGTTCTGCGAGGAGCAACAGGCCTTCAGACCAGAAATGAGACGAGAATGGACCCCCGAGAGCGACGGCGGCCCGTTCCTTGAAGAAAGCCAGGGATCGTTGAGCAACAGGGTCGATATGGGACTGTGGAGACACCGATCTTATTGCTGGTACGGTCGACGAGTAGTTGACGAAGACGAGTTGATTTGGATCTCGCCGAGATTTGGGTAGCTCGTAATTGCATTGGCGGCCACCCTTGACACAGCGCCGACAGGCTGGCTTCTCTTCGTCACATTTGACACGCCTTGCTTCTGGAGGGGAAAGCATCAGTCGATGTCTGATTGGACTCGTAGAAAGAACTTACTGCATGTGGCACATCCAGATCTCACCTTCGATCCGCATATGCGAACCGGAACCGTGCTTGCCATGCTCAACGCGCTTAGGCAGGTACGAAGCACTCGGCGACTGTATAAAGCGGCCGCAAGCCACTGACACAGATGGAGCTGGCGGATGCTCACCCTTGGACGTAGTTGCTATACCCACGAGTGACAGATCCTGATTCTGTTGTTGACAGAATGACCAGAGCTTCGAATATGATGGAACTGAGACTTCCGTCGTCGACACGCCAGACGAGCCATTGTTGACTTCCTGCGACACCGTAAGGCGTTCAACGATCAAATCATCACCACTTCCCGGTGCTCGCTAGTACCGATCATGACCATCTCCTGCCGCGCAAGTCCCAGGACTGAAGGTCGATGGTCGTTAAAGAGGAAGCCTGCGCCAAACCCACATCAGCTAGTGTTATACGAGGAACGGGGCCAGGCAACCCCTGCAGTGCCGGTAGAGCATGAAGCTAGGCATTGTTGGGGCCCAAACTGGGTCCCGACTCCCATGCAGAATGGCAGAGCTGATAGACTAGAAACTCCCAAATTCCAGCTGTACGACAAAGCTTTTGGATCTGCCATATGTCTTGACAAGGGTCACTCTCCCTTGTTCAACCTTATCTATCCACCTCAGCCACCTCCAACATGGCTGAGCTTCAACCCAAGCTCTCGGTACGAGGTCGAGTCGAAGCCTGGAGCCTGGCACAAGATTGGTCTCGTTCGAAACTGGACACGACGATGCCACACTTGTCTGGGACGTAGCAGCTGGCCAACCTACCCCTACGGCCATCGTACCTACTAACGCTTCTGGCTGTGTCTATTTCGGGCCACTGATGTTCTATAGAACGCGGAGTACGATTTATAAGACTGTCTGCGAGCTCACCAGCTCACCATGTCCATACTGAGCAGTCGTCCTCGACCACAGAAGGCGCCAGGAAGACCTCCGAATCCCACAGACCTGTTCCGTCAACACGATGGCAAGATTCCAGTGCTATCCCGTCGACGACCCGAATTCACTATGGCTCTTCTGCCCTTCATACAACGCGGCAATCGCATTTTCCGTACTGTTCGGCCTGACTATCCTGGCTCACATCTTCCAAGCCTGTCTGCACCGCAAACCATTCCTCATCGTTCTGATCATGGGGAATCTATGGGAAGTCGGCGGCTACATCGCCCGCACGTTCTCCGTCACGGAGCAGAAGAACGTGACATACTACACCTTCCAGCAGCTCCTCATCATCCTCGCCCCGCTCTGGATCAACGCATTCTGCTACATGTGCCTGGGACGTATGATACACTGCTTTATGTCTCCCAAAGAGGACAAGGTCTTCGGCTTGCGCGCGCGCCACCTTGGAACCATGTTCGTGCTTGCTGATATCTTCGCCTTCATCGTACAGCTCTCCGGCGCCATGCTGCTCGGACCCGACATGTCCGCCTCCCTGCAGAAGACCGGCCTGAATGTCTACATGGGCGGCGTCGGGATGCAACTTTTCTTCATCTTTGTCTTCCTGAGCATCGCCGTCAAATTCCAGCTCATGCTCCGCCATCACGGCGCCTACTACACCACTCTTGGCAGCAGCAGCAGTAGCAACAGCAACAACAACGATCTCTCAGCCGCTGAACTGGCTCACAACACCACCTACGACCCCAACCGCACGTCCTCTCTAGACCCCAACATCCTCCACCACCAAACCTCCCAAGCCCCCACCCGCGCCCTACCACTGCTCTACGCCCTCTACGCAGCCCTGACCCTCATCGTCTTCCGCAACCTCTACCGCCTCATCGAATTCTCCGCCGGCGTCGAATCCTCCATCACCAAGAACGAGTGGTACACCTTCGTCTTCGACTCGACGCCCATGCTGCTCGCGTTGTTGCTCTTCAATGTGTTTCACCCGGGTAGGTTCCTCAAGGGCCCCCGAGCGGACTTTGAGATGGAAAAGGAGGAGAGGAGAACGGAGAAGAGGGCGAGGAAGGAGGCGAAGAGGGAGGCGAAGATGGCCGTGGAGGGGAAAGGAGGAAAGGGCAGGGGGGTGGCATGAGGAGATGGTGGGTTTCTGCTGCATGAGATCCGCCCTGCGTTGTTTTGTCGCACGCGCATACACTGGCGTTTTGTTCTGGAACAGCTGTGGCTGACAACGAAGTCTCTAGGGCAAGTAAGTACTTGCGCGCGAAGCCACAAGGGCGGTTTTGAGATCAGACAGCCACACAATTCTGTGTGCCTATGTTCAGCGTCTTCCAACTGGGAGTAGTCAGTCGCTGGGTAGATAGATCAGAAGCCAGTGGAAACATCTGCACTGCACTGCGGTGCGATTTCTTCCACGCATCATGCCACCGTCAAGTGTTCCCCTCTCGAACTTCCTGCGCCAGGCTCGCGGACCAAAACTTCCGTGTCTTTCTCCAATCCAGCCGGACGAGCAGGCCAGCAGCTAGCAGGGCATCAGTAGCGCAAGAGCAGGATTCCAGGAAACCACGGACGATAGATAGAGCCCACACCACATTCGTCTGGCGACAAACCCCTGACTTGTGTGTAGCATTCACCGGTGTCAACATTACATTCGAAAAGCAGCTACCTAATCTATCTAATCCACTTTTCGTTCGGCGCCAGCTATATGGGCGACTCCGTCGGGGCACAGCAGCAGCAGGGGGGGTATCAACAAAGCCAATGAAGAAGGGGAAAGGTATACCAACGGCCATCTCGCACTTGTGCACATACGCCGTGCAGCCGCCATAGTCCTCTCCCCCCCCTTGTATGTACGTTTTGTCAGAGCAGACAAAGCTAGCTCCGAGTCTTTGGGCCCTCACCGGCTCAATTCAAGTCTGAGCCTAAGCCTTGCCCTCACCATTCACCACCGCCGCATCAGCGCCAGCAACAGCGCCAGCCTTCGCCTCGACCGCCTTATCGAACAGATCGTCAGCAGCCGCAACAGGGTCGTCACCGCCGCCGACTGCTGTCACCTGCACGGGCTTCTCGATGGCGCTGTGGCCGTGCAGTGCGGTGGACTCGCTCGCGTCGCCGTCCGGGAGTGGGATGGCGAAGGCGGACTCGCCCTTCACTGGTGGTGGAGGGCGCTCGATGCCGGGTCCGGCCAGGGTGGCGGGGTCCTTGACGTCGCCGTTTGCCGCAGAGGAGGAGGTGGCGCTGGCGGCGACTGCGGTGGGGGCTGCGACGGGGGCGACGGCGGCGGCGGGTTCCTCTTTCTTGACGCCGTTGACTTGCTGCTGCTCGTTGGAGGTCTTTTGGTCGTTGACGGGGCCCTTCTCTGCGGCGCCGTTGACGCCGTTGACCTCCTTCTTGGCATCCTTATCCTCCGCCTTTTTCGCCGCTGGCTGGGGTGTCTGGCTGGCAGTGCCACCCTGTCTCTTGTCTAAGAGGAAGCTTGTGCGTCTCTTACTACTCAACAGTCCCAAGAACGCTTTCACCGCACCTCGCGTGCCTGCCAGCACCTTCGGCGGCTTCCTTCCGCTTTGCATGTCCTGGCTGATCTTGTCGTAAACGGTCGGCAATCCTTGGCTGTTGTACTTGTTGCGGACGAGGTCATAGGGTTCGCGGTTGTAGATCTCCCAGAACTCTTCTTCCGTGTAGTAGGCGTGCGCATACAAGATCTTGACGCCGCAGAACTCGTGCCACAGCTTTTGCTCAATCTCGCGGTTGAGCTTGACAAACTGATCAAAGTCATTGGTACCTTTGCCGTAGACGCCTACATTGTAGATGCGGTCTTCCTGCATGATGCGACGTTTTTCCTCATCGCCGCTCGGCGCGCGGAACTTGTTCATCACGTGTAGGTCCTTGCCGTTCTTGGCCGGGCAGAGCCAGAACTGGTAGTTGGGTAGGATGGAGTTGATGTAGTCCACAAAGGGACCGGCTTTGGAGCGGGGCATGTCAAAGTCTTGGACAACGTACTTGCTGGCGAAGCCACCTTCGTGCAGCGCGTGATAGGCGACGCGAGAACCCATCAAGGGGTCCAAAGCCCATCTGGTGACGCGGTTGAAGGGAACGTGGAAGTAGTCAAAGGCAAGCTTGGCGCCCCAGAACACGCCGCGATCGTACCGGAAGAAGTATTGGTCGACGGGCAGTGCAATGGGCTTGGGGTCGGCGCTTTTGTTGGAGCCGACTTTCTCGATGTAGTTGCTGAACCATGGTTCGTTGCGATTGACGAACGAGTGAATCTCGGCACCTTCTGGCTTGTCGGTCAGCTTGCCGAACATGACGACGCCGTAATCTTTGTTGAAAAGCATGCCATCAATGAAATCGTTGCTAGGATCCGCGATAGCAGCCTCGATCTTGTCCATGGCATCGTTGATGCCGTTGGCGCGCTTGAGCTCGAGCTGGACATATTTCTTGGCTGGCACCAGCTTGACCTCGAGAAGGGTGATGATGCCCAAGGTGCCCATGCTACTGCCTGCCCATTCAAAGAGGTCGGAATTAGACGATGCATTGGCGGTGACAATAGAGCCATCGCCGACGATGATCTCGATCTCGCAGACTGTTTCTTCAAAGAGGCCGTGCTTGTAAGAGCTGCTTTCGCCGGCAGTTCCGGAGAAGGCACCGCCGGCGGTGATGCCCATCAGTTCAGGGACAACCTGAGGAAGGAAGCCTTGCTTCTGAGTAACCGCAACTAGCTCGTCCATCGCAACCTTTGGCTCCACCTTGATGGTCATCTTCTCCTTGTCGACAGGGAAAGTACGGTTGAGCTTCTGAGTGTCGATAAAGGTGCCGGCCTTGAAGGCCATGGGCCGGGTGCTGCCGGTTGTGCCATGGTAGATTCGGAAGGGCTTCTGGTTCTTGTGGAATTCCTTTACTTTGACTGCGATTTCAGCGACGTCTTTGTCGTGCTGACTCTGAAGGTCCGACATGATGTGATATTGATACTAAGACACAGGTTCCAGGATGTTCAAGATGGCTCGCTAGATCTACTCCAGCAGAACTGTATGCGGAAAAGACTGGCGTGGGGAGCCGCGAAATGGTGACGATCTGTCGGAGTAGAAGATGAGATATCGACGATGTTCGATGGCCGTTGTTGTAATGAGGCCGATTAGGCCGGAGCTCTGCCTGAAACCAAGCCTCTGGCTGACGCGTTGGGAGATTGGCTACAGATGAGGCGAGTGACAAGGCTGTGACATCGACCGATGCACGATGCACCACGTGATTTGAGCCTCGACAGGGGGGCTCGGTACGAAGCGGGCAGTATTCCAAGCACGCACTGAAAAGCCCCTTGAGTCTAGTAGTGTTCTAGTGGTAAGTATCTACATGCTTGATGTTTGAGCTCTACAGGACTGTGGTAATTGGCGCCGGCATTGAGCGCTATACTGCCCTGCTCGGGAACGAGAACGACCTCTAAGCACAGCGTAGACGGGCAACGCAGAATCCGTAACACATACTCTACCAGATCAGGGTGGCATACCAACAGGACCGTGACATGGTGGGCATCAGAGCTTTTGTTCGTTCTACTATACATAGCATAGACGCTGGGAAGGAGGCGCCCGGAGAAGGGCGCTATCAGGGTCACCGGGCTTCAAATCCGTAAGCGCGCCTCGGAGGACCTTCGTTGGCGGCAACGGGTATTTCTTTCGGATCCTTGTGTTAATCCGCGGTTGGGACCGTTCCATGTAATCCAGTCAAGAGCTGAAGAGGAGGCGGAAGTATAGATGCGCTGGGACATGACGTTTCTGGGCGCGCGCCCGGTGTTTCAGGTTATGAGGAATGCAGGGGCACAACAAGGAGCGATGCAAAGACGATGAAAGTACCGAGTGCTAAAAGTAAAAGCATTGCCTCAACCGCGGGCGTGTACAAGACACTGGGTAGTAGGAATGGAAAATTATGTTTGAGAAATGAGCTTGTCGTGTAGTGACACAACTATCTCTCTATCGTCTAGATGGCAGGGGGAGCCACCGCTTAGCTACGCCCCATACCGTCGACTGGTCTCTTTATGTTCATCCTGCGTCCCCAATGTCGGTTTTAGCAACCACTGAAGACCGGTAGATATTCTCCTAATATTTGCGCCAAAACCGCCATAATATACAGGCCGAAAGCTTTCTTTGGTGTTGGCAATAATTGATGTGTGCTCATATCGGTATGCAATGTCGAGCCGCTCGAGCCGAGTGGTCGGTAGGTATCATAGTGACTGCTTCATGTCGTAGTTCATGCAACTGGTATCCTGAAAATGCCAAATCAACGCCCTCGCTGTGAAATGCTGAAACAAGTGCGGGTACGTCCAGAAAGCTGCCGGGCACCGACCGAGTTGCCCCTCCAGCACAGCGTAACAGGTCGGCCTCGTATAGGTGTCAAGACCGCCTACTCCAGGCAATGCGAATGCATGTGGAACGTGCATCTGGTGTGCCAAAAACAAGGATTGGTGACCAGGATTGTTATCGTCGTCCTTTCTTCTTCGCCGAAGTACTACTTCGGCCGAGATTGTTCTCTTTGGACATGGTTCTAGTGAGACCACCAATGTAGTCCTGCAAGAAACGATTCTCGCTCTCGAGCTTGTCGTGGTCTGATTTGACCTCATCAATCTTCTCGGCGAGAGCGGCAAGAGAAGACTGAAGTGTTCGGGCTTGTCTAAGGTTTGTTAGCATGCCACTTCTGCTGCTCTGAGAGCTACATACTCTTTCAAGCTTTGCCTTACGTCGTGCTCCAGTTTCTCGATGTCTTGGCTGTTGCGACGGGGGCTCATGGCACGAGCATCGTCTGGCGGGTAACTGGCCGATTCTGTTTGTTGAACCCGACCTTTGGGGACTATAATGGAAGACGAGCGCTGTCGTTCCGCCATTCTCGGTCTATCGGCTCTGGATTTTCGAGATACCGGCCTTAGATGTGGCTCCGACTCTGAACTGCTCGAGGCTATCGAGGAAGAGCTTGAGGATGTTGGAGATAAGCTTGGTCGCACTGTGTGGTCGCGGAAGGATGTGACAATGGTGGGTTCGGGATAAGCGGCCGTAGCCTGCTCGTTTGTGGAGGAATGGGACATGTTCTAAGAATCGGTGTTGCTTCTGGCACGAGAACGTACCGCGGGCTCAGAAGGTAGGAACCATCAAGCCGCAAGGTAATAGGTTAACACAGGTACTCGGGGACCAGCCTGGTCGGAATCGAAAGCAACGGAAGAACAGCGCCGGCGCGACAGCAACGACTTGGTCTCTTCACGTTGACTTTATGGTTTTATGGAATTCTTATGATGAAGAAGACATCTCGTAGCTCTGACAGATGCAGGGTCGTAGAGGGAAACGGTCGTATTGGATTGACTTGGCGGCGGGAAGTGGAAGGGCGGTGGTTTTGGAGGTTCTGCCGGGCAGAGGACAGCGGCGGCAGTGGGCGAAAGAAGTGGAGCGGGCAGCAGGATCCTTTGCTTGGGTTATGACGATCGTCAACAGCGAAGAGGGATACTAGAGGTTGCCTGGGGGGCGGGCAAGGGACGCGAAAGGGCAGTGATGTTCGGTGGAGTGGCGGATGGTCGGGAGGCAAAAGAATGGACAGTCTGTGCACCTCCGAATCTTTGCGAGTGTCAGAAGAGGCCGCAGTTGAACGGTGCCGGGCGCGAGGGAGAAGGATAGGCGGCGTGTGGGGGGCGACAACGCTGCTGGCTGGTCGGCGTGGGTGATCAACACTGACCTGTCTCGCTGGCCAAGCTGCTTAATTCCACGCCTGATGAGCATGCGCAAATCACCTCGAAGCAATCAGCGTGCTTAGTGGCCAGTACCCGCTACAAACTCTGCGTGATAGACAACCTACCTGCTACAGTATGTGATGTTTGATGAAATAATTTGCCCACGCAAATGAGGGCCCCGTAATCTGTGGCTGACCATATCAGCGTCATCGCTAGGCTGTACGAGTAGCGCAGCCGGGCTGCACATTTAAGCTTGACTCGGCTTGCCACGAGGGCGCCTCGGGCGTCCCCAGGGCGAGGGATGCTTCTCGTGTTCGGTCTTCTCAGAGCTTAGCAGGGTCCAGTCCCTTCGCCCAAAGCACCTGACAACGATACGGCGTGTGGCATGTGGCCCCCGTTGTTTACGACAAGACGGCAGAATCGGATGGTCGGTCACGAGTGCCAGGTCCACTGATGCTTGACTGGCGTGCCCAGTGCCCAAATTCAAGGATCTAACCAAGTAGCCCCAGCAAATTGACGTCGTTGTGCGTCACTCGCACACCGGCGTACTGCCGTGGCGAGATTTAGGTCAATCTGGGTAAAGATGACCCTTGCCCACTGGCTGGGACCATATGGGGTCGACCGCTTTGCCCTGCAGAAGCAACCCGGCGACCCTGGGTGCCTTCGAAACTCTCGTCTAACATTCACCGGGACGGCTCTCTGGGACAAGTCTTCTATTTCAAACGCCAACGTTTGAGGGGCGCGTCGTCTCACATACATCGGAGGGATAGATGAACTCTGCGCAGCCCTTGCAGCCATTTTGGTTTCTCATGGACACGCACGACCAGAGTGAGTGAGACAGTCAATGACGCCATTGCTGCCGTAGCGAGGGAGGAGCCGAAAGAAGAAAAAAAGGCAGGGAGGACTGAGGAAGCAAATCAGGTGGACTCCTGGACTCCTGGACTCCTCAGCGCCGCAGTTCAGTTCCGACTCTCCTCCATCGACCTCCGAGTCAACGTTAGCTTCCGTGCCTGTAGAGCGCATAAGCTTCGAGCTGCACACAAACGCAGAAGCCATTGTTCTTCAAACTCTGAGGACCGACCGTATGGTAACCTGATAATGACGCCTTGATGCTGCAGAGCCCTGCTCTGATGTTTCCAAGTCGAGGCACCGCCATCATTCTCAAGGAAATGAACCCCTGTGTCTATCATGCAACTGCTCGTCTTCTTAAGACATTGATCGTCATTCATCAGTGGGCGGACCCGTTTCAGCAGCCAATAGCGGCTACTATGATCAGAGCATACCTGGTTCCTCCATGATACACACCTTTCTCTCCAGGTCAAGGTGGTTGCTGAGGCTAGCATCAAAGGCCCGGAGAAGAATATCCGGACTTTCTACTCGTGACCGCCGTTTTTGATGCTCCTCCAGCAATCGTGCGACAAGTCACGCGCTTTGCTGCTTCATCTCGTTCCACGAGGGAATCCCGCTGCTTTGCTGACCAGCGATATTTCTACTACTGGAGCATAGCGTACACGAAGCATCGCTATACTCGGTAGTGATATGCTGGTTGAGCGCAAGACCTGCCCAAGACGCTCGCGTGTCAGGCTTCAGAGCCAACTCCAACATAAACGGAGATGTCCATTATAGCCCTCAATCATGGAAGGGATATTCAGTCTTGGGCTGCTTTGCAGGGTTTCTCTGTAAAGGCTGTCGGCGAACTCCCTTGCTCAAAGTACTCCGTACGCACCACTGACAACTCACCTTCGGCGAGTGTAGCTTGCAGCAGCTCGTCTACTCAGCGAACCACTGGGCACAGTCCACCTTGGATACTAAAGTCATGGCACAGGAACCTGCATTTACGTCCCACGGAACAGAGGCTACAGCAAGCTACGACGGTCGAACAGCGAGAAGCAGCTGCAATTTAGACAGCACGGCTGACTGCTAGTGGCATCAGATACGCATTACCTTTTACAGTATCTACCTCGCGCTTCGATAAGTCAGGCGTTGGATGTGGACCATGGCTTTTTGTGCCCAACGTCCAGGAATCCGTCACGAGAGGAGAGCTTGTGCACATTGTCTTCGCTTTAAGAATTTCCTGATCAAATACTCTCCGGCTACCTTTGACTTGACCTTTAGAACCCTTGCGTGTCCTGTTGGGTACCCATGTCGTAACCGCAGGCTTCAGAGCAGGCCGGTCGAGGCGCCACCGTGGTGAGACATGCCCACACAAAGGAATAGTCGTCGCTGGGTCCCGTCTATGTCGGTGGGCCCCGATTTAGAGGTTACCAGCAGCTACACCACGACGAGGTCCAGCCGCACGTGGATGTGGCTCGACGAAGGAAGAGTAGTCGAATCACTTCCGACGTCGATCCCATGTCCTTAAGCGAGAGGACGCATTTCCTACCGTTGCATATCTCAGCCAGCACTGCGAGGTGGGTAACGCTCCGGGCGAAAGCAGAACTCAGGGGAGGTCGAAGCGCGCGTTCGATTCTACCTGGAAAGTCGGAGCGAACTCGCACGAGCGGTGCAACTGCTGTTCAAGGTGAGACTACCGATGGCCAAGATTTCACTGCCTGGTCATGTGCAGAACGGGTTTTTGCGAAATTATATTGGGGACAGGAGCTGTACAGGACTAACATAACCCGCTGGAGCATTCGCGTTCGTGTCCATGCACCTCATCAGACGTACATATCAATATCCGTCAATCATAGCCTTCCCTTGGACAAGATCCCTCCACCGTCGGTGGTGATGGTCACACCATTCAGGTGCTTGGCCGCCCGACTCGCCATGAAAACCACTAGGCCGGCGATATCCTCTGGCTCACCTAGTCTCCTGTCGGGAATCTCTGCGGCCATCTTTTCCGCACCGCCTTCCAGCTCCAGCAGCCCGCTCGCCATCTTGCTGGGATAGAAGCCCGGCGCGCACGCGTTGGTCGTAATGCCTTTGGGTCCGAGCTCGACCGCCAAGTTCTTGGTGAGCGAAATGGCGGCTGCTTTGGAGGCAGAGTAGGAGAAGGTCGCGTTGTTGCCCAGCGTGCCAACGCCCAGGCCCGCCACCGAGGCCGTGATGATGATCCGACTCGGGTCGCCAATCTTGCCAGCCTTCTCAAGGAGAGGCGCGAATTTCTGCGCCGTGTAGAAGACCGACTTGACATTCAGGTCGAGCACCTTGGAGAAGGAATTCTCCGGCGTCTGCTCAAAGGGCGAACCCCACGTGGCGCCCGCGTTGGCGAACAAAATGTCGACCTTGTCCGTGTCCTTGCTGACCTCTGCGACGAGGCGCTGGATCTCACTGATCTTGGAGGCATCGGCGGGGATGGAGATGGCTTTGCCTTTGATGTTGGGCAGCGCGTTGAGCGCCTTGACCGCCGAAGCACAGGCGTCGGCTTTGCGCGAGGTGATGTAGACCTTGGCAGCGCCGGCTTGCAGGAAACCCGAGGCGACGTGTAGACCCAGGCCGCGGGAACCGCCGGTCACGACGGCGACCTTGCCATCGAGCCGGAAGATGTTTTGGAAGTCGTGAAGCTTCACGTCTTGCTCGGCGGACATGCTGGGCAATGTGTTCGAAGGTGACGTACGTTTCCTAGGTCAGTGGATGAGGACTGAGGCAGAGATATAGGTATACAAGCTCCGACGCCGACAGGTGAGTAGGGTAGAAGACGGAAAGCAGGAGACTATGAACAGATCTGCTTCTACTCTTGCTCACAACATGCGGAACTTGTGTTTGGTCATCAAAAGAGGATGCCGTTCACTATCTCGCAAGCTCCGTCGTGCCTCGGCTCGGGCGAGACGCGAAGCCTGGACCTGGAACGGCAGGTTAGCCGACTTCTCCAAGAAAGGTCTTTTCTAGGTCCTGCAGGGGTCTGATATCCGACGTACCTGTCCAGGTATTCAGCATCCCCGTTCAAGCCACAAAACAACCTTGTCCTCCGATCCTATTCGGATCCGTTGATCCACCGTAATCCCCCGACGGCTAAACGTACGCTTGCGATGAGACGAATGACATATCAACGACGAGGAAGCGAGTACCTATAGGCCTGATCGAGCTGACGGTCGCTTACTTAAGACTGCAACCCCGGCACTGCACGTCGTCGAATGGTGTCAGAACGGGCAGTCAATTCCGTCGCTTCTGCTCCAGCTACGCTATCGGGGACCTGTCGTTGATGGCAGCGATGGGCGGTGTTGGACCTCCAAAATAGCTTTATTGCATACGCTAACATGGCACTCTCAACCGCGTGCTGTCACCAATGCCTGGTGGGCTCAAAAGGCACGACTGCTGCAAGGGTCGAACGGTGCAGATGCCCTTTTGACTTGGGTGCTGTTTCCCAAACTATCGGGAACGGCGATCCATGAGTTCAGCTCCACCCTTAGGCGTCCAGCTACACGGCAGAGCACGATACATGGATATATATCTTGGTTTATATTCAATTCGGGGATTTTGCACAGACTCGTCTTACGCGATTCAATACCGGGGACCCCAGATCGTAAGCATACTTGATAAAACTCCTGATCGTCGTCCACACGTCTCGACTATCGATCGCTTTCCCCGGCTGCACTCGACATTATGACAAGGTATGCATGACGGCAAGTACTTCGAACCGCACAGTGTCGTATTCACACAGTAAGCAGTGACGAGGCGATCTTCGAGCAGATCGCGCGACAAGCTCCGGCGTTGTCTAAGATTCACCCTGAACTCGATGCCGTTCGTCACCCAATCCAACACGCCCATAGGGACCAGCCTGACGAAAAGTAGATCTTCAGGGAACGCGGGACGCCTCGCCCGTTCTTACCGAGTCGCGATAACATGGCCAGCGCGCGCAAGCTAGCCGCGACCAGCTCACATCGCTTCATGAAGAGCTCGTTCGTCCGTCAAACGCTTGGGGCGCTGCCTCAACCGGAATGCCAAATCGAGGAGCGCACCGTTACGGCGAGGAGCGGTAAAGCAGTGCCCTTCCGGGTATACCGGCCGATGCAGACAGCACCAGCGCAGAAACCGGTACTCGTGATGGCGCACTCGGGCGGGTTTTGCATGGGCGGCTTCGAGTGAGTACCTTTTGGTGAGCTTGAGACGGCTGGGCGGATGCACGAGGATATAGGAAGGCTGCTTCTCGGATGTCAGATCTAACTCGCACCTTTTTGACAGAACCGAAGAATTTACCTGCCGCCTCCTCTGTCGCAGCCAAGATGTGATTGTGGTCGACGTCGACTATTCCCTGACACCCGAGGCACAGTTTCCCACTGCCGTCCACGAGTACTACGACGTCGTCAAGTGGGTGGCCCACAACGCCGCGACGCTCGGCGCAGACCTCTCCAAAGGTTTCATCGCTGCCGGCGTCTCTGCGGGAGGCAATCTCTCGGTGCACGCAGCTTACATGGCCCGCGACGAAGGACTACAGCCGCCTCTCACGGGCACATTGTTCGTCTGCACGGGCATGCCGCACATGTTGACGGATGTGTCGGGCAAACGCATCGACTTGTTCCCCGGCAAGCTGGTGTCGTGGCACGATAACAAGGACGTCCCGATTGGAACTCCGGCGACCAACGATTTCTACGGTGGTAAGATTTGCTTGCTCCCAAGAGCTTTTTGATGGGTGACATTCATTGCTGACTGGCTGGGGTTTTCATCTACACATAGAGCTCGCGGGCATGCGCGCCGATGACCCGTTGACGACGCCGTTCTTCTACAAGGATCACTCCGGCCTGCCGCCCGTCTTCTACCAGTGCGCGGGTATGGATATCTGGAGAGACAGCGCCATTGTCAGTGCCCCCCACCACGGACCCCCTCGGCGGATGACTACCTTTAGTCGTATGGTGAAAGCTGACTTCATGTACCCCAACAGTACTACGCGCATCTCCTGCATCAGGCTGGCTCGCCCACTCGACTGATCGTCTACCCCGGCCTGCCTCATCTCTGGGCCTATTTCTATCCGGAGATCTCGACCACGCAGAAATGGGTGAAGGATCTCGTCGCCGGCTTGGGTTGGTTGTTGTCGTTGCAGCCGAGTCCGCCCAAGTCCTCCTCTGGTGCGAAGCTATGAGTTTCCGTTCCAGCAGCAGTTCAGCATGGCGTTTGCATGTCCTGTGTCTCCCCTAGTCTGTGTAAGATTGGATGGTCCAGAAAGGACCCATTTCCGAATTCTGTAGAGAACATATATAAGGTTCTATATCGCCTGCAGCCATCATGTATCGCCTCTTAGTTGCTACTGCATAGCCAACCTACTAGACTCGGTATAGCCCTCGACGGACACTTGCAACACTGTGTCGTGTCGGCCTTTCCCACAAGGCCCATCCAGCCAAAAGGAGAGAAACAGACACAGAGAGAGAACACGATGATTAGTCATCCCAGTGCGGTGCGGTGATTGGCCAGCCCGTCGGCCCCGAAGCATCCAACTCCAACTCCAACGATTCTCTGCACTTCGCTCTTAGTGAATCATGTTCGCCTCCCCCTCCAAACTAGGCACCCATCTTGGGGCGAATGGCCGTCCAGGCGCCCATCTGGACATACGTACGCCACACATCTTTCCCCCCTCCCCTGTAGAAACTTGTCAGGGTGTGGCTGTTTCCCCTCTTTCTGGCGGCCTAGATGTGGCGAATGCGGCGCGAGACGGGACTCATCATCATTCGACACTTCTGGTAGCTTCCAACTTCTCACGCTGCCCATCATTTGATTTGTCGAGGGGGGTTACGAAATGTGTTTGCCTGGCGGGCACGCATACGAACATTGATGTTCGCTATAAAGCCTGTGTATGCTGTGGCTTGGTCGTTGTAGTTTCCCCTTTCCTGCTTCATACCCTTCCTCAATCTATCCGTTTGTCTGTCGACATTGTTGCATTCATACACAATGCCTTCCCTAAATCATCTAAACCCACCTCCCAACCCGTTCTGGGACTTTGTCGCCAATCTCGACGAACATCCGCTCTTTGCAGCATATGCACCCAACAACAATGTGACTGCGGAGCAGCAGCAGCAGCAGCAGCAGCAATCCAACGAGGCTGCAGGTGCTCAAGAGTCCAGCGAAAAGGCACAAGGCAAGCAGCCTGCTGCTGACGACCCCCCCGTGGTCGACCCTTCCACCGCCACTCCCGGAGCTGCTCAGCCTGAGGGCCAGCGTGGCTTCCCTTTCAGAGGACGGGGTCGTCACCATGGCCCATCTGCTGCCGAGCATGAAGGTCGTCGTGGCCCCGGCTGCCGTGGTCGCGGTGGCTTTGGTGGCTTCAGTGGAAGAGGAGGTCCGTTTGGTGGTCCACACGGGCCTCCCTTCATGTTCGGCCCCCCACCCTTCTGGACAGGTCCTCGCCACCACTCACACCCACACCGTCATCATCAACGCGGCCCACCTCGGGAGCGCGAGGAGCCGACCGGCCAGGGTTTCAACCTGGGCGACTTTCTGAACAGCCTCGGCGAGCGCCTGGGTGTTGATCTGACGGGAGCCGCGGAGAATCTTGGTCTGGACAAGTATAGCGCACCGCCGAGGGGCGAGGACGTCGACTTTGAGCCACGCAGCGACATCTTCGACACACCTTCCAGCTATGTCGTTCACCTTTCACTGCCCGGAGCCAAGAAGCAAGACGTCGGTGTTGACTGGGACGGTGAGAACAGTGTTCTCCGTGTCACCGGTGTTGTGCATCGGCCCGATGTCGATGAGCAGATGCTGGCTCAGCTCGTCGTCAATGGCCGCAAGAGAGAGAATGGTGTCTTTGAGAAGGCCATTCGTCTGGGCACAAAGCGTGACCCTGCTAACATCGACGTCTCCGGCATCACTGCCAAGATGACGGATGGTGTGCTTGTTGTCAAGGTTCCCAAGGTCGAGCGTGAGATCCACAAGCGGGAGGTTCCCATCTCCGGTTCCTCGAGTCCAGCCCACAACGAGAAGGATCTTCTCTTCGACGCCGACGAGGAGATGTACGATGCCCCACGCGATGCTGTCTCTGCCACTGCTCAGACGAAGCAGACATCGACCACCGAAAATGACAAGAGCCTGGAGAACAAGGCAAAGGAGGACGAGGCTAGAGAGGATCGCTCGGTAACGGCCGGTCGCGAGGAGGACTCGGAGCAATTGCCTGCCTATGAGGGCGAGGAAGCATCTGACAAGATGAGTGACTGGGAGAAGGACTCTGACGAAGAAGCCGACTATGTCAAAATCAATGTCGACTAAGGCAATCCACATTCATGTCTCTTCGAGGGTTGCAAGGCGTTCCGGTTGAGCCTAATTAAGCAAACAGCAAGCGGCCTGCGGGCCTGCATTCAATAGTGGCATAATCCCCGCAAAAATAAACCGGCATCACCGGTCAAAATCATGATGTTAACGAAAATCTCTCCAATCCACCCCAATGCATTGTACTTATTCGCGTGGTTCGTCCCAGTCGATAGGCCATTGTTCATGCTCGTGATTGATGTCGGGTCCTTGAGGCCCTAGGCCCTAGGCCCTAGGTCCTAGGCGCTAGCACCTGCGGGCAGGGGAACAAGGACCCGACCGACCCTGCCGCCCCCCAGAGACTCGGTTTAGGGAAAGTGCATTTGGGCAGCTGCACCAACGCACCAGCACACCGGGGCGCGCCTGGCCTGGGCGTGCCTGTGCTGGGTGTTGACCCTGTTCGCTCTCGATCACACACTCGCCCACCTAGGAAATGAACATGGGTGCATCACCGCTTGCTCTCCAGCAATCCGTCACATTCCCGACCACGACGTTGCAGTCTTTTCTGGGAATCGGCCATGGAAAAATTGGAGTTGACGTGGAGGTTGTGGGTGACGCTTAGCAATTGCCATATCCCATTCGTTCGCGCTACACACGGCTTCTCCTACCTTCATGACCTTCTCATGGCAAATTCGACCACTGCATCTGTGTGACGATGCTTTCCTCTTCTCTCTTCTATACTCCCACCTCGCCTTTCCTGCCCGAGTGAAGCTTCCATGCCCGGCACTACCAACCGAGACAAGGTAGAGGACCCTTGTGAAGCATGTAAAGGTATTCCCAGGCGAAGATTCCGCCCCTAGAAGACGCTGGCTACTGACCACTGTGCATTTTCAACAGCCCGCCATCTCAAGTGTATGCTTTACCCTGCTCCACCCCGTTGCACAGACCCCTTCAATCACGCTGTACCGGTGTCACCGTCTATCAAGGCAGAGATTGACGCATCCGAATGCGACATTGTCCCCAAGTCACTGCCATTTCAGTCCACACTCGCCCGCTGACCACACTGAAGGCGATGACATCCGTCCCAAGTGCAGGCAATGCACCCGCTCCGGCAAAGAGTGCCACCGCCCTTCTGGGAAGATCAAGTTCAGGCCTGGTTCCACCGCCAAATACGACACCACCTTCGGGAAGCATCAGACATGGTCGCAAATTCGGAATGGTAGGTTCCCTTATCTAACTCCTAACCTACCTCGTTGGGCTTTGCTCGCCTTCTCTCTTGATCCCGCATCATCCACGCTAAACTCGTCGTGCTTCTCATCTACCTACATATTGACCAAAGTACGGTGCAGCCAAGCTCCAATTCGTGGATGCAGGACCCGAGCTGGAGCATCAATATGCTCTCGAACACCAGGACAGCCCAGAGGACAATGGAAACACCGAGAAAACCCCTGCCATACACGCCCCAAGTCAGAATGGCAGCGACTTGAACAGGACCTCGTCAAGCTCGACACTTCGTACTTCGTCTGCTGTCACACCTGTCGAGACCAACCCGTCCTTGGACCGGGTGCGTTCTGTATCGGACCGCGCAACCCTATCGCCTCCAGGACCAGCCGACTTACGCACGCCACTATCCCCACTGAAGCGATCTCTGCCAGAGGATGCACTTCCTCGCCCTTCCCAGGTGCATCCATCTTGGCACCACTCGACAGTATCGAGTGAGCCACAAGACATGCGAAATACCTTTGTCTGGTACAAACCCATGAAGGCTTATCGAAGCGGCGGTCACAATGGTGAAGAGATGCAGAAAATTGGCCAGGTAGTTCAAGCGGAGATGCGGCGGCTTGAAGACGACAATGCCGCCGCCATCCCCACAGACCACTTTCTTAGCCCAGCAGAATGGAGACTCCATTTCAGGTGGCCGAACGAGTGGACTACTAATCAGTGTACCTCGTTGATGCGCTACTTCATCGAGGAGCTGGGACCTTGGGTACGTCTGAAGTCACAAACCCAATACGCGATGAGCGGCTCGACACCATCATTATGTTTTCGTTCGCTCTCCAACTGCCTATCCTGCCTGCCATCAAGGTACTAACCGTCATTAGTTCGATGCTGGGGACCCCAATAAGAGATTCACCACCGTCGTACCCAGAAATGCCTGCTACCACCCTCCTTTGTTGAATGCAATATTCACCGCGGCGGCGATCCACCTTGTGGCATCCAAGCAACACAGAGCATCGGATGGTAGCGTCAGGTACAAAGGCGTCTCGTTGCCCAGATTGACAGAGGAGACACCTTGGAGGTATTTCCAGGCCGTAATAGCTTACCTGCAAAAGGCGACAGATCCGCAGAGCGTGCGAGATGACGATTTCCTTGCCGCGGCCGTTATATTACGATTCGCCGAAGAATTTCAGCAATCCATCACAGGCGAAAGGAACATGGCCTTTACGCCCACATTTGATCAATTTATGCGAGCTCGAGCTGAGGCTGAGGAGGTTCCAGAGACGCCCTCTTATACCCCTTCCTCCCACCGACACACGCTGCCGCCAATCCGATCACCTCCGGGCCCCCAGCAACCATATACGCTACACGAGAGGCAGCTACAAGATCAGGCATATAAGCAGCTCAAATCCTTCGAGCACGCTTGCTACCGTGTTGCGCTTCGACAAGAGGTATATGCGGCATTTCTCACTCAGACGGTCCATGAGCTCTACCTACCCAAGACTTGGACCGCTCTAGACGCGTTTCCTGAGCCAGAAGACGAAGATTTCATCTGGACCGATCATCACCTTCGCCACCTTGCCAATGTGCTACGTTTCTGCCTTGGAAGCGAGCAACATCTGGGCCATGAGCGGTACAACGCTCTCAAAGACTATGAGATCAGGTGGGAAAAGAACAAACCATACACTTTCGCTCCCTACCACAACCCTCTGGAGCTTCACAACGGCTCCGAAGCTCGACGTGCCAGTGGACAGACAGCCTTCGTTCTGCCACAATGTTGGTTCATGGATGAAGTAAATGTCCTTGGCAGTCAATACATCGAACTCTCGCGAATATTGCTAGCTGTCTATGATCCGTCACGTCCAAAATTAGGCCGTCCCCGTAACAAGATGGATAATGATGTACGAGAGTCTGTCACGAAAATATGTGGAATGGCCATCAATACATCGACCAGCGTGTTCGCCAAGGAGTTGGCATTTGTGGCCATCTACAACACGACGGCGAATTTCAGGAACAGAGAAGAGCTTAACGTGTTATTGAAGGTGCTGGATAGCTTGGAAGATGATTTCGGCTGGCCTACGGGACACAAGAGGCGGGAAGTGCTCAAAAACTGGGAAATGGGTTAAGCTGGCGGCGTTTATTCATAGCTGAGGACAATCGAGGCACAGAGAATCTGGATTCTGGGCCAACTGGATACGGTCATGGCGATGGAAAGGACTAACGGCAGATTACGGCAAAACACGTTTTACGCATTTACGGCCTTGATAAAATGGATCACACGGGTGCAGCTTACGGGCGCGACGACACACAGGTCGTTGAGTTGAGGATGCTCTGCTATGGTTGTGGTTGAATTTCCGGTGTCATGACCCACGGCTCGAAGGTAACGTAGACGGCAACAAGGGTAGCCTGCCTGAGTGCATACTTCAAGGTAGCGGATCCATGGGTCTCGGGATCTCGGGGTAGGTCAAGTCCATGGCAGTCGTGAATGCTACTGGGCTGTTTGTACACATTACACTCCCGGATAGCTCACACGCTTCTGCTCAACATACGCTTTTTCTGGTGTGGCAGGGTCTCGTTGACTCAGCGCGACCCATTGTTTCCATTTTCGAGCTACTATATCTCGAAGAGCCTCTTGGACTTTTTCGCCTTAACGTAAATACAACCACTTCACGTCCAAGTGAACTCAACAACACCATCTCATCTACGCCCCCCACCCCCTTCCCACCCAGTCGTCTTTGCCCTCAACCTCAACTTCAACCTCAAACCCCCAGCTTGACCCCCATGCGCATCCCATCACCCACCACAGCCGTGACGCGCAGCGTGGTCCGCACCTCCTCCTCACCCCCCCACCCCTTTCCCCCGCCCCTCTTCTCAAACGCAAACCCCCGGGCGACGCAACACAAGACGACGACCCCTTCCAACACGGCCAACGTCTGGCCGATACAGTTCCGGGGCCCGCGCTCAAAGGGCCGCCACGCCCCCGTCGGCAGGGCGCGCACGTAGTCCTCGTCGAGCCAGCGGGACGGGTTGAAGAGCGCGGCGGTGTCGTGGCCCCAGATGGAGGGGTCGCGGTGGAGGAGGTACTGGCAGTTGTAGATGCGGAGGCCGTTGATGCGGGCTGTGGAGGAGGAGGAGGAGGAGGAGGAGGAGTTTGGGTTTGCATTTGGGATGGGGATCTCAAAGGGCGGCATGTTGGCGGATTCGAGGGGCACGTAGCGCGCGGTGGCGGCGGGCGGGTGCAGGCGCAGCGCTTCTTTGACCCAGGCGTTGGTGACGGGGAGGCGGGTGTTGATGGTGGCTTCGCTGGAGGTGGGGTCGGCGAGGGCGGCCAGGGCGGAGAAGGGGTCGTGGGCGCCGAAGACGGCGTCGTGTTCGTCGACCAGCGCCTGGTAGATGGCGCGGCAGTGGGCGTATTGCGGGTCGATGGGCGGCATCGAGGTGCATTTGCTGAGCTCGAAGGTGAGCCATTGGATTAGGGTGGCCGTGGTGTCTTGGCCGGCGAAGAGGAAGGATTTGATTTGCGAGACGGTGTTGTTGATTAGGGCGCGGTTCGGGGGAAGGTCGGCGGTGGCGAGCTGGACGATGGAGCGGGAGGGTCTTGTGCTGGGTTTGCTGTCGGTGCTGTGGGAGGGAGGATGGCGTGTCTCGTTGAGCTTCTCGGACACAATGTGATAGAGTCGCCAATTGAGAATGCGCTCGTTGAGCCAGGCCATGAAAGGTCGGACAGGGTCGATGGATTGCAGAAGGTTGAAACCCTGGCCGACTTTGAATGCTTGCTCGGCAAGGCATTTGGTCAAGTAGAAGATTCCAAACGGCCAGGCGTTCTCGCCCATGTCTTTGCCGCTGGTCTGCGCGCCAAAGTCGCGCTCGAGGGAGACCATGGTGATGATGTCGGTGGTGAGGTCCTGGGCTAGGTCGCGCATGAGGAAGTCCTCGCCGGACTGGGCGAAAGCTTTGAGGCGAGAGATGAAGATCTGCGTTCGGTCGAGGATCAGAGGAGCAAGGCTGTGGAGATGGGTGGGCGCGAAACCCTTGTTGAAGCGTCGGCGGAGAGAACGCCATTCTTCGCCATGGACCAGAACCAAGGACTCCCACCCAAGGAGACGAGAGAAACTCTGTAGCGTATCCGACTTGAGGGTCGAGTATTTCAGGCCCGGTCGTGGCTCGGTGACTGCTTCAGCGAGGGCAGGGTCCACCACGACCAGGACAATGATGCCGACGAGTGCCATGTCGAACCAGAAGCATGGTGGACGGTCCAGCTTGTTCCATATCTCCTCGAATCCATAGTCTGGATGGCGCGGCAAGCTCGGATCGAGGTGTTTCCCAACATTGATGAGGTTACCAAGTAGCCAGTGCTGGGGGAGGTGTGGGATTTTGGCGAACTCGGGATTAGTGCGGACCCAGATGTTGTAGCGAATATGCCTGAAGAGTCTGAGAGCCAGATACGCAATGACTGTCAAGCTCAAAGTAAGTAGCAGTGGTATTGAGAAGGGAATGGCTGCGAACATGGTCGCCCTGGAGAGCGCGCGAGAGGTTGGCGACTAGACACCCGGATCGGCTTCACCCTCTTACACTTCTTACACTTGAAGACGGTCAGGAGCAGTCTCCGAGTAGTCGAGTTTCGTTCACTAGCGGCAACAGTTTGAGGCTCACCTGTGGCTCATACAGCTGAAGGACGAGGACTTGAATATGAGGAGTGCCAGGAGCCGGTCGGTGAGTGGATGACGCACAGAGACAGCCCCAACCGTCTGTACCACCACAGATATACTCCGTACATACGGGGCGACTCGCAATACGGAGCGTGAACGTCTTCAACCTGCCCATAGCGGCCGCCGAGAGCTCAAACGCGCCAATGACAAGAGCAGACCGTTGCCGCTTACGAGGCCCTACTGCATGTGAGCCGAGCTTGCATGGTGCACGCGACAAAAGGAGCGTGTCTCCCGTGTCTTGCCAGGCGTCCAGCGTAGATAGTCGCTTGGCCATATCTGCGGACCGTAACCCAACAACAGCTGAGCAATTGCGACGTAGACGGGAACGATTAAAGAGGAGTGGCCGGAGCACGCGACCCTGTAGAGATCTTGCATTGGGGGTATCTTCATCTTCGTAGATCTTCGTGCTGTATGCTACCAGTATTCAAGATTAGACGAATATATGTGTCCGCCGGCACAGTCAGTAGTCTGAGGGCCAAATGTCGCTTGCATGATCGTTGTCGTAAATCGCTCCGTAACATATCTCCATCATCTCACAAGCTTCGAGCCCGAGCTCACAACCTCAAAGTATACATTGCGCCCCTTCGCCCGCCAACGCTGCACTCCACCTCGCTCGAGCCATGGTTGAAGATTCTTGCATTGACTAACGTCAAACACCTGTAGTTTATGGCAGCCCTCCAGAACGCTGTCGACGCCAACACCAGTCACTCGGACGCAACCACGAACGGCCAGCTGCTGCAGTGCAGTCAGATGTAGTCCTAGTGATCGGAGTGACGGGTCTGAGACTGCACTGCCACAAAATGAGAGGTTCAAGTGCGTCAGATTGGGACACCCCAGGGCGAGTACTTCAGTAGCCGTATCGGACAAGGCACAGCAGAACGACTAGACGACAGTTAGCACACGTACAAGCTACTGACAACACCTGACTTACCAGATCCAACTCCCGCAGCCCGCTTCCTGCACCATTCACAAGCCAGACGATGCTCTGGTCACTCAGGTAGGTGCAGTCAGCAAGGCATAGGCGCCGGAGCCGCTCAAAGCGTACATTGCCCCAGTACTGAAACCCGGAGTCGGTAATCGTCGTACATCTGGTCAAGTCCACCGACTCGATCCTGTTTGCCGCGTGCGTGGCAATGTGGTGCATGGTGCGGTCCGTCACATGCTTGCAGTAGCTAAGTGAGATCGATGACAGGTCAGGACATCCCAGTACTGTTCCAGGGGCCGGAATTGCTGTATTCGAGCTGACCTTGGTGTTGAGACCGGGCCGTCCACCATTGACGGCCTTCTGCCGGTTCATCTGAGCTTGACTCTGCTGCGGTACCACCCAGCCCACGATGCGAGCCAAGAGCGTGTCCGACACCTTACGACAGTTGCTCAAATCAATCGACTTCAAGCCTCGAGCTTTGTTGGACATCTCCAATATTGCGGGCGCTGTCACATCCCACACGCTCTTCATACGCCAACTCGTCGCCTTCACTCCACACGCACTCGCGAGCGTATTGAACCCCTCGTCCGTGATGTGATAGCAATTGCTGATATCGATTGTCTGCGGCCTCTCGCCAACGAACGGACATATTTTGTGAGCGAGTACATTGTCGTCCACACGACGGTTGTATCGCGACAGATCGAGTGTCCGAAAGAGAAGAGGCGACTTGGTCAGCACATTCTGCCAGTGTTGCGAAACCGATTGGAGGAGCATACACTCGTGAAGCTCCAGTCGCTGGAACACTAGCGGTAGTATCTCGTCCGGTATTGTGCCCCTGTTGAGCCCAAAAGTGAGGTTGTTTCGTGGCCGGGGCCGCTTGAGCGGTGTGAATGGATCAGAAAATGGAAATCCGGGAATTTTATGCTCGGAAATCGGAGAAGGTGTTGCGGAAGCCGAGCTGCGAGGCGAAGGACTCTGTGTGCCTGTTGGCGAAACCCTCGATGGCCGACGCTTTTGTTGGCCTGACGTTTCATCAGGAGACGGTGGTGCTAAAGAGCCCCGTCGCGATCTTGACTTGACCTTGTCCAAACCTTCGCTACGGAAAGGATCAGGGTCATGTGGCTCAAAAACGCCTGGTTCTTCTGTACCCAGCGGTTGAAGAGGGCCACTGATCTCTGTATCGTTGAAGGTGACTCGTGGCGCGGGCGGCGGCACAACTTGTATGACCTTTTTGCGCTTGTGATCACCAATCTCCAGCTCATCGATTGCTGGAGCGGCGTCAACATCACTCATGACGACGTCATTCTCCGAAGCAGATTGGAGGCGCTGTCGAGCGGTGCTCTCGACCGAAGTCTTGATGCTGGCAGGGCACTTGTGCCAGAATTCGGTGAGCACATTCTCCGAAATCATGAGGCATTCGACTTGCGTCACCGATCTCACAGTAGCGGTCCTTCGGTCTGCCAGCGACAGACTGACAACCTCACCAAAGTACTGTCCGGGTCTCAGTCTGGCCTTGACAGTCGGCGCCCTCGGCATCGAGTTCCCACCACTTCGGCGGCGAGCATCGGGACTGCCCCCCGGTCTCTCGTCCAACACTTCGACCTCGCCGCGCACGATGAAGAAAACCTCGCGACCAGTGCTGTCTTGCTTGATAATATCTGTAAAGGGTGGATAGCCTCGGGGTTGAGCATTCAGACCAAGGAAGTGTAGCATGTCGTTCGACAGGGTCGCAAATAGAGGCAGCTCTTTGAGAGTTGCACGAATGTTGACGAGACCGTGTCCCAATGCGCTTGCTGTTGGTATGTCCTGCGTACCAGGGCTTGGGGACTTTCGTCTCTTGCTGGCGCCGTTGAGACCGTGATCGCTGTCACTCAAGTCCATTTCATCACCTGCTAGCTCTCGTGAGCGTTTAGATCCTCGCCGCTCGGGTACAGGCAGATCTTCTTTGCCCATGCGCATTTGGCGCTTCTTCTTTTCAGTCTGCGCTAGGCGCTCGAGCGCCTCTTCCCGTATGGCCCGCTCGACGTCTGGATAATCGGGCAGAATCTTTTGCAGGTCTTCTTTCTTGAGAACCAGAGTCAAGCACCGTGTGCGAGCTATCACGGTAGCTGTGCGAGGTCTGTCAAGCAGGATACCAATCTCACCAAAGAAAGCTCCGGACTTTAGCTCGGCGTAGGTGCTCTCGCCATCTCTCGATGTAACCGCCACGGCGCCTCGGACCAACCAGTACATTGACTTGGCATCTTCGCCCTCGGTCAGGATGTATGCGTTGGGTGAATACATCTGAGGCTTCAACACCAGTCCCAGCTGAGTGAGAAAGCCGTCTGGGGTTGACTGAAAGAGGGGAAACGAGCGAATGCGGTCGAAGAGGTCAAGCGGCATGCCCTGAAAGCCAGACGTCGCTAGAGGGGACTGGCGAGCAGGTTTGGAAGGATTGAGGTCAAACTGGCGCACAAGCGTGACCTCGGCGGATGGAGGGGTAGCTACCCGCCCGGCATAGGGCGACAGCGCCCGGCCATGATGGCGCCTCATTCTGCGAGTTATGGATGATTGATGTTAGTCGCATGCCGTGATGTGCGCAGGCCGCACTGAGTGAGCGATAGTCCAGCCGATGGAGGAAAAGCTCAAGCCATGTTTGCTCTCATCGGCGGGGTGAGGATATGCGCTTCTTCCCACTTTATGCAGCTTGGGCGACACGCCGGTGTACAGGACGATCCTTTTCACCTGTTATAGCGTGACCGACTCCCCACGTACTTCCAACTAGGTCAACGCTCGGGCGCAGGTCGGGGGCAAGGAAGCGAAACAGAGGGCGAACTTGGGGACGGACGCGCAGTGACGGTGGTAGGTAGGTTGTACAGCAGAAGCCTGCGGGGCTCGAGACTCAGTGAGCAAAGGTGTGTCTGTAAGTGAGCAGAGATGTCGTGGAACAATCTGGAGGCCTGGCGGCTGCACACGGGCACGATTCGAAGAGAGGAAGAAACGCGAGACGATTGATGGAGATGGATATTCCTGGATCTGAGTTTCATCAATTTAGCTCCGCATCGTCGGCGGGAACGGGGAGGTGGGGTCGTGGCTGAACTGCACTTCTATACCTGACATGCAGCGCACAAACGCAGTGGCGGTGGAGGAGAAGGAAGAGGGTTAGAGGCTGATAGAATTTATTGGGGAAATGTTACGAGTGCTAGGGATAGTGCATTGTATGAGGGTCTGGTCACACATGACAGTGATTGATAGATGGATCACTCAGTCATGTGCAGGTATACGGAATACTGTAGGTGCAGTGGTCGGGGAGAGTAGATCCGCCTAAAAGTGAGTGGGGCATATGGGCTCGAGCACCGATGACGCGGGAACAATTTGGCAACGCAAGACTGAAACCACAATCTTCTGGAAGCGAGATAGAACCAGAGGCAATCAGCTGGCGCGGACAAAACCCGGTAAAGCGCAAGGTACCGAGTACCGAGTGAAGACAGCTGTAGCTGGACACGTGGAATCACCGGTGCACTGACTTTTGAGGCCTCAAGCAGCCTCTGGAAGCCTGATAGAAGGTGCCCCTGAGCGCCAGACGGCAGACCTTGGGCGAAGCGAATTGGCGGCTACAGGGGTCAGAGTCTCCAGAAGATCAAGCACGGACTGCAGCCAGTGAAGGAGGCGCCTAAGACCGCCATCCCCAGTGGATCGCCGGCGCTATTGGCTTCGAGAAGGCCACCAGAAGCAGTTCCCGCGCACCTAATTTAAGCTACATCCGCAGCTTAATACGCGAGATTTCTTAAGGGTGTTAGACTCCGTACATCTCATTTCATTCCTCACGCGTCTGGTCATCCGACATCCAGGAAAGCTGCTGCCTACATCGCGGTGCAAGACAAATTTCGCAGCCGTGAAGCACCCATCATGCCAGACCTCTTTTCCCACCAACAAGACAAAAGGTCAATGCGGCCAGCCTCCGGACGCTGGAAACTTGGGGAAAGGCCCTTAGAACCCGGGAGCCGGCGACTCCGTCACTAGAAGGCGTCACTCCCTCCCGCTAGATCACCTCAATGTTGGAAAGGCATTGCTTTGCTGTCGCAGTAGCGAATGTCGGGGCTTTTGTGCGGCCATCACTGTCCAGTGGTTTTGCTTCGCATAGCACTGAGGGTTGTCTCAAGTGCCGGTAGCAGCTCCTCGTATCTTGCGGGAGGCCCACACAAGATATGCTGGCCTTTCTCCTCGGACAGTGCTAATAGCATCCTGCACTAGACCATAAAGCAGTCCGTACTTGAACGCCATTTTCGCAGTCTTGGATGTCGCAAAGACGTCCAACCTGTGCCAGCGGGTATAGAGCCCAGCAGTCATCAAGGCAGCCAGCACCGTGTCCAGGGCGTCTCTCTGCCCAAGCGCAATTTCATCGTCTCTTCTGGCAAACAACCTGCCCCGAGCCTGGTCCAGGCCCTCCTCTGCGAGCATGAACATTGAAGCCCATATTGACACGATGCCACCAAATTTGACGCCCTCCTTGACTCCTCCAACCGCCGCATGATAGCTTTTAGAGCGATGGTACAGGTACCATCCAGCCTGCGTGGACGGGACGCGGTGCGCATTCATTGCTCGGTATCGGTCTGCGGCTTTGCGCCGGCCAAGGGAGAATCCTAAGCTGAATCCATAGCCTGCCGTTGTAGCCGCCATGACTGGCCATCGGATAATCGGCGGCATCGAGAGACGCTCATTGGGATGGTCGGTGAAGTGGAAGTCATCACCCTTTGCGAGTGACTCTGGCGACTCGATGGGCGCGGCTGTGGTCGAGGACGTTGCCTCGTCAGCTAGTAGCGGCAAGCTAGTCTTCGCTGACGCCCGTCCATCCTCGACGGCGGGAGGAGTAGACGACGAAAATGGCCACATGCAGTAATGTGAGCTATGTTGGCAATTGTGTGCTAGTTGACACAAGACGAAGTTGTACGCATGTGAAGCTGTGGCCGTGAAGCTGGCTCCGCACGGGAGATATGCGGATTATCTCCGAGGCCCGTTCACGTCAGTGCTCTCTGTACCTGACTTGAATATCACAATATTTTTGGCGCGCAAAAGTACCACGCAAGAGTCTAGTCGCATAATCCACTTCACTGCTGTCTCAACACAGGAGGAACATCAACATCACTGAAGACAACCTCAGTCACGTCTGCACTTCCTCTGGTGGTTTGGTTTCATCATGGCTACCACCAGTGTGCCGTCTATCGACAATGTCTCAACTCTGCCTCAGCCATCTCACATCACTCTTCTCCTCCGCCACCACAAATCAACAACACTACTTTCAGTCTCGCCGTCTCAGTCCTTTGAGAGCATCAAGACTCTGTTGCTATCTGCACTAAAGGCGCGTAACATCGCCAGCCTTCGCAACAGTTCAGACCCCGCCAACCCCACACCCCTACCTTCGTCACCGGACGACCTCGACTTTGGTGTTCTCTCCGACAAGAAGGACCATTCAAAAGGCTGGACTCTGCTGACACCAGACCTAACGGCTTCGTCTTCTGCCAAGAAGAAGTCCGCCAGCAGCAAAGCAGCCGATGCCGACACGCCCAGCGGAGCAGGTCTTGTCGACGGGAGTTGGCTCGCCTACCGCGCCCGCAAGTCATCTGGAGATGGTGACGAGGCAAAGGTTGATGAGAATGGCGAGGTCGACGTGGATATGGCAGAAGATCAAGGCTGGGATGTTGTGATCCCTAGCTTTGAGGAAGATGAACTCGTCGAAGACGATGCTGCTGCCGAAGCAGGTCCGAGCTGAGCACGGTCAGACCTCCAACTCGTGCTCAGCCCAACTTCGTTCCAGAAGTAGTATCACTGATCTTGGCTGCTCCCACTTGACAAAGTTCCTCGCTGCACCTGCCCACCTGCCCACCTGCCTCCGGTTGTTCCTGCAGTCGAGTACCTTCTCAAGATGGGATGAGAGCTCACCATTGTTGCGACTGACCAGGCCACCATCATCCGCTCTACCACATTCAAAGCTGGTGCTTGTCAACTCTCTGACACTTGCACCTCCGGCTCGCTAGAGAGTCTTCGACTGTGAAACGGTCCGGTGCTGCATGTGAGAAAGGACCAGAGATCGGGACAGCCTCTAATCACATTCAGTCGCGAGGTTGGGAGGCATCATCGGCCTTTCACGACACATCCTCTTACACACAGAGCGATACTCAAGAACTATCCCTTTCAACACTCGAGGTTTTCCTGACCTACCGATCGACGGCCAGCAATCGCCGGCATCTAGGCTCAAAAGCCCAAAATCCGAGTGTGCAGCACAGCAGCAGACCCTCTCAGTGTTCGCAGCCATTCGGTGCTCCCACAAGAGCTACTTTGGCAGCCCTCCCCTTTCGAGGACCACCCCAATCACAAACGGCAGGATAGGTAGCGAGAGACATCAAGCATGAAAAAATCAGCATCAGCAGATCCAATCAGTTTTTTCGTGGTATCATTTCATGTCCGTATCGTGTCTATACATCATCTCCTCCAGTCGCTCAGCCTTTACTAGTATTCGTATATCAAAGCAGCAAGAGGCATGTTGCTCAGCTGCAGCTGTGAGTGCCGCAGACATCCTCTCTTGTTGCTATCCAGCCAGCTTCATCTGCACATGATGCCACTTCCAGGTGGTATGTGTGGGGTAGGTCGGTACGGGTATTCAATACTGCTCCCCTTTCCCTTTCACTGATTCACCTGTATACCTTATCCATTCCCCTCCCCGTCCCAGGATATAATTTCGATGCATCAGAGCTCAAACACTGACGCCTTGCACAGCACACTCCCACCACCGGGCCCAGCCTGTCCCGGCGCCTGACCCGCCCCAGCACTCGCGGCGCCCCCCTCCTTCCTCTCGCCCATCTTGCCCCTGACCTCCACGGCCAAGAACGCCGCAAAGCGAATCCGGCCCTCTCCCGGCCTCAGATCCGGGTTCAGCAACTGTGCCACGCCTGCCTCACCAGGTTGTACGCCCCTCTGTTCACCACCAGCCGCCGCCGCCGCCGCCGCCTCCTGCTCTCGCACCAGCTGCTCCCGGCTCACGCCCGCGCCGGCTGAGCGCTGGCTGGACGTGGACTGCTGCGGCGTGGGCTTCTTGCTCACAAAGCCGCCGAGGAAGCCACTGCCCTTCTGGCCCTTGCCATTTCCCTTGTCCAACCCCTTGAGCGTGGAGCCACTCCCCTGACTCGCCACACTCTCTGTTCGGCCCTGCTGCGCGCTCTGTGTGGCCTTGGCCGCCGCCTCGCGGATCTGCTCCTCCACGCTGTTGCCTCGCACGCCCTCCTCGTCATCTGCATTGGGATCGGCGGCGCCGTCACCCGGTCCTCGCACTTCCTGCCCGGGGTTTGTGAGCGGCGTCATGCCCGTTTCGACCTTCATGAGAGACTCGTTGATCATTTCGCCGGGCATGAAGTAAGAGATCACGATGTCGCGCGACTCGAGAGGGATGTTGGCTGCGAGGCTGACTGCTTGGGAGATGATTGTGGCCACACCTTCCTGGAGACCTGGTGGTGGAGGCTCTTTCAGATTCGCCTGCAGGGATCCAGTGAGGTCATTGGTGAGGGATGCCGTAAGTCTTTCTTGGTATTGTGCAGCATCTTTGCTGTTGAGGTATGGACCGAGGCCTTCAATAGTGGTGAGACGCCAAGAGGTCAACTTGTTAAGGTGATCATCGCGCTGTTCGTCGGTGAACATCAAGCCGCTGGAGGCCTGGCTGCGAAGATTGCTCTCGATAGCTTTGAGGTATGTGGAAACTTCGATGGGAATCCCTGGGTGGAATGTCTGCTTGAACAGAGTATCGTTGAGCCAACGTGTGATGCAAGTGCGTCCCACGGCCGTCATCTCCTTGGTACCAATAGCGTGGGCATCCACGTTGCAAACGGGCTGCAGCCAGGGGGGCACTTTCTTCCAGTCCTTACGAATGTTGAACGCGAGGTTGTTAATGGCGCCGGAAAGACGCTCGAAGCGCTGGGAATATTGAGCATCATCGAGCGATGTTTTGGACATGGAAAGGCGTTGTGTTGCGACAGTGTTTTGGAGCTGCGTGACTTGCGCTTCACGCTCGAAATAGTAGCGCTTAACTTTCGAGTATTTGGCTTGTAGCTCTTCGTGCTTTTGAAGGAGTAGGCCGTAGTCCGTGTCTCGAGGGTCGTCGCGGTTGGAGCGTTGGGGTGGTGGGGTGTTGCGACCTTGATCGGGCTGATGTTGGGACATCCTGACTCTGGGATCTTGTTGGTACTGAGCCTGCTCCTCGCGAGGATCGCGCTGCGGTGCCTGTTGTCTTAAGTTGCCGTGGTTCACGTCGCCTCTTGCCATCTGCTGAGGTTGCGGCTGTAGCTGTCCCTGGCCCTGGCCAACCGACTGGACTGAGTAGCGGCTCGTTTGAGAAGTAGAGGGTCGCGAGTCTTGATGAATAGCACCGCCGATGGGGGAGGGAGGACCCAGTGAGGTTTGAGAGGGAGGTCGAAGACTCTGGTGCTGATCAACGAGCGCAATATTGGCGGGTCGTCCTTGAGCACTACCCTGCTGCTGTTGATAAGGCAGATAATGCTCAGAAGAACTTGCTGTGCCCGGCTGCTGGTAAGCGTGGTATTGGTCTTGCGAGGGCGGCGGGTAATGCTGCTGCTGCTGTTGTTGTTGTTGCTGTTGCTGCTGTGCTGCGGCTTGAGCCTGTTCCTGGTACTCGGGCGCACGTTGGTTGTACTGAGATGAGGGCGATTCGTAGTGTTGCTGCTGCTGCGCCTGGTATTGCTGCTGTTGGTACTGCTCGTAGTGGGCGGGGTCCTCGGGAGAATTGTCAAGCGATTGATTAGAGCCTCCAAAATAGCCCGACTGTCGATAATGAGGCGAAGATGGGCTATGTACAGAGGTCTCCCCTGATTGATGGTGAGACTTTCTCAGAAGATGAAGTGACCCCGATCGACCTATTCCGCCCTTCTTCTTCTCCGTTGGGGAGTGTAAGTTCTCTTTCTCTTTCTCCTTGTCCTTGTCCTTATCTTTCGAAAGGCCGAAGATACTGCGCTTGGAACGCTTGTGCTTCTCTTCAGTGGGCACATGCACTTGCTTTGACTGCCCGAACTGCGTTTGACCGGGCACTGGGACGGGGCCACGGGATTCAGGGACTTGCACGTGGACGGGCTGCGGGGCGGTGGGAGGAATGAGGTTTATGGGCACACTTTGACGTTGACCGCTCGCTTCAACATAGCCCGGTCCTTCGACAGAGTTGCGGGTGAGGATGTGTGCCGGATGGGGCTGGCCCTGAGGGTCTGGAGGGTATGGGAGATTGTGGTGGTCGTCGAGGGGTTGTAGGGGCGGCTGCGGAAATCCTGGGCGGTCAGCGTACTGGTGAGCTCCACCAGCGGCGTAGGAGGTTCGCGAGTGGGAAAGGTCCGGACTCGACGACCGCGAGCTGGTTATCCGATCAATCGAAGCCTGCGACTTGTTGTTGGACTTGAAAAGCCGCATTGATGTCGCAGATACTTGGTGTTTGCTGCGACAGCGACCGACGGAAGCAGATCTGTGCAACGGGGGAGAATAAAGAGATGTGGTCAGCGCTCCTCACGAGGAGGGGAGGGCGGTGCCCATGATCAGCTCTGGCACATACTAAAGCCGGGCTCTTTAGCCACCAAGAGATCTTACCCTTCTCGTTCATGACCGCGGGCCTCCAATTGGCGCGCCCATGGTCTCATTTTAGAAGCATTTGGTGCCTGGCACTCCGCTTTCGCCTGCCGCTAATTCAGCCCTCCTGCAGCCCAAGACTGCGGGTTGCATTTGCTGATGAGCAGCAGCGTACGGAGTACCAAGGACGGCGCCGAACATCAGATATATCAGATTACCAACGCCATAGTGACACTTCCTGAGGCTGAGAGTTATTCCAACTGGCTGCTCTATGGCTATTGGACTGTGGTAAGTGTATTTTCTATTGGAACTGACTGATGCGATGCAATGTGACGGCACAGGATTACCACCTCACCAGCTCACTCAATCAAATACTTGAATTACTGCTCCGTTGCCTCGTTGGTCGTCTGTCGCTTGAGCTCGGTGGCACGCCGCCGCTTCTGGACCACCATGATGCTCGAGTTGAGCTCCTTTTCCCTAAGCTCCGCCAACATGCTGGTAGCCAGAGTGCCCAGTGCTTGGTTGGTGACGCTGCTAGCACTGTCAAACATGCTGAGACTCATATCGGACGAGCCCCTACCCAGGATGAGCAACGTCTCAGCAGAGCTGGGCTCCGTCAACGCGGCTATCACTGCTCCCATCGCAGGGCCCTCCGACTCAATAAATTGCACCCGTTGCTTCATCTGGGCGGTGACTGACGACTTCAGAGTCTTGTATTCGAAAAGCTCATCTTCGTGCTCCTCATCAGCTTCCTTGCTAACCATTGGTCGGAGCACTTTGAGGTCGACGTTGTCATTCTTTGCGAACTGCAGACCAAGTTTCACCGCGAAGAGGCTGTCTTCACCACCAGAGTAGAGGACGAGCAGTCGTTGCCGACCGCTGTCGGCAAGTTTGAAGTTGATAACGGACTGACCCGCGTCTGGGACACTGATTCCGGTGTTGGTCCGGTTCAGCTGCCACGCTTGCCGGTCAACGACTGGGCTTTCAAGCTTGGGAGCCTGGGAAATGACCAGCTTGTCGACGACAACACCAACGCTGCTAGAGATGCGGGCTTTCTCAAAGGTCTCAGAGACTAGCTTCGCGAACTCGCGGTTGGCAAGCGGGCCTCCAGAGTGATCATCGAAGAGAGACGGATGCTCGCTCATAGTCCCGGTCTCTGACCAAGGAATGATGATGAAATCCGACGACAGATCCTTGGCCCGCTTCATCAATGTTCCAGAGAATGTGCGCTCGGGGACGACCGCCACTTGAGCTGCAACAGAGACGTCGTGCGATTGTCCAAAAGTGCCGAAGGCTTTGATGATAGGGTCTCGATTGGCGTACTCCTCGATTTCGGACACCCTCATAACGGACGAGTCTCTTTCCGTCAGCTCCATCAGTCGAAGGCCATGAACACGAACAGGCCGATGGATAGTGGCCGCAGACGATAAAGCAGGTTCGTTCTTAAAGACACCCCCTCCCTCAGGCTTCAAGAGCGGCCCACTGTGATCAGGCTCCTCTCTTTTCGCAGCAAACATGGACACCAATGTGAAGACACTGGGCAGGCCATCCAGACGCAAATAAACAAGAACTTTTCGGACAGCCTCGTGGTGCTCTGTCCAATCATCCTCACTAGATTCTGACGTACCGTCTTGAGGTAACCGATGGCCGTCCCAGTCGATTTTGCCCTTCTTCCAAAGGTCCAGCTTCCGTTGGTACCATGGAGGATAGAGCCAGGCGACCAGTGGCGTAGTCGCGAATGTTGTGACTAGTGCCATGACCACAAAGATGGTAAAAGTCCTCGTACTTAGAATCTTCGCCTGGAGACCAATGTTGAGAACAATGAGTTCCACGAGACCCTTGCAGGACATGAGGCAGCCGATAGTAAGCGATTCGCGCCAGACAAGCCCGTTGAGTCTTGCGGCCATTGTGCCGCCAAACACCTTGCCGAAGAAGGCGATCGCACACACTCCGACAACATAGCCCCACGTGATTCCGCTGTCCAGCAGACCGAGATTGGTTCTGAGACCGGAAAGGGCAAAGTAAAGCGGCAGAAACAAGACGCCAACCAAGTCTTCAATCTTCTCGGTGAGCTTGATGGCAAAGCCCCCCTCATGCGGGCATATGAGTCCAATCATGAAAGCCCCAAAGATAGCATGAATACCAATTATGGCTGTGAAGAAGGAGGAGGCTAAGACCAGGAGAATGGTCAGGGCCACCACCGTTTGAGTAGGACCGTTAGACAAGCTGCCTGTCTTTCGCAAGACCCACATGAAACCAGGTCTGACGGCAAATGCAAGAAACAAGCAGTATCCAACAGAGACTAGCAGAATCCACAGAGCTGTGAGACCAGCGCCTGAGTTGACCAGCGTCACACATAGAGCCAGAAGAATCCAGCCAACAACGTCGTTGCCAACACCTGCAGAGAGGACAATAACCCCAACCGGGGTGGTGAGCAAATTGAGCGAGGTCAAGATACGACACAAGACCGGAAAGGCCTGGAAATGTTAGCTTCGTCTCTCCGGGTCAGGCTAGGCTTACAGTGATGGCCATAGCAATACCAATGAAGAGTAGATAGATGCCAAAGTCGATGTGAGCAATGCCTTCGTCAGTGCGAAACTGATTATACAAGCCCCAGGCAATGGCGGCTCCTAGCCCAAATGGTACGACCATGCCGAGAGCGCCGACACTCAGCGCTATCCTCCAGTTACTGAGAAGGTATCGCAAGTCGACTTCCAGCCCAACAAGGAAGAGGAAGAGAATAAGGCCGAGGTTGGCCGCGAGATTGAATACAGGGAGCGAAGCTGGTGGGAAGATGGCATCAGTGAAACCGGGAATACGGCCCATGATCGAAGGGCCGAGTATGATTCCCGTGATGACTTCTGCGATGACACGAGGCTGCCTCAGGTAGGTGAGAGGGAAGTGTATGATGCGTGTCAGAATGATAACAATCGAAGCCTGTATGATAAACAGGACGATTGGGTTGCTCGGATCGAAATGGGTAGGATTGACATGCTCAAACACGCCGCCTTGAGGTGTCGCCCTATTGTCAGACGTTGCTGTCGCAGCGGTCGCATTGACCGTGGTGGTAACGAACTCTGTCAGCGTGGCGGATGCCATGATTGCTGCTCTTGTAAGGATGTAGAGGCAACTTCTCGCAGGGGCACCACAGTGGACTACAGGCAGTCGAGCCTGAGAAACAAACAAACAGCAACAAGGTTGTCACCCTCTATAGTCCGTGCGGTGTACGTGCGGTTTGCGCCTTGGCTTAGCGGCGAGCGGCGCCAAACCCCAGTCGATTGTCCCCGGAATGGACCAGCTGACCAGGAGAGGAGGGCGCAATGTGCGCACAGCCGTTCGGATAAAGCGAGCCAAGCAGGCAGCTAGGGGCCGAAAGGAAGCTCGAAAGAGATTCGAGGTTTCACATGTTCTGCCAACGTAGAGTGGGTGTCTGCCGTCTGCAGCATGACTTTCTCAAGACCACATGCTCGAAAACGGGGAAGAGGGTCCCCCAGCTTATAGCGGGATTCGCGGAGGGTTGGATGGCCCGTTTTGCAAGCGGCTGGACCAGTGTCCTGCTGACAACGGCGCCACCGCTCAGCTAGGGGTCTGGGCGCGATCTGGATCTTGGCCGTCATCATGGTGGGATCTGGGGCATGATCACTTTGTTGTCGATATAGGTGAGGTCGTGTGAGGGTCAGTGGCCGGGGACCTGAGCTCGATGCCGGGTTCGAAGGGATAGCGGATTACAGTTGACTTTTCCTATGGTTCCGTTAGTCAAGGGATGTGACGGTGTCGTGATAAGTCGGGATGGAAGCCTTAAAAGGTGTATCTGCAAACGAGTCTTACTTTCTTCGGAGCACGAACTTTAACGAGAGTGCGACAACATGCTGGTCCCAGCACTGGTCCAGGCTTCGGTAGATGCATATCTTGTGCTACATGGTAGCGGGATCTGCCAGGCGTCTCTACAGCGGCCTGGATAGTAACGGGAATGCACGCTAAATCCTAACCAAGAACGGAACGATTGAAGAAGTCTGAAAGATGAGTACTATTCGATGCTGCAAGTCCTTCAAGTCTGGCAACCACTGCCCCTGGGTATCTCTTTTGGATCGTCCACCATACTTAGGTCCGGGTCATTGCCACGAAATGCTTGACCATTAACGCCTGCGCTGTGCTGAAGTGTCGTAGATTCATTTCGCCCACGAAGGCCACACATAATCCATTGTTCGGGCTTTATGTTCGGGCTTTACGATGTGTCCATTGCATTGCCATCGGCCTTGATCGAGTGTGCTGCGCGAGTCAGAGCTTCGAGCCGCTGCTGTCTCTTCCGCTCCCCAAGTTTGAGAAATTCCTCGCCGTCGGCCCAGGGGCGACCTTCGTCTCGATCGGCTCGTGCGGTGCGAAGGTACCACTCGTCGAAGTAAGGGCAAGTCACAACGTTGACAGGGCCTCCATCGCCACAGAGATCGAAAGCGGGGCATCTGAGGCAGGGAACCTCACTGGCTCCGCCACGGCCAACGTCTTCAAGTTCAATCTGACGACGTGCATGCTTGCGGGTGCTGGCACTGTGGCTATCGAGCTTCTCAAACAGCTTGACCTTCTCTCCAAGTTCTCCCGGGGTCTTGAAGCACCGGTACATGGTGATATGCTCGCTGTCAGGATCCCGACCAGGCTCATCGCTTCGGGCTGGCCTCTTCATCTTGTACAGCTTCTCGTCGTACACCATCACTTCCAGCAGTTGGGCAACAGCAGTCACTGGGAGCCGGATTCCGCTAGCAATGTTGGCTGCGTTGACATCGTTGGTGACTTGCGCTGCAGTAGGGTAGCCTTCGTGGCCGGGAGGATGCGGCACGTAGAAGGTGGAATGTTGCTTTGGCTTCCCTCTCGTATCTTTCGGTTCTTTGTAATTGAGCTCCGGTGACGATGAGCGGGGTTGGTCGTCATCGACATGCATCGATTTTGATCTCCCTTTCCCTTTGGCGGTCGTCCGGGCCAGTCCCGCAGGCTCGTTGTGGTCCGAGGGCTTGACTGCAACCCAACTTCTGTCCGATATGTACTTCTCCGCCCAGAAAGACACGCCGTCGATCAGTTGCTGGTCAAGCTTCCCTTCGTCGAACCAGGCTCCACCAGTTGCGTCCTCACTTGGTTGCAGGCCAGCAACAATGAACATCTTCCGGTTCGGATGCTTGACACTTGTCATCTTCTTGATCCGACCTTTCTGCAAGAGGCTGTGATATGTCTTCTCGAGTACTTTGGCATGCGCCTGCAAGCGTTTCTGGAGCATCCTTGACCAGACGCCATTATTGCCAGCAGCATCGATATGGCTGAAAACGAGATGCTCTTCACGGGTAAGCCCCAAGTAGCTGTAAAGATGAGTTAGGCACAGATTGTAAAGTCTGGAAGCAGTGCGGTATACTTTTCGGCTCTTTCTTGGGAAACGAGCTCCCAACCAATACTGCCAGTGCCCTTGATGTCATGTGTTCTGAGGAGGCTCTTGCCCACGAGACTCTGAACCGCGCCAACCAATATTGTCAGATCCTGGTTGGGTATGAGGTTGGACGCGAGCAGGTCTTCCTGGCTGAAGATGTGACCGATGGAGTGATGTTGACAACACCAGGCGTAAAGCGCCTCACCGACGCGGTCTCGTGGTGCATTTGCGGTACGCGACGAAGCCGCTGCTCGAGCGGCCGCCATATCGTTATGAGTGTAGGGTAAGATGCTATCGTTTTACGTAGTAGTAGAGAGGTGGCATGGCTGGTGATGATTCCAGCCACAAATGAGTCAAAGGGATGTATCACTTCGCTGTCACCGAGGCATAATGTCTGTGAAAGCTCACTGAGGTACTCGAGTAGAAAGTCTGAAGTTCTCTGCAATTTTTTAGTTAGTGGTCCACGAGCGGGGCGGCGCTGCTGCAAGGCTGCAAGTGCAGTGGTGCAGATTGCGGAGTCACCTGGCTTTAGAAGCTGCGAGAAAGGTCCCTCCGCCAGTCGCAAATACAAATGAGCCTCACGTCTTCCTGCATTCTTACTCCTTCGCAGAGGAGAGATTCTTTGACTTAAACGTCACCTAGTCATACAAATTATTGCCTGACGCTTCTACGACTGCCGCCATCGATCGAACGACAATATGGCTGACGCCCTGAAAGCAGAGGGCAATAAGGCCTTCGCTGCAAAGAACTTCGAGGAAGCCATGTAGGTTTTCCCAAGCCCGCGGAAGTGATTTTGGCTGATGGTAGAATAGTGACAAATTTTCTCAGGCCATTGAACTCGACCCATCCAACCATGTTCTCTACTCTAACCGTTCCGGCGCCTATGCCTCGCTGAAGCAATACGACCAAGCTCTGGAAGATGCCAGTAAGACAACGGAGATCAAGGCTGACTGGCCAAAAGGCTGGGGTCGCAAGGGTGCCGCCCTGCATGGACAAGGCGATCTCGTCGGAGCCAAAGATGCTTACGAGCAGGCACTCAAGCTCGACCCCGCCAATGCTCAAGCAAAATCCGGTCTCGACTCTGTGAACCGTGCCATCGACGCAGAGGCTGCGGAAGATGGGCTCCCAGGCTTTGGTGGCCCCGGAGGAGGGCTCGGCAACATGTTCAATGATCCTCAGATGATTCAGAAGCTGGCACAGAATCCAAAGACAGCGCCACTGCTTGCGGACAAAGACTTCATGAACAAGCTACAGAGGTTGTCTCAGAACCCGAACGACCTCGGTCAGGAACTTGGAGACCCTCGGTTCCTTCAAGTCATGAGTGTGCTATTAGGTGTCGACATGCAGTTTGGCGCACCGCCCGGGGCTGGCGAGTCAGGCGCAAGCAAGGAATCAGAGGAGGATGTGCCAATGTCCGATCCTCGACCTTCATCTCAGCCACCTAAGCCGAAAGAACCCGAGCCTGAACCGGAGCCCGAGGACGAGGAGACCGCTGCGAAGAAGAAGGCCAAAGCAGAAGCCGACAAGGAAAAGGCTCTCGGTACCGAGAGCTACAAGAAGCGACAGTTTGATACAGCCATTGAGCACTACAGCAAAGCCTGGGAGCTGTACAAGGACATTACCTACTTGACAAATCTAGGTGCTGCAAAGTTCGAGAAAGGTGACTATCAAGGCTGCATCGACGCTTGCAAAGAGGCTATCGAGGAAGGCAAGCAGGTCTTCGCCGACTTCAAGCTCATCGCCAAGGCATATGGTCGCATCGGCACTGCATACGAAAAGATGGGGGATCTTGCCAACGCCATCGACAACTACCAGAGATCCATGACTGAGCATCGCACACCGGAGATTCTAGCCAAGCTAAAGGCAGCCGAGAAGTTCAAAGCTAAGAGCGAGAAAGAAGCTTACATGGACCCGGCCAAGGCTGAGGAGGCACGGGTTCTTGGTGGTGAGAAGTGGAAGGCGGCAGACTGGCCAGGTGCTGTGGAAGCATACACCGAGATGACCAAGCGAGCACCGGACGACCCGAGAGGGTACTCAAACCGCGCCGCGGCCATGATCAAGCTGCTCGCTTTCCCTAGCGCTATCTCTGACTGTGACGAGGCTATCAAGCGTGACCCAAAGATGACCAAAGCTTACCTCCGCAAAGCTCAAGCACTCTTCGGCATGAAGGAGTACAACCGTTGTCTGGATGTATGCACGGAGGCGCTGGAGCACGATGAGAGTGGTGCGAACACCCGCGAGATTGAGTCTCAGCAACAGAAAGCGCTTGAAGCCATGTACCAAGCTCGCGAAGGTGAGACCGAGGAAGAAACAGCAGCCAGAATTCAGCGTGATCCCGAGATTATGAGCATTTTGCAAGGTGAGTTTAAACCATCTATCGTCCTTGCAGAATTTGTACTAACAGCAAACAGATCCCGTTATGCAGTCTATCCTCCAACAAGCCAAGAGCGATCCAGCTGCGCTCAATGACCATATGCGTAACCCTGGCGTAAGAAGCAAGATCCAGAAGCTCGTTGCTGCTGGCGTCATTCGCACCGGTATGCGCTAGGACAACAATCGAACAGTTGTCGACGGCAACAAGCGCACTCTCTGACGATGGATGCATTTAGCGACTGCAGGAGTTGACCACCTGATTGAGAGGTTTCGAGAAAAAGCTGTATTCCCCCATAGCACCTTGACCTCAGATTGAGCTATCAGTTGTAACAACGTATATTGATCTGGTATCTGTACATCGTGCGCCATGCATCTGCGCGCTCCTGATTCCGCCAGCTGCCGATGCCTGCGGTTCCAGCGATGCAGATTCGTAGCCTACATCGCGTGTCTTCTTGCATAACCTCCGAACAGAGACACCCTTACTCATACAGCATCTCATCGTAGTCTTCTGACCAAAAGCTTTGCAGCTGCTTCCTTGCGTCGCACCTGCCTTGTCCACTAAGGACGTTCCCCGACCCGCCCAGGTGAGTATATACTCGCTTGTCAGGTCGGTGCTTTTGCATCTTGCCGCAACCAACCTCTTCATTCGGAGTGACGCTCGCTTTATCTAAATCGACTGACTGTTCGTCCGTCCATGTCCATTGCTCCATACTGGATTCGGTGCCCCAGACATCTAATTGACCGACCCCATGGCGATCTTGTCCCAAGAAAGTGATTATTCTTTCCCAGCTCTGCGACCTCAAGCTTGAGCCCCTTGACCGATCCACCCCAGGCCTTGCGCACTCAGCCCGTTGCGTTCCAATTCCCTCCTTCGACTCAGCTTCGCCAGCAGGCCGCCGGCCCCATCCCGGTCTTCGGCGCGCTCTTCCCGGCCCATCCTCTTCTCGCGGATTTCCAGGTCCACTTCCTCCCTCCATCCCTGTATGTCATCTGGAATATGCTTCATCTGCACGCTCGGCGCTCCCTTGATGTATCTGAGCTGCTCTTGGACATGCTGGATGATGTTCTGGATGTATTTCTTGTCGTTCATGTTTTCTTTGCGCCAGGTGCCAAGATTCGGGTAGAGCGTGAAGCCCTCGCGGCGGAAGGCCTCGCGGTGGGGCATATACTCTGGCAGTTCTGGGTTTAGAGTCTTGTCGGCGCCGATGCAGATGGAGGTCTCGTGGGCCCAGGCACGGGCGACGTTGCGTGGCGTGTATCCGCCGCCACCGACCACGATCATGGGGATGCCGAAGGACTTGACGTAGGATACGCAGCTGCCGTGGCCGCGGATGTTGAGATTGAAGCAACCCAGGCGGTCGTGGCCGAGCGAGTCGGCGCCACATTGTAGCACGATGGCGCTTGGATGAAACGTGTTGATGGTGGGACCAACAACTTCTTGGAAAAGGGACTGATATGATTCATCGTCGATGCCGTCATTAAGAGGAATGTTGATGGTATAGTTTTTGCCAGGATTGTCGGGATGAAGAGGCCCAGTAGACTCGAGGGGGCCGGTGCCAGGGAAGAATATCTCTTTGTCGTATTTGTGGAAAGAGACGCACATGACGCGGTCCGTCGACCAAAAGGCTTGCTCGACACCGTCACCGTGGTGAACATCGATGTCTATGTAGAGCACACGTGGATGATGGCGCAGAAGCTGTAGAATGGCAAGCACAATGTCGTTCACGTAGCAGAAGCCAGAGGCCTCGGCTTTCTTGGCATGGTGCAGGCCACCTGACCAGTTGATAGCGATATCGGATTGGCCGTTGCAGAGCTTGCGCGCTGCGTCCATGGAAGCGCCGGTATAGAGCGAGCAGTATGTGAACAAGCCATCGAAGATGGGGCAGTCATCGCCGACGCCAAAAACGGCAGACGAGTAACCCGTGCCATTCATGAGTTCGGGGTACATCTGATATATGTTGGTGGGTGTAGCGACGTTAAGGAAATCGACATAATCATCCTTGTGAAATTCTTTGAGTTCCTCTTTTGTGGCCGGCCGAGAGACGTAGCAGTCCATAGCAGTGTGCATTCCATAAGAGAGAATGAGGTCTTTCGTAAGCGTTAACCGCCATGGCTTCATCGGGTGCGTCTGTCCGAAGTGGTGATGTTCAACCTCAGGGTTGGAATGCCAAGATACAGTATAGCCCTTTGGTCGTTCGATTTCGTTAGCTGCAACCTCCTTCTTTATTTTTTCCGAGAGATGGAAAGTCGCAAGTCGCTCCTGTACCGCACCGACACCATATTCCTCTACTATTCCTCCGTTGGCCATGGTCTGGACCGGGGCCGACAAGGCCTCAGTCTGTGTAAGTGCAGCACAGGGCCCGGCGCAAAGTGTCGCAGTGATCAGAAGTCTTCGAGTTAATTGGCTTGAGGTAGTACGCCTCCCAGCAGGACTATCACGACCGGACAAGCAATGCGCTTGTGATGGGACGGTAGCAGAAGAGACACCAGCTCGTACTCCGGGGTCGCTGACTGTCGCAGAGGGCCGAAAGTTATCGAGTGTTGTTTTGGACCGTCTTTCAAGGCAGTAGAGGAGAGATAAATAACTCTAGTAAGCAACAGAACAATGAAGGTTGTGGGATTGAGCCTGGCGGAGGAATTCTTCAACACGTTCATCTGTGGCGGCGAAGAGGCTGACCTCGCGACTGGGGGTTGCCTTCGGTGGTGGAAGACTAGGCTGTTCGTGGCTTAGTGCTCAGCCTTACGCCCCGTTCTCGCCCAACTTCAAATTGCGCCTCTCTCTTGCCGTCTTGCATAACATTGTTCATCAACCATTCGTCTCTGCTTCACCCGTCCATCTATAAAGGGGCCCAACAAAGTCCGGTTGATGCGTCTCACCACCGCCAACACACCAGGTGACCATTACACACAGTTTCGTAACACTGGGAATCATCCCTGGCTCCTGGTTGCCAAGACTAATAGGTTCAACAAACACGGGATCTGAGCCGTGCTGATGGCCGCTCAGGAGGATTGCGCTTCAGTGCTGGAGCAGTTCATTCATGATGTTGCCAATCTCCCGGCCGAAATCAGCCATATGATGGAGGAGATCCAGGCTAAGGATACTGAGATGCAAAAGTATCAGGCTACCATCAACAGCAAGGACGGTAACCTGCAGAAGCATATCAAGATGAACGGCGTTTTGCAGGCACATCCTAAGGAGTCCGAGTACTATGAACAGGTCAAGAAAAATTACGAGCTCATGGCCACGTTACAGAACCAGAAGGTACAACTAAGCGAGAAGGCATGTAGCATTTTGGACAACCAGCTAAAGCGACTTGACACCAAGATACGAGACTTGGCCGCCGACAACCAGCTGTCTGCAGATGGCCTTCCCAGCATATTCAACCGGAAGCCTGAGAGGGCCTTCATGGACGTCGCGCAGAATATGTTTTTGCAGGCGGCTTCTATCAGCGCCTTGAACGCCAACGCGCAGCGCATGAATGCTCAAGCCTCCGCTGGTATAACAGTCCAACCGCGCCAGAATCCCCAAGTCGGTCCTCTGACTGCAGCTCCTCAGAGATCTTCCGCTCCAGCAACGCCAGGCGCTATGCAAGCCCAGCGTCAACGAGAGCGAGAGCAGTCTCTGGGCGCTGACAACAAGCGGCGCAAATTAGGCAACCCATTGGCCGGTGCGAACCTGCCAGCTCAGCCTTCGAACCTCAGACAGTCGTCTTTGGGTCCCGGCACGCCCAAAGCCGGCACGCCAACCGCAACGAGTGGCAGCCGAGCCGGCAGCGTCCCTCGAACTACTGCAGCTCCTCCACCAGCCGCCGTCAATCCCAAGAAGTCAGCGCTATCAAACAAGCCACTGTCGAATCAACAGCTCAACAAGCTGAAGAATAAGCACACTAAGCATGCTCGCTTGTCTTCGGCTGGACGCAAGAAAGCACAGTCACCCACGGTCCGCGGCGGTCGTGCAGGCACAGCCGCTTCAGAAGAAGAGTCGGTCTTGTCCTCAGCCGACGCTTCTGAGACAGACGTCTCGCAGAGCCGATCCCGCAGAGGCCAGAAGAAGAAACAGCAAACAGTCAAGCAAGAGGTTGACGTGGATATGGATGAGAACGACCCAGGGGACGAGGATTTGGATGAAGAGGATAACAGTCTGTACTGTTATTGTCAGAAGCAGAGCTACGGAAACATGGTTGCATGTGAAAATGAAGATTGCAAATTCCAGTGGTTTCATGTGGACTGCTTGAATTTGAAAAAGATGCCCGCGGAGGATGAAGATTGGTACTGTCCAGACTGCCGGATCAAGCCCGAAGTCATTGAGCGGATTAGGATGAAGCCATCCTCGAAGCCAGCTGGGCGCAAGTAGAATAAGGCCATGCTCTTTTCTAGCATTTGGTACCCGAACAACAATAATCACAAAGACGAGGGCCAGGGCTTTCCCAAGCCCCTCTGTACAACACAGTGCTTCACCGCACGAGCGCGTCACTTGTTCGTTACACATTGGTTCTACGGAATGCTAGACTGCCAGCGTGATGCATCATGTGTTTAAGCAAGACAGTTATCTCTCCGTGCTGGAGTCACCAGTGAGGACGACTCAGCCACAGAGAGGCGGAGATTGGGATCTGGCCAGCCCTGCATGTCTGCAGAAATCCCGAGTGTTGGAAGCTGAAGATCGCTGGGTATGCCCAGAGAAAGTTCGGGTCTGCCTCCATCAAGTCGGTGCTCCATGTGCAGATCCCTGCTAGCTTAGATCTGTTCAGCTCGGTCGGGTTTGACGCAGTTCACGGCAGCTGTAATCTACAGCAAGCTTGATGCTAGTGCAATGCTATGCCGATCTCTAGTAACATTGACTCGGGACCCTTGTGCAGTCGAGCGGAGAAAAGTAAAAACATGCAAGCTGCTGCTGTTAAACATGGCAGCGTGGACGAATTTCCAGGAACTGAGGACTCGGTTATCAGCAAATAGTCGCAATCGCAGGCTAAAGTATGGCCTAGTATGCCGCGAGCTCCATCCCGCAATTAAAGCGACCCGCCTATGACGGCAGCCTTGGATGGTCCAAGTTGCACGGTCGGCTAAGCTGCGTAAGCTGCGCAAGCTGCGCAAGCTCCTCCCCACAGCAGCCCTGTCAAACAAGTGACGGCGAATAAGTTCCAGGACCCCAGCCATTTGGGCGGTTACTACTGCGCCTCGGTGTAGCTGTTCACGTTGCTTCCAAGCGTGAAGGACTGCTAATCAGAAGCAACTGCAGAGCTCCTTCTTGCTCAGCTGTTACCCCATAACTTCAACCTTCCACTTCGACTTTGTTCCGTTCTCCAATAATCGAGTCTCCCGCCTGCCGCTGCGTTCCCCAACGCAGTCGCTCTCGCACGTCCTGTCAACGTCCTGCCAACGCTCTCACACAACGTCGCACACTTCTCTGCCGCTTGTTCAACCCTTATCTGCGACGACCTCCTTGGTCGCGAGCTACGTGCTCCCCACCAACACCACCTCGACCACGCTGAGCACACCGCGCCCTTCTCACCATGGCGTCCGGCTTCAACGGTGAGGTCAAAGGGGAGCTCGCGGTCGAGGCTGCCCGCGACCCTGCCAGCAATGTGACGGCCCAGCAAGCTGAGAATATTATTCTGAATGAGAGCAAAAAGGCGGGAGCGGTTGCCATGCAGTTTGACCCAGACGCTTCGCCAGAAGAGAAAGCGGCTCAAGCAAAAGCGGTATACCTAACTTAAGTCCCCCAAGCAATGTCTCACAGCTGACCTCTACAGCGTGCCAACGACACGAGAGGCTCTCGAGCCCCGAAGGGCATGGGCATCGTCACTGACCTAGTGAGTCCGATCTCACGACTCTAGAGCCTGGGCTAACGCATACAGAATGGCGGCGGACCAGATGATTACAAGCTTCCTCCCCCCTCAACCTCGGGTGCTCTGCCCGCCGAGACGGTTGAAGAAAAGGCAGCAAACGGAGCGCCTCGCGAGGACGCTGGTGACTGGGCAAAGGTTGGCTGGGCACCTCGCTTCGGCACCGGCGAGACAGAGTCGGAGAAAGGAGACGACCGCAATTTACTAGACCATCAGACCTGGATCGAAGGAAAACTAGACGACAAATTCTTTGGTGACTGGTACCACAATGCGGCGGTCATCGTCTTTGCCTGTCTGGCATCATGGCTAGTAGCGGAGCTTGGGGGTGGTCTTGCCTGGGTCTTCCTCATCATGGCCACCTGCGGCTCATACTACAGGACCTCTGTAAGACGGACACGTCGGAACTTTAGGGACGATGTCACTCGCGAGATGGCCAAGGCTCGACTTGAGACAGACAATGAAAGTCTCGAGTGGATCAACAGCTTCCTCGTCAAATTCTGGCCAATTTACGCACCTCAGCTGGCCATGGGCATCGTGCAGTCTGTCGACCAGGTCCTCAGTACCTCAACCCCTGCGTTCCTCGACAGCATGCGCCTCAAGGAGTTCACCTTGGGAACAAAGCCACCCAGGCTCGAACATGTCAAGACCTATCCACGAACTGAAGACGAAATTGTCATGATGGATTGGAAATTCAGCTTCACACCCAATGACACGATGGACATGACTGCGCGGCAGCTGAAGAACAAAATCAATCCCAAGGTCGTACTCGAAATTCGGATCGGTAAGGCGATGGTCAGCAAAGCCATGGACGTGATAGTCGAAGATTTTGCCCTCTCCGGTCTCATGCGGGTGAAGATGAAGCTTCAGCTCCCTTTTCCTCACATCGACCGTGTCGACATCTGCTTTTTAGGCCGTCCTGAAATTGATTACGTCTGCAAGCCGCTAGGAGGCGACACATTCGGCTTTGACATCAACTTCATTCCCGGTCTAGAGACATTCATCAAAGATCAGATCCACGCCAATCTCGGACCCATGATGTACGATCCTAACGTCTTCCCTATCGAAGTGGCCAAGATGCTCTCTGGCAACCCCATCGACATGGCTATCGGTGTTGTTGCCGTCACGCTTCATGGCGCTCAGGGGCTGAAGAACCCAGACAAGTTTTCTGGAACGCCGGATCCTTACGTAGTCGCATCTCTCAATAACAGTAAGGAGCTTGGTCGCACGAAAGTCATCCATGAAAGTGCCAACCCTCGATGGGGAGAGACACTTTACATCATCGTCGCCAACAAAAGCGACGCTCTCACTCTCACCGCGTTTGACTACAACGACATTCGTAAGGACAAGGAATTGGGTATCGCAACTTTCCCGCTCGACCGACTCGAGAACGACTTTGAACACGAAAATCTTCACCTCGAAGTTCTTGCAAATGGCAAGCCACGTGGAATCATTTCGTGCGATGTGAGATTCTTCCCGGTTCTTGAGGGCACAAAGGTCGATGAACATATGACAACGCCGCCTCCCGAATCAAATACAGGCATTGCTCGTATCACAATGGAGCAGGCCAAAGATCTCGACGGTAGCAAGAGCTTGGTCGGACAGCTGAATCCCTACGCCGTGCTCTTGATCAACGGCAAGGAGGTTCATATTACGGGCAAGCTCAAGCGCACCAATAATCCTGTCTTTCCTGATGCCACCAAATCGATTCTTATCACAGATCGTCAGAAGGCCAGAGTTGGTCTGGTCATCAAAGACGACCGTGACCTTGCCACTGACCCTGTGCTGGGCACCTATCAGGTCAAGATGAACGACATGCTCAGACTAATGGAAAACGGTCAGGAGTGGTTCAACCTGCACGGCACAAAGACCGGCCGGGCTAAACTACTACTTGACTGGAAACCAGTGGCGCTGAAGGGTGTTGTAGGCGGGTCTGGTGGCTACATTACCCCTGTGGGAGTAATGCGCGTTCACGTGCAGAGTGCTCAAGACCTTCGAAACTTCGAGACGTTTGGAAAATCGGATCCATACGCCAGACTGTTACTCTCTGGTATCCCTATGGGCAGAACTGTCACCTTCCAGAACGAACTCAATCCTAAGTGGGATGAAGTTATATACGTGCCAATTCATACGACCGCGGAACGCTTGACCCTTCAGGTCATGGACGCGGAAAAGCTCGGCAAGGACCGCCCGCTGGGGCAAGTTCAGATCATAGCGTCCGAGTACATGAAGGAGGCTGAAGGTGGTGGCTACCAAGTCCACGACGAAAAGAAGCCGCTTTCTGAGGGACTCCGCATTGGGGGCCAGGGTCAGGCAAAGGGCAAAATCAACTATACGGTCTCGTTTTTCCCCACCTTGAACGTAATTGACCCAGATGAGGAAGAGGAAGAGCGCAAAGCCGCAGAGGAGCTCGCAGCCGCTTCAGCTGAAGCACCTGCCACTCCGATCCGCGGACATAGCAAAAAGTCCTCGGTGGATATCAAGACTCCGACCAGTACGGCTAGACCTAGCTTGGATGGTCGGAAGAGTCTTGAAGCAGCCGGACGCCTGAGCATGGCGAACGGTACTCCGTCAATTGCTGGCTCCATTGCCGAGTCCAAGAAAGAAGCTCCGAAGGTACGAATCGACGCGGAAGACTTAGCGCAATATGGTATGACTCTCGAAACGCTATCTTTGAATACCACTGACCAGTTTGCAGAAAGCGGACTGCTTGTTTTCCAGATTCTTGAAGGATCCTTCGCGCACGACGATATTTGGCTAGAGGTGCTTATGGACGATCACCTTTTCCCATCGTATACATCCTCGAAGATTAAGTCTCGCAAGCACAAGTTCCAGGAAACTGGTGACGCGTTTGTTCGAGAGCTCGACGTCTCACGAATCACTGTCCGGCTTGTCGAGAAGACAGACAGTGCAGGAAAGGGCACTGATGACGACCACATTGTCGCCAAACTCCAGGGCAACACCATGCAGACCATTCAACAATGTCTTTACAAGGAGACCGAACTGACACTGAAAGGAACCGATGGCTCGACTAACAAGGTGACGTTTAAGATGAGATACCTTCCTGTGCAGATGAAGCTTGATCCAAGCGAGAGCATTAACAACATGGGAACACTCCATGTCGATGTTCTAGACGCGGATGATCTACCATCAGCGGATCGCAATGGGTTCAGCGACCCTTACTGCAAGTTCAAGTTGAATGGCAAGGATGTCTTCAAGACCAAAGTTCAGAAGAAGACGCTGCATCCTGCCTGGAACGAGTTCTTCGAAGTTCCGATTCCGTCACGAACGGGAGCAGACTTCAGGTGCGACGTTTACGATTGGGATTTCGGTGATAAGGCGGACTTCTTGGGCAGCACACCCATCAATCTAGAGGTCCTGGAGCCATTTCAGGCCCAAGAGCTGCGTTACCAGCTCGATGGCAAGTCGGGCGCACTACGTCTCAAGATGATGTTCAAGCCAGACTATGTGACGCGATCGCGACAGGGCTCATCTACCTTCTCGGGCACCTTCGCTCCAGCTGGCAAGGTCGTCGGCGCTCCTGTTAAAGGAGTCACCAAAGTTGGTGGTGCAGTTGGAGGTGGCGTCATCAAGGGAGCCTCTTTCCTGAAACGTGGTTTCACAGGACGAAGAAGCAAGGACGAGGAGGTGCTGGTCAACGGTGATGCCGATGCAACTCCGCCTCCCAGCACACCGAGCGGCACACCGGCTCGAGCGGCGGCACTGTCAGAAGTGCCAGAGTCGAGTCCTAGAGTGTCAGCACCCAGCACACCAATGACGCCTCACCAACGGACCAAGAGCGGCGGCTCTATGATAGGCGGAACGCCGGGCGGAGCGGAAACCGGCGTCGCAAGCTTCGTTATTGTCTCGGCATCGGGATATCCGCCATCTGCGGACGTCCGCGTTCACGTCAAGATGCTTGGTCCCAAGGGAGGGAAAGAGCTCTTCAAGACGAAGGCCGTCAAATCCTCTTCTGGAACAGTCGAGTATGATGCCAGCCACGAAAACTTCAAAGTCAACTGCTCCGCAGATGCGCAATTCCAGGTATCGGTCAAGGACAAGAACACCTTCCGAGACGACGATCTCGGTGAAGGCATGTTCTTTGTATCGGACCAGGGCGCCGGGTCTGAGCAAGCGGTCAAGGCTGGCTCGGGCACGGTGACGATTCGCAGCAGCTTCAAAGCGGCAGCCCATGGCGATGGCGAAAGCTTGAGACCCTCTACAAGCGGCAGGGAATCTCCCGAATCAAAAAGAGACCCGCATCGGAAGAGCTTCTTCGCTAGACGTGATGCCAGTGGCAAGCACGAGGCAGCCACCAAGGAGTAACGGATGGAAGCGAATGCCCAGACGGTGGCTTTCGTGCCTAGTTTCAGCGATACCAGATATCCTCCCGTAGTTTTATTATTAGTTTTTCACCCACCGGCGTATGGCCGGCAAAAAGAGAGGTACAGGTGATGCACCTGGAGCACGGGCAGCCTCATGGCAGCCATGAGTTACACAGCTATCCGGAGATCTGGCCCCGATTCGCTCGGAGCACCAATCGCGAGTCCTGGCCCTGTGCTAGTAGCAGCCGAATTAATCCCAACAAGACATTGCGGTATTTGATAGAGGGCCCATTACGGGTTCTGGCTGAGCGATCTTCCCGGAAAAGGGCGACTGCGTAGTAGTGTTCTCGCGGCTCGCTGAGGTCTCGAGCGGGCGGCAAAGACTTGCGATCAGAGCGGCCTTCTCCCAAGAGCCAGTCATTGGCGGCGCTGAGACACGCGTTCGCCACCAGTTGCTCAATGACCTTGTCCACTGCCCCTCACTCGCCCCTCATTGATGTGCATGCCACTTTGCCAGTGGGATGTCGAGCTTAGTGGGGAGAGCAGTTGCAGGGTCCGACAAACATAGCAACACTGTAAAAAAATTCAGACCACTGCTCCCAACAACGTCTCTCGTGAGCGACTACTCCTGATATAAACCTGCTTGTTGTACAACAGTGCCCACACGCAAATTCTCGTCCTCGTGGAAACTGTCAAATCCTTATCGACGTCTAGCCGGCACTTGATCTCCACATCTCTTTCCGTTTATTGATATACGTGGAGGCACTATTGCACACCCTGTCAGTACTGACCGCCTCTCTCTCCGATAATCATAAACCGTCCACGTAGCCAACGAAAGGTCTCGGCAAAGCCACGCATTCGTGTTGCTGTGCTCGACCTGACACAGGCTTCGTTGGAGCTCAAAAAGCACGCCGGCCTCCCTGTCTGCTCGACTCAAACTGACCTCTTTGTCTTCAGGTTCCGCAACCATGGCTTCCAAAGCAATTCCCTCGCACCTTCGTCCACAAGCTGCCAGCAATGGCGGTGGTGATGCAGCTTTCAAGGAGCGTCACCACGGCAAGACCCAATCTCATGTGGTAAGAGCATCCCTCCCCACCACCAGAAGAGCAAAGCTGCAAAAACGGGCCGGGCCTGGCCTGCACAAAAAAAAAGATACTTGTGGAAATGGCATCGAGACCTTTGTTTCAGCCCACCACTGCCTTCACTCCCACACCTGAGATCCTGATGTTACCTACCTTCTTTCAGCAGCCAGTAAACGGCTGATTGTGCTGGCGTCACTTTACATCATCCCCACCATTCGCACATTGACCATCCCTTGCCCCTGCACTGCACCTTTCCTTTGCAGCGCTGCACACCGCCTATCTGCGTTTTTATCATTGCACTTTCGTTATGGCTTCGCAGCTCTCAAATTCGACTTCCATGAAAATGCCCGCCATGCAAGAGTATCCGCTGACCAAAGTCGACACTCAGGCTTTCGAGAACACCTCGACCAATGTCGCAGCTAGCCAGATGCGCAATGCCCTCAACAACCTTGCAGAGACCTGTCCCGACCCCGCCGAGAGAAAGAGATTCGAGGCTGAGCAAGACAACTTCTTTGCCCTCTTCCGTCGCTACTTGAACGACAAGGCCAAGGGCAACACCATCGACTGGAACAAGATCAACCCTCCCGCACCTGAGCAGGTCGTCAACTACGACAAGCTTCCCAACACCGATGCCGTCGACTTCCTCAACAAGCTGGCGGTTGTCAAGCTCAATGGCGGTCTTGGTACATCCATGGGTTGCGTTGGACCAAAGTCGGTCATTGAGGTTCGAGAGGGCATGTCCTTCCTCGATCTTTCAGTTCGTCAGATTGAACACCTCAACCGCACCTACGATGTCAACGTTCCCTTCGTCCTCATGAACTCGTTCAATACCGACGATGATACCGCTGCGATCATCAAGAAGTACGAAGGTCACAATATTGACATCCTCACGTTCAACCAATCCCGCTACCCGCGCATTCTCAAGGACTCTCTCCTCCCTGCGCCCAAATCATACTCGTCCAAGATCTCCGACTGGTATCCTCCCGGCCACGGAGACGTTTTCGAGTCGCTCTACAACTCGGGTATCCTCGACCAACTGCTCGAGCGTGGAGTCGAGATCATTTTCCTGTCCAACGCTGACAACCTTGGCGCTGTCGTCGACCTCCGAATTCTCCAGCACATGGTTGAGACCAAGGCCGAGTATATCATGGAGTTGACCGACAAGACCAAGGCCGATGTCAAGGGTGGCACCATCATCGACTACGAGGGCAAGGCTCGCCTGCTCGAAATTGCTCAGGTTCCCAAGCAGTACGTAAATGAGTTCAAGTCGATCAAGAAGTTCAAGTACTTCAACACCAACAACATCTGGATGAACTTGCGTGCGGTCAAGCGCGTCGTCGAGGCCAACGAGCTTGAGATGGAGATCATCCCCAACGAGAAGTCCATTCCCGCCGACCAGAAGGGCGAGGCCGACCAGAGCATCGTTCAGCTCGAGACTGCTGTCGGTGCTGCTATCCGTCATTTCAAGAACGCTCACGGTGTCAACGTTCCTCGGAGACGCTTCCTGCCCGTCAAGACTTGCTCTGACCTCATGCTCGTCAAGTCCAACCTCTATACCCTCAGCCATGGCCAGCTTGTCATGGATCCCAACCGATTCGGTCCCGCTCCTCTCATCAAGCTTGGCGGTGATTTCAAGAAGGTCGCTCAGTTCCAGAAGCGTATCGGTAGCATTCCCAACATTGTTGAGCTGGACCACTTGACTGTTACTGGCGATGTCAACTTTGGCCGTGGCATTGTCCTAAAGGGTAAGTCCAGCACTGGAAATTGTGAGCTTCGCTAACATTACGCAGGCACTGTCATCATTGTCGCTACCGAGAACAGCACCATCGATATTCCTCCTGGATCCGTCCTCGAGAACGTTGTCGTCCAAGGCTCTCTCCGCATTTTGGAGCACTAGATGAAGAGGTTTGCAGCATTTCGGGTGCAACTACTTGCTTCATGGCCCAAGTTGCGGACTTCTATTCGATACAAGGGAAAGCGGCTGAGCATAGATTACTGGCGAACATGCTTGCAAGTTGACGGTCAACTTCGAGGAAGCTGGGTGATAGACGCGTATCGACCGAGGCTTCGGAAGACAGTGTATGGATCATGGACACAGGACTTAATGACGAGTACAAAAAGTCAGCAACTGACAACACTAACGACGTGAACACTACCTTTCCATGCTTCCTTTGGACCGTTGTCGTGACCAGCCCGACCTGAGTGCTGGCCATCTCGGCCCGCTCCGCTGACGGTTATGTAATCCGCTCCTCCACCACAAGCTGTTCTCGCTCCTCACACTGATATTTATATTCGTGTGCTTCGGTAGACCTTGGTGTGTCGGCCTCTTCAATTGCCTGGCTCTCCCATTACAGTGCTCTTGGCAACCTCTTTTATCTCGCACGAGACATTCTATCGCATTGCCAGCTACGCAGCAGCGTATCTACGAGTAGTCATCTCACACAACGGAAAGCACAAGCTTGCCGGAGCGCATACACCGACCAAAGTTCGCCTATTGACCTCCTCGTAGTAAGTTGCTGGTTAGTCAGGCACGACTACTGTCCTTCCGGGCTCGCAACGGGCACCACCGAAGCGCGGCGTGCGTGAGATCCAGACAGGACAGCACAGCAGCGCGCCCCGTCAAACGGGAGAGTCATCATTTCAGCCTCTCGAATCTTTCCCCCCCCCTATCATTGCTCTCGTGGGGCCTGACCCAACCAGGACCACGGGACCTGATTTTCCAAGTCGGCTTATCTAGGCCGAGGCCTATTCAACCGCGGTCGCCATAAGAAAGACCAAAAAAAACGCATCCATGTCCACCACGCCACAAGCCGTATCCGCCTCCAATGCATCCCAAGATGCGAAGGGTGATGCGCCGCCTCAAGGACTCAGCAGCAGCACGAGCACGACGGGCGCGGCGGACAAACAGGGCACATTCACGCTCCTCCTCTTCGCCTCCGCCTCCACGGTCGCCAACAACACCGACTCCCTCACGCTGGAGGCGCCCATGACGTTGAAGCAGCTGTTTGAGATGCTGGAGGAAAAGTTTCCCGGCATGAAGAGGAAGGTGTTGAGGAGTGCGGCGGTGACGGTCAATTTGGAGTATGTGGATTTTGAGGTTGGGGAGGATGGCGGGGTTGTTGAGCTGGATGATGTGCAGGGGGACGGGAAGGTGTGGTTGAGGGCTGGGGATGAGGTGGCTGTTGTGCCGCCTGTTAGTAGTGGGTAGGGTGCTGGAAGGCGGTTGGGTTGATGGAAAGAGAGAGTGGGAGGAAGGAGAGACGAGGGGCCGGGTGGGGAGGAAGAAGGAGACGGAGAAGGAGTAAGAGAAAGAGAGAAGCTTAGTTGTGTCTGAGCTAGGGCTACGAGGGGCGGGCTTTCAAGTCTAGATCACGTTCCCGGACTGGGACAGCTTTGTCTGAGAGGATCTTATATACGGTTATAACGCGTGTTTCCGCTAGCCTGGAGAAATGGGATGGAAGCACGTTTTCGGAGGCGGTACCGAGCCTTCCATGTCGCTCACACCGGTCCGTGGATGTGTCTGGTTGAAGGACACCCGGCAGGCGCTGATGGACATTCTCGCGCTACGCATCAGGTTGCAGTGTGTCAAAGGTGCGGCATTAGGGAAGTCACGGGCGGACAGTCACGGCTGGCGAGTCTGAACAACATGGAAGAAGGATCAGGTGCCGCAGCTGCAGTTGCAAAAGAGGCAGATCTGCCCTGTCCGCTTGCAGGCCTAAAGCCTACAGACATCTGACGAGCGCTTCGAGCATCTCCTTCCCTTCCTTAGCCTTGTCCGTGTCGGCATCAATGCCCTCAAGCTGCTCCTGCAAGCTGCGTTTCAGCACAGCCGTCCCGTCATTGGCTTTCAGAAGAGCTTCGATCTTCGATCTGGCGCCTGTGTCTTCGGCGACAAGCCAGCTCAGGACCACGTCCAAGGTCTGCAGACTGTACAGGCCCGCCTCCAGCCTACGGGACAGCCACTCGTCCTCAAGCTCGGCCAGTTCCTCGGGCGAGGGACTTGTGCGCTGCTTTTGCTTCTCGTCTTCGATTACAGCGTCGACCCTGGCGAGACGGGTTCTATATTCGCCTCTGAGCTCGATCAAGCGGTCGATCTTTTCGTAGTTGCGCTCCACGAACTTGGCCAGAGTCCGTATTCGAGCCGGCGAATCGGCGGGAGTATACCTGAGCAGGCTGGCTGATATGCCTATGAGGTGCTCGACGGACTCTCTCTCGAGGCTGCCCTTGCTGGACGATTTCCTGTCCTTGCCCTTAGCCTTGCCACCTCCCTTCATCAAGAGCCCAAAGATGGTTTTCAGCCCCGCCGCGTCCACGACCTTGTCACACACCGCCACGGCCGCCGCACCTCCCATGGCGTGATCCAGCACTTTCAATGCCCGACCCTTAGCCAGCTTACCTTCCCGTAGCATGATAAGACACAATTCTACACCTTCTGCGTCCAGGAATTTGCCTGCTGGTAGCTCGTCCTCGACCAGGCAGGTGAGGCAGTCGAAGAGATTCTCGACAAACTCCTCCTCCTCGCTGTCGCGTTCAGGGTCGCCATTGCGGTAAGGCGCGAGGAGCTCGAGGATGTCATCGACTCCTTTTCCAACAAGCTTACGGTTGGAATGTGAATTTTGTAGTAGAATGGCGAGCAGTTCGGCCGCGTACTGTCGATTCTGGCCAACACGGGCTCGCGCTGTGGGGTCAGGGGTCTTTATGCGACCCAGCAGCCAGGTCAGAACTTTCGATCCAATTACGTCGTGGTTCGCGGGCGCGGATAGCAGGTTCTCGAGTACAGAGAGAATGTGGTAGACGCCATCTCGGTCGGTATCGGCCGTCTCATCGAGCCGAGAGAGATTTGAAGTGAGTAAGTCGAGGATATCAGCGTCGAAGAGTGCGGCAGTAAGAGCACTCCATTGCTCGGCTTCGACAGAGGTATCTTCGTCGGTGAGCTCGTCGAGCACTTGTGCCACGGCGATGGCGATGTCCGTATTGTCATGCGCCAATAGCTGGACCAAGCTGTTCAAGCTACCAGACTTGACCAGTTGCGGGTAGAGAGCCGGATACTCGGACAGCAGAGATAGGGTCTTGATCTCGGCATCCAGGTCTGCCTCACTGGCCACGAACTTCAGAGGGTCGTCTGCGTATTTGGCGCGTAGTTCGGCGTTTTTATTGATCTTCCGCTCGAAGGACAGGGCGGTACGCTTCAGCCAGGAGAGATCTATAGTCTCTTCGGGGGTCTCGTCGCCATCGTTCTGGTTGATGAGGTCTAGAGCCTGCCGTTCGGTGTCTGTGACGCCCGAACCGAAGAATCGGCCTTCTTCATCATCGCCCTCTTCGTCCTCTTCTGGTGGTAGAGCGGGGCCGGCTTCGAGATCGTCTTCGTCGCCCTCATGCCCTGCTGGCTGCTCGGAATTCTCGTCCTGTACCGAAGGAGGCGGAGGCTGTGTAGTGGAGGTGCTGTGGGGGGAAGTGCCATTCAAGAACTTTGCGGTTTTTGAGCGTCCGCCGAAGGACGCGTTGGGATCCTCAAGTTTGCGCTTAGGGATGGCATTGGGCCTGCGGAAGAGATCATCTACTGATGACATGGCTGTGGCTGGCCACAATCGTGTCTTGAGGGTCACCTCGTGCGCATGCGAGCGACCGTTGGCCGCGGATGGGACTCTGGGAAAGTCAGGCAGTGGTTATTGTCCGACCTGTGGTTAGGATATCACAGCTCGCTGACCGTCCTACCGCAGCGGAAGAGTTCAATATAAGTGCTGACAGATCCCAAGACAGACTACTTGTACGCGACAAACGAAAGTAAATGGACCTCTCGAACTGGGAACCGGTGGAACTGCTCAAGGAGAGTGGCGGCTCGACTATTTCAGACGGATATCAAATCCGATAGCGAAGAATTTCTAGGACCGAGCTGCTAGCTGGCACCGCTTCCCATTCACTTCACCTCCACCATCAGTCCATTTCACCGCTGCCTATCTATCGTCGCTCCCCTTAACACCGTCCCGAATTTCCTATACCGATAACCACACGAGTCATCAAGCGCCTTTGTCGATACCCTTTCCGTCAACCACCCGTATAACCCGTCAAACCGCAGCACCATCACTTCTACAAACATGCCTCCCAAGCGAATCCAAGTCCAACCGGCGCGCTCCCGCCAGCAAAAGTCCAGCGGCTATCTCGGCTCAGCGTACGATGCGCTGACATCAGAAGACAACCGCAGCGTGGTCATTAGCATTGCCATGTTCGGCGTGAGTCCTTCCCTCCTGCCCTTTTTTTCCCCTTTGTTTTGTGCTATGGAAAGTCTCTCGTAACCATGATCTGAGAGAAAATGAAAACAACAAGAAAAGGAGGATCTGAACCGGAGGGAACGAAGAGAATTCTCCAACGCTAACGTATGAGTGCGAATAGGCCGCGGTAACACTGTTGAGCAGCGAGTGGGCGGAGCTGTTACTGCCAGCGTAAAAGCGATTTCGTCGTTAGCCAGGCGAGTCCTACTCATCTACGAACATTCTGTACCATTACGACCTTCGAGATTCCCTACTTCTGGAATGCGGCGGCGCGGCCTTGTGGCCAATGGTGGGGGGCATTGATGTACAAAATGAACGGCCCAGAACAATCTCGCATTGCAGCACTGCATCTGACAATTGTGGGCGCCGGCGATGAAGCACATAGAACAATCGATAACATCGGAGAAAGAATGTCATCCAAAAAACATGTGCATTGGATACATGCCAATTTATATCTTCTTCGTCGTGACTCTGTTTGAAACCCATTTGGTCACACGGCATGGGTTCTGAACGCCGCTGACCCACACACTCGGGCGAGTAGATATCCACCCTCAGTCCACCATTACCCTCGAACGCGAACTTAGGAGGGAGGAGGTCCCTTCACGCTATCGTCACCCGTCTGCGGAAGCCACTCTGCCCGCTGGGCATCGAAGATTTCCAGAGCAGGCTTGCCCCATTTCTCCGTTCCCTTGAGTAGGCCGGTGCGGATGACAATGTTGTCGCCCATGATATGTTGGTGGTGGTAGGGGTTGGAGGTACAGTTGGGACAGAAGAAACAGTCCACGGAGTTGCCTGGACACCGTTAGTGTACGAGCTCGAAGAGGAGTATCCTGACAGGGACACCTAGACTTACCAGAGTCACCCTTGTAGGTATACTTGTTGAGGTTGCCCTTGGTGAGCTTGAAAGCACTCTTGGGAATGATCTGGTTCAAGGTGAACTCTCCACCACTCATGAGTTTGCATGCGCCACAATGGCATAGAACGTGTCGCTCAGTATCAATGTCGGCGGTCCAAGCAGCTGTGCTCGATTAGTCGGGTGTGACTGTGGGGGGATTGCATGTAGACGTACTCTGGCCGCAATGGCAATGGCCTTCGTAGGAGGTGGGCATGTTGGCGACAGTGGCTGAACAGGTATGGTTATTCGTGCAGTGTATGGAAGTCAAGCGGTAGATGACTGGGGATATGATGAGAACGAGAGTGTGCTGCCATATTTATATGCCCAAGAGGCCTCGAAGAGTATTTGGAAAAGCTTGCGTTGCGTCAAGATATGGCCATGCCCCTCATCACGATCCAACGACAAGCGCCGCGGTGAACAACCAGCCAACCCCTCTCCATCCAGCTCCAGACTTACCTAACATGCGAACTGCGTCTGGGAAACGTCAGCACAGCATTCAAACGGCCCCCGAGGATTCAAAGAGGATGCTTCTGGCCCGACATAACACGCCGGATCCTGAGCAATGAACCGTCCCGGGGGCTGCCACAAGCAGCCAAGTGGGCCTTGCATGATGATTTGAATGAGCAGACATGCTCGCATCTCCGGTGACGGAAGTTCACGCGTCTCAAAACCAGTGGGAATATGATGTCACTGGCATTGAGCCGAGTGATGCTAGGAAGTAAGGTGCGAGGGAAATGGCCATAAGAACTTTCGAATACGGCGCGGATGATTGAAGGTACATGCTCGCTTGCAGGTCATGCATGGTGGGTCCAGGTGCAGCATATGGAGCAGTCCTGGGAGATTCTGAAGACATTCCAAATCGCAGGAGGACCCAAGTTCCTGCAGGAGCGACGGTCGTTTGTGGATGGCCAACCTTGATCCGATTCAGGCAAGAAGGAGCGACGTGTTTTTGACGCTGCAACTCGCGTGGCAAATTTGGCAATGTTAGCATCTAGACGACATTGTTCTAAGCATTCGTGTCGATAAAGAGCTGTGGAAGTTGATGGTAAGAGGGACACTCTCAAGCAAGTGAGGAAAGCACTACTCAAAACTTGACATCCGAAGCTGCGCATGCTGCGCCTTTTATATTGCACTACTACACCGCAACCGCCCTCATTTTTGATTAGTATTCATGCTCCGTGCTGCTCGCGCCAAGACCTGCAGCTTTTCCCTGACCGGGAAGAATGCTGAGAATATGACCGCCTTTAAGCCTTGAGGACATTGCGTGACGGCGCGCAAAGACGCAATATCAACTGCCCGACCGTCCCATCCAGCTGTCGTTCATGTCGGCAACGCCTCAAGTTCCATACCCCTCACCGTTGGGATGCGGCATCAATCTTTCGGTGGCGCCCTCCGCCTCATCCTCCAGCTTGGCTCGGGCCAGATTCCGACTCTTGATATAGGTATAGGAGACGAGGCCGGTGCCGACAACGACAGCAAGGCCCGTAAGAGTGGCATTCACAGGTATAGGGTTGTTCTTGAACGTCTTATGCGTCAGGGCATCCAGGGGGCTCTGCACAAAGTTCAAAAGTCCTGCCAAGCAGATGATAAGGCCGTAAACTTTTCCAAAGGTGACGAACCCAAAGACCTTGGCTGAGTAGTCCGAGACAGCTGTGTAGTAAAACGGCCGATACAAGACAAACAAGACGATATTGGCCACTGCAGCCCAAGTATAGGGAAGACATCCCAGTACCCCAATGATAGTGGCGACCACGACCAGACATGCGAGCGCAAATGGAGTCGACGTGCCATCCAGAACAGTTCCGATGAAGGGGATACTCAGCACGCCTCCTACAGGCAATGCAATGTCGAAGAACTCGTTGACTTTTCTGGCTTGTTTCTCGGATCCCAGCAACCACCGTTCTTGTGACCTGATCGTAGCCACGAAATAGTTGATTCTCGTCATCTGCACAACCGTAAAAAGCGTAATGAGCAAGAACCAAGGACTTTTGATCTGTTCCCAGGCCGTGTGCCCGTGCATGGCGCCCCACACTCCCGATATCGTGTTCTTCTTCTCTTCCCTGCTTGCCCGCTTCGTGTTGGCCGGCATCTCTAGCAGTGCAGTAATCTCGGAGGCAGTGCTCTCCCGCCTTTCACGTGCAGAGATCTGCTCTTCGACGGATGCGTTGGGTGGTGTTGGTGCATTGATCTCGTCCTCGGCTTCTTTTACAATCTCGCTCACCGATTTGTAGGAGTGCTTCGGCATGACAAAAACTTGAACCAGTAAGATGAAGACAGGGACCACCAGATAGATCTTGAAGAGGTTCTCGGTGTTGACCTGTCCACCAGTCTTCTCGTACAAGACTCGGAATAGAAGAAACAGTGCGGATGATGAGTCGAACGCCCCAGTGAGGAGAGCAAGGATAAGCCCCGACCTTTGAGGGAATGCGTTCGATAGCTGGAAGGAAGAGATGAAGACAAAAGGCCCACCCAGAGCGAGAAGGAAGTACGCTGGCGTGTAGGCATCTCCATCGATGCTGGACGCGAACGAGAAGAGGGCCGCTCCTGCGAAAAGAAGAACACTGCTGATGATACCGCAAACCCTAGGACCATATCTGTCCAGTATCGTCCCTATAGGAAGCGCGGCCACATTCGTGGATACAGCGGCCACAGTGAACATGAGATTGAGGCGGATTTCCTGCTGGTAGCATGGGGACACGCCCTTTTCTACTTCTTCTGACGTGCACAGCTCTCGAAAGGCGCCCTCGTCGATGAGGACAGGCTTGATTGCGGCATATCCGAATACAATGCCGGCTGCGAAAAGGCAGTAGATTATGGCAATTGCGACCTGTACTGTTGGTCCGACCTGTCAGTATATCGTGGAAGGGCGAGCCATGGACAACTGACGTAATCTTCTAGACTTGGACACTTCCTCAAACTCGAGAACGCTAGCAGCGCTGAGAGGTTCAGTGTTGTCCTTGGGCGGGATCCAATCTGTGACGGGGTTGAAGCTCATCCTCCGGTGTTCAAGCCCGGCAGCGGGATCGAACCGCTCGAACTGGTCGGTGGAGGATACTCTGGTTAAAGACATGATGACGGCTGCGCGTATACGCAAGAGGCAATGGTGAGGAGGCGTCGGACGGCATGGACTTGCCTTTCTTTCCCAGCCAATTGTCGATGGCGGGAGGAAGGAAAGGTCAGGTGGTTTGGCGGGATCGTGTGGGGAGGACGTCGGAAGTATACCCTGCGTAGCTCCAACTCGCTTTTACAATTCGTGAGAAGTCGAGGCAAGCTGCAAGATGAGTTGCAGAAAGTGTTAGCAAGATGAGCTGCGGTCGATACACTGCGCCAGAAGATATCTCAAGCTCCCAGCTATAGATAAGACCCTAGATTGCAGTGAGCTTGCTGCTGTAGATAAGGATGCTGTTACCGCAAACCGTCAAAAATTTTATGCTTTGTGAGGGGAAGACGAGCACAGCTGATAGCTGCAGCCGCCGATCTGGGCATCATTTTTGTGGGGCCCAGTTCGAGCGCTGTAATTGACGGCGACGCCTCTTCCCACATGAGCTGGATTCCACAAGCAACGCTCTGTATGCTTTCGATGACGGCGAGACGAGACCAAGTTAGCCGTTTCCGGGCCTGCTCTGTCTGATGATGTCTCTTTGAACCAGAGCCGCAGCGCTTATTCGCACCTCACGACAACCTCACAATCTCTGGAACCACACTGCTGATCTCGCAGCATATTGCGACACAGCGCCGCTCTAGGCACAGCCGCGTGTACCGTACGCATATGGATGCCACGGGCGCTCTCACAGCCAATGAACATCTGACAGCCCATTGGCGGCTCCTGGAATCCGCGTCTCAGCTGGGCGGCTAATTCCCTCCCTGATATAGGCCTTGGCCGCCGACGGTCGAAACAGTCTCAAATCGTCCATAGACCAACTTAGACCACAGCACTTGGATCACAACAGTGAGAGATGAAACTTCTGGTCAATGTCTCAACACCGTCTCTCTCCACTGCTCGGTGGACTCAGAGACTCACCTAGTCCGAAGTGCAGCCAAGGTAGGCATATAAAGAAGCTCGACTTATTTCAGAGATGGTCGGACTCCAACCCATACTCTCCTTGACAGTTTCCTTAGTCGTGAATAGACCGGCAAACAGGATCGGGCGCATTCTGCATCTTTTGTCTCCTCTCTACTGCTTCGCACAGGCACTGGCTTGCCACAAACAGTCAACCACAATCCTTTTCAGCTCCGAGTTCAAGTTCTTTCCCAGCCGCGACGGCCCACGACCACACTCCCTTAGCAAACCGAACACTCTTTAACGATGGCGGCTGGACAGCATGGCGCCTTGGGTGCGGCATTCAAGATCAGCCGAGCTTTGCAAGCAGCCTGTCTGATCGCTGTTATCGGCATGACCGCGAACTTTGTCTCCGACATCATAACGGCCAATGCCACTCCTCCGCGGATCCTGATCGCGACACTCAGCATAGTGAGTATCTATTTCAGCAGTCCCGGAAGCTCTCACTAACGAGTCAGGTCTGCATTGCGGTACTCTATTGTGCCATTACCTTCATTTTATTCCTTGACAATCTTCTGCCGTATCTGATCATCACCGGAGTCGATGGCGCTTTCCTCGTCGCCTTGGTCGTGGTGTCTGTGGTTGTAGGCAGACCCGTCAGCTACCTCAACTGCAATGTATTGGACGATATGGCCAATGTCTCGTCAAGTGCGTACGACTTCACATCGGCGCTGGGCAGCAGTCTCGGCAACAATGGTGGGCGAATTGATTACTCCAAATGGGTTGGGACATCGAAATCGACCTGCCTGGAGATCAAGTCGATTTGGGGCTTGAGCATGGCACTTTGGTATGTTCACCTCTCGACATTCATGCTGTGAGCATTGGCTAATATGACACAGCGTGCTTTTCGCATTCTCTGCGATTTGCACTGTTTGCCTGTGGAGAAAGTCAAAGACTCCGCCGCCAGCGGACAAGAGCCAGGCGTAGATGCCTCAATGCGGTGGGGGTCATGTCTGAGTCTTGGAAGTCCGGAACGTTGATCGTAATCCGTGCCATGGAGTAATTCCATCGCTGTACCTGTACGTTAAGGAACCAAGGCAGTAACTGAGGGGACCACAGAACATATAGGGACCTGTTCTGAATGATACCGCATTCTTTGCTCTGTACCATGCACCGTGTATTCCTGGTCGACTCCCGCTGCAATGTACGGAGTATCGTTCATTGCTTCGTGTCAGCGCATCATAGGACGGACTGGTTCTGACAGATCCACCCGAGGCAACCATGTCGACCTGCTCCTGCATGCAGGGCATGGATTGTTAGTGTAGAAGGAAATCGTGGATCAGACAGCGGCTTTGCTGCAGGACAATGGTCAAGTACAACATGAGCGCACGGAAAGATGTGAGCCGTGGATCGACATACTAGCTATTGCTTCGCACGTCGACTATGTGTGTAGCGAGATGAGAGGTGGCCACTGGTGGGCACACCATGGGATTTTGACAGCGACCCAGCAATTTGGTTGAGTCCCTTATTGGCCCCGACCCCGGAGTCGTCACCTCTCAACCCCTTGCACAACACCACAGCTGTCAAATGCACCCTCACACCGCATATAACTTGTGAATGTAACGCCGTTCAACGCAAGTGACTCGCCACCAAGAAGCCTTTGGTCCCCGTACGTTGTACGTGCTATCAGGTGTTTGTGGGCCACGGTCACCCAAGCTACAAAAAGGACTCCGTAGGCTGGAGGGAAGCCCAATTAGACGGTAGCGAGGGGCCTACGGGTATGCCCGAGAAAGCAAACAGAGTTCCTTCCTCCGTATCCCATACGCTGAGCGTTACACCGCGTCGGGGACCCTGGTAGCGGTTGGGCTTGACAGGAATCCGACTTGCTGGGCCTGGGTATGGATTAGGCAAGCTTGGCGGCGAGCGATGCCAACGCAGACGTCCGCTGAGTGGCAGGTCGGCCTTGGAATCCCAGCGATGTGGTTCGCACATGCAGATGCTCGCAGGCTAGTTACGCTACCGCCTGAGAAGATTGGAACTATCTGCACACCTGCCTTCTGCCGAGTTCCCACTCTCTTCGCGTGCCCTCTCTGACTGGCATACCCTACGCAACATTGCGTCCGTTTCAAAAGCTTTTACCCGTACTGCATTGCCGGCCGTGCTCTCGATACTGTGACCAGAATCGCCGGCTCGAAAGTCTGTCTAGCCTCGAGCCAGACAAGTTTCAGATGCCACCCACATTGCGGCGGATCTGCCAGCACCCTCTCCCCCACCATCGACTGGCAGACTCCTCTTATGCCTGCTCGCACTGCTCGCATGATCCATCTCTATCAGACGCTAGTTACTGGAGTTAGCACTGGATCCGCTATCCAACATACGGAGTACAGCAGATTACATTTCCTACATGTAGGGCACCGCTTCGTGTTCACCCATGGTTTCTTCATTCCGTCCCCAAGCACTGTCGAACCTTAAAAAACTCCAACCCGCTGCTCACTCACTGCAGACCCTCATAATTCGGCTGTCCCGTTTTTAGTCCATTTTTTCTTCCTGAAGCCATGTCTCCTGCATCCATCTCGTTACACGCTTAAATCCACACGTCCGGCACAGCTGCAGCCGCTTCTTTGATGGAATGGGTCACCGCAATGACACCTCCGCCTACAGGAGAAAAGATGGACGATCTCAGCCTGCCATCCGAGATCCCGGTAGATGAAGACTATGGCTTGTCAAGAGACCTCGACTATGACGATGGCTCGGCATATTCCATTGCTTCTACCAAATACAACTTTACCTGGGAGAATGGTCGGCTTTATCACGACTACAAGGCCGGTCATCCCTTCCCTTACGATGAGCGCTCCCAAGAAAACGAAGAGGTCCTCCATGAGATGATGCTCTACATCCAAGACGACAAGTACTTTGCCGCTCCCGTCGACGGTGATCAGCTGAAGAATGTACTCGATCTTGGATGCGGTCTTGGCCTCTGGTCTGAAGGCGTTGCCGACCGATATCCCGAGTGTAATGTACTCGGCGTCGACTCAGCGCCACGCAACGATCCAATCATCCCGAATTGCCAGTTCGAGTTGGCCGACGTGACCGAAGAGTGGCTGTTCGTCAATCCCAGCACCAAATTTGACCTCGTCCACATTCGATCACTATTTGCATCGTTGAAATTAGAAGACTGGCTGCCGCTGTACAAGCAGTGCTTAGAGTACGTCCTCTTCCTCCTCACATCACATCAGTGCTTTGGACGCAACTAGCTGGAACCATGATGCTGACATGACCCTGCAGTAACATGGAGTCTGGAGCCTGGATCGAGCAAATCGAAGTTGAGATCAAGGTCTACTGTGATGACGATACCAGAAAACCTGATGGCGAGCTCGAGCGACTTGCAGAAATGACTCAAGTCATGTCCTCAACTCATGGTGCTTATTTTCAAATTGCAGAAAACATGAGCACAATGATGCGGGATGCTGGCTTCACTGATGTTAGGGAAGCCAAGTACAAGTTGCCCGTGGGCTGGTGGTCTGCCGATCCCAAATACAAGGAGATTGGGAAATTTTTCGAGCGATTTTACAAGACTGGTCTCCAAGGATGGCTCATGCATATCTGGACCAAAAGTATGGGGGTGAGTCAAGGTCGTTCCCAAGTGGTGCCATGGACTGACCATTTCTCCCAGTTTACGCCCGAAGCCGTGAACGAGGCGTGTTTGAAAGCTTTCGCTGAGATCGACTCAAGAAAACACCATTATTACTTCCAACTGTGAGCTTGTTGTGCCTCAAGCAAACGTGCCAGAACTGATCATCGTCCATAGCATCGTCGTCGTTGGGAGAAAGCCGTGAGACTGCTGCTGTGCCAGCACCAATTAGCATCCATCTTCCGTGCTTCCGGACAGTCTCGGCATATACACTTATGTGTGCCTTTACATCCAAACGGCGACATGTGACTACCGACCAACGACGAAGATGAATTCTCACATCCTTGGAAGCCAGCGAGGACATCCGCTGCCTAGGTCCCAACATCTCGGACTACCCTTTCCGCCAGTTCAAATATTGTACTAATTCACGACGAAACGAGTGTGACGAACGATACATCTGCATGGCATAGGGCATATCGTTGATTGCAGGGGTCATTTCGGGAAGAGATATCTATACTGTATTACATTTCGGGCATACGATCATCTGTCAAAGAGCAGTTTACGCGACGAGAGACCCCGATTCGCTGGCTGAGATAGCAGTAACTTTTTAAGGCCGCTCATGCCCAAGGCACACAGACCACTTGGTGGGAGGTGTTCGTGTTGTGTTGGTCGCCTTAAGATGGTTACAGGAGTGAAGTGTCGATAGACTGGGCGGGCATCCGTCATCAATCAACTCCATTCAACTTGACTTTAATCAGATCTGTTTTGATCGGCATCCGGAATATGATATTGTGAAAGCCATTGGGTTGTTCAACTCGCTGACCTTACGGGTGGCCACCCATCAAGCACTGAAGCACAGAAGTCACGTGACGATGCCAAGGAAAGCCTCGCAGCGGATCGCGCCTGCGCGCCCAAAAAGTGTCGCCGCTCCTGTTTATTGTTCCCTCTGCATCCTCTCCATCTCTAACTCACAATCTCATCTTTTAAAACTGCACTGCTGCGCTGGACCGTCGCCCGGGTCCAGTCTGTCGTTGCCAGACTTCTAATGATACTGTGGAGATTGTAGGCAGCCGCGGATTCAGCATTTCAACTCCCTGTCACTTGCGATCTCGAAGACAGAGTAATCTGTGGCGTGCTCCAGCCGAGCGATCGCAAGCATGGCCGACTACGATGCGAAATACATGCAGAACAGCGACTACGATGATACGCAGATGGGCGGCGATGAGTATTATCAAGATGACTTAGATATCTCACCAGAAGACTGCTGGAAAGTCATCGGGTCTTTCTTCGAGAAAAAGGGCCTAGTTTCTATGCAGATCGATTCTTTCGACAAGTTCATGTCGCAAACGATCAAGGAACTCGTCCTCGACAAAGGCTCGATTACTTTAGACCATGCGAAGAACCCAGACCCCGATGAGATTAACCCCGTAATTATCGAGCGCCATGAAGTCAAGTTTCTCGATTTCACTCTCTCATACCCGAATGTTGTCGAAGGCGACGGCGTGACGAACGACTTGATGCCACACGAGGCTCGGTTGCGCAGTCTGACCTACGCCTGTCCTGCTTTCATCCTGATGTCGAAGAAGACCTACTGGGCGCGAGAGCAAGAAACAGACGCTAATGCAGTCAAAACCGAGGGTGAGAACGGCACACTCTACTGGGAGGTGGGACATTCAGACGACGACATTCCAGATGACCGACCGGAATCTGTGTACATTGGCAAGATTCCAGTCATGCTGAAGAGTGGGAGCTGCTGGCTCAATCAAGATTCTGGCAAGACCAAGTCTTCGCGCAAGATTTTCAGTGATCAGGACCTCTTTGCCTGGGGCGAATGTCCTTATGATCAAGGCGGTTACTTTGTCATCAATGGCAGTGAGAAGGTGCTCATTGCGCAGGAGCGGAGCGCTGGCAACATTGTTCAGATCTTCACGAAGGCGGCCCCGTCACCGTTCACCCACCTTGCTGAGATGCGGTCTGTGGTAGAGGGAGGGTCTCGGCAGATGTCACAATGTACCGTCAAGCTGATGAGGAAGAGCGACGGCCCAGATGGAACCAAGATCGACCAGCCCATCAGGGTTCAGCTCCCCTACACCAAGTTGGACGTTCCTTTGGCGGTCGTCTTCCGTGCTCTAGACATTGTCTCTGATTCCGACATCATTGAGAAAATTTGCTTCGATCACAGCGACAAGGAGATGATTGATATGCTTATGGGGACTCTGCAGGAAGGCCAAGCCATCCAGCGTGGCGAACACGCAAGATCTTTTATTGCCGTGAGAACGGGTAATGAGAAGTTGACTCCGCCTCAGAGACAACAAATCACCAACGACATCCTACAGAAGGAGTGGTTGCCTCATATCGGGAAAGGTCCAGATGCATTGACCAAAAAGGCCTACTACTTGGGCTACATGGTCAATCGACTGCTCAAGTGTGCTCTTGGTCGAACAGAACCGGATGATCGAGACCATTTGGGCAAAAAACGTCTTGACTTGGCAGGTCCCCTGATGACCACTCTTTTCAGGACGCTATTCGATCGCGCTACCAAGGATTTCTTCCGCTACATGCAGAAGCGCGTTGAATCTGATCAGCCTATCAACATCCGTGCTGGCTTCAAGCCTAATATCATCACCAACGGTCTGAAGTATTCGTTGGCGACAGGTAATTGGGGCGATCAAAAGAAACTTGACAAGGCGAAAGCGGGTGTCTCTCAGGTGTTGAACAGATATGCCTACGCTTCTACCGTCTCACATTTGCGAAGAACAAACGCACCCATCGGTCGCGAAGGCAAGATTGCTAAGCCCCGACAGCTGCACAATACTCACTGGGGCTATGTGTGCCCAGCAGAAACGCCTGAGGGTCAAGCTTGTGGTCTAGTCAAGAATCTGGCACTGATGACACTCGTCACCAACGACGTTCCCATTGGGCCACTGCGAGACTATATTCTCGAAAAGGATGTCGAGGCCCTGGAGGACTGGGAACCGAAGCTCAATCCTCAAGCGACGAAAGTGTTTCTTAACGGTGTCTGGTTCGGCGTGATTGTACGCGATCCACGATTCCTCGTCGACCATATGAAGCAGCTCAGGCGCTCGTGTGTTATTGACTCGACTATCGGCCTAGTCTGGGACATTCGAGAAAAAGAATTCAGAATCACTGGTGAGGGTGGCCGTATTATTCGGCCGTTGTTTACCATCGATAATGACAGAACCAGCCTGAACAACGGGAACCTGACTTTAAGCAAATACCAGATCGCTCGACTTGAGGCCACTCAACAAGCACGCGATTCTGGAGACGTTCCGCCTGATGAGCCTTGCGATTGGGAGACACTTCTCAGAGAAGGTGCAGTTGAGTACCTTGATGCTGAAGAGGAGGAGACGGCTATGATTGTCATGACTCCGGAGCACCTGAACGACTCAAAAACAAGGGATCAGGGTGGTGAAATCGAAACGAGTGACGATCCCCTCGCGCGACATGACCCGTTACTGACCGATACCCACACTCAATTCACCCACTGCGAGATTCATCCCAGCATGATCTTGGGTGTTTGCGCCAGCATCATCCCATTCCCTGATCACAACCAGTCGCCCAGGAACACGTATCAATCCGCCATGGGCAAGCAAGCCATGGGTGTTTTCTTGACCAACTTCGAGCGGAGAATGGAGACAATGGCCAATATCTTATACTACCCGCAAAAACCCCTGGCGCGGACAATGGCTATGGAATACTTGAAATTCAGAGAGCTTCCTGCTGGACAGAACGCCATTGTCGCCATTGCCTGTTACTCTGGCTATAATCAGGAAGATTCCGTTGTGATGAATCAGAGCTCTATCGATCGCGGCCTGTTCAGATCGCTTTTCTACCGCACATACCAAGAGCAAGAGCGGGTGGTCGGCCAGGGTGTCTTCGAGGCCTTCGAGAAGCCTACACGTGCGGACACACTTCGGATGAAGCATGGTACCTACGAGAAGCTTGATCAGGATGGGATCATTGTCCCAGGTGTTCGTGTCAGTGGCGAGGACATCATCATGGGCAAAACGACCCCAATGGCGCCCGATGCCGAGGAGCTTGGCCAGAGACAGAAGGCCCACATCAAACGCGATGTGTCCGTCCCGCTCCGTTCTACTGAGTCTGGTGTCATCGATCAGGTTATGGTTACTACCACCTCAGATGGCAACCGATTCGCCAAAGTTCGTGTGCGAACTACCAAAGTCCCGCAAATTGGCGACAAGTTCGCTTCGCGTCACGGTCAGAAGGGTACGATTGGTGTCACCTATAGAACTGAAGACATGCCTTTCTCCCGCGATGGCATCGTGCCAGACCTCATCATCAACCCTCACGCCATTCCTAGTCGGATGACGATTGCCCATCTGGTTGAATGTCAACTGTCCAAGGTTGCGACTCTCCGTGGAGACGAAGGTGATGCTACACCTTTCACGAAGGTCACGGTGACACAAGTCTCCAGGATCCTGCGCGAACAAGGCTACCAGAGCCGTGGATTCGAGGTCATGTATAACGGTCATACGGGCCGCAAACTCATGGCTCAGGTCTTCTTCGGTCCTACCTATTACCAACGTCTACGCCATATGGTCGATGACAAGATTCACTCCCGCGCGCGCGGCCCCACTCAGATCCTGACACGCCAGCCTGTTGAAGGTCGTGCTCGTGATGGTGGTCTGCGTTTCGGAGAGATGGAGCGCGATTGCATGATTGCCCATGGCGCATCCAGCTTCCTGAAAGAGCGACTCTTCGACGTCTCGGATCCCTTCAGAGTGCATGTCTGTGACATCTGTGGCTTGATGACAGTGGTCGCGAAGTTGAAGAAGAACACTTTCGAGTGCAAGAATTGCAACAACAAGAACCAGATCAGTCAGGTCTACCTGCCTTATGCGGCCAAACTGCTCTTCCAGGAGTTGTGGGCCATGAATATCGCAGCGCGCTTGTATACGCGCAAGTCGAAATAAGATTTGATGGGACCAAATGCTGGGTGTCTGAGCAACATGATGCATAGCTACACGGCGTAAACAGGAAGGGAGTGGCATGGAAATTGCATTTGACGGCGCAGCCAGGGAGGGAGAGTGTTGGCACATGAGCGACGCTTTTGGGGAAGAATCTTTGATTAAATTTTGGCCTGACTCATCGTCGATCGATATGCGGATAGGAGGGGGAGGTCTGCAGACGACGACGGCATTTGTTACTTTTCCATGTACCATCATTGCCGCAGCAGAAGTAGATTGCGCTGAGCAGCAAACCTGAAGGAAGAAGAAAAGCAGACACGGGGGTAAAGCTAGAAAAGGCCATCCTCCTCCCAGACTACTGTGCCTACCTAGGCCTCCCAGGCTTTGAGATAGCTTCCCTAAGAGACAAAGGGAGATGTCTTTTTTTATTCATCTATGTATATCCCTTCTTAACGTGTCTCGCCTTTCATCAAGTCGCAGGGTCATCCATGCTGTTTTGACACACGACGGGTTTTGAGTCCGCCTCGAGACTTGACTTGTTATCTACTATATGCGCAGGGGCGCGTGGAAAACGGGAGAAACACAGACGGACGGATTGAGCACTATGTTATAACAAGATAATGTAAGCATCATGTGTTGTAGGATTGGCAGGGTGGCGAAGGGAGGAGCAGGAGGAGGGCAAGAAGAGGGGAGTAGGCAGTGAAAATCTTGGCATCATATACGTACGGCATCGTGTACATTTTACATTCAATCCATTACTCACGAAATCGTTCCCCCAAACATTACGGTAAACGGTACCCCGAGACTCATCAGGTGTGCGATTCCCAAAAACGACAAAATAGTGACCGTGCCTTCATGTATACGCATCTCACCTATACGCGTCCTCGCTCGCTCAAACAGACTCCACATCCAACATGGGCTTCCTCTCCCCTTCCCTCCCAGCCATGGTCCAGTTAACCCGACCACGAAATCGGGCTCTAGGGCGACCGTTCCGCACTAGCTCCCTCCGGCACCTGATGCGGCTTCTTATGCAGCACGCCATGCTCCGCCTGATGCTCCGTGGTATCCTCATGTTTATGGCCCGTGATCGCCTCCTTGAGCTTCTGCCTGATGCCACGCTTCTCCGAGCTCGGGGAGCTGGCTTCAAACTCCTCGGAGCTGGTGCGGCGCCGCTGCTCGGGCGAGACGACATCGCCCTGTTCGTTCAGGCGAGAAGCTGCCGCGGGGTCCTTGGACGGGTCGAAGGGCATGCCGGTCGTGCGCTCGATGGGGAGCTTGTCTTTGTGATCTTCGTGGGACTGGGTGCCGAGGGCGCCGGTATCCTGCTCGCCTCCGTAGCGAAGGGTGCTGGCATCTCTGTAGGTGCCGTCGGAAAGACCGGTGGCACCGGTGGCACTGGTGGTATGCTCGGTCGGCCGACCCTGGTGTCGGTCGCTTGACAGTGGCTGCTCTGAGGCGCCGTAGGCAAGGCCGGCGGCGGCAGGCGCTGTCGACCTGTCCTCCGAGTGATCACCTGACAGAGGCTGCTTGGAGGGATCGTCCTTGCTGAAAGGGTTGTACGAGGGCTTCTCTGCTCCACCGGAAGCATCTCCGTAGCGCGAAGTAGAGGGCGACTGTCGCGCTTCGTCCGTCGAGACCGCTCTGCCGATGCTGTTGGGGTCGGTTGAATGTTCGGTGGTGGCAGCCTTGTTGGCACCATGCTCATGAGCACCGTACGCCGCACCAGCACCGAGGGCAGCAGCACCGCCGGCTCCAGCGACGGCCGCACCCTTGTGCGACTCATCCTCATCGGACGAGTACTCTTCGCTCTCGCCGGTGTCCTTATTCTTGCGGCGCTTGAAGATGCGCTTGAAGAGACCAGGCTTCTTTTCTTTCTCTTCAGACTTGGTCGAGGTTCTGGTCGCATCATCGTCTTTGTCCTTCCCGTAGGCGTATGCACCAGCGCCCGCGGCTCCGGCCCCAACTGCTCCAGCTGCGGCAGCCTTCTTCCTGCGCTCCTCCTCTTCCTCCTCCTGCCTGCGGCGGAGTTCCTCTTGCTCCTTCGTGCGCTGCTTCTCCATAGCGGCAACTTCCTTCTGATGTTCCTTTTCTTCCTTCTTTGCATGCTTCTCTGCCTCCTTCTGTTGCTTCTCAACCTCCTTCTGATGCTCTTTCTCCTCCTTCTTTGCATGCTTCTCTGCCTCCTTTTGCTGCTTCTCAACTTCCTTTTTGTGCGCTTTCTCTTGCTCGGCAAGGGCTTTCTCGTGTGCTTTCTGCTGCTCCGCGCGAGCTTTCTCGGCAGCTTTACGCTGATTCTCAGCGTTGGCAGCTTGTCTCGCCGACTCTTCCTCGGCTGCACGTTTGTTATACTCATGTGCACCATAAGCTCCTGCTCCTGCAGCGCCCACACCAGCAGCTCCCGCGAGCGCGGTGTTACGTGCGGTATGATCATCCTCGCGCTTGCCAGGTACCTCCTCCTGTCGAGTCTTTGTGGGTTGCGTGGAGGTAGCACCGGTAATCCCGGTAGTCTGTGAAGGCGTGGTCTGTTGCTGAGTGGCTTGACGGTTGTTGTACTCATGTGCACCATAAGCACCTGCTCCTGCAGCGCCCACACCAGTAGCTCCCGCGAGCGCGGCATTGCGTGCAGTGTGATCATCCTCTCGTTTAGCTGGGATATCCTCCTGGCGAGTCGTGGTGGGTTGCGTGGAGGTAACACCAGTGGTCTGCGAAGATATCGCCCGAGGCTGGGTAGTTGTACTGCCGGAACCGGGCCCGTAGATTGCAGTGTGACCAAACGGTTCCTGTGACTTGTTGTCCCGAGTGGCAGCATAAGCACCTGCCGCGCCAACACCGGCACCAGCACCTCCGGCAGCTAGAGCAGCATTGCGTTTGGAGTGGTCCTCGCGCTGATCAGGCTGTCCAGTCCGAGGCTGGTTTGAGCTTGTTTGTGTTGCTCCTAGAGGCGCTGCCTGCTTCGCCTCGGATGTAATGCCGGATGGCTGGCTCGCAAGGTCATCCCGCAGCTTACTGGTGTTATCTTGTCCAAAGTTAGAAGTTGACTGACCTGTGGTAGTCTGTGTCACCCCCATGGGAGCCGCCTGCTTCGCCTCGGATGTAATGCCGGATGGCTGGCTCGCAAGATCGTCCCTCAGCTTACTGGTGTTGTCTTGTCCCAAGGTAGAAGCACCGGCCGCACCAACACCGGCACCAACACCACCAGCAGCCAACGCAGCATTGCGCTTGGAGTGGTCCTCGCGCTGATCGGGCTGTCTAGTCAAAGGCTGACTCGATCTAGCCTGTGTCGATGCCAGGGTCGGTGTTTGTCTTGTGTCGGATGAAATACCGGCTGGCTGGCTTGCAGAATCATCGCGAAGCTTGCCGGTCTGGTCTTGACCAAGAGTGGTGGCTGTATGGGCTGCAGCGTCGGGCGCAACGCGATCTTTGTCACGATCACCGATGTGCGAGGCGCCATATCCTGCCGCGCCAGCTCCCGCGACGGCGGCTGCGCCAAGCGCCGTGTTGCGGCCAGTGTGGGATTCTCGTTCAGCGGCCGGTGCCTCGGTTCCCTGTGCCGTCCCACCAACGGGAGGATTGATTGCGCGTGGAGACTCGAGTCCTCCAGGGTATGCAGTGGTGGGGATACTCTCCTTTCTGCCATGAGTTGGCTGCGGTGTAGAGTCGGTCGAGAGAGTACTGTCGGCCACAGCAGAATCCTTATCGTGCCTAGAGGCAACACCGTATCCTGCAGCGCCCGCAGCACCTCCTAGTCCTACAGCAGCAAGAGCCTTGCCCATGAATCCAGAAGATTCCGGGGACTGTTCCTGTGTGGCGGTAGTTCCAGCTTCGGGTACTCGTGTCTGCTCAGAGGTGCCGTACTCGGCTGACCGATCTCCAGGATTGACAGTCGATGTCAAGCTGGACGGCGCGGCAGTGGTACGGCTCGTGTCTGGACCTGTTGATCTTCCAGATGTTGCAGCAGCAACTCCTGCGCCTGCGCCTGCGCCCGTGCCCAGGGCAGAACCTGCAGCGGCAGTGGGACGGCCGGAGGATTGGTCTTGTTTACTGCGAATTGGCAGATTATCAACACGCGGGTCGAGGGACTCGGCCTTGTAGGGGTTTTCGTAACCCTCGGTCGGGTAGGCCCCAGGCATGCCTTCTGGTACAAGGTTAGCCTACTCATCATATATCGGATAGTGGTGTCCGGCTTACCTTTGTGGCTTGATCCGGTGAAGGCCTTGGAGGCTGCAACCTGGGCAGCATTGGGCGGGACGCCCGCTCCTGTGCCTGCTCCAGTCGAAGCTTCTGGCTTCTTGAAGCTAGTAGGATCGGAGGACTGGGGGTCTACTACGCTGGGGGTAGGATCACCCTTCGAAAGGTGGTGGGTGCTATAGGTCGAGGTCTGCCCAATTGCTGTCGCGCCCTGCGATGTCCCACTGGGGTTGGCGGTACTTATATGCCCGCCGCCGCTGGTCTCTGGACCTGTGCTGCTCAGCGCAGCCTGGGGATCTGAGCGAGTGCCACCAATGCCTGGATCTTGTTGACCTCCGACAGTGGAGCCCAGGTTGTCGCCGGTGTCCATAGTTTGTGATGAGGGGAAATGGGTTCCCTGGCCAGTTACCTTACCGCCTGCTGTTGGTCTGGAGCTGGTGTCTTCGGCTTCGGTTTCCTTGTTTCGGCTACTTTGATCGGCATCAGATCTGTTCGAAGCAAACGAGGCTTTACTTACAAGGTCTGCTTCAGCTTGTCCATGGCTCACCTAGAAAGGTCACGGCGCAAGAGATACAGTAAATAATGTAGACAGTAGAGAAAAGAAACAGGCTGCGGAGATGTAGACACGGCTCGAGCTATCAAGGAAATTGTCGCACAATCCAGCGGGGAGCATTTGCGTCATGGGCAGCAGCGGCAGGTGGCTAGAAGCAGATCGTGAAGCATCATCAGGCAACTCCAGAGCACATTGCAGCTGTCAATGGCAGCTAGCGCGCACAGGCGGCATCGTCAATTGGCTGGCGCTATGCTCGCGCAACGCGTCGTGCACCAAAATCGACGAATTTGAGGGGAAGAGGGAGCTGCTGACGGGGCTTTAAGGTTGCTGGAGCGTCATAGCCAGCAAAAGAAGCTTTGGTGACAGGTTGAGATGCAAGTGTGGCTGGAGTTGGCGCGAGAACCTCAGCTTGGAATGGGTGTGCTCAGGCGAGCGGTGAGCCGCGCCCCCTACAAGAACGATCCACAAGCCGGGCACGTCTGTTCTTTGTGGGCCATGCCTCGACCCATCTAACTGGTATCCCGCGGCTGCAATTATGTCAAGGTACAGATGCTGCAAGACAAGCACCGATGAGTGACTTGCGCCGTATTGACCAGTGTTGCGCTTCATGCCTCGTTCGTTACATTGATTGAGTGCTAACCAGTGAATTTACGCTCCTCTCTCCAATAGCGGCAAGCTTCTAGGTTAGATCTCGTCAAAGAGGATGCAGGGCATACAACTCCGGGAACTGCCCCTGCTCATACGCATATAGGCACCGAGTCCAATGCATATCAACATTTCGGCGTGAATTTGGAGGCTCCAGATCAGGCGCTATCGTCGAAGGTGTTGAAGCCATCCGTCTCGCCACCTACCTGAACCCGGTCCCGGAATTCGGGGGTTATTCCACGCGTACCAGACTGCCACTGGCTATTCTTCTGAAGAGTCTGACATTACCCGCAAGAGGACAGTCGCAGGCGTCCGTTAGTTGAAGGGAGACTCCAGAGTTATCCTGACGCCGTGCTTGTTGGAGAGGGCAGAGGCGGAGACGAGCATGCGTTGGTACTTGCAATGCATATGCCAACGATCGCTGAAGTCCACATAAGAATGGTGAGCTTATTTCGAAAGCGAGCACGAGATCGGTGGTGCAATCCGATTCCAAGCGAGGAGTGGGATGGTCGAGGGGATCACAAACGAACGGAAAGTGGTTTCGCCTGCGCCAAGATAGTTACGATGGGTTAGCTCCCTACCGGTAGCGCCGAGCATCGGCTGCGTGAAGCGTCAGACGGTAAAGCCGAGCCTCTGGTCCGGCGTAGCCAATTCTTTGCCATCTTGGACGAGAATGTTAGCCGGGCCCAGACAAGCGCGCCGGTCGGATAGGTCATACTGGCCCGGCAGCTGCTCTGATTTTGTTATCTACATACCGCAAAACAGTATCAGTTCTCCGCCGCTCCCCCCGGCGGAGGAAGCCTAGGCTAGGCTAGAAGGACTTTCTGGGTACGGACTATGTACAAGGTCAGAAGCAACTACGTTCTAAAGAAGCAAGGCGTGGTGCGCCAGGTACAGACCTATCAGAAGAGCCTTCTAGAAAAGCAAAGATGCAGCATAGCCTCTGAAAGGTCTAGCCGAATGCCGCCACAAGACCACGTTACGCTGGATCACCACTGATCATCTCATCCCGGAGCTCCCATCTGATGCGGCTGTAGCTTGCCTTGTTGCATTCGGCGTTGCATCGACCAGTCTGCCGTTTCTCGTCTAGGCCTTAGCGGCTCTACATGTCAAGCATCCCACAATCTGCGCCGGTCCACTCAGGAGGCGAAACCCACCCGGCATAAGTCGGACGAGACGGACCACCTTCATCTGGGCTGCGAAGAAAAGACCGAAACAGTCTCCCCACCGGGGGTCCACACGCCCAAGTTCCAGTGCCTACGCCTCCATAATAATAGCCACCCATGGCCCCTCTTCCTCGTGGTCTGTCTCTTATCGTATCTAGAGCCTCTTCGGATGTCTGTACGCTGCGTATCCCCTCACACAGTACTACTGCTGCGACCGAAACCGCCATAGAACTATAACTGCACGATATCTGCTTGATCCGGATCTCGCAACACCTTGCCCAGTATCAGTCCGGCTATGTCATAAGTGGACAGGCCCTCCGATCCCATCCGCCGCACTCACCTCGCTCGCAAAAGGTCCTCGATAGTCTCACGCCAGCATGTCATTGAGGGAGAAGATCAAGAGACGATTCACCAAGAAGTCTTCCGATGCTTCCGATGGCTATCCGCCTCGCCGCAAGGACATTGAGTACTACAAGCCTAACGAGATACCCAAGTCCAAATACCGAGGCAAGGTCGACAAACTCCATCAAGCACAACTTGAAGCCTACTCACTAGAGGGCGCCTTCAAGTCTGTCCGCCGTCGTGCCTCTCAAGCCCTGTCCGGAACTTTCTCTCCAGGCGGCACCAATGCCCGGAGTGCTGCCGCCAGTGCGGCCGCCAGTGCGGCCACCAGTCGTCGACCCAGCTTTGCCCGCGCTCGCTCGCAACTAAGCACGGCCAACAGCATCTCCGAGGAGCGGGACGATAGCCCAGACAGTGGAAGAACTCGAACCAAGAATAGGTCCCAAGACTCATCTCCGAGTCTTGTCACAGACCACACCAACTCGCCGGAGTTCGATGAAATTTCGCGGGCCATCACTGCAGCTGACTCCCGAGCCGATGTTCCAGTTCTGACGCTGGAGAAGACGGTAACAGCTGGGCTTGGACAGCCTCAATATGACACCCACTTCAGTCCCGAAGACCTAGAGAAGGCTATGACTCGAGCAACGCTTCGCCCCAGGCGGGGAACCGTCGTGGTCCCCGTCATCATTCAGCCCGGAGGCATTACCCCATGACTATATGATATAATGATGGACGAAATGGATTTCTTCAAACACTGTATGCATGCTGGCTGGGTAAAGACCAATCGGCGCCGGCGCTGGGCTCAAGCCCTGGTAAGGATCGACATTGGATCACCATGGTTGGGCGACATGGGATATCATAGACGTACGTATCTTGCACATAGCGCAATGCAACGATTGTATGTGCAGAGAGGATATACTATCGTGAACTCGTGGTCTCGTAGACTCATCTTTGACCGCCCATTGTCCTCTAATTGGTCTCGTTGCCCTGTCGTGTATATGATCCATCTTTACGTGGACATTATTGGTACGAGTGATAACCCTGAAATGCCGCACTTCAATCATCCTCGTGGATAACAGCAGCGTCAAGAACCTGAACAACCCCCTTCCCCTTGGTCTCGGCCGAAGAAAACTCACTCAACCCTTTGAAGGCACCCGGCTCAACGAAGCCAACGACTTCCCACTCCTCCCCGATGACATCCTGGCTTTCCACCTGCTCAAAGTACGACAGAATCCTGTCCTTGATGGTGCCTTTGCCCTGGTCGCCTTCATCCTCGGCGTCTTCTTGCGAGGCTATCTTCGACTTTGGCGCTTGCTTCGAGATGCTGGTTGGACACGATACTCGTAACCTCATTCTCGCTCGCATGACTGGGATCGGCTGCCACGCGATCAGTGCTCTGATGGCTTCAAGCGCTTGGGCTTTCGTGGATTTCGTGGCCACCACGCCCGTCCACATGGGCAGATCACTCTTCCTTCCCTTGCCCTTGTCAGTGGTATCGTCATTGTCCGTCAATGGCGTCGCTTGTCCGCTATTCTCGCTTGAGCCCTTCGGGGTCGGCTGCACTTTCTTCCCACCTTCGTTCAGATTTAGCTTGCCCAGCTTGTGTTGTATTGAGTCCTGCTGAGGAGTGTGGCCGCCTTGTTTTGTCAGGACGTCCAGTCCTTTCTTGATCATGCCAGTCGTGTATACTCTTTTCGTCTGTGGGTCGATCAGCCGCTGTGCGACTTCCTCAACGATTTCTCTTTCCATTCGATCCAGTAGCTCTTTCCTCTCATTGGCATTGACCTGGATCTCGCCCTTCTTCAGGATCTCCTCGATGATCGAATCCTTCCATGACTTGTCGTCGTCCCCGTCATCATGGGACTTCTTTCCTTTCTTACCACCCTTGCTGCCTTTGCCGCCAGCAGGCTTTTCAGACTGCTCTGGGAGTGGCCACGCCTTGACTAATTCAGCGTTTGGGGCCGTTTCGCCTTTGGAGGCGTTGAGAAAGATGGTGGGGACCTGCAAGACGTTGTCCAGATCTGTCTCGGTCCCGGACCGGTATTCTAGCAATTTGTTCTTGTAGCAGGCAAGTTCGAAGCGCTTTTTTCCTTTCTTGTACCGTACGAGCGAAACGTTGGTCAACTTGATCACGTTTGAGGGCTGCTGGATCATAGGCATCGCGACCGAAACAACGCTCGGGGCGTGACTGCAACGTTGGATAGGGATCGAGGGAAGAGGAAGCCTGTGCAATGTAAGGCAAGCGAAAGAATCACCAGACCTGGTCAGTACAATTGAGTAACCGGAAGTGTGCCTAAGGCTACGATCAGGGACTGGCTCTGCTGCAAGACCCCCGCGCCGCCGCGTGCGGAGACGCCAAAAATATTTGGTACGTTGAGTACATCACGACCTTGGAGGCGGAATACGAAGGTACTTGAGTTCTCGCGCTCTTAAACAGTGCTTGCCTGTCGCGGTCAGATCAAGATTCATCTGTCGCGAAGAGGCATGAACAAGTATGTCTGTGCGCGATGTCGGCTTCAAGTGCTGAGCAATTGGTCGCCCCCTACGCCTCGCACCCGACTGACTGCCTCCATCTGCACCAACCAACATAATCAACGAGGCCTCATAACTGGACGACTTTTACACACCAAGCAGTCGCAGAGGGCTGCTGTCAGTACTGCAGCGTCCTACGAGCCTCCAAGTCCAACTGCCGATGTCCTCACATCCTCCAAATCAGGCCTTCAATATGAAGATCCCCTCAACGGCACACCGTTCATCCGTGACCATTTGCGGGCATGGATGACCGATTTTAGACAAAATGAAGAGGCTGAGCGGGCCGACACAATACCGGAAAGAGGGAGAATCTACAAGTTGCCTGATTCACTTTTCGTCAATCAGCTCGAACCTGAATATGAGTCGGAACAGGTTGAGGACGACCTCGCTGATTTCAATGCGATGGTCGAGGGCAATGCTAGGAACCAGATGGAACCGGGTGACTTATGTCAACTGAAGCCACCACACGCTCGTCGGCAGCTGGCTGTCTTCATCGGACAAGCAGGACTCCAACTTCTATATCTACTGACCAATGGTCGATACTGTCAGATTCGGCCTGCCATGCAGGATAGCATCACCATACCTGCGTTCGCGTCTCAAGAAGAAGTTGCAGCTGTTCGAGAGCAGCTACCGAAGCAACATATCCTCAGAGATGCTAGCAGTGAAATGCCAGTAATTGGTGATTTTCTAGGAGAATTGCCGACAAAGGCTAGAGACAAGGGTTTGCCAGTTGTGCAGAGGTTACAGGAGTTCGACAGGGAGGTTCTCGAATTCCGTCGCCTTCACACAGAGTTCCTAGACTCCCTTTATGAGCGCCTCGCGGAAGAGGACAGGTTTGTTCGCATACCCTTTGAGCATTTCGTACAAAATCTGTTGGGTCCGAAGGCGAGTCAGATCTCCGATGCTGGCCGAATGGCCATCTTCCTCATGGCTCAACGAAACCCTACCAAGATACTTCTCTGGCAGCTTGGGCGAAACCTCAACCTGCATGTTCTACTTGGCCCCAAGGAGATGGTGAGACGGTTCTCGAGTGTGGTGGAATGGGCTCGCGAGTATCAAGAGACTGCTGCTTTGGCTTCAAAAGGCCGCGATGTTCGAGGCCTTCTACAGGAGAATCCTGTCAGCAAGTTCATCAACAAGGCCAGAAAGATTATTTTGGCTAGCCGGAAATTGCGTTCGCCAACTACAATTGGCTGTCTAGGCCCGAGCCAGCAGAATGCTGAAGACCAAGGGAAGGTCGTTGCTCGAAGCTCCGGAGAAGAGTTCACAGAGTCGGACCGAAGTATTCTGGATTTCATTCACGATACCTACATCCGTCAGCCAGGTTCGAAGTCCATGACGAAGCATCATGCCATCGCATCTTTGATTCTCAGAGCTATTGGTGCTTATCCAAAGATGGCACTAGAAGACAACATCGGTCGATTGCTGCTTCAAGAACTGGGCGCCATGCCTCCATGGGCTGAGGCAGCCGATGACGATGTGACATTTCCCATTCCCGGTCGCAGAGGAGCTCATCAGGTCACTGAGAAGCTCGCCGAAGCAGAGAAGCTTGCAAAAGAGCTTGGTTTCGGGCGCGGAGCGCAGAAATTGCCTTTGTCAGACAGTATGGCACACCTTCGAAAAGACCTGGGCTCCATGGAGGTCTTCGTCATCGACAAACTAGGTACTGATGTCTTCGATGATGGCATCTCGTTTGAACCCAGCACGGAAAGACCCGGCTGTCACTGGGTCCATGTACATGTTGCCCACCCATCTGCTTTCATTGGCAAAGACACCATCTTTGGCCAACTTGCCAAAGCACAAGGATCGTCTTGGTATACTACCAAGGTCTCTTATCCAATGCTTCCTGCTGCAGTAGGACAGTCAATGAGTCTGGCGCCTGGCGCAGCGGCTCTGACCACCAGCACGCTGCTCGATGCGAATGGTGATGTCGTTGACATCAAGCTTCAACCTACGACAATACACAATATCATACACCTGCAGCCCGAAGCAGTTGATAACCTCCTCGGTCAGCCCGAACGCGATATGGCCGTCCTAATCGTCGGTTCTGATCCATCCATCTCAGTCCGAGAGCCTGCTGAGGCTCAACAGCAGGCCCTCCATGCAGCGGCACCATACAAGTCAAAACTTGAACAATGTCTGAATGTTCTTAGATCTAGACAAAGAAGGAGGAACGAGGAACAAGTTGAGACCATAGATTATCTGCTGGAAGAACGCAAGGGTACATGTAAGGTCAGCTCTCTTGATGCCCATCAACCATCCCGGCTACACGAGAGTCTTCATTATATTGGCGACCCGACCATCAAGCTACAGGCCCCCAAACGTCCGCCACGTGGTCGATGGAGTGAGTTCACCGAAGTACAGAGTATCGTCTCACAGAGTATGATTCTGGCGGGCGAGTCCTTTGGCAAATGGTTCCAGGATCGTGAGCTACCGGCAATTTATGCCGGATCTCAGACTGATCCAGCCTTTCCCATATCGAAACTCAACGCAGCCGGCTGGAGTGATCCGATCATCGCCCCTAAGGCGGTGGAACGGGCTGAGCCTGTACGGCACGTGTCGATGGCGGTCCCACAATATATCCGATCCACAAGCCCGCTTCGCCGGTTCGGCGACCTTCTCGCGCAATGGAACGCAGATGCTTATCTTCGAGCCGAAGCCGAAGGGCTCATAAAAGCAGGTCAGCCTCCGCCTGCGGGGTTCAGACTTCCCTATGAAAAACCCGAGATTAACGATTACATCAAGAACGACTCGTGGATCACGAAGGCTGGTCGAAGCCTGGATCAGGATTCGTACGCGCACTGGGCTTTCCAAGCACTGTTCCGAGCGTTTCACTTCAAAGAAGCGCAACTGCCTGAGATCTGGGACGCGCAAGTGCGCAGTGACCTGCCGTCCAGTGCCACCATAGCGAACCTCACGGAGATGACTGGCACGCTGTATCCATTCTGTCACAAGGTGCGCTTCATGCGCAGCGCCGAGCAATGGGAGAAGAAAGCCAAACGAGGCCAATTCCTCCCGGTCAGGATCGACATGGTGGACGCGACGAATGGGTGCGTCTACGTGATGGCGGTGGGCTCGCCGAGTGACGAGATGACGCAGGCGGACGATAAGGAGGGCAGTGCGGTGTATCTGGGCAGGGCTCGGCAGCAGGCGATCGAGCAGGCAGAGCGAGAAGAGGCTCGGTCGCGCAGGCAAGCGGCGCTGGTGACGGCGTCAGCGGCTTGAATTAGACAAGGTGGTGGTGTCTCCGAGTGTATGATATCCATGCTGGCGTGGGAAGAGGTTCGAGAACGGCTGTTAGGTTTGTGTAAAAGTACGGACGGTTTGTCCAATCAGGGGCACGGTGGCCGTAGGGCGACGGACCTTGGATGTACAGTGTAAAATAGATTTCGCAACGCATAGGAGATTCATCGCTTCTTCATTTTTGTACTCAACGGTCGCCTGCCGTTAGGCGATGACACATTTATTCACGACAATACTTTACAGAGACATTCTTCGACACACAAGGGATTGGCAACAGGCGTATCCACAACATTTGGTCAAGGTCCTCGTTCCATTCCTTGACCCATTCTGGCGGCGATGCTCCAGTGCTTCATTCAATCCTTCTTCGGCTTGCTCACAAGCTCCCTCCGCCACCACCCCTGCGCCGCATAAGGGAAGATGTAGTCCGCATCCTTGCCTGACGTAGGTGCCTCTCTGTTGGGCAGCAGCGCGTTCTCGACCACCTTTCGGCTGTCCACGTCGACGATGCTGTGCCAGCTCACCACTTTGTCCTTGCCAACGACTTTAGCTTCGTAGACTCTGCGAAGAAAGACGCGGATGTGTGGCATGTTGTCGTAGGGCGGGTCGTGCTTCCAGAGCTCTCGGATCCAGGCGTTGTCTATACGCAGTTTCTTCCAGAATTGATGTGCGTGCGACAGGACAGTGTTATTGTGGGCGACGCTGCTGGGTGATAATGGGGGCCAAGTGAGTCTGATGGTCGGAGGATGGCGGCAAAAGTGGGCATGGCTCAAGCCATCGGGTAAATGACTTGTAGCAGTCGCTGCTGGCGGGTTGGTGGGCGCTGTGGCTGGCAAGGTGGTATCGCCGTCATTGTTCTTTAGATGGATTTGGCTGCGAAAGCTCCAGGTGAAGCAGATCTGTTTGACATTGCGGAGGAGTGCCCAATTAGGCTGCTCGCTGGGATCGTCTTCAATAACGAGCGTTTCGACTTTGGCAAGGACAAGTGGGGGAATACCGCTCATGATACCGGGGCGGAGGCTGTGGCTGCAGAGTATGGTAAGGGGACGGGCGTCAAGGTACTCGACAACCTCATCTCTGAGGGTCTGGCAGGTGCCTTTGAGCGCTAGAAGGTGTTGTAACCTGGTGGTATGTGAGTGGACTCGAAGCTCGATGAGGGGGCCGGCGGGAACGATGGCATCGTAAATCAACTCTCGAACATCATGAGGAAGGGTGAGAAATGTAGGTTGGCTGAAGTGAGGGTTGTCGATTGAGAGGGCGAGGCTCAGAGGACCCGAGGCGGGAATGGGTGGGAGCGAGGGTGCTGAGTCACTCATGGTACAGGTTGGCGAAATTGTACCTTGAGGAGATTCTGGTGACCAAAGATAATGCTCAATCGGATCTGCGAGAGTGTCGGAGGTGCTCAATGTCAAAACATCAGGATTGATGTCCCTGACCAGATTTGCTTGGTGGTCGATGGTCGTGACTGGGATTCGTAGTGGGGGGCAAGTTGCAAAGTGGCTTGGTGGCGTAACAAGTACCTGGGATGAGAACAACAACCGTCTGCGGATATGAAGCAGTGAGACAGGCAAGGCACCAAACTGTGGGATAAGGTCACAATCAATGTCGGCGATCGGTGGTAGCCTGGCAAGGCTAGCAAGGCAACAACGTCGTTACAAAGTTCAGGCAGTCGTGTCTGCCAAGACCTCCTGCAGTCCTGCCTCCGGGCGAAGTCGAGCAAGCTTGAAATCACAGTCCATGGTTTTCTTCATCAAACGCAGACGAAATCTCCCATACATTCGGTCACGACTGAAGCTTCACGCGCATCGTTAGGTCAGACGAAGTGGCTCGCAAGGTCATCCAGGGAGCAGATTGTGCCAAACATTTTCCTGTCGCATCAGGAAATGCGACAAGTTCAGTTCAGCACCGGCTATGATCATTGCTGCTGACGACTTTGTTCAACGAGCATCCCTAGATTGAAAGGTTTGCGATCCGACCCTCTTATCACCTTACCCTAGCATCGGTACTGATCATCCAAATCTCCAGGATCGTGAAACCTCGGAGGGAGTTCTATGTCAGGAGCATTTCTGCCTCGCCTACATCCGACTGCAATCTGCACCGTGGAGTGACGGGCCGCTGTATCCTCCTTGCAGTTGGATAGTGTTCAGTAGAATGAACCCCGCCCTAGAGGGTTCGTTTTGTACGCATTCGTTGGGCTGGCGAGAGACGTCCCCGGCGACTCGTGGCGCAGCTTTGTTTCCGGTGAGAGAAGAAGACCATGCAGCTCGCACCCAAAGCGTGAACAATCATGAACCGCGTATCGGTCTCTCTACGGGGGAATGAAGCCGAGTGACCAAATGAAATCCATCCGCGAGGTCGTTCGGGACCCCAAGCGGACCACGCAGCCAAGTCCCTCAAGCCGACTTGCCTGGGCTGAATTTGGTATTATGTCGATCTTGATCTCGATCTCGGAAAACTGATGGGCACCCGTATTTTGAGCAGCATTGACAAGGCCCAAGGAGCTCGTGTACCGCGGTTCCACGAACGATGAGTGTACAGAAAGAAATTGAAAAAAGCTGTACCTGGGCAGCCTTGTAGAGAGCATCAGACTGGACCAGCCATCACAGCTTCCTCGAACAACCGAGAGGGTTCACAGTCGACCCGGAAGCCGACTGGCTGGGTACACGCTCCACATCAGTGCGATATCCGGTCCGCGCGAATTGTGTGTCTGAGTAAACGCCGAACTTCTACTGCAAGCTGTTGAGCAGTCTTGGTCAGAGGCATGTCTTGGCACGCTACGCTGGAAGATGCGAAATTCAGCCGGTTTAGCCAGATTCACCCGCCCAAGACAGGTCAAGCTTGCTCTTCATTTATCCTCGCTTCAGGTGGCAAGCTTCCGGATACCACCAGTCGCATGATCGCCAAGGCAGCCATTGACTCGATGAGTTTGACCGCTTGCGAGGGAAGGCGACTATCATCCAAATATGGAGCAAAAACGTGCTTTTATGCGCAAGTAATCATGCGAGACGCTCCCCAGAAGTCTCAGGCACCGTTCCCGCGCTGCATTGGGGCATGTGTTTGCTGATCATGGCGATTGTCAGGAAATGAAGGTTCAGAGCTTTTGATCTGAATGTGAACTAAGGAGTGGTCTTTGGGCCCAAGACCGGCAAAGTCAGCAAATCCGCTCTGGCACTCTTGATCCGTCCGGTTTCTCTGCTTCAAGCGAGTGCTTTCTGTGGCCTAACGCAACCCTTCCCGGCCTTGGCGCTGACCAGGTGGTGGATGATCCACTTCCATATGCCCCGGGTTGGCGTTGGCGGAGATGTGTAGCCCCGGGGTTCTCCAGTGTATTGGCTGACCTTTGCCCGGGTATTTTGCGGCTCTCCGCGACAAGAGTAGGTCTATCTGGCCCCACGTGCTGACCTTTCGGTGCGCTCTGCACCTGCACTAGAGTCAATCCAGCAGTGGACCAAGCCAACCCACAGTCGATATGCAGACAACGAGCAACAGGCCCTCAACCATAAAAGCTTGCGAGATTCCGCTTCCGCCGACGGCCTCCGCTTGTATAGCAACCATTCAATTTCGCAGAGGTGTTCAGTCGACACCGACAAAGGACTCCGCCCGACATGGCTCCAGACATTAATGCAATCAAAGTTCACGAGAAGGGCGCAAGCGACCCTATCGTCCAGAGGCTCGCTCAGGAAGACAAAGTCCCGTGGTACAGGAAGCCCAACCTGCGAAATCTGTACCTGCTTCTTTTCCCCACCTGCATGGGCATCGAGATCACCAGCGGTTTCGATTCCCAGATGATAAATGCCCTTCAAATTTCAGACCACTGGCAAGAATGTGAGTGATACCCTTTGCCCTGGACTGGAGTGCTTCACTGCTATGGGCCCTTTGCGCTGACATTGACCAGACTTCAATCATCCGACGGGAGAGTGGCTTGGTTTCATCAACGCCGCCTATTCACTCGGTGCTATTCTGAGCTTGCCATTTGTTGGCATTTGCAACGACCGCTTTGGCCGTCGTTGGTCCATTTTCATCGGATCCTGGATCATGGTGGCAGGCGCAATCGTTCAATGCTTCGCTCAAAATGCCGGCAACTACATTTTCGCGCGTATCATGCTGGGATTCGGGATTCCCGTCTGTATCGTTGCGGCCTCTGCTCTTATCGGCGAACTTGGTTACCCCAAGGAGCGCCCGGTCTTGACTTCACTTTTCAACGTGTCCTACTTTGTGGGCGAGCTTACCGCTGCGGGAATCTGTTTTGGCACAAACACCATTGCAAGCCACTGGTCCTGGAGGCTTCCATCAATTCTTCAAGCGGCTCCGTCGCTACTTCAAATCAGCTTGGTCCTGCTGCTCCCGGAAAGTCCTCGTTGGTTGATCAGCAAGGACCGTCATGAAGAGGCCCACGAGATTCTCGTCAAGTACCATGCCGAAGGTGACCGCGATTCGGAGTTTGTTCGTGCCGAGATGGCGCAAATCCGATCCACTCTTCATATTGAGATGGAAGCATCCAAGAAGTCCTGGCTGGATCTGTTCCGCACTTCTGGTATGCGACGTCGTGTGATTCTCTCAACAGCACTTGGACTGTTCACCCAGTGGTCCGGTAACACCCTCATCTCCTATTATCTCGGCACACTCTTGAAGATGGTTGGCTGGGAGCAAGCGACAGATATCCAGAAGGTCAATGTAGGCTTATCTTCGTGGTCCCTGATTACTGCCGCCACAGCTGCGTTGCTGGTGACGCGATTCCGGCGCAGAGTCATGTACATGACTTGTGTCATCTCGTTGCTCTGTGTCTACATTGGCTGGACCGTCTGTATGGAGAGGACTATGACGAGTGACAAGGCTGGAAACATCAACGAATCATCTGGCATTGGAGTCATCTTCTTCATTTTTGCCTATAAGCCTGCTTATAATATCGGGTAAGTTGAGAAACTGCCAGGCTTATGGAATGCCAGTTCGCTAACATCTGCCAGCTACAATGCGCTTACATATACATACTTGGTTGAGCTATGGCCCTTCGCAGAGCGTTCTCGAGGTATTGCGTACTTCCAGGTAAGTAAAATCTGCAGCCACGATGCCAGCCTCTATGCCATGATGATCTAACGTGTTCGTGTTCGCAGCTCTGGGGACGTCTGGCTGCCTTTTTCACCACTTTCATCAACCCCATCGGTCTGAAAAACATTGAGTGGCGCTGGCTCATTTTCTACTGCTGCTGGCTCGGCTTTGAAGTCGTCTTCGTCTACTTCATGTTCCCCGAGACCTTTGGGAGAACACTCGAAGAGCTTGCTTTCCGTAAGTCTGCTTGTCAACGAAACGAAGTAGTAGCTAATATTTTGCAGTCTTTGAAGACAAGGAAAAGGCCGACCGGGCTGTTGCTGCTGTGGAGAAGGCCAGGGCTGGAATTGACGACGACGAGAAGCGAGCAGAGACTGTGGTCGAGAATATTGACAACCGCGTCTAGATGGATTGGCCTGCTGCGGTTGCTACTCGAGAGCTTCTCAAACGTCAAGGAATGTTCTCTCATTCGTAAACGGTGCTGGTGCAAAGGATGCTACATCCTGACTACATAAATTGATCAATGCTCACGATTCAGTGCAGAACCTGCTGAAACTCAGTGGACACCTGAAACAAATCATTGAGATATCAACCAGGGCGAGTAGAACGAGAGGAGATCTCAAGGCGGCAGCCCCTGAGCAAGGCTGAGCTAGCCGGAAATAAGTTCGGCTGTCTCCGTAGATTTCCAAAGTGTCCAGACCAGCACCCGCTGCTCAGAGGCACTTTCGCATCCTCTTGTTCACGCGACAACTTGCTCGAAGTGCAATCACTCATCTTTGTTTACTAAGTCGCCTCATACCTTCGGAGGCCTGTACCTGTCCGGACGCTTCAGGAGTATTCCTCCCACACCGCACTAACTATGGTAAATACCTCGACAACCGGACCTCCTTGTGCCCATAATGTTTGCACGAAAGTTATCTCGAGCGCACACCCTTTTGACCTCGCAAACTGCTCAGAGAAACATTGCTGATCAGGAAATTCGCAGGCTTCCGCCCGCCCCTCGTCTCCCCTGACCTCGGGTCCCGAATCCGGCCCCGACTCTTCAGGTCCCGCCGCAAAGTCCAGCGCTACCTCGATCGCCCGTGCCGGCTCCCCTCCCGGAGGTCCTCGCTCTGCTATCCGACGACGTGCTGCCGCAGACCACAAAGAGTCGGTCAAGAATGCGCGGCCCTCAAGCACACGAGCAGCTGGCGCAGGTGGCAGCTCAGGAACCATGCTGAGACTGTACACTGACGAGAGCCCGGGTCTCAAAGTCGACCCTATGGTCATCCTGTTCTTGAGCCTGGGCTTCATCTTCAGCGTGGTGGCATTACACTGTAAGTGATACTTGAGCTGCAATGGAGGTTCTGGTGCTAACTACGAGGGCAGTAATTGCGAAGGTCACCAAGCGATTCTCATAAGCATTTGGGCGGTACAAAAGTCTAGAGAGCTAAAAGTGACTGTTCTTCAGGGGCGGTGTGTACCCATATATGTCTCCGGATTCCCATTAAACCCGATCGCCGTGTGGGAGCTATCGATGAGAACTCAGAGGTCGTTGCGAGATTTTGGAGCCTCAAGAAAGCAATGAAGCCAACTCGGTGTGCGAGCGGGACATCAACCAAGAACCGCGAAATAACAAGAATCGATCTCGCACCACCGTTTCTAGGACGCGGAGTTGTCTGCCGAGCTATTTTCAATCCTTTCCTACTCTTTGCAGACACCTTGGCCAGTTCAGAGGTTGTGGTATGGTTCGGAACGCAGACTCTTTGATAAGCAGCATTGTATATGTATCTATCTTCGCAACGTGTGAATTCTGGCGCGAGCTGGAGAACTAGAGGCGAAATCTCCGTGACTTCAGAAGATGTCCCATGCGCCACTCGCCGGTTTCGTGACTGCTGAGATCGACCCTCGAAAGCCGTAGAGCGTCAGACGACGTACTACTATTCTGAGAGCTGCCCACATATCAACAGGGCCTACGACTGATGGCCCCCTGCTGCCTCTCCAACGGCCAGCCTGTGGGGGTGGGGTATGCGGCGGGTGCGGCGGGTGACGTTCGCTCGTGCCACTGCGCGATTCAACCGCACGCGCATGTGCCTTTTTGCCTCATCATAACTCACACGACGCTGCCTGCCGCGACACTGACCCTCTGATCCCATTTGTATGACCCGAGATAGCCGCCACCGCTCTGCTTCTTCTTTGCTGCTGCGCCCACCACCTTGGTACCGCGGTGCCCCTCCACCTCAGCAGTCCGCCATTCACGGTCATGTCTGAAGCCGAGCCTCCCACAAACGGCGTCAAGATTGATGATGAGTCGCTACCCAAGCAGACAGAATCTCAAGACGATCCACATACGTTGACCAACAGTCAGGGCTGGGACGGCAAACTGAGGATGACCCCCAAGAGCGCGACCCTGACGAACCCTGAGGCTCTCTCCGACCCAGAGTATTCGGATCCGGAAGCGCCTCCGGTAGAGCAGATTGACGCAGACGAGGATCTACTTGACGATGTCGTGGAGGACACCAAAGACATCGATCTGGTGCACTGTCGCATCTCATCAGTCCCGGCTCTCCGGCTAGAACGCTTCCCGAACGTGGAGAGGATATGCTTGCGACAGAATGCTATTGTCTCCGTGGAGTTTCCTCCCTCATTTGGGGAGTCTCTGGATGAGATTGACCTCTATGACAACCTCATCTCCCACATTCGAGGCTTCGAGAACATGAAGAATCTCACCATTCTTGATCTATCATTCAACAAGATCAAGCACATCAAAAATGTTAACCATCTTGTTAAGCTCAAGCAACTTTTCTTCGTGCAGAACCGCGTCTCCAAGATTGAGAACTTAGACGGGCTCTCAAATGTCACCATGATCGAGCTGGCCGCCAACCGCATACGCGAAATCGAGAACTTGGACCCTCTAACCTCGTTACAAGAGCTTTGGCTAGGCAAAAATAAGATCACCGAGATCAAGAATCTTTCCACTCTTACTAACCTACGGGTTCTGGACCTGAAGTCCAACCGGCTCACGTCCATCTCCGGTTTGGAAACTCTTGTCAACCTCGAGGAGCTCTACGTCTCGCACAACGCCATCACAGCCATCTCCGGCTTGGAGAGCAATAAGAAACTGCGTGTCCTTGACATCTCCAATAATCGAATCACGCATCTCGAGAATATGACTCATTTGGCTGAGCTTGAAGACTTCTGGGCAAGCGCCAATGGCCTCTCGGACTTCAGGGAGGTGGAGCGAGAGTTGAAAGACAAAGAAAATCTAGAGACAGTCTACTTCGAGGCAAATCCACTACAGTTGCAGGGGCCTGCTGTGTACAGAAACAAAGTCCGACTCATACTGCCGCAAGTCAAGCAAATCGACGCCAGTAAGTGTGCCCGCTCGAGTTAGGGCCACACGATTACTAACATCTACTGTAGCTTTTGTCAAAGTCACATAGTAACTCTCCGTCCTCGCGAATACAACTCCAACGGGCGCAATGGGCAACGGCATCGATTGTCGGGTCGCGACGCTTCGATCGGCTACCAAGGCCAGCTATAGGGCCCGGAAGCCAAATCAGAGGACAACCATGAATAGCGGTATTTATGCTTGCTGATATTCGAGCCGGAAGTTTGCAGCTGGTGTAAACCTGGGCGGCTTGATGGATGCATGAGAATGTCCGTCCACATCCAGTGAGCATACCACCCGCAGAGCCTCAAGCACCCGGGCATGGAGGTCGTAACATGCCGGAAAGCTACTGGACAAAGAACTACTTTTGCTTTCAGCGATCGTATCTGGCGAATAGTACAGTGCAGTAAGCTCTCGAACGAGAAGCGGCGAGAATGCCGTCTGGGTGTGGACGTATGGATCGTCTGTAGTAGCCGACCTAAAAGAATACTCTAAGCACATCGCAAGAGACTGCAAGCCGACGACGAACGAACCCGCGCTGTTCTGCGTCTGACGACAAAAAGTGCTTGCGTCTACTTTCCCACGCCAGTTGAGGTAGAATTCGACTTAAACAAGAAAAAAGCGTCTGCGTTGAATATGGATGGTAGTCTGACACTGTTGCCTACTCCCTCCATCCCGCCCCGACTTATCATGCCAAGTGGTTTGTTGGATTCCATCCCACTATCAATCTCATAGTCCTCTTACTCCTTGGAAAACGCCCTGACGCCTCGAACGACATTGACATTCGCATTCCGTTTCGCTCGTCTTTGTGATCTCACTTTTCCCACATCCGCAATGCAACGGTCTTTCGCGTGAGGTTGGCGATCGCGCATCGCCCGGCTGCGCGAGAAAGTTTGCAGGATCATGCCGCGCCGCCGCAACGGCCACGGTTGACATTTTATTGTGCGGATCGCTTGTAGAGACCAGCTACGATGCAGTGGTCACGCTCGAAAGGCTCTGTAGTGATTCATTGTCAGCAAACATAAAGGGGGAGCTAAAAAAATTCGGATGTCAGGGTAGGTAGGCACTCACCCAACGTCAGCTGCTCCTTTGGCTTGATGCGCTCCTCACGCATCTTCTTGACCTCGTTCGCGAAGACAACCTCGGGTTTCGCCGTGCTGTCGATACAGTTGGCCTTGATGGAGACGACGACGCCGCCGTCGACCTTGAGGAACAGATGGGCGTTGAGGCCGACGATTCTGGCCTGGTCGGGCTGCGCCACGTCGGCGAAAATGACGTCCACCATACCGACCAGCATGCGGTAGCGTAGCGGGTGGCGGGCGTCCTCGATGATGGGAATGACGTTGGTGCGGTGCGTGGCCATGGTGATGAGGTCGCGGCCGGAGCGGTGCGAGAACTCGACGGCGTAGACGCGGCCTTCTGGGCCGACGATGTCGGCGACGTGGGACACGGAGGTGCCGCTGGCGGCTCCTAGGTAAAGGACGCTGGCGCCGGGCTTGATGAAGATGTCGTCGAGACCGCCCAGGATGCCGGCCGCCAGCTTGCTGCGGAACGGGTTCCAGACGCGGTATTCGGTCTTGGTGGGGCCGGAGGACTCGTCGTCGGTGCTTTTGGAGGGAGCATCGACCGACACGCGCTTCTCGCCGTACACTGACTCGCCGGGGGTTAGGTTCTTGGTCACGAGAAGATCTTCCTTGCCGCCGCGAGCGACGAAGACGCCGGCATGTCGGTGGGGTTCCTGCAAAGAAATTGGTTAAACAGGGGTGCTCCTTTTGTAGCTGGGTCAAGGGTAGCCGTCGGCCTGCTGCCGATTCGCAACATGGGCTGTAGATGGGAGCACATACGATGATGACCTTCGCGCCACCCTTCGCTCCACCTCCACCTCGGGGGGCACCTCTGCCACGGGGAGCACCTCTTCCACCTCTTGGTGCGCCTCGTCCACCCCCTCGACCTCCGCCTCGTCCACCTCGATCGCCGAAGCCGCCTGCGGTTGAATATTAGCGCACATTGCCCGCACACATTGCTGGACCCTTGTTCGCGCTGCGCTAACAGCACGAGTCGCAGTCGAAGACTCCAGATCTTCACATACCTCTTCCACCACCTCGGCCACCTCTCATCGGTGCTCCTCTACCGCCGCCGCGGCCACCACCTCGTCCCCCACGATCGCCGAAGGCCATTTTTATGCGCAACTCTTTCGATTTCTCCGTAAAGGATTTTCAAAGGACTCAAAAGTGTGAGTAGTCGTCGCGAAGCCGGTCTGTACAGATTTGGGGCCTGTATCAAGAAGGCCGAGTGGTGCCTTGAAGAAATTCCAGTGACTTTGCGACTTTGCCTTCCGGCGACTGGAATTTTTGGGCTTTGCATGCAGCTTTTTGGAGCTGTAGCGCTTGTCTCGATAAGGCTAGAGGCCGCTCGTGGACTTGGCGTTGTACGGCGGCGGGGGCGGCATCTAGTGCAAAACGGCCACGGTGAAAGTCAATGCTACAACGGACTTGCATCGAGCTCTTCGGTCACACTCTAGTACTGTAAGGTTTGTGTTGAAATGTACATGGGCTCAGCTGGTATCACTCCTAACTTGACCGCCGTCCCCTAACCTCCATTCACTTCGTCAGATTGCTCATCCGGAAACACGCTTCCCCACACCTCTCCCATCGCATACCCCTGGTCAGCCAGCGCTTCCCAATACTCGGCATCGTACTCCTCAGCCTCCTCGCCCACCGTTGGCACAAGGTCCTCCGGATATGTCACCTTCCCCTTCTTGAACGACATGCCTCCCCGCAAAGCCAACGCGCCCAGCATCGACAGGTCTGTCCCGGCCTCAGCAAAGCTGGCTTGCTCAACGCACGCCCTCCATACACCCCACACAGTGGTCTGCCACTCGTCTGGAATCTGGTTGATGGACGGAGCGGGGTCCTGGAACAGGTTCAGCGCCGCGATGTCTTTGCGTCGCAGGATCTTGAGTGGCATGTTGTCGACGAGGGACTCGAGGGAGCGGGCGTCCGCGACCAAGTGATCGCTGCTACCGCGACGCGTGATTTTGTCGGCGAGATGCACGGCGCCGGACATGGTGATGCTATCGCAGCATCCTCCTGTGACAGCACAGTCGTATGTCTGAGGTGGCTCGTCGATTGGCGTGTTACTGTCGCGGCTGTGGCTGGCGGTCTCCATGGCCTTGCCGTCACTTGAGGTATGTGTCTGCTCCGTTCCCCGTTCCTTGCCCCGCGATATGAGTTGGTTCGCCACCTTCCGCGCGTCGGGGCTGCTTCTGAGCATAGCGATCACGCGACAGACATTGCTCGTATCCTTCTTCTTATTCTGGTGTTCGAGCAGCACCAAGGCGGCGTGGATCTCAAACTCCGTTGCTCTTGCGATCACATTATCGAGGCCCGTAGCGAGCATGGCTTGAGCCTGGAGTTGTAAGAGGGATATGTTCTCGCCTCCCATTTTTTGGGTTCGTGCATTTCAGGTGGTTGATATCAGTCGACGTTTGCGGTTGACGGAACAAACAATTCCGTCGGCAGGTGTAGGTTCTAGGCTCGGTGGGTTTGTTTGTGCCTGATCAGCTTTGTCCCAAAAGTTCTGTGCGAGAAACGCCGAACAAAGGCGAACGAAACATGTTTAGGGACAATTTGTGCTAAATCGAAGGAACTGTCTTGTTCGATGTCGTCTGCGGCTACTACTCAATCTATCGTCGACGTAGAAATGGCCACTGATGCTGCTGGTAAATAGGCAAGGTGGTGGAATGAGATAAACTGTATGTTGGCTGTTCAGCATGCTGTCTTCTACAACATCGCGACCCTGCGATATATCTTGAAAAGTCCAAGGAACTGACGATCACCTTGGTGATACCCCAGGTTCAGGATTGAGACCTCTGTTGATTCCTACAGCGGCACTCTACGAGCCAGTGAGCGACTGCGGCTCTCAACCTTCGCGCAGCCACTGCACATATGGTGCCACCGATTAGCCTGCTCGGGCTCGGGCTGCCAATTCTTTTTTCCACTGCCGCGTTCAGTATACTTCAGTGACCAAAGTGAGACGAGCCCTCTATGACCACGCATTGACTCCCTCTCGCTATGATAGTAGCCGTTTTCGGTGCCTATCCAGTCAGAATCGGCACAATGCCACAGATCTGATGTACCTAGGTAACAAAGGAGGATGGCAACACCGCAACCGCAGCCCCAAGGCACAGACCTTTCCTCGCTCAGAGCTTCGACGCCATGACCTCATTCCCAGCAGGGTGAAAATATCCATAGAAACGCTCCCACTCGCGATCGGTGACGCCCGTCGTCGCATTGTAGGGCTCATGCTTCTTCAAGTAAGCCTCAACGGCCTTCTCAGCATCCGCCTCAGCGTCGTACCCGAAGATACTGAGCGCTGTGAAAGGGTCCGAGTATAGGTTCGGGCTGCGGACGAGCTGCTCGCCCCTCAGCTCCGGCTCCATGGCCTTGTCGCGGGCTTGCTGAGCGGGGCCGTCTTCCATCATCCAGATGGAGCCGTTGATGAAGGAGACCTGCTGCTTGTTGTAGGCTAGTGGCATCCGGGTCTTCTCGTAGATCTCGATTGCTTGTGCTAACGTCAGAGTCCCGTCAGCCACGCGTTTCAGGGTGAGCGCGAGGAAAGCGCCGTCTTCCATGGATGTCGCGGCGCCTTGAGCCATGTGGTTGACCATCGAGTGTGCGGCGTCGCCCTACATAAGACGAAGTGAGTTAGCTTATCTCCAAACGGATAAGTGAAGAGAGCTTGGCCGTTGAACGTAGCCAGATGACAAGCTGGATGGGGCCTCATATTGACGGTTCGGACCCCTTTGGCGGCCCTCGGACATCTCAATGTCTCCCGTAATGCTAAAACTCAGTAGAGTAGAGACAGCTCACTGCAGAAGTGTCAGTATAGCTTCGGATTGCGCAAGGACTTTCTACAGGAAGCGGTGCGTTATTGGTCGCCAACAACCCTTTGAACGTCCCGACTCGGGGTTATCAAGGTTCTTACCCATCAGCACGATATTCTTCTGTGGCGTGGACCACGTATCTAGAGGGCCAGTGACGAGCAGAGGCCACCTTCGTGTCGTTGGCACCATGTCCAGGACTCTCTTGATTCGTGGGTCGAAATCCTGATAGACGGTACGAAACTCGTCCATGTCCACATCCTCCACATCTTCGACATAGTTGGGCCTGTGATGTGAGACCACCATGTTAAAGTCTTTCCCGTTTGAGATCGGATAGGAGATAATGTAGGCCCCTGGGCTCATCCATATGTCCATCTGCACCTTCGCCACCAATTCCTTCGCAACCGGATCCTTGGCAACCTCCTCAGTGGGAACGATGGCGCGATACGCGCAGTTCTTGGTCGGAGGCCTAGGTTTGACGTGTGGCAGAATGGTGCTCCGCACCACGGATCTCAACCCGTCGGCACCGATGAGCAGGTCGAATGTCCATTCCTTTCCTTGTGCAGTCGTGACCTGTACTTGTTTCGAGGACAGCCAGTCAATCTTGACCACGCGCGAGTCAATACAGATCTCGGCGCCATGGTCCTTCGCGCTTTCTGCGAGACCGCTGTGGAGATGCATGCGGTGGACGCACCACCATGGCACGCCGCACATATTGCGCCGTATATTAGGCACCGTCCGGGCATAGCCAACCTTGGTCCCATCCTTTCTTCGTAGGTATACCTCCTCGAACTCGACTAGGTTGGCGCCGATATATTTGTCCGTTCCCCATCTCATCAGCAGGCGGGCGACATTTGGTGTCATCTGCCGTCGTCAACGACAAGTTCTTGGGCAGAAGGCACGCCCTTACCTGTATGCCGGCCCCTATCTCACCTAGCTCCGCCGCTGCCTCGAGTACGGTGACCTTGCAGCCGGCGCGCCGGATGGCGATGGCAGCCGCTAGACCGCCAATGCCTCCCCCACAGATACCTACATGAAGCTCCGGCATGGTTGACACTGTATAGAAAGCTGGGCGTCGACAAGGCTGAGAACAGCGCACCGGCAAAGTAGGAATACGAGATGTGCTACGAGGGTTCAAGCCGGTAACACGTAACAAAATGCTCTGACGGAAGCTTGCGGGCACGCACCGAAAAGCTTGCCGCGAGACCGTAGCACCACATCCTCAACATAGACTCTCTAGGTGGCACTGTAGAAGGCGGCACGGAAAGCATAGCCGAGGTAAGCGGAGGAGGGGGTCTTCGCATAGTTACTAGAGTTAGTGGTACATGGCCTTTCTCCGCGGCCAGTTCCCATCTGTAGATTCACAGCAGTGAGGGGTGAGGAGCAAATGGATCGAGGTCAGTCGGTGATGCAAGTGCATTCGTCGGATGTTCGAAGCAACTTCCCAGTGTGATTATTGGCTCTGTCAGCTTCGTTCATCAGCATGCGCGAAGGAGCAGCACGGGTCGAGATCTTCAGCACCGGACGAATCGTCTGCATAACGAATTCGGCAAACGACCAAATCGTTGATAACACCAATCTCGAGATTCATACAGTGGATAGCAGCCTCTGAGACTGTGGTAGCAACAAGGCGACTCGGTTGTGTTATTGCCTCGTTGCCCAGCATCTGTGACGTCACCAACAGCAGTGGTGAATCAAAGCATATGGTCGCTGTTAACGGCATCCTCGCTGTCATAACATATCCTTGAGATTCCAAACACCTCATGCGTCAGATACTAGCAAGTATGCTCCGCCCCTTCCTGCTCCTCGCCATCATATTCACAGCGACAGGGTTCGCGCAGGTTCAAAATATCTTCATCAAGTCCGGCGGCGCCACCAACAACAGCAAGATGTCGGCGTCCAACCCTCTGAACGTGTTTCGACAGCCTCTCCAGCTCTTCTCGATGCAACCCAGAACAGGCTTCTACCGGGATGGGTACTGTCGCACGGGCGCCGCGGATTTTGGGAACCACGCCGTCGCTGGCATCGTGAGCGAGAAATTCCTGGATTTCTCGGCGGAGCAAGGGAATGATCTTCGGGTTGCGGGGTTGAGCGAGGGCTGCAAGTGGTGTTTGTGCACCTCACGGTGGATGGAGGCTTTTCAGGCATACAAGGACGGCCGCATACCGAAGGAAGCCGTGCCGAAAGTGCAACTGAGCGCGACTGAGGACAGTGCGTTGAATAAGGTGGACTTGAACGACTTCAGGGAGTTTGCGGTAAAGGAGGAGTCAACGAATGGAGCGAATGGGGTGCATTGATCGTCTTGCTATGAGCAAAAGTGTCGCAGTCGACAAAATGTTTTTTCCAAATGTGTGTACCTGCGTCGTTGTACGCTCGATTATTTCCCGGCGTTCCAGTCCCTTCCCGCGTACGTTTGGTTCTATCGACAACATAGTAGTTCATTAGCAGTATCCTTTGCTCTTCTCACCTCGCCGGGAAACATCATACCTCCAAAAAAGAGTAATGATGCGCCGCCCCCCAGAGTAATCGGAATCGAATGGAGACCGCATTCCCGCAGCCCTGGATCAAGGCTTGCAAGAATGTGATCCCGCTGCGATTGCACTCAAGTAACCCCGTCGCCGCCTTCTTACAGGACGAACAACGTGATACAATCTTCGCAACGGCTTTTCCATGGGGAGAAGTTCTTCTGCTGTGACGCAAGAAGCCCCGAGTTTCTGATGCCAAATTGCAGACCGCTTGCGCGGTAGGCCCTCACGGGCAGTCCCAAACAGGCTTTGCTTCATCTTCTCCACGTATGGCGAGCGAAGCAAAAGCCGGGGTCCAAAGAAAGGTTGAAGAGTGGTACTCCGAATTTCTCATCTGCAAAGGTGACTCCGGCGCTCGGATGAACGCGCGGAGGATGCTGAGATGTGTCTCGACCACATGAGAGGGAGACGGGGCATCGTGTGTAGCAGAGAACGCAGCGAATGGGGGGCGGCGCATGGAAGAGGAAAGGAAGTTGTTCGAGCGTTGAGTCAAGGATATTCTTTTTGGAGAGCGGCTGCGGGCCTGCTGAGTGTTTGAGTCACGCGTAAGGCTGATGTCTGGTATCACGAGTCATGACATTCGGCCAATCTCCCTGCTACTCGAACAGTTGCTCTCCTTTATCCGGTCTTAATAATTGCAAAGCAGCCACTATGCAGCCATCTCGCCGAATCGGCCGTACTTGTCTACAGTGCAGCTCCCTGTAGCTCACCCTCACCGGCCGCCCATGGCTCGCAGCAATCCTAATTCTCTCCTCTTTCCTAAGTCTCCCGAACCCTGCTCACACCGGGCTTGTAACTCCCCAGGATCATGCAACCCGCAAGCGTACCGGTTGCCACAATCTGGAACAATCTTCGTGCGCCGTGCCAGGTAGTTCCTTGGAAAAGCACATGAAGCAGTGGCGTGGCGTAATGGGCCAGGCCTGACTTTCGCGCCCCACACAGACGGCATGCCCCACCGATGGGTGCCGAGCGGCATGCCTGCTTTGGATGTAGCGATATCGCTGATATCCACGTTGGCTTGGTGGCTTGGTGGGCTCGGTGGGCTTGCCACCTTTGCCGGGTGGGCACCAAGCGTCGTGGACACAACTGTCGGAAACCGCTGACCGGGTCCGCTGGTGCGGATGGGAATTCGGCGGCCGGCGGTCAAGTCAGCACTCTCACGAACGATCGGAGTAGAATGATTCCTGGTCATTGGGTACCGGGGGTTTCAGTGACGAGGACTCGGAGGCTAAGTGAAAACTACAATGAGAAGAATATTGCCACACAACTGGAGGATGACGTATATGTTTTCATTATGGCGACGACGACTCTTGAAATCGCGTCTTATCATCGTACTGTCTGGCCGTTTTCCGCCATGATGCCAGGTGACTGAAATTTCGCTCAAACGCTACACATTGAAAGAATACTGGTATGCACGCTGGAAGAACGTGCGATCCGCCTAGCATGGGACCTTATCTGGTCCGCTTCCTGATCTTCGGCGCCCGACGCGAGCTCATGGTGTCGGATCGTTGCTTCTCGATCTTGTAGCCGCCGAGACTAACTGTGCTGTTGGACCTGCTGGTTTTCCCACACCACGGGGCCTCGTTGGAAAGAGGCAAGGAGCTGGGATGACACTCCTCGATGAGCATGGCGATGTCCGGCGTGCGCTTCGCTAGACATTGCAATCGAACGAGAGCTTGACGTTGCTTGCGTCTCATGGTGTATGTCGAGTGCGCCTGTGCTTCAAGTGAAAGCGAGGGTCGCGGCGATGAAGTAGCACTGTGGTCGAAAACACTAAGATCCCACAACGCTGGGTCGAAGTCGGCCGACTCATCGGAAGAGGTCGTAGCTGGCGTGGTGGGGCCATCGTAGAAGCTGTCGTCTTGGTCGTAGGCCGACTCCGAAGGCGACATCATGGGACTTGGCGAGTCTCTTTGAACACTGTCTGTGATGGCGTGATGCTCGAGTTGGGTGGTCAGAGCAGTCACGGATGGGTGGCGTAAAGACCTCCACGCATCGAAGCGGGAGTCTCGACGAGGCTGTGATCGAGGGCCTACTGCATCGAACCTGGGTGACGAGCATCGGGATGTATATGGGGAGATATCGGTGCTGGTAGACTCGACAACGGCGGCGGGATCGGCCGTCGAGAACGAGAAATTCTCGTTGAACATACTGATGGTGGTGAAGGCGAGACTGGGATCGATATGGGTTTGAGACTCGATGGAATGAGTACTGACGGTAACGATCGAAGGCGACTTGACAGGTGAAGACGGTTTAAGAGAAGCAAAATGCAAACCGCGGGGAAGTTATACGATCTCAGTGACGCGATCGATAGGAAGTTGCAATCCACTAACAAGAAAAGTGGCTTGAGGTTGTAGCGATGACAGGCGATCCATGAGTGGGAACTAGAGTCTCGCTGCAACAATGCGCCATGGACGGCTGCCGCTGCTGTAACGAGAAACCGGGTGGCCAAATGGATAGCCGGATAGCCACTGTCAGGGCTTGGGTGGGATGGGCGCTTGAACCGGGGCTGAGATGCTACTCCAGTACTACCTCCACCCTTCGGGTCTAGCAGCTGACGGCTATTTCGCCGGGAGAAAAGAATGCTTCTAGAAGGGCGGTTAGGCCTGTCACGACTAGCTGCTACAGGCGCTGAGTGGTCCGCCGCGGCTCCGCTGGATCAGCGCTGATTGTTGGTCTGGCCGAGATCAGCATTTGGCTTTCTCTTTCGGCGCGTCCAGGATGCTAGTCGTAGCCCCAGCACTTCTGCTCCAGCGCAAATAACAGGGGAGCCCCTTCGGAGACCGCCATCGTCCCGGGAGAAAGTTTTTTCCTCTCGCTACTCTGTACACGAGGGCGGAAGACACGGGTTTCATGAGGCTGAGGGAAGCGCGTCAAGGGTGGAAAGCTCGGAAATTTCTTATTGTGAAAACGAACTTTCCCATCCTACCATAGCAGTGGCATCAGCTCGTCTACCAGGTAGCAGATCCACGTGATAGAGTGGCCAGCGTATAGTGGACTACAGTATAGCTGCTTCGGCAACCCCCGTGTTCCCCAACGAACCCTCATGGTAAATGGCTCCACCCCGCCCAACTTCATACTGAGTTGCTCAATCACGACAGGTGCAGTGTGAGACAGATGCCCTTCCATCCAGTCACTGCGAGACTGATAAACACGCGGGCTGATGTTGCATATCTCTAACGCATCATCAGCCAACGGGCTCCGTCCCAGCAGGAAAAAGTCCGAGTATAACTCCTGCAGTTGTGACATGAAGTCGTCGAGTATATCATCTGTCGTGCTCGCATGTGATGGAACGGAACTTCGCGCGGGAGATGCCTGTGAGGACCGACTTGATCCATGCACTCTAGGCCGGTTCGGCCTGAATCCGCCTTCGGTCGCTGCTAATGCCAACCAAATGTCTTCGTCGGCTCGTTTGCTGCTCTGCGCAAAGTCGTCGTCGTCTTCTTGCAACGAACATCCGCTCAACAAATCATCCGCAGAGAGCTTGTAGCTGAGTGTCGACCAATGCGGACTGCTTTGGGCCGACGGTGTTGCTATTTCGTCGGTAAAAGATGCTTCCTCTGATATAGTGTCCAGCTCTGGTATCTGATTCGCGCTCTCGGCAACAAAGTCCGTTACGTCAATCAGGGATACCAGCATAAACCTATGCCGGCCGCTACTCGGCACTATTAACGGCGTGAAGAGGACCAAGTGAAGGACTTCGTTCCCCGCCGCATCGAGCCCCGACACAATGTCCATCGAATTGCCTTCACACTCTTGGTTGTTGAGCACAAAGTTCTCACCGATGTCAAAGATATATCTTAGGTCAGCCGATGTGCCGCTTACTGGACAACCTTGTCTGGCGGTGTCTAGAACCACGAAGCATTTGAAATGCTCCACCAGCGATAATGGCGTCCTTCTTCGCTTCAGGTCAACAGTCGGTCTTGCTGGAGGTGCACTCGGGGCCTGCAGGGCGGAGCCCGATGCAGACAGACGATCTCGGTTCCGACTGGTGCCAGGTTCACGCCGCGAAGATCGCTTTAGACTGGGTGTCGTTCTCAGAGTGGAAGGTCGCGGCTGGATGCTCGGTGGTGCTAGAATGCTAGGTTGGTCTCTTGGAGCGAGCGACGATGCCGACTTGCGGATGCGCAGCGTCGACACGGACGACTGCGGTCGGAGGCTCACAGCCGATGCAGTGGTGATCGACGCTAGACTCGCCTGTCGGCTTGCGCCTACACGGTAGGCGCTGGGGACGGATTCATACAAGACCTGTTGAGGACCCCCAGGGTCGAGGTAATCTGTGCTGAGGCTGATTTGAGACATACTTTTGGCGGGCAGAAGGCGCCTATCTGAGCTGGTGTTTGCTGGCGGGGCCAACGCTGCCGGTGTCTCGGACCATGACGATGGTGTGTAGACGACATTGTCTTCGACGGTGCTAAAGTCAGAAAAGACGGAGACTGTTGAGAAACTAGGGATCTGCGGTACTATCGATGGTGCTTTTCTGAGAATGCCGGAGCCTACTGGCGAGGAGTAGTGCCCATTGTTGGTTGGTGTGTCCTTGGTACGCCTCAGCAAGTCTCGCAGTGCCTGCCTGAGCGTCTTTCGCGGCTTCGTCATGATATGATGGCGCTCAATGAGTCGAGGTCGTTATGCCTTGCCATTGATGAGGAAGGTCGAAAGACAGCATATGTGTACAAGGGCATCATAGTTGTGAAAAGCCGGCTTTGCCTACAAACAAAGACATCTGCAGCCTCCCGAAGCAGGGCTGAATGAGAGCATCAAAGAATCACGGGCTCGAATGTATTTTCGTGCAGAATGAAAGCAATGGCGTCCAAAGACAATGGCAACTACGACCAAGTGGACGGCTTGTGCTGGTACCGGATCGTAGCAGAGAAGGCACGTCTCATGTCTCATGGGTGAAAGTCGAGGTTCCGAAATTCTGTTACCCCCTACTAGTGGTAGCGCCCAACGGTCGCCGGAGAATAAGAACTGTGTCGATCGCGCACCGGGTCGTGCAGCGTTCTTGCCGCGGCTTGGCCTCAGTTCTCTGTCGCGTGTATCCGTATTCAAGTCACAGCCACCCCCAACATCTGCTTCGCAATTCGCTGCAGTGGCACTTGCTATAGCGTGACAAATCGGTCTTGACTTCACATCAATATACAGTGTCTCCGGGCTCCAGACAGCATCACCTTTACCGTACAATATCTGGTGATGCCAGTCGCACCGGGGGCTAGTATAGCCAGCGGAGTCAAGACTAAGCCTTGTCGGATTTAGCTACCCAGGGAGACCCAAGCCCCTGTTTCACCCTACCTGGATCGAACCGCACCACCTCTACCGTCACGTCGGTTCGAGCTTCAGGGTGAATACTCGGTAGGCGATGGTCTTCTGTGTGTCATTATGTAAGCGCCGCACTGGTAACGCGTGAGCATGTCCATAGTGGACACGAGATCTCCAGATAAAAATGATCAGTGTCTTTAATCCAGATGGATATTGGCCAACTCTGTGTTCAGCTATCGTCTTGAGGATAGCCATCATAGCTGCGTTACTCATAGATGCGCTATCGCCCATGGAACCATTGTCTCAGAAAGCGTAGCGAATATATTGTTTATCAGACGCAACTGTACTCGGTCAGACGCAACTGTACTCGGGTGGTCACTGGTAGCAATTGTCATTCGATCGCAATTGGGTTGTCTCAGCAAGATGATAGTCGGTGATGGTAGAAGTCTGCCACCACAGACTGGACCTTCGACGAGTATTCAACGCGGTCGTAAGTGTAGATGCTATCGATCCTGGTTGACAGAGATTGCCCCAGGGCGAGGAATACCCCCGAGTGGGTGTATAGGTTGCTGACTGAGTATCTTGAGCCCTTGCAGAACGATGTACATGTTCAGCTGCTTCGGAACAGACAGTTGGTGGTGCTGAGTGATTATCGTTCAAAGGTTAGCAGATATATCAACTCGCATCGTGTGCTTCCAGATGGCGTAAGCTCTGTCATGAGAGACGAGTACTTCACAGGAGAACCAGACATAGCACTCTGACATCTACGGGGAGCCATGTCATTGAGAACATCTTAGGATAGTAAAACTAGGAGCGACAGTCCTACAGTTCGAAGAACATGGGATTCACTGGTGTTCTCCAAAGAGCTGGCTGCAAAGCGGTCTTGGAGTAGACGGAATTAGCGCTATATGGCTTGGCATCCTATTTTCTCCGGACAGCTCGAAACTGCCTCCCTTTGCAACTACAAGTACAGACACGTCGCAGCCAACAATCCCGCGAGTGCTTCGCACATATTTACAAGCTGTGACGGTCTGACAGTGAGCTACACGCCAGTTACCGTAACCATGCCAGCCACCGTGGCATCCCGGCTCGCCCTGCGAACATCCCGACAGGTTGCAAGAGGACAATTCCGCAGACAAGCTTCGACCGCCAGCGAAACCGCCGCGAAAGCGAAGGACTCAGCTTCTTCAACCGTCTCGAAAGCTTCGGAAGGTCTCTCGAGGGTCACGAGCTCCGCTGGCCCGGCCATCTCCAATGCCGCCACGAGCGCAAGAAATGCCCTGGGGAGAGTTGGTGGCAGGACCGGCAGACTCATTTCGTTTGTTGAATGTATGTGAACAGAAAGACATTGGCGGCGAAAACAACATCTGACTCTGAGCAGCATTAATACCACCTACCATCTACTACAGTCGCGTCGGTCTCGAGCTCGCCAAGTTCACCATCCAAGGCCAAAAGATGGCTCCTCCGTACGTATAACACCAGCACAGGTTTATTCACGTCGCTTCTAACGCTGCCTCTAGCTCTGTCGCACAGTTCCAGTCCTACTTCGCACCCGTGACCAACGCCCTCCGCCAACCGACCACGCTCGTCAACCGCATCAGCTCCTACGATCCCGTTGCCACGCTCAACACCATCCGCAACGTCAACCGACAGCAGCTTGCCCAGTTCGGCGTTGTAGGCGCAGAAATTCTTGGCTTTTTCACCGTTGGCACCATGATCGGAAGAATGAAGGTTGTTGGCTACCACGGCGAGCCCGCACACGGCCACTAGAAGGTTGGTGTGGGACGGATCCGGTCTGTGTAATTGTAGAGAGTGCGTTTGACAGAAGCATGGACGCTGCTCGTCCAGTGCGGGATGATCTTGACACCGCCCAAGAGGCCTCGGTGGCAAGGTCCGGGACAGGTTGCACATAAACAGGAATGACAAAACCCATCAGAAATGCGTCTTATTAGAACTCTAGGTAGCGAGCCTTGCTTTACGCCGGGTTTCTCTCGCCCATGTGTGATCGTGAGCGATGTCCAGAGAGATCGCGCCCAGAAGTCCATCACACAAGCTGGTTTTCTATCGGCCTGCAAGAGATACTCGCAAGGTATTATTAACAAGCGTGAATCGTAAATGACGAACTCCCTCCAACTGAAAGTCCAATGCTCAAAAGTCATCGCTCCACTCAGTGCGCCGGCTCCGCTTTTGTACACCTCTCCCTGCGCAGTACGGCCCGACTCCTTCTCGACGTGGTCTCTGTTCTAAAGTCGATTCCTGGTTCCCTCATTTATACTGATTCGGCGGCGGACCGTAACCTTGCGGCGGCGGGCCCTGCTGCTGACCCCAGCCCTGCGGTGGCCCTTGATGATGCTGTGGCGGCGGGCCCTGCCCGCCCTGTTGCGACATCACATCCTGGCGGTTTCGAAGGTCCTGGCGGAAGCGGCAGATGGAGCACGCGAGCTAAACGGACAAAAGTTGTCAGTCTCTGTAGCGCACCAACTCTGCAGATCGAAACAGCAGTGGGAAGTCATCAGGGAGTGTAAGAAAGAGCAGGGACAACGAACGTCTTTATGCTTCTTGCCGAGCGGGATGACGGGGATCCAGCAGAATGTGAACCACTCCCAGCTGCTGATGCAGTGGGCGGACCAGTTGCCGCAGTTGTGGCATTGTGCGGTGGTGTTTTCGTAGCCCGAGAGGCGAGAGGTGAAGTCTGTGGTTGCTGTTAGCGGTTGCGCGGAGGGAAGGGACTGAGTAGTTGCGCACCTTTGGTTCCGACTATGAAGAAGAAGGCCATGTTGACGGCGGCGCGTTCGGCAAGGCTGCGATTTCGGTTGATGCGGTCGTGGAAGAGGTTATTGGTAAGGATGCAGAATGAAACTTTTCGTGGAGAGACGTAATCATGTGAGGTGAAAGCGACTGGAGTTGAGATTACCCCGGGTCGATCTTGCGGTGCAGTGTGGCGCAGTTCCCAAATCGGCGGGTGACGCAGCGCGGTCCTTGGCTTTCGCAGCCTTGTCTCCGGCATCATCTCTTACTACCATAATGACAGCGCTATACAAGCGAGAGTGATGGAAAACAGTGTAGTATTGAGGCTCTAAGCTTGCTTTTGATTCCAAATCCTGCACTCCTTCTCCAGGCTTTGCGCCATTCAACACCGCGGCGGCAGATTGTCACTGCCGGCCTCTGGTCGCTGACACTCAGAACACACTCAAATCAGCCGCTCGCTGCACACATCATGGTCCTGATAGAAGAACTACGTTCGCAATTGTGGGTGTTCAAGCTGGACATTCCTTGTTCACTGGGTCTTGAACAACAGGATCGCAACGTGACCGAGGTAGAAGTAGATGAAGTGTTTGGTTTCTGTCGAGTGTCAACGTCAAAGGGTGTGCTGGTAAAAAGGTATTGAACGGACCATGCGTGACGAAGCTACCGAAATTGCGACCAACTATGCAGTGCCAGGTCGCACCCTTCCTCTGATCGAACTTGAATGAGAGATCAGTACTAGATGGGGGGCCAGTGTTGCGGGCACGTACTTCGCGCTTGATGTGCTGGGCAATGTCCTGATCCACTGTTAGTCACAACACCGCCAATTATTACTGCAATGCGCACCTTCTCGATGGTGTTCTTTTCCATGGCCTCCTGTGCTTGTCCAAGTCAGCCTCCCTTCCTACCACTGAACAGTTTCGCCGTACCAACTTCGATAGCCTCCGCCTGCATATCCTCGCTCTTCGAACGGTCAGTATACATCGTTTGGGTCGGTTCCGTGCCTTCATACCATATCGACAGACTTGATCTGGGCTGTAGACTGCGGTCAATCCTGGTTTGCGCCTAAGAGGGGTAACTTACGCTCTAACTTCTCCTTCTTCTCAGGCATGTTCTCTGCGGGCGGCATAGCGGAAGCCATAGTTTCGGTCGTTGCAATATTAAAGTCAGATTGGCTCAGAAGCAACAGAGGCGATATTGGAAGCACTGAATAGAGCGAGGACAACGCGTCAATGAGGCAGAAGCGCCGCAGCCTTGCACCTGATCCGCAATGCGGGTCCATAATTATGAAATCTTGGCGCAACTAAGCCCAAAGTTTCGCGCAAAGTCGTTCAAGACAGAGAGGGCTTTTCCCTCCGCCTCTCTCTTCGTCTTTGTGATTTTGTGTGCAGCGCAAACATGGCAACAGAGGATACTGCCACAAGCACGCGTGTCTTCGTCTCCGGTCTACCTCCTTCGTTTTCGAGCGATGATCTACGGAAGCATTTCAATCAGAAGCACAGCGTTAACGATGCGCATGTGTTCTCGGATCGGCGCATAGGCTTCGTCGGGTTTCATGACCATGACACAGCCCAGAAAGCAGCCAAATATTTCAACAGGTCATTCATACGCATGTCAAAAATATCAGTCTCATTAGCTAGACCTGTCGATGTCAAGCGAAATGCGAGTGGCCAGGGAGCGCCGGTTTCTCAGAAACTAGAGAAGTTCCAGCAGCAGCGCGTGAGTCGAGAGTCCAATAAGCGAAAACGAGACTTGAAGGACGATGGCGAGGCGCAACGTGAGCAAACGGACAAAGCCACGAACCACGGTCGTGCCCATGACCGTGGTGCACCAACCTCACCGCCCGCACAACATGCAGAAGAGGGCGAGTTCGAAGGCTTTGATTCAGAAGGCGAGAAGATTGACACGAACAACGGCGCAGAAGTGACGAACATGTCTGTGTCAGACAGTGACTGGTTAAGAGCCAAGACGAACCGGACATTAGACCTACAGGATCCAGATGTTGACTCAAAGGACACCTCGACGGTCCAGCAGCTTCCGAGTCCTGTCCCATCTAAATCGAGTCCAGCGCCGCCGACGCAGGATGAGGGAGAACGGCCACACGCAGAGTCGAGCGACTCACCAGCTGCTGTCGAAGTACCAAACGGTCGGCTTTTTGTCAGGAATCTGGCATTCAGTACGAGCGAGGATGACCTCGAATCGCTGTTTTCGGCTTATGGCAAGCTTGAAGAGGTAATAACCCAGCGCTCTTCCCCCCTCTTTCTCTTCCGTGATGATCTCCTGATAGGGACATCTTATGCACTCGCATATGATTCGAACTGGGAGCTAGTTTTTTAGTAGATGCTTCGCACCTCTGACCCCATTCAACTATCATCTCTGCTCAATGCCTCTTAGTGATCCTTTGCTAACTTGGCACAGTCCCATATTGTTAAAGACAACCGAACATCCAAAAGCAAAGGCCTAGGATTTGTTCAGTTCGTACACCCAGAAGATGCTAGTAAAGCAATGTTGGAATGCGATGGACAGCCGTTTCAAGGTCGACTGCTCCACATCTTACCTGCGTCAGACCCAAAGAAACAGAACCTAACCGACTTCGATATATCGAAGCTGCCATTGAAGCAGCAAAAAGCTCTCAAACGAAAAGCTGAGGCTGCGAAGACCACATTTAGTTGGAACTCGTTGTACATGAACCCTGACGCCGTTCTGGCTTCAACTGCTCAACGACTTGGTGTATCGAAAGCGGATTTGCTCGATCCCTCATCGGCGGATGCCGCGGTGAAGCAAGCGCACGCGGAAACCAGCATAATCCAGGAGACCAAGGAATATCTGCGGAAACAAGGCATCAATATTGACGCCTTTTCGCAGCGTCAGCGTGACGATCGATCGCTCTTGCTCAAGAATTTTCCATATGGCACAACCACGGAAGACCTTGACGCGATGCTGAGGAAGTTTGGCGCTGTGGAGAGAATAGTGTTTCCTCCCACCGGCACTATGGCAATTGCTTTGTTCCACGAAGCCTTCGAGGCACAGTCGGCCCTAAAGGGACTTGCATACAGCAATTTGAAGGGCGCAGTGCTGTACCTAGAGAAGGGTCCGAAAGGCTTGTTTGACCCACAAGCTAACGTGGAACCAAGCAACGACGCTGTCGCAGAAGATAGTGGCGGTGCTACTAGCGAGAGCGGTCTAACTTCGACCGTATTCGTCAGGAATCTCAACTTTGCCACTTCGACGGCAAGACTTGCAGAGGTCTTCAGGCCACTCACAGGCTTTCTGTCGGCAAGAGTGAAGACCAGGAGTGAGAAGAGCCGCCCCGGAGAGGTTCTCAGCATGGGATTCGGCTTTGTCGAGTTCCGTACAAGAGCTCTTGCAGACGCAGCGGTTTCCACCATGAATGGACACCGCCTGGATGGCCATGAGTTGCTCGTCCAAATTTCCAACCGGGCGCTGGACGCTGCTGAAGAACGGCGCAAAGAAGACAGCAGCAAGAAGGCTGACCAAGCAAAGACCAAAATCATCATCAAGAACCTGCCGTTTGAAGCGTCGAAGAAAGACCTCCGAGCGCTCTTCGGCGAGTACGGCGCTTTGCGGTCGATCCGAATGCCAAGAAAATTTGACAACTCCGCCCGCGGATTCGCCTTCGCTGATTTCGTCACTGCAAAGGAGGCTCAATCGGCCATGCAAGCACTTTCGAATACTCATCTGCTAGGTCGCAAGCTTGTCCTCGACTTTGCCGAAGGTGAGGCTGATGACCCGGAAGCCACCATCAAGGCCATGGAACAGAAGGCTGGGCGCCAGGCACATCTCACAACCGTCAACAAGATGATCTCTGGATCGGCCCGCAGGAAGTTCACAGTTGATGCACGAGACAACGATACAAATTAGCGGTCGTGGAAGCTCCCTGCCATAAATCGCAATCACCGTCAACCCCCCCTTGCATGTATGCAAGTCATTTAAGTGAATACAGATATTATGATCCCAAGACACCCGGAAAGTCTGTCCGCCCGTGTTGTCGTCGACAGCGGAGGCGTGGAGCGCCGTTACCAGCAGAAGGGAGGAAAGCATTCGACACTAAATGTCGGTGGTCCGTGTCCTCAGAGGCAAGAGCCGATCAGCATTCCTACTGAGATTGTGTCACGCCGGGTACTGGCCGCTGATTTGTGTATGGGCTCATCCCTCCGGCAATCGAAAGAACGAGGCAAGTCCATCGCAATCCTCCCCGACTCTTAGTGGTCCAAATTTTGGTGTTCCCCTCGTTCCTGTGGCGTTGCCGTCTACCACCTGTGCTCCCTTCGCCGAAATGTCCCCCTTGCAGAGCGCCCCTACCCCGCCTCAAGCCTGAGTGTCTGTGCGGCAAGGACGAAATGATCTGGGTGTCTTGTATGCCTGAGATTGTCTGGTGGAGATGGTGTGCCTGATCGAGCAAGCTCGTCCTAATACCCAATCATGAGCAAGCTACCTAGGTAGGTGAAGAGTAAAATCTTAGGAGTATCTTCCTGCTGTCGAGAACATTAGCAATTTGCATAGCACGAGCAAGTCTACTCCTTGTTCCAGTACGGCTGTACTTGAGAGGTTTATCCCCAGACTCAATAACAGTTCCTTAATTCCTTTGTTCTCATCATTCCCCGAGTTCCTTGTGTCCTAACATTCTCATTCCTTCACGGTCAGAGGGGATTGGTGCACCATGGAGCACTGGCATACCAACAGCTCTGCTCCATACCAACGTGAGCCTGGCGACCTGACCTTAGGATCAAGGGTCTTGACTTCATCATCAGGCAACATACAGACGTACAATCCAGAGTCCAAAGATGGGATCGAAAACCAAGATCCTCTACAACTATCTCGAAGGCCGGAACCGTGGCCGAAGCAAGAGATCCAATACCCAATTCCCGAGGTCAAGCTAGGGTCGAACGATGCTCATGGAGAGAACTTAGCACATCTCCAACAGAGACGGCAGAACCAGAGGGATAAGTTCTATCGACGACGACGAGTTGACCCAGCTCGCCCCTATCTTCAGCATGCCAAATACCTCCAATACCGTGCTCGACAACGCTGCGATACAGGACCCGATGGCAAGCCGGTGTGGGATGATCGGATCGAGGATGCGTTCCAGAATGGTATAACTCCAGAGTTTTTTGTTTCTAAATCCAGCTACTGACACAGTATAGCACTCGTTAACATCCCTCCCATGGGCCGAAGGAAGAAATCCCAGCGAGGACGGCCTCATGGCCGGAATGAGTTGATTTCAGAATGGATCTTTCAAGAGACAGGAGAGTACCGGACCAGGAAGCAGGTCTCTAGCCACATCCAAGTGCTCAACACCTTGCTCAAAGATATCCCTGAATGTATGTCATAAGCTTCCCTTCTGCTCTCATCTAACGTCTTTTCTTCCAGGGAATGCCTTGGTCACAGCGTCGGACGACCGTGGTGGCGGGGGCAGTGAATACTACAGTGACTCGATCAAAGACATGGTCAGAAGTCAGTCTATTTCCAGCCGCCATTATAACAGGGGGTATAGCAGGCCAGCACACGGTTCATACTCAATGCCCTCTGGTAACGGCTACGTCGATCGTTACTCTTGCTCACGCCTCAGCTTCAAGATGTGGGTCAGTTTGCCAGAGGATATCAGCCAAGCACTGCACCTCTACACTAGGCTGCAGAGCAACAGCTCGTCCAGTCCAATGCCGTTGGAAGACGTCAAGAATTGGCGCAACTCATACCCCAGCCTGCGGTCCGTCATGGAGAATTGGACGTTGACAGACTCCTGCGACATAATCCTGCTCGACACCAGCTTCCAGCTCATGACAGACTTCCCACCTAAGCATTCCAAGCTGGGTATCAGTCTCGAGCTTGACTTCATGCATCCTTCTGGTCATAACAAGGAGGCACTGTCGACGCTGACAAAATGGAACTGCGTCACACAAATCTACCAACACGGACGTCTGATCAAGGAAACGCGGGACATGTTTCCTGGCAAAGACTTGCCGCCCGGCAAGATACGTCCCTTTTTCGAATCGAGATGGTGGGCATCCACTTTTACAACTCTGACCGAAAAGCGTAAGCGAGCTGAGGATTCCGAGTCGGATGGTGCAGTTGAAGTTGCCAACGAAGCTTCACGCAATTTCTTCCGTGGACTGACAGTCATGCAAGAGATCACTGCTGAGATGAAGTCCAAGGATGTCTATGACACTCCTCGCTTGAAAAGGATGGGCATCTTGCTGTGGAGGTTCTCGCAGGCCGCCCCGGAATATGTTGGAACCACGACCTGGCAGAAGCTCATCCCTCCGGCTGAAATGATGGATGCGAGAGGCGAGACCAGTATTAGCGACATGGGTCTCCCAACGATGGGCATCGACACAACGATGGATGCAGCACAGAACGCGGACCTATTCACTCATCCGCAAGGCTTCATGCCGATGCAGAGCCAACAGGACTACGACATGTTTGACACCAGCATGGACGACCTTTGTCACGATGGCTTCATGTACGGCCAAGATCAGCTGACCGACTTTGGTAGTTTTCAGAATGATGGCGCGTCCTTCACCTTCGAGTCGGGGACAGGTCTCAACGGCGATCTTAGCATGGGCTACTCGTTGCCAACGCAAGAGGCTCAGCATCCTTCAGAGCCACCTTCCCAACAAAGCACTAATCTCTTTGAGATGCCCCAGATCAAGCAGCAAGAGCCCGATCGCCAACTCGCCTTACAATCCGCACCGCAACATGACAGCTACAACCCGCCCACCGAAAAGTCTGGCACCCAGCCCCTTGCCAAATTCGACATGAATACGCACAAGGTCCTCCAAGCCCAGCTCGGTGCAGAACACTACTACTCTCAGCAGCTAGACCCACCACAACAGCCACCATCGCGTCGCTCAGCGCACCCATCTCCTCACCAACACCAGCAAGCTTCCCAAGCGCAACACCCACCTCCAACCCCACATCTAGACGACCACGACGAAACGGTCCGCGCCCTCCTTGCCGCCTCCGCCATGTCTGATCTCGGCAACTCCACGTCCGCCAGCCAAAGCTCCGCTCAGGCGAACAGGCCCTCGGCAACCACAGCCAGCAGCACCAAAAACATCCTCGCCACCACACGCCCCGGCCCTCCCAGCATCACCTACTCCCGCGCGCCACTGACCCTCCATGCCCCGCAACCACTCTACATCCCCACCTCGCAACCCTTCACCGGCGCGCCCACCCCACCACTGACCGCCGGTAGCGCCACCAGCAGCCACCATCACCAGCACCTCCACCACCCTCACCCTCATCACCAGCCAATCTCGCACCCACTCTCAGCCCCCATCCGCCCGCCGCTTCAGGCCCACCACAGCTTCACGAATGTGGGCGCCATGGACGCGCGCACTACGGCACAGCACCATCGGCACGTGCCGTCCAAGCCCAGTATCGGTGGGGGCGCGAGCTTCGCGGCCGCCCTGGCGAACCTTGATGCCTATAGCAGCAGCAATGAGTTGGCGTTTGGCGTGCCGCATCATGGCGCGTATGACCAGCCTTCTTCGGCGAGCGTTTCAGGAGGGAATGCCGCGAGGGCGGCGCATGGGAACGGGGCTATGGGCTTGGGAGGAGCGGGGGCTGGGGAGGAGATCTCGAGGCCGCAGAGCCAGCCGGTGCTGTCGGTCAGTGTGCCGGTGCAGATTGGGGATGGTGCGGTGGGGATGGGTATGGGGTTGGGGCTGGGTGCGTATGAGCCGTGGGAGAACGTGCAGAATGAGGTTTTGGGGTCTAGTGGAGGGCATGGGCAGCATCAGCAGCGCCAGCAGCGCCAGCATCCGCATGCGCATCAGCATCAGCAGGGTGGGAGTGCAGCTTACACGGAGGTTGAGCGGGGTGTTGGGCAAGGGGAAAGGGTACGTGGATAGGTGGACCTTTTTACTACAGGTTGGCGGAGTGGAATGGGATTGGAAGTGAATACACACACTCGCTTGAGTCCGTGACAAAGTTCAGAGACGGGGTTGGGCAGGGCGTCGATGGCAACCACAATACAGCAATGGGGACGGGAGAATGGACGAGGCACACAGGTGGGCATGCGATGACATGGCGCAGACGAGAGATCAGGTGACGATGGATCACAACGGGGACATTGACGACATGATATCAACAACAACAACACCCCAGTTCACAACGATCAAAGACTGGATGGATGAGATGGGAATGGCAACTTTTGGGAAAGAAACCGGGACATGATTTGACGAATTGAGATCTATTAGAGAAGAAGAAGGACACCGGTTCGGAGGACTTCATATTCACACGTTGTACATAGTTATTATCAACTTTGACTTACTGGGCACCCAAAATATCCCTCACGGTCGTTTCGAAGCAAGAACAAAGAACAAAGAACAAGAAATCTGTATAAGCCAAGAAGCAACTTTGGCTGGCGAAAGGCGGGTGTCCAGCTCCAAAGCAGGCAGCACACCAAAAAGGGGAGCCGGCCCCAAAAAGGCGACAAGAAGGCGACCAGGCCCCTCGCCCCGTTTTCCATCCGGGGAAAAGAAGGTCCGGCGCGGCAATTCGGCCCCTTGGGAAGGGAAAGATCTAACCCTGCACCTCAATTACGGTACCTCGCGGGGGCTTGCGGAAAGACATGGGCTCAGAAGGAGGTTATTGGTAGTCCCCACGATGGAGAGACATTGTATGTACTGGTGGTACCTGAGAAGGGGAGGATGCGCCGGGGGGGCGCGCCGGGGGGCTCTATTATTGAACATGGCATGCACACCATCTCCAGAGTGGCGCAGGCGCAGCATCGCTCGCTTATTTGCATAAAGGACAAGGGGAAATTTCGCAGCATGTCCAAAGGAGGCCCCCCCCCCCCCCCCCCCGCCCCAGGCGAGAGGAGAGGGCCAAGGGGAAAACGGAAAAAGGAAGTTGTATCTAGAAAAAAAAAAAGTCAAAACGCCCTTGGTTGGCCTGGCCATGAAAGAAGATGATGATGACCTAAAAAGAGAAAGACCCTTGCCAAGACAGGATGATATGATTGCATATCGCGTTTTCATTGCATTGCTCGCGAGCAATGTTGCGGGAGGGTTGTAAAGGCTCGGTACGACGATGGAGACCTGAGATCGTCGAACCCTGGGAAGATAAGGAGTGCCGCGGAGGAATGCAACGGGGGATGGATCTGAGATTGCGATGGCGACTTTTTTGGTGATGATCATGATTGAAGCCGGCAAGCATAGTCTCCTGCGAGGAGTCGTTTGAGTCATGCCTTGGAAGGGGACAGATACTCACTTCACTGGGCAGCTGAAAGCAGTCCTCTCGTTCTCCTCAGTCCACTCATCGTGAACGGAATCAAAGAGGAGAATAGATGGAAGAACAAACGTAGTCTTCAGTCATCGTTTTGATGATTCTGTTATTTCAGGTGTCTGACCTTTGGGGGTATATACAACCACAGCAACACCTGTCTATTTCATCTCAACCTGTGCAATGCCAACTGTGGCACGCACGATCTCACTGTTGACCTATTCCCACATAGACACACCAAGCGGACTTCATAAGCCATATGGTGTCAACAATCATTCGAATACAAGAAGAAATGTCTGCATCAGTTCCCAAATCATCGCCATGCACTGCATGCTGTGTTCCATGATGCATCCTCATTTGCGTCCTACTTGGGACGGCCCTCTGTCCTCACCCCTCGAGCTCTTATGGAAACAGTATTAAAAGAGCTTATAGCATAGCAACCACACCCACGAGCAGCGCGCCGAGACTGAACGACGAGCCGACCTTGCTGGCACCACCGGTGAAGGTGGCAGGAGCAGCATCCGTTGTGGAAGCGCCAGCAGCTGCAGGAGTAGCGATGGCACCACCGCCAAGAGAGCTACCAGCTGCTGGGGGAGACGCACCGCCGGCAGAAGCAGGAGGAGAGGCAGGGGCAGCAGGCGGGGAAGCAGCACCACTAGCCGCAGGAGGAGGGCTGGCAGGAGGAGCAGCACCACCTGCCGCGGGAGGCGCGGGCAGAGCAGCTGCGGCTTCCTGGTACTTCTGAATGGTGCGCTCGGGGTTGTTGGCAGGAGGGTTGATGACCATGCTCATACCATTGCGGCAGTGAGGCTGCTGGCCGCAGAAGATCCAGATGGGCATGGTGTCGTTGATCAGGACGTTGTAGACGGGAGTGGTGTCCTCCTGTCCAGTGACAGGCACGAAACCAGAGCGCAGGCCGGGACGCTGAGGCGTGGCGAGCGAGGCATCCTTGGCCACGCAGGGCGCATCGAAGCTAGACTCGGTCACAGTGTGGTTCTAGAGGATGTCAGCGCATGTCGAGACTCAGATGGGTTGAAAGCACGCACCTTGGGGTGGAACTGGAACTGAACAACATCGCCAGGCATGGCGTGAACAGTGTCGGGGAAGTACTTCAGCGAGCCGTTGTTGTCGCCGACCGCAACAAGGTGAACGTTCAACGCCTTGTGCTCGGGCATAGCGCCCTTGACCTCCTTGGTAGCAGCAGGAGGCGGAGCAGCGACGGGGTGGGCTTGCTGAGCAGGCGGCGTATGTACAGCGGCTGGGGGAGCAGGAGGTGCCATGGTCTTGTGTTCAACAGCAGGAGCCACAGGCGCAGCAGGCATCTTGTGCTCGGGAGGAGCGACAGCAACGGGAGCCGCCATGGTGTGAACAGCTGGAGCTGGAGCAGCAGCAGCAGCCCAAACCTCGTGGTTGGTCGCAGCGACCGAGGTAGCCAGCAGAGCTGACGTGAAGAGAGACTTGGTATACATTGTTGGTTGACGGCGGTAATAGTTTAGTGGAATCGGTGAGATGAAATTAATGAGCGGCCGGCGCAAGTCTGGATCGAAGTGAAGCTTCTGGGCTATGCGTCAAGCACACCGAAGAGAGTGACTGTAAGAAAAGAGAGTGTTTGTTGTTTGCTAGATAGAATGAGGATGCGTCCGAGGAAGATGGATTGGGATGCGAGGTGACCATATGTAGGTCGGCATGTCTAGGCACGGAGGCGGTGGCAGAGATTAGGGTGTCCATTCAGGTGAACAGCCGGTAGCAATGCCTCGCCTCAAAGGAGACTGAAACCATTGTGGACATGGTTCCTGAATAGACCTGTTCGTGGTTCTGGCGCGTGTTGCCAGACCCGAGATGTCGGAGAAGCGTCTCAGGCGGCGGAGGTTAGGGTTTCCCGGGGCGGAGGAGAAACGACAGGCTGTCGCAAGATCTAGCCAGGAAGCTCAAAAAGGCAAAATACGGGGCTGAGGGTTTTGTCATTGCACGGATCTGCTGTCTATCCGGGTGGCTAAGCGAAGAAGACGGATCCCAGGGGCTGAAGCGCGTAGATGTTTGGAAAAGTGTCGCGCGAGGCTGCAACGAGTGGTGGTGGAGGTGGCTGCGACGTTGAACGTCGCGGGGGCTGCGCGCTTAGCCATATTTAGCAGGCACACCCACGCCCGGTGTTGCTGAATTTGAACAATGCTTCTTGGTATACAGCCTGTATCCATGTTGATTGATGCCTTCCTTTCCCCATTCTACGGAGAGACTCGTGCCGTGAATGCCATGCCATGCCATGAACCGCCATTGCTCGTCGCTTGGGACTCTGTCTTACTCCGGCTCGCTAAGAATAATACTAGTGCACGAATACCTCCAGTAGCCACCCCCCTGATATCTCGGCTGGCCACCCTCCCGATGACCATTGTCCGCACAGACCTCCAAGCGAATGCCTTGCAGAACGGAATCATCCTGCTGGAGATGGCCATCTTGAGTCCACTGAGTACCTGACCCTGCGTGGTAACTTGGCTGCAGCCCGCGGCCTCATTAACGGCTTGTCGCTCGTACTGGCAGGCGCTACAGCCATGACCCGATCGGCACCACCGTTGCGACGCCGGCTTTGGCTCATGACATTGGATAGCCTTGTGGGCTAGGGGCCATGAAATTCCAGTTTCCGGGGGGAAGGCTGTCGGCAGCTACATAGCCGGGTGGAGCGCGAACATTCGGTTCCAGACCTTGAAGGGCCGGGTCGACATCGTCCTCGGGCTTCCTTTTCTTAGGGCGACCACGAGGTCGATTGGCATTGGGCGGATCAAGCACATATTCTTCCTTGAGCTGCATCGACACATTGGGGTCATAGCCGCGATCGCGCGCCAGCTTGCGCAGTCCGGCTAATACTTTGGGGTCTATTCCTGTAATCTCGAAGATGCGTTCCGATGAGATACTGGCCTCGGCCAGCGCCAGAGCCTGTATGCGCACTGCCGTCGAGTGCTCGGCCATCTTCAGTACCTTGGGAGGCTTGGGCGACTCGTTGGCATGCTGGTAAGCCCTGGAGCTCTTGAAGTATCCCGCCGGGTCCGCGGCTTGTCTGGTAATGCTGTTCTCCATGCCCTCATTCTTCATCGCCTCGAGGTAGTTCTGGCATTGCAGCAGGTGCACTCGCTGGCGCGACGTGTGCTGCGCCATTTCGCGGCTGCAGTACTTGCATCGTACCTGGGCGAGTTTCTTCTTGCGGCGATGAGCCTGTGCCGACAATCTGGAACGGAGAGTCTTACCTGTGAGCTCTCGGGGTCTTGCGGAATGATCTCCCAAGCTGAGTGCGTCTCTACGTCGCCCGGCGCAGACTTGTATCCTCCCGACCCTGGTCCTCCCATATCTGCGGGATGCGGTCGTGGTATTGTCAGATCGAATAATGCGCCTGTCTTTTGATGACAGATGTGGCAGGATTTGTGCTCGTGTCGCAGACGCAGCGGACAGAATTCTTCAAGTTCAGCCTCAAAATTGCTGGATGAGATCAAGGTCACGGTCGCCGAGAGTCAAAGACGCGTACTCACACACGGACTTTGTGTATCACCTTGTTTCGTAGCAGATTCGTGATGGTGGTGATGATGGCCAGCGATGGATGACAGCTGAGGGGCTCTGTAATGCTCACAAATGACACGACTCGATTGAGTGAGCGCGCACGCTATTCCCCTTTGGGAACCACAACACGCGTTACCATCCTCGCGTCTCTGCCCGCGTGGAGGGGCACCTTGAATCTGTTGCGCTTCCCATGCATCAAATCTTACCAGTATGGATGTAGATACGTCGCAAGCAGCCACCGCGCTGCTGACGGAGCACTTGCAGTACACCCCACTGGTGTGTCCCTCGTCTAAGTGGTTGTCGACCTCGCTGACCCCAGCAGTCCCTCATTGATGACATTATCAACTCGGTCAACAACTTCATCTATCAAGGTGTCGGCAGCCTCGAGACTGGGCTACTATCGACACCCCCTGAGCGACTAGGTTTTAAAGGGCAGAAAGGAACCGACGATACCGAGATCGAATATCCTGAAGCAAAGCAAGAGATCGAGGAGGGCTTGCAGAAGCTGGAGACACTGTTGAACTCAACCGTCGACAAGAATTTTGACAGGTTCGAGATTTATGTGCTGCGCAACATCTTATGCGTTCCCTCGGACCTTACAAATTGGATACAGCTCCAACATTATCAGAACATTTCTCTGCCGATACCGGACAATGTACCTACCCCAGACATGATCCAAACGCAGCGGCGCAAGTTGGCAGCGTCGCGACTTGTCTCGAGGCAGCTCGTGCAGGAACAGGCCCGCAATCAAGCCATTCTAGATCAGCTGCGTGCGTTGCGAAATGCTGATGCTGAGGAGAGCCTGGCCTTCCTGACGCAGAGCGCTGGCGCACAAGCCATGCATGTGACATCGGATGGACAGTCGCTGACGACTAACGCTACCTTCACCATGTCGCAACTCCCTGCGCTGAGGATGCTCTTGGCCGAATTGCGACCGAAGCTCGCCATGCTCAAGGATCTCAGCACGGGGCTTGGGACAGCGAAAGCGGAACTCCAGCAGGAGCGTCGAGACTACATCGAACAGCGCACTCGAGCACATATCGAACGACATGGTCGCACAGATGCCGACGATGCGGCTGCACTATCCGGAAGGCCGCTCGATGCGGACGAGATCCAGGCCATGGAGAAAGTTGCTCAGACCTTCCAGCCGACTTGAAGTATTGCCGGGGGTTGCAAAGCCACGACGCCACAAGTGAGCCTCTAGCTTACGCCCTCACTTGTTCCGAGAAGCAAATTCAACAAAGGTTGGCACTTTGATGTACTGGATATGCGATGCATGAACCTGCACAGTGCCAGCCAGCAGCTACTTTAGCTTGGATGTCACCTCCAGCCCCTCCCAAACCTCCATTAGGTTGGACGACTTCCGAAAGAGGGGATTCGAAGAGCTTTCAGCGGCCACGGCCGCTCGATGTCGTGCAGTCAATCGCAACGTGGGCATAAGTACCCACACAGCCAGCACGCTTCCGGATAGAAGATGAGCTGGCCATGAAGATGGGGGGACTGATTCCCCGCTAAGGAGCATGTTCTGGGTCGCAGAATGCGTCACGGCGAGCCGAGTCAAGAGCCAGCGCTACCCACCTAGACTAGCTATGGCAAGGTCGGCTGCAGGTGACAGTGCCGTCCTCGTTATCAGAAAGGATAAGGGTTGAAAGACCACTCTCGGGCGTCAGAAGGACCAAGATAAACATTGCTTGACCGTGCTACTGAGTGACTTCTACCATAACTCAAGCAATTAAACAACGGGTAAGAACAATTGGTCGCTGAACCATCTGGCCCACGCGGGAGGATTTGGCGATCGCTGAAGCCAAAAATACCACTCCACTCAGAGCAGCGTTGACAGCCAAGAGGCACCCCTGCTCGTCTGCTCGTCCGCGTAGCCGCCAGCGCTATCGCTGCCATCGTTTTCTCAAACACCTCGATTCTCTCCCAGCGCCTACAACAGCAAATGGCCATCACGTAGACAGCCTGTCTCGGCGCTTCAATGCATCACTCAATGAGTCCCGCGAAATTGTCGCTGCTGCTATTGTCGGCCTCCACGTGGTAAGTCCTGAGGCACCGACGCTGCTTGTACCTCTGAAATACTCTGGGTGCCTGGGTCGACCAGGAGGCTTTTTCTTTCTCTCTCTGGCGTTCATCTCTCGCGACTGGCTTCGCGTTTCAAACACCCAAGCTTCCTTGTTTGTGCCTTTCTTAGTACCTATCTGTGCTTGCTCCTTCCTTTGACGGATTCGCGTCTGTCGTCAACATGCCTCTCTCCGACTTCGCAAAGGACAAGATCAGATCCCTCCATCTGTCCAAGCACCCCAAGACTACATCTTACAACACGACGTCTTACGGTCTCGGTGGCAGTCATCCTCTTGACGACATCCCTGCGGCCCCCATCACGCCTCGGACGGCAGACCCATTGGTATCCAGCTTTCCACGGTCACCCTCTCCATCCCCAGAGCGAGAGCGCGAAGGCACGGCCCAGACCAAGGCTTCTTCTACAGCTGCCAGCTCCGTGAAGTCCAACTCGTCTCGCAAAGAGCCTCTCTATGATGAGACTGCGTTACACATGAGCGCCTCGCCACCTCTGACCTCCTTCCTCAATGACCGCCACTCCGCTTCCTCCGCCCGAGAGGAAGCCTGGCTGAAGGATGCTCACCGTCTCCGCCTTGCCCGTTTCGCGCTGTCAATCCTCACTCTTGCAATATCCGCATCAGCGCTTGGGGTCTCCGGCGCCACCCTCCGCGCATACCACGCCACGACCCTAAGTGGGAATGGAAGCGGCACATGGCAGCTTCGCCTGTGGCCTGTGGACATTGACCTTCGGCCCACCATCGCGACTCTGTCCTGTGCCGGCATCATCGCTCTGGCAAACTTGATGTACATTGCCGTCTCGATCATTCCCTCGGTATACCAGTCCCTTCATACCCTTTCTTCTAGCCAGTTCCCCCTAACAGCTCTACAGCCTCGGTCCCGCACTACCCTTACCACCCACCTTTTCACCATCGCCACCGCGCTGACTCTCATCCTGTCGCTCTTCGCCACCATCTTCGTCCAGGCCCTCGTCCACCAGGTCAACCCCGACGACCGTCGAGACAGTATCCAGTCTTTCACCTGCCGCCTCTACCGCAGCGCCGAGACATTCAATTCTGACATGGCCGATCTGAACCTCCCAAGTCTCGGCACCGGCATTGGCTGGCCCAGTGGATTCAAGCGGACTTGTAGGGAGAGCGAAGCTGCGGGCGGGTTGATGGCGGCGGTGCTGGTGCTGAGCGTCGTCAGCCTGGCGGTCGTCTCGCTCGGGTTGTGGAAACGGAAGGGCGTGCAGAAGGCGCGGGCGGAGAGGTGGGAGGGCAAGTGGTCCTCGTAGATCAGAGTTGGAGGGGTCTACGGTGGACACGTATGACTCCGGGAATATGGTTAGGTTAGTACTAATACTGCCACCGGTAGTCAGCCATGGAAAAGGGTGATAGGAGGACTGTTTCGTGGGCATTGTACTTCTAGTCGTCGACTTACACATTTCACTTTGGAACACAGGCAGGAGGTGGGCAGCTCTGCAAGCCTGAGGCCGGGCATGGACAGACGAGTCATGCATCGTCTAAATCTAAGAAAAATCCTAAGAATCGTAACTACCATACATCTGTGTCCTCAACGAACGAGCTTGACAGGTTTCTAGCTCCGAAGCCAACAAGCCTTCGCAGGTGAGGCCGTATGGGACGCCCCGAACGCCCTCGCTGCAACGTGATGCATACACTCATAAGCCATGATTCATCCACACACCCGAGCCATCTTCCCCATTCCATTCCCTCCCATCTCCAGCCCCTCGACGCCCATCTCTTCTTCTCTCCGTCTCAGAAATCCAACACCAGCGCCCCTCCCACCCTCTCCAAATCCTCCACATCCAACCATCCCTTCTCCGCCTCCCCCTCCACCTCCCCCTGTCCCACCCTCTCCCCCCTCTCCCCCGCCTCAAAAGCACACCTCACCACCGCCTCCCTCACGAACGTCTCGATGTAGCAACCGATTACCTCCCTCGCGTCGCCGGAGATCTTGGTCTTCTCCCCTCCCTGCCAGTGTTCCAGCATGATGCGATGGATGAGGCCGAGCGGGATGGAGGGTTGGGTCGTGGTGGACGCGGTGGTGACTTCGACGAGGAGGTGGGTGGCGGAGTCGAATTGGTCGGGGCCGCGGTTCGTGGTGGTGGTGGGTGGGGAGGCGGAGCGTGAGGGCGAGGAGGAGCGCGTGGATGTGGCGGCGAGAGAGGCTTGGGAGGCGGGGGACGAGGGTGCGGAGGAGGAGTTGTGTGGGGATGGGGTGCGCTGGCGACGCTTGGTCGTCTTGGTGGTGCGCTTCGGACCTGTGGTGGCAGAGGTGGTGGAGGGGCGGCCGCGCTTTCGGGATGTGGTCGTGTCTGATGCTGTCGTTGGCTTCGTCGATTTGGCTGCGACTTTCGATTTACTGGGGCGGGGAGGAGAGAAAGAGGGCCGGGCGCGTTTGGCGGCTGGCATCTTGGTTGGTCTGTAGTGGCAGAGTCTGCACTTTTCGAGGTGGTCGGCGCTGATGTGGGAAGTGCCTGCGACGAAGATATCTGGTAATGCCGAGGTTGGCAGTCGTCGGCCAACATTGACCTTCGGACGCGTCTCGGGGGCGCGTCGCCAGGGCTTGGCACTGGGAAGTTGGGGGCGAACAAGGCAACTCGCAACTCGGTGATTAGTCTAAAGCACGGAAATAATAGATGACGACGATGACAACTCAAAAAAGTGAATGACATTGCTGGGTTTGGTCATTATGCATTTTATGATTTCTACGTCTCCCATCACCACCGCCGCTCGCCGAGTCATGCTTAAAGCAGCCTAGAGGCTTTCCAGCATGCTGACGGCCGCCGAAGTTGTCATAACGCTCGTCAATCACCTGAACCTTGAAGGTTGACAAATGTCGTTTCTATGTATGTCGATGCAATTATACCTTGCCAGGTCGTGGTTGGTTTCTCTTTGGCAGTGTCCACGGCTCAGGGCACACAGTCTAGTCAATCAGTCAGGGAGGATCCTGGAAAGAGATGGAATGATGCTTACTTCGCCCTCAATGAAAGCCCAGAAGTATACACCCACGCCGACCAGGTAGTACAGGCCGGCATTCGTGCCCTGATACAGCAGGAGCGCAGCCAAGGCGAATAATGGGTAGATAGCCATCCTGGTTTCCAGACTCCGGTGCAGCCCCGGCAGCATCTTGGTGATAAAGCCTAGTGGCCATTCTAGTGCCACACCGAGCAAGGCGAAAACGAGGTTGAATATTTGTAGGGTTGGGAACGGCTTGACCGCTCCATCGAGATTTTTAGTGAGGAAATCCCAAAAGATCTTGGGCCAGAAGAAGCCTTCGACGGCAGCAGCGAATTGGTAAATAGCTGCCGTCAGGACGATGAGACGCCCCCAGTGATTTTTGATCAACTTGCCCATACCGGATGGGGGTTTTGATTAAAAAGAGTGGAAGTGAAGAAGCGAAGGTGAGGTAGGAATGGAAGGAGAGGTTTGACGTAGGCAGCGATGGCTGCTTGAGGAGTCCAGCTACCGAGGGGACATGAAAACGGTTGCGGTGGGCGGTTCGTGCTTATCAAGTGGCCGCGTGTAGGGTGGGAAACTGGCCGCTAGTGGTTTGTGGTTCCTCGACAAACGGAAGCAAGGAAGACGAGGTATCCGGTGTAGGTTGATGAGACAACCCGCAGATCAGATGAGGTATCGGACCACAGTGCGAGAGTTGGGTTGAGGCCTTGTGCGTAGCAGATGTCGTCGCACGTTGGGTCGGTGTTTGGCGATCGAGTGGATGTCGCAGGTTAGAGACAGGTAGTGTCACAGGTGAAATACGTTGCCAAAAAGCTTTCAAGTGGCGAACTGTTGGGTCTGGGGAAAATTGTTGGTATTGTATCTACGACGTGAGCAATGTGCAGGAATGTAATGATCTCTGTCGTGAGTAAACGAGATGTTGAGGTTCATCGGTCAGTATGCACATCGAGGTCACGGGCTAGAAGCTCGAGTACATGTGCGGAAGAGCTCCACAGCTGCAGATGACAAGGCTCTCTAGCAAGATCATCACTTCCACATACTGAAATCTTACCTAGCTCTGCAGCTGCCATTCGCTGAAGGTGCGGAAATGGTACGGTTAGCGATGTGGAGGTACAGGAGCGAGCCATCGAGAAGCGTGCTGTTGGCGCCCGAAAATAGGACCAAGGGTAGGAAGATGGTATCCAAGGTCTGGCTCGGTAGAGGGTACTGCCGCAGCAGTAGCGCGGCGCATGCAGCGAGCAACGTCGAATGGCAAAAGAGAAGCGAAAAGTGACACAGTTGATGTTGGAAAAGAAACGAGAAGCAGAACGCTGATTGGCAGCAGTCCCGGGCGCCAAGCGAGGGCAGGCGCGAACAGGACGAGCCTGATACGCTCTTGCCTCAGGTCCCTGCGTGCCCACACTACTTCCCCTCCCATCTGCCTCCCAGCCATGCAGCCATGTCCAAGCTATCGCGTCGGCATCGGCCATGGCTATCATTTCCGTCTATTTCGAGCTTCATCACCGCTTCACCACTATCAACAGCCATGGCGAGAGCAATGAGACAAACACCTTGGCTCGAACCGAGTAGGTCTGAGTGGTCCTTGAGCCCGGTCTTGTCTGCTTCTTTCTAGTCACCCGGTGCTCATGCAGGCCCATTTTAACGATCACGCTATCTGGCCCGCTCGCCGCTCGATCCTCCAGCATTCATTTCAAACTGCTCTTCACGGCCAATGGTCGCTTAAACGCCGCCAACTCCCAAACGGGTAGCCCCAAGCCTAGATGCCAGGCAGGGATCAGACTCGGCACACTCGACCTCGCTCCCCATGAACCTTGCCGTCAGTTTACCTCTCACTTTTTGTACACGTACCTGTCCACACCTCAGCGTCTTCAATACTATTCTGCTTGTATCAATAATATACCTGCAGCTCACAACACGCGCCCCTCAAATCTACCGCGGTGATAATTCTCTCCCAAGTGCCCCTGATTCCCGTGCGAGCGTTCCGACTAGGAGCTCGCCGCCCCACTTGATACAAACGTCGTCTCAGTAACACTCCAACCTGTTTCGACTCGTCCATCACTACTGTCGGATCGGTCGCCTGTCGATACAATCGTGCAAAGCCTGGCAGTTTGATCAGTCCATCTATCGCCTGACCCGGGTTCCTCTGACAACCCAAGCTCACCTCACACCAATCTCCTCCAGTACTGGTCACAACGTCTCGAACCCAACCCTAGATAACCGATCGACCCGGAGCCTCAGCCATCCGCCACACTTCTATGAATCTCCCCTAAATCCTCAACCCTTCCACTCGATCATCTCTCCCTCACCTCTGTCCGACCGCTGACCTTCATTTTTGTACGACAAGCCTCTGCCTCCACAGAGTTATGTTCAATTCTCGATAGCACTGGCTGCTCATATTACATAATACTACTTCGACCCCGATCGCTCCTCACCACCAAGACCCAACATGTCTGCAACCAGCTGGCTGGCACAGCTTAAACAACCACGGAAGCTCGCCTTCTACTTTTTCTTTTGGGTTTTCCATTGGGCCATTTTCGCGTATGGCTGGTGGAAGCAAGCGGCCGATATACGATTGGCAGGCCTCAACACCCTCACCTTCTCGGTATGGATATCTCGAGGCGCGGGTCTGGTCCTCTCCGTCGACACACTATTGATCCTGCTGCCTATGTGCAGAAATGTCATGAGGGTAATCCGACCAAAGGTCAGATTCCTGCCTCTCGATGAGACTCAGTGGTTCCACAAACAGGTCGCCTATGCCATGCTCTTTTTCACCTGCCTGCACGTCTTGGCTCACTATGTCAACTTCTTCAACGTCGAAAAGGACCAGATCCGCCCCGGTATTGCCCTTGACATCCACTACAAACAAGCCGGAGGCATTACAGGACATATCATGCTCTTGTGCATGCTGTTGATGTATACAACTGCCCATCATAAGATCCGACAACAATCCTTCGAAACCTTCTGGTACACTCACCACCTCTTCATTCCTTTCATGCTTGGCATGTATACCCACGCAGTAGGCTGCTTCGTCCGAGACACGACCGACCCAGTATCTCCCTTTGCCGGCAACGATTTCTGGGACCATTGCATCGGTTATCAAGGCTGGAGATGGGAGCTCTGGAGTGGTGGCATCTACCTCTGTGAGCGCTTATACCGTGAGATCCGCGCACGCCGCGAGACCAAGATTGTCAAGGTCATCCGCCACCCGTACGATGCCATGGAAATCCAATTCCGCAAGCCGTCTATGAAATACAAGGCGGGCCAGTGGCTCTTCCTCCAGGTTCCAGCTGTCTCTTCCCAGCAGTGGCACCCATTCACCATTACCTCCTGCCCTTACGATCCCTATATCTCGGTACACGTTCGCCAGGTCGGTGACTTCACCAAGGCTCTCGGCAATGCTCTAGGTTGCGGTCCCGCCCAAGCCAAGGATTTCGCAGCCTATGAGGATAATGGCGTGTACGAGGTTGCTCTGAACCCTGGGCAGCAAATGCCTGCTCTACGTATCGATGGCCCATATGGTGCTCCAGCAGAGGATGTGTTCGAAAACGAAATCGCCGTGCTGGTCGGCACAGGTATCGGTGTCACGCCCTGGGCATCCGTCCTCAAGCACATCTACAACATCCGAGCCGGCCCTAACCCGCCGAAGCGTCTCAAGCGTGTTGAGTTCCTTTGGGTCACTCGAAGCATCGAATCTTTTGAATGGTTCCAGACCCTGCTTTCGTCACTTGAGATGCAATCTGAGCAGGCTGCCGCCACGAATGGCGGACCTGAATTCTTGCGCATCCATACCTACCTCACGCAGAAAGTCGACTCGAATACTGCCGCCAATATCTACCTGAACACTGTAGGCAACAACCTCGACCCCCTTACTGAGCTCAAGACCAAAACCCAATATGGTCGGCCGGACTTCAAACGTCTGTTTGGCGCCATGCGAGACGGTCTCATGGACCAGAGCTACATGGACATGGGAGATGTTAGCGTGACGGCAGCCACCAAGGCCACAGTCGGAGTGTACTTCTGCGGTCCTAGCGCAGCCGCTCGTGAGATCAACGAGGCCGCTAAGGGCAGCAGTAATGAACTGGTCAAGTTCAGGTTCTGGAAGGAGCATTTCTAGGTGTCCTGTGGACGAATCTCAAGAGTTGAGACTAAAGAAGGGTTCCTGTCCCTGTTGCAAGATCGTCGGACGCTGGTTGTTCTAAGGATATACCCCAGGAAGGAAAGGACATTTTTTCACGGCAGACTCGATACGCTCAAAGCGTGGTGTGGGAAATAAGAACAAGGCGAAGAGTTTATACCGTTTACGTACGTTTACCATTCTTATAGCGTGAGAGCGTTGGTCGAGCGAAACCATCTAGTCAAGCGTTGCCCGCTACGTCAAATCATATCGAAAAGAGAAACATAATAAGCCACCAAAACCACCAAACCTCCCCACAAAGTTCTGTGGCCGTTCAAAAGCTCACTTGTCGTATTTTCAAAAGTCTCGAAGCTGTTTTGACGTTGCATATGCCTTATGGATCCGGATATACAGTACGTCTCCGCAGGAGGGTTGGTGCACGTTGGGCGACGTCACTGTTTTCGCGCAGCCGGCTACATACTGTTTGGTTTCATCGCATTGATTGTTCCTAGTAATGCAGCACTGGCCGTGGACCGCCAGCAGGGTTTGGAAGCACACAAGAAGGCTAGCGAATCACTGCTGCAGAAACATCCCAGATAGCATGCTAAGACGTAGATTTGTAGATGCCAGACATGTGGGCAGTGCTCTTTTTTAGTGATGAGCTCACACTGGCCTAGATCATAGCAGCCCAAGTATGGAAGCCACACCTGCCTCTGATCATGGATCAGTTCATTTTCCTATCATCCATTTGTCTTCCTTCCTGAGAACTCCATCGCTATGGGGTGTGGTGTTGCTTCCAAACCCGCGAAACAACATGTTTAGCGGTTGCCGGTGGCGTGGCCGATGGTGCCACCCTTGGTGATATTGGTGTCACCACTGCGCTCAGAGTTCTATAGCATGTCAGTGGATTTGACTTGAGGGGCATAAGAATGCTTATTACCTCGCTAACTTGTAGGGTACCCTTGGTTAGGATCTGCTTGATCGCTTCATCTTCGTCCGAGCTGCCAAACTCATTCTCGATCTGAGACTTGGAGGCACCGTCGAGTTGACCTTGAGCTCCTTGCCTGCAACTTCAGTGTCAGAGCTTTAGTGCGGGCTGATGTGAATCAAAATACTGACTTGTGTGTGATCATGATCTTGAATCCGCTGACGACCTGGGCGAGAGGGATGCTGGAGTCGTTCTTCCACTTCTCGACATCGTCGGCGGACTCGACGAAGACGATGAAGTCCTCATCCTTGCCTTTGTAGTGGCACTTGGTGACTGAGGCGTTTCCGCGAGGCATGATGATGCTGGTAGTGGGGTAATGGGCTGGTTCGGAGGGGTAAATGTGTATCTTCTGTTTGCAATCAGTCAATATGATCACGACACGGGTGTTACTCAGGTACGGACTTTGGGTCTTGAAGAGAGTATTACCAATGGAGGGTGGTTTGGAGCTGTGATGGATTCGAGAGAATGTAGTAAGGAAGCAGCTCTTGTGACCTTTTTGATGCCATTGAGACATGGGGTGACGTCTGCCAAGCCAGACCCACATGTGACGCGACTGCAGGAACAAGCTCGGGGGCGCACGCGAGGCAGGAGGCGGCTGGCACCTGGCAGCATCCTTTCAATGGCCTCCGCCAACCTTTTGGCGTTATTGTTTCTTGAGCTTCGATACCACCCCGATCCTCGCTTTCTTTCGGCACATTCCTTGTATGTGGTACTGAAATGGAGCCTCATGGACCCTCGGAGCCTCCTAAATAGCGTGGAAGATCTCAACATTTGATCATCACAGGCGTCATAAGCAGCAAGCCTTGTTCCATGGTCTTGCTTCGGCCACTATCTGCGTGCTTGCCTCACTGAGCAACGAAGAAACACTCTTCTAGGGCTTTGCCCAAGAGTACTGTGTACTCATGCTAAGGATTTGGTTAGCTGATCGTGGCAGGCCTATATGAACAAACCTAAACATAGCGCAACCTCGCTCGGTCCTGCTTGTTCAGTTTGTAGATGGCTGAGAGATATGAGAACAGCAGCGAGTGCTATGTCTTTATATTATAGGGATCGAGCGACTTCGCATGCCTATAGAACTATGAAACCTCAGAGATATTCCCGGAACTGTTCCGAGTGAGCCAGCATGCGGTTTTGATGAACTCTGACTCCCCCGCATGCTGTATCCGAGGCGCATTTAGGTATCCTGCTGACAGGCGAGATTTAGGAAAGCCTCTCATGCATCATCAACATTGATTGATAAAGTATTTCCTTTCAAGCTCGTAAAGGGACGGACTGCGTTCAGTTTCTGGAGTATCAAGCAGGGAGACTCAAACCCATCTACGAGCGTGAAGCCTGCAAACAGTCTTCGCAAGGTATCGTATTAAGTCTCGAGACACGGCAGGCCCAGCGATTTGCAACTCGCGACAGCACTTCGGTCCAGGACCCGTTCAACATGCACACTCAGTACTTGATCTTCGCTGCTATTGCCTTGGTGGCAGCAAGGCTGCTAACCATCGTCACCCAGACTCTCCTGTCGCCACTGCGAACAGTGCCAGGTCCCTTTTTGGCACGTCTCACTAACCTATGGTATCTCCAGCGGGTCAGGAACGGGTCCTTTGAATGGGAAAACATCGAGCTTCACAGAAAACATGGACCGGTCGTTCGCGTTGCACCCAACATGTATTCCATCGACGACCCGGACGTCATCAAGGCCGTCTATGCGATCAATTCCAGATTTCCCAAATCCGACTGGTATGAAGGTTGGAAGCACCCAGATCCCGAGAGATGGTCGTTGTTCACCTTGAGAGACATGAAAAAGCACAGCGAAGAACGACGCAAGTTTCAAGCGCTGTACTCGATGAGTAGTCTAGTGCACTATGGTCAGTTGCAATTCCATGCTTCTACATCATACATCGCCAACACCAACCAACCCCGCTGCCGCCTATTGCCATGTTACTATGCCTCTGTTGGAGCCATACTGATCTGACTAGAACCATACGTGGACGAATGCTTGGAGCTCTTCAATCAACGTATGACCGAAGTGGCGAATGCTGGTAAGACTATCAATATGGCTCACTGGGTCCAATGCTATGCGTTCGATGTCATCGCCTATTTGACATACTCGAAGCGATTCGGTTTTCTGGATACCGGTCTGGACGTGGACAGTCTCATTGCGATGTTGGAGGACGTGCTGAGGTACTCTACCTTGATTGGTATCTATGCTCGTAAGTTGTCCACATTGGGGTGCATCGAGCGTTTTGGTGTCCCCCAACGTCTTGCTCATAGACTGCTGCGAACGGGCATTGTCGATGAGCATTCGATTTCTTCGCTTCGCACCTCAGAGCAGAGAACAAGTTGTGCACTTGGGGAAGTGTGACGCCAGTTTGCTATTCCCTCACGATCTCGTCCCATCGCGCCAAACCTCCCTTTGAGGAGAGGCACCGATTCAGGTTGGCTAATGTCTGCAGGATTACACCCAATTCTTTGGCCTATCACGACTAAGATCAAGGCCTCTGGTGCTGGCGCACGTGAGTTTCCCTGCAGGTCTTCTCGGTGTCAACTGTTAGCTGGGTACTCTATCGGGAACACTCTCCCATTTCTCGTTCTGCTACCCAAGAGTCTTCTCATTTAGGCTGGCTGATTCTCCCTCTAGGAGCTCGCCTCAACTCTTGCATCCAGAAGTGGATGGATGAAAAGACCGCTTCCCAGGATGTTGAGAAGTTGACAGAGAGGACTGAGGACCAGACTGGGCCGCAAGACTTTCTGGAAAAGCTATTGATTGCCCACAACAAAGAGCCCGGGAAAGTCACCAAATACAATGTGTATGCGGCAGGACTGAGTAACATCACGGCAGGCTCTGATACAACAGCATCGACCATTTCGGGGATTCTATATCACCTCGTGAGGAACCCAGACAAGCTGCAGAGGCTGAGAGATGAGATCGATCAATTCGCGGCTGATGGTAAGATCAGTCGGCCCATCCAGTTCAAGGAAGCACAGCAGATGCCCTACCTACAAGCGGTGATGAAGGAGGGCATGAGATGCCACTCAGCTGTAGGCTTGCCACTCTGGCGGGTGGTCCCTGAAGAAGGATTGACCGTCTCTAATCGTTTCTTTCCTGGGGGGACAGTTGTCGGTGTCAACGCATGGTGTGCGCACTTCAACAAATCCGTCTTTGAAGATCCATATACATTCAAGCCAGAACGATGGCTTGAGGTTGAGAAGGAAGGTGGTGATAGGCTCAGACAGATGGACGGCTATTATCTTCCGGTAAGCCATGGTCTCCACGATGTTCTCTCTGACAGGGTCCATTAGTTCGGCCTGGGCTCACGCACCTGTATCGGGCGACATATTTCTACCTTGGAGATGTCCAAGCTGATACCGGAGCTGCTTCGATCGTATGATCTGGAGCTGGCGTCCAACAAGTCGTGGGAGACGACGAACTGGTGGTTTGTTAAACCCAAGCAATTCTCCGTCAAGGTCAAGGTCCGGGGTGTGGCATAGTCTAACCGGATCGTTGCACAGACCTCACAGCGGCATCAGACGACATCAAGAGCCTGGTCTGTTGACTATCAGGCTTGATTTGGACTGTCTTTGCGCCGCATGGTCTGTTTCCGACCAAGCACGAGCCACAGTAGGATCGTCATAAATATCCACCTTCGGGTTCTACTTGATATCGCGACTAGAGCGGCGGCAACCAAACGATGAGGTTCGAGCATGATATACAGGTTGACCTTCGTACTACATTGAAATAAAAGGCCTCTACGGCAGTGGGAATAATTGAGGGAGCGAACTTTCCAGCCGGAGTTGGGATAGGCGGCTTGGGGGGTGGGGAAGGCCATAGCCGCCACCGCCATAGTTTATCGTTAGGGCCCTTGTAACAAGGCTTCTTATTCGTGCAGCCCGATGCAATTTCATCAACTCATGCCAACTTCAGCATCCACTTCATCCGCCTTCATCACCCGCCGCTCGCCCACTGCCCGTGGCTCCAAGCCCCAAGCTTGATCACAGCCATCTCTTGCAGGCCTGCAGCTGTTCCACTGGCCATCTCTGGGCGCCACTTGCGCTTGCGCTGCCCTTTCCGCTACGCCTGTCCTCGGTTTCCCTCGTCGCGCCTGCTTGCTCACCAAATCCCACACGATCCAACTTCGACGAGCTCCTTTGAATCTTCACTTCATCTACCACCACCCTCAGGTAGCTCTTTCTGGTGCTGTGCGATCGGCTTCCATCGCGCCTGGTAGCTGTCGCGCGTTCTCGCACGATAATTCAGACAGCTTGAGACCGCGGAGCGCTTCGACCCCCGGAATCTCGACCAGCCGCCTGACCGTCTGCGGCTCGCTACCACCCCGAACTCATCACAGTTAATCTATTCGAATCGCTGTCCTACTACTTTTCTTCTTGTACATGAGCAGAAGTTTACCTCGCTTCTTCTGCTGCGACCGCCGGTCACGATTACGGCCTCGACAGGCCTCGATCGCCCCACATGAGTAGCGCTCAGCCTGGTGCAGGTACTTACTATTCCGCCCGCCTATTCTATGGCAATACTGGCTATCCCCGAATGCGTCGCTAAATTTTTTGGTTACCTAGGTCTCCCTGTTACATCTGAGGATGCTGCTCCTTCGGCGACTACCACCGAACCGCTCTCAAATGAGACAATGACAGAGCAGGAGCAAAAGTCGACACAAGTCAATATCCCCTCCCGAACCTCATCCACACAGCCCGGCACGACTCAGCTCGCGATATCGCCCGCACCTAATACGTCGTCGGAAGCTCCGCCAGCAGCTCGGCGCGGCTCAAAACGCAGCATTCTGACGCGTAGCAGAAACAATAGTCGAAGCAGTCGCAGATCTGGCAGAGCTGCGAGACCTGCAGACCCCAAGGAGCCCGTACCCCCTTTACCTCAGAACGATGGCGCGAAAGGCGAGAAAAAATCACGATCAGGCTTCCTGGCTTTCCTGGGGAATTGCTGCAGCCCATCTGGAGGTGATGACGAAATCAAGAATGATACGGCCCCGGTACCCGTGAAGAAAACCACGGTGCCCCCAGCTCAAGCAAAAGCACCCCGGCCGACCGAAGCCACAGAGACGTCTCTCGAGAAGGATGCAGAAGCCAAACAGCTGAACGAAAAGCAGGAGGTACATGACGAAGAGAAGGTAACGTCAGCTGGGGCGAAACCAGACCCGGAAGATGAAATCAACGAAAAAGTCGCACCAAATGCTAGCACCGGAATCTCAACAGCGCAAGAAGAACCCCGCGACAGCCGGTACAGCCAAACCGAACAAATAAAACCAGAGGCGAAAGATGTTGACATGCCAGATGCGCCAGTTGTGCCCGAGCCTGAGCCCCAAGTCGTTGATGAGCCGGTACAACCCGCGGAGCTGCAGCCTCAAGTCCCCTTGCCGCCGCCACCACCACTTTCGCAAAGGCAGGAACAGGTTGGAACGGTGCCTGCTATGCCAGAAGCCCCAGTCGAGAAACAGAACTGGCTTCTCCCTCCCGCACAACCACCCTTGAAGGGACGTAAATGTCTGATACTCGATCTGGACGAGACACTGGTCCACAGCAGCTTCAAAATCCTCAATCAAGCCGACTTCACGATCCCCGTTGAAATTGAAGGCCAGTATCACAATGTTTACGTCATTAAAAGGCCAGGCGTTGACCAGTTCATGAAACGAGTGGGCGAGCTCTACGAAGTGGTAGTATTTACCGCGTCCGTCTCAAAGTATGGCGATCCTCTCCTCGATCAGCTTGACATCCACCATGTTGTCCATCATCGGCTGTTCCGCGAGAGCTGTTACAATCACCAAGGCAATTATGTCAAGGTACGTATTTCTGGGCCTAGAGTACAGGGCACTTTACTGATATAATGCAGGATCTCTCGCAGGTTGGCCGTGACTTGAAAGAGACAATCATCATCGATAATTCGCCAACGTCCTACATCTTCCATCCACAGCACGCCGTACCCATCAGCTCCTGGTTTTCCGACGCCCACGACAACGAGCTATTAGATCTGATACCCGTGCTCGAAGATCTCGCTGGGCCTCAGGTCAAAGATGTCAGCCTTGTTCTCGATGTTACTTTATAGCGTGGCGTCTAATTTCGCCTACTGCTGCTACCAGTCGTCTTCATGGAAGTGAGGTCAATTCGCTCCCCGGCCTCGCTCTTTCGAGACGATATTCGAGCGCCTTCGTCCCACCCTGTGAGAGCAATTGCGTGTTCTTAGACTCAAAAAGCATTGAAAAGACCAGCGCTAATGATTGGGGTCAACGGTCTCGTCCGGCATCTGCTACCACCTAGGAGCCAAACAGCTTTGGCCATAATTATGCCGCAGAAAAGAGGAACCGGGAGTTGTTTCATTTGTTTTAGCGAGGGACATTGATTAATGGCTTGATTGCATATTCCCGGTGTGTACACTTCTACACAGTCGGACTGGGGAGTCTGGGAATTGCTTCAGCCTCGGCCGGGACTCTGTCTGAGAATTGGGAATCACAAAATACACAGAGCAAGCGTGGCATATCACTTGATAGTTATCTATGGTAGTATCATATTGTGTACAGAGAAGTGTTATACGGGGGGTGATCGATGCTCAAAAGTGTATCTTGGAGGGTTGGTGAGCAGAACCGCATACCCGGTATCGACTTATAAGCCAACCGTGGCACTGATAGCCTGCCAGAGAATACAATGAGAAAAAAACCCACTCACGTCTCACAAGGCTTCACTGACTCTGCTCGGGTTATGTTCATCCTTTTCTCCCAAGGCTGGCAAAGAAAAGGGTCGTCAGTCGGGTGCATTGCCGTGCACCGATCCGACCCCTCGTACACGAGGTGGATTTCTCCATCTCATAAGTCTTCTTCCGAAGAACCTATGTCGTAACTCGATGTCCTCGCGGTCTTTGTCTACAGCCTTCGGTCTTGCTATACGTGTGCAACTGCCGTCACTACATCTGCTCTCGCGGCTATATACACCGGTGACTCGATTGGAAAGTCGATTGCGCAGTTCACAAGCGGGTAACCTTACGAGTCTGGTCCGTCACAGGGCTCTTATCCGAAGACCATACAGCAGTGCTGCCACCCTCACCATGCCTTTCACGACGGTCAATGGGCACACTCTGCACTACACAGACCTGCCGCCCACAGATGATGCGTCCGCCAAGCTCGCCATCATCTTTGTACACGGTCTCGGGTCCTCACAGAACTACTACTACCCTGTTCTTCCCGCGTTGACGGGCAAAGGCTTTCGCTGCGTGGTTTTCGACAATTACCTCGCGGGCCGGAGCTTCAAGGAGGACGAGTGGAAGAAGGATCCAGACACGAGCGTGGCCGGCATTGGGAAGGATATCGTTGCCCTGCTGGATCAGTTGGAGATTCAGAAGGCTGTGGTGGTGGGGTATAGGTGCGTTACCGTGGATCTCGCTCATTTCCCCAGTGCGTAGCGAAGACGAGACAATACTCTGACATCGACAATAGCATGGGCGGAATGCTCCCTACCCACCTTGCAGCCACCAACCCGGAGAGAGTGGTGGCTGGCATCTGCATTGGGCCGGTGCATCCCTCTGAGCAAGTGGCAGAGGTATTCAAGCAGCGGGTTCCCGTGGTTCAAGATGGTATGTCGCTTCGGTGTTGTCAACTGTGTGCCACTGACGCCAACTACTGACACTGTAATTCAGGTGGTATTGAGACCATGGCAAACACGATCCCCTACCGCGCCACCGGCTCGCTCGCCACGCCACTGCACAAGGCCTTCGTCCGGGAGATGCTTCTCGCGCAGGACCCACGGGGATACATTGCCAACTGCAAGGCGATTGAGAAGGCGACGCCACCGGAGTACGCCAAAGTGAAGTGCCCGATTCTCATTGTGGCGGGTGAGGAGGACAAGTCTGCGCCGCTGGAGGGATGTAAGCTTATTCTCGGCGAGCTGGCGACGGGAAAGAAGCAGCTGGAGGTGCTGAAGGGGGTTGGTCATTGGCATTGTGTTGAAGCGAGTGAGCAAGTGGCGGAGCTGGTGGGAGACTTCTGCACCGGCTTGGTGTAGGGCGAAGGACTTTCTCATTGGAAGCGTAGACCTGGCAGAACAGTCGTACTCCATCAATACCGCTCCACGCAACAACTCGACGGTCCAACGACGGCATCGACCATCCATGCCATCGTGCTTCAGACAGTATCCATGCACAATGTAGGTTTCGCAGCCCGCGACGCGCACGGGACGGGTGCGCATGTCGAACGATGATTGATGAGGCCATTATTAAACGAGCCAAGGATCTCCGATCGCGCAAGCCGTGCATGCACATTGCATTGCAGCATTTCCAATCTGGTCTGATGTCTCGCCGTAGTCATCTGGCCCCAAAGATTGATTACAGGGTACCGTCACCGCCTCCCTCACCTTTGCATGAGTCTCATGGTTCTCGGACTCTTCTGCCAAACGGTTGTGCTACGGCTCGATCGACGTAGACCTGCTGCTGCTGAAGAAAGGAGAATGAGCCGTCCAGCTATCCCAAGCTACCCCTGCAATGCACAATGCCTTAGCCTGGCATGTTTTTCAGGGGTTCCAAAGCCTAAATCGCCCGGGCGGCCAGTCCGGAGCGGGCACCACCAACGGCTGGCATGGTGGAGGTTCGCGCGGCCTCGCATAAGCAGCATCCTGCGCATCCCCCAACGCAACCATTGCACCTTTCGCCGCATCTCATCCTTTGCCGCTGACAAGGCATAACGTACCGTTCCCATGATGATCATTAGATAGGCCTCTTTGCCGAGAGTGCTGTGAGGCCTGCAGCACCTTTTTCTGATTCTCTTGTTTGGCTTCTGCCCTCGTGTCTTATCTCCTCCCTTAAGCAACCGGCATTCGGTGCCAATTCCGCTCGCTCCCTCATTTGATCCTCCTCCCAGGATCACGATGGCGATGTCGAGAGGCTTCAGTGCCTCCTCGATAAGCCTACTTCTCCTGCTCTTCGCGAGTCTTGCAAATAGCTTTTATGTACCGGGTAAGTCAGCCCTAGGAGAGGTCTCCCTCGCACAAACGCCAGGTCAGGCAAAATAACACAGCCCTAACCGCGTCGCACAGGCTACTCAATTCGAAGCTACAAGACCGACGAGAATATCCCCTTACTCGTGAACAAGGTCTATTCCGATAACAGCCAATTGCAATATGCGTATTACGATCTGCCGTTCGTGTGTCCTCCTTCGGGCGAAAAACACTTGGGATCTCGGTATGCGAGCGGGCATTCCATCGCGCTGAACCTGGGCGAAGTGCTGCGCGGCGATAGGATTATGAACTCGGATTTCGAAGTCAATATGGGCCAGGACATTGAGTGTCAATATCTCTGTGATCGCGTTGCGACCCGACAAGACGTTGAATGGGCTCGCCAGCTCATCGATGATGGGTATGTTGCGGAATGGATCCTTGATAACCTCCCGGGAGCTACTTCGTTCGTCACGGTCGACCGGTCGAAGAAATACTACTCGAGCGGTTTCAAACTCGGCTATAAAGACTATGATGCCTCGACGGGGAAGCCGCGGTACTTCATGAACAATCACTACACTATCGTTGTGCGCTGGAGAAAGGCTGCTGGCCGAGCAGGCGACAATGGCGGGAAAGTCGTGGTGGCATTTGAAGTGTATCCCAAGAGCATGGATGCGGCTCAACGCAACGAGACGGGATGCCCGCTTGACGTGCAGGCCGATCACAAGGAATTCTCGCTCTTCATCCCTCCGAAGGATAGTGGCCTGCATCAGCAGTATCCCGATTCGTCGTACATCCCCGCGAACGAGATTGATATGAATGACGGAGCAACGCTGACCATTCCGTACACCTACTCGATCTACTTCCGCGAGACGGATGAGATTGAGTGGGAGCATCGATGGGACCTATATTTCAGCGATCAGGCTGAGACGTCATTCACGCACTGGTTGGCGATTGTCAACTCGTTGATCATATCGGGCATCCTTGGCGCGGTTTGTGTTGTCATCTGGGGTCGCACCATGCAAGGCGATCTCAAGGGCAGAGGCGACGGCGTGCTCGAAGAGGCTCGCTTGAAGGTCAAGAAGACAGTCCAGAAAAAGGCAGGCTCTGGCTTGCTCGAGAAACTGAATGAGGCTGGTGCTGACGGGGACCCGTCGGATGAGGAGGTAGTGGAGGATCTGAGTGGTTGGAAACTCCTACACGGCGATGTTTTCCGCGCACCAGCCTACGGGGGACTTCTGGCTCCTGTGGTCGGATCTGGCATGCAACTTATCTTCATGGTGGCCGGGCTCTTGGTTCTGAGCACTTTTGGTGTACTCAACCCCAGCTGGCGTGGAGGATTCATCAGCGTTGGCGTTGGTCTGTTTGTTTTTGCCGGTAGTTTCTCGGGCTACTGCTCTGCCCGGGTGTACAAGACGTTTGGTGGCCAGAACTACAAGAAGAACGCCGCTCTGGTAAGTTTAGGTCCGTTCCCAGGTGGTGCTCAGCTAACATTAGTCCCAGACGGCGCTCCTCTTCCCTGGCCTCACGTTTGCCTTCATATTCGTCCTCAACCTCTTCACCTGGTCGCAAGCGTCCTCTACGGCACTTCCTTTCACAACACTGCTGGCACTTGCTTGCCTTTGGCTCCTCATCCAGGTACCGCTCGTCCACCTTGGCTCGCACTACGGCTTTCATCGCGCCCCCGTAATGGAGCACCCGACGCGTACGAGCAGCATTCCTCGGCAAATTCCGCCTCAACAGTGGTATACGCGCAACCCGTTTGCACTCCCGTTGCTTGCGGGCTTGATCCCCTTCGCGGTACTCTTCATCGAACTCCTTTTCGTTTTCAAGTCGCTCTACCTGGACAAGTCGTCGTACTACTACGTTTTCGGCTTTCTCAGCATCATATCGGCACTACTGACCATCACGGTGGCGGAGACGGTATTGATCTCCACGTATCTTCTTCTAAATGCGGAGAACTACCATTGGTGGTGGCAGTCCTTCTTCGTAGGTGGCGCTTCTGGTTTCTGGATATTCGTGTACTCGGCGTGGTACTATACGACACGGCTGCACATCGACGGGTTTGTGAGCAGTCTGTTGTTCTTCAGCTATGCGGGATTGGCGTGCACTGTATATGGATTGGCGACGGGGACGGTAGGATTCCTGACGGCCTACGCGTTTGTGAGGCAGATATACTCTGGCGTCAAGGTCGATTAGACGGGGCAAGGGCAGATCTAATTGAGTCACGATAGATTATGATAACAGGGCCTTCCTTATGCTGCGGTCGGTGGCTTGGCTCCTTCGACTGAGCATCTCGGATCCGACCGTCCGTGAGCAAGGCTCGAGATTATGCTGACACGATGGTCAGGCCTGGAACCTGCTGAACGAAGCCAGCCAGGCAAGCCACAAGCCAGATCTAACTCGACGTGGCAGATGGCGCGAAGATGGAAAGCGAGATGCATCGGCCGACGTCGGTCTTCTCTGGTACCTGTCGATCAAGTCAGAGGGCGTGCCCGAGTGTGGCTCCGTACGTACACAGGTCAGCGTATGGTTGCCCCACGCTTTTTGAGTAATAAGACCAGGATCTCGGTACTCGGATTACTCCATCGGATTTGAAGACGTAGGTGAAGTGAAGTACGTCGGTTGTTAAAGCAAGCGTATACGACGGGTGGAGAGAGGATTTAGCAGCAAGCAGGATGCTGTCACGGTCGTTGTGGGGGCACTCGAAGGGGCAATGGATGCGCTCGGTTGATTGGAAATGTACCATTGTTTTTATACAGCAGAAAACTTGGTAGAGCTACAGACGCGCTTGGCCGTTGGCTGGCAGTTTGGCAATGCGACCAGGAAAACGATGATAACGACTGTACCGTATATAACTCATACGAACATTGAGGTCGGCTGATGTCGGTCTGCTGTGTCATAGAGTCATCTTCCATCAAGATGAGCAGAGGTCAACGATGAGGATTTGTTTCGAGCATACGGAGTCAACCCACGCACGTGGAACTGGGAATTGAGAAAGCGTGGATCTTAGATACCCACATCGTCTCTGCTCCGGGCATCAATATGCGCCCTCCGTTGACAAGGCCCTGGAGTCATGAACCTCAAATTCTGGAGACCCCTACAGCCCAGGTGGACCCAGCCCCGAGGCCCGCTTACAAAGAATGGAGAAGCCTACGGTGTCGTTGCTCCTACAGCTTCCAATCAGGACCTGCTGGCCGTATGCAAGCCACCGTTGAATGGTGCAGGGATGCTTCTCGGATGTAGATGCCGCTGACTTCCACGCCCTTGGGCCTTGTGGTAAAGCACCTGTTCATCGAGAACCGTCGGTGAGTCATGGCCTGTTTCTGCTGCTGATGGCGGCCCTGAAGCACGCCTTTGCCCAACATGGGTATGCTCTGGCATAAGGCCAATCCCAGCCGATTGGTATAAGATGTGCTCAGCACCATTACGCGGAGTCGCGTTCGACTCTGCCCTTGATAAAAGAGGTCTGCTATTTCCCACCAGAGCCCGACCGCGGTCAATCAAACACCTTTTCTGCAGACCACCCGATCTCCGCTCCCAGCTCTCTGTCCTAGGAGAAAGCCGTATCAGAACAACCGGATCACGCGACAAAGCCAGTCCTTGGGACGTGCTTCCAACGATTCACCTCACCAACCACAAGATTGCTCGGCCGCCTTTCCGGCGCACATCCCATCGATCCCCCCACCAACATCGCCAATCAGCATTCGGCAGCCCCTCCTCCCCAGACTTCCAAGGCCTTTATCTACAGGCCGTCCTCGGCCGTCATGTCCATGGACGGGAGCGTCACAACTACTCCTGGAGATATGCCTTCGCTGCTGTCAACAACGGTGCCGCAGTTTGCTGGTCGCGCACGTTCACTACCGACCAATGCGTTGCAAGATGGTCGCCGACGGTCCACCATCGCCGGCATCGTCCTCCGCAAGAAGAGTGAAATCGAGATAGTGCTCGAGGGCCAAGAAGTCGAGTTCGTCAACGTTTACTCCACCCACGATAGCATCCAAGGCCACGTCGAGCTACGTTTCGAGAAAGACACGCCGCTGGAGGAGCTCATCATCACCTTTGAGGGTCACTCGGCCACCTATGTCGAGAAGCTCGCCTCCACCGCGCCCACCACGGGGCGTACTACTGGCAAACATGCCTTCCTCAAGCTCTTACAGCCTGTTGATGGCGACGAGCTACCGCTTGACAACATCTTACGCGCAGACACTACCTACAGCGTCCCTTTTCTCTTCCGCGTGCCCCCAACTCTGCTTCCATATGTTTGCTCCCACAAAGTCGACCACGAAGGCGTGCGCAAACCCCATCTCGAGTTGCCACCATCCATGGGTGACCCCACCATTGCCGGTGACGGCCATGCGCTGATGGACGACATCGCCCCTGCTATGAGCCGTGTGTCATACGCCGTCCGCGTGCGTGCCACAAGCCGCCTGGCGAATGGCAAGCCCTTCGACCTCGCCGAGCAGACTAAGAAGGTCCTCATCGTTCCGGCCAAGGACGAGGCGCCACCAGTGCACATCGACGACGACGGCCTGTATGCGCTGCGGCGTGAGCGATCGGTCAAGAAGGGCCTCTTCAAGATCGGCAAGGTCGGTCGCATCACGGCTGAGACGACGCAGCCGCGGAGCTTCCGCCTGCCACACCCGAGCAAGAGGATCACCGAACCCGTGTCCACCAACACGACCGTGTGCTTGCGCTTTGATCCCGTTGCCGAAGGCGATCACCCCCCGTCCATGGGCTGCATCACGAGCAGGCTGAGGGCCTACACTTTCTTCGGCGCGGCGCCATACCGCGTCCTCCCAGAGATCCATCGCTACGATAATTGGAGCACCTTGCACGGCGTCTACTCGGAATCCATCGAGCTCTCTCAGCGCAACCTCAGCACCGTGACATGGACCCGACACGCCCCCGGCACGAGCCCGATCAGTCGCACGAGTTCTGCTGTCTCGGCATGCACGGACGCCAGGCGGCCCTCAACGTGGTCCGCCTCATCTAGCACGGCCAGCAACGTCCCAGAACCCAGCGCGGCCTACAACCCAGACCTCCCCTTCTACACGGCCCAGGTGTTGGTCCCGCTTGCGCTTCCCACGCCACAGGGCAACAGCAAAACCAAGGTCTTCCTGCCCACGTTCCACAGCTGCATCATCTCGCGCACCTACACCCTGGACCTCATGCTCAGCTACAACACCCCCGGCACCAGCGTGAGCACGCCGCACATCACGCTCAAGTGCCCCGTGCAAGTCAGCGCCGAGGGTGGCACGCCCCCGCCGACCGCGGCACCGTACCACGGCATGGCGGCGACCGAGGAAGAAGAAGCCGCTCTTCTCGCCGAGATCGAGCGCCAGTTCGGCCTGAACCTAGGCTTGGGCCTCGAGAGCCCCGACTACGACGAGGTGGCGCCGCTGCTGCACGCGCAGCGGCACGCCAGCATCGCGACCAGCGCGCCCGTCAGCGGTGGCGCGCCGCCGGATTATACCGCCAATAACACGGCGTTTGCGCGGAGCACGAGGGTCGGCGGCGCGAGGACCACGAGTGTGAGTGCTTTTGGATTTACTTGATCTCTCCTCTGCCTCTCTCTCTTCCTCCTCACTCTTTCTGTCTCATTCGCTTTTCTCTTTCTTACTTCATGTGTGCCCTTCATGATGATGTCCGTGCCCGTACCTTTTCTGGAGGGGGTGGCTGGAGTCGGAGAGGAAGCAGCAGCAGAGAGAGAGAGAGAGTGTGTGTGTGTGTGTGTGTGTGTGCGAGAGAAAGAGGAGAGATCGAGTAGGGAAGGGTTGAGAGCAAGAAAGACGAGAGCATTCGAGGAGACGAGTCGTGATTCCTGCCAGCAGCCCATTTGCACACCATTCTGCTTCCCCCATATCCTTGCAAAAGCAGCACGCTCATTCTCCCATCCCTTTCTGGTGTCTACAGGGACCGGCATTGCCCTTCTTCTACGGCATGTGATACATGGGGAAGCGAGGCTCGCGGGCGGGCCCTACCCCACGTCTCTAGCACGTGCATGCATGGGCGCACGTATCGTCCTCCCTTATCTTTTCCCCCCCCACAGAGATTCACAACTCCGGGAAAGGAGAACCGGCTCAAAAGCCCGCCTGCTGAGAGAAATTTTCTGCGTGAGAACTTGAGAAAGAACAAAAAAGAGAGAAACACAAAGGCTGATTTTGATGGATTGCGGTTCGCCGCTTGTGAACAGGAGCTTTATCCTTACTCGCCCTACGCACTGGGCTCGCGGGTGGTGACGAGGTATCGGCGCGGTGGTGGTGGCGGTGGCGAGCGGAGTCGGTTCGGTGCCGGACCGGGAGCGGCGGTATGGTTGATTGGACTTGCGGCCTGATGAGGTTGTTCTTTCATCGGTGATGCAGACAGCAGGGTGAGAAGGGAATGGAGGAGCGTCTGGATTTGGATGGGAAGACGATATCAACCGCGATATTCATGATGATGTTGGTGGGAGGGCAACGGGATCTGATGGCTTGGATCTGTTTTGTGTTGGACTTTTGGTGCTTTGTGTGGTTCATGATGATACCCTTTCTGTTGGCGTTTCTCTACAGTTTTTGAGCGATGGGGGATTTATTTTTATCGTTCATCAGTTAAAATTTGTCGAAGTGTGTCTGTGTGACTGTGATTGGGATCTGGGGGGAAGAGCACGGACAATGAGGCGAGATGAGATGAAACGAAATGAATGATTGTATAGAACAGGCTCGATGTCCCGAGAAAGTGATCTAATATAATTATAATGGCTCTCAACATGGTTTTTACACTTGCGCCTCATATCACATGGTACTTTCGCCTCACTGACTCCTCTTGCTCAGTGCATCGCGGTAGAGATCCATGAGCTTCAACGGCTCGCGTCCCACGCTTGCTCGTTCGCGCTGCTCGTCCACGCCAGCTACCTCCGCCGCCGCCGAAGCAGGTTTCATCGAGAACCCCGCTATTTGGTTCATGGGAGCGCCACACTCGAGCAGGCTGTCGTAGAGGGCCTTGGTGCCACTGTGTTGGATCAGGCGTTGTTGGGCCGCGGTGTTCACGGGGAGCTCCGTCCGTGGTGTGACAGTGCAGGTGAAGGAGGCGGGCGTGATTTGCCGTCGGTCCTGGAGTCCAAAGGCGTTGTACGGATCCAGCGTCTGCGGATGAGGAGCGTCGACCGTGCCGACGTCGACGGTGAGCGGGCTGGCGTCCAGTGCCTTGTTCAGGCTCTGTTGGGAGCTAAAGCGGGCATGGTAGATTTTGCCCGCCGTGGTTCTCTCCTGGCCGTCGAGCTTCTTGAACTCAATAACTTCGCCAAAGGTCCTGAGCTTGGATAGGACAGCCGTGGTATAGATAGTCGAGTTTGGCGACGGCGTGATTTTAATCAAGGCGGCCAGCGGCCTGGCAGGGCCTTTGGCCAGGGATGCCTTCATACCGGCCGGCTCGCCTTCGAATGCTTTTCCACCGCCCTTCACTCGCACATCCTTGGGACGGTAATCAAACCAGTGTCTCCGTCACACGACCAATGCCCAGCCTCAGCAGGTTGTCAGGCGAACGCTGGTGGCAGTATCCCAGGGCTCAAGCGAGGTGGCTGTGTCTATTTTGGGGGGTGCTTGGCTCGGTCGAGAACCCCACCTGCCACCGCGAAGTTTGGATTGTGGACACGGACACGCGGGACCCGGGGATTTTTTGGAACGGGAGAACAAGGAGAATGAGAGGATACTCGTGCCCGTCAATGGCTGGCTGACTGGCTGGCTGTTTATTTGGTATATGCTGCTGTCGCTGTTGCAAGCCGTGCAAAAGTTTTTTTTTTCATCAGTCTACCGACTACAAGGAGGCGTGAGAGAAGCTCGGAACGAAAAAGATCGAAAAAAGGCGCGCAGCACAACTCGAACTGCAACTGACCCGCCCAACACATCGAACCAATCTGGGCAGCTCGGGCATCTCTGGGCAGCGTGCTAATTGGGTCCTCGGCCAATCCCTCGAACCCACTGCGTAAGTCTTTTGGGCGTGCTCGTACCTAACTCGAAATGTACAGCCCCCATCGCAGTTGAGTCAGCCCTGCACTGCTGAACAATTGTGTTGCTCGCCGTCGCTACATCTTCTTCTTCTTCTTCATCATCCCCTTCTACTTTACAATCCTATCACCAACACACCACTCAAGTCGATCGTTTACCGCGCACCTCGCTCGCTTCCTTCCGATACACTCAATACTACACCACATCCGCCAATCACTGTCCGATCGCCTTGGCCGGTTTCTCCTCGGTTTCAGCCTCTGCAGCCCTCCTGAGCAACCCCTCAACACGCCCTCCTTCGCCCAACTTTCGCCGTTCCGACCGTAAAGGAAACTGTGAAGATATTCCACTCCCCCTGCATCCTAGCGTTCAGTTCCAACCAGCCTCCATCTCGCCGCATACCGCCCAAACGACCCTCTCTTCGAGTATTACATCTCGCCTCAATTCACCCGTACCCGGGCTGCGCTCATAGAAGCGCATCCCACCTTCGCCAAAATTCACGCACACAGAGCTCGCGCTTCCCTCCTAGGAGGCCAACCAGATCCTTCATATCAACCGCTAGCTGGTGGCTTTCATCAACGAGAAGGCTTCGACATCAACCCTCCCAAACAGCAGACTCGACGTTCTGCAAGAATGTACCTACCCAGTTCAAAATGGTCTTGGGCCTTCCTACTCATTACCCTTGTCCAAGCTGCCATCATTCTGGCATTCGAAGCGTAAGCGATCCTTCGCCACCTTGAGACTAGAAAAAACGGTGCTGACATGCCGCAGATGGATCTTCGCCGTCTTCCAGATCGACATCAACGACGCAGAGGTCGACGAGTCAAAGAAACGTCCTATCCCAACCTTCCTTACCCTCTACATTTTCGGCTTTGTCTACCAACTGGTCCTCGTCTGGGATGGCTTGCGCCTCAAGAACACTATTCAAATCATCGGTCTGGTCCTATACAACGTCGGCTTGCTCGTTTACGGCGCCGTGCAGATGGAGCAGATCGAGGATGTCGCAAGAGGCCTCGACGGTAATACGCAGGAAGACATCTGGTCCCGCACACGCCCATTCTTGATTGCCATCCCCTGCATCCTCGGCCTGGGGACATTGGCCCTGGCTTTCGTTGCCTGGAAACTGTATGATGAGTTCGCCTGGACCATCTACAAGCACATCTCGGCCGATCTGCGCATGAAGCGACGATACCTGACCTTCCAAATCTATATCGCCCTCTTGAAGTTCGACTTCTTCTTCTGTAAGTCGCCAGTCCGCAACATTGTCTTACTTTAGCTGATATCTCTGGCAGTTCTCGGTTTCACGGTGCAATTTGTGGTTATTGTGGAGCGATTCACCATCGAGTTTTACCTTACAATCGCCGCCATTCCCGTCACCGTTGTCATTTTGCTGCTGGCAGCCTTCTTCTGCCGCCGCGAGTCCCTGATTGGAACCATCGGGATCATTGTGAGTGGATCCATGCAGCCGCCCTTGACCACTACTGACCCCATGCCAGATTCTCTATTTCGGCGGTCTGACGTATTTCATCTTCAAGCTCGTGCGCATGTATTCGGACGGCTTCAGTGCCCCCTACGAGCCCGCCCGCAAGGAATTGACTGCGTTCGCGGTTCTCACCATCATCCTCATTCTCCTCACCATCACCAACGCTTGTGTCTGCGCCCACAACTACGGCAAAGGCCTGCGTCCCTACATTGTCAAACGGAAGCTTGTCCTTGATGAGGAAAAGCCCACCAGCAGCAGCGCGTACGCACCGTACGCCACGGAAATGCAGCCCGGCGCGGCCGGGAAGCTGCCTCAGCGCCCAACGGCGAGGATGGAGATTGACTAGATCAATCTTGTGTGAGAAGTGAAATCGACATGATCATGGTTTCTCTTTCTCGCCTTGTACACTCTTTTTGGATTTTCTTGTCGCGAATTTGCAGTGGAATTAGCGGGCGTTGCAAACTACTTGGACGATACCACGACTGAAATCACCTTTTTACCCCCAGCGGCGTCGGGACTTGTGAGCGGGGAATGTACCCTACTAGGTTCTACTCGAATACAGTGGAACAAGATTGCGAAATGCAATTTCATGCTGGCTGTGAACAGAGCAGCGCTCTCTATGTTGCACAATCGATGTACGGCTGCGATACCCGTAACGGCCACTGGCATAGATGGTCGTAGCTGTATGTATACTTATGAGTTTACCATGCCGCTCCGTACCGTTCGAACCATTGCTCTGACCTGCGGGTGATGGACAAGGCCTGTATACTATGGGTAATCCGTCAGCTGCCCGTGGCCATATGTCACAACCAGGCGTCATTGCCTTGTAGAGGGGGAGAGGCTCTGGTAATGGAACGACCCATGTGGACAGTGAGATGGTATAGTGTGGCTCTGTGTCGGCCCCATGGCCTTTCTGGCATCGCCTGATCATTTACAACGCGAGAGATGTGGATCGTCTTTGCACACAGCCATTTGCGACGACTGAAATGATTGATCGTTATATGCTGTCCTCCGTCCTGCGCCGTGGCCTGCTCAGCATCAGTAACCCCGTTACCTTACGCCTTGTTCCATCAGTTCTTTTCACCCTCACCTCACAAGAAAGGATCGGACCGGAGAGGAGAACGTCGACTCCATTCCCATTATAATCCCCTTTCAATGTGAACCGCACGCACGTGTGTCCGCAACGACGTCGAGAGAGAAACCCCCCCCCCCGACTTTCTTCCCTGCTTCACCCACCGCGACAACGACAGTGCGGGTCCGCGACGCGACTACCTCAGTTCAGTCCAGCAAACCCTCAAGATCCTCCAGACGCAAGACGCCCTCGCCACCTCCACCGCCATTCAACGCCTGGTACAGCACATTGACGACTTCATGTAGCGGCACGACCAGACCGGCCCCGCCGGCTTGACCGCCCAGTAAACCCAGGTCCGCGAGGGTGAGCCCGCCGCCACCACCACCGGTCCCTTGACCCTCGCCATCATCATCATCGTCGTCGTCGTCGTCGATTTCCTCCTCATCATCATCACTCCCCCCCTCATCCCCACTAGCCCCATGCCCCAAATCCAACCCCACGACACCGTTCCCACCACCAAGCTGCAACCCCACTACTCCTCCCCCTCCTCCATGCACCTTCTCATCCACAACATCATCACTAACCTTCCAGAAACACGTGGGGCCCGCGGGTCCGGCGGCGTCGTAGTCCTTGTCGAACCAATTACCCAGGATGCCGCGAGCGGAGCGGGGGCCGCCGATCTGCACGCCTTCGCTGCGCCAGCGCTCCTCGCCGTGGAAGATGGAGAACGAGGTCCAGCGGATGGCGCCGGTGGGGGTCGTGCGGACGGTGCCTGTGCGGGAAGGGGTTAGTGGTTTGGCATGTTGTTGGGTTTTGGGCGGGGAGGGGGGGGAGGAGGGCGAGGGGAAGGGTGTGCGTGTGGCTTGTTGGGGAGGAGGTGGAGGAGAAGGAGGGGAGAGGTAGGTGGTGTGGTTGAAGGTTCGATGAAATTAGAATGATGGGGTGAGGGTAAAGACGGCGCCCATATTCGAAAGCAGAGAGGGGGAATAGGAATGTCACGAGTGGGGAAGACTGACCTCGTATGCGGCTGTTAGCATTCGGGTCCCACGCATTCAGCGTACTCCTACTCAGGCCCTCGAACTTGACGACTGGGAAGTCGGGATGATCTCCCTCCTCGGGCTCTTCTACCGCCGTGACGTGCATCTTGAGCCGAATAAGCCGAAACGCCTCGCGCGTGTCGATGGGCCCGCGCTCCTCGCCCTCGGGAGGCCGCTGGCCGTTGAAATTGAAGTTGTACAGGTCCGAGTAGTCCAAGAAGCAGACGATGCGCATCCACGTGCCCGTGACACCGTAGGGGTCGAGCGCGTCGAGGTCCGGGTTGGGTGGTGCGCGTAACGGGCCGCTGAGGGGCTGCGAGACGTAGCTGTTGGGTGCCAGCCCCCAGAAGGGTGAGTCCCACATGGCGGCGCTGGGGCCGGAGAAGGCGCGGCGCGAGGCGGAGCGGCGGGCGCGACGATGGAAGCCGTGCGGTGCGATGTTGGGGTGCGAAAAGTCGCTGCCGCCGCGCTCGCCGTACATGCGCACGTTGTACGCGAGGACTAGCATGATGGCCTGTACTTTCTCCCAGTCGACGGCGGAGGAGCCGTCGTCGAGGAAGGGGCCCCAGTGGGCGGCGCGCTTGTAGCGGCGGAGGTCGTAGACGCGGGAGCGGGCGTAGGGATGGACTTGTTGGGCGCCGGCGGTGTTGGACCGTGTCGCTACGGTGTGGCAGGGCGGCTCGACTTCCATGCCGGAGAAGACGTGCAATTGGGCGGAGAGTTGGCGTAGTTCAGCAGTACTGGCTGGGGTGTCATTGGGAAGGCGGGTGGACTGGAAGAGGGAGGACCGGCAGAGAAACGAAGATATGCTGGATTCGTTGCTGGAGAAGAGTTGACGGAGGAAGGCGGCGTTCTTGGGTGTGTCAGGGGTGGATTTGAGTAGAAGGTCGATGGCTAGCCTGGCGACGCGCTCGAGCTCTGGTTCGTTCTTGATGGCCTCATCGTCGGACTGCAGGAGCTTTTGCACCGAAATGTTGGCTTTCAGCAATTCAGACCACTGTGGGTCAGTATCGGGATCTGACTGTGGCTGGTCGAAGCAGGAGAGGTACTGCTGACGCCAGAGTAGAGTGTCATTCTCGATGAATGTGTTCAGAAACCTGCATGTCTGTGCTACTGATGCAAGGTCTGACGGCTCAACGTGGAAGAATATGTCGTGCAAGACCTCCGGGGCCTGGTTCAAGAGCGAAGTCATGTTGACGAGCAGTGGTGGTACTGACTCGGCCCAATGGGAATGTATTACTCAGCGACTTGGTCGCGGTCGAGCAGAGCCAGTCGCTCAACGAATGCTTGTGAGCTGGGAGGATGTCTGTTGTTGGGAATTTGCTCTCCAGCAGGCACAGCCTGTAGTAATGCGAGGAACGTCAAGGGAATTGCGCGACGGACAAGAGATGAAAGAGGTAATGATACATCAGCACTGGTCATGAAGACGTTATCTCCGTCACGAATCTCCCCGCCTTGCCTCTGGAGAGTGGGGCTGCAGCTGCTCGACACGAATCCAAGCGTCAACGACATTCAATCACAGTCTTATCCTACCATGCTCAGCCGATCATACTGTCTGACTGAGACAAGGAAGCCATCCCATGCGGTGCTATTGATGACTGTCGGTGAAAGAGGCCGGCTGGGGTATCTACATTTATATTCGAGCGCCTAGTTTGCCTTGTCAAGGCGACGGCGGCATCGAGAGCACTGCCCTTACCAGGCTGAAGACGTAGAGAATGTTTCAGTAAGTCTCAATTGAACAGGGTATCGCGTATATGATACTTCCAAACAGACATCCTCCCCCTTGCTGAATGGCTTGTATAACACCAGAAGCCGCTCAAACGCTTAATGCTAGACGCCACGTTGATAATAAGGACACAAAGTCTCCCCCCCTCCATCGTCAATCATCGTCGAAACCGTCTTCCGCAACATTCAATCCGCACCATACCGATAACTGCCCACCAAACCAAATACCCACCCTGCTTCCCTCACGCCCGGGAACTGCATCATGTAGATCTGTTCTCGGCCCATCATCACACCACCTGTATGCGCCACCCCTTGGTGCTCGGTCCAGACTTTCATGGCAATGCCAGTCTGCATGACGCGCTCGAAGCAACTTTCGCCAAGGACTGCATCGAGCAGGACGACTTCAGTATTCTTTTTGTTGTTCTTCCGCACCACGATCCGCTTCTCACGTCCGTCTCCGTGCACTCGATGGGGAGTGTGACCCGAGCTCGCGAGACGGGGACCTTTACTACCTGGCAGACCTCGGACAGGGGTGGTCGTCGGTGAGGATATTTCGGATGCGCCATTGCCCAAAGCTTGACCCGCTGCATCCAGAGCTGGTAACACGCTAAGTCGGCCAGAACCAAGATCCCCCCAGTTCTGACCCTTGCGGACATAAAGACGGATCTTCATGTTGTTGACCATGCCTCCGCCACTGGCAGCTTCTGCACTTGTGCCAGGCACATTCGGACCGTCACGTCCTGGCACTAAACCGACCTGACTCGGTATGGGTGTGCTGCTGCCTGAGCCGCTGCCAGTCCCACTGTTGGATGAGTACAACGATCCACTCGTGCGACTCCAGCCCGACCTCCGCGTGACAGAAGAACGATTGAGGCTGAAGGCCGTGCTGGCACTCAGTCGCTTGAGAGCCGAGAAAGCCGTCGCTACCGTGCTGTGTGAGGCCTCTGTGTCGCCACCTACGGACATCGGAGCCGATGATGCACGGAAACTTGACTTCTTCTGACTTCCACCAAAGCCAAACCATGAGCTGGATCTAGTAGCACCCTGTTGCGCCGGTCCGACGTTGAATGACACAGACGACTGTTTCGGTCGCGCTTTTTCCAGCTGGATGTAGGTTGGATTGTTGCATCGCGCCCAATTGATCATGCCATACAGCAGGTCGCACTCATCCGCGTTCCGTGACCGAAACATGATGTTGTTGGTCGTCCTCAACGACGAATTCGAGGTAGGTGGGGAGCGAATGTTGATGTCTAGCGCCGTGCCTCGTCTCAGCGGCACGATTGGAGTCAGCTCAAATGCGACCAGTGGTTGCGGGTCAGCCGATACAGACTGTGACTGTGAGTCCTCGCTTTCTGCGCCACCGCCACCGCCAGGACCAGAGTGCTCGGCCGACATCCGGAAAGCCTCAATGAGACCAGGGGACACGACGATTGAGCACTCGTCGGGATGGACCTGCTCCCACATGCCTCTGTCAGACCATGAGCATATCAGCGCAATCGCTCGTGACGTCTGGTTGCTGGGTACAGTCGTAGAGGATGGCACTCGCCGATATGGGCCCTGAGACGCTGAATCAGAAGGAGCCAGTGTTCGGGTTCCGTTCGTTGGTGGCGCAGTTGATGGCGGAGGTCGAGCAAACTGCGACGCTCGTCGGTTGCCTGCAGTGACTGCAACCAATGGTGTCGCCATGTCCTTGACCTCCGACATAAAATCATCTGATGTCACCGATGAACTGTCACTTGCGTCGTCAGAATCAGATTCTGAAGATGACTCTGAGGCTGTTGACGGCGCATATTCGTGCTTGAGTGGCGACGAAGAGCGCCTCTTAGCCCTCTGCTCCGATTTGGGTGATAATTTGGGCAGTTTGTCCATCGCTTTGTTCTGGGCACTGTTGTACGCTCCGCTTCCTTCACGGTGAGGCGGCGTCGGCAGCGGCGAATTTTCTGCTCGAGGTTTCCGCTGTGGCCTCGCCTCTTTGCTGGGCGTAGGTGGAGGTGGTATATCTTCTGTGAACAGCTGACTCGTCGTCGTTTCGTGCAGCTGCTGGCCAGATCTCCCTGTGCCAGAGAGGGACATCCATTGATCCCTGATTGAGTCGGTCAATGGTGTACTCGACTTAGGTCGTTCCTGATGGGGTTTGCCTCTGAGCTTTGGTATGCTGGGAAGTCCTTCTGATGGGGTTGCAGATAGACTCCTAGCATAACCCGGTCGCTCTGGTGCCGAATGTAAATCTAATGGCATTCCTAGACCGGAACCCTTCACCTTCTCCGACTCAGGCGCAGCTCGAACATCTGGGCCTGATTCAACTCTTGTCGGTCGGTGTGCGTCTGACGGAAGTGCCTGAGGAGTTGCACCTGCACTATTCGCCGACACTGGCAGCGCCCCAGACATCATGTAATCATCTGCCACCACCGGAGACTTCAGACTCTTTTTGGGAGATTTGGGCCCTGATCTTTGTGGTGGGGTCGTGGGTGCCGAGGCAACCTTTGCATGTTTGCCGATTGAGCTGAGAGATTGGTCCGAGACGCTCGACTTATCCGATGAGAGCGCAGATGGCACTGGCTTTCTCTGGGGCACATTCCCTGGTGGTGATCTCGGTGTAAATTGCTTGGTCTGCAGACCGCCACCCAAGTTGAGACGAGGAACGAACCTCTCGAGAAGTGGCTTGCGGCTCTTTGGAGTAGTTTCCTCCTTAGCACCGACGACCGACGGCTCACCAAGTGGCACATCGTACTGGGTGGATACCGTCGTTTGAGAGGTATCGTCGGCCTTGGAGTCCGATGTAGACGGCCGGGACGATTGCGCTTTGGCTTCTTCCTTCCGTCGTTCCAAAAAGCTGCGAGTACGGTTGAGCCTTGGCGGGAGCGGGCATGATCCAAGCATAGTCATCCATTCGTTGACTGCCTCTGCATCATCTGACTTCAATGCCAGGAGCTCGTGCCATTCCTGTCCGATCCCGGAAGGGCCACGGATCATGACCACGAGATCGACATCATCTTCACCTCTGCGAGCTGATATAGACGCGAGCTCTACAGGTGGGAACAATAGCCACTTGTCTTCTGCATCAATCTCGCAGATCAGGACGTCACCTCCCGACGAGGTGCCCGGTGGATTGTCGCGGAAGATCAACTCGACCTGGCAATCGAGTCTCTGACCGGTCGAGTGCCAGAGTGTAAGGTCAAAGCCGTCTCTTGCCCGGACTTTCCTCGACTTATTGAGAGACATCCCGGTCAAGGCGCCCAGGGTGCGAATATTTCGAGTCCTTGATGCATCAAGCGCAGAAGCCGCTTCATCCTCGAGCCTGGCCTGCTCCTCACGATGACGCTGTCGAGCTGACGCGGTCAGATCTGCGAAACCTTGTGCAACTTCGAGTGCAATGGTCTTGTCGTATCCCACCTTGATGCTTTCGAAGGTCTTTGCCAAATTCTTGACGCGGACCAGTGGCCGCTTCAACAGAAACGCAACATCCGCTTTCTCTCCCGTAGCATCGACCACGTCTCCATCAGCATCTCGCGCCATACCCGGATCAACCGTTTCTTGACCATCATTCAAGGGTTCCAGGTTCACAACTACATCATGAAAACCCAATCTCCATGCTTTGATATAGTCTCCGTAAGCTCTCTGAGCATTCAAAGCCCACGCCAACAATGCGTCGATGTTTTGTATCGGTATGCGACTGTGCAAAGACTTCAAGCGCTCGAGGGCAATGCCCATGTCGATGATCGGTTTCGTAAAGCTGAAATCAGAGGGGTCGGTGACGTTGGTAAAGAGGCCTGCTGCAGCAATTGAGCTTGACTTTGATAGAACGGCCTGGAGGAGTACCGGTACCACTCCGTCCACCAAAGTACGTAGCTCCTTGACATATTTGGCTTCCTCAGCGACTAGACCCTCCAGAATCTGGGCTGCGGGTAGCGGCGGAAGTGCTTTGGCAATCCGGCGTGATCTTGTGCTTCTCCTGTGCATTGGTAAAGAGAGCACTGACATTAGGTCTTCATGGGTTGTTAGCTTGCGTTTCAACCCGGGGCCTTCCAGAGGCGCAAGTCGATCCTCGTCCTCATACGCGGGAGGTGGGAAATCCTTCGAGGCTTCCCCGGAGCTGATGGCCGAGAGCTGGAGTTGGCCCGCCGAAGCAGGTGACTTCTCTCTCTGTCCTGGATGGTCTTCCTGAATGGATGATGATCTCGAGACTTGCTTGACGTCTTCAACCAATACTTGGCGGGTTGATGTTTCCGATTTTTGCCTCCGTCCAGTTCTCCCGGCCACTCGCCGCCTCAAAGCGCTAGGTGACCCATCGGCACCATGTTGAGCGGGCCTCGAAGCTGACACATGGTCTTGTTGATGGCGCTCACTGCTGTCGAGCCTCGGACTGGACTCAGCAGAAATGGGATCTGAACCTACTTTCCCATCCCGAGCTCGGTAGGTGGTGACGGACTCCCATATCTTATTCGGATCGGGCGGAGAATGCACGCTGCTTGGCCTTGTACGCCGCGAGCCTCGTTTGAGCGGCTTGGGAACTTCGACCTCGGGCAATGCGGCCCCTGGTTGTATGTCGTGCTCAACGAAGGGATCAGGCTGTTCTTCCAACCAAGCCTGAATGCTGGGAATGCGATTCGAGACTGGAGGGGTATCAGTCTTGTTGAAAATCTCTCTGGTCTTGTCTAAAATGCGTCCCCCTTTTGTACTTCTCTTAGAATTTCGTACGCTAGGTTGGCCCAGAGTGTCGGCATATTTGCTGGGAGATATCGTGTGAGATAAATCGTCATTCATCATGAACGAGTGCTCTGATAAATGCTCGTCGATTTCTGGTGATGGCTCAGGGGAGCGACCGGAAGTCTCTGGTGTCGTTGCGAGCCGCTCGGCAAGTTCTTGGTCAATATATGCATTAAGGTCCTTGGGGGCATCATGTGCGGATACGCGGTCGAGATCGGCAGCATTGTCCTTGGACAGTCTGTCACGTCGTCTGCGCTCTCTTTTGGCCTCTCGCTCTTCTCGACGCTTGGTTGATGTGTAGGTCATGTCGTAGTGAGGCGTGACGATGTCTTTTTGTCGGACTGTTCTTGGAGACCCCGGAGACGATCCCATTTTGGCTTTCCAATGGTCATCGCTTATGACGCGCTTTCGTGGTGCGCTTGAGCTACGTGAACCTCTGTCCTTGGATGGAGCGTCGACCTCTGGTACAGTCCATCTGCTTTGTCGTATAGGAACGGATTTCGGTGGTTCTGCGACGGGTGTCGTAGCTCGTGAAGCTTCGGCGCTGGCATTGGAGCGTGGAATAGAGCGAACACTCAAAGCGTCCGGGTCAAGAGCGTTTGCTGCACCCTGTGCTTGCCATTGACGAATGCGATCCTGGACGGAGGAGGATTCATACATAGTATGCGGTCTTGTCTTGGGAGGGGCGGCCGCGGTCTCTTGAGTACGGGCAGCATCACGACGTGCTGTAGAGGTCCGGCGAGGTGTGCGCGGGGTTTCTGGCATTGGTCACAGTACTGTGGAGGGCGACGTTCGGAACTCAGTCGCTTGTAGTGCTGAAAGTGGGATGTTTGCACCCAGCGTGTTCAGTCGAGATGAGTTTCGTCATGGATGAGCTGATTGCGTGAGCTGGGTGGAATGGTTCCGGAGCGAGAAGTGTCTGCGACAGTGTGACTTGACACCTGCAAGGACGAGCAAACACAAGCCGCAGATGCAAGGCTGCGCATAGACAGGTTCACGTTGGGCGGCCGCGTGCATCCGATCTGTCGGGTGTTGCGCAAGCTCGCTTAGCCAAGATTTGGTCACCACGGCAACGCATTGTCCCGCTATACCGGGAATTCCTGCGAGCGGCGGTACTATTGTGGACCCTATCCAGGCGATGACTGAATGAAGTGTGCAAGTAATCATGCAAAATGAGAGAAAAACTTGCTCAAGCATTTTAGAAGGGCAATGGATTGTGGTGTTGTGGCCGATGGTGCAGTGTGGTCTCAAAGCCCAAACATATGCAGCGCAGAGCGGCCATGCCAAGCTGTGACGCGCCTGCCAGAAGCGGTTGCCCTTGCAGCTGCAGGAACGAAGATCGGTACCGCCTTCAGATGGCGATACGCGATGCTGCCAATTGTAGATCAGACTCAGCCATGTGGCTGGAAAGCTCAAGGCTACGTCGTTGTCGATCGTATGGCTCGAAAGAGTACAAGTGCTTCCCTCCACGTCCGACCTATTCATGCTTTCCCCCATCTAGCGACTGGGTGTCTAGGGTTTGACACTACTAGGCCCGAGAGGGTTTTTCGAAATGTGACCGTTGGAGTGCATAGACTGAGCCATGCGATCCAAGGCACTTAAAGCCTTCGCAACGACAAACACGCTCTGAAAGAGTAGGACTGAGAGGGTGGTTAGAGCAGCCCAGACTTGGAAATTGGAGGGCGAACTCACGAGTGGGCACGACTATCCAGATGAAATTCATGCCGAAGAAGTACACCCAGAAGTAGTAAGCCTCAGGTCGGCAGTGATTGACGCCTCGCCAGTACTGGTCCAGGGTTGCCGTTGCGTAGTAGAGCAGATCGGAATAGACATGGCCCATACAGAGCATTATCTGAACAGGGTGCCTGTAGGGGCTCGATGTTCCAATAAAGTAGACCATGAGCCAGGACAGCCCTCCCAGAATGGCCACGCTCATGCCTTCCGCAGAGAGGACGAATATATCTGATGTCAGATACCTTGAATCCGATCGAGCGTACTCCTTCCACAGCTGGCCGAACAGGTCCTGCATCTGACCTATGTGACTATGGGTGCTCACGAAATAGCCCTCAAAGAAGACATGAAGGCAGCCACCTGTATGATACATCAGTTTGACGTGCTTATTCTGGGAGAGCGTTCCTTACACAATACGAACCACAGCAGAATGATTTTGTCCAAGCTCTTCAGAGAAGGGTTGTATCTTGATGCCATCCACCACGCAACCCCAAATATCGGTATCCATATTGCCGAGAAGCTGATGAGCAGTTCTGCAGTGTCTTTATCGTTGGGGACGAAATTGGGGATCGCAATACTAGGAGGAGAGTACGGGTGCGATGGAAGCGGGTCACTCGTGGCGGCCGACTGCCCGGACAGCTTTCGGAGAAGATCCATGGCTAAGTAGTCAGTGAAGAGTTAATGAGTCAAGAAAATGGACACCGCGCCCATAGACGTCGAGAACGCATCACACAACGCCGACGAAGATGAAGCTGAACGCGTATCAGCCTAGCAGTGGCACGATGCTCACCATTGTATCACGAACGCGCGAACTGCCAAATGCTTGGCAGCAACTGCCGGTTGACGACTTCCTGGGTAGCTACCTACCTAGGTAGCAACGTTCGTCGCTTAGGTCCTGACGGCCTTCTTACCTGACTGCTCATATATAGCGCCGTTGAACGACGTGAAATGTTGAGGCAGTGCTGAAGACGTCAAGAGAGCCGGCTCGACAGTAGAAGCATCGCCCTGCGTCCGCCAACGAAAAACATGTGCGTGCCTCGGGAGAGTATTGGCTGTCGTCAGCTCCTTCGTCGGCGGGGACCGCGTGGGGCGCGGGTGGGATGCGTCTGGTTGGCAAAGAAACTCGTCCTGAACCTTGCTCGCAGCTGCATTCAAGCCCTGTCCGCAATTTTCCCCGTTCGTTGCTATCATTGGCAACATCGATGCTCCAGGTGGTGACCAAAAACCTTTCTGCTCAGCATTCTCCAGCATGGCAAAATACTACCACGCCTAGGTCCCAGATCTTCTCGCTTGGGCGCCTTTTATCGGCGAAAAAGCCTTTTCACGGCTATCGGTCCTATTCATGACTGGCTACCCGGGAACAATGACGATGTTGTTGGAGCTTTGGTCCTCCTGAATCGTGTCTCTTCGTCAGGAGGATAATTCCGGAGAACCACACGAGCCCAGGGTACTCGAGCTGCATCTACCGCTGTCTTTGCTATATAAACACGGCCTGCCCCCGTATACCCGGCCCTTCTCTTTGAAGCTCCTGCCGGGGTTTGTTCAGCCCGTATATTATTCAGAGGTTGATCGTCGTGAACCACGACCTGCTTCTTTGTCCTGAGAAGCCATCACTACTCCCTTTCCACATATTTTTCCGTCTAGCACTTTGACTGGCTGTACAATTGCCGTCAGCTTGCTAGCAGGCGTGAAATTGGAAAGGACTGCCACAATGGCGAAACCCATCTTTTGTACCACCCACCCAAGGGCGTGTAGCACCGCCTTCGAGAGAGCATGTATGCAAGATCCACAACAGGCCTCATTTCTGACCGCATCAAGGTGTTCATGACCAGACAAGATCTGGCATGCGTCCATGAGCCGTTCGGCGACGCCTTCTACTATGGGTATGCTTGATTGTGCGCTCCTGGTCCGGAACGCCAGTCTAATAGACCCCCCCAGCCCGGAGCGTCTGAGCTCCAGATTCGAGATTGATGAGACCACTCGTAATGAAAGTGGCTTCTCGGATTCCACCTACCAGACTATCTTCGACCGCTTAGAGCGTGAGGGCGAGGATGTGAGAACCCCCATCTCCTGCACAGTACAGCCTTAGCGTGGCTTGCACCATCGCTGACCAATGGCACTGCACTGCTCCTGCGAAGCCCATTCGAGCTTCTGCTGACACTTACAAGGGCAAACGAGTCTTTATCAAAGACATTACTTACTACTTAGTGCCACCCGAGGGTATCCCACCCCAGATTGCCCCCTCGGTCTCCTTCAAGAGACGCGGCATTGGGACATCCCGCCCTTCCACGCCCGGGTCGAACGGGGCCAGCACCAACGGTACTAATGGCACTAACGGCCATTCCAATGGAACACCACCCCGCTCACCCCCCTTCCCGTATTACCACATGGAGCCCGACAACCCGACTGTGGTGCCCCTGCATCTTCTGGAGCAGTTCCAGTGGGCCTTCCTGATCCGTGACCCGCACTCAAGCATCCCATCGTACTACAGATGCACCATCCCCCCTCTCCAAGAGATGACGGGCTTCAATGACTTCTACCCGAACGAAGCGGGTTACATTGAGCTTCGTAAGATGTTCGACTTTCTCCGCGCTTCCGGCCAGGTCGGACCGAAGTTGGCAGGCCAGGACAAGGAGGTCAACGGCATTGGTGGCGCGGTCAAGCCCAAGGCCAACAACATTGACATCTGCCTCGTGGACGCCGACGACCTCCTGGACAACCCTGAGGCTGTGGTCAAGGGCTTCTGTGAAGCCGTTGGTCTCGACTACTCGCCCCGCATGCTCAACTGGGACAACGAAGAGGACCAGCGCCGTGCTGAGCAAGCGTTTGAGAAGTGGAGAGGCTTCCATGAGGATGCTCTCGAATCCAAGGACTTGAAGCCCAGGAAGCACGTGAGTACTCAACCACTGGACATAGTGATGCCAGATTCCTGATCGATTCCAGAAGAAACACGCGAAGACCGAAGAACAATGGGACGCCGAATGGAAGGAAAAATATGGCGAGGAGGCCGCCAAAATGATCCGACAGACGGTCGATGAGAACATGGAGCATTACCATTATCTGAAGCAATTCGCTCTCAAGGTCTGAATGCCTTGATCCTGTCGAACGCAGACGTTGGGAAGAAATGATCGCGTCAAATTTCAGGTTTCGGCACTTCCTTTGGCTCGGACGACACAATAATATGGACGCTCTTTCATCAATTCGGATTAGGATGCAAACGCCTAGCTGCCTGATTACCAGGGTTCAGACAGCAGGAGCGAGATACGGCAACATGTCGTGGCAGGGTTCAGAATGATCCTTTCCCACAAGTCCTTGAGTAGTGAATACTAGCTTCTTCTATGCAGCACGTTACATTTCGCCGACAAGGCAACTATTCGGCCTCGGGGACTAGTGGCCTTGGGTCAAGCGCTTCACCGCCTGAAAAAACGATCGCTAGCAGCCTCCGAATCCGAGTCGCGTAGCCTGTGATGTCATGGTCGTAGCCCCTAAAACCAGCTGGATTGGGGAAGGCTCTGGAAGGCTCTGGAACTCGCGGGGCGCCTCTGGTTGGTTCCAGGCTGCCCTCGCACGAGCGACTTGCAACGACATCAGATCATGTCACCTTGTTTCTGCTGCCCAATACCTGCTTGCCGCGTCGTCGACAACGTATTTCTTTTCTTCACCTCTCGACACTTTCTTTCTTGTTCATCACTCCTCCAATACACGCTTTACTGAACTGCCCACAGGTTCTCAACTCGCCCGGTCTGCAAACCGCAGCACACCGCGACCATGAGCAATCAACCACAGTTCACCGACAAAGCCCACCAGGCTCTGTCGGATGCGGCTAAGCTGGCCGCGCAGAATGATCATATTCAAATCATGCCACTGCACTTGGCAGTAGCTCTATACGACCCTCCTGCAGACGAGTCCAAGGATCAGCAACAAACGATGAACGCCTCGCATTCCCACACCTCCGCGCCCCTCTTCCGACAGGTTATCGAACGGGCTCATGGCGATCCTCAGCTCATGGACCGAGCTCTTAAGAAGGCGATGGTGCGGTTACCTCGTCAAGATCCCCCGCCTGAGCATATCCCGATGTCTCCATCATTGAACAAGGTTATCAAGTCCGCTCAGGAGTTGCAGAGAACACAGAAAGATACCTATGTTGCCATGGATCATTTGATTACCGCACTTGCCCAAGATCCAAAGATCCAGGAAGCTCTGAGAGATGCCAACATTCTCAACACCAAGCTCATCGATACCGCTATTCAACAAATCAGAGGCACCAAGCGGGTGGATTCCAAAAACGCCGATGCCGAAGAAGAGAACGAAAACCTCAAAAAGTTCACCATAGATATGACCTCCATGGCCCGGGAAGGCAAAATGGACCCGGTCATTGGACGAGAGGAAGAAATCAGACGAGTCATCAGAATCCTTTCCAGACGGACCAAGAACAATCCTGTCCTGATTGGAGAGCCAGGTGTTGGTAAGACTACAGTTATCGAAGGCCTTGCGCAGCGGATCATCAATGCTGATGTTCCCGCCAACCTGGCCGCCTGCAGGCTACTGTCCCTCGACGTAGGTTCTCTGGTGGCCGGCAGCAAATACCGTGGTGAGTTTGAAGAGCGAATGAAGGGCGTCTTGAAAGAGATCGAACAATCTACGGAAATGATCGTCCTGTTCGTCGACGAGATCCACCTCCTAATGGGCGCCGGCGCCAGTGGTGAGGGCGGCATGGATGCTGCTAACCTGCTCAAGCCCATGCTTGCCCGTGGCCAACTTCACTGCATCGGTGCGACGACCCTTGCCGAATACAGGAAATACATCGAAAAAGATGCCGCTTTCGAGCGTCGTTTCCAGCAGGTTTTGGTCAAGGAACCTTCCGTGGCAGAGACCGTCTCTATCTTGCGTGGTCTGAAAGAACGCTACGAAGTGCACCACGGTGTCACTATCCTCGATGGTGCTATCGTTGCTGCTGCATCTTTGGCCGCTCGATACATCACCACACGGCGGCTACCTGATTCGGCCGTTGATCTCATCGATGAGGCTGCAGCTGATGTTCGAGTCATTCGGGAATCCCAGCCAGAAGCTCTCGATAACATGGAGCGGAGACTACGACAGCTCGACATCGAGATCCATGCTCTTCAGCGCGAGACCGACCCCAACTCCGTACAGCGTCTCGACGAGGCCAAGAAGGAAGCCGCTAATGTCAAGGAAGAGCTCGAGCCTCTCAGAGAGCATTACGAACAAGAAAAAGAGCGCTCTCGTGAATTGCAAGAAGCCAAGATGAAGCTTGACCAGCTCAAGGTGAAGAGAGAAGAAGCTGAGCGATCAAACGACATTCAAACCGCCTCAGATCTTGCCTACTATGCTATTCCGGACGTCATTGCTCTCATCAAGCGTCTGGAAAACCAAAAGGCACAGGCGGCCGCTGAGCAGCACGAACGTATGGGTGGCCTTGGAGAAGTGGCTGTCACCGACGCCGTTGGGCCAGATCAGATCAATGCTATCGTGGCCCGCCAAACAGGCATTCCCATAACCCGCCTTCGGGCTTCCGAGAGGGAAAAGATCCTCCACATGGAGTCACAGCTCCAAAGAATCGTCGTCGGTCAGCGAGAAGCTGTCAAATCCGTCTCGAACGCTATCCGGCTACAACGCTCCGGCCTCGGCAACCCTAATCAACCACCTTCCTTCCTCTTCTGCGGCCCGTCCGGCACAGGTAAGACTCTTCTCACCAAAGCTCTGGCCGAGTTTTTGTTCGACGACCCTAAAGCAATGATCCGGTTCGACATGTCAGAGTACCAGGAGCGTCACTCCCTCTCACGCATGATTGGTGCGCCTCCAGGCTATGTGGGTCATGACTCAGGCGGTCAGCTGACGGAAAACCTGCGCCGGCGGCCCTTTTCCATTCTCCTCTTTGACGAGGTTGAAAAGGCTGCCAAGGAGGTTCTCACTGTCCTCCTTCAGCTCATGGATGACGGACGTATCACGGACGGGCAAGGGCGTGTGGTTGACGCGCGCAACTGCATCGTCGTTATGACGTCTAATCTCGGTGCCGAGTACTTGGCACGTAACAACGCGACAGATGGACGCATCGATCCTACAACGCAGGAGCTGGTCATGAATGCGCTCCGCAACTACTTCCTTCCCGAATTCCTGAACAGAATCAGCAGCATTGTCATCTTCAACCGACTCACACGGCGCGAGATCCGGAAGATCGTCGACCTCCGCCTACAAGAAATCCAGAAGCGTCTCGAGTCCAACGACAAGAAGATCTTGATCGACTGCTCCGAAGACGTTAAAGACTACCTCGGCGCCGCAGGCTACTCGCCCGCCTACGGTGCGCGACCCCTACAGCGTCTCCTGGAAAAGGAGATCCTGAACCGCCTTGCAGTGCTGCTACTACGCGGCAGCATCAAGGACGGCGAGGTGGCGCGCGTGCGGCTCGAGGACGGCAAGGTTGTCGTGGTGCCGAACCACAAGGACAGCGATCTCGAGGACGAAGATGACATGATGGACGAGGACGATGCCCTATACGAGCTGGAGGAAACTAATGGTAAGGCCGACCCCGGCGCCATGGACCTCTACGAATAGGATCTGTAAGAGGATGATGGGTGGGATGAATATCTAAACGGCGAAGAAGGAAAAAAAAAGAGCGAAAAAGAAACGACTTCTTATGACTTGACGGGTTTTATGCATTAATGAAAGCAAATGCGCAAATGCGCAAATGCACATGCGAGAGCGTGGCCTAATCAATCGCATGTTGAGCACGAAAGGTGTATTTGGCGCGTCTGTCTGTCTGGCTGGCTGGCTGGCTGGCTGGCTGGAGGGGGCTTGAAAGGGTCTGTCTAATGGACTCTGAAGACAGCGTGGAAAGGAATAGAGGGTCTACATCGGACGTATCTGGTTTCGATAGATTGGTCGTGCTTTAGCAGCACGTTCGAGAGGCGCGAAATGAAAAGGACTTGAAAAAGTTGTTCCCACTAGATCTACTTCTTGTGCATAGGTATTTGGCGGTGGGTTACGTGACCATCAATCAGTTGACCTCGTGCTTGTCCTATTGTTATTTCATAGAGACCGCTCAAGCGCTTTTGAGCAATACTATATGTCGTGACAAGAGACCTTCCCGCATGCATTATCTCGTTGAGTAGAGCATGTGTCTGAAACCTTCCGCAGCCCTACCTTTTAGTATTCCCATCGGGTTGCTCCACCTCTTCTTGTGTTTTCCCGCCAACGACTCCTCTACACTGATAGTGTTCTGCATCTTCTCGACTTCTTCTGGATAAAAGGCCTGTGCCGAATCGTCCGGGCCGATAGGAAGCGATGTGACTTGCACCGGTTGCTTATGCAAAACGCCTGTCCTGTGGATGCCATCGTCTTTCGGGGTAGATGGAATGGTGTGCATCGGCATCGAGTCTCCAATCATGCGATTGACAACGGTGTCCATGCTGTCGAGTTCGGGAACGTCATGCGATGTCTTTCGCTTATGCCTCGATGTTGGCCGCTCATCGACGCTGTCCCTCCAGATCTCGAAGGTGGGCATCCGGTCCATACCCCTGGAAACTGACAAAGTTTCGTAAGACTTCTTGGAGGAGACCGTCAAGCTTGCTGACCGCCTTGAAAATGATCCTTGGATTGATGCTAAGCTGAGCTTCCGGGCCAATGACCCTGCAGACGCTCTTATGATCTGTCCGCCTCGGCTCCCTATCATACCTGGATATGGCAACTTGTCCTTAGTCCAGATATCATTCAGCAGAGACTCCAATCTGGTACGCTCGGATCGCTTTGGAGCTAGAATAACTATACGATTGGAGGTCATGTGCGATTGAGAACGGTTCACTGAAGTCGTTGAGGGTTGCCGAAACTCATGGAGCTCCTCGGGATTGTGAGTATTGCGAATAATGACTTGCGAGATGCTTGTGCGGCTGCCAACCGTTGCGGCTCTTTGGACCGAGAGTCTGCGGGCAAGTGTGCCCTGGCGGCCGTAGATCACGCCTACAGACCTAAGGTCTAGGGCAACTGAGCTGGGAAAGTTCTTCGGCATAGACCGTCCACCAGTCGCATCCGCAAGTTCACCACGCAGGCCTCGTTTCCACTGTTCTTCTTCCACCGCGGAAGATGCAGACAGTAGAAATTCGTTCAATCTGCCTTCAACTGCAAAGGAGAGCTTCCAGGTATGGAAGGCCGCTGGCGATTGTAGACCTTTGCCATCGCTTGCCGAATCGATCTTGAGATCATGGAGATTGATGAAAGCAACAATGTCGAATCTTTGGCTCGCAGTTACATGAAAAGCAATGAGCAGATGCTGTCGAAATAAGACACACAGAGCGTAGGTCCCAGTAATTCCATGTTTCGTCTGATACGCGACATGGAGCACGCCACACAAGCTGGCGTTGCCCAACAGTCTGAAATCTTCTTGCGTCAAAGTCGTGCGCTCAAATATCAGTCTCGATCGCAGGGACCACCGTCTGTGGATCTGTAGGCGGATCTCGGGGTTGACAGTTGCATTATTGACGGACTCGACGATGTCACGTAGGCATTGGAGAACGATCTCGAGCTCTGCATGCACAGATGGATCATCAGAGCTTGGAGTGTAGGCAAGCAGTTCATCGAATAGTAAAGGGTACTTGCAAATCCTTTGAATGGGTTTGATCAGGAGATCGCCAACAGTGAGAGCCTTTCGGCCGTTCTCAGCTCTCTTGTCAAGAGCAACCAAAGACCTTGCGAGAGATTCCATACCTGACTCGTAAGTCGACCACAAGTTTGGCAGATGGCGCTGAAGGTCGTGAGCAATGATCTCGTGATTAGCACAGTACTCTTCGTAAGCAAAGAAGCTCGCCATTGCGCTTCGATAGATGTCGATGATTTCAGTGAGGTCCACCGGATCGGTGCCCAGAAAGCGAGCACGGGTGCGTGGCGGCGCATTTGTAGAGTCCAGAGAGCTTCTAGCATGACGGCGACCGGAAGACGGTCGATAAACTATGTGAGAGTCAAGACTTCTCCAGCGAAGATGTCTTGGGGAGCCAAGGCTCTGTGGTGACAAGGTGTCCGCCCATTTTCTTGCGGCTGCTTTGTAGGCTGCACCATGTAGTTTCTCGACTAGTCCTTCGTGGAGGTGCAGAAGGTCGAGTACATTCTTCTGGACAAGATTTCGAACACGACTGGGAAGAGAGGTAGCTGATGCCAGTAATGTCGACATGAGATAGACGAGTGCCTTCAGATCGGCCACGTAGCTTTCCTCGGTAGTGAGGATCTCCTCAAAAATCCGCCGTCGCTTGACACTCCTCCAAAGAGCACTTTCGTCCATGGATGATACTGTGGCTGGCCGGTCACTATCCGAAGAGAAGCGGGAGTGACTTCCAAACAAGAAGCGGCTCTCACTGGATCGGCCATGCTTGAGCCGCTTAGATAGCATGCTGAAGCTGATGTTGCTGAAGCTGGCGGTCTTGATGGTATGCACGAAGCCAGACGAGCTAGTGGATTGGCGAGTGTGGAGCTGCATAGGAGATCGGGCCGGAGTCTGGCTGCCACCGCTAGAGGCGGAGTGCATAACCTTGTGGTGGCGGACAGGCGTCTGTGGCGAGGGCTTCGCAGGGATTGTATTTTGCGATGAGACTTGAGGAGCAGACATCTCAGGTGCAGTATCCTGATATGGAATGGATGTAGACTCGCTGGACTCCTTCACACCTGACTGCGGTCTAGGTGGGAGGTTGTTGGCTGCAATAACTCTACTGCTCTTGTACCTTTCTAGATCCTCCAGTGCGTTGCGTAGCAGCTCATCTTTTCTTGAAGTATCGTCGAGATGTCGACCGCCATCGGCCTGTATATGTCGAACGGGAGCCACAGATGAGGTGCTGGGTCTCGATGCCAGGATATGATGGACGGGCTTGTGTGGGACGCAGGTGCTTGTTCCGGGTCGGTCGCCATTGATCGACGGGACGCGGGACTGCGGCTGGCTGAAGACCCCTTTGAGAGGCGTGGGAGCGATGTTCTCGTTGTTGTATGGCAGAGGAGCCGAAGCTACCGACAGAATTGATGCGGGTGAGACTTGTCTCGGTCGCTGTTGGCTAGGATTGTTGAACGAGCTGCCAGAGGCTGCGGGTGATCTCTGCTGTGGGTCAACATCTTGGATAGAGTAGGGCTTGTCATCGAAGGCATTTTGGAAAGGATGTGAGACAATAGAAGGCAGAAGCTGGGTAGTGGTCATGGTTAGTGATGAGACAGAAAGTCTGAATGGCGAGGCGCCAGAATTATAACAATGGAAGAGATCAAGGACCAATGTGGAAGCCAAGAAGCAAAAGCACACTTCGTCCACCCAAAAGACCAAGACAACAAGTTCTGAATAATCCTCCAAGATGAAGTTATGGTCGGCTAATGAAAGGGGCACAGAGCTGCTGGCTGGGATTGAGATTGTGGGTGTGTGACAGCCGTCTTTGAAATTTCACCAGCCATGGCAGGCGCCCCTCAGCGTCTGTGACAGTGATGTAGTTCCGACTTACTGTTCACGGTTCGTGCCTGCCGCATGATTGAGTACAGTATGTGAGTGGAGGACTGTGACTGTAGAGGGGAGAAGGGAGGAATGAACAAAGGAAGGAGGGGATAGTTCACGAGCTTGAAAGTCTCGCTCACTTCCAAGATGGGCCTAGTGCCATATAGCAAACAAGGACAAGGCTGAGCAGATGTAGTAGAGTGAGGCCACTGTTGACGACGGAAGGACTCTTTCCTGTTACTTCCTCAGCACCTGGTATATAAAGAGAGCCAAAGAATCAGAGGAACCACTCTCTGAAGGAGGTTGGTAGTGGTGAAGAGAGATATGGCGGCAAGAAGGGTTGTGCATTGCAATGCAGTCCTCTCCTCCTGCCTACTCCAAGGCCGGTCAACCACTAGTCAATGGTGTAGTAACGCATCGGAACACGTGGACACACCACTCACTCGCCCTGCACCTCAACAGACAACCCGTGAAGTCTTATTGCTTGGCGATGCGGCGTTGCCTGCGTTGTCATTGCACCTCACGGTTTAGCGACCTGTCTGCCGCGCGCCCACCTCCATCCCCGCACACCAACAAGATGGTCTGCCAACCCGATTATGCAGCTCTGACTCCTGATCGCCATACTCAAGCTCAATCAGATAGCGGCGGAAATGCGAAACCTTTGAAGAAGAAGCGCAAGAAGCAACCCGCCTCCAAGTACAAGCCACCCGCAAGCTTGTTCAAGGCTCTGCAGAGTAAGGCAAGTCTCGACACAGTCCCCGACAACGACAACGACAACGACGGAAACACCGCTTCACCCAACACCATTGTCGATCGTGCTCGCTCGACTCCGTCCGAGGTCTTCGTCTTTGACAACAAGAAAGCCTACGGCAAGGCCCGCGCACTCTTCTCTGTCGGCTACTCTTCTGCGGGTGCCGAGAAGCCAGAAGATGCCAACGTCAAAGCCACGCTCCGCTGGAACGAGCTCGTGTCTCTCCTCACGTCTGCGCCGATCTCATGCGAGTTTCTACCCATGAAAGGTGTGGCCGTCAAGGTGTTTCGCCCGGCAAGAAATGGTCTCGAGGCCCGCAGGGCCACTCTCCACAAGCTACACGGTCGCAATCCCCGCTGCGAGCGAGAGGTCATCGAAAATTACGCCACAACGTTCAAGCTGGCTTTTGGCTGGCAGAAGGACAGTTTCGTTCTGGGTAAGAGTGTTGAGGGCGCAGATACGGCGAACCCTGAAGCCAAATCCTCGGACGAGGATAGATTGGGAGATCCTCTGCCAATCGATGTTGACAGCATTTGACGTGTTGTCGTGGATGATTGGTACGGTTGAGAGACCATAGTGTGTCACTTGACTGTCTCGGTGGCCTCTCTCGCCCGAGTGCCGAGCTCGAGAAGCTGTGTCCACCGCTTTACGCACATGGCGTGCCGCTCTCGGGCTTCCTTTGTCTTGATCTCCTGGACTTCAGCATCGCTAAGATCGTGCACATCGTGAGAACGCTGGTTTCGGATGGCAGAGTCGCTGTCACCCAAGATCTGCAGCACCTCGGCCATAGACATTGTAGACAGGCCTTTCAAAGATACTCGAGCGTCTTTCTCCACTCTTGCAATCCAGCTCGCACAAATTAGCCTGTGCGCCGCGACCAAACCTTGCCTCTTTCTCTTGAGGATCTTCTTCTCGCTGACTTGGTGTTTGCCTATGGTCTCATCTGCTTCGGGATCGTAGTTGCCTTCAAGCATGCTTTCCCACTGATTCTGACTCAGCACTGACAGCCAGCCAACAACTTCAGTTCGCCAGCAAACACCATCCTTAGTCAACCAGTAGTCATTCAGGTAGCCGTGATGCTCCAAGAGCCCCCTCTGCTTCTCGTCAAGCCCGGCAAGGACAAGTTTGTCAATCCTGATCGCATCGTAAGAAAGCTCATCGAGCAGAAACCCGTATTCTGTCCACAAGACATCATTAACGTGGTGACCGTAGTTGAACAGGATCTCCTCGCCAACTTCATGTGCGCGATCTGCTACCGTGAAATAGCCACTCCTATCATACTTGGTCTTGACGCTTGGTGTTGCGGCATGATTGAAGAGATCCATTCCAGGGCACAGAGCCATTGCTTCGTTCGGATCCGAAGGCCGCTTCGTTCCTGGTGTAGTGTAGGAGAAGCATCGCGTGTTGACACACAACCAAGCGTGAATGAAGCGATAGCGACTTGGCGAATAGGGATCTTGCAGCTGATGGTAGACCTCAGAATCCAAGATTGGTTTGAGTGAGCTTACGTGTGCTCGAAATTTGGACAATTGGGCCGAGACTAGCGTGGTTGACCCACAACCGTCCATCGTGGAGTCGTTAAAAGAGAGATAGCTGCCTATTAGTGGCGGTGGAATAGGACTAAAACCACTACTTTCAGAAGGCGGTGCTTCAGAGTCGAGTTTTTGCGAGGAAAGATTCCCAACACCAGTACGGGACAATGGATTCCAGGTCATTGGCATGCTGGCTGTGAAATCCGACAGTTTCGGCCAGGTAGCCATCCATGGCGCTAGGCTCCGGTGCTGTTCATCGTCCCCGAATGCGAAATAAGCCGCGAGAAGAGCATGAACGGGAATGCTCTTGCGGGCATGAGCGTTGGCGAAGCTATTTGGGACACGTCGCGTGGTGAAGAGAGTCGCAGTTGGCACGTGGATCAGTCTCTCGCCCTTGATGAGGCGGCCAGTAGCATAGACGCCAAGCCCACGGCCTTCGACTCGTTTCGGACATATCTTAGGGTTGATATAGACTTGTCGCTCTTGGCAGTATCGGAGAAGTTCTGGGACAGGGTCCGCGTCTAGGTTCTCGGTAACATTCATGGCGATCGTGGGACGTCAAGATGATCGACTAGCTGGGTTGAATTGAAGGGTGAGTATTCAGAGATGTTTGGTTAGCTACGAAATTGGAGCGAAAACGCCATGCCATCGAAGGTTCCCGAGCATTGAATCATGGTAGGCACATCCATCTCGGTTTGGCTCAAGTGGCCTGTCGGCGGCACGAAAAGAAAGGGCACGCGTTTGCAGAGTCTGAAGAGGGAGAGATGAGGTGAGTTGAGGTCCAAGTTGCTGAGAAGATGGAACGAAGGTCAACAATGCTCCACTGGGGTCTCTGGCCAATCAGAGCTCACCGCGAGTCTCTCGAAAGGGGGGTAGCCTTGCGCCTGCCTTCTAACACATTTATTCCACTCCCTCCAAGCCCATCATATGACTCGAGCAATATGGTCCGCTCGTTCCTCACTAATGATATACGCAGCTCAGGCTGCCGTTTGACGCCCTTCCCCATTTTGGCTCATGCTGCCTACAGAATCGAACAACGGTACATCCAATCTGCTTCGGACGGAGCCTGGGCCAGTACCAGGACCGCCTTCTCACTTGATCATAGATCCGAGCACGCCATCATCACAAGAAGTGTAACATGCAGATCGTTCTTCCAAATCCTCTTTATACAACCTTACATCGTAGCAATAGCAGCTTAGCCAGTTGGTCAATTATGTACGTTCATTGACACGCTGGAGTGCGCCCGAAACGCCTTGCTCGCTTGCCCATCATAGTCTCGATAATCCATCAACTCCAACAAGGATAAACCAAAAAAGGATCAAACATTCCACAGACCAAGCGTCTCAAAAAGCAACAGGAACTGATGGTTCGCCCCTACTTCGTATCATCCACAAAGACGGGCATCTGCCAATCCCAATCCCCAGGGCGCACCGTCGCACTCATGGTAATCTCCTCTTCACTCTCGTAACCATCGGCCTTACTGCCCGGCAGCTCCGCCACCGATCCCGGCGCCTGTTTCACGCTGCTCTCTCGCGTACCCGCCCCGTGACGCGACATGGGCGCTCTCGCCGCGCTCGCCGCATTTGGTGCCTTGTCATGTACACCGCCAGGGTTCATCATCCTTTCCGCGACCGTTCGTTGATCGCCACCTTGCGAGGCACCCGCACCGGCAAGTCCGGAAGGCGATGCTGGACCTGCCGCCTGCGCAGAGTTCAAGTCCCGGAAACGGCCTTGCTCGATCATCAACTGTCTCGTGCGTCGACGCTGGTCTTCTTCGCCGGGAATCCCGATCTTGAAAGGCGCCTCCTGCTCCTCACTGCTGCGTGGAATGCCGCCCACGGGGCTGATTCTCTTGTTTGAGAAGGTACCGAGGCCCTCAACAGGTGTGCCGCCGCTTCCTCGGTTCGACGTCGGCGGCGCAAGGTTGTCCGACACCCGTTCATCGTGTTCAGGGGACGTGTTGTGGCGATCCATGGTCGGCGATCGCGAGCGCTTATGTAGTGACACGACATGAGGATCGATGCCGCTTTGGCCAGCGGCCGCAAAGATTGGCGCCCGAGTCGTTGGTGGCAGGTAGCTACCCGTGTTAGAGTGAGTGTTGGCGGACGAATAAGTGCCAGTGTTTTGATGAGAATTGTTCCGAGCGTTCGTGGGCTGTGGAGGGGCGGTGGCGGGATCGTGCCCGATGTGTCGGCCCTGACCCGAGGTGTCAATCCGGAGGTCTGAGGGGCGTGATTCGTAACCTTGTGGTGAGTTGACTGGGTAGCCATGCTGTGAGTACGACCCTTGGCTTCGGAAGGATGGGTTGTAGTTCACATAATCTTGCTCTTGATGTTGAGGAGAGCCGTAGTAGCCGCCTGCTGGAGGAGGACTGCCCGAAAACTGGTCTTGCGGATATCTGGGATCATGGTATCTGGAATTTTGGAACTGTTGCTGAGATTGCAAGTACTGGCCTCGGTCGGGCTGCGCTGAGTTTGACGGCAGTGTCGTAGACCGCTGCGGTGGCTGTGTCTTCTCGGACTTGTCGCTGCGTGAAAATAGATTGCCCATGGCTGAGAATCTCTTCTTCTTCTTACCATCCTGGGGCTTCTCAGCCGTGGAAGCGGGACTCCCCTTCTTTAGTAGGTCGCGAGACATGCGTCTTTTAGACTTGTCCAGGGGTGGTAGCTGGCCGACAACGTCTCTAGACTCGCTGAGACTGCTCTGTCCAGATACGATACTATCTTGCCGACTGTCTGTGGTGTACAAGTTTGGCCGCTTCTCTGGGTCGACGTAATCACTACGCCCACGGTGCTGGGTCTGTGCTGGAGCAGGTGTAGGTTTTGACTTGCCAAAAAGGAAAGCACCAAACGGTGTCTTCTTTACCTTTGGCTGCGCGGAGGCTGCCCCGGGCCACGCACCATCCTGCTGGTGCTGCTGCATGTTCGAGGGATGCTGCGGCACGAATTGCGTTTGCGGGCTCGCTTGAGGCTGAGCGCCGGTTGGTAGTCCATCACGGGAGGGTGGTGAAGATGGCTGTCTTATATACGCCGCTGTTGGCGAGGACGTGCCTCGTTGTCTCGGCTTCGGAGATCGGAACTCTTGGTGATATGGTCCGGGAATACGATATCCACCCTCTTCTGCGAGCGCTTTCTGCTGCTGACAGCGCACAGCCTCGTCTTCTGGATTTTGAACGTTTCTGAGCGGAGCTTCGGAAGAGTACATTTGACTGCGATCGACCGGCTGATCTGATGGCCTGAATACGGGGTGCTCACCTAACAAGTCCGCGCCAAATGGTCTAGAGTACGACTTCGACTGACGATTCTGTTTCGGGACCTGCTCTTGGTGTACATCGTCGACACTGACTTGGGACAAGTCTTTGCTGGCCGGTTGGCCCACCGGACTCATTGGATGCGATGGCGCGTTGCCATTTTGCTGACTTCTTTCGTAAGCGTCCTGCACATTCTGGAAGTCACCAGACCCTTCAAATGAAAAGGGCCGGTTTGACACAGCGACAGGTTCAGTCCGTCTTTGTTCGGTCAAATTCGCCACAGGTACAATCTTCGCGCCGGGGCCGATGCGCTGTTGTTGGCCACTATGCGCAGGGGTCTCTTCATACGAAGGAACGGGGTCGTTCTGGTCTTCTACAGCAGCACGTTCCTGCGCAGCCTCCTCATCTTTCGTGAATGATTTAGACACACCTGTGGCGTCTGGAGCGGTCTCCTCATAGTCTGGCGCACGCTCATCATGCAGTTTCTCATTTCCCGCTGGGGAGATGCTGCGATGCGCAAGGTCCGGTTGGGAGCCATCGGCTGGGCCTGGACTGGCGCTGGACACCGCTGATACACTTGAATGGCGCCTGTCATCTGTTGCTGCAAGGGCTTGAGAGGGTTGAAGCTGAGTTTGACCTTCACCGACTGAGCCATTGTCTGTCAAATCTGATACCGGACGCTCGCGCAGATTTTCGTTTGCGGCCTTGGTTGGCGCTGCCTGATTATCTGTAGTAGGAGTTGTGTCCTCATCAGTAGGATTTTTGGGCTCGTCCCCTGAGCCACTAGGAACTTGCACGACGGGTACTGTTCCAGCAGGCATGGGTTCGATGCTGTCCTTTCGATCTCCGGCTGGCTGGTTGCGCATCGTCGACTCCTGCTGTGCTGTGATAGGTCCAGCCACATTCCTGTCGGTGTGACGAGCCCTGTCATTCATCGATGTCTTCGATTGTTTAGCTGCCACAGGATGTTCCCCGGTTGATGATTCTGCTGTCTCATCGGGATCAGAACCGAACCAGGCATTTCCCTCAATAGGCGAAGAGTGCAAGTCTTGTGCGGGAATTTGAGGGGCATTGAGGAATGTGAAATTTCGTTTTGACTCAGACTCTTCGGCAATTGTGGAGGATGACAGACCACCAGATCTGCGTTTGCTTTGAGGGCTCTGTAGACAAGTTAACATCAAGTTGATTGGAAATCGGACAGAGGGGGAAAAGGCTTTGGATTCTTGCTATCTGATCGTACGATCTCCGCAAACTCGGCTTTGACTGGAACAACTCTTGCCGCGTTGGGCGGATGCCATAAGGCAAGATAGCAAACATTCCATCGCATAGAGCCGAAGTACGGGAGAAGGAAAGGAGATTTAATGTACCTTGTCGCTGGTGCTCGCCGAGCGCAGCTTATCTTTGCCTTTCGCGAACAATCCCTTTGCCGCAACGCCTGCCTTCCCTCCGAAACGGCCAGCAGCAGCCATCAACCGCTTCCCATCCTCCTGCACGATCTTAGAGCCAGTGATGCTAGCCATGGGACGATTCGATGGGAGACGTGAGGTGTTGTAACTAGCACCTGTGTCTTTCCACATACGCCCGTTTGACTGGAAGATGTTCGCATGCTCGGGAACTTCCTCCAAAGAGTGTATCCACTGATCGAGCATACCATCAGATCGGCCATATGCTATTCTGTTGTCTTCAAAGGCTTTGATGCGGTCGTCCTGATCGCTGATGTTCATGATCTCCCGGAACGACTTGAAATCCGTTGGACTAGCAGCAGTAGCTGCTGGGAGCGGCTGGGTAATAGGTTCGTCTGTTCCCAAACTGCTTGCACCTAGTGCTTGAATTGGCTGATCAGTAGTGTGTGTTCCATATGCGTCTGATCTCGGGGCAGCAGTAGGTATAGATGATGAGGTGCCGCTGGCATCTCGCGCAGTCGACTCAAAGGCCTTGATCGTCTCGGGAGACTCAGCAGCCGGGCTAGCAACTGTGGGCGGCGTGGATGACCCTGTCCTAGCTGTGCTACTTACGCCGGCGGTGGGGTCCGGGACTTTCGGGTCCGTCTCCCACGAGAAACGCTGTTCAAGGAATGGGCGCGGAGGACCAGATCCCATCGAGCTTGCAGAATACTGTGGCTGATGACCTGGGCTGGATCTAAGCTGCGGTATGGCAGTGGACACAGGTGACCGCTGACCTGAACCCCCCCCATACATGTCTTCTGATTCTCGCGCGTCTAGCGTGGTGGATGGCTGCTTGTCCACCGCCGGAGACATTGGCAGTGGTTTCGAGACCGCTTCTTCGCTTGGCTGGCCCTCGAAGTTGGAGGACCGGGGGGTCAGGCTTTTCACGATTTCCTGCTGAAGCTCTTCATTATTGCTATGAATGGGCGACTCTCCGAGGGGGCGCACGTTGGGAACCGGTGGTCGTGGGGTCGTTCCGGGATCAATGATCTTGCTTGTCCGTAGTGGAGCGGGGAAGTAATCCGTGTTGGCTGCGGCAGCCTCTGTGTCGGCCGGGGTTTGGTTGCCAACGTCCGATGGCGTGGTATCGTACGAATGGTACGAATGGTTCGACGATTCTGGACGCTGGGGGACTGATCTGGAGGTGGTAGGTGGCTGTGGTTGTGTCGCGGCGAAATCACGCGTGTCTGAACGAGTAGCCTCAGCATGACTGGAAGTGCTTGATTGATCCCACTCATTTTCGCTCTCGTCATCCGAGTTCTCGGGTCGGCGGTCGGTCAGAGCTGGGCCATTGAACGAGCCAGCAAGTGCAGTGCCTGCAGCTGCAGCTGCAGCAAAAGCCGCATTCGCAGGACCTTGGCGCCAGCCTTGGGGGGCTTTTGCGGTTGGAATGCTATCGGTACTATCATATGACTGCTGACCAAGCATAGGAGGTGGTCGAGCTTGCTCTGTTGGTGGTGTTTCGACTCCTGGAGTGCCAGAATAGGATTGCCACCCACCAGGAAGTGATGGACGAAAGCTTTCGAGTCGCTCGTGTGGCGCCGGCCGCGCTTCTTTCGTAGAAGTGTCGGTGGGAGCTACAGAGACTGGAGTTGATCGCCCCGAGTTGTTGTTCTCGTATTTCCCTGTCAAACCCCTGACGGTACCTTTGGGTGGGCTTTCAGCACGCGCTATGGCAGAATTGATTGCCGGTGTAGCAGGTGTACCGTCGAGATCGAGCCTCGTATTGAATTGATTTGACTGGGCTTGCCACTGCTTGTATTCTTCAGAAACGCCCGAGGCTTGACTGGCACTGCCTGGGGACGTCAGGGTATCCCCAGAAGGCTGCCTAGGTCTTCCTCGGTCAGCATCCTGTGACTGTGCGGTCGTAAGCACACCTTGCTGTGGCTGCATTTCAGTGGATGTCCGGATATCTGCTTGCCGAGCTGGACTATTGGCACCACGGCTGGGTGATGTGACATCTCGACGATACCCTGGTTGAATCACCGTAGACCCTGGCATTGATGAGTCTGGAAGCACTCCTTGCTGCCCCTTGATAGTCGACTCTGACAATGGCCTGTTCGAAGTGCCTGAAGACGGCTCTTCGGGGATAGGCTGCTCAGTGACATTTGGTTGTGACTGTCCATTGAATTGGTCAGGCTTCCTGCTGATAATCGGGCTCAGTTCAGAAGTGCTGGCACTATTCGAGCGAGGCAGAGTCTCGGAGGTAGATGTTGGTGAAGCAGGTCGGCGATTCTGACTGTCGTCAAAGGCTTGCTGTACAACCGACCTATAGCCGAACGATGGCTTGTGGTCAAGGTTGCTCGTGTCGGGTTTGTCGATGGACTTATTGGCCGCAGATGTTGAGGACGTTTGCTCCGCGGCGGTAGGCGTAGGAAGCACGGACTTGCTTTGAGTTGGTGCTGGTGTTAGCTCTGGGTCAAATACAGACTGCCTTCCTAGTGCCGGTAGAGATGACTGAAACGAAAAGGCAGACGAAGGTTCTGCACTGTGGTGGTCTTCATCAGCTGTAGAGGCCGACACCGGATCTGGCCGATCCGTATAGACTGAAGAAGCGTTTGTATCCTGACGGTGAACACCATCCCCCTGTTGTGCCCTCTGCTGTGATGGGTGAGTGGAATCTGCGCCTTTGATCAGGTTGTCGAATCCATACTCGCTCTTCCTCTCGACAACAGTATCGAGTGTTGGCTTCAGTCTCCTGGCGCTATCTGAATCCTCGTGCGCGGTCTCTTTGTTGTCAGAAGTCGCGGTCTTAGCACTTGTTGAACTGTCTCGACTTCTTGTAGTGTCCAGTTCGAGGCTGGGTCGTTGTGAGTCCATGGATCGCCGTTCCTTTTCCTTCTGCTCTTCGAAGCGTTTGTAGATGTCTGCCGGCCGAATGAAAGGCAATGGTTTGGCAGGCGCGGCCTGGGTGGTCGCGGGAGATTCCTCCGACTCTACGTTTGGTGCAGTTTGGGGAAGAGGTGGTGGTTGTTCTTGGCTCAGACTACTCTTCCTGGGCGGATGGAATCTGCCCGAAGTATTTGAGGAGCGACTGTCAGGCCGAGCTGGACTACCTTGGCGTGGTTGGAAGCCACCTGGAACTGGGGCAAGGCCAGGGCTGGAGCGGCTCCCCGAGTGAGAGCGCTGGTAACTTCCCGGAGCCGAAAACGGGGCTTCTCCATGATTTTGTCCTCGTGAGCTAGGACGGAAGGCCGGTGGATATGGACCCTGACCTTGGGTGTTGACATTAAGCACGGGATGCTGGGCATAAAAGCGTTGCTGCTGTGCCTCGTCGTGCTGAGGTTCAGGAAACGGGGGGCGTTGAGTGCTTGGATATGGCGATTCACCAAAGCCACCGCCCATCGACACGTACCGCCTATCATCACCATGATCGAAAGACTGGCGCCCTGTCGAACGTGGAGGAGAGGGGTTAGTGAAGCTGCGATTGGGTGGCGGCATTTGACCTCCCCAGCCAGGTCTCTGCGCTGGTGCAGGCACAGGTGGTGGCGGCTCGTTATATGTGCCATAGCCATCATCGCCCCACTCGTCATCGTCGTCGTAGGTCGGACGCGCAGCATCGCGCCACTTCTTTGTTACATTTCGATTAACATTAGGTTTGTATGAAAACCCCCCACCTGAAGCCATGATGCAGATACAACGAGCCGAGATTGCTTGACCGCGCACAGTAGTGTACGGAGCTGCCTTCAGAGATGTTTATTGCATGCCCGCCCAGCTATGTGGCTCGGAAAGGCCGAGAGGTATCGTCGACGCACCGGATCGGAGGGTGCGATCTAGGGCTTACGGCCTGTGGCAGGGCAAGGAACGAGTGAGCTGCGCGCGGACGCAGGCCTGGCGCGCTGAAAACCAACTACCGCGTGACCAAGAAAGTAAACAGGTCAACGCGAACGCGATCTCGAAGATGGTAAGACAGTATTCCTCTTCAGAGGGAGGAGGGAGAATGTTGCAGTGACCCGAAAACAAGGTATGGTGCTTAAGTGTTCGCGAGTATGGAGAAGTCGAACTCAAAGCACCTGGAGCGTCGTCATCTGTGGCAGTGCAGTGATGGCTTCGGAGTGGGCAACCGGTTATGGCCCCAGTAGGGCGAAGGAATCAGACGCTGGTAATGATAGTAATGAGAAGAAGTCTACAGTCCGTGTAGTGCAGCATTAGATTCATGATCGAAGTCGACCTCTCTTGAAGTGTCTGTGGCACGCGTGAAACGAACTTGAATCGCCAGCGACACCCCAGTAAAGGTGTGGCTGACGCCCGAGCCACGAGGTGCTAGGGTTGCTTTTAAGTGGGTTTGCCACTAGCAGTAAGTAACCCGCAGATGCGTGCAGCGAAGCCAAAGGCTGAGAGGCCAGACTCAACTCTCTTCACTGCCACTCCCGTCCGCCGCCCAACAACAACCTCATTTACCACCCTGTTCCGAGTACCCTATATGCAACGTATCCTTTCCAGATCACCGGTCCGCCGATTCAGAATTTGTACATAGCCACCTTCGACTTCGATTCTGTCCTCCATTCTCTCCTATTCACAACAACAATTGCCATGGTTCTATAGCCAAAGAAAAGCACAGACAGTACTGCCTCCCCCAACGACTAAAAAGACCCCAGAGTCTAAAGTCGTCGCGAAGCCGTCGACATGGTGACACACTCCATACAAGACCGGACAACCGAGTTCCGCGCGATCCTCGCGCAAGCCCAGAAACGCCAGGCAGCAAAAGGTGGTCAACGACAGAATCTACTGTCGAATGCCGAGAAACGTGAAGCCAACGGCCATGCCGCTCCAGGGTCGAGATCAGAATTTGCGCGCAATGCCCTGCAGGTAGGACGAGGCATCACTGCGACCATGGGCAAGCTGGAACGGCTGGCGCAACTGGCCAAACGAAAGGCTATCTTCGACGACCGGCCGGTTGAGATCTCTGAATTGACTTATGTTATCAAACAAGACCTTGCCGCACTCAACCAGCAAATATCAAAACTCCAGCAAATCACCCAGTCACAACATCCCACAGCCTCTCAACCCAAGTCGGCCGACCAGGAGGGGCAACACAACAAGAATGTGGTGATGATGTTGCAGAACAAGATCACGGATGTCGCAGTCAACTTCAAGGACGTGCTCGAGGTTAGAACCAAGAACATTCAAGCGTCACGCTCCAGGACTGAAAACTTTGTCTCTTCTGTCTCTGCTCGATCCCAACCGCAATTCGACAATTCGAGATCCGAATCTCCATTGTACCAAAACACAACGCCAAATTCCAAGAAGACGCCATACTCTTCAACCAATGATCTTCTGACCCTTGAGCCTTCGAGTTCGTCAGCGCTGATGGGCAATGCAGCCCAGTCCGACTCCCAATTACTGTTGATGGAAGAGGCTCAACCAGCCAACACCTACATCCAGGAACGGGGCCAAGCGATAGAAGCAATCGAGAAAACCATCAACGAGCTGGGCAGCATATTTGGTCAATTGGCAGGCATGGTCCAGGAGCAGGGCGAGATGTTGCAACGAATAGACGCCAACACCGAAGACGTAGTGGACAATGTTCAAGGCGCGCAGCGAGAACTGTTGAAGTATTGGAACCGGGTACAAGGCAACCGCTGGTTGGTTGCAAAGATGTTCGGTGTTCTCATGGTAAGTCTCGTGGCGCCATCAACCAATGCTTTGCTGACAGCAGTAGATTTTCTTCCTCCTCTGGGTTCTCATATCCGGATAGAATTCAAGGCCTCGTGCGCCTCTGTGTACAACACGACGATTGTCAACTTCTTTTGGTTGGTACGTCCATAGATGCTCTCTCGAGCTTCCAGCCTCGACCAGAAGAGTGAGGCACTAATCAGCATTTACTTTTGAAATTCCGCGCAGCACAGTAGACAGGTCTTGCATCCAAGCGACTTGCAGTCAAGTGAAATTATATATTACACCTCAAGAGCGAGTCCATTTCCCACAGTTCATGCTATGGGGTATTTAGCAGATCGATAGCTCTCAGCAAAGGCGCGACTGCCCGCTCCCACAAGAGGTCATTTTTGTACATCAAGAGCGGACATAATCATATTCAACGTCTCTTTCTTCAGGAGCTCGAGCTCACGCTCGGCTGCGGCGGTCGTCTCGAATGCACGAACGGCCTGTGTTGTGTCCTAGCGAGGATCTCTGATCGCATGGGCATCATGAGTGCCATGTCTGGGGAGTCGTTGCGAATAATGCTGCCGATGCCCATGAAAAGCCTGCAGTCCGTTAGCGACAGGCTGTCCAGAGTCGAGTTGAGGGAGATGTGTGTCGCATACCCGAACATGCTTCCCGACCCCAGCATGTACTTCCCCAAGGTGCGCATAACGCCTGCCTGCCCGCCGCCATACTGGAAGATGGTCACGGTGCCATAGATGAAGCCCATTATGCCGCCGACAGCTGCGTCGTGTTAGCTGTCAAGTCAGGCCCCCATGAGTAAAACCTACTGCCGCCCATCAAAGCGCCCATCTTCACTGTGCTGTATTAGCTCGATTCCCGGGATCGGTGGAGGGATCTCCACGTACTCTTGTCGAACCACGTCGGCCCGCGGTGGTGTTGCGCTGACGCTGGAATTGGAGGCATGTTGATGATGTCTGAGCTTGAATGCTACCGGAGAAGTTGGAGGAATGCAAGTAGAAGGTCTGGCAAGCGATGGCCTGATCGTAGCAACAAGAAGCGCAGGCAGTTGATGCAGTGCTACTTGCAACGGACCCACATTAGTGGCGCATGACCAATAGTAATATGGCGCTTCTCCTCAGTTTGCACCGTCCTTGGCATGAAGCATCTATACATACCTACCTACCTACCTTACCTACCAAGCAGCGGTCATCGCACGTGTAGCATGGTGTGATTCTTGACTGGTATGAAGCTAGAGAAAACCTATGTCATTCGATGGCGTGGTGTGTACACTCTACTCGATGAGGTCTACGCCGGCCAACGGAGCCTATCGTTTGAACATCTTTTTGGCGGTGTTCCTCAGATGCCACTATCCAGTGCTGACTATTCAGTGTCGTAGTAGAGAAGACATGGCACAGCTTTGGATCGCAGACCGTGTTGGTGTACTCTCAAAACAGGTAAGGTCAAGATACAAAGGTTAACGGTCCTACTGGTACCAAGTTCAGGCGAGCATCCTCGGGTTCCGATCGTCTGCTGACAATCTAAGCGGATCAGTGACTGCGCGTTTGAATAACTCGACATCTTTGTGGCCATTGTTGCACAAAGAGGCGTTGCTTCCCATCGAGCACGCACATCGCTCCGGCCCGTCGGGTACGCGCAGTTGACTAGGGACTCTTCCGGTTCAACGCCCAATCTCTGAGACGCTTGAAAAGCCAACTGTGGGATGCGTACATGAGTGGCTAGACTGCCTGAAGATTCTATTAAAACATGCACACGCTGTGATGTAGCTGCGAATGATTACCTTACAAGGAGTGAAGCGCAGTAGGAGGCACCTGCTGATTGTGGCAAGGAACCATCTCCGCGCTTAGGCTAGACTACTTGTGGACTAGTGGAATTCTCCTCCAACTGCGACAAGTTGGTCCTTTTCTCGTGGTCTGGACAATCGAGGGCTGCGATCACCGCGTTCCATTACTTCGTCGCCTTTCATAGACACTAGGCCTGCAGCCGAACTCCCAGAGTCAATTCTCACAATCAAACCAGATTTCTGGCATCCTCCTGATCTGTTACCGCACCTTTCTGCAACTGGAAATACCCACGTCAGGGTCGGCCTTCTCACGCGAGCGCTTCCTTCACGACCTGTTCAAATCGTATTCCTCATCACCACGTCATCTAATCTCACCTTCGAGCCCTCCTTCACCACGGCAGTTGATCTGAGTGACCACAGAATCCTCAGAGATTACGAAGACGAGCAGAACCTAGCCGGCTGACACATGACGAGACCGCCGCCCGCAACTTTTGCGCTTGTCTTGTCTTTTAGTGTGGACCCATTCGTCTCGAAGCAACAGGCGGACCTTCTTTACGGTCTGTAAGATCGAAATTTGAGCCTCTTCGAAGTCTATACCCGCACCCTCGAAGCATCCCGATGACGACCGCCGTCGCTTCGCCCCCAAATATTCAATCCCTGCCGCGCCTAGGTTGGAATGGTGGAAGTACAGGAGGCGGATTCTCAGCCATGAGCACAGAAGACGTGTCCAGAATATTCATGCCTCAGCGCAAGACCGTCCAGAGAAGTAACTCGTCATCGTCGTTATCCTCGAATGCGTCCTCATCATCAACATCTTCCTCGGCTACTACGACCGATGCCTCTTCGGCATCTTCTGCAGCCACCGGCGAAGCCAACACTGTCGCTGCCAAAAAGAAGACGAGAGGTGGTTTCTGGCCAGTGTCGAAAGCCGAATCGACTTCGGGTGTAAGCGCTGCCCGTGCGAATGGGTCCGTTCAACCTGCTTCTTTGATCTCCGGGAAGGCGCCTATACAGCCAGCGCTTCCGACGCAAAATGGTAACCAACAAAATGGCGCCAGAGTCGTCAATGGTGCAGTATCGCAGGATACCTCGGCACTCCTCGCACTCCTGCCGATGAACGGCACCTTTGAACGAAAGCAGATCAACGTCCCATTCTTCCCCGATATATTGCGCGTGGGCCGACAGACGAACGCAAAGACTGTCCCCACGCCAACGAATGGTTTCTTCGACTCGAAGGTTCTGAGTCGACAACACGCCGAGGTCTGGGCTGAGCGTAACGGCAAGGTCTGGATCAGAGATGTGAAGTCTTCGAATGGCACCTTCGTTAATGGCCAGCGCTTGTCCCAGGAGAACCGAGAATCAGAACCACACGAGCTTCGGCAGCACGACACCCTGGAGCTGGGCATCGATATCGTAAGCGAGGATCAAAAAACAATTGTCCATCACAAAGTTTCGGCCAAGGTCGAGTACGTCGGTCTGCCGGGAACCACTAATAACGTCCTTGAACTCAGTTTTGGCGATCTCGATCCTTCCCATGGCGGATCGTTATTACCGCCGATCTCAAGCAGCCCCATGATGCAGTCGAGGAGTCGCCCTGGCGGCGTCGCGGGTCCAGTCAGGTCAGCCCCTTCTAGTATCGCAGGCGGCCAAATGAGTGCAGCGGCGCAAAACAGACAGATCAACCTTTGGGGACCACCTTTAAGTGTTGAGCATTTGGTAAAGCAGATTTCGGTAAGTCCTCAAATCTCCGGACTTCCACCCTACTAACGAATATCAGCACGAAATGAGGGCTGCCAAGCATCAAGCAACAGACCTCGACAATATTGAGAAAGTTTTCGACAGCATCATCTCGCCTGGCAGTAAACCGTCACCAGCCAAAGACGAGCCACAGTCGAAAGAAGAAAGCCAACCCCGACAGGCAAACGCGAAACCTCGGTCGATCCGCACAGATAATCTGGCCAGGTTCGCCGATCCACCCGCTCCTCCGCCTCAACTACCACTGCCGGAAAAGCCCGACAGTGCCAAGTCGACGTCTCTCAACTCCATGTCCTTGAGCAGTCTATTGAAGCGGACAGAAACGGCCAAGCCAGGAAGCAACGGCACATCGCCAACAAGCGGCAGCCAGAGCTCCATGCTACAGCTGGTGGAGGCACTGAGTCAGGCCAGGAAAGAGTTGGAGTCACATTCAATTCGAGTGAAAGAGTTGGAGGAAATGCTCAAGGACGAACGCTCCGCACGCGCAGATGCCGAAGAGCGTGCCCGCAGGCTGGAGCAATCAACCGCCAATCGACCCATTACAAATGTCGAGGAGATCTCTAGTTCTGACGAAAAGCCTGTGGTTGCGGAACCACCACCCGAGAGCACCAAGGAGGTCGAAACGAGCACTGCGGAAGACGACCGTGATCTGCAGACCCGGTTAGACCACATGGTTGCAGAAATGCAAAAGATGAAGACGGACATGGACAAATTCAAGACGCGGGCGGAATCGGCTGAAGTGGACGCAACGAAAGCCCGGGAAAGCCTCGCAGAAATGATCCAGCGACTTCGACAAGAAAACAGCGAGGAAGACGCAGTCGCAGTGGATAAGACCACCAGCAAGTCGAGCAGTACCAAAGACAGCGATCCGACCGAAGATGCTGTCGAGGCTGGCACCAAGGGCGGCTCAGCCAACGGCCACGTACGGACGCCCAAATTACCTGCACACCTCGAGCAGGCAGTGGCGACGGCGCTTCGGCAAGGCAGCTCCAACAATAGCGAAGCCCTTGCGCAATCAGCGCCATACGTGTCCATGCTTGGGGTTGTGCTGATAGGAGTGGGGCTAATGGCCTACCTTAACTCGTGGCAGAAGACGGACAAGTGACGTGGCCGAGGAAACGAGAACAAGATTGCTTTCAATTGCACATATTTACGACGGCTTTGCAAATGTGGTACAGCCGGTCAGCCTCTGTGGCGCTTTGACGATTTTTCCTTGAGTATTGCAGCATCCGCATGGCCGTGGCGTTCTCTAGGGAGGCAATAGTTTCGACCCAGCGATGGGGCTGGACCAAAACAAAGCTGTCTAACGATGTAGATGTCGTTTCAGCGGCAGCATATACATCTTGACGTGGGCGTTGCCCCGGTGGGAGTTAGTTTGATGTATTCTGCGATTGGATATTCGTGCTTGGCCAGGGAGCATCAGCGACCCGGGTTGATGAACACCACAGGGTGCAGGCAAAGTCCTGCCGCACGACCATGTTACTATGAGACATCCTACAGCATCAATGAACAGAACATGATATCATCTGGCTTGACGCGATTTGACATGGCTGGACTCTGTGCCTCGTTCGGCCCTCCGGCTTATATTCGTCCTCTTTGGTAATCTTCAATCTGACCCGTGAGGCCTGGCGGCGAAAGGATCCGCGGATTTTTGATCCGCCATGTGAACAACCGGGCGCCGGGAAAGCTTATTTTGGCGCCGTTTCCACGTTGCTCACTGCAAGGTTTCCTCCCCTTCCGGCCACGAAATACAGCGCCCTTCGTCACACCTTTTGGCCGCGGCATCCCGGGAGCCGGGTATGCCCGTATAAGGCAATCGTCAAGTTTGAGAAACATGTGCTTGCTACAATGTAGACTCATCAATTCACTGCTTCGCATCGGCTGAAACACTCACGTCCTGATTCTGGTCGCACTCCGTCTGCCATGAGCGGCCTCGTGTGGAGAAGCCATCTCGCTGCCGACTATCACCTCCCGTCTAGGTCATTAAGCCAGTACACCTCTATAACACCCTTTTTTATACAGAACCGGCGAACTCGACTATCCGTACCTCGAAGACAGCCAAGAAGAGGCTATGCAGCAGTGGCAGATCCTCCACCGCCGCTGAAGGAGGACAAGAGGGAGCGGGTTGTGGTACTGGGCAGTGGATGGGCAGGTGAGTCTACGCTGAAAGCAGCTGGAGCTGGCCGCTGGCCGCTGACTGCTTCAAGGCTATGTCATAGCAAGGAAGCTGGATCCTAAGAAGTATCGGGCCATCATGGTATCTCCCAGGCCGTATTTTGTCTTTACTCCGTAAGTCCAGCGAGTGTGGCTTGAAGCTCAAGAAAGAGGCTGACACAGGCCACCGATGCTCTGGCACCTCATTGCTGACCCCTTGTGTCCAGACTCCTCAACGACTCTGCAGTCGGCACTCTGGAGTTTCGCAACGTCCTCGAATCCGTCCGCCGCCGCACCTCCCACATAGACTATCTTCAAGGCTGGGCCGACGACATCGACTTCGCCGCCAAGACGGTGACCGTTGAGCCTAACGTGCTCGACCAGAATGTGGGCACCGCGCTCGTGGGTGGTAGCCAACGCAACGAAGCCTCTACCACCTCTATTCCCGCTGACCATTTTAATCTTGGGGGCAACGCCCAACCAGGCGGTACTGGTCCGCGTCAAGTCCCTACTTTTCCTATCAGCTACGACAAGCTGGTGATTGCGGTGGGCTGTTATTCCCAAACTTTCGATACGCAGGGTATCAGAGAAAACGCACTTTTCCTCAAAGATGTCAACGATGCTAGGCGGATCCGACGGCGCATCCTCGATTTGTTCGAACTGTGTCGAATGCCTTTCATTCCCGAATCAGTCAAGCGGTACTTGCTGCACTTTGCCATCGTCGGTGGTGGACCCACGGGCATGGAATTTGCGGCCAGCCTATCGGACCTGATCGATCAAGATCTGAGTAAGATCTACCCAGACCAAATGCAGTATGTACGGATCACCCTGTTCGACGTGGCGCCCAAAGTGCTACCCATGTTCGACAAGAGCCTGGCAGACTATGCCGTGAAGCAGTACAAGCGGCGAAATGTAGAAATCAAGACAAGTCATCACGTTGTGAGGCTGCGGAAGGGATTCCCGAATGACCCCATCGCCAAGTCCAACCAGGAGGGTCAGGTCAAGCATCGAGTGTACACCATTGAGACCAAAGAAGAGGGCGACGAGGGCATCGGCATGTGCGTATGGAGCACAGGTAATATGGCTGTAAGTCCATCATTCCCAAACAAGATGAACCGAGAATGGTGGTGACTACCTTTTTCGGCGGAGCATCACTATCGAGCAGATCGGTGTATAGGCTGGAGCTTCAGCAATTTGCCTAAGTGCTCCTCCTGGTGCACCTCGCCTCTAATCTGCTCGCCTCAAGCCTCGTCTGCGACCGACCAAAGCCCGGTCCCCAAGCGTACTTCACCATCCAGAGTTTCTACTAACACATACAGAACCCCTTTGTCTCCAAAGCCCTCGACTCCGTCCGAACCTTCCCCACCTCCTCTGCCACCATCCTCGACACCGACACGGGTACCAAGATCGAACACCCAGACCAGCACAAGTGGCTCATCCAGCGCGACTCCAAAACCGGTCTGATTCTTGTCGACGACCACTTCCGCGTCCAGCTGCAGACCGGCCCCGCCAATGGAGCCGCCGACAACAGCGCCAACAACGGCAAAGCCACTGATGACGACGGCAGCAGCAGCACGACCGCGTCCGCCACAATGAATGACGTCTTCGCCATCGGTGACACCACCATCATGGCCAGCGGCCGCCTCCCCGGTACCGCGCAGGTTGCCAACCAGCAGGCCCTGTGGCTGGGCAGCACGCTCAACAGACACCCGGGGGCCGCAGCGTATGGTGCCGCCGACGGTTTCGGGTTCAAGAACCTGGGCGTCATGACTTATTTGGGAGGTAGCAAGGCGGTGCTGCAGGCGCCGAAGGGGGGTGACGATGGCGGCAGTGGAGGGACGCAGGGCCTGAAGGGGTGGGTGGCCTTCCTGATCTGGCGGGGCGCGTATCTAACTATGACGTTGAGTTGGCGGAATCGGGTGCTGGTGTTGGTGCAGTGGGCGGCGGTCAAGGTGTTTGGGAGGGATATTTCGAGGTTTTAGTCCGGAGAGAGAGAGTATACTGGCATGTGAAGGGACGGTGGCGAGGCGCGCTGCTGTGACCTTCGCAACCGCTCTGTCACTGCTAGCCGTGACGTGACGGGCACTACGAGATGTTACCGGTGTGGGTGAACTGTGGGGTTCACGGAGCTCGGTGACTTGTAGGCCTGGGATGGGTCGATACCAGAGGTCGCCACGGGGGATAGACAACAAGACCGCATGAAGGTGGCCATGCACCACTGCTCGTGAATGTAGATATTCAATCAACCAAAAAAGAAAGTAAAGCACTTTTCGTCTTGAATTGAGGCACTGGTAGCCTCGCGATATCTATCGCTTCTAATCACTGGCCACGAACAAGACCGACCGACCGACCGACCGACCCGACAGGGCAACACCAGCCCTTGATCTAAACACACAACCAAAGTTTCCTCAGTTCTTGCCGCCGCCCAACTCCAGGGCTTCCTCCTCGCTCACCGCCTTACCCGCGGTCTTCATGAAGCCCTCGGCCATCTGCTGGCGGAACTTCTCGCCCTCCTCCTTGGTGCGGCCATCGCTGCCCCACTCGCGGTCGCCGCCGCCGCCGCCGGCGCTTCCGCGGCCGGAATCGACCTTGCCGTTGTTGTTGTTGTCGTTGTCGTCGTCGTCGTCCTCCTCGCCCTCATCGCCGCCCACCATCTCCCACGCCTGCTTCTTCGGCGCACCCGCCATGCCCTCGGTGACTAGCCAGGGGAAGCGCACTACCTCGTTGCGTAGCTTGTGGATGGCGCCCAGGACGATGACGCAGTTGAGACAGCGACTTGGGACGCCGTCTTGCACGCGCCAGTGTGCGACGCTGTAGCCGTCGATGGGGCCGTGGGGGAGGTCGGAGGAGCGGACTTGCCACAAGACCTTGCAGTGGCGGCAGGGGAAGACCGTCATGGTCGTGGCGCGGGTGGGGGACACGCAGATCGACATGGTGGATTCTGGTGTAAGCTGTGGGGAGGCGTTTGTTAGTTTGGGACTTGCTTTGCGGTGGTCGCGTTTGAAGATTGGCGGGGATGGAACTTACAGGAAACTCGACTGTTGGTGGAAGAGAGCTAGTCGGTGGATCGAATTTCAAGAAAAGAATCGGTTGGGTCGAGGTGATGGGTTGTGTAGAATCGAGGTTTTGGTGTAGAACTGTGTCGTTCAAAAAGTATGGGGATCGGAAGTCGGGAGAAGTGGTTGTGTTTGTTTCAGACCAGGCTTCGGAATAAGTCTGCAGAACGGGAGGTAATTGTTCTGGGGTGTGGTAAATGATGAACGAAGAGAAGCCGGTTGGTGTGATCACTGCTGTGATGTCTTCGTCCTCGGCGTGGAAGATTTCTTCGGATGATAGAGAACAGAATAGTTCGAGGAGGTTGTTTGTTCCTTCGATGACTCGGTCGAAAGCAGCGCGGGCGGTCTCTGTCACCATTAGAAAGTCCATCTTGGCTGATGCGACGAAAGTGCAACGAGATCGAAGGGGGAGTTTGCCAAAATGAGAACTTACCAGGCTGCCTGAAGTCACAGGTATGTGCACGGCACTGTGCCTGATGGAGCTAGGTCGGGTCTAGCTGCAAGTGGTAGGCGTTCAAGAAAGTGGTGTTGGTGGGACGTAACAGGGTACAGAAGTTGTCCTTGGACCGCGACTGTGGGATGTGAAGACAGTCCAAATGCCAAGACCTATAGAATAGGCGTCCATGTGCATGAATAGGACAAGCTGTGAAGCAATACCACCACTGTCTGAAAGGCTGAATTGCACTGTGCTCAGCCTTGTCCTTGTACTAGTCAAATCAAGGACAAACAGATCGTTCCTTGTTGACCCTCCCGTCCATTGTAAGCGGCACAATTACTGATAAATCAATCGAACAGAGAAGGCAAGGTATTCTGAGGATCTTACCTTGCTGCCTGTGCCGCGTACCAGACTGTCGGGACCGGAGTCATCTGGTACTCGAATGCTCTGGAAGCCTCCAATGGAGTACACGCACACTGTCTGTTCGACACATTGTCGATTAGTACTGGCCCAAGTGCGATGGACCGTTTCCGTCGACGACAGATGAGATGGTCAAGATCAGCGTCATCGATTGACTGGGGGAGCAATTCGCGACCATGCACGGAGCAAACAGTCAGTATGCTCGCTGCGAACAACGGTCGCCAAATGGAGTGCGATATTATTCGGCGTGCGGGCGAACATGACCAGTTGGTGCAGCTGAACCAATCATCCTACATGCTCAACTGATCTGAGCAGAGATGAACTGGTCGTGTTGCGCGTATAGATAGAGTTTTGGACCGTATATCGCAACATCAATCGAGCTCTGGCTGTAGAGATTACTTTTCAGCACAAATGGCTGCGGATACCATCCATCCATATAGCTGGAAGAGCAGCGAGGATGAATGCGCGTGATGGAGAGGAGAAGAGACGTTGAGATAGTGGCGGTGTCTGAGCTTGGCGTGGCGCCGCCAAGGAGTGGCTGTGGTAGCGGTGCCCATGTCTGGGTCAACGACAGTGCAACCTCAGTGTCTATCTCCTGTCATCGACCTCATCCAATTATCGATCCCCGTCACGTCGGGGAAGCAATCGGTCGCTGGACTTGTCGAGTGCCCTCAACCTAACAAGTTAATTGGATATTAGAACGCAAGATGGTCGAGGTCGAGAACCACTTTACCGTTTTCGTCAGGCTGCCCCTCAACAGAGGCGACTTCATCGATCCGCCTCCAGTCTCGTGGTCAGCGGCAAAGGAGCGCGCATTGTGGGATGTCATCTCGCGACAGGGTCAAGGCAAAGGCAATGAGATCGACTGGAATGCACTGGCCGCCCAGTTCGATGTCACCCAGTCGTTCATCCTGCAACAGGCAGCATGGTTGTACGAGAGACAGTTGTCGCAAGTGCGAGCACAGCTGAGAAAGGTGGGCAACCGTCAATCGGCAACACCTTCACCCGCACCGGGCTCTGTGAATTCTAGTGTGGTTGGTGCACAAGCCATGAGGAGAGTTGGTAGTGGTGGATCCCGTGCTCCTCCACGTCTATCAACCCAACATCTTGGCAGTCCTTCACTTGCAGGAGAAGGCAGTGCACCACCAACCCCTGGCAAGAGCAGGACATCGCTGCCCTTGAGGGGTCCTCCCGCTGCGGCGACTGGGTCTGCCCGATCGGCATCTGGTCCATCGCGACCGCTCTCAAGGCAACCTTCGAAGGAGGTCGAGCCGCAGCAGATCGTGCATTCGCGACGCGGCAGCACTCAGCATCAGCTCTCACGGTCACCAGGTCAGCTGAAGCCCACAGGTCCAGACTCGGACTCGGACGGTGGCGGAGAGCAGATGACTCAATCCAAGTACATGATACGCCGAACCAATCCATCGTCGCTTCATCGCCGGAGTGTTTCTCTACGCAAAGAGCGTGCCGCACAAGCTCAGCAAGCAGATCCGGCAGATGCTGACGATGACGAAGACGACACGGCTACGTTTCTGCCCTTTGTAGCTGATGCGCCCGAGGTCCAATCCCGGCCGACGACGTCGTCGACCCAGGACCCGAGCGCAACACTCCGAGGAGGTCTCACTGACGCTACGCCAGTGCGGCCGAAAACCCACCGCCGGTCTACGTCCGAGAAAATCACATCGCCAACAAAGGCTCCAGCACCTACAACAGCAGCGGCGACGCTGCAGTCAGGGTCGGCGTCTACGAGCTCCGTGTCTGACACATCGGGTGCGGGTCCCACGCCTGGCGCTACTCAGCCATCACAGCCTACACTGTCCAACAGATCCGCACGTACGCTATCCCCACGACAGCAAGCAACCCTCGCATCAGCTGGGCTCTCGCCTCGGCGTCAAGGATCTGAGTCGTCGCCTAGCATGGGATCGAGTTTCAGTGACCTCGACGATGCAAGCGTGACCCAGTCGGCGCTCGAGGAAGCTCTGATGAGTGGAATGGGCAATACAACGCACACGGTCGCCAGCAGAGTGAGTGGCTTGAGCCAAGCGTTGAGGAGCAGGTACTTTGATGCTAGGCAAGGCGAGAGATGACAGCATTTGCCTCGTGATCAGGCCATCACTCACAGCCGGAAGCCATAGCCTATTCTCAGGTGCTTCAGTTAGCTTCAAGATCTTAGTCAGAGTAGACTAAGACTGAAATGGTCTTTCAGGTCTTATGAGGAAGTAACGACAAGCCTTCTTCAGCTCGTCATACTAGCATCGTGTAGCTCGCGTTCCGAATGCAATGTTCGACTACCGTTTTCGGTTGCGCCTTTCGAAGCGGATCTCTCGGGCTCCCAACCAGAACGCACCGGCGAGGTGATCGCGCGATTGGCTTACCGGCAGGTTCCTCCCCCGTATGGTACTGTACGTGCGTATTCTGAGACAATATCAGATGCAACTGATGGGAAATCCATAGTAGCCAAATTGCCTTTCTGTACACTCAAGTTGCCCTAGTGCAAACCTGAGTTGTAGAGCAAGACACTCTTTTAGCCAGCGCAGTGACGCGCCCGGACGCGTCGCGTCGGCACGTCATTTCGCCGATCCGGACACCACCACCACCACCACCACCACCACCACCACCAACTCAACCGTCAAGCCAGCAACAGAGGTTCATGCACGAAGCAAACACCAGACACACAGCGTCTCTACCAACTTACGTAGCGTCGCTATGCCCCGAATCAACCGCAAGCGTCGCTCCGACGCCATCTCCCGCGACGCATCCCCCTCCGACCCCCCCAACCCACCCCCCAGCCGCAGCCGCCAACGGTCCTCCTCTTCAGAACCTTCAGAATCCACCCACTCCCCCGACGCAGGCGGCGCCGACGACGACGATCACTCCTCCGAAACCCAAGCGGACGCACAACGCAAATCCCTCGTGAAAAAACTCGTGCGGCTGGCCCTCGCGACAGAGTACTCGCGCACCCCGCTGCGGCGCACGGACATCACAGCCAAGGTCTTCAAGGACGCGGCGGGCAACAATGTGGCAGCGGGGCCACACGGCGGGCGCTCTTCCGGGTTCAAGCAGGTGTTTGACGATGCGCAGAAGGTGCTGCAGGGGACGTTTGGCATGGAGTTGCGCGAGCTGCCGAGTCGGGAGAAGACGACGCTGAAGGAGCGGCGCACGCAGGCGACGCAGCAATCGGCTGGCAAGGGCGGTGGGGGCGGTGGTAGTGCGGGTGCGAATCATCGAGGTTATATTCTTGTGAGTGTGCTGCCGAGGCCGTATCAGGAGAGTGTGCCGGTCTTGGGGGTGCCGAACCGAGCGCCGAGCCAGGAGGCGGAGGCTGGCTATGTGGCGTTCTACTCGTTCGTGGTGGCGCTCGTGTACCTCAATGACGGGGAGGTCGCGGAGCAGAAGCTGGAGCGGTATCTGCGGCGCGTGAACGCGGAAATGCAGACGCCGTTTGGCACGCTGGAAAAGGTCAAGGCGCGGATGGTAAGGGAGGGGTATTTGGAGCGGAAGAAGGAGCAGGCTGGTGGTGAGGAGGTCGTGAGCTTCACTGTGGGACCGAGGGGGAAGATGGAGGTGGGGAGAAAGGGTGTAGAGGGGTTGGTGAGGAGTGTGTATGGGCTGGGGGCCGCGGGGGATAATGGGGATGGGCCCAAGATTGAGGATGCGGAGTTGGCGAAGAGGTTGCAGAGGAGCTTGGGGGTTAGGGGTGAGGTCTTGGGAGGGGAGGATGGCGATGGTGTCCCGCCGAGTGCGGGTGGCAGTGGCCGGCAGAGTCGGAACGAGAGTCGCAATGGCACGCCGCAGCCGCGGACACAGCAGCAGCAGCAGCAGCAACCCCGGAGAAGAGGCCGGCCCAGAAGAGCCGCTCGCGATGACGACGATGTAGACGACTAGTTGCACGGCACGGTACGGCTTGCATTGACGATGTACGAACATGACCACGGCACCGGGACCTGATACGAAGAGTTCTGCGCGGCCAAAAGATACCCAACATGAATTCATGAACTCATTGTGTACTAGTATGTACCACCGATCTATCAAAGACGGTAGGAAAATGGAATAGACATGGTGTACTCGCTGCGTAACACATTTCGGGAAAAGAAAAATCGTCATCTCACACACACGCGCGCACACTTTTTCTCAGTACCCTTCGGCAACTCTGACACCATGCCTCTTGAAATCCCTCCTCAGCCCTTTCTGAACCCTCGCACCCTCTTCCATCTGCAACACCATGCGCACAGCGCCATGATGGATCCCCAAGCCCTCGCCTCCGTACATTCTAATATCGCGAAGGTTCTTCAGAATGCACAAGGCGTGCAGAAGGAGGCCCAGCACGATCAGCCACGCGAGCACCACCTTGGCAATGGTCAGTTCGTGGATGCCGTACATGAAATGGCCGCGCACTGAGGGGGGGCACATTTGCATGCTCTGCGTCAGACTCGGCGCTGGCATCTCGCAATGGATCCACAGAGCGTTGTTGGTCGTCCAGCCTGCCACCAGGACAAGCACGCAGGTGAAGAAGACGAAGTGGGTTCGCCTTGTGATGCTCACGAGCGGGCGGATCACGGTCATGCTGAGCTCAAAGAGAATATAGAACAGTGTGGCCACAGGTGTTGCCAGCGTGTAGGCGATCATGACGACAGGGATGGGACTGTCGCCGTCGCTGCTCGGGTTGGTCGACCCGCGGCGGAGCAGTTTGCTGAACATGGAGTCATCGAGCTCGGTTGTAGGCTCTCTGGCAAAATCTTCGGTCGAGAGTCTCGTATGGGGGGCTGCGATGCAGTAGGCATAGATCATGCTGAGGATAGTGGTGATGAAGGAGAGGATGAGGATGATTGGGAGGAGGATCTGGCGAGACCGACGGAGTGTTTGGGGTGGTTTGGGAGGGCCATCTGTCGAGGCTTTTGCAAATTTCGATCGCGGCTTTGATGTTGACGTGAATCTTGGGGGCGGTGGAAAATATGGAGCGGTGGCTGGCTTCAGCGGGGCATGCATTATTGTTTCGAGGAGAAGCTGTGTATTATGGCGAGTAAAGAGCTCAATGTCAGATGCGTAACCAGCGCCTCAACGACAAACAACGTAGAAAGGAGAATGAGTAATACAAAGGAGATTCGTGACTGGCGACGCAGACACGGAGCCGTGGCGGAGTGGACGCCCTACCTATGTATCCCAAGTTGGCGGACGACTTGGGTCCCCAGCGCACGCTGATCAGAGGTTGGAGGGCAGAAGACGGTCGGCGCTGCGGCTTCATCGTCATATCTGCCCTATGCTGCGGTTGCTGCCAGTGCAGAATGATGCATTGACCCCTCTGAGTGGAGGAGAGACGGTCAAGTCCAAGGCCAAGGACTTTCGCTACGCAAGTCGTTGCGGCTCTCGAGTGGTGGTTGAGCCGCAAGATCCAGCCGCAGCCAATCGATATTGGCCTAAGTGCGACATACTCGACACACAGAAGCGCTTGTTGTCGTGGCAGGCGTGAAGATTCACTGGCGGTGCTATTTTCAGGTCTTCATTCGGTGTCGTTTCAGCCTGGTCGTTACGCGCCGAGCCAGTTGGCAGGCGCTTACTTGATTGGACAACAATGTATGTTGGCCAGAAGTATGATTTGAGTGAAGAAAAAGGTGAGCTAGATGGTGTCGCCAGAGCCGGAGGTTCTGTCAGGACTTTTCGCTTCGATGGATTAGCAGGCCATCACTAACGGGTTGTCCAAAAGACTGCGACTGCGACTGCTGTTGGGGAAGACTGGTTCAACCTCGCGGCAGGAGTAGCCGGGAATTGTGGAGCACGAACCAAGCCAGATGAGGTTTAGCTTCCGTGCGACTGACCACCTCCAACTTCAGCTTGTCAGCACGGTGGCTCACCAGCAGGCAATTTGTCCCAGGACTTCTCGCGGTATCTTCGCGCACAGTGCACGGCGAAAACGGCACGATGAGGATGGCAGTCGATCTCAGATATACTGAGACCGAATCCAGACGCCTCTTTCAGGGAGAGGGCAGATGAAGGAATCCTAAGCCGATTTGAAATCAGAAATTCAGGACGAACAAGCACGACAATTTCATCGGTACCTTCCTCGTGTCAGCCCCGCACACCGTATGGTCCCCTGCCTTCTCTGTCTGCCGACCAGCGAGATTGCCTTGTGGAAATCTCTGCTACAGCATGCAACACTGTGGCCGTGGCCTCTTCTTTCTCTTCACCGCCAAAGTCACCCACGTGTCCACCGCTCCCCCACCAGCGGCTGAAGAGAAGGTAGCAGTCTCGAATCAGACCGGTGGAAACCCATGTCCTATTCGAGCTGGTAAATTTTTAGCAGACTGTGAGCACGGGTGGACCCGTCCGGACGGCTTTCGGGCAATCGATGATGGCCTTCACCACCACGCTTAGAGGACTTGGACAGATGATAATGTTACAAATCAGGTGTCTCAGACCCGCACAGACGGACGCAATGGTATCATCTGAATATGCCACTCAGATTCGTTGCTATCCTATGGCTGTCTGCTGAAGCCGGCATAAGCCCTGTATAAGCTGTAGCGGTCGGCGGCGAGCACACAGGCACGTGGCTGTGGCAGACCCAACTTGGTACGTTGGCATCCCTTGCTATGTTCTACCATTTCCTGATCGGGTGTTCACCGTCTCCAAGGACAACGGCCCCTCATGCAGGACGCTGGCTCGATGAATAGCACAGCAACTCACAAGAGCCAGCTGACAGCACTGGCAGGGATCCCGATCGGTAGCAAATCATTTCCCAACTGCACGGCCTACGAGTGCCTTTGCTTCGACAATCTATCATTCAAAGTCCTCCTATTGCGTCGTGGCAGCGTTTGACAAGCTCAGGGGCCCTTCCCACTTCGGCGGGTTTGCTAAAACGCCCAGCTCGCAGATCCTTGCCTCGGAAGAGTGAGACAGAGATGGCCAGTGCTTCAAGGAAATCTCACTTTTGGGGCTTCTGCCTACCCTGCAGCCCGTTGCTGATGAAGGCTTCAACTCATTGCCTTATATGCCGAGAAGGCTATCAGGAAGTGCGTCGCCGGGCGGTCAAGCTACCGCCGAGCGACAAGCCTTCACCAATCTGCAAACGACTGTTGTTCATCGCCCGTTTCCGCCATGTCGGCCTTTCTCGGTTCCCGCCGTCGAATATGCCGCTTCAACTACCGACCCTTCTCAGCCTCGTATCGACTGGAGCCGCCAGGGGGGATGGAGGCGTGCCCTCGGGACAGATCCCTGCGTCGATACGAGGATCTACGACTCTCACGGGTCACCATTCCGCCAAAGGTCTACCATGTAGACCCCAACGCTGTGCCAGCCTTTCGCCTAGTCCCTAGCGTCTACACCAGTGGCCGTCACCCCGGTGGCTAAGTATGAAACATTGATTCGTGCAGCCCCAATCCTCGCTGCTGCAAACGTGATCGACTGTGTTTCCGAGTCAGTAGTGACTAAGTCACACGGTCTGGAAGCTGTGATCCCTGCGATCGCCGCCGGGAGAGCGCCGTAGACTAGGCACTTCCTCGGATGATCTCTTTTGCCTCCCCCATGTTGGTGTGTGTAGCGCATCATGATTGGCTCGAGCGGTTCGCATCTTACCTGTGCAGAGACGGAGCTTGATTGCTCGTGTCAAATATACTAGTGGAGCACTAGATCGTGGCTGGTTGACAGCTTTACAAAGCATCTGATCCTATTTATTCTTTATCTGTACAATGTGTAGGTAAGCTGTATAATTGGAATTGCAAACATTGCATACCACAATACCGCAAGGTTCGTGGTCACCAAGTCTACTATACACGTAATCCTGCAGCGCTCCAGTTATCACACCTTTTGAGACTCCGAATCCCTGAACAGGAAAAGTATACACTTGGTCAGAGTTGGCGATCTGGGCAGAGGCTCTGTTCCACCGCTTCGAGATGTCGCCACGTCATGGCGGCAACTAAGAGCTGAATAAGAAGCATGTCCTTCCGACAAGGCTGAGCTTACACCAACAGAACCCCTAGACCCGGTCGAGCAGTATCGAACAGCCGCAAGAAATAAGCGGAGGGCACGGGCGTAACGGCAGTGGACCAAAGTGAGAACCACGCGACGACAAGAGTGTCACCCGCCGTGTGACTGGCCGATTACCCAGTTCAGCATGCCGATCCAGGAACAAACGCCAACGCCCGACGGCATAAGCGAGGCGCCATAGCAACAAGGGGTCACCAGGTTTTCTTCCAGCCTTGGGGGAAAACACCCTCGTTGAAACCAATCACAGGCCGTACAAGTGTACACGGAAAGGGAAGCTGCTTCGGCTGGCCGAGTCGCCCCGCTGGCCACACCCTGCAGGCTTATCTAAGAGCAATGACGCTACTTCCGTAACTGTGGCTTTTTATTTCCCGCAAGCAATGCGAGCCATACTAACACTGGCGCTCGGAGCTAAGTGGCACTACCATACTGGGATGTTACGTTCTGCGTTTCCCGCTGCGGCTGTGGTTTCTGCACGACACTCGATGGAACAACTTTTCACGGAGAGGCAAAATGATTGCGCTACAGAACATCAAGCATTCATTCTGTCCAAACCTTGTACACATCCTTGCAGTAGTGTCGCTGCTAATCTGCATCTGCTGCTAGATCAGTTCTGAGGTACGTGAGCGGCCTACCAGCCAACACCACCACCACTACTACTCCTAGACGGACTACAAAGCAAACTCCCCATAGAGACTTCGTTGCCATCGCCAGCCCTTGCTAAGGCAAGCGAGAAAAGCACTACTGCCTTAGTCCCCCCACCCCTCACTCTCTTTTCTGCCCTATCGAGTCCCCGTCGCGCCTCTCTCTCGTACAGTCTCCCAAAGTCCCGATCCCGACCAACTTTGACTGCAGCCCTATTTCTGGTAGAACGCCGCCGCTGGGCTTACATGAGCATACACGTATTGAAATGGGCAAAACAAAGCGAAAACCCACCACATGCACATGCACATGCACATGCTCAGCGTGGGGATTGAATTGAATTGATGACCACTGTAGGAAAAGTGCTTTGCTTGCCAGCACCCCGCCATGTTTTCTTTGTGCTGTGTGTTTAGAGTCTACGGTATGTTTGCTACTGAAGCTGTATGCCCTCTTTGGACAAAGACACATGAATCGTGCAGTGTGACTTTTGTGCTATTCGATTGATCTGACCTTAGACATAGCCATAACTTGAGAGACTTGAGCATAGATGCACCCATGCATGTATGCATGCATGCATGACTGATCTGGATCTGACCTGACCTGACCTGACCTGACCTGACCTGACCTGACCTTACCTTACGTTTGGCCGCACAGCTATGGCTCCACCGCCATAAGTAGTGGTGACCGGTGGATGGCCGATTCCTCCTTTCCCTCGTGGCGGTGGACCCACCTTCTTCCCCTTCCCCTTCTGCTATCCTACCTTACCACCTCCTGATCTGGCTTCTAGTCATCATCCATTAGCTAGCCTCAGCACGCGCTGAACCCCAAGGACCTTTCCCTTCCTGGTTCGATTGGGGGCCAGACTTTCCCCCCTGCTGGCGGTGCTAAGAGGGCGCTGTGCATGATCTGTTGACCGTTATGCTAGCCGTCAAGACTTCAGGTGTTTGAATGATGGGGCGAAAACTTGCTGAGAAAAGCGGGTTCTCTCCCCTTCTCCGTCTCTGACCCCGTGTGTGGATGACAAAGGCATTTGCTATAGTGGACTGACTGACTCGGGATACGAGGTAGATAAGGGAGGGGGTGAGACCTCGGACCTGTCTCTGCTCACCTTGGGTCTTCCTGTCGCATTGAGGCTCTTAGCGCTTGTTGGTGCTCATTATTGATCATCGTCACGAAGAAGCATTTATTAGCTTTGCTGCTGGGTTCAACGTTTGTCGTTCGCAGTCACAGAATTTATTGAGCACTTGGGTGGATCCGTAGCTTCTCTGGCGTGTCGGCACCCTTCTGGACGAAGACGTCACAGCCCACGAGTAAAGGGTATCTCCCTTGCTCTTAAGATCAGCCCCACACGCAGATACGGTCGAGACACCGGCACTCAACATCATCATCATTCCAGAGCGCACAATCCTCCGCGCGGGAGCATCAGCAGAAGCGAAACGGAACGGACCTGAGGGACTTTCTGTCTCACAGACAACCCACGACCTAGTGTAGCAACCCCAGCCAAACCATGCCCCTCGGCCGCCCCCGCGCCCCCGGCACCGAAGCCGAGCGCGCCGAGGCCCGCCGCGCCAAAGTACGCGCCAATGTGCAGGCCTTCCGGCGACGGCAGAAGGAGAAGAAGCTGGCGGAGGCGGCCGCACTTGCCGTCGACAGTAGAGAGACCTGCGAAGAAGGAGGCGCGCCACAACGGGTCGGGGTGGCGATCTGTCGGGATGGGTTCCTCGACGCCGGTACCAATAACGGGTCTTCGACTTCTGCGGCCGACTCCTCGAGCGTCATCAGCGCGAGGTCGAGCCCGGGATTGAGCATGGCGGGCTCGTGGCAGAGTATGAGTTTTCCGGAGCAGGACTATGCGGACCCGGATGGGTGGATGTGGGCGCTGCCGCGGGATCTGAGTGGAAATGCAGCGTATCAGGAGGTGTTTACCAATGCGGCGGCGGCGATGCAGCAAGAGGGAGCGTGGCGAACAGCAGAGAATAGAAGTCGGAGCAGCAGCAACAAGAGAGAGTCTGCCGGCCTGTACGAGCCCTTCCGTGCCTTTGCAGGATGTGGCTCTGGCTGGTTCCACGCTCTGATGATGGAGACTGTGGACCCCGGGTTGGAGATTCTGAACGATGCGTGTCTTGCATCGGCGCTGACCGTCATCGGCCGCGAACGCGGGAACCAGGAGGTAGGCGTGGCCGGGGCTTACGTGCAGAGTCGAGCATTGCGGCAGTTACGAGAAGCGCTGCAGGCCTGGGGCGAAGGTGTCTCGTTGTGCGCGGTGAGCTTGTCGACAGCTGCGCTCTCGTGTGCGATGACGGAGCTGGTGACTGGCCGGAGCTGGGACAGCTTTGCCGGGCATCTGAACGGCGTGGGGTCGCTGTTGGCATACCACGACCCAGCGAGTCTGAGGACACAGGCTGCGAGAGAGCTCTTCTACGGGTTTCGATCGATGGAGGCAGCGTTTGCGTTCAACTACGGGCGCAGTCTGTTCTTGGCGGAGTCGAGGTGGGTTGACTTAGCGTGGAGGGATGAGGTTGCCATCTCGCAGCATCCCCTGCACGCCATGCTCGACAAGGCATTCAGGTTACTGCCGGAGCTTGCCCAGCAACACAGCCCCCGCCGTCTGAAGGCATCTGAGCTCCGTAGCCGAGTCCAGCGGCTCCGCAGCATAGCCTTCGATCTGGATACCTGGGAGCATGAGTTTCGAGCGCAGTATCCTGGCGGCCTACACAGCAAGAAGGAGGCGGAGTGGGCGGGATTGTATGACTTTGCCTTTGAGTTTGCATCGTTGCCATCAGCGACCGCGTATGCGACGTATGCCGGTGTACGAATCAAGCTGGCTAGCACCATGTACACGACGCTGTGTGATCTGGCAACGCATGATTACAGCGTGACGGAAGCGCAGAAGACTGATTCGTTATTGCAAGGGCTGAGGTGGTCGAGACAGGCATTTCAGAGTCTGGAGTATTTCCACACAGGGTCAATCAAGGAGTGCGGGTGGCTGGCGACGCTGTTTGCGTTTGATGCCGCGTGGGAATATGTGCAGCGGCCGCAGTTGACGGGGCATGTCGATCTGACCGCGGAGCATGAGTGGTGCATTGCAACGGCGCAAAGGTTTGCGACCCTAGAGATTCCGGTGTTTGCATGGAGATGAGGGGCCGGGTTGGGCAGTCAGCAGAGCGAAGGGGGGCTGTGTACAATAGAGTGAGACGCTAAGAGTATTCACCGTGTCTTTGCCTTTTCTTTCCATCGTGTTGAAGGCGGGATCGACGGCTTGGTGCACAGCACTGCCACGAACGATGTAGCTCAATTCTCGTCCAACGACCCGAGACGAGCTGGAATGTGTGAAATGAAGTTTTTGAGAAAGACGTCACCAGTGTTTGGCCGATTGGTGAAGAGAAGCAATATTGTCGTTGTGCAGCAATGTCCATCGATGTGGTTGAATGAGGCGCAGGCAAAGCTTAAAATTTAAACATCAGGCGTGGCGGGAAGGCAGGAAGGAAGGCGACGGTCGCCCACATGCCTAGACCTTTGGAACTCGGCGCCTCCCTGGGGCTGTGGCTGGGGCTGTGGCTGCTGACTTGTGGCGCAGACGGAGGAAAATCTCTTTTCCGCTCCGTCAAAGAGATGAAAGTAGTTACTCGCCCGGAGCACCGCCCATCGCGTCCGCCGGAAGGCCCCTGCTCTGGATCAGCTTTGATGCTCTCAATCACGACATCAACCTGCGCAGACATGGCTCGTGTTCGTGCACTAAGCGTGACGAAGCGAGGAGCATGAGAGTGCTGGGCAGATTCTCCGCTGTCATTCATGACGCGAGACAAGGAGCAAGAAGTTTTGCCAAGCAGACTGACGCCGGTGGCGGACCAGTTCAACTGGCGAAAGCGAGATCACCAGAGGGGGGCAAAGCCTTGGCCGAAATGGCCAAATTCCTTGTTCTCTGTTGGTCGAAGCTACATTTCCGCAAGGAGCGTGATAGAACATGTCAAACTTTCGACGTGTTTGGGGGCCTCTGGAGTTTATACCATACCTCGTTACTCGTAGGGGAGATTTGGTTGCGCGGGATTTGGCCTGGGTCCGCCTCGAGGTAGCTGGGGCGGCCCCGGCTGCCTTGCCGCGGGCGCGCAGAGGGCGGCTGTTGGTTTGTTCTGATGGACAATGGTTAGGCGCCTTGCGCTTGGGCGTTTGGGACTGTCATTCTTATTCGGTAAAAAGGAATAATCATTCCTGACCTCCAAGCGCTGGACGGCGAAAAGACATGGCAAAGACCGCGGGCGGGGGCCCTGCGATTGGCCCGTCGGCCTAGTCCCCACTGAAGATCAGGGGCGCAAACATCCGCGGCCGAGATCACAACCGCACCACAGCACATCTCATCCAGCATCATTCTGAAACCTCGGGCTTGACCGTTTGCCTGATCACAGATCTCCAGGCGGGCGCTTGCGGGCGGGCAACCAAGATTTTCGTCCTGCAACGTTCAAGTTCAAGCTCAAGCACCCCATCCTGCGGAGCTTCTGCTAGGCTCGACTCGGTACTGCAGCGATGTTGGACCCATAGTGCCTTGGCAATGAGGCAGTGCAATGGAAGAAAGGAGGAGGTCTGTCAACCAAACCAAACCACAGCACCGCCGGATTTTTGCATATCTGAGGCCACATCTACTTGCCACCATCTGACCATCAAAGGCGTCCTTGTTCCTCTCCGTCCAGGCCCTTCAGTACGCGTAGTATTGACCTCCGGAGTATCATTCCTAATCCAGTCGATGGAACAACCTTGCTGTCGAAGGCATCCGCGCTGTGTCAGTCGACTCAGCCGCAACAAGAACCCAACTCCGAGGTCATAGCGCGGTCAGCCTCTTCTAGCACCATGGCTGCTCCCCAAATCACTTTAGATACGTCTGTGAGTGCAGCTGCCCCCTTACTGTCGTTACCGAATGTGAGGCGGATTTGGCACCAGCTTGGCTTCTAACATCTGCCCATCAGAACCTGTCCGACGACGAGCGTCGAACCACCGCTCCGTCTCCAAAGACAACAACTCACCACAAACGCGGTCCCAGCATGTCGACGCCGCCACAGACCGCAGACAACGATATCTTTCTGTCTCCCACTACGCCTGACCGCAAGCAATTCGATGGCGTGACCTTGGCATCTCGAGCAGGTTCAGACGCGCAATTGAGTGAAACGTCGACTCGCTTACGCTCCAACTCGGGTATCTCAGCTGCCTCGTCTAATACTTATCATTCAAAGACCAGCTTTGAATGCGAGTCACCCGACGAAGCCCTACGGCCCGACCCCGGCAACGAGAAAGACTTCAACGTCTCATCTAACCCATTCGCATTTTCGCCTGGTCAGTTGAACAAGCTACTGAATCCGAAATCACTATCAGCCTTCAAAGCACTCGGAGGGCTGAGAGGCCTCGAAAAGGGTTTACGCACAGACATCAGATCTGGTCTTTCTTTGGACGAACTTCACTTGGACGGTCAAGTATCTTTTGAAGATGCTACTCACGTCGACAGCAAAGAACCCCTCGATGTCGACAGCAGTGACCTCAAGCGATCCAACTCAATACCTGTCGCCAAGAAGGACCTCAAGGGTCAATTCGAAGACCGCATCCGGGTTTTCAAGGACAATCGGCTACCTGAACGAAAGCCTGACAGCATATTTGTACTCATCTGGAGGGCGTATAACGACAAGATTCTCATTCTTTTAACCGTAGCTGCGGTCATCTCACTGGCTCTGGGAATTTTTGAAACTGTTCACGGCGGTGGTGGAGTCGATTGGGTCGAAGGAGTGGCTATCTGCGTCGCTATTTTCATTGTCGTTGCCGTCGGCTCCGTCAACGATTGGCAAAAAGAACGGCAGTTCCTCAAACTCAACAAACGAAAGGACGAGCGCGAGGTTAAGGTCATTAGATCTGGGAAATCGATTCAGATCTCAGTCTACGATGTTACCGTGGGTGACGTGATGCACCTTGAACCTGGTGATGCTGTACCTGCCGACGGTATCTTCATCACCGGCCATGGTGTCAAATGCGACGAATCCTCCGCGACAGGCGAATCCGACCAGATGAAAAAGACACCCGCAGAAGATGTCTGGCAGCGATTGCAGGATGGTACCGCAACCGCAAAACTCGACCCATTCATCATCTCCGGCAGCAAGGTCCTCGAAGGAGTCGGTACCTTCCTTGTCACTAGCGTGGGTGAAAACAGCTCTTTCGGCAAGATCATGATGAGCCTGCAGACTGACAACGATCCGACACCCCTCCAAGTCAAACTCGGTAATCTCGCCAACTGGATCGGCGGCCTAGGTTCATCTGCTGCAATTCTTCTCTTCTTCGTCCTGACCATCAAGTTCTTGGCCCATCTGCCAAACGACGACCGAGATGCGGCTGCCAAGGGCCAGGAGTTTCTAGATATCCTGATCGTCGCCATCACTGTTATTGTGGTCGCTGTGCCGGAAGGCCTACCACTCGCGGTCACGCTGGCTCTTGCCTTTGCGACAACCCGTATGCTCAAAGAGAATAATCTTGTCCGTGTCTTGCGAGCTTGCGAGACCATGGGAAATGCGACAACGATTTGCTCTGACAAGACTGGTACGCTGACCCAAAACAAGATGACAGTGGTGGCTGGCACCATCGGTGCTGACCAGAAGTTTGCGACCTCCGGATACACGGCAGAGAAGGCTTCTCCGCCCCAGACTCTGTTCAGCCAGATTCCATCTGACCTCAAAAATCTCATCCGCACTTCGATCAGCATGAACAGCACTGCTTTTGAAGGCGAGGAGAAAGGCATCGCCACCTTCATCGGATCAAAAACCGAGGTTGCCATGCTCACTTTGGCCAAGGAACAGCTTGGGCTGGACCATCTAGCAGCGGAGCGTTCGAACTACAAGGTCAAGCAGCTTATCCCGTTCGATTCAGGACGCAAGTGCATGGGAGTCGTCATCAAGCTTAGCTCTTCCCATGGTAGCGGCTACCGCCTGCTTGTCAAGGGTGCAGCGGAGATCATGCTGGCTCACGCTTCTCGCACGGTCTTGCCCACTTCCGCCGGCACGGACACATTCGAGGTCGAGCCTATGCGCGCAGAGCATACCCAGCAGATTGGACACATCATCGAAGACTACGCTCAGCACTCCCTTCGCACAATTGGCATGCTCTACGCCGACTTCCCAACTTGGCCGCCCCATGATGCCAAAGTGCTTGAGGAGGATCCCAAGATGGCAAACTTCGACTCCATCTTCCATGACCTCACCTGGGTTGGGGTTGTCGGTATTCACGATCCTCTTCGCGAGGGAGTCGTTGAAGCTGTTGCACAGTGTCAGAAGTCCGGCGTTGTTGTCCGCATGGTTACTGGCGACAATGTCAACACAGCCCGTGCTATCGCTCGCGATTGTGGCATCCTTCGTGACGATGATGAGGAGAACGAGATCGTCATGGAAGGTCCCAAGTTTCGCCTTCTCGGCGAACAGGAAATGGACGCCGTCCTGCCCAAATTGCGCGTACTGGCTCGGAGCTCCCCTGATGACAAGCGTATCCTGGTTGGCCGCTTGAAGGCTCTCAAAGAAACCGTCGCTGTCACCGGTGACGGGACCAATGATGGTCCTGCATTGAAAATGGCCGATGTTGGGTTCTCGATGGGCATTGCTGGTACTGAAGTTGCGAAAGAAGCATCCTCGATCATTCTGTTGGATGACAACTTCAGCTCCACGATCACCGCGCTGATGTGGGGTCGCTCTGTCAACGACGCAGTGAAGAAATTCCTGCAGTTTCAGATCACCGTCAACATCACCGCCGTTGTCCTCACATTCGTCTCATCAGTCAGCAGTGGCTCGAACTCGTCAGTTCTGACAGCAGTGCAACTGCTCTGGGTCAATCTGATCATGGATACTCTCGCAGCTCTCGCACTGGCCACGGACCCGCCCACCAAGGCCATTCTGAATCGTCCCCCACAGCCCAAGACGGCACCACTGATTACCATCAATATGTGGAAGATGATCATTGGTCAGACGATCTATCAACTTGTGGTCACGTTTGTGCTCTACTTCGCAGGACACAGCATTTTCGGTCTCGATCCCACACCAGTGGACCAGAGAGACCCACTCGACACAATTGTTTTCAACTCGTTCGTCTGGATGCAAATCTTCAATGCTTTCAACAACAGGCGGTTGGATAACAAATTCAACATCTTTGAGAACATGTTCAAGAACTATTGGTTTATGAGCATCCTGACCATTATGATCGCGGGTCAAATCATGATCGTTTTCGTTGGTGGTGCGGCCTTCTCGGTGTCACGCCTCAATGGGCCGCACTGGGCGATCTCAATCCTCACTGCTCTGCCCTGCTTATTGTGGGCTGTCTTGGTGCGAATGTTCCCCGATGAGTGGTTCGCGGCAGTCTTTGAGCCTTGTCTGGCCGGGATCCGATGGGCCCTGCTGCCAGTCTGGACAGCTACCAAAGCAGCATTCCGCCCCGTTTGGCGGGCGACCAAGGCAACTTTCCGGCCCATCGGGCGACTCTTCGGGCGCAAGAAGAAGACCGAAGAGTCTGACGACGACAAGCTAGCGGATGAGGAGCAGGCCAGCCTCAAAGGCAAGACTGTTTATGGCGAGGCCGGCGCACCCAGCACACCAATACAGGTCTCCTCAAATGACCCTGTGCTGAAAGTCGAGAATCCGCAGCAAAGAGACGTGCCGAAATTCGAAGTTACGGCACCAGAAGAGGCGGATGACAGGGAGGTGCCTACCGTCAAAGTCGACGGTCCCAAAGACTGAAACAGCTTCAGTTGCCTCTACATCACTTCAAAATTCCATGTATCAATACTTATTCGACTGACACTGATTGCACTGGCGTTCTTATACAGCTTACGATGACTATGAAAATAGAGAAGAGTACGTGAACGGGCCAGCCGGGTGGGGAGTCTGCATCGGATTGGTGGTGTTTTCGGCCTTGAAGAAGTAGGGCTATGATCTATATACCAAAGGGCAATGGCGTTCTGGCATGGCATTGGGAGGACTCTTAACACGGGTTTTCACAGTCCGAGGCTCGAGACGGCGTTCAACAAGGAGGGGAAGGTGAATCCGTCCACAAGCATAGCAAATCCAATCCACTTTATTAGTTCAACCGCAATGTTCCGACTCTGTATCAACCCCACGCTGTGAGCCAACTCAGCCGCCTTTCCTTGTGACTACACAACTGTAGCCACACAAGACCGGCTTCAATTCGCAGCTCATCGTGATCGGAAAGGTCATGTATCGTCTTGTCAAAAGTCCCATCACTTCCCAATTCGGCATGGCACCACTACCGACTCGATCCCGATATGCCCAAGCAAAATCGATGGGCTGTGCTGGCCAACCAACCTCACTGGACACTATCAGCCAAGTAAGGCGGGACTTTTGCTCGCCCGGCCCCAGGCGCAAGGCGCCCGGTCTACGTCCAGCATAGCAAGAGGCTACGCAACTTAGGTCGCGCCGCTGTTCCTCTTATCATGTTCACCTCAGTGTGGAGGCCCTTTCTCTCATTCTCCATCCCGATCAAGCGAGATTTCAAGAGTTACCTACGGTCTAGACACCAGTTTAGCTTACCACTCCACACAGATGGCTGCTGTCGCGCAGGTAAACCCTCCTCGACCCGACCCGCGCCAGCGGGTGCAAAAGGGTTCCCGGTTTAGGCCAAGGTCAAGGTTTACCGTAACCGGTGAGGACTGGCAACGGCTTCGGCAAGTGATCACGAGGCTGTACCTCGAGGAGAACCGAACGTTGAAGGAAGTGCAGAGGATTATGGAACTCAGATACGGGTTCTCCGCAACGTGAGATACATTCTCTTGCCGCTATGGGCTCCTGATGGCTCGCCAAGCTGACAATACCGCTAGCAAACGGATGTACATGGGCAAAGTGAAGGCGTGGGACATTTGCAAGCACTACAAGGCGGCGGAGAAGGAGCAGCTATCCACCGTCATTGAAGATGCGAAGCGGAGGAACTTGCCACTGGACCGGGTCACCTTTCGCGGCCAGCCGGTGCACGTCGACCGCATCGAAAAGTACCTCAAGAAGAAGCGCCGCTTGTTGGCGGAAGATAAAAGGTCACAGCTCCAATGCGAGCCTGACTTGTCTCTTCAGTCTCAGCAACAGTCGTCCGAATCCGCGAGCGGCCCGGACACAGACACCATGGGCACTTCATCACGCTCCCGGACGTGCCAGTCGCTATCGACCACCAGCAATTCCAACGCATCCATCTCTCCTCCTCAGTCACGCTCGGCTTCCGGTGCCACAATGTCATTGCCAGAAGACGGAGGAACGCTGTTTGCAGGTCGATCAGGCGTGCAGACTGTGCCGTACTCCCTACCTCCTGTGACCCCGTTCGACGCCGAACTGCTCTTGAAGCAGATCAGAGCCTACGCCACCCACACACCCCATGGACTCGGTGAGCCTCCATCCTGCATTCGCTTCTGGTCGTCGATCCGCTCCGCAATCTACTTCCTCAAAGTCGGGTCCCCGCACCTCGCCTGGCCCGTACTCAACGCCGCCTGCGCCAACGCCTCCGACCTGCTCCTCGCAGACGCCCGTACTCTCTCGGTGCCCTTCCTCCGGAGCCTTCTCTCGACCCTCGCCCCCGCCAACACGCGCTTCCACCCGGAAGTCCGCGCCGTGCTGCTGCGCTACCTCTCCCGCCGCCTCGCCACAGACCCGTCCATGCAGCCTCTTTCCGTCATCTGCGGGCACCTCGCGCACGACGACTCGCACCACGAAGCGTCGCAGCGCGGCCTCAACCTGCTGCTCGACCTCGCGCAGTCTCCGACCCGCCCGGTGGCTTACTGCGCCCATCAGACCCTCGCCACGCACCTCGCGCTCATATCACTCTACCGCCGCGTGGCCGACCTGTCTGCCGCCGAGACGGCCGCGAAGCTGTTGATCGCACACTGCGATTTCGCGTTTGGGCCTTCCTCGCTGGAGACGTGCGATGCCAAGGTCGAGCTGGTCTACATCTACACCTCACAAGAGCGCTACGACGAAGGTCTGACGCTGTGCCAGGAAGTGCTGGACACACGGGCGCAGAGTCCCGAGGTCGGCGAGTTTCCGGATAAGAAGGCGTGTTATGCGATGGAGAACATGGCCGAGATGTATCACTTCAGGGGCCAGGAAGGGGATGTGGATATGTGTATTGGGTGGCTCAAGCGGGCGCTGGAGAGGACGTGGCGGTTGAGGGGCAGTGTGCCCACTACGATACATATCAGGGATAAGTTGTGGGGCATGCTGGTTACGCTGGGGAGAGTCCTCGAGGCCGAGGACCTGGAAGTGAGGTATCCTGCTGCTGGGTCTGCAGCTGGGGACGAGGGTTGGGTGGTTGTTGGGGAAGATAGCTAGGTCCCGTCCGGTCGCCATCTTCGTGCACCAGGCATGGCGCTCGGCTACGGTGAAGCAGTGCGCGGATGAGCCTTCCAATCTGCCGTAGCGGTATAGCATCTGTTCCGACTCCCACGGCGAAAGTACTCTGGTAGAACGTAACGGCCTTTTACTGTCTGGCACCAAATTCGAGACAGCTACGGGAAATGTCTTGCCCCATCTCCAAGTCTCCTGCAACGGAGCGCTTAACCATCCTGATGGACACCTGAGCACATTCAAAGGTGTAAGCGCCATGGTACAGTTAGTCCTCCATCCTTCCAAGTCACACCAGTCGCCTGGTCAACAAGCCAGTGTGTCTCAGCCTTTTATCAGTATATCCTGCTGCAACTGGTCTGTCTACAGTCCAACCAGTCGATGCTCCGTCCTCCGACAATACCGAGAACTGGCTACGACAAGTTGAGCCGCAGCAAGAGGCCGAGTCGCAAGCCTTTCCAGCCCGTTCCCCGGCTCGGTGAATTCGTCCCACTAAGCCCGTGCCAGCGAGGTGCATGCGGCAGATGACGACTCTGTCACACCAGGAACTCTCCGTTCCCTTTGCATCGGGCTCAGAGACAGAATAGCGCAAAGTTGTAGCGGCAGCGAAACCATCCGAGTCCGAGAAGCGGTTGCCACCTTGGCAGGAAATCGACACTGAAAGCCACTCGGCCCTTCTCCGTGTGCGATCAGCGTATTGCTTTCCTCGCAAACAGCAATGGATGCTGCGCCTTGCCCGCGTCAACCGCACTCGTCGCCCAGTCAAACACCTCACCCGTGCCCTCGACTTTGTTCTCCAGCACCTCGAGCCCCACCGCCTGCAGCATGGCCCGATACTCAGCCATGCCATAATTGCTCCAATACATGTCCGCGCCATAGAAGTCATGCACGATGCCCTCACCGCCCTCAGCACTTGCAGCCGCCGTCGCGAGCAAATAGCCTCCGGGGCGGAGCCACGCCCCCACGCGCTCAAAGACCTTCGCGTGTGTCTCGCGCGGTAGGTGGAAGACAGAGAAGAAGGCCACGACGGCATCGAAGCCACCCTGCGGGGTAAAGGGGGAAAGGAGGTCGTCGGCGTCCGCCATGTCGCCCTGGATGAAGGTCGCGCTGGGGACGTTGGCCTTCGCGCGCGCGATTTGGGCAGAGGAGATGTCGAGGCCGGTGACGTGGAAGTCGTGGCGGCTGGTTAGGGTCGAGGCGACGGGAATGCCGGCGCCGCAGCCTAGGTCTAGGATGGCGGACTTGGGGCGCAGGCGGGAGGTTAGGAGGGCGAGTTCGTTGACTTCGTCTTGGGAGCGTGTGGCGGTGTAGGCGGCGCTGCAGGCGTTGTAGCCTGCGGCGACGGTCTGGTGGGGCTCTGGGTTGCTGTTGGACATGGCGGCTTTGGCCGTGGCGGTGGAGATGGTATGTGGACTGTATGTATGTTGCTCCAAGATGTTCTCTTTGAATGACTTACTGAAACGGCTTGCTAGTATAATTGCCGACAACACTCTGAGTCATTGAGAGGGAGGACATCCGTGACTCAACTAAGCGGTTGTATAACCGTGTTGAGTGTCAGGCACTTTGTCCTCGCTCACAAGATGCTGTTCCAGCTAGGACTATGGCTATCTTATGCATTGCGCATGAGCATCTTGTCGTACCTCACGTATCCTTCATCGTTGCGTTTTCGTACGGAGGAGAGCTGCAGTCCCTGGCTTGTGCGAACGGCGGCTAATCTACCGCTTTGGCACACATCGATATTGGCTCCAAATCACCCTAAATGACAAGTCACGTGTCGGTAGGCCGTGGCACGCAATTCGACACCTTGGATGTAGAAAGTGATCGCTTCAGGTGACGACGTCCAGATTGCGATCGACCAGATAGAGTGATTCCAGCAGCTTCCACAGGAGAAGTGCCCAGTTGCAATAAGCATTAAAGCAAGCACCACGCGCTCGTAAGTACCAGAAAGACGCGTCGTTCCTTCCCAAGGGTGTCGTTTTCTCAATCTCAACTGCTCAACTGTGGCCTTGCACATATACAACACAACTTAATGAGTCTTTGCCGACATACCGAGAAGCTCAACGACAACATCACCTCTTCTCCATAATGGCTCCCACACTGCGTAAGCGGACAGAGCGAGCCGCGTCGTCTCAGCAGTCCCCCCAACCAGCAAAGAAAAGATGTAGCCCGGCTCGCAAGAGGAAGTTCCCATTCATGAAGCTTCTCCCGCCGAAATACGCCTGATGATTCTCAAAGAGTTTCTCTGCTCCCCGGACCCATTGTCTTTGAGACCAACACCAAGCGGTCGGGCGTCTTATTCCCAGATCGGAACCGTGTTGACAGACAATATGCAAAAAGGTCGGAGAGTGCAGCTCCTCGCCAACTGTGGCCAGAGATCCTTGCAACGTGCAAACAGCTCCGTCAAGAGGGGTCGTCGCTGCTATACGACAATACCCTGGGAATTCGTCTGAGCAAAGAAGACGACGACGATGTCGACTTCAATGAAGTGGTTGACCGCGATGATGGCCATGACGCTTTCGCGTTTCGATACTGCTGTAAGCCGTTGATTCTCGGAACACGATACGGTTGAGGGCCCACCAGCGGATCTTGTCCTCAAGTTCACAAAGGCACACATTACGGTTTGGGGCAGTGATCAATTCCGTGGTTCTGATCGGGATGACTACAATGACGAACATAATGGGGAGGACCTCCAACTAGGAGTGTCTAACCTCGTCGACATGATTGAGCCTGTTCCGAATCTGACGCAGCTGCACGTCGAGCTTATGAACTTCCCATTTGCTAATCAGCGTTTGCGCAAGCTGGCCAATCCGGACGACGAAGGCGACGAGGATCTAAGAGACTACGCCGGGATGGTGGAGCCACTGTTGTCTATGCGCTACCTCCGAGGTCGCACCATCACCTGCGAAGGCGTCGAGCCGGTGTTCGCCAAGGAACTCAGCCGCCTCGCTGCTTCGTGTGAGCCCGTCGTCAACCTGGACAGAAAGTGTCAATCTCTTAGGCAACTCCTCAGATTCATACCAACCGACCTGTATAACGATGAAGGGGTGCTGGCCAGGATGGCCTCTGAAATGACCCATCTGATCGATTTCTGCGAGATAGGGCGCGACGTTGGTCAGACAAAAGATTTTCTCGAGACTCGAAAGCGAGTCATAGAGATGGCCGGCGCCATGAACCGTCTACGCTACCAGATGGTCTACTGGAATGACCCCGGTGAAGGCAAGGATATCGTGGACCAGTACGACAGCTACTTCACATACGAGCCCGACTATGCGCAGTTGTTCCCCTCCATCCGCGCTGGAGAAATCCGGCCAGTGCTAACACCATCAGAAGAGTTGGTTCGTGACAGTATCCAAGATCTAGACTAAGCTGTTAAGAGGGCTGTGTTTGGGTCGTCGGTCTTGGAGCGCGCTGGCTATCTGGGGCTTCTTAAATGGGGCACAGGACCTGGCACAGAAGTTTGGCGTAGTATAACGCTGTGTGAGTTTGACTGGTCGTGTATCAATAATCGTCACGACAACTGATCGGCGATGAATCGGGTACGATGCCATCCAGCCATGCCAAGACTTTTACTGCCTGAAGTTTTGGCCCAGCAGCCCGCTCAACCCGTCGTCGCTCTAGTCGGAAATACTTCGTCCAGCATGTATGTAGCCACGAGCACTACCTCTGAGGACATTAGCAAAGCACAAGACATGGCTCTTGTTTCATATTCAACGTATGCGGCACGGCGACGTATCTTAAAAGTCCACGACATTATCGGCCAAGCCAAGGACCATATTATTGCCTGACCCAGAGCCGAAATGATCCCTCGCATATTCGCGTGTACCAGCCGTCAATGCCAATATCAATAGAGTTGCTGTGTTTCTCAAGGCCAAAGCCCAGCCAGCCGCCAGGGTCATGATTCATTTCTACTTTGTGAAAGGTACAAAGTGAAATGCTAAGATCCTCGGGGGGTTTTGGCGGGCATTGATCAGGGTAGAGTAGAGTAGAGTAGGTAAAGGGACTGCTGTCGTGAGTTTCGTGTAGGTAGGTAGGTAGGTAGGTAGGTAGGTAGGTAGAGAAAGAGAGGTGTGAGGTTGAAGCCGGGGGTAAAATGTATCAAGGCCACGGTATCGTAGGGGCGAGGAGGCAGTACGGGGGCTTTCAAGGAAGGGACGAGGATTTGAGCGTAGTTGGAATAGAGAGGGGGGGGGGGGGTTGTCTGCTGCCTGTTGAAGTACTCTGGGCATCTGAGGCGGGTAAACGTCTGTGTCAGGGCATTGCTTCGATGTTCGCCCACCGTGCGCTGCGCGTCGCGTTCGCGCGAGTGTGTGTGTGCCGGAGTTTGATTACGCGAGCGAAAGAGCTACTCTAGTCCGTAGTGTCAGAGCTTTCTGGGAAAAAAAAAGGATAAAGCGGAGGTTCGGAGGGCCCTTCGCAGGTCAGGAATGCATGGCAGCGTGGGGTAAAGGGGATGTGCAAACTCGTGGCACAATAGTTCCCTTCTCGATGGCCCTCAGGAATGCGGAGCAAAAGCATAATATAACGACGCTCAGTTCAAGCGTTGTCACGAATTGAATATTTTTGATGTTGGCATATGTTCTGTATTTGCAGTATCCTATACAGGAACACAACTGGATGGCTGTTATACACCCAAAAGAGTCCCAAAACCTTTCGTTCCCCCGGAATAAATTAAGTTTGTAGCTTTCACAGGTCCCCCATATGCAAAGTGTTCATGTCAATCATGCCAGTCAAGCGAGAGGCCTGAAGGTTTGATTTACAGAAGAAGGGCAGCAATGGCGGCGACACCGGCAAGGCCAGCGCCGGCCATCTTGGAGGCAGAGCCGGTGTAGCTGTCGACGGGGGTGGATGGCTTGTAGGGAGCGACGGGAGCAGCAGTGCCAGTGGGAGCAACGGGAGCAGCGGCGTCCTATGAGCAAAAAGGTCAGTACATTGAAGCGTTGCAATTGGGTCTTGGGGACTTGGACTTACAACCCAGGTGGAGGCACCACCGGTGGGAGCAACAGGGGTGACAGGCACAGCGGCGTCGCTCCAGACGGTGCTGAGAGTGCTGCTGACAGGCACAGCGGCATCAGCCCAAGTGCTGCTGCTAGAGGCAGTGACGGAGGCCACTGGGACATCGGCCCAAGTAGCAGAGGTGGTAGGCTCCACCGAGGAGGCGTCCTCCCACTCGGCGCACTCGGTGTAGGCGGGGGCGCACGAGGTGACGGTCACATCGACGACGGTGGTGACGGTCTTGCTAGCGAGAGCAGCGGCAATCAAGCCGGCAATAGCGAGGACGGAACGCATCTTGATGGTTGGTATTTGGGGTGATTAACTCGAAAACGAGGAGGTAAGGTAAAAGGTGGTGATGAAGTGGTGGTGATGGTTTGTTCGATTAACGAATGTGATGAGTTTAGACTCGAAAGAGTGGACGACTAGAAGCTAGTCAAAGGCGTTAGGATACAGATTATGTTCGTGTATGAAGGAGAGGAAGAAGATGTTGTGCCACGGAGCAGGCATTATGTACTCTTGGACTCCTGATGAGCGGGATGGACCATGGATCATGGGCTCAGCGTGGAACTCGGTTGCTGGGAAATTGCATCTGGAGAAGCGGCAGCCCAGAAGGGAATAGGGGTAAGCAAGCTGCCTGAAAAGCACCAATCTCAGACCAATCTCAACAGCCTGGAAGCCTAAAGTGCTGCCAAGCTGGGCGGCGAGTGGCTGGCCAAGGACGCCCACGGTGGTCTCTGGATGAGACGCTAAGTTGATGGCCTGGCTCTCTCCTGTGTTGGGCCCAGAGTCTGTTCTCGATCGCGCACTCCTTTCAATTTCAGGACCTTGTACACCGAGTACGGGGCTACTGGTTCGCAAAGTTGCTGGAGGTGCGCCGCTGTCCCCCGCAAAAATCGGAAACCCACAGAAACGATCGAACAGCCCTGGGCGGTGCCAGTACTCGGTACAAGCTGGCACCCTGGCAAGTTGATTGCCAAAATACAGCTCTACACCACACAGCACGCTCGGTAGACGTGTCTTGCAATCCTCTCCTTGCAAGAAACTGATGACCCTCCTGCAGCCCTGATGAGACTGTCTGGGTGACATGTCTCACAGTGGTCGCTGACGTCCAAAATAGGAGCTCATCTTTGATGCTCCGGTAAGCGTGCAGTTATTGATTTGGGTCTCCTTGCGCCAGTCCAAACAGAGGCCGAACCCGTCTGTTGCTAATTGGAGATGAGATGTGACGCTTGTTGCCGCCACGCGACTGCAAAATACGAGCGTCCCGGAGATTTGGCCGCCAAGCCTAAAGTCGATGCCAAGATCACAAGCGCTGAGTTCGACTCTGCTCATTGCCGACAACGAAAAGAAAGTCGATCTGGTAAAAGTCGATCTCACCGAGTCCAGAAATGCATCTTCCTCCTCGACGTGATCTCAGCAAGCGTACGGTCGCCGCTACTGCAGTTCGGCCGCAATACTATGCAAGGTTTTGCGACAACTGATTCGTCATCATGCAGGGAGGTGATGAGTACAAACCCCCAGGCGGAAATGCCATCCGAAGCTTGATCCCGGCAAGCTGCTGAGCTCGATGGCCGTTTTCCCAGACGTTATGGTCGATGTCAATTCCATTGGCCGAATGAAAGCTCTGCTCGCTGAGTCCTGCCCGAACGAGGCGCCGCGTATCGTTCGTCATGGACTTGAGAGCTTCACTCGTCATCTACTCAGCCTCATGAGCAAGACTCTGTTACCATTCCAGCCAATGGCAGTGTGGCATTGATTTCCGGGGACGGATCAATCTTCCTCACCTCATCCAGCGTTCTGCGCATCGACAGTCTCAAGGCCGAACCCGAGGTATGCGTGACTGCCGTGACCACTCCCGGAGGATACGGATCATGATGCTGGTGCATGTTGACTCCATCGAAAAAGCTATTGAGTACCCCGAACCATGAGGTGAGATCATGACTATCCGGGTACCTGGTAAGAGCTATATTGTAGAAAAGTCCTCTTGAGTTTGCAGTTGTTTCCCGTCCATCTCAGTCTCACCATCGAGCCCGTGAAGATGAAGTCGTTTATTGCCCTGGCTCTCGTAGCCGGTGCTGCCGCCGCCCCTCAGATCACTCAAAGCCCAGCAAGCGGACCTGAGCCGCCAGTTCGAAGCTCCGAGGTCGAGGGACCTACCACTCATGGCCCATTCAGTGGCGAACCCACCACTACTGGCGCTCTCTCGAAGCCAGCCTTGGCGCAGTCCATTGCGCCCGGCCCTCCTCTGCCAGTGACCTATGTGAACAACAACGGCGAGCTCCAGGCCACAGCTATGCCCGTGCCATACCAGCCTGATGGCGGCATCCTGACCAATGGCACAGAGCCCTATTACCGTACGTGCCCGACAAGTCCCTGGTATTTTTGCGTTGCTGACAGGCGTTAGACCCGTTGAGCGATTTCGACTATGAGAGCTTTGTTGTCGCCCTCTACCAAGAGTGGATCGAACTGGATCTCTTCCACAACGGTCTTGCCACTTTCTCGGACCAAGATTTCGAGGCGGCGGGTCTGACTGCTGAGGACCGATACCTGATTCAGTTCATGGCTGATCAAGAAGTTGGGCACGCGACTTTACTGTCCAACATTCTGGGGCCTGCTGCGCCTCCACAGTGCACGTACAACTATCCATTCACCACCGTTCGTGAGTTCATCGACTTCTGTCAGAAGCTCACTCGATTCGGCGAGTCCGGCGTTTATGGTTTCCTCGGTCACCTGGACTCGCAGGCTGCTGCATCGTTATTGCTCCAATCTATTTCGACTGAGGCACGTCAGCAGATGATCTTCCGGCAATTCAATGGACTCTTCCCTATGCCGGTGTGGTTCGAGGTGGGAATTCCTCAGAGCTGGGCTTGGACACTGCTTGCACCCTATATCAGCTCCTGTCCCGCGAATACCACGCGTGTTGCGTGGCAGAACTTCCCCTCGTTGACAATCCTCAATCAGCCCAATGCCAACAAAGTCGACCCCAACGTCGGCGGCAATCAGTCAACAAATGGTTCTGATCCCTCGCCCGACACTGGCATTGACAGCAGCAATTTATGTCTCAACGCCACCGATATCAACAACGACTGTGGACCGGCGATCACCAACAACCGCAGCATTCCTTTGTCGTATCCAGGACGTCCCGTTCACTTCCAATGGGGTGCAGCCGACCAACCTATCGGACCTAACAACTCATACGTAACGGCTCGTTCTCCGCTAGCTACTGAGCCTCGCTATGCCATGTTCGTGAGCCAGCTCAACGCAACTTACGTCGAGCTTGTCAATATCACCGATAACGGCGCGTCAGCTGTTCAGCCCAACATGAGCACGTTCGCTGGCGATCCGGCTGTTAATGGAACCATGTTCATCGCCGTCACCAGCGAGAACCCGTACTTGACGCCGTACAACTTGAGCATGATCAACCCATTTGTGTATGCTGGACCTGCCATCTACCAGGCTGGTTAGAAATGCGAATAATGTACATCATTAGTGACAGTGAGGCTACGGATAAATGGGGCAACAGCAATAATGGCGAGAAGTAATTATCAGCCAATACACATACCACATGTTTGAACATCGTACTCGTTCTTGTATCGGATTTGGCCCCCAAGAGATCGTGAGGTGAATTACGCGCCTTAGGCTGCGCTGCTCATCCGCGGCAACCCGCGCCTAATTTGCGGGAAAAGCAAGGACAGTATTTTACCAAACAGGAGTCGAGTACAACACTGCAAGCAAATCCCTGTCGTGTCATCGCGCAGATAAACGACTTTGTCTAGACTCCAGCATATTGGGCCAGCTTATGCTTCGCTCGTTGATCCTGATCTTCCAGTCGCTGCCTACCTACCTAATAACGTGCACACATACACTCGCTCCTGCATTCCGCCGCGACCCGCGTATCCCTACCCTCTGTGCTATCTGTACAAAACCAATCAACACTCCCCGGAGATCCATCATGCCGCGTCGCATGAAAAGGTGACATCTACTCACCAGTAACGGCCGCCCTACCTACTACGCCGACTCGAAACCATGAGCTCTCTTATTCATCCGGTGCACTCCATCTCGCAGAAATGTCGCCCGAAACATCAGGTCCTGGTCCTCAAGTGCTATCCGAAATACCAGAAAGGCATCCAGGAGGTCAAGCCCAGCTCCAGCGAGCTCAGCTATCTCCTGTACTATGCCAGTTCACGGCGCTCCAAGCTGCAGAAGGTTGGCGCATTCCTTGAGAAGAAGACCGCCAGCGATGTATACATGCGCAGACTCGGGTAAGCTCACAACCTCGATGCGGGGACTTCTGATGACTGACCACTGCCAGCAATGTCCAGGTCACCCTCCAGATACTTACCGCCGTCATTGAGAAAACCCCCCGCGACCTGATGCTCTACTCGCACTCTGTCCTTACCATCATCGGCTCGGTCCTGCGCTCCCATGATATCAACATGGTAGAAGAGTCACTGCCCACCTTGGAGGCCTTTTGCAAACATGCCAACTCCGCAGCTCTCTCTGCCGACCAGCAACGAATTCAGCAGTACCTAACTCTGTTGGAGCTGTACTCAGAGTTCGCCGATCCCAGACCGACCTCGAAAGCGCGAGCAAATGAATCAAAATCTCAGAGCCTACGATGGCGCACCGCCGGTTTGCGAGCGATCCGAGCCGTCGTCAGCTCCGATGCGCTCAACGCAGACCCATCCAAGCAGCTCAACACCGCTGTGCCCGTAATACTCAGTAACATGTCGTTGGACGACGCGAGCGTCCTCTCCTCGTTACAACAGCGAGCGCGCAACAGTGAAAAGCAGGAGAACGAGCAGGCGCGGAGGCGTCGTCTGAGCAGTGCTACCATTACCACGGTTGACACCACGGGAGAACATCAGTTAACTGCATCCGAGACCGCCGCCGATGCTGACAAGGCTGCAGAGGACGAGGTCAAAGTGCTTGCGGTCCGTTGCCTGAAGCAGATCTTTTCCGTGGGTACCGGAAGCACCAGGGGTCAGACAAGGCTTGCAACTGGTCTGACGTTGAAGTTTATCGTGGCGCAAAATCCCCCGAAAGCTGCTCTCCGTGGTGCAAGTCAGGGCAACTGGGCTACTGCACTCTTTGAAACTATTGCAAGGTGGACCCCAGTGCAGGATCGATTCATCATTGTCATCACGGCCATGGAGACTATGATCAGAAGTCCGATTGTCGAGAGTCTCCTCGAGAAGCAGCTCGTTGTAGCTACATTGATTGATTGGCTCTTGTCCTCAGACATCAACTTGATCGGGCTGAGTGTCATGGACATTATGTTGGGCTTCGTACAGCACACCTTGCTACTTCTACAGCTTGGAGGCCGCGACTCATTGGCTATGCCCAACCAACCTCAAACCGATACTCTGGGCTTCATTCGCGAAGCCAAGGAGACTTTCGATCCTAGCTTTGTGCTGTCAGACACCACCCGGGGTCGACTCCCTAACATTGCCGAGACAACCCCGTCTCCAGCACGGCAAGAGCTGCTTGCATGCTTGCGGAAGTGCATAGCTTCTCTATCCAACCATATCTACTACACCGAGCAGGTTTCGGACATGATGGCAACCATTCTGGCCAGACTCAAGCCTTCAACAAACTCGGAAATCCCCTCAATAGCAGCAGCAATTGAACAGCCTGCTGCTGCAACCAGGTCTATAGCCGACTCCGCAAGCTTGCGCGAGGATTCATCAACGGACAGCTTTTTCTCGTTCGCCACGGCTCGTGTGGTGGCCCTGCAGACCGTCAGGGACATATTGCTTCGAGCGAGTGGCACGCGCACGTCAAGCGGCTCTTCCATCGAATCTCGGACCCGAGTTGGTGTACAAGTCTGGGAGGGCACCCAATGGCTACTCAAAGACGAGGATGCGGAAGTTCGCGCGGCATATATCGAAGCCCTTCTGGCCTGGGTACGCCTCGAAACCAATAAGAACGATCTGCTTCTGCCCAAGGACGGGCTGCGGAGAGGAAAGTCGACAAAACGAACATCTGCTCCAGACGGGGAACAAAGCCTGTCTAAAAGAGCTGTCTCTAATGCATCGAGGAGAGAGCACAAGCCAGCCCGATCCACTTTCGTGCAGCTGCTGCACCTAGCCGCCTATGACTCTATCTTGGACAGAGCGAGTAACGAGTGTGAAGTGCTCATGTTGTACCTGCTTCTGACGAAGCTCGTCGAGCGGTTGGGCGTTAATGCACTACGGACAGGACTTCCTATGATCCTCAAACTCCAGGAGACTGCCCTCAACGGTGAAAGGGACCTCTCCTCCAATGGCAAAGTTAATGTGGCTAGTCTCATCCATGGCTATCTCTGGAGCGTGGCAGAAAAGTTCGAATTTGAAGCAAACAAAGTAGGACATGAGGTCAACGCTGAGATATCGAGGCGCAAGCGATTCTCGATATGGCTAGAGAAAGTCAAATTTCCAGCATTGTCGCTTCATTCTATTGAGGCTCTCATCGAGGATGAGGAGAAGACAAGCATCTATTCTGAAGATGCAGTCGGCGGTCTCCGGCCTTTCTTGAACGTCACGGAGTTTGTCGACGAGATTGCAGCATCATACGATGCAGCTCTACTCTCCGCTAATCAATCGCCACCATCATCACCGGGCAGAGTCTTCTCTGTGCAAGCTCTGGGTTTCGGCTATGGCTACGGAGTGGCGCCTGGGCCGAAGCCGTCACCCCAGGATCAATTGCCGCAAAAGATCAAAGACGAAATGGGTGCTAGTTGGACGCGCGAGTCTTGCATTGCAGCCGCTGAGAAGGAGAGCACGGGATCAATGACTGGGGCCTCGTCCGGACCAAGACACCATTTAAGTGTACATCGGAACGACTCGGTGGAGCAACACATGGCACCAGAGCCGTCGCCTGCCTATGGCATCATGGGTGGGCTGGGCAGTCTACAAAAGATTCGCAAAAGCAGCGCGAATGGATCGTCGCCTCTGCCGCTCAGCAGTGCTTCGAGCCGAGATTCGACGCTCAAGGTAACGGAGCTGAAACGTGTTCTCTCGTCCTCCGAGGCTAGGCAAGCAAGCTCCCTCCGCCGTCCAGTGACTGGCTCGAGGCGGAGCACACTTAGTGCTGGTAGCGACAGCTTGGTGTCATGGAACGAAGCTGATGATCAAGAGAGATCCGAAGATCTCAATGCGGCGGTCCCTGCCGCAAACGGTGTTCACAAGACTACCTCTCGGCCTGGCACCTCGGCTTCGAAAGTCAGCAAAGCGCATCTTGGAGGCGAGACCACCCAAGAAAATGACCAGCCAACACCACCGCATGGCCCAGGTCAGGATGTCCCACCTGTGCCCAAGATCCCACCAAACTTTAGTTTGCCAGGCACTTACCCGCGCGACGCCTCGCCGACGAAGACAGCACCCAGCCAGCCTAGTGGAAGTCCGGTCCCAGCGGCAGCGACTAGTCCGCAGGCGAAGCGGATGGCTAACTCATCCCAAGCATCTCCGTCGTTGCGTGGTGATCGGAGCACCAAGCGTAGCTCTCGGCCGGTTAGCAGGGCGACTGCCAACTCCCCCTTCTCACTCGAGGGTCGCACCACCCCACACGACAAGGTGGATGTCGGCAGTCTTCTGGCCAGCATCAGGCCCAGCACTTCTGCCGGCAACGTGAGAGCGGATAACAGCCGGGAGAATGAGAAGGCGGCTGGAGCGAAGCTGAGCACGCCGCCGTATTGAGGACAATGGATTTTTTTTTTCTTTTCTTCCCGAATTGTGGGACTGGTACCATGCAGAACCAGAGCAATTGGAAGGGGGTTGGTGGCATGTTCATGTGTCTCTGTCTTTCAGTCACTATGAGCGTTCACCACGGCGTCGAGGACCACGGAACCCTTTGTCGTAGTTATCTAAGCCACGTTGCAAGCTTTGGGCACACGTGTTCGTGTTTGTGGGATTTGAACCAGGTTTCTGATGGCGACTAGACCTATATGTACCCTGTAGAGAAAACCGGGAACGTACAGACAGACAGCCGTAGGGTCAGGCACAGCGAATCGATTTCTGGCCAAGTTTTGTTGAATCGCTCCTTGCATGAATGAGAAGAAGAGGTCTATCTAGACTAGACCAACGCCACGCTTGCCATGCGATCCATTTTTTCTGACTCACATACAACGAAACAGCCCCAAAGAGAAAAGCACCGAGATTACCACCACCCCTCATTATCATTCCTCGAGACTCAACAACTCCCTTACGAGCTCGCCAACCTTCGGCCCAAAGTCCGCGTCCCTATCCATGTGGCTGAGCTCGTTCCCATCCACCATGCGCCGCCCCCGGACAACGATACACGGCAGTTTCTCCCGCGGCAGCCCTTCGCTCAGTTCATCCTGATACTTTGCGTCCGCGACGACACCGGCATCATTCCACGCGCGGTCGAAGCGTACCTTATCGACGCCGCCGTCGCGCTCGAAGCAATCGCGCAGCCCTTCCAGGTCAATGACGGTTTTCTCGACCAGGACCTTCTCGAAGAGGCTGGCGATGATCCTGTCGTCGACGCGCAGGTGCATGGCGACGGCCCAGGCGCGGGTGAGGTCTTGGCCCCAGTTGAAGCCGGACTTGTCGGTCGAGGATACGTGGTGGCGGTGGACGGAGGTGCCGGCGGGGAGGCTGCGGCGGATGTTTTGCGTCACTTGGCATTGCGTCGCCCAGCGATGCGAGGTGTGATCGAGGAAGGAGAAGAAGACGATGACGGGGGGAGGTGTGCCTTTGAGGGGCGTGGAGAGGGTGCTGTAGGTAGGCTTGCTGCTGTGAGAGGCGGTGCCGACGGAACCCATTTTGAAAACGTGAGATTCTGGAGACGTTGGATTACTTGAAAGGTCTTGTAGATGTTGTAAATAATCTCCAGGGGAGATGATTTCCTTCGGCTCTTGAGTGTTGATATAAGTCACTGCAAGAACGTGGTATGACGTGCACAAGCAGAATGGTGGGCACGCGAGTCCTGTTCCGCCGACTAAGGTATGTCCACGGGCGAGCATTAGACGTAATTCCAAGACTTCGTCTCCCAGACTTTGTCTTGGTATATGATGATGTCCATGGGCGGTGCAGGGCTCCGCAACCGAAGAGTCCGCAAGACTGGCTTGACACGAGGAACCCGACTCTTGGCAACATAGCGGGATCTTCCGATTGCTGGCGGAAAGTCTGGTGGAACACTTCATAAATACGTCACACTGCACAAATACAGCCGTAGAGTCCCAGTCCGCAGTCAGTGGCAACTGGCTGGGGCAGAAGCTCCTTGGAGTTCTATCTTGGCATCTTCTATGTCCATCCAGAGTTTCCACGATGTTGAATGCTAATGTGGCGGTGCTCCTTGGCGGCATTCAACGAGGGGTGCTGTTCGGAGTAACCATGGCAGTTTACCGGAACTTGTATAACATAAGGCAAACATCACAACAATGACTGGTACTTGTCGAGCCCGCTTTTTTGCGGCTGTGAAGGCTGCAACGATGACTGGCTGTTCTGTGGAGGCGGGATACCAAAGTTTGAAGGAGTAGATGCAGGTGGCGGAATATTATAGTTCGGATGCTGCCATGCATTTGTGTTCATCGTCGGATTGGCCGGCGGAGGGGGCAGTATGGGTGGTGAAGCCATGGCCGGAGTCTGCTGCGTCGGTACCACGCCTGGGGTTTGCCACATGTTCGTTGACGCGGCTGGTGTCGAAGTCATGGCATTTGAGCTGTAATTCGGCGATTGAAGAGGGCGACTGGCGATTGGCGCTGCAGTGAGTGCAGGCTGGCCCCAGATCGAAGCAGAAGATCCGGTACTCGGTTGTAGGGTAGGAAACGCGCCCATGCTGACGTCTGGCGTGACGGAGCGGGACTGAGGTTGTGGCTGCAAAGCTGCCATACTCGGCGTCGTCGATCGTAGGGCCTGAGATGGACCGCTCGATGGGTTGGTGGAAGACCATGAAAAGGTTGGAGGATTTTGCGTTAGCCTTTGACCATCACTCATGGCGCCTGCGAAAGGATCGTTTCTGTGTTCAGACTTGTTACCCAGTACGAGTTTGGCAAAGTCGTCTTCATTGCCAGTGCCTTGAGCCGATCCGCTGAAACCGTTGCTCATGGGAGATGTTATGGTCGAGCTCGCGCGAGACTCAGAAGTGCGACTAGTGCCGAGTTCTTGCAGCTTCCGAAGCTGCTCCCGCTCAATCTTCGCTGACAGCCCTTTGATTACGTTCATGTAGGCCTTGAACTGCGACAAGTCTAGTAGCGGACCCAGAGCGAATGCCCACAAAATCGGCATCACTTCGATAGCCAGGAATTCCGCGTCAGCACTTTGTCCAACTTGCTGAAACACCTTTAAAGCTGCCATCATGACGGCAGGCTCCTTGGTTTTGATGCCTTTCAGCAACGGTACCACCTTCTCTTGCATAGTGAACTTGTCGAGGCTTGAAGTGTTCTTGTCAGGCCCATTCCTCTCATGTTGGCCGCCTAGGTCATCTGCTTGCCCTGCGGAAGGTGAGGAAACTCCGCAGAGGACGCCTAGAGCCTCCAGTCCACGGACTTTGATGCTTAAACTTGACGTTTTGGCGAAGACATTGGCGACAATCGGGAACAGCTCGTGCTTGACTGTCGAGAAATCGATCAGCGGGAGTATGACAGGTACCGTTTGCAAGGCCGCGTCGGTCAACGAGTGCGTTGTGGATTCCATAGCCACCTGGACGATTGGAAGAACGTCATCCTTGAACTGTTTTGCTGTGGAATTGTCTGCCAGAAGTTTGATGTTTTGCAGCACAATGAGAAGCGCCGCTTCTTTGCTCGTATCTCGTTCTTCTGTTTTGGACTTTGCTAGAAAGATCTCCTTCATTCGCGGTAATACCTTCACCGAGACCGTTTCCTGGCTCTTTGGGATGACTTTGATGATAGCAAAAACATTTTGAAGAATCAGCGCCAGTAAGTCACGATCCTTCATCTCCTCAAGAAGAGCACTGAGGATTTTCTTTCCCAGCACAGAGGCCGGGAACTGGGGCATCACTCTTCCGAGGCCGCGCATGAATTGTGATTTTTCCACGGCAGATTTGGCGGGGAAGGAGTCGATGAAGCGCATTGTGTTCACCAAGATATTGTCGAAATACTCGGACTGCTGGAACTCGCTAGCTGTCAATCTCTGAGCAGGTCTTCGAGCTAGGACGCGCGGTAGTGTTTGTGCTAGTTCTCGTGGCAGCTCATTCGCACAAAGGTAATTGTTACTGGGATTGGGAACCGTGCTCGTAGAGCTACATAACTGCTTGTAGGTTGACTGGTTACCGTGAGTCTCGAAAGGAGAGATATGAGGTTTTCGATAGCAGGCCAGAAGAACAAGACCTAGAGAGTAGATATCCGCGGCAAACGTGACATTAGAATCGAGAACGAAATCCGGAGATGTATAGTCCAGATCAAGCTCAACAGACCGGGGGACCCGAGGATCATGATGCAAGACTTCGCTCAAGGATATGCGTGGAATAGGCTGGTGGCCCTCAGCAGCGTCCGGTGGACCTGCAAACGCTAGACCAGATATCTTCCAATCCGACTTGGCATTGACGAAGATGGCATCAGGGTTGAGGTTGCCATGAACCAGCTGGGCGGAATCATGCAAGAACTCCAGGCCTTTAGCAATCTGTAAAAGTCCTTTTTGGATCTCAAGCTCGTCCAACTCAACCTCCCTAAAGGCCCTTGAGCTCGGCTCACCATAGTCCGCACGTACTCGACGAGCTGAAGAATCGGCACTGTCCTTCTGGGCCAAGACTCCGGCGAGGGTTGCAACGACGGGCTCGGTGGCGAACATCAAGCCGCCGCTCCTAGTCTCTTCAACGGGCTCGACCAGCTGAAGAATGGAAGGATGTCGTAATCTCGCCAGGCTGGTTGCTTCCTTCTTGAGTCGCTCGACGACCTCGTCCTGGGCTCGCTTGATGGAGGTGGCACTTGTCCTGACTGAAAGACCTCCATCTCCCCTCTCGAGCGAACTGCGTTTGAACATGAAAACAGAAGCAGCAGCGCCTGTAGTAGTCTTCTTGGCATCAAAGATCGTCCACACACCGGCGGTGGCAGTCGGCTGCTTTGAGATTTCATAATTGGAAGTGATGTTGGATGTGAACGTCTTGAAGGCGGAAGAGAACATGGTGCAGAAAAGGTTGTGGCTCGTCCGCCTGCGAAGTCGAAAGGTCTGAGATTGATGGACCAAGGCAGCCGTCAGACTATCAACTCCAGTGGGATTATCATGACTTTGACCAAGGCTCCTCGATCCTAGAGGTCACGGCGGGTAACAGGCAGGGAATTTCAAGGGTGTGAGGATATGTGCCTCGACGTCCAACCTCCTCGGAAGGCGTTGGTTGTTAGGGAGTGGATGGTGGCACAAAAGACATTCTCGGACGACGTTGCTGGAGTCGCGGTGGCTCCTGCCTCCCTTCCAGCCTGGTCCCACCTGCCGGCTTGGCGTTTACCGATCCGACCTAAGGTAGATTATTTAGCGGCGCCCGACTTCGGCGCAGGCGGGCTCCAAAAAGTGCTTCAATTGGAGTCATCTTGTGCTCACGGTCTACATAGCTTGCATCCGCGCCGCTGGTAACCCCGAGTCGACGGTTATTTACGCCCTTCACAAGACATTGTCGACTCATAATCAATTACAGCCGGTGAAGCTGAAATAGACTTAGGATCTCCCAACTCCCTCACCTCTCTCCCATGCTGTCCACATAGCGGTCATGTTTCTCCCTCGGCTACTTCGCAGCGCACGCGCGCCCTACCTCACCGCCCGAACATTTGGCTTCGAAGCCTCGAGATTACAGACCAGAGCATTCGCTACATCATGGCAGAGGCGAAATCTCTGGGCCGATGAGGAGCTCATGTCCAAGCTCCCGGGCATTGACCCTTCAAAGCTCACCGTAACCGAAACTATCACGCCTAAACAACTTGTGCCAAACCAGGACCTCGTTTTTGGGCGGACTTTCACAGACCACATGCTCTCTATCGAGTGGACCGCCTCTGATGGGTGGCACTCTCCCCGCATAACGCCCTACCAAAATCTCTCGCTCGATCCTGCCACTTGCGTCTTCCACTACGCCTTTGAGTGCTTCGAGGGCATGAAGGCCTACAAGACTGCTCAAGGAGACCTACGCCTCTTCCGGCCTGACAAGAACATGCAACGTCTGAACAAATCCGGGGCGCGCATCGCCCTTCCCACCTTCAACGGCGACGCCCTCACATCCCTTATCGGCACTCTGTGCAAGCTTGATCAGCGTTTTATTCCTTCAGAAAAGGGCTACTCTCTCTACCTTCGCCCTACACTTATCGGTACGCAGCGCACTTTGGGCGTTGGTCCTCCCGGATCGGCGCTCCTTTTTGTGATCGCTTCTCCCGTCGGGCCTTATTACCCAACGGGCTTCAAGGCCATCAGCCTCGAAGCCACCGACTACGCCGTGCGGGCCTGGCCCGGCGGCGTGGGCGACAAGAAGCTCGGCGCCAACTATGCGCCGTGCATCCTGCCGCAGCTGAGAGCCGCAAAGAAGGGCCTGCATCAGAACCTTTGGCTCTTTGGCCCCGAGGAATATATAACCGAGGTCGGCACCATGAATCTCTTCATTGCCATGAAGGACAAAGAGACTGGTCAGCCTCAGCTTCTCACTGCGCCCCTCGACGGCACCATTCTTGAGGGTGTCACGCGCGATAGCGTGCTCGGACTCGCCCGTGAGCGCCTTGTTCCAGAGGGATGGAAGGTCGAGGAGCGGTACGTGAGAATGCAGGAGCTCGCCGATGCTCAAGCAGACGGCCGGCTGCTAGAGGTATTCGGCGCAGGCACGGCCGCGATCGTGGCGCCTGTGCGTAAGGTCAGCTGGAAGGATCGCATGATAGACTGCGGACTCAAAGAGACCGAGGAGGCAGGCGAGGTGGCTATGCGCATGAAGAACTGGATTGAGGGTATTCAGTATGGAGACGAGGAGCACGAATGGAGTATCAAGGTCTAGAAGGGTGCACGAGAGGTGGCTTAGGAGAAAGCACCCGTGTTGACAGCTGCTGCCGCTGAAAACGAGTTCTGTTAATGACGTTTTAGGAGATGTCATCTTTCGAAATGGAGGTAAAGAAGCGGTAGCATGGTTTGCATTTACTCCGATGGCGTTTGTTGGACACCCCCTCGGTCGGTATAGTGTACTTCATCTTCCAGATGCGGTACAGTGGCGGTAAACGCTCGCATCGCCTGTGTAGAAATACAGCAAAGAGACCAGAAGAAGCGCAGAGCGAGAAGCCCATGGGCAGGACGTCTACGCAAGATTTTGAGCATGCAGACGAAAGTCGTGGTCTTGAGATTGATATATATGTTGCGATTCCAAACGGCTGCATAGACAAGGGTGGGTGGTAGACTAAGGGTAGCTTCCACACTGTCACATAGCACCACTAGCCTTCCGAATACTGTGTCGACCTCCGGCTTATGCTTTGTTCCGTTGCACAATTCCGAGGGTCTACTTGTGCTGTCTCGACCCTGGCGATCGCGACTGCAGAGGTATAGGGCCTCCTTCAGCACTCCCTGCCAAGGCCTGTAAATCCAGCCTTGCGGCGGGGCTCCGCGCTCTGGTCTCCAACGCGGAGGTGTGCAGTCACTGGAAGACTACAAGTTCACCACAGTCGTCCATGCCCCTCATTCGCTCCACTGTCCCTCTGCCACGACTTGCAAAGGCCACTATTCGCCTCATAGCTCTCCGATCGCATCTAACCTCCGCTCGTTCGCATACTACAATCTCACAACCGCCGCCCGCCGCATCTGCCCCAAATCTCCCCCCTCCCCCATCACCCACCATGGACGCCAGCACCCTGTCCAACTACCTTGCCGACTCACCGCCGACCGTGGTCAGGCTCGAAATCGCTCCCCATTTCGCCGCCCTGAACCCACAGCAGAAACGCTACGCACACCACCTCTCTCGTGCCGCCTTCCACGGCACACGCATAACACTCGCGCAAGTCTCGTCCGAGTCCGTACCCATCTATGACCTCATCGTCGCGATCCACAAGGCCTGCGATGGCGACTACAAGAAACTGGTGGAAAAGACCGGGGCGAGCGAGGAGCACGTGCGGCAGTGGCTCGAGTACGCGGCACAGTTTCTGGGCAATTGCGGTAATTACAAAGGATTCGGAGACTCCAAATTCATTCCAAGGATGGCGGCGGAGGAGCTTCAGAAGATCAGCAACGTGAGTGCGGAGGCGAAGCGGCTGTTTGAGAAGGCGCAGAGCACGGGAGGGGGGATCTATGAGACCAAAAAGGCGGGGCTGATGCATCTGGGCTATCCGGACCAGGGGCACATGAGCACGTACTACCCGGATAGTGAGGGGATCACCAAGGAGGAGATTCAGGTGGTCGGGGATGTGTTGGAAGGAAAAGGTCTGCCAATCGAGAACACGAGACTAAGGAAGACGAAAGATGGTGACTTCGAGCTGTTGGTGGCCAGTGCGGATGAACCGACAGGAGATGAGCGAGACCTGAAGGGTGTAGAGGAGATTGACCTGACAGGGAATTTGGAAGGCAAGAAGCTGACATTCGTCTTTGGTGACTACCGGGAACAGATGGCGGCGGTGGAGCGAGAGATCAAGCTGGCAGAAAAAGCGGCACTCAATGACAAGGAGGCGAAGATGATGGCCGAATACGCCAAGTCCTTCGGCAAGGGCAGCATTGAAGCCTACAAGGAATCGCAGCGGTGGTGGATCAAGGACAAGAAGCCGATGGTGGAAACCGACATCGGTTTCGTGGAGACGTACCGCGATCCTCATGGCGTGCGTGGCGAGTGGGAAGGCTTCGTCGCTATGGTCAACTTGGAGCGCACCAAAGCCTTCGAGAAGCTGGTCAACGCCGCTGGAACCTTTATTCCTAAGCTGCCCTGGAGCACAGTCTTCGAAAAGGACAAATTCCTGTCTCCCGATTTCACGTCTCTCGAAGTTCTGAGCTTTGCCGGCTCTGGGATTCCCGCCGGAATCAACATCGTGAGTCCCTTGAACCTACCAAGCCTCCATCAGGACCCTTGCATCTCGCCTTACGCAGTTTCCTTTCCCTCTGAGTACGGTGGCTAACCCTTATTCTCCAATTTCTGCAGCCCAACTACGACGACATCCGCCAGAACCTAGGCTTCAAAAACGTCTCCCTCGGCAATGTCCTCAGCGCCAAAGCCCCCAAAGAACCCATCCCCTTTATCCGCGACGCCGACGACGAAGTCTACCGCTCCTGCCGCGACCCGGCCTTCGAAGTCCAGGTCGGCATCCACGAACTCCTCGGCCACGGCACGGGTAAACTCCTGCAAGAAACGTCACCGGGCACCTACAACTTCGACGTTAAAAACCCACCCTTATCACCCATCACCAACGAACCCGTACAAACCTGGTACAAGCCGGGCCAAACCTGGTCCAGCGTCTTCGGCAGCATCGCCTCCTCGTACGAAGAATGCCGCGCCGAGTGCGTCGCCATGGCCCTCTCGTGCGAATTCGACATCCTCGCCCTCTTCGGCTTCAGCTCCTCCTCCGCATCCTCATCCAAAGAAGACCTCCTGACCTCCCCCGCCGGCGACGTCCTCTACGTCGGCTACCTGCAAATGGCGCGCGCCGGCGTCGCCGCGCTCGAGTACTGGGACCCGAAATCCAAGAAATGGGGCCAGGCGCACATGCAGGCGCGGTACTCGATCCTGCGCACCTTCCTGTCCGCGGGCGGCGATTTCTGCCAGTTGAAGCACACCAAGGACGACCTCTCGGATCTCGAGATCCACCTGGACCGCAGCAAGATTCTGAGCCATGGCCGCCCCGCCGTCGAGGCCTATCTGCAGAAGTTGCATGTGTATAAGAGCACGGCTGACGTCGAGGCCGGGCGGAAGCTGTACGAGGAGATCACGGGCGTGGATGAGTGGTGGGCGGAGAAGGTGCGGCCTGTGGTGCTGAGCAAGAAGCAGCCGCGGAAGGTGTTTGTGCAGGCGAATACTGTCTTGGACGAGGCTGGTCATGTGAGGTTGGTCGAATACGAGGCGAGCTGCGAGGGCATGGTGAGGAGCTACGTCGAACGGGATGTCTAGCGTAGAGTAGCGCAATAGTAGAAAGGGAGACAATAGACATCATTGTGACTCTTATTACCAACCAGCCGGATTCTTTGACTCCCTTGTCGTCGTTGGCTGTGGCGGGCGGGCATCTACCACGTTATTTGTAGCCTCTTCACCAAGCGGGGCTTCTTCACCGCCTTGGCCTCCTCCTCCCCGCCCTCCTCCCCCTCGTCGTCATCCTCGTCGTTGTCGTCCTCCTCCTCAGTCCCCTCCATGGCTGCCGCCATATGCTGCGCGTTCACATCCTGCCAAATCTCGGCCGGATCCCAGCAGCCATCAAATGCCGCTACCTTGCCCTTGCCCTTGCCCATGCCCTCCACCTCTGCCGCGCTCGGCACGGACGCTCTCTCCGTCTCCTCCACCTTCTGGTTCTCTTTCTTCTCTCTCTTCTCCCCCTTCTCCTTCTTCTCCTTCTCCTTCTTCTCTTCCTCCACATCAACCTTCCCCGCTTTCTTCAAGGCCATCGGCAGCTCTTCTCCCGCCTTCTTCAGAGCCACCAACTCAGCGAACACCTCCTTGTGAATTACTCGGTGTTGCTGCTCCAGGAGCGAACCGGCAACGAACACGGGCAGACCAGCGGGTGTTGTAATCGAGGAAATAGCCTCGAAAACGTCACTGCCGCCAGAGAAAGTGGGGTCGATGAGTTTGCCAATCACGGTTTCCAGTGAAGTGACTGCAATAGAGGCATCGAGAGCCTCGTCATTGCGGACCAGGCCGCCAAGAAGACGCATGGTGGCATTGAGAAGTTCCTGGGTCACCTCCGCAGCGAACTCTTCCTTGGTCATCTTGCCTGCTGCGACAGCGTCCATGCTGGCGCGGCGATTGTACTCACCAAAAGGCAAGGAGGGCTTGCGTACATCGTTGTTGCCAAAGGCAACGACGCTGACACGGTCCTCAACAATCTCTTTGGTAGCGAGGTTTGTGATGCTGCTCTTGAAGTCGTTGAGCGCCTTCATGGCCTTGCCGACCTTGTCAACCTGTTCGTCGAACTTGGCTTTCACTTCCTTCTGCTTTCTCCTAGTCATGCCCTGGCCACAGGCGGCCTCGGCATCAGCAACAATGGTACAGGCAGTGCGTGCAGCCTCTCGGAGAGGGTCCTGCAACGAACGCATGCGAGAAATCGCGTCAGCAGGATCTGTGGGGATATCTCGGATGATGTAGGTGGCAGAGTCAGCCTTTGGCTCCTTCTCAACCTTGGAGACCTCGGAGGAGCTGCTGTTGGACATCTCGACATTGGGGGGCAAGGTCACGGTGTGCTCCCTTCCATTCCGGATGGGGTCCTGGTTGGCGGTGGCCTTTTTGGTGGTGGGCTTTTTGATGGTGGGCTTTTTGGCGGTGTCCTTCATGGTAACCTTTCTGGGTGCCATCGTGACCTTTAACAGAGAGCGAGATCGAAATGTGGCGGATTTGGGGTTTATGCTTGGGTCGATATGTGTTTATCGTTTGGCAGCGCGATATCGGCAGCTTGCTCGTTTCAGCGGGCAGTTTTACTTCTGTCTGCGTTATGCTGGAACCTTCTGAACGCGTTATGAGATTGTTTGGGTTACGACAACAAGATCGTAGTGTTGTGAATCATGGAATCCAGGGCGGACTGTAGCAACAATTCCAATACTGCCAGACTTGTGTGCTTGCTGGTAAGGTAGAAACGCCGAGAAGCACTAGGATCGAAGGGTGAAGCTCTGACTTGTTCGAGAAGTGATTCGGGGTGGGAGAGAATGACCGCAGTTTCGAGAATTGACCGTACGAAAGTGGCTATGAGAAGAGTTGTAATGGTGCCAAGCCGTCGTATGCTTGCGAACTAGAGCTTCCGAGGTGTACAACAGTCGATGAACGGAGCTGCGAGATATCCCAGGGTCGGTAAAGTTGTGACAGTCGCAAGTCTGAGAGCTGATTGTGAAGGTGCCAGGCGGCAGTATCCAAACGAGTATCCAAGCGTTAGGATGGCGACAATTGGCGCAGAGGAACACTGGAACCAACAGTGGCAACTGAGTTGGACTCTGCAAACGATGCAAGAAGTTCGACAATGACGTTCCCTTTCTAGCAGTCGAGGTCGAAGCGGTACGTTGACAGAGGGCCGGAACGGCAATGGCAAGTCAAGTCGATGGAGGATGGGTCTTGCGCCGAGATGATGGCCTTACGGATAATAACAAACGTATGCAGGTGTCGATGAGATCAAGACTTGCAAAGAAAGAGACTGACTGTGGTGGCAGGAGAGGGAATTGATTTGCAAGACCGCAAAGTAGGCTCGACCCCTTGCGATGGCGGGATCTCTTGGCATGGTCCTGCGCATGCTTGTGCTTGCTTGTTCAGTCCATTCCCCTCCTTTGACCATCAAACAATACACCAACAATCTCGTCAAGTATGGTGTATGCGAGATGTTGATTGAGCCGTGCATTGTTCATGGTCGCCGACAATCTGCGTGCGGCCGCTTGAGCGTTGCTTCTTCCCACAACACTAGCGGCGAGGTCGGGCATCAAGGTCGCCAACACAAGGCCAGCTTCTTCCCGTGTCTTGGTTTTATCAGAGGCTGGCCTCGGTTTTGCCTGACGCATTCGACCGCCAGGCCACATCGTATCTCTGATGGTCTCGGTATATCGCAGTAGCGAGTCTTCCTGTACGAGAGCTCTGGCGAATTCCCGGACTTTGCGTTCGACAGTGCCACCGAGCAGTTGGTGTAACACGACAACCACCGCCCGCCCTCTCAGCCAATTATTGCCGCGGTTCAATTCAAAGACCTCGAGAAAGATATCACATATCGGCTTCACGAAGGGCTCGAGCTCCTTGTCCTCAAATGCCTGGAGCTCCGCCTCAGCATCCGCAAGGGAGCCAGCGTCGACTGCAACTACATCACCTTGAGCTACACCGAGCTGATTGGTGGCCGCAGAGATCAAATTCTGCCCAGCGACTGACAACTGATCCAGGACAGCAATGTTTCCCATGAATTCGTCCATGCCATCAGTGACCGAATTGTATATTCTCGACACGATGTCTTGGGTGTTCTCGGCAGAGCTGCTGTCTGGCGACGAAGATATGGCCTGTTGAGACAAGAAAGAGCGAAGTTCCCTGCTACGGCACACATCAGGCATACGCAAGAGCTGCTGGAGGTACGCTTCAAGAGCTATGCGGCGATTGTGCAAGAACTGCTTCTGCAGCTTCATCACCATTCGACGCCGAGGGAAGTCCAAGTTCCTGGTGGACGGGTAGCGCCGGCGGAGACGTTGATGAAGCTCATGAAATTCGCTGTATCGGCGCGTGACGGCCCAAGTCGCGGCGGGCATCTGATCACCTGCTTGTCGCTGGACTTCAACGACGTACAGTGCAAATTCTCCGCCATCATCTTCGCGCCCGACCATAACGGACTTGATCTTGATGCTGGACCGGCCGTAGAGGCTGTTATCACTTTCTTGGACAATATACTGCTGTCGTTGCAGCTCCTTGCGGCGAACCTCTCTCTGCAGGCTAGCCTTGGACTTTTTCAGGATACGCAGCTCGGGGACGTTGTTGGTGAGTTCAGCTTTCCTCGTCAGCGTGTCGACGACCGATTCCTGTGTCACAAGACGTTCAATGTCACTGCTCAGGGCAGAGATGGCTTCCGTGAGACCGAGATCTCCGGGTGCAGCTTCGTGAATGTCTTCTTCCAAGCTGTTCTTCAGATCGGGGTCCTGATCGGCATATTCATCTTCCAAGAATTTCTCCTCGTCAGGAAATAGGTCATTGTCAGAGAATACGCCAATTCGAGACGCTGTATTGACCAAACCCAAAGTGGCCAGACTCGGCTTCGGCTTGTTGGCTACTGCATCGATGCGAGGCATGTCCAAGGAGGCCCGAGGCGAGTCAGATGCTCGCACCGATCTATGACTTGACGTCGGCGAGCCAAAGAGGGCATCTCGTTCATCCTCCGATGCGTCATTGTCAGGGGGCTGGGCCATGATGTTGTTCATAGCAGCCTCCATATCTTCAACCATTCGCCGTTCATCTGCAGCCTCGCCGGGTTGAGATTCCTGTCCAATACTGTAGCTAGAGTGCGCAAGCGGATCTGTGTCACAGTCGTCGTCAAACAAAGGCGCCTGTTGGTCAGCCGAGTCCTTCATCGATGGCTTTGGATCTGTTTGCTTCTTCGAGGTATCAAGACTTCGGATATCGGACGATGATAACGCAGCGCGCCTGAGATCCCGAATCTTGGCTCCAAGATGGGAGCTGTTACGGCTCATTGGTGCTCCTCCGGCGGCGGCTTTGGTGGTGCTGCCGACTGGGGCTGGATTCGCTGGCTCTGCAGGCTCTAGGATGACAGACGAGTCTACACTTGGTACACGGGCCTCATCGGAGGCGAGAAATTTGTAGTAGAGATCTGATCGCTTGAAACCTGGGAAGTACTCGGATTGAAGTTCTTCTAGCACAGCCGACTGGCCTGCGAGGATTGCGGTTCGTGCGGCTCGGTACTGCTCCTGCGTGGCTTTGCGGCCGGCGACCAGAAATGAGCGAATGGCATCTTTGGACTCCTGAGGAATCTGAATTTGAGCCTTGGACAAATATGCTTCTGAGATCTGAGCAATATCCGTCCGATCGGCATCTGTCCATGTTGGGGCACTTGTGCCGAGAGGATCATCGCCAAAGTCATCTTCCAGGGGGTTTCTGAAGCCATCGACAACGATCCAGAACTGCACCTGAGGCATTCGGCGTTGGCGATCCATATACTCCATAAAGTACGACAGTCCAGCGCTGGTATGCATGATCTCTACGAGGGTCAATTCTCGAGAGGGCGCTCTGGCGGAGTCAAGGCTTCTCCTTTGCGCCGAAGGTGCAGTTGTACCTGGGGCCTGACCAGGAAGCGCACCTGTGGAGAGCGCAAGCTTCGATATTTTCTGGTCGAGTACCCGTTTACTCATTTCCAAACGACGTAAATACAGTGGGTCCTGGCCTTCGACCATACTCTCGCGCTTGAGTTGGCTGGCAACTTGGCTGCGGAAACGTCGAGCATCAGGAAGAGTCTTGGTTTTGCGAATCGCGCGGACAAAGCGCTCAAATGCACGCTCACTGTCGTTGGGAGACAATCGAGGGAACTCAATATCAGGCTTGGGTTTGCCATTGGTGGAGGTGTGCTCATCTAAGGCAGCACGCATCCGACGGACAGTCTTACGATCTTGCAGGGCGGAGCGACCATAGTTTTCGACAATTTGATTCCATGTATCGGGATCTTTGAGGAGCTGAATGAGGGGCAAGAGGACGGCACAAGCCACGATCTCCTTGAGAAGAACGGAGACCGCACGGCTGCGCATAACATCCTCGGGTACGACATCGGGTAGAATGCGCACGACGAGCTTGCGAAGATGCTCTTGTTCGATGGTCTTGGTGTCTGAGAAGGACAGAGAAGCGGCTGGGTGCAGTTTCCCATCCCGGTATTTGGCCGCTATGGCCAGGTCCAGTTCCTCAGAGAGAGTGACGTTGCGACTGAGCGATCGTCCCTTGACCAGCCTCTCGGCCTGATCGAAGTCTCGCAAATGACCAGTGATGATCGGTACAAGCTTTGTCACAAGGATATTGACAACATCCTCTCTTGCTAGTCTGCGGGCAATCTCGATGACTGCGGCACGGATGTTCCTGTCGATCTCGTTGACAAACGTGGGGCTTAGAGTAATGTTCTTGTACCAGGACAACACAAAATCTCGGAGGGCCAATACGAGGATCGAGTCTATTCCTTGCGAGACCACAAAAGACTTGAGATAGAGGTCAGTGGGTTGGTACTCTGCCGCGGATCTGAACAAGGAAGTTTCGGACTTCCATCTGGACGCGACAAGGAACGAAGGAGTCGCTGCTGGAGAGTATGGCACTGCGAGCGGTCGGGAGACTGTAACGATAGCGAGAACGACTGAAGCGACAGACAACAGTGCGCCGATCACAAAGGCGTACCCTATGAATCGCAGGACCGGGAACGATTTGACCGCGAGGCCCCAAGCAACGAAGGCGACAAAAGCTGCCAGACCAACATGCTTGCGAGTATGGAGCATGATACAACAGCGAGTTCTCAAGAGCTGCCAGCCCAAGAAGGGCTGGTCATGTTATGACGGAGAGATAGCAAATGCGACGGAGGAAGATGCGGGTGCGAAGTGCAAGAGCCACCAGGCACCTCGCGTAGCCTGCCGGATTGGGGGAAAGACACGTGCAGGAGCGAACGCCTTGGCTTTGACGTCATCCATTTGACATGTGCGCTGCACTGGACCGTATACACCTGTATACACCGGATAGGAGTGACTACTCCTGTAAAAGAGGCAACGCAGTGAAGGGCTTTAACCTATTCACGACGCAGACGATGACAATGTTCAGGTGAGCACAGGTTCACGGAGATTCACCAGACAATAGGACAAAGAACACACCGAGCCCAGGCACATGACCATATCGTGGCTGGTGGCTCAGGTACAACAGGTACAGAGGATGTCTCGTCCTGGCTGGGAGAGGAGATCCCCCTGAAGCCTCTTTAGCCGGTGATCTGTCGTGAGGGCTTGCAAGCGATGTCGATATGGCTGGCAACCAGCAGCTTAGACGGATCGACGTCTGCGTAAAGCAACACGTTGGCAACGTAGGCCCACGCAGCCTGCCAACGAGCGGCAGAAAGAAGCCGATGTCGATACCGATGCCAGGGTCTCCGCAGACAACGTTGCCGTTGGAGGATCACTGGTGATGTTCAATGCCAGCACAAGCGGTGTTGAGCTTGGACAGCTTGGCTCCGGAATCGTGATACATATATCTGCAGACAATTCATCAGGCACGATGTCTTACCGCTCTTTGCACTACCGTGACTGGTTCTGCTGCATAGCGAGACTGCAGCCGCAGGCGCACTCGCATACTGCCACTGGGATTCTGATCGAAGGAAGATCCTTGTAGTGAAGCCCAATCGCCGCCAACCGCCAATCAACGCAAACCCTGATTGTCGAATGTTGCTGCAGACAAGCCGCAGGCACACGAACCCGGATGTGGCTCGGTTCAAAAAGGTGTTCTTGATGTGCAGGCATAAAAATAACTGCCTCGTCGCCTAGCTGGCGATCGACCAGTCTGCCAATCGAATGCTGGGATCGCCCTAGCGTACAGTCATGCGTCAGCCGTGTAGCGTTGGCTAGAAATGCTTAAGCAGGAAGAGGTGAGCATGGGCGGAGTGAGCCAAAGCTGATCTCTAGCAAGGCACCCACAAGCACGGAAACAAAAGCACGGTATAAATCCGAGTCGGAGACCCTGGCGGATCAAAAAAGGTTCAACGTTGACGGGCCTTTGCACCACGGGTGTCCGTCGGACGACGGGGGCCGATAGGGGCCAGACCTTTCTGTCAAAATGGCAAATACGGAGTACTGGTACATTTGTACAAGGGTGCCCAGCATTTTAGCAACCGATTGACTTTCCTTCACCCACGAGACCGGAGAAATGACTCTTGACGGATGGAGCGGTGAGGACGTGCAGTACGCTCTGTACATCTGTCCAAGTGCCTATCTCAAGTCTCGGGTGGGTCCGAGTGAACCACGCTTGCTGGGTGCCTTCTCATGCACGCAATCGTTGACCCTGGCGGGGGGCTGTCGAGTCCTGGCGCGCCTGGCATGATGGCATCCTTTTCGACCTAAAACGTAAAGAATCCACCAGGCGGACCCGCGGGATGACTAGCAGCGCTCCGAGGCCCGAGCCTGGGCCCGTGCAAGGAAGCGCCAGCGAACTCTCCTTGATCAACAGGTTTGCACGCAGTGGAGATGCTCCAGCGCCATCTTCTGAAGTGTCCACCAGCAAAGAGTTGTGGGTTATGTGACAGACTCTTTTCCAGCATGGCTCTATAGCCACTGCTCCAGGATGCTCCTCCATCAGCGAATGAAAGCTCGTCTGGGACGATGGGCGTTAGGCTCCACGCTGGCCATGAGGGAGCCCAAGTCGATGCGTCAGGTGCTGCAGAACATCACCCCGGGGGTCAATGGTTTCAGGGCGGGAGCGTCCACTTCCGGCTCCCCGCGCCTGACTAGCGACCTAGTTCCCAGCTAATATGCCAGGGCTAGGCTGCGTGCGCAATCTGCAGCTTGTCTCGGCCCGGACAGAGCTCGAACCGCTGGACCTCATGGCGGCATGGCCCTCTGTTAAGCATCCAAGCCCGCCAGAGGTACTGCCGGCTGCCGCTATCCAGCCCACCAAAGGCGCTGCTCTCGCCCGATCCGCCATCAAAAGAAGCCTATAACTCTCCCGATGCCTGTCAATCGTACCGAGATGTACCCACCACCACCGAGGATCTTCTGCCCTTTTGGCCTGCGAGTGCTTCACTTTTCGCCCAGCTCTTCCCAGGCGCGTTGAGTCGTGCTATCATTCGCCATCCCCACCTACCGCCGTGTTCCGCCATCAAGGTCGAAGTCATGCGTCCGCATTGCCTGGGCCCCGGTGCTGACATGGCGGCCCAGTCCAGCTGACGGCCTTTGCAGTTGGGTGCACGTTTGGCCGGGGCGCTGACCGCGTTGAGCAGCTGAGGTGGTAGTGGCGAGGCTCTTGATCGTAACTATGGCTCAGGTTACACAACTGGGGCTGCAGTCGTGCATCCGTTCCCTGCTCGCGCGACACTGCACTGACGCGACCCATACGGAGCACGGAAGACCTTCCAAGGCACTTCCCACCACTGGCACCAGGTCATCTATCTTCCCACGCAAGCGTCTCAAAATGGCCCATTAGCGCCATCAAATGGAGGCGGCTACCGCTGCTAGTCTTCGCTGATCTCATAACTGCAAGGGGCTCCTTGCACCAATGTTAACCCCACAAGTTCGATTGTCTTTGTCCGCTTTCTGTCGTGTGTCTGTGCAGGCTGCCCAAGAGCCAATTCCGTCGCGATGCTCTCTAGCTTTCTCGCCTACTTAGCTCCTGACCCTGCTGCGTTCCCTGGCTCGGGGCTAATCGTGACAGGGCATGGTGGGAAACACCGCCCGCAGTGTCCAGAAACGGCGCCGGCCTTCTGTGCAAGCTAAAAGCATTCAATTCGCTTACTTTTGAGTTTGTGAGCGAACCTCATGCCTTGATAGACAACGACCTGCTGCAGCACAAGTGAGTTCAACGTTTTCGCCATTCAACTTGTACGATTGCATTCCATCAACACTGTCCACCTTCCTTCACAACAGGCCGAAGCTCTTTCGAAGCAGTCGGAGCATTACGGTTGAGCCCGGCCAAATCAATGGTGACGTGGCGTGAAGGGGACCATAACCTGCCTGACTGCTTTCACTGTTTCATTCACCAAGGCAGGATATGACGCATTGACAAACGGCGCAACGTGACGCTTGACGATGAATTTATTCAGTACAGGCACGATCGGCTGTCTTTGCCTGCCACCATCTCTTGACAAAAGGCCATCGCTTCGCAGAGCCTCAGCTCTTGCTCCCTCATTACTCAACCATATCAGCAACTCGAATCCTGATCGAACGGAAACTAAGGTGGTGCGGCGAAGTTGCGGTGATCCATGGATCCTGTACGTGCACCCATGAGGCCTTCACGGCCCTCCCATGACTCGACAACATCGGGCTCTAATGGGTTCTCAACCAGTCCGTCCAGCAACATCTCCGATGAAGCATCCCGTCGCCGCTCGAATGGCTCCACCGACTATCAGATCAACAACACGACCGATGATGCAAATATCGTTGACATGAGCAAGAACGGCAACTATTCTTCTAGGAACTCCCCCATTCCCGAGAACCAGCAGCACACAATTCGACTCTCTAGCATCGAACACTGCATGCCGCGTGCCTACATACGAGTCTGTCTCGCTTACCGTGTGCCTGACCATGCGGACCTGGACGACCTCATCTCCAGACTCAACAAGTTCGCTCGGAAGCTCGTCGATTCGAAGCCCTACTTGGCGGGATATGTTGTCCCTGCGCCTGAATCCAAGACACAGATTGGTCTCGCCGAGATTCAGTTCACAGATGAAGATTTCAACAACTTCCCCAAGGTCGAGCTACAGTATGTCGCGGAGAAGGACATCCCCTACACCTACGATGAGCTGAATGATCGTGCTATGCCACCCAGTCTGATCCGTCCCGACCTCGTCTCTGCACTCCCCGAGGGTACGAACGATGACTTTGCTCCAGTCTTTCGCCTCCAGGCCAACGTGGTTAAGGGTGGTCTGATCGTGTCGGCTTATCTTCATCATTGCATCTCTGATGGTACTGGGCTGGGTCTCATTCTCACAGGAAGCGTGCTCCAGGACGATTTCACCTTTGACAGACACCTTGAAGCCAAAGGATATGTCACTTCTGGCTTGAACAGACGGTTGGAAGAGTTCGCCAATCAACAGAGCATCGTTCGACAGAATCTATCATGGAGCTTCCCCAACCAGATCCGAGATCGACACATTCTATTCAGCCGACCCTCAGCTTCCACCGAGCAACAGCCTGTGCCGAAGCCGAACGGGAAAGGCTACATCTTTGCATTCTCGAGAGACAAGATGGACGAGCTGAAGCACCAGTTGACAGAAGGGCTCATGGATGGGCAGTTTTTGTCACGCAACGATGTCCTTCGTAAGTCTACAGATCAAGCCATAGTCTCTGTCCATCTGACTGGCCTCATGCTAACTGATATCGACAGAAGCTTTCCTCTGGCATCACATGACGGCCGCTCGAGCGCCTGCCCTAGCATCCACCAATGTTGTCAACTCCAAGCTGTTCACCCCTGTCAACATCCGTGCCAAGTTCGACCGCCGGCTCTCTGAATCGTACTTTGGTGCAGCCGTCGACTTTGCTGTGACCGAGATGAGCATCGCCCACCTGTCAAGTGATGCACCCAGCTCTGCGACTTTATCCGAGACGGCGCTTGCCATCCGACGTGCCATCATGCGCGTGGACGAATCATACATACGCCAAGCCATCGCCCTGGCTCGAGATCCCGATCCAGACATCGACGTGCGTGATCTCATGGGCAGCAACATGAACCGTGCCAAGGGTGCAGATATGTACATCACAAGCTGGGAGAAGCTGGGCCTGTACGATGCAGAGATGGAATTGGGTCTCGGTCGGCCGGACTGGGTGCGCAAGCCATGGTCCAAGGATCCGGGAGCGTGCATCATTCTTCCAAACGACGATCGCAAACCCTACACCGAGGTGCTGGTGCAGATGACCGAGGACGACATGGCTCGCCTTCTACTAGACGAAGCGTTCATGGCTCGTGTGGTGCGATGGACGGAGTGACGAATCACACTGGCACCATCAAGTCCCTGACCGACATTCTTATCTCACCAAGCCATCCAATAAGTTGCGGGTTCCCGCATGATTCCACACCGAAACCGTGATAGTGTACGAGTGCAAAACCCGTCAAACTGGTTGAAGGACACGCTATTTTCGAACCAGCCTGCTTGCATGAGCAAGAGAGGCTTGGACAACCGTCAAGACTGTCACAACTGCATGCAGGGCCCTGCGCCGGTCTTTCTTTTTGCGTTTTTTTTTGTTCTCCACAAACCCCGGACCGCGATGCACGGAGACAAGCCAATGCATACAAAGCCCGCGGCTTGATGTAACATCCAGACAGGAGTCAATGGTGGGAATCCAGCGCAGGACAGGCGATCGGAAGCGGAAAAGGGCGAAATCGCTACTCACTCCTCCACACATCTTCTGCAGCAGCAGCAGCAGCAGCAGCAGCAGCAGCAACAGCACGCTAGACCCCCACAAGCATTAATGAGAAATGGTAATGTAGCAAAGCCAGGCGTTCAGACGGTGCTTTTCCCCCCCAAAGGTTGGTCTTGGATTGGCGCAAGGAGACTACTGGTGGAGCCCCCTCGAGGCACGAGAGGACACAGCGGACCATTCGGATAAAGCTGTATTTGCAGCACACACGAGGTCGAACGGCCTCGCCCAATTCTCATGGACATAAATATGGACGGGTGAATATTCCGTACTCCGTGTCTTCAATTCCTTCTGCATGTTTCCTCGTGTCTGATCTCTGATCTGCTATCACTCGGTGGTGTGTGTGTCTTGTCCGAATATGCATGAGCCGACGGGAGGGTCGTCGGATGCTCAGCCCCTATCCGTACCCGCGAGCAGTACTGCGCGCGGGGGGCTGAAGAAAGCCGCTTGCATCAAAACTGCAAGCGAGCCTCTGAGCAGACGAACTCGCTTGCACTAGGGTGCAAATAGAGTTTCCCGACGCCTTCGTATTCTTTCAGCGTTTCCTTTCCTCCATGCAGCGTGTATGCCATTCTTCTCTTTTTTCCCCCAACGGAAAATCTTTCTGCGGACCGCCGCCGCCGGAGGCCACCAACGGCAAGAGCCCACGGGGGATCGATGGGATGAACCGCAGATCCCCTCTCCTAGTAGCGAGTTGCTACCCGAACTTGCAGGTCCGAGTCGTCTGCCTGTGGCCTTGGCTGTGCACGTCAAGAGCAGCGACTTAGCAGACCAAGTGCCAAGTCTGTCATTCACGGGGGCTAATGCGTCTCCCCGAGCACGAAGAGGAGAAGGGGCTCCGGGGATCAACGACATTGTAGCTGACGGTATATGCTGTGCAGATTGAGCGATGACAGATTGTTCTGACAGGTCCGAGGGGGAATGTGCTCACCGACTGCTGATGCTAGTGAGGATTCGTGTGCTTTTTGGAGTAGTGCAGATAGAGGAGTGGGGTAGGCACCCCCATGCTGGAGTTGTAGAGGGGGCTCGCAACGCATCCACGTGGAACCAAGAGGCAGGACTCTGTTCTCTTGGTGTGAGAGAATGATCACACATCGGTCGAGAACCCTGCTCCACCATTCCTGTCTTCACAGTCCGAGTCCCGGATGGATGCAAGGTCCATGCAAGGCTACAGGTACTCCGTACTCCGTCCTTCCGCCCAACAGCCGTGGAGCCCATAGCGCGCTAGTCCGCACACAGACTAGCCGTTCGAACGCCTGTTCTTTCCGTTTCAGGTTAAGCTCCATCCCGTGAACCTGAGACGCTTTCAACCTCAGCCATCGACGCCAACCTGTGCTCTCGCTCTCCTGGCGCTTCGCTCGCCTCAAACAATCCTGTCTCATGTTGACCTCAGCTGCCTGTCATGTAACGCCGCCGGCTCTCCATCCCTGTGTCGTCCTAACAAATCTGGAAATGAGCTGCCCCCTTGGCGTGCCTGGGACCTCCCATGGACCCGGCATCGACAAGAACCCGGGGACAAGCGAGCGGTCTACAGGTGATGAGATCTTCGCCCCCTCCATCTTCGACCACGATCCAACCCTAATCTTGTGGGTTATTCGGGCTCACTCGCCCGTGAGGCATGACACAGGGGAGACGGCCCGAGTCTCACCAAGCGCGAGCGGATCTCGTCGTGACCCGTTGGCAACTGAGACTCGACGTGACTCTCTGCTAACTCGTTACTCCAACGGTTGTTGTCCATCCGGCCTTCCATTGTATCTCCTCAAAAACACTCCCTGCCTGCTGCAACCTCCTGTTCCTCTGCTCGTTGCTGTCTCGCTATCTGGTTACTCTATCTCAACCTCCATCAACTCTCTCCTCCTCTCAAGCGCTGGTCGTCGGCGCTGTGCGCAGAATCTTTCTTCGTAATCTTCCCTCACCAGTCCTCACTCGATCCGATTTAGTTTCTGGACCGTCGTGACCCACTAGGTACAAGACCACAGTACGGTGCCTATCCAGCGAAACCCAGATTCGACTCGACCCAGACGACTGCTGTACGATGCATTTCCAAACCGTACACGTCCTCCTCCTCGTTCTATCGTTGGCATTGTCTTTGTTCGTCCTCGTCGCCGCCACAAGATACGCCATGTGGTCTCGAGTCATGGTCGTGGGAGAATCCAGCTGGCTGTAACATCAATCCCGCCCCTCAGCAATTGCTATATCTCGATGATACTAACACCAGCACTATCAGAGGCCTGTGTGCCTACGTCGGATTCATACCCTTAGTAAGTACTGGCATCTATACCTGACTGAATCTAGGTGACGATCTGCCTTGAGAACCTTGCGCCTGCTGCCGTTTGTTGGTCGTTGCCGTCGATTTAGCCACCGGGGCACTTCGATGCCAATGGACTTTCACTGTCCTGGCTCATGCAAAGCGACGGTTTCGACCAATATATCCAGGCAATAGCATTGGATACCTCGACCAAGCCACTCCACACCGCCCTACCGGACTATCTTCTGACCCATCCTGTCAACAGATGTCGCTCGCCTACACGATTACGCACCTCGCCCTCCTCCACTTCCGCATCCTTCCCTCGTTCTCGCCCGCCGCCCTCGCCCAGCGCCGCCTGTCCACCGCCAGTAACAAGCCCCCTTCCAGCTCCGTGACTCTTGCTCTCATGACATTGACCAGCATCTACTCCCTCGCGTGGCTCGCACAAGCCTCGCTGTGCACAGCCTGCGAGATGGCGCCCATCGCGGCCGGAACGCAAGGCAACGTGCCAGCATGGTGTCCCCAGTCCCGCTTCCGTGACGTGCCCTCCACCGACCGTGCCGACCGTGCAGCCATGCTCGCTTCCCTGGCGCTTGTCAAGGATGCAATCAATTGGGTGATTTTTGTCGCGGGCTTATGCATGGTCGAGTGCTGTCGTCGTGGTTGGATGTGCGCGCGGACGATGGAGATGAGTGCGGACCGTGAGGGCCTCGTGAGGGCGTATGATCCTGGTGTTGCGCAGAGCTGGTCGACCAAGAGCACGTCTGGACCCGCACCCACCGTCGCTGCCTACGAAATGGGCTCGCTGCCCCCGCCCCCGATTTTTGCCGACAGGAAGGTCAAGAAGAATAGCTATCTGGGCTTACGAGCCGTACAGACTGTGCCGGTCAACTTGGGCGTGCCTGGCGTGGGCTATGCCACCAGAGTCTGAGCCATAGCATGGCTGTACACACGGTCGCGGGGCTCTGCTATACGGGCGACGAGGTTCAAGAGTATGGGCATTGGCAAATTCAAGAGCAGGACTAGGAGTACGCGGTTCATATGGACAACAGACACCAGACTGAAGACTATCATCTAACCTTGAAGCATTGATGTGAAAAAACATAGTTTTGGATAAATCTTGAAACAACATATAAACATATCACACCTTCCCTCAAAGCCAAGTCACACTGACGCCCACTATAGTCCGCTCCGCAGCCATGGCACTTATACACTTCCCCAGCCCCCGTTCATGCATTGAGAGGATGTGCGTGGGCTACACGATATCACCACGCGCCCTCCAGCTCGCGGCCATCTACCAACCCTGTGCGTTGCGGCTATGCTAGAATCTCGGTACTATCATGTCGCTGCCACTCTCATCCCCCCTCATGCCCATCATTCCCTTCATCCCCTCCTTCTTCATCCTCATCTTCTACTTCTACCCTCTTAACCCCACACGCTCCTCTCCTCTCCTCTTCTTCCCTTCCTCACTACATCTCTGCGACCCGCCCGCCGGAAATGCACCAAAAAAAGATTCACACACACATATTGACATACATACATGAGACACGCACCAGTACGCGGCTAAGCCTCAGTCAGGCTGTCAAAAGGAGAGTCCCCCCTCTTCTTTTGCCTTCTCTTGCATAGACACCCCAGCCAGCCTGCCAGCCTTACCTTACCTTGGCTGCCTTGCATTGCCGCGCCGTGCCTTGCGTCGCATGTTGCATGGCGCATGGGTATGGGGGGGGGGGGGGGGCATGGGCGTCGTAAGGCATCAATAAAAATTTGCGGCTCTGCACCATGCCCCCCGAGTCAACGAGTGCGTTCGGCTGGCGCAGACGATGTCAGATACATGGCTACCTGATAACCCCAAGCCTAATGCAGTAGTTGTGAGACACCAAGTCTCAGACCTTTACGTAGCAGTAGTCGAGACCCAGAGTATCAGACCTTTACCTATGGACGGCTTGCGGCCGGCCTGGGGAATACGAATGGAGGGGTCAGGCAGGCCAGGGGGGGGGGACATCCATGCTCATGGAGCTGGACAGAGACCGGCTCGTCTTTCGTATTAATTACTGTTTTGGCCCAGAAACCAGCCGAAGTAGCTCAAAGGTACTGTACATGGTCCCTTTCCACCACCCGCCAGCCGCGGTCCTCTCCTCTCCTCTTGAGTCAGACGCATAAGCATTAAGCGATGGTGGTCTGGCAAACCCGCCACTCTGGTGCAGGTGCATGGGTCCCCAAATGCACATCATGCCATGGACCTAAGGCCGGCAAATGGCCAGGGCCGCATGGCCCGGGTTTCGGTCCTCCCACCAACGCACTTCTGCATCGTATCCTCGCTTCTGGGCCACTCCACCAGGCCATGCGCGCCGACAGATGTGTGTCGACGCGACCACCATTGAGGACATTCTGCGCAATGCAACTGACCACATGCGTCGGAACCCCTTTCCTCACCGCAACCGTCGATCTCAGCTCGCATACTCGATCGATGCCGCAACATGGTCGCTTGTAGAATGAAATAGTCGCCACGCTAGCTCGCCTCATCCAACGCATATGCACTTGACATGAGCATGCAGACGAGCGGAAATAGGGCGGCCCCACAAACCATGTAATATCAGAGCGGGTCGGAACTTGCCGTCTAACGCTCACCGCCCCCCCAAGTCGCGAATTCAGAATCCATGTTCAGCAATATGACCTAAGCATGCACGCTCGCGCTTTGGGTATCCTCGCAAGCGGAATAGCCAACGAAAATGGTCAGAAAGGTCTGACACCGCTCGACGTTTGACTGAAGAGAGAGAAAGGTCCGGTTCAACAATGAGATAACAGATGAAAATATTGGGCGAGGCGCGTCGCGCTCTAAAGCCCCACCAGACACGCAGTCGCGGACGCAACTTCCACGACTCACGTTCACCCTTGAGGCAATTGCCCACTAGCAGGAAGCAAGATTGATTCAAGAGCTCGTTGGAGCAGCCGGATCAGCGCCCGGTGAGGCAGCACTGCCAGCGGAAGCGGGTGGCTTAGCTGCAGATGTCTCAGGCTTCTTCTGTATCTCGAGCTTCGGTACTGCAGGTATGCATGAGTCATTGTCGATCCCGGAGAATAAAGGGAAACTTACTGCTTAAACCATAGCCTTGCGTGTGACCTTCAGGGTCGTGATTGTCGATCTCTACACGGAGAGAAACGTTCAACCCGCCCAGCAATGGACTCTTACTGCTTACGCCGTCAGCAGCTGGATGCTGCGTGCCGGCACCGACCTCGCCCTGATGCAACGGTTCACGACCATTGCGATTGTAGTTCTTGGGTCGATCCTTCCCTTCAAGTCCAGTATCGGGAAGAGCGCCGTTGGTTAGCGGAGCTTTACTATTCGTGTCCACACCGACCGGCGCTGTGTCGTTGTGTTCAGGAACCTCGGTAATGCAGGCGTAGTTACGGCTGGGCATTGTTGCCTTGTTCCAGTCAGCCCCTTTTACCTTCCCGCCGGGCTGTTTGTCGAAGAATTCAAGCAGCGTTTCGTCCGTGTTACCGTCGCGCAGATGGTGAATCTTGTTGCGCTTTGCCAGTAAATTGGCTACAGCCTTCGGCGGAGGCTTGTTGGTGATGGCGGAAGACACGATGTTGGGTATGTACCGTGGGTCATTTTCTGCCGCGACATCATGCTTAGGATTGGAGTAGAAGCGACCAAAGGCGCACAAGTGGACATCGCCACCTAGGATGGTGATGCGAATAGCGTACTTCTCACTCAAGTGCTGCAATCGAACAATGAAGTCACGACGCTCCTTCTTGTGGTGTCTCGCTGTGTAGTGATCATCGAGGTCATCTAGAAGATCGACCGCACCGTCGAACTGATTGAACAATCCACCAGCTACACCAAAACGCTTGTTGAGGAGCCGAAGAGGTGCAATGATCGGCGAGGAAAGAATATTCTCGAGCCAGGCCAAACGAGGGTATGCGATTGGAACTCCCAATAGAAGGATCAGATGTTTGATCTCGCCCTGTGCCTCTTGGAACTCCTTCTCAAGTCTGTCAAAGATCATGTCGTATGTGTCGGGATAATTGACTTGTTTGCGAGTCCGCTCGGTCCGAGCGTCGATGCCGCAGAACGCTATCCTCTTGCCTAGGCGCATGTATAGGTTTCTCGACCGCTCTTCAACATAAGGACCAGGCTTCTTGCCTACAATCCAGCTAGGATCATCGGCTGTCCGCTTGTAGACATAGGTGTTCTCCATCTGCCTGGGATCGGCGCCAGCAGTTCCCTTCTCATTGGCCGACATGGTCTGAGGTGCATCTGAGGTAAATGTTGAGACCGGTGGAGCAGTATGGTGCTGAAAGAGACAGTAGTACTTGAAAGCGACACCGCCAATACCACGGAAAACATGACAACGCATGAAATGGTCGGTATAGGAACCGAAACCATCAATGATGTCGTGGTCATCCCAGATGTTGATCTGGGGAATCTGAGCATTGGCTGTCGCGAACGGTTCCGTCGAGTACCAGCGGATGTAGTTGTCATAGTAATATTTGTCGCAATCTGCTCTCATCTTATTGTCAAATGGAAACTTGCGTCTCTTTTCCGGATTGCCGATCGCAGTCCACGGCTTTAGAGGGCCGTCAACACGGACGCTGTCGTTGTAAATCTGGTCTCCGCCTCCGATCATGACATGAAATGGACGCTTCTCGTGGACACGGATGACATCGTTCCAGAGTGCAGGTCCTAACCCGTGTCAGTCAAAATCTTATAGGGCTAGGATGTACCTACCGCTCCAGAAGTCCTCATCGGTACCGACCGAGAAACCGTTGCAGGAATGGAACATTATGCGAAACGAGTCACTCACGGCCGGCACGATGAATTGGCGCGAGTCGGACTTGTTGGCCGAGTTCTGCGGAAACTTGGCTCTTGGAATGGTATACTGCCACCGCTGTTCAGCTTCAGAAAACGGAATTCTGATGGTGAAGCGCCAGAAAGTCTTGTCCGGATCGGCATAGAGTTTCAAGCCATCGACTGCTAACTTTGGTAGAGTGCTTGTAGATGTTCTCTTGCTGTCCCAAGGTCCCAGAGCCTGTAGTTCGAGGCGAGGCAACTTCTGGCCAGGCTTGGTGATAATGAGGATGGAGCCATGCCAGAAGACAGTCGAGTCTTCGTTGCTCATGCGCTGATAGTTGATCAAAGGGCCGCAGATGATTTCAAGATCGTCGCTCAGGTCCACGAGCTTTGGTCCCTCTCCGTAGCCCTGCTGCGTCTCGAAGACATGCTCGTAGCCTTGGGGCACTTCCCCGTTGGTCACCGATTGTGCTAGAAGTCGGAATCAGCGTGCTACTAAGAAGACGTCGAATCCGGGGGCCTACCATTGTTGGTCTCTGCCATGACTCGGAACGCGACTTTACTGGGTGGACCAGAGCTCTAGAACAGCGGAACGCGCGAGCTGTGTCTCGAGTCACTTCTTGCTCGCGCCTGTAACCAAAGGACAGCGCACCGGCCACTACGACGAAGGAGGAACGCTGGTAGCACAGAGGGATGCGAGAGGAAGAGACAGCGCCGTAGGGAGGCCGCGATTGAAGTCGTAATCGACGGAGCGCAGTAGGCACAGTCTGACAGTTCGGATGATCAGATGAGCCCATCACAGCTGTGAGCAGCTGGGGACGGCGCGCAGGTCGGGACTCGAGGCTCGCCGCTGCGACGGCTTGATGATGATGCCAAGCTACGCTGGAGCGGAACGTGGGTCAGACGAACCAATTAAATCCCGTCTATTTCACTCTCATCTCGCTGAAAGTCTGAAAACCGGGTCCCGATAGTGCCGGATCAGCTCCACGCTTCCAAGAATCCTGCTTTCCGCCCGGCCAACCAACTGTGTTGATGCTAAGAACTCATCGACCTTGACATAGTACTGCTATCGTACATTGTACTGTGGTCATAATCTCATACCAGTGCTCCGTACTTGCATTATGCATCCTTCACACCTCCTCACCGAAGTTCCGGTCCTTGGGATTGTAATCACCGCAACGCCGTCGCTTTGCAATATCATGTGTTGCAAACCCTTAGGTGCTTGCTTTTCGATTGTCGCACTATTCCTTCTCGCCTTCCTTCTGTTGAGGGTCGTCGATGCCATGCTCGTAAATTGCAAACAATGTGTCACCTTCTGGCAGACAAGGACTGTCATAGATCTTGCAGATTCTCGTCTCGCCACGACCCTTCTTCAAGCTAAGTCGGGTGGTACTGGCATGTGCAATAATGTTGCCACCAATGGGTTTCTTGGGGTCAGGGTTGAACATTGCGCTGGGGCCTCCATCGACTTGTGCGACCACCTGGTTGGTGATGATGACCGCGACGCCAAATTCGTCGGCTAGCCGCTGCAACGTGCGCATAAACTTTGCCATATGTGACTGTCGGGATGAGAGCTCCCCTCGACCATTGTAGTCTGTTCGGTACAATGAGGTGGCCGAGTCGACGATGAGGAGGGAAAACCGTGTCTCGCACATCATCTGAGCCGCTTGCTGGAGTAGTTGAAGTTGGTGCTCCGAATTGTAGGCGCGGGCGTATGCAACATTGTCGAGCACCTCCTCACCCTCTAGACCAAATCGTTGTGCAACGGACAACAGCCGCACGGGTCTGAAAGTGCCTTCGGTGTCGATGTACAAGCACTTTCCTTCACCGCCACCCATGTCGAAGGGCAGTTGACAGGTTACTGCTAAGGTGTGGCAGATCTGACTTTTCCCCGTCCTGAACTCGCCAAAGACCTCGGTGATTGAACCGGTCTCCACACCGCCACCCAGGAGACGGTCGAGTTGCTTCGAGCCGGTAGTGATGGATATCAGTTCGCTGCGGCGTTGATGCATCTCGGTAGCGGTCGTGAAGCCCATTGGAACCAGGCGCATGGCTACGATAGATTAGTATCGGGATGTGGCTGCAGCCGGACAAGACGCACCTTCATTGAGCAGCTTTGTAGCCTTTGCTTCAGAGATACCCTTGACCTGCTCCAACATGCGGCGAGGTCTAGGGTCGTGGTTAGCCTAGCCTAGCCTCCAGCAGATAAGATGATGGTCTCATACGTATAGGCGACCGACTCAACAGTATGGTATCCTCCATCGGCTACAAGTTTGATGTCACGATCCGTCAAACCGGCAACACCCTTGGTACGTCAGTATTTGTCCATGACTGTAGTCGTCGATCGATACGCACCACGAGAGCAGAGACAGGCGTTGGAGCGCCGGGTCCACCAGCCATGTCCTCGTACTCATCCTGCCCTGCCACGTCCTCAGTCTGTGTCATTATGTCGGTGTCAAAAGGTGAATAGAATCTCTGGAAGCGCACGACGGACAGCCAATATGCACTGCAGGTAAGTTTGTTCGTGACAATCGTAGATTTGCGGCCTGGTGCAAGTGGCAAAAGGGTCTGACGCGTCGAGCTAGGCATGAGGACGCGCCTTGAGGTGCAGAGCAACGCGAAGTCACGGGATCGAGCTTGGCATAGACGCCCCCATGGCCCCTCCATCTGACCTCAAGTTGCTCTAGTTCGTACCTACTATACACGTTGGTCCAAGGATCAGTCAGACATATCCCATGTATAGTTCTAGGGCAGCGCTTCTGCGCTGGACTATTGGTGACTCCATTTGTGTCTTGGGATGATGCTCTGCGATGAGTGTATGGGTAATCAGCATGTCAGGTATGACCAAATATGCCTTTTGACAATTCATGTAATCTACGATGAATACCGAGTATTTGTTTGTTTGTTATCGTACCGGTAGTAACTGCCTGCCCTGCTGATTTCTCCTTCCGACACGACCTGTTCGTCTGCGACGACATCACATCCTAGCTCTATCTGAGGCCTTTACCTTCATAAGCATGGCTGCAGTCAAGTTCAACCCCGCTACCCCTGCTGAAGCCATTGCACAAGCGCCATCTATGGTACCCACGGACCTGCGTCTCCGAATAGTGACTGGTGAAGCAGATCGAACGGGTTTGCTGAGGACTCTGTGCGAAACATTTATTGCAAGGTATGTGGGTTGCCAGTAGTCTGAGCATTGCATGCTCGAAGGAGATGGAGCATTCATTTGCTGCAGTACTCCTATCTGGCTCTCATATGCTGGCCCATTCTCTAGCCCCGACGACCCATACTGCTCACCACGACTATTAGCAATACCAACTGGCCTCCATCCCGCATGGCATGGATTCTTAGCCGACACCCCACTCAGCTTCAAGGTGCTCGCCACTGGTGCCGCGAACGTCTTGTTTGTTTACCACCCTCACGCTTGGTTGACAGCCCTGGCTCCGAACATCGCCGCTTCCATCCATTATGCTTGGCGAGACAGCTTCATGCCGCTTGGCAACTCACTCCCTCGATGCTCAGCCGCTTCTGTAACATCTGCTAGGTCCTGAAGACACCCACCTGAGCCTCCGTAACGCTCGGCGGAACTGCTCTGTTCACTAGCTGTTTGGGGCGCTTTTTTGCGCCGCCATTATCGACTTCAAGATGAATGGGGTAGTCATGCACGATAAGAGCCTGTAGGCTTGGACCTTTGAGCCTAGCGCCGAGAAAGGGGAGGAAAAGCAACCGTGGGAGGGTGAGGTAGTAGTTGACTTCGTGGACCAGCATCGGAATGCATTGAGTCCTCGGTCAGACGTTTCGTCTATTGCACTATGGTGCTATGCCATTAACAAGGTCTCCATAGCCTTCCGCCGCCCTGCTGTAAGCATATATCATGCCTGGGTATTTAGTTCGACACCTGCGAGTCTCAAATCAGTTGCATGCTCCCATGAACCTGCATGAAACGTACCTTACTTGGCACTTTCTTGCCAGTGCCCGTCTCAAACTTGCCGCGTGCCATGTCGGTTGCCTTCTCCTCGTACTTGTCGTATTTGTGATCCTTATCGATGCCGAACTTGGCTTGGACACTGTTGATACCTTTGTCAACCATGTCTTGCTGGCCAGCACTAGGAGCTTCATTAGCTATATAGGGCAGTGACGTAGACCTGAGGATTTGTACCCTTGAGCAGGCTGCTGACCTCCACTCTTGTTGCCGCCGGAGAGCATCGCCTTGCCTTTGTCGAGAAGACCGTCCATGTTTGCGGTAGTTATGGATTGATTGATATGAATTGATGATGAGTAATAGGGTGAGAAGTAAGTGATGGTGCGAGGTACAGAAGATCAGCAGGAACGAGAAGCGTGCAGCGCAGTTATAAGTCCGGCTCGACTCAGCACATGCGTGACAGGAAGTGGACAAGCGGGGGGTATGACGACGTTAGCAAGGGCTGGTCTCATCTTTTCAGGTAGGCACCTTCGGGCACGTTTTCTCGATCGAGGGGCAGCATTTGAGAAGGTGCTACGGCATAGCTCAGCATGACAACTCCCAGCTGCCCCAAGCGGCAGGTCTAGCTGTCAGGAGGGGGCGATCGTGGTTGCCCGGGCATAGTTGAAACCTTGCAAGAGCCCGGATCGCCGTTTATTGGGCGTGGGCACGGTATCAAAAGCCAGTCCCAGCTGAGACGTGCCTTCAGCGGGAATGTGCATACGCTTCCTCCGACGCTCTAGGAACATCCTGAGGTGACAGTATTGAGGGCGAGCCTGTTTACAATGAGGTTACACAGACCGGTTTTTGGTTTGTTCTGGATCGGTTGATGTCATAGGCACATGTTAATGGCGAAAACATGGCAGCAAGCGACACAGAAAAGTGCAAAGTAGGAAGGTCGCATTTGTGAAGGTCCGGCAGATGGGAATCGCTGGTCGCGGCTTGCTATCGCGAGAGACATAGATGCTGCACTGGTAAGCTGGACGACACAGAACCACAGGAAATATGCTGGAGCATGGCCGAGGTCTGGCCATGACCAATGTAAGAAGAGGATAGAAGAGGAATTATATCGGCTTGACTCGGTCTATCTGCCAAAGGCTGGAGAGACTATTGAACAAATGTGTGCACTGCCGACGGCGTAACCTGCCATGAAATGCGGAGGGGCGGATCTTCACCGCTGCAGCGAGCGACTGATAGCCACGCAGTTCGTGCATGTGGTACACGACCAGGGAGTCCTCAGTTGTCAGCCGCCTGTTTGCCCTACAGCTATGGACCGAGTGGTGCTCAAAGCAACTTAGGGAGGAGCCAGACATGGTTCATGCCTCTCTCTAGATAGGTACTGTTCAATGCGTCTGAGCCCACGGGAGTACAGTCAGATGGTTTCTCGCGCGCAAGCGAGCGCATTTCACGCAGCAAAAGTGTACCTACACAGCACACACAGACCTGCGAGGGGATACTTTAGTTGTTGTTGGGGTTTGCCCGTTACTTGATACGCGCGATAAGGATTGCGGCAGCCTGCCACACAAGCACTTTTTTAGGCTGTCGAGGCGGTTGCCAGAGGAGCAGATCTTACGCAGGACCGACCCTAAACGATCCGCAGGTGACTTGGGGCATCACTGAAGACAGACACTGAACGAACCTTTGTTGACCATTATTGACTTCTCTCGATTCAACGCTCACCTGTAATATAACTTTTGAAGCGACAAGTCGAGACTTGTGACGCTCATAGCCAGCTCAGTGCAGACCGCGTGTGTGCAAGCCCGCGGTTTCAAACCCTGGTCCGGCTGTAGTCGGTCTGAGGGTCTCAGCCACGCTTTCTGCCGCTAAGTGCGTTTACGTTCCTCAACATCAACTCTTCTTCAATCCTCCCATCATCATCATTCACCATCCTCATCAGACACGCTGTCCTCGGTCCTCTTTCCTCCTGAAGACCGCTTATCGCCTTCGTCCATTCTACATATCCATCTGACAAAGTTCGCCCACAGCCGCCATGGCTGAGATCCGTCGCAAACTCGTCATTGTCGGCGATGGTGCCTGCGGAAAGACTTGCTTGTTGATGTAAGTCTCAAAGCTCTGGGCCACCATATGATCAACGCTGACGATCTTGCTAGTGTCTTTTCCAAGGGTACCTTCCCTGAGGTATGAATCTATTCCGTTCTCAAGCTGCGCTCGGAGCCCGTCCACCGTATCTCCTTTATCTACGCCTCCCTGATGGCGCGAGCACACTTTAGCCCAATACATCCATACATGTCAATCCACGTATAAAGCAAGAACTGACAAGCCTGTCAGGTCTACGTTCCCACCGTCTTCGAGAACTACGTTGCCGATGTCGAGGTCGATGGAAAGCACGTGGAACTTGCCCTATGGGATACGGCTGGTCAGGAAGACTACGACAGACTGCGCCCTCTCTCATACCCTGACTCTCATGTCATCCTCATCTGCTTCGCCGTCGACTCGCCTGACTCTCTTGACAACGTCCAAGAGAAGGTATGGTAGCCCTCCACAGCTGTGAGCAATTCGTCTGACACACCCACCAGTGGATTTCCGAAGTCCTTCATTTCTGCCAAGGCCTACCTATCATCCTGGTTGGCTGCAAGAGCGATCTCCGCCACGATCCTAAGACTATCGAGGAGCTCGGAAAGACTTCTCAGAAGCCTGTTGGCCCCGAGCAGGTAAGTCGTCAGTTGAGATCGGAAAATAACATGCGCTGACTCCGTTTACAGGGCGAGGAAGTCCGCAAGAAGATCGGTGCCTACAAATATCTCGAATGCTCGGCCAAGACCAATCACGGTGTGCGCGAGGTGTTCGAGTCGGCCACGCGTGCTGCTCTTCTGACCCGCAAGGGCGGCAAGAGCAAGAAGTGCTTGATTTTGTAACCTGTCCGCCAATCCCAAATGAATACAAGCAAGCATTTCACGTGTTACCCAATATACCTGGATACCGATAACGCACGAAGACCTTCAATGTCGACCTCGAGTTCTTGATTTCAATGCTTTTGGGCTGGGGAACCGGAGGACGGCGGCTGGTATTGGGGGTGCAATCGAGCATCATTACGTCCTGCTTCTTCTCGATCACAGGATGTCTTTCTCGGCCCAAGTTGCGCACAGGCGATGATCTTCAGCACCTCTTTTGGCCTTTGAAGCATGAATGGCGTTCCAATGTCGAGCAAGAGATAACACCCTTTCAACCCACTCGAATAGGAATTCATTTCAAGGCGTTTGACACCATCGTGGATTGTTGATGCGCGCGGCACCTCCATTAATCTCCTTCTACCAGGTGGGTTGAACATGGTTTAGATACAGCCATGAATGAACATGTGTCGTGAAGCCATGCAATCGCGTGTTTCATACCCAGCTCGTGCCTGGCTCCAGCCCAGTCAAGCAAGCACGAGAATCCGGCCCAGTAATCACAACGCGAAAGGCTAGACTCTGTGTCATTCTTTATACTGAGTCTATCACCATGTACTAGCTGCATCGAGTGTGTATCATCTTGGTCCACACATCATAGTATCACACAAATCGTAGAACGAAGATACCTGTGAGTACGGATCGGCGGAAGACAGATCCGGTCACGTGGGAGCCACTCATGACGTCCACTACGAGTAGACAAGTCCACGCAAAGCGCTCCTCAACATGTGCACCGTACTATTATGATCCAGGCGTGATACGATGAAGACCGTTTGTTAGCAGGGCATTCTTATTCCAACATGGAGTTGCTGGAGTTGGCTACGAAACCATGTCGTCTACGAATACGCAGCGCACTGTTGTGCCCGCTCAGCTAAACTACCTGACCATCTACAACCCAGCATTCGGCGACACAGACGAGACCGCCTACGAGCAGATCTTCTATTACTTTTCGCGCGAGGAGGCTGAGAGGCGGAGTCATGGGCAACCGGAAAGTCAGACCAGAATCAATGCTGGGTCGAAAGAGCGCACCCAGGAGGAAGAGAAGAACGACAGACTGCGTCAGGTAGGGCTCGCCAGAGGCATGGTCGAATTTGCAAAGTAGGTGCGCGCCCGAGTATGCCAGCTCTGATATTGCATGTTGCAGACGGCTGATTGAGTCGACAGCAATTTCTCCGGCGTGTCGCCTGTAGAATCTGTCGAGACCGAGAAGTCACGGATCATACTCCGCCAGCTTGAGGATGGATGGTGGATACTCGCTTCGATTCACCTCACGCAACTACCAGGGCTGAGGTCGCAGAAAACGCCAACAGAACAGACGATTGAATACTCGGCCCGCGAGGTGGCACCTGCTACGCTCCTACTCAGCCAGCTCGTCCAGGCACACAGCATCTTTCTACTTCACCATGCAGGCAGCCTTAACGAACTACACTCCCGGCTTGGTAGGCCGACCTTCTGCGCCATGCTCGACAGATACTGGACGATGTTTTGCCGCAACTGGGACGTCCTATTGCACGGTAACCCAGCCGTGGACGTGTTCAATGCAACCAAGCTTGCAGGAGGTGGCGAGATAGGCGTTGGTGTTGGTGAGGAGGACTGGGGTAGCGGTGAGCGAGAAGTCCTCGAAGACTTTGTGAATCGTACGGAAGGCCTTGTTGAGCTGGTGGTCGGACGCTACGGCGATCCACCGCTCGAACCTTTAAAAGACGTGACGACTGGCAAAGACGGGGAGGTCAAAGAGGTCAATCCTTGGCTCGGAACCGGGGACGATCCTCGAGCTTCTGACGGTGTTATCTTTTCTGGCATGGGCAAACTGTCGAGACGATCACTTGCCACTGTGTCACAGTGGATGGCGACTATTTTCAAGTACGGCAACGAGGCTTACGGTATAGGTGAGAACCCCAGCTCGCGGCCGCGACAGCGTCGGAGGGGCGGAAAACACGACCAATCTCGACGCCAACGCGAGAACGGCGGAGTGCACGCTCCCCAAGACCAATCAACGCGTTCAAGAGTCAAATTACCCAGGAAGAAGCGGCCTGGCACTCGAAAGATGTCGGAGGACCACCCACCGCCCCCAGGTATACCGGCTCCTCTGGTCAGCACTGTCGAACAATCATTGACTGATGCAACAAAGAAGGTACAGCATGGGGATGACAACACCAAATCTAGCGGCACAGACCAAACAAGCCAAGAAGGAACAGCGTCTTTCTTCGATTCGGATACCATGGTGAAGTACTTGAAGCTGGGATACGGTTCTAGCTGGACTCTCAATCCTAAGGGGTTTGCAGGCAAGACGGAGACAGCCGAGCCAGAGGCTCTCATTGAAGAAGCCAACGAAGCCAGCGACGCACCGCAGAAGCCGCTTGAAGAAGTGGAGCCAAATCCGGAGGGCAGCGAGGATGAGGAAGAAACGGAAGAGCCCTTTGTTCAGCGATTAGAGCAGTCGATTGGCAGTTTCCTGCTCGGTCTCTCTGGAGACCTTGAGAATACCGAATTCGAGGCCGACGCGATGGACGAGACCAATGAAATGGCGTCGGACGCCATTCGCAATACACAGCGAATTTTCATGCGGACGATCACGGTCCAGCTCCGCGACCGACGGCGTTCACGATCACCATCCACCATAACCCACTCTTCTGACAGCCACGAGAAGCTACAGGTGGCGGTGTACACGCATCAGCCATTCATCTTCGTCTTCTTATTTGAACTGCACACAGCAAGCTTGTCGATGCCGAGCTCTTACCGGGCGATACATCACCGACTTGGCCCTCTCCAGAAACCATTACTACGCAGTACGGATCCACGGAGAATACCTGAGCGAATGGCGGAGGTGATTGGTGAAAAAGCCGACCAGCTCGGATCTAGTGGGATCTACGACCTTGTGTACGATACAGCCAAGCTTTTTGTGCGTACGAGTGTACCCAACATCCCCGTCCCCGGAAGCCTGGCGGCGGAGGGAATCATGGGCTCGACGCAGGTATCATCTTCAGGTGACGGCTCGCGAACGGTTAGTGGAGCATGGTACACGCTGGGCATTCCTATTGGGCCATCTACGCCAACCTCGCAGTATCGAACCGAGGACGGCACGCGGCTACTGAAAAGCGAGTGGACCCGGGTGGAAAGCCTGAATGTACACACTCAGATACTCAACACTCATATGGCAACCAGGAGAGGGCAGGGAGGGGTGGGGGAGATTGAGCGGACTGTCAAAACGTCGCGAGGGTGGTGGGTGGTATGGATGCGAGTTCCGATGTCGATGTCAACGAAATCGCCGACGCCGTCGCCGTCGCCGTCGCCTTCACCCTCACCCTGGCCTTACCAATCCGAAGGAGATGAGCGGAGTCAGCACAGACGGAACAACCGTGGCGGAGAGAACGAAGCGTTCTTGATTCGAAAGACGATCGAAGCGAATAACGCTGCCGGGCCCCGAGAGAAGAGTGGCACGTGGTTGCGTCGCGATGTCAGGGACATGAGTGGCGGCAGTACCACAGGAGTCGCGACAAGTGCCAGATCGGTGGTAGAGGGTGTCGGTGTGGATCCACGACGGTGGATCGAAGGCCTGGTGAAGCTTAGCTCTTAGACGACGACGAAGACGACGACGCCACGGGCCGCAAGATTGCCTACGACCAGGTACAAGTAACAGTAATTATTGATATCCGATTTTGGGCCGTCTTGACAGCTGAACCCCTGCGCCGAGGTGGACAGGAGAGTGGAACGACTGACACCTTGACAGATAACACGCCTGTCCCTACCTAGCCTGGCCGGCCAATCAGCATAGCAGGCAGTGCGCCGCTTCGGCTATTTTAGTGCTGCCAACAAATTCGACGGCATCGTGCACAGCATTTTTTTTCATCTTGCTCGTACTCTGTGTACCACTTGTAATCACCTCGTTGAGCTAGATTTCCGGGACAGTGGCGGACAGTGTCTTGGCTATCCGTGTCAGATGCAAGCATGGGCCTCAGCATGGACCCCCCTATGGGACCTCTCTGCCTTTGCCTTTGTTCAACGGCCACCGGCCACGGCTAGGCAGGAACAGCTTCCCTTGTGCTTTCTGCTCCAGGTGAGGGTTCGTCGTCTTTCACTTCTTCCCTTCTTCTGTTCTTCTGCGTTGTGAAGTGCGCAGGAGTCGCGGCTGCGACGTTGGCCATCGCTTTCAACGTAGCCACTTAGTCGACGTTATTTTTCATGACCGGCCTACCCGTACCACTAATGACCAAGCCACTATGCTGGACCTCTCCGCCTTTGTTCGTTCTCGACTGTTACTGGCGACGGGCGCGATCATTCTTTTCCTCTTCACCTTCCGCGCGTTGAACGAATCTACCGCCTTACGACCGTATCTGTCTTCCGAATCCTCACAGCCAGCAGCGGGGCAGTCCAGCTCAGACCCAGTGTCTATAATATACGACCCCAGACCAGAGTGGAGCGGGCGGCCCGATGTCGCCAAAGTGTCGATGATGTATGGAGAGAACGAGTTGTATGACCGGGCGATTGATACGCATCTTCGACATGCGCAAAGGCATGGCTATCCGGCGTATGTGCTGAAGAAGGAGTTGATAACTGGGGTGTGGAACAAACTACTCTATCTCATCCATGTCATGGTCGCAGAGATGCACCGGGGCGAGCAGGGTGCGAAATGGATCATGTGGTTCGATGCTGATTCCGCAGTCATCAACCCAGCCCTGCCGCTGTCCATCTTCCTCCCCCCCGAGGAGTGGTCAGACATTCACCTGTTGGCGAGCAAAGATCAGGCCGGTTTCAATGCCGGCATGTTCTTGATCAAGATCAACGACTGGTCCATCCGGACGCTCGCACAGGCCATGACCTATGAATGGCACAAACCTGACATCAAGCTGGATTTCCTCGAACAAACTTCTTTGTACCACGAGCTCAACCACACCGCGAATCGTGAACACGTCCTTTATCAACCCCGAAAATGGTTCAACACGTACGAATTCCATCATGCTTACGAGGGCGAGAAGGGAGACATGATGGTTCACTTCCCTGGCCTACAGGAAGATCGCTGGAATCACATGGCCACGTGGTTGGAGATTCTCGAAGGACCAGGACAGAAAGAATGGGAGGTTCCACTTGAGCAGACTAGATACCCCAAGCTCATTGCCGAATTCTGGGAGACTCTGAAATCTGGAAAGACAACGCTCGAGAACGGCAAACAGCAAATGAAGCAATCCGACGATGCGTCATCAGAGTTGGCCGGTGCCGTGGCACATCTAGAGACTGTCATGTGGTCGGAAACTGATCAGCCGGATGCTGTGACCGGCGCTGTTTCGGAAGTGCAGCAACATATGGCGCCATTGACTATTGATGGGAAGGCTGCCAACACCGAAATGAGGAGTGATTCTTTTTGATGCGAGCGCTACGAACAAAACTGGAACAAGGATCATACCGCAGCCGGGCAGGATTCTTCACAATGCGAGCGCGATATTGACAGCGTTGGACCTCTGCAGGATTTGAGAGCAAGGCCATTTACAAAGGCGCATGCAAAGGCGCAGCATCACACCGACTCAGACCACGATGGTGCTGTAGCGGCCGCGCGGACATTGTGACAAGTCTGTGCTTGTGAGGTGTTCCCCCAGAGAGCAAAGCTGTAGTCAGATTCAGTGAGGTTGGGGGCGTAGTGTAGAAGCACGGCAGGATAGTGATAGACTGCTGATATTATCTTTAGAGGATTACCGCCAAGGCAGAGGAGAACTCCCAATGATCCCACCGCCATGTCCAGTTCTTGACCTCTATTCAACCTCAACACCGCATCCAAGAGAACTCGAGAGTATCATGGGAGCCGACGAGTAGTAATCCCAAGCCCAAGCCCAAGCCCAAGATCCGAAGTCAATGCTGGTTTGCTGCGCCCTCTCGATCGCCACGCACACGGCCACCCTGTCCTGTATTACGGGAAACTTCGTTGCAGTCATGACCTCATCATATCCACCAACAGCCCGGTTGTCCCGTTTACATACTTTCGCCTTTTGCGCATGTGCATACGGATTGGTAAAGATCGATAGCCTTGCGCGTGTGACGTGTGAAGATACGAATTTGAGCGTTATCTTGCGAATGACTTGCTGACCGGCTCGAAAAGCATCCCCGGCAGGCCAAATACCTGACATATATATATAAATATAGTTGCCAACGCGATCCGGCACCGTGTGAGCGACAGAGACGCAGCGGTATATGAATCGACATCTACTCAACCACCCCCTTTCAACGCCCCTCGACGCACGCCACCCACTCCTCAACAACCCCCACACACATATTCCCTCACGATGCCCGACAACGAAATCGCCGCCAACCGCTCAACGCTCAAAGAGTTCTTCGCCAGCGTGGCCACCATCCGCGGCGACCTCTCCAACATCACCGCCCCGCCCTTCGTGCTCTCGACCTCCTCCACCGTTGAGCTGCCGCAGCACTGGGCGTCACGCCCCAATGTCTTCGCCACGCCCACACTCGCGCAAACGCCCGAGGAGCGCATGATGAAAGTGGTACGCTGGTGGCTGTCGTCGTTGCGCGGCCAGCAGTACGCGGGGCGCGATCCGGCCGAAGGGGTCAAGAAGCCATTGAACGCCGTGTTGGGCGAGGTGTTTGTTGCGCAGTGGGGTTCGTCGGGTGACGCAGAGGAAGGCACGACGTTCCTGGTCAGCGAGCAGGTCTCGCATCACCCGCCCGTCACGGCGTGCCGCGTGTGGAACGACCGCGTGGGCGTCGAGGCCGAGGGCTTCACGCGCCAGGAGATCACGCTGGCCGGTGGGGGGGTCAATATCAGGCAGATGGGCTATGCGCTCTTCTCGCTGAGGAACTGGGGTGAGACGTACCTGATCCCGCTGCCGGATGTCAAGGTCAAGGGCGTCCTGACGGGTACGCCGTATCCGGAGCTGGGTGGGCATTATCAGATCGTCTGCACCAGTGGGTGGGCCGCCAGCGTGGATTTTTCGGGCAAGGGATTCTTGGGCTTGGGAGGTGGGGGTCGGAAGCATGGCTTTGAGGCCAAGGTGTATCGAGAGGGCGAGGAGGGGAGGCCGGTGTACAGCTTGAGTGGGAACTGGGATGCCGAGTTTACGATCACGGATGAGCGTACGGGGAGGGACGTTGAGACTTTCGATGTTGCGAGAGAGCCTGCGGTGGAGGCGACGACGTTGCCTCTGGAACAGCAGGATCCGTATGAGACGGGGAGGGTGTGGAAGGGGGTCCGGGAGGCTCTGAACCGTGGGGATATGCAGGGAGTGAGTGATGCCAAGAATGTGCTGGAGGAGGGTCAGAGGGAGATGCGGAAGGTGGAGGAGAGGGAGGGGAGGCAGTGGCAGAGGCTGTTCTTCAGGGATGTAGGCGAGGACAGCGTTGGGGTGGACTTGATGAGAAGAGTGGGCGGAGAATGGAAGCCAGAGCAGACGGTGGGTGTCTGGAAGTTTGATCTACGAGCCTGGGAAGAGAAGAGAAGGCCGTACCGTGGCGGACTGAGGCCCGACAACGAGATGGGAGGGGCCATGGGCAACGACACCGCGAATGGGTTTGCTACCTCTCAACGATCTCCTGCGAGTGGGAAGGCACAAGCAGTCAACGGCCTAAGCAACGAACCGCTATCCGACCGGTCAACACCATCAACAGCTACTTCTGCGAACGACAAGGTTCTACCACCGATCCCAGCGCAGATTCAACAGCAAGAAGCCCAAGATGCAAAACTTGCGGATGGACTTGGAGAAATGTCATTGGAAGAGCAGGCCGCGGTCGAGGAGATGCTCCGGGACCAGTACAGCTCCAGACGCAGCAAGAAGAGGTAGTTGTTTTGCTGCCCCAGAGCGATGGTCGTGACGAGGCGCAGCGAGACAAAGACAACAGAATTATGCAGCTGCGAGGTTGATGTACTAACGAGCTAGACGTACTCAGTGCTTGCCATGTGTTATTGGTTGGCATCATGAAGTGTTGGCTCTGACATGATGAAGTCCCCCTCCAGCCAAACTATGGATTGAACCTCTTGCTCCCCAATAGGCTGTGTCCAGACCATTCACTCGACATTCTAACAGGACCCCTCCATCCATGTTGGCTGGCTACGTGAATATGCCCCAGACGGGAGAGCTTCTGCTTGCACCATCACCTTGTTTGTGTACAAACATTGTTAGATGGAAGTCGATTACTATAAACTCCGCGATGTCGCTGACTACATATCTACAAACTGGCTTGGGGCCTTTGATTCTCTTCCATTGAGATTCCAGCCATCGTGCTCATCTACAAGCTGGACCACGGGTTCTCAGAGCAACTACTGCCGCCACCGCCGCCCCAATCTCATACCTCCCTCCGCCCCGGGACCTCCACCGCTGCACCGACATCCACATCACCAACCACTACGTCCAATTCCGCATCCACAAAGACCACCTCCTCTCCGCCGTCCCCCCTCAGTCCATGCTGCTGGACTGGAGCAAACAAGCCAAGGACGTCGAAGCACTACACCTCCCTGGCTTCTCCTCCACCTCCCTCGCCCTCGTCATCCTCCACCTCTACAACGTCCCATCCCACTTCTCCGCCGCTTCCAAGATGTGGCCTTCCCTCAGATACGCCGACGACGGCACCCACAGCGAAACACAAAGCATACAAGATCAGGAGGTAATGGCCCTGGTCGAAGCCCGCTTCCTGATCTCCATCCTGCAGATCCCCGTCCCGACCATCGGCTTGCATCGGCAAGAAGACAAGGTCCTCAGGCTCCTCCTTACCTTCTTCGATCCTGCACTTCTTCGATCCTGCACTCAAAACAATTCTCGTGTGCCTTGAGAAAGTTACAAGGAGGCGGCAGTAGACATTGTTACAAATGTTTGAAACTCTGCCGCCAAGACTTTCACTGCCTCCTCCTCCCCTTCGCTCTTGCCCCCCAACTTCTCACTTCGCGTATTCCCTGGTATGTATGTACCATTCAGCTGGGACAACACACCAGCACCACCACTGAAGCATTCAAGGAATGCCTCTTCATGTCATTCATCAAAAATGATGTAGAAACAAGAGACGAGAGACCCGTCACCGATGGCATCACGATGCAAAAACAAACAATATCATGGGGACACACACCCCCCTCGTCGTTCCAGAATCTCTTCTTCTAGGTCCTATACCTTTCTACATACCTACTGACCTACCTACGCTATATGCAAAAACCCACCACGGCACGGCACAGCCCAACGTTCAATGCTTTCTTCGGTCCAACTTCGCCCCCACACTTCCAATACCCTGCCCGACATGCAACATGTTATCCATAAGATATGCTCCTAGTAATATCCCGGTCCGGCCCCGGAAAAGAATAACGCCCGATGCAGAACAAATTCGCATACATAGATCGTGACAGATGTCGTTAAACATGGCCAAAAAGACATCACAAACAAAACACAAGGAGACTCACGGTCTTCTCGCGCCAAAGAGGCCTAATCCAACACTGACCTCGCCGTCTCCTCGGCCCTGGCTCTCCAGCACCTCCCAGATCCTCGGCTTCCAGTCCTTGACCGTCTCAGCGGCACCCTTCCCATCCGCACCGCCACCGGGCACGCTCCGCTTCACGAGCAGACCCTTGCCCATCTCCTCTGCACTGGGCATGTCGCTGCCCATGGCGTTGATGCTGCCAAACAGCCACCGCAGGCGCGCTTGACTTTCCTTGACGGCCGCATACGCCGGTCCCGTGGCGCCTTCGGTCAGGCGGTCTTTGAGGATGCGGGAGCAGAGGATGCGGCTTTCCTCACTGAGGTCATCGACGAAAGTGGCCATGACGTCGTAGGCAAAGTCAACAACTTCGCGGGCACGCTGTTGAAGAGCAGGAGAGGCCGGGAAGGTGGTCGACGGTAGGAGGAAGGCAGGGTGCGTGGCTATAAACGCGAGGTAGGAAAGTACCCGGACGTACTCTTGGTTTGTCTTGCTCGGGGCGGCTTTGGCGTCCGATGCTGCGGGTGGAGCGGGCCGTTGGAGGCACAAGAGGTTCAGTAGCACACGGAAGTAATCGATGATGGTGTGTGGAAGGGCTCTGCTTGAGAAATCCATCGGCGACGAAGGGACGAGGTGGCTGCTAAGACTGGGCATGGCAGCTATAGATGGCGTGGAAGGTGAGGTAACAGCCGGCTTCTGCGACGCAGCGGGTGAGGCAGCTTGGTTTTGACTGCTTCCGGAAGGCCCAAGGAACTTAAGGAATTGCTGCAGCTTCTCAATGAGTTGCGTGGCGTTCTTTGATGACGAGGTCGAGCTTGGCTGACACAAAAGGAAGGCTTGATCGACCGCAACCTGGAGGCGTTCGATACGTTCGGGGTCGAGGCTGACATCGAGAAGCTTACCCTGACTTGGGCTGGGTAGCATCTCGATGATATTGTCTTCCAGCAAGCGCCTTACTTGGCCAGAAAGCTCAGGTCCGGCAGACTGCAGAAGTTTGGCAATGTTCTCAATGGACCCGGAAGCAGCAACGCTGACGATCGACTCTGCAAGGCCACTCTCATCGGTCTGGCTTGTGGAAGTTGCTGAGAGCTGAAAGTAGAGCCTCACGAATGGAAGAGAGAAGCTGTCCATTGCCTCGAGGCTGGAGCTTGCATCGCCGCTCTCACCTTTACCGAGGAATCCATCCAGGGTCTGCTTTAGCCGAGTGTTGGCTGCCTGGTCCAGGACCACGTCGCTTTTGACGACAATTCGAGCGCACAGCTCTTGGATATCGAAGCCTCCTGCCGCCGCCGGCGGCAACTGACTTGTCAAATTCAGAAGCTGGGAAGGCTTTCGATGGCCAAAGTCGGCCCACTTGGTGACCACCGAATACGGCCGATTGGGCAAGGCTGTGGGAAACATGTGCTGCAGAATATACGGCGCCATCCTATGACCTGCAAAGGCATCCACTAGTGCATCCACAGATACAGCGCCGACGCAAATGAGGTTCGAGACCAGCGTCTGCGCGAAACCTGTAGGATTCATCGATAGAAGCTTCACCAGCCATGTTTTCAGCAACTGGTCGCCCTGAGTGCGTCTACATAGTCTTAGACGCGCCATCAATTGACAGCAGGTGAACAAGAACTCGCTGTCGCTGCCATGAGCCTGCTTTTCCATGCGCTCAACGAGCAACGCGAACATTTTGGCCATCGCTTGCTCACTCATGCTGGGCTCGGATTGCAAAACAGCTTCGAACTCATCGATGAAGCTTGCTTCGGCGTGTTGTAAAGACTCGGCAACGCCATCACTGAATGGCGAGCAAGCGGCAATCGCACGACCCCGATCGCCACGTATTAGGTCCAGCTGCAGAAGCTTGATTGAGCCAAGTTTGGTGGGATAGGTAGTACACAGCTCAAGCAGAGCCGTGGCAAACAGGGGCATTGTTGGATTGACAGTGCGAAGAGACATATAGTTCTGGCAGAAGCGGGTTTGGAGTGGCTCGAGAGCGCCAATGGCCGAGAAGGTCGCAGCATGACGGATGACAGTGTCTACTAGAGCTGCTTGCAACTGCTCGTCGTTGACGGCAGAGCAGAGGCCGACAACGTCTGCCAGGACGGCATCGTCGCCCAGCGCTTCTAGACAACTGCGAACGAAGTCGAAGCTTGGCGTCGTGAATCCACTCTCTTTCTGCAAAGGCGTGCTGCCCTGCCTCGTGGTTGCTTGACGCTTCACCTGCGCAACAACATAGCCACGTAAGCCGTGAGAGACGGCGGACCGCACGCGCCAATTCCAACCAGACAGCAAATGCTCAAAATCTGTCGCCGAACAAACAGATGCATGTTCATCATTTTCGACCCGGCCCAACAAGTTCCTCACCCGAGTCTGCACAAACTGGGTAGTCTTCCTCTCTAGCTCCGCATCAAAGCCTGCTCGACCGAGTAGAGCATTGCGCAAATTGAGATGGTGACTCTCGACGTCCGAGAAAAGTAATTCGGCTAAAAGGAGCGTCTCATCCGAGCACACTTGCCGTATCAGCACTTCCTCGGCGCCGGTGCGACTCTGTGTTTCCGAGGTAGTTACAGAATTCGGCCAGGGCAGGCCACGCACACTCAGCCACTGCATATACTTGCTGCTGGGAAATGAGCGAGAGCGCGAGAGCTCTGCTGCAAGGTGTTTAAGTGCAGCGGAGTCGAATAGCTCAGGGGAGCCGTGGCATTTGGCCACGAAAGCGATGATAGCTTCGTCCGTGTTGATACCCATTTTTTGCCACTTTCGGAGTAATCTAGATACCAGATAGATTCGTGCCTGTCCGCATCGATACTTGGTTGTTGCCCATTCTATGGCTGCCAAAATCAACAGCTGCTGATCGGAGGTGACTGTGAGAAGCTGTTGCGAGAGTGTAGTCACGTCAAATGGCGCGAAGGTAGCGTCCAGAATTCCGATAATATCGTCTCTGGGAACTGGCCTCGCCAAATATTGCTGCTTGTTCGAACCCATACAGCGCTCGTTGACAAAGTTCAGCCGCTGCAAGAGCCGAGTCTCAAGCGCGCTGTCCTTTTGCAGACACGTTTCCAAAGCAGACTTCACCTCCGGCCAGATATCCGGAATGAGGAACAGTTGAGGCCTGTGCAGCACAAACCCACGGATAGCGTCCTTCAACTTCTGCGCGACTGCCTGAACCATGGCATTGCTAGAGTCCTTCAAAAGGAGATATCGCTTTGTCAGTGATGCAGCAAGTCGACGACCTCGTTTCCGGAATTTCGCTACATCCTGCTTGAAGACGTGCGACAGCATGAGCCAGAAGGGCAACTTCTCATTGCCCACGGCCGCAAACGTATTGACAAGCCAGTCCAGGTAGTGGTCGCGGTCGACGAGGTTCTCCAAATACAATCTCGTTGTTAACCGTAGAGCATACTGCAGATTCGGCTTCCAGCTCGGCTGCCCACTCTGCGCCAGAACTGCCTCAAGGAATTGTTGGACATTGAGTGTCCATTCTCTCAGCCAGTTCCGCTCACCACCCACGGCAGCGGCCTGCGAGGTGCCCTTCCGCTTAAGTGTCCTGATCTCATTTGCACCCACACATTTGACAAACCAGATGGTCCTGCTAAGCGGCACAGAGTTCTGCAGGCATTGTTCCAGGAGACTGTGGCCTCTGATTCCTTGAGGAATAGTCCTACTCAGCTTCCTCAGGGGCACGTTGGGATCCGCAAGGTCAGCGATCCAGGACTTCTTTCTCGGCTCAGCCAGCGTGACTCTCGGGGGTGGCTTGAAGGAGCTGGCCGAGGTGAGGACGCCGTGCTTGGCTTTAGCTTCGAGAACAATCGTGAAGAGCGTGGACAAGCTTTCGACGCCGCCGCGATGTTTGAATGCATTGTACAGTGGCACTCTGGCAGTGTTGAGCTCTTTCTCTGGAGGATTGGGTGGCCGATCGTAGTAGCCTTGCTTGACATTGATCTCACTCAAATTATCCTCGGCATGCTTCCTCGTGCCCCAGGGGAAATAACCGGCAGGGTTGCCATTGACGAGCCTGGGGCCAGAGTCGGGGATTACAAGGGTATCCGGCGTGCATGGTACCTGTCTCTTCGGCCTCGAACGGTGAGTAGGCTTTGGTTCCTCGGGTGACTTTTTCTGCGGCCGATCTCTCCAAGGATGCGACGGCATTAACGGCAAATCTTTGGCGTCCGATTTGATATTGTCCGGGAAGCCATCAGCAGTTAGCACCGCAGATAATAGTCGCAGGTCCTGGGTGGTTCGGTACTTTGGCTGCGGTGCCTTGGGTGGCTCGGGGACCGATGGCAGCGGCTGAGCCGGGTCACCCTCGGCGTCGGCCGGTTCGTCAACCTTCCGTCTTTTAGTGGCCCTGTCGTCCACATCGAATATTCCCGCGGGCTGCGATCTGCCCTGCGTTGTACTCAAGCCAAAAGGATTGTTGGTGGCCGAGAATGAGGCGGGATCGTGCAGGCGTAGAGGCGGCCGCTGATCGGCCGAGGGAACTGAGGTCATGGCCAGGACATGCTGGGCGGCAGACAGAGCACCGAAACCTGTATATAGAGATTATACAGTGGCACCAGGCCAGGAGAGTTATATCATCAGGCAGTGTACGGCGTCTCTTGCATCCACAGCATCGGTAGCGGACTCGGATGGCGAAAGATTCGGACTTTGCGTCGTCAGCGCGGCCGTGCAGGGGCGAGATGTAGTGGCTGAAAGGAATTAAGTCAGCCAAGTGGAGGTAGACAAACGTCGAGCGGTAGTTGCTGAATGTTCGGTGAGGGTGTATTCGACAATGGTGGCACAATAGAGGTTGCGCAGAGGATGAGAGGATAGTGGTACAACACCAACAGAAGTGCGTAAAGCGCAGCTTGACAGTGCAGGTGGCATTGAATCGGCCGGGATGCCGCACGGTTATCGGATCCTGGGTTTCTCACCCCCATGTCTGCATCGGTACGGAGTAAGGAAAAGCCCGCTGCCAATGCAACACGAGCCTAGGGCCTGGTTAACCGAGCTGCCACAGCGACGTAGCCGTAGCCGTAGCCTATCCACCACCGAGACCGCAGCTCCTACCGACGGCCTCGGCGGCCAAAGAAAATCACCTGTCCTCCGTGACGAGGGCCGAATCGCCCAAAGTTTAGGCCCCGTCGTGACTCTCGACGCCTGGGCAGTGGCTCTGAATGGGGCGTATCCTCCCGATCCTGAGATCTTATTATTAACATTATTTGCGCCACAAAGTCATGAGTACTGGTAAACGAAGGCTAGCTTTATGGTGATGCACGGGCCTGAGTGTACTGCAGTAATGGCTGTTGCATGAAGCACCGCAACTACCTGAGCAACATTCTGCTCTGTGTCATGCTATCACAATCTATTGGGCCCTTGATGGGGTCCAGTCAAGGAGGAATCCATCACGATAGGCAAACATCCGGCATCCTACAAACACTGATAGCCAGCCAGCCAGCCCACGGCCGCCCAGCGCATTGTGTTTGCCTATTGGGAGAGCCGTGCTAGGCCACCGGCTCGCTGCTTGCTGGGCTAGGCCATCTTCAACACGACCACAGGAGCCGATAGCTTATCGTCGATCCCTAGAGATCGGCCTCTGGTCACCTCTTCTGCTTTGTTGGCACTGCGCCATTGATCGATCTAACATCATCGTCCACAGATACCTTGACCAAACCTCGTTGTCAAAGGAGCCGAGTCACACCATGCTCTGACCTCTATCACGCTATAGCATACATGTTCCCCTCTTGTGACTGATTAGCTACTGCCTGCAATCGCTCACACCACCACCACCACCACCACCATGTTGCGGTCTGTTTGTCTTCCGGAAGTGATTCCTCACATCTTCGCTCTTCTCAGCTCGCTTGTGCTTCTTTGCATTGCTTATGTGTGCAGCACTAAGATCCACAAGAGGGCAGACGAAAGAGGTTCGGAAAGCCGCCCCAGAATGCCGCGGCCTCTCAGCACCGCGTGCTGCACTTGCTGCAGTGCTTCCTTCTGACACCCCCCAAGCTTGCTGAATGCATCACGGAGCCAAGCCGCGCTGCACCCAGTTACCTGCTCTTTTCATTTCGGACTTCAACACTTCCTCGTTCACTCTTGCGAGACCCACATGTCCACTACACGTTCACTTCCACAGCATCCGTACGGAGTACTCACACGTTCAACCCCATACAAACGTAGCTTTTCGGGGAATTGACCATCTCAGCTCCGCAATCACTTGCTCCCTCGCTCGCATTGCATATCTCTTTTCTGCCTCCTCTCTCTTTCCCCACACACGAGCAAGGAAAGCTCTCCCCTTTTGAAGTTGCCGCACAGCATCGCACGAGGACGAACAACCAAACCCATCTCCGACCCGTCGAGCGCAGCTCCCACGTAACCAGGGAAACTGCAATTATGAGTTATTGAAACCAGACCCCTCGTCACTGCTCGCACGACAGATGTCATATCTTACAGTCTTACAATCTCACCTCTCACGTACCCCCATCACGATCTGTCAGTATCCCTGCCTCCCCTCCCGTTGTGCGTGCGTGACGGCCCCTTCAATAGGGACACACGCAGAAAGAGAGAGGCAACTTTCTTTGCAATCAATCAAGCACACTTGCTCTTCAGGCATCCCCTTCTGTTTTGACCCCGTCTCCCGTCTCCCGTCTCCCATCTCCATCCACTTTCTCGTAATCACCGCTCCGTGAGAAAACGCGGCGGGCAATAATCCCCCAAAGTCCCATAAGCGCATCACCAAACGCAGCCTATCTCCATTCCATCGTTACTATGTACCCACTACTGCAGTACGGAGTACTCGGAATCTACCACTCTCCCCTCAAAAACTTGTTGAAATCGCCATCTCCGATCATCCCCTCCCCCACTCAAACCATTCGGCAGAAAGCCGACCGACCCAAACTTCTGATCGCCAACATGTCGCCGAAACCAAGAAAAAGCCCCAAATCAATTCCGCTGCGCGCGCGCGCTCATTACCGCTCACCTACGTAAGAGTAACTATCATCCAATTCAACAAAGCCCGAGCGAGCAATCAGTAGAAGCCGCTGGCGGATTTCAACGGTCCCCGCTGTGCACCGATCTTCCGATGTTGTTGTCCTAGATGATATCCGTAGAAGTAGTAATAAACGTTTGTATGCCACTAACTTATTGTATAGTAGCATTACATGTTACTATAAACGTTATTACGATCAAGTCCGTGTGGCACAAGACGGCATGGGAAAATGGCTGTGCTTGTTGTGCTGTCATGTATATTCCATTCGCATCAAAGGTGAGCATGTGTTCATGTTGTGCTCTTTGTACAGTCGGGTTGTAGGGTATCTATGTCTCGTAACGGTATGCTTTCAGGACGCACATATAACATTCGACATGAAGCTCAGTCCTCATGCCGACCTCGGCGGGTCAAGTAGCGGTTCGATCTCATCCCGCACCGCTCGAACAATGGACTTGTATCGCTGACTCGCCCTCCTGGAAGGACTCAACGCCAGGCTGAGCATATTTCCGCTCAGCTTCTGCGCCCAGCTGTTCACTTCTCCGTCTTGCCTCTTCATGTGCGCACTGACGCCTACCAGGCCGCCAGGTTTTGTATGTCCGCTTAACGTGGCAACGGAAGATGACTGTGCCTGCTCCGCGCCTGTAAGAGCATCGTCATGATTGGTTGCCAGAGCAGCACAGGCTCCGGTGTCAGCAGTCACAATGCTCTGGCTGTCGCCTGTCGTGGCACGGCTTCGCAAAGGGGGAAAGAATTCGATCGAACCTTTCGACCGGTCCCCCACATGCATCGACGTTTCTTCTGGGAGAACTTCAATTGTGGGCGATCTTGTCCTGTAGCCTTTGGTACGCTGGGCGCCGCTAGGGCTATCGTGGCCGGGCCAGGTAAATCTGCCGCTTGAGATGTTTGAAATGGAGCTCGTACGTGCTGCGTTTGACTGCCTCTGCTCCTCCAGTTGAGAGATCAATGACTCACGCCGAGACTGTGCTACCGCTCTGAAGAACTGGGTCTCGAGTCTGTCCACTGCTATGGACCTGCGCCGGCTTCCCGCCATAGTCGCCGGCAGTGTCGTGTCCGAGTCGCTCGAGGATATGTTCTCGTCCCAGATGACCTCGTAGACTGATCCACTAGAAATGAACTTAGTCGAACACCGACGCACGAAAGGGTTGGAGTTGCTCCGGGATGGTTGCAGCAAGTTGGGCTCCATGCCTGACACGCTGGTGTAAACGGGTGCTGCACTCCTTTGGCGAGGCGTTCCGATGTAATCCTGCTGTACCGATACAGTAGAATATCGTCGTGAATCATCAGTATCAACATCTTTGCTGCCGTTCTGCTGAGCTCCCTTCCCATGCCCTGTGATAGTATTGAGAAAGGCCGCCAAAAGACCAGACTTGCTTCGTTCGAACTTGGGAGGAGGAAAGAACGTCAAAGACATCTTTCCAGTGGTCGCACGACTGATAGACGCTCTGCGAAGTGTAATCATAGCGGGGCTTGCGTTGTCCTTTCCAGCTGGTACGCCGCCGACAGGTCTGTTCTCTACCGAGACTTTCTCCGCCAATCCTCGAGTAGCTTGCGACTTCGTAGGCAATGTCCATCTCCTTTTGCTAACGTCGCGATGATCGGCACTAGCTGCACCGACGATTGAAATCGTCCCCAGAATTGGTGTTGATTCCGACAAGCGAAGGGAAGGTAGTGACTTGCTGTGGCCGAACCGGTGAGGTCGAGCATCATCGGTTTCGAAGGAAACTTGCAGCTCGCTGCTTGAAGCACAGGCACGATTAAGACGACGCCGATCAGGATTATAATTATGAGGGTGTATTCCGCGGCGTCTCTTCATCGAAAGGCTGGTGTTGTCGGTGTCCAGGGGCTTGAACGGAACATCTTCAGAGCTTGCTGGTGAAAGTGGAGGGGTGAGCAACGTGTGACTGCGTATGCTACCATTTCCAGTGCCGAGGTTGCTCAGAGAAGGCGGGTAACTCATTTTGCTCCAGAGCGACACAGATAGCGCTCGGGTACCGATAGGAACGTAAGGATATTGCTTCACTAAGAATGCCCTTAGTAGGGGTTACCATAAAGAGTTGTTCGAGTCCAGATCGTGATAACAGAAATCTGTTCAGGTTGCAGCAGTGGCTAAGGGCTCCTGCCACAGATACATTGCTTCACCACGCGCATCGGAAAGTGAGGCCATGGCACAAGTTCGGCAAGTGCAATCCATACTGTTTCCTGGAGGGTGCGAAAAACCAGGATGTGCACTCATGGCGCATTCCAAGGCTGAGCAAATCCCGGATCGCTGACGGAACGGCCACACTGCAACAACGGCCATTCCATGACTTTGGACCATGCGCCCATATCAACAAGACTTGCAATATCCAACACGAGCTGCTCGCCCCAGCCGACCGCCCACCAATGATGGTCCATACATCTGAAACAAGCAGCCCAATGAGCTAGAATGACGAGTGCCATCGGATCTCCCTGTTTGATACAATTGATGAACTCGGGCGGTGAGCCAACCAGGAAGGAGAAAATATGGTTGTCCCATTCGACAACGCCTCGACACCGAGTAACGTCCCGGAGACGTATGACTTGCTTGAAGAATAGCTCACAGAGCTCATCGACGGAGAGTTCTGTCTTGATTGTGTGAGGGCGATAGGACGAAGCAGTCTCGGCCAGATCCTCATACATTCTCGAGATCTCTGGAGGATGCACTGGGAGATCCTCGATCTTTGGGTATCGTAGCATCTCAGCTATGTCGCCTTGGAGGTATTGATTTGTCTGGCGGATGACTACCAGAATACCTCGCAAAGTGACAATCACGCCAATGAAGTTCCTTGTAGGGGATCCGAGTGGTAGATAAATGTCAGGGTTGGTTTCGGCGAGTGTGAGGTAGGGGCCACCGGTCTTCAGGTCGTCAGGCAAACGCTCCACAGCAAACGTGATGACTGTCAGAAGCATGGATAGGGAAAACAGCGCGACAGCATTGTCAGCGGTCGGGCTTGCTGTCAGTGGCGAGTACTCCTGTAGAGCCGCGTGCTGGTGAATCAGGGCGGCATTGGCGTATTTCCTGTACTCATCCGAGTACACGGGATGGGTGGAAGCTCGGTGCAGGGCAGCAGTGGCCATGATTCCACGCAGGACAAACTCATGCCGGAGGCCTTCGCGAAAAACGGCGTCTCGCCAGATAACATGGGTTGCCAAGCGCGACGAGATAGAAAGGTAAGTTCTCGTGCAGTATTGGTGGATCAGTTCCAGATCCAGAAGATCGAGAACCTTGGCTGGAGGCGGCGCGGGCGATATGCTGGATGCCAGGCTGGGCTGCTGCGGTTGAGATGGTTGCGGCATATCGAAACGGTGCAGTGGAACCTCGACATTGTGGTAGCCGTTTGTTGGGCCATCTTTGGGGGCTAAATGATCGACCTGGGGTGCTGTTGGTAGCGGCGCGGGTGTCGCCGATTGAACGAAGCCATCAGTGCCATCGGTCACGAACGAGCAGGTGATGTGTCTCTTGACGCATCGCTGGCACTGAGGGGCGGTCTCGTCGCACTGTCAACGTGGTCAGCGGGAGATGAAGCTGAAACGCGCCACGCCACCTGGGCCTGGTTGCAATTTACCTTGACTCTCCGGGCCTTGCATTGTCGGCAGCCGTGATGCGACTTGGTATGAGATCTTCTCGAAGGCATGTTGACATACAGAAAGCATGTTCGAGCACTGAAGGGATGAATACGAGGGGTCTGAGGAGGATGAATGTGCCATGCGAAACGCGATCTAGACGCTGCTCGGCTTTGGTGGCTTGGCCTCGTTTCCGTAGCCTGGCGAGCCTAGCCCTACCAGTGCGGCGTGCAGTGTCTCGTACGGAGTAGAAGGTTGCCCTCGTATCAGTCGCTCGCAGAGCCGACCCTCCCGACCATCTCGTATCACCGGAAAGCGTGCCCGCATTTTGTAGATCGCTTGGATGCGCAACTTACAATTCTAATGCACCCAGGCCCGGCGGGGTGATTTTCCGGGCACGGTAGCACTGCGTCGCATTCAAAAAAATCTCAGTCAATCATCTGGGTCATCGATACAGGAGCCATCATTTCTAATCTAATCTAACAAGTGTACGTACGTCCCGCGTATGCCCAATATGACTCCAGTGCAGGTGCTATGCTATGCTGTCTTCCGCACCGCTAAATGATGTGCCATTGATTATCTCTTGAAGCTCCTCATGGGTGGGAAAAAGTACCCTGGATGGAAGACGGTGAGCAGCACACAGGCAATGGCAATCATCATGCCATCAAGCAGTAAAAACTCGGCCTCTTTCCTCATCAACTTGTTACCCCAGCCTCGATCATCTGGACTCAGCCCAGCCATTTCCGGCATTCGGTATACGCATCTGATGAGTGTCGTAATGAAAGCAACCGATACAGCGCCAATGAATATGCGGAAATTTCTCTTGACTGTGGGATTGGAACGACTCTTTTCCCACTCGCTTTCAGTGCTGAATGTCCCGGCCGATTGCAACATGAGCTTCTTCGCCTTTTGAAATCGGTAATAGTACTCAGCCATGAGGACGAAGCAGACCGTCATGGTGGCGATTTGGAAGCCGATTCCGGCGATGATAAGAGCGTTTCCGGCGTCCAGAAGGGCCTGGTTCCTCTCACCTCCTCGATCCCCCGCTGCAGCGGCCACACCGCCACCACATGCCTGCAGGACAATAGAGAACAAGTCGCAGCCGATGAAGATCCAGGGGTATAGTCGCGGCTTGAGGCGCGAGTGCTCTGGCCCACAATAGAGCACCACATGCTTGAGCGTGAGATAGATGCCGGCTGCCAGGAAACTAGGCGCCAGTACGAGGCAGCATATCTGAGTCTTGAAGCCGGCGTCTGACCAAGGGTTGTCATTCATCATCACCCGTCCAGCATACCCGAGCGTCTCCCCAATTGTGGCAAACCCCAGGGCGAGCAGGAAAGTCCAGGTTCTTCGCATTGATCCCATAATCACCTGCAGAACAAAACAGGCACCAAACAGGGCCACCAAGAAGGCATTGGCGCCGAGTACTGGGCGATAGCCATAGAGCGTGAGCTCAATGGGACACTCGGGGGTGATCTCGGTGCATTCGCGGCCCGACATCGTTGAAGAATGTGGCAGCGAGAAGAGGCGGCGTGTCGTGAAAAATGGGCCACCGAGCCACTCCAAGGGATAGGATATGTCAAAGGTTGGAAGAAGTGAAATCTAAGACGGCGGGCGAGGTGTAGAATAAAGGAATGGACAGGATGATAAATAAAGACCGGGTCCGTACCCAAAAGACCCAGCACCGCGCACGACCGAATCGCGACTCTTACAGTCCGAGTATTGAACGGCAGCGATTCACCCAAACGCCGTGGGGCCCAGACTCGGGAACGAGCGGCAAAGCGAATCGAAAGCGAAGGGTCATTTCCATGTTCTTCAAGCGGGCATCGTTTCGATGCAACTCAATCCACACTGCTCATAACCGAGCTCCAACGGTAGCCACAACAAGTATGGTGTACGCTCGGCTGGATAAAACTTCGCAAGCTTTGCAACGATGAGTGCGTGGAGGAGAGATCTAAGCCAATCATGTACGTCGAGCGGAACTCGTGAACAGGGAGTTATTTCTGGGCATTTCGGAACCGTCTTCTGCCGGCTCGTGATCCACGTGCGCAGGTGTGCGTGGTGTGGCATCGCCGTATCAGCCATCGAAATCCGATAGATCATAGCCATTGCCCTTTTCTAGGCTGCGCTTCCATGCTGGTCTTGCTTCGCATCGCTCGCGCCAGGCTTTGGCCACGGGATATTTGCTTGCATCAATCAGACGCCGCTGGTGAAAATTGTCGTACACGAACGTGAGCAGGAAGTCTGGTCGGCCGGGAGACGCACCCATCAGGTAGTCTTGACCTTCAAGCTCTGCTTCGATAAACTTTAGCTGCTTGTCCACATCATCGTCCCAGTATCCTGCTCGCATAGCCTTCCACAAACCTGACACAAGTGGTCGCACGAAAAAGGGAGTTCTAGATGCAAGAGCCAGGAATAAAACCCCTACGATGAAGTTCGTACTCATGCTCGACGCAATAAAGTCTGACAACATCTGATCACGAAGGGCGTCATTCCTGCCGCCATCTCCTTTGAATTTGTTCTCAGTGTCATATGTATCGATGAGGTATTTTGCGATGCAGCTCGATTCAATGAGAACGCGGCCGTCTGCAAGAATGAGTTGTGGCGCTTTGCCCATGGGATGAGTTTCTTTCAGTTCGGAAGGAGCACGATCGTGAATCCGCTTGTGTAGCTTGAGCTCATAGTCTATGCCCAGTTCTTCGAGGAGCCAGAGGATGCGCTGCGAGGTAGAGTTCTGTTGAAAGTGAGTTGGAATATCTTTGATGTACTTGTACTCCTACATTGAGGTGCAAAAGCGTTAGTTTGCCAACGTTAGCCATGATTGATTCTGTTCGCTGTCGACGTGTTATATGCCGGCTTGATCTTCAGTCCCAATCAGCGCTGTACAGCGTTGGAATGGGTTTATAGTGTCCGAAAGATGGACGGGCTGTTTGGGGCTTGAACGAGCTTGCTTTCCGTTCAGGTACCCGCCTGGAGTAAAAGAGAACGAAGCTAACCAGTTATCGGTGCACTTGCGAAAGGCTGTCATTGAAACGCCTGTGAATGCGTCTCGCATATAGGTACTTACGTCAATGGCTCAGCTTCGTGTTACTGTAATCGCTGTCAAAGTCATGAGTTGTTATGGACGAGAGAGTGCTTAAGTCCGATTGAATGCTTGGGTGTGCAATCGTGCCGGCGCCACGATTCCCCCCGCAGATAGACAAGGCTGATCTACAGCCTTGCAGCCAAGATCCTGAGCGAAGTGTCCTTCCCGGCGTGCTGGTGCGGCCAGATGTTGAATGAACAGCATCGCTATTGATCAATTTCCCACGACTGCGTGTGCCTCGAAACCGCGTCGAATTCAGTTGCCTTCTTCGAGCATGATTTTACGTATACAACACTGAACACTGTGTCTTGCTGAGACCGCACACAATATCACCTCCTTCACACTCGGTCCCCTCCTTCTGCCATTAGCCCACCATGCGCTTAGACGTCAAGCGGCAGCTATTCGCTCGGTCAGAGCGAGTCAAGGGCATTGACTTCCACGATACCGAGCCATGGATTCTCACAACATTGTACAACGGCCATGCACACATCTGGTCGTACGAGACACAGTCCATAATCAAGAGCTACGAGTTGACGGACGTTCCTATCCGTGCGGGCCGCTTCATTTGCAGAAAGAACTGGATATGCGTAGGCAGTGATGATTTTCAGTTGCGGATCACAAACTACAACACGGGCGAGAAGGTGAAGTCCTTCGAAGCCCATCCAGACTACATTCGAGCCATTGCCGTACACCCCACTCTCCCCTATGTTCTTACGGCGTCCGACGACATGACCATTCGAATGTGGGACTGGGACAACGGTTGGGCGATGCGAAGAGAGTATGTGGGCCATGCACACTATGTCATGTCGCTAGCCTTCAATCCAAAAGACACGAATACTTTCGCATCCGCCTGCCTGGATCGCACTGTTAAGATCTGGAGTTTGGACAAAGCAACGCCCAACCAGACCATTGAGGCGCATGAGACGAAAGGCGTCAATTATGTTGATTACTATCCTCATGCCGACAAGCCTTACCTCATCACGACCTCCGACGACAAAACCTGCAAGATCTGGGACTACCAGACAAAGGGTCTGGTGGCTTCTCTTGACGGCCACACCGCGAACGTCTCTTTCGCCGTCTATTCACCCCAACTGCCGATCATCGTGTCTGGCTCCGAGGATGGCACTATCAAAATATGGCACGCAAATACCTACCGTCTTGAACAGTCCCTGAGCTATGGCCTAGAGCGAGCATGGTGCGTGAGCGTGCAGAAAGGTAAGCAGGGCATTGCTATGGGTTTCGATGACGGTGCCGTGGTCGTGAAAATGGGCCGGGAGGAGCCGGCGGTCTCAATGGACAGCACGGGTAAGCTGATCTGGAGTCGTGTGAATGAGGTCCTTTCCGGAGTCGTGAGAGGTGACGACCCGTCCCTAAAAGACGGCGCCCCAATTTCGATTCCTGCAAAAGAACTCGGTAATGTGGAGGTCTATGCTAGCTCCTTACAACATTCTCCCTCTGGACGCTTCGTCGCTATCTGCGGCGATGGGGAGTATCTCATCTACACAGCTCTGGCCTTCCGTCAGCAAGGCTTCGGCAAAGCTCTCGACTTTGTGTGGAGTTCGAGCAGCAACAACGATTACGCCATCCGAGAGTCGAGTACCAGTGTCAAGATATTCAAGAAGCTCAAAGAGAAAGGCCCTATTGATGTCGGCTTTTCTGCGGAGGGTCTAGCTGGCGGCGCGTTACTCGGTGTCAAAGGTCAAGGCGGGATTGGCCTATTTGACTGGGAGACCGGCGCATTAGTGCGAAGAATAGAGGTAGACCCTCGCGAGGTAGGTCTGATTCACTTTACAATGCTCATGTCTAACGCTTGCAGGTCGTCTGGAGTGAGTCGGGTGAACTTGTCGCGCTCTGCTGTGCCGATTCTACCTATATTCTGCGCTTCAACAGAGAGGCATATGTCGAAGCCGTAAATGCAGGCCAAGCAGATGAGGATGGCGTCGAAGCTGCTTTCGAGCTCATCCACGAAATGTCAGATGCGGCTGTTACTGCTCATTGGGTGGGCGACTCCTTGGTGTATACTACTGAGGCTCGACAGCTCAAGCAACTGATTGGCGAGCAAACCGATACTATTGCTCATTTCGACCAGGGCATGTACATCTTGCGATATTTGCCCAGGGATGGCCGACTATACCTCTGCGACAAGGATATGAGCTTGGTGTCGTATACGCTATCCACAAACGTTGTGGAATATCAGACTCTGGTGCTCCGTGGTGACCTTGAAGCTGCCGAGTCATTACTGCCTGAGATTCCAGCAGCCCAAATGAATAAGATTGCTCGGTTCCTGGAAGGCCAGGGCCATAAAGAGCTGGCTCTTGAAGTTGCCACGGACCCCGAGCACCGGTTTGAGCTCGCTCTCTCGCTCAATAACCTGCCCATCGCACTGGAGATTGCCAAGGAGCAAGATACGGAGCACAAATACAAGGCGGTTGGTGATGCTGCTTTGAATGGATGGGACCTGAAGACGGCCGAGGAGATGTATGTCCTGGCAAAAGACATCGGAAGCTTGCTCTTGATATACACCAGCTCTGGAGACAAAGACAAGTTGCTCGACCTTGCAAAGAAGGCGGAAGATGCTGCAAGCAACAACATTGCTTTCGCGGCTATCTGGGCTGCAGGTGACGTGGACGCTGCAGTGGAGCTTCTGCAACGGACAGGGCGTGACGGCGAGGCTGTCCTACTCAGCCATACTTACAAGCCTTCAAAAACGCAGCAGCTTGCCACTGCATGGAAAGAGGGCCTCGACAAGAAGGGCAAGAGCAAGGTCAGCCGTTTGCTCGGTGTCCCGGGCCAGGATGAAGAGCTTTTCCCAGAATGGGACGAGTACCTCAAGATGGAGGCGGAGGGTAAGACTGGCAAGCTCGTTGACATCGACGGCTCTGAACCTGCGACGAATGGAGTCGCGAATGGGAATGCTGGCGAAGAAGAATAGGAACAATGTGTACTTCAGCAGTAGCCATCGGTTGATGTCATTTCGAACATGGGACCGAGGTGCTTTCATGGCGAAGGCTGACAAGCTTGGCATGATAAGATGTGTATGGGATGTGATGCGGTAGAATGAGTTTTAGGCCCGCCTGGTCTGGTGCAGGCTGAGCCCCTAAAATGAAAGATGGTAGAGTCATTGCAGAGAAGCCGATGGCGTCAAAATCAACATCATGAATGCAGAGCCTCATCAGATCCTACCTGAGCGGTGTGCTAGTGGCCCAGCGCTGGTGATGCTTTCTGGCACAGGTGCTTGGAGGGTCGAAGACAGCCCGACAGTGTGTGACATATCTACTGGATATCGCTCGAGTCTGCGCAATTCAGCGGACAGGATCTGCCTTTCGCTGGAAGTTCTGCTGTAGTCAATGCCGCTGACCGAGATCGGGCTCTTGTGATGGGCTGTGACAGCTGCTCTCCTGGCCCGCTCTCGTTGAGACATGGCATTGTAGGGCAAGGCACAAGGCAGTCCACCAGGTCACACCGAAGAGGCGTCCAAGAATTGTGGGGGAAAGCAAATGAGCCAATGGCAGCAACGGTGAAGTCATCCCGCGGCCAAAATGCAGCCCGACATCGGCCCCCTCATTTCCTGGTAAATAACTGCTGTGAAGGCAGTGCCTCGCCGGCTGACATTCACATTTGCATTGAACCTTCTCAGCATCTCTTGCTGCACAGCCCATTCTTCAGGAATAAGCCAAGCAAGGAGCGTTGTCACAATGCCTGCTCCCGACAAGAAGCCGAGAACGCTCTATGACAAGGTCTTCCAAGACCATATCGTCGATGAGAAATCCGACGGCACTGTTCTCTTGTATATTGGTAGGCCATTCACATTCGGAGTCAAGATGGGAACTGACTTCATCCAGACCGACATCTCGTACACGAGGTCACTTCCCCCCAAGCATTCGAGGGACTAGAGAAGGCAAACCGTAAAGTACGAAGACCGGATTGCACATTGGCCACCACGGACCACAATGTGCCCACCACCCCACGTAAGAACTTCAAGAACGTCGCCGATTTTGTCAAGGAGGAAGACTCGAGGTTACAATGTGTGACCCTTGAAGACAACGTCGAGAAGTTCGGCCTGACATATTTCGGTCTCGGCGACAAGAACCAGGGTATCGTGCATGTTATCGGCCCTGAGCAAGGTTTCACCTTGCCTGGCACTACCGTGGTCTGTGGCGACAGTCATACTTCCACTCACGGCGCCTTCGGCGCTTTGGCTTTTGGCATTGGTACCAGTGAAGTTGAGCACGTGCTTGCCACCCAATGTCTGATAACCAAGCGAAGCAAGAACATGAGGGTACAGGTGGACGGACGGTTGGCCCCTGGTGTCAGCTCAAAAGACATTGTCCTCCATGTCATCGGCGTTATCGGTACTGCTGGTGGCACTGGCGCAGTCATTGAGTTCTGTGGCTCAGCCATTCGGGCACTCAGCATGGAGGCCCGCATGTCGATTTGCAACATGTCCATCGAGGGCGGTGCGAGAGCCGGTATGGTGGCTCCAGATCAGATTACATTCGACTATCTCAAGGGCCGGCCCCTGGCTCCCAAGGCCGACAGCAACGAGTGGAAAAAAGCCGTCAATTACTGGACTAGCCTGCAGTCTGATGAGGGCGCCAAGTACGATACCGAAGTATTCATTGATGCCAAGGACATTGCGCCCACAGTGTCTTGGGGCACGTCTCCTCAAGATGTCGTTCCGATCACTGGAGTTGTACCTTCGCCAGATGACTTTCAAGATGAGAGCAGGAAGGCGTCCTGCAAAAGAGCTCTGGAGTATATGGGGTTGACCGCGGGAACCAAAATGGAAGACATCGAGTTAGACCATATCTTCATTGGGTCTTGCACAAACTCACGCATCGAAGATCTCCGGGCCGCCGCCAGAATCGTTGAAGGCAAGAAAGTTGCTTCCAATCTCAAACGCGCGATGGTGGTGCCAGGCTCAGGTAACGTCAAAATTCAGGCTGAGCGTGAAGGTCTTGACCAAGTCTTCATCAATGCCGGATTCGAATGGCGTGAAGCTGGCTGCAGTATGTGCTTGGGGATGAATCCTGATATCCTGGCTCCCCGCGAACGTTGTGCCAGCACCTCAAATCGCAATTTCGAGGGTCGGCAAGGTGCCCTCGGCCGCACGCATCTGGTGTCACCCGTCATGGCTGCGGCTGCGTCCTTGACAGGCAAGCTCACTGACGTCCGCAAGATCGTCGATAACGCCACCCCGCAGAAAGCTTCACCGAAACTCGACGTTCAGCCTGAATTCGCCGAGGTAGACTCGGAGGAAGAGCTGGACCGGATCCTCGATATCCCTTCTGACAACACAAACTCACACACCAATACCAACCCTTCGTCGACTGAATCCGGCGGTGGTATGCCTAAATTCACCATTTTCCGCGGTATCGCAGCTCCCCTGAACAAGGGCAATGTCGATACGGACGCAATCATCCCCAAGCAATTCTTGAAGACCATCAAGCGTACAGGTCTCGGCACTGCCTTATTCCACCCACTACGCTACAACGAGGATGGCTCCGACAACCCTGATTTCATTCTCAACCAAGGCCCCTATAGGCAGTCGAAGATCCTGGTCGTCAGCGGACCCAACTTTGGCTGTGGCTCCTCTCGCGAGCATGCTCCCTGGGCTCTTCTCGATTTTGGCATCAAGTGCGTGATTGCTCCTTCGTATGCCGACATTTTCTTCAACAACACTTTCAAGAACGGTATGCTGCCTATCGCGATCCCAGACAAGGCCGTTCTCGACAAGATCTACGAGCGCGCCACAGCAGGCGAAGAGATCGAGGTCGATCTGCCCAAGCAGGAGATTCGTGCTGCCGATGGCACGAAACTTGCCGATTTTGACGTGGAGGAGTTCCGCAAGCACTGTCTGGTTGAGGGTCTGGACGACATTGGTCTGACCATGCAGCAAGAAAAGGAGATCACAGAGTTTGAGAAGAAGAGAACGATGGATACGCCGTGGTTGGACGGCTCCGGATATCTCAAGAAGTGGCGGAAAGGACCCGTGAAGGTCGAGGCTGCGCCGGTCCCCAAGACCAACAGAGGTGAGGTCAAGACCGACCCAGTCGAATGGTAAGGTAGGGGGGAAATGATGCAGGCGTCATACTTGTTTATGTCAGCTCCCGGCGTTATGGCTGAAGTGACGCAGACGACGCGAATGATATGCTATGACATGGATGAAGGAGCACGGTCAGCGAAAAGTAAGGAAGCGCGGACTGAGTCAGGGTTCGCACGTGTGAGCACACGTTTGAACCGAGTCGATTTTGGATCCGTGGTGCAATGCATTCCGATTCTCAGCAAACAACCGCTTCACACCCCGTCATTGAAAGTGTAGTCCTTGTCCCATCTCGTATCCCACGGCCTCGCCGAATTGACAAACCGCAAATCCGTGCCCAACCTAATCTTATTATTCGGATCATGGTTGATCGTCGACGCGTGAATCGCGTAGGCATTATGCAGCACCACATCCCCGGCCTCATACTCGGTCACCAGCCACCTCCGCCCGTACCGCCTCCCAAACTCGGCCGCACCCCCCGCCAGGACCCCTCCACTCATCATATTCCGGTTGAAGGCATCCTTGGCCTCTTCGGCCGTCAGCCCCGAGGCCCTCGCTTTGGCGGCGAAGGCCTCCTCGATCTCGGCGCCCAGTTGGTGGCCCCGTTCCAGGTACATGAGGCCGCCGCCGCGGACGTCGACGTCGCCCATGGGCACCCACGCCGTGACGGACGTGTCCTCGCCGTGCCGCAGGAAGATTTGGTCGTAGTGCACGCCGATGGCGGGGTTGCCGGGCGTGTTGTTGCGGAGGAGCGTCCGGCGCACGGCGAGCGTGTCTGCTTCGCCCCAGCCGGTGAGACGCGACACGTACCCCCGCAAGACGGGGTGGCGGCAGAAGACGTCCTTGTACCACGACTCGTGGTGGGCCTGGAGCGCAAGGTCTACGAAGCGTTCGGCCACTTCGGGGTGGGGGCCTGTGGGACGGCCGTTGGAGTCTGCTACGCCGGCACCGATGCCGGGGTAATCCAGCGGGTCCTTGGAGGCGTCGAAGATGCCGTCTACGGGGTCGGTGCCGGGGGCTAGGACGCCGCTGGGGGAGAGGAGAGTGAAGTATGCTTCGCGGGCGGCGAGCACGTCGGCGCGCGGGAGGAGGCCTTTGAGGAAGACGTAGCCGTCTTGGTCGAAGCGGCGACGGACTTCTGAGATGGGGATGTCGAGGGTGGTGGGTCTTAGGTAGCCGATCTGGGAGGGGTCAAGCGGTCCATCGTTTGCGAAGAACTTATGGGCTGTAGGTTGTGGCTCAGGGAACTCGGCGTGTGGCATAGTGGCGGTCTGTGCTTCGAGCACTCGAGCTTGTGAGATGGGGTTTGGGGAGATGGACCTGACATGGAACGGCTTCGAGCATCTTAGACTATGATATAGGGACTTGACTAGCCAGGCGTGGCAGATGTGTTGGCATGCTAGAGGCTGGAAAAGGTCATTGGCTTTCGCCGGCACTGTAGGGGCCGTGGGCAAAGCGCCCGCACGCGAGCCCCCAACGCTTAGCCGAGATCCGCTACTGTCCGCTTAGGGCGGTGATGAGCGTTGGTGGGTAAAAGATGCGGTTTTATTTCGAATGCAAGATCCACGACCTCTCACCCTTCCTCCCATCTCGGATTGACGATGAGTTCACTCTCTGCCTCTGTTGATGCTACATGCGGTGTATGTTCAGTCTCACCGCGCGATCTTCTGCTTCATATGAAGAACAAGCTCTTGTGCGAACAACAAAACTCAGCTTCTGAACGACCGCTGCCACTTTCCGACCACGAAACAAAGCTGGCACCAGCTTTCCTGCTGCTGGCACAACATCATTCTCAGCCTGGCCTCTGTCTGTAGCCCATGGCGACTCTCGCATCCCACGGAACTTGGAGATTTGGACCATCTGCTATCGATCTTGCGGCACGGTATGATCGAGCATGGCTCTCTGGCTCACCTGCTGCATGGTCGCCCAAGTATCGCCATCCATCGTGGGGGTCATTGGGCGAGGCTCGCGTATCGTTGATCTAGTCGTCCGTGTGCTAGCGTTCTGCTTCGTGAGACCTACCGTGGTGGAAAGACGAGGAAAGAGTCTTGAGAAAATGAGTCGGGTGGAGGGTATACAGCCAGAACGGGTGTGACAGTCGAGGATGTGATGATTAAGATGGGATGAGAAGTGTGAATTGAGCCACCTCATGGCAATATCAGAGACGCCTCCTATGCTGACAGCCTTGCGCTAACCCGGATAAGTGATAGCTTGGAGTCGAGGACTACATCTTCAGTAGACTCAACACTCGAACCTCTTTCGTTGGCTTGCAGCCTGTTCTGTCCGTTCAGATGTCTCTTCACCATTGCCTCAGTCCCACCATACGAGCGTGTCCCTAAACCTGAGAGACTGCTGTAAGTTGTAACCGGCGACGCAGCTTTGTGCAAGTCTCGACTTCTTTCGACTTGCAGCTTGATCTGCACTTGCTTCGAAAAGACTTTGCTACTTTCATCGTATTCGTCTTAAGAAGAACCTCCAGCATGGCCGGCATCGCAGGTGCAGAGCTAGAGCGCCTGCTTCACTCCGGTGACTACGCCGACTTCAGAATCATCTGCAATGGTGCCACCTTCCCCTGTCACAAGAACATTCTGGCTTCGAGCTCGGCATTCTTTAAGGCTCTGTTACAAGGCGGCTGGAAGGTATCTTTCCCTCTGATGCTCCAACTCTTCCATCCACGAGACTGACTCCGTCCCAGGAATCGACAGACAATGCAGTCAACTTTCCAGAGGATGATCCCGAGGCGTTCGGTACTGTGCTACATTATTTGTACACTGGCGAGTTCTTGTCGGAGAGGACTACTAGATTTGCCTCATGGATGAGGTCTGTAACCTCCGCAACCTCCAAGTCGTTGCCTACCACCTCCAACGCCAGCTCTCGCACCCCGGAACTTGGATTGGCAGAGGACAGCTCCAAGACCTCTATTCCTCCAACAATGTCAGCCTACCGGCGCCTTATTCTAGCCTATCAGATTGCCGACAAACTTGACATCGAGTCAATCAAAGACCAGGTGTTCAGCTTCTTCCAAAAGAGCGGAGCGTCTGCTTTTCTCCTCGCCGACACATTTGCCGACGATCTTGAGCTGTTCTACAACGTCACACGAAACAATGATCTATACCTGCGCGGGTGGGTGACTCAACACTGCATCATCCATTCACCGGAGCTGTTGTCGAAGCCTGAGGTTATTGTCGTTATGAAGGATCACGAGCCCATGGCATGGGCATTAGGTGTCCTAAATCAAGCGAAGCTCGAGTCGATGAGGCAGAGCAAGATCAGACTAGCCGGCAAGCTTAGGAGTTGTGCGACCAGCCTTGAAGCTTCTGTCGAGAAGGAGCAGAAGCTAAACAAGGAGAACATCACCCTCACCGAGGAGAAGACCATCCTCAGCAGTACAATAGTCTCCCTGATGGCAGAAAAAGGCAAGCTACAGGATGAGTGCAATGCCGCAAAGGCACAAGTTGTGCAGCTTACAAAGAAGAATCGACAGTCGGCCAACGCCCAAAAGAGGATGAGGATCCAGCACAGTAAGCAGCTGGAGGCAATCCATCAGCAAGACCGTCAAGAGCGGCAGGAGCGGCAGCAACGACAGGTGCGACAGCAGCAACAGGAGCGTCAACATCGGCAGCGCCAGGAGCAGCGACCACAGCTATCGCGCCATGATTTTGATGCTCTTAGACCCATCCCGCTGAGTATCTACGAGAGCATAACAGGACATCGCCGTGCCTGACAGAGTTGATGCAGAGAAACATCCTGCACTGAGAACCATCAGTGGTGTGAAGAGAGATGACGATGTTTACGTCTAGGGGGATGCCAATAGCAGAGGCACACTCGACGGCGCACTGATGGCGACTAGGGACTGGTTCTCAGCGCACGATATCCCACTACGCAAGCATTACGGCACAAATGGGTTGTCCTTCGCAGTTTCCCTAAGCCAGTGGAATGTTCATGCTGGTCAATGACCCTGAAAACGCTCAGAAACAGTGATACAGAGCAGATTTTGAGTCGAACGGTTTGACTCGAGGCAACTGGAAGGATTGTGAGCTACTGTGTGGTAAAGCGAGGCTAAGGCATGATGGTTGGCAATGATGAGCAGAGCGCATCAGGGCTGCCTTCGACACAGACCCCATACAAGTCCTGTAGTACACACTAAGAAAAGGCTCGCCTCTTTGCAAGATGAACAAGCCGACCAGCCGGCGCTACAGCCACCTTCGCCCCTGCCCTTCCGCCCACGCAAAACTTCAGAAACCTCCCCTCCTCAGCCTAACACAATTGGCAGATTTCCTCATCCCCCAATAGCACACAAAGCCAGGTCACGATCCTGAAGTCACTACCCCGTAAATAAGCTCGAGACCCCGCCAGACAGATTTCAATGTTGGCCGACAAGCAGTGGCCGTCCTAGCTAGGGGGAAGAAGACATGGCACGCAAGTATCACTCACCGTAGAGACAAGGTCCTCATGGGCACACTGGGTTGGTAAACTCTGTCGGCTCGAGCAGGGCGATCGACTTGAATCTAAACGTATCAATTGGTACATATAATGAGGTGCATGATCCAGCATGGCCTCGAAGAATTTAACGCTTTTATTTTACTCCTCCTTGAGAGATCCTGATCTCCACTTCCTCTTGAATTTGCGCACAACAATCTTCCTCCTTCTCCCAGAGGTTCGATGTAGGTCAGGAGGAGCGCGAACCTCCGCAACCCCATCGTACAGCCCAGCCGGGAACCTCTTTTTCATAGCCCTCCGCCTCACCTCCACAACCGCGTCTCTCCCCGTCCCCTGCTCCAGCATTCCCACATGCCGAACCCTACCTCCCACGATTGCATTCTCAAATCGCAACCCTTGCCTCACCTCATCTTCCTCGCCCCCTTGGTCTTCCCAGCCCTCCACGCCGTACCGAACCCTCACATCCTCTAGGCTCTCTGCAATCTCCTGTCCGGTCAACAGACATCCATGCGGGCCCAGCTTCTCCACCACGGGCCTCAACAGCCTCGCCACGCTCAGACAGCTCTCGTCCCGAATCACCACTTCGCCGGCCCAGAGCACCACGCCGACCATGGCCAGCGCATGCAGCGCCGGTATCACGCTCAACAGCGTCGCCGCCCACCGCCAATTGACACTGACACGCTGTGCCGTGATGGGATACCACCCGGCGACATCCGTCCGGGGACCGTTGTTGTCGAGCGCGGCAATGGCCTCGATGGCGAACTCCATGATGTGCTCGGCGGTCTTGGTCGCGTTGCTCGGCTCGTAGGGACTCCACCACGAATCCGGTGGGTAGCGCACGTACTGGTACTGATCCTCGGCGCTGAAGTTGAAGCCGGTCCAGCCGATGGCGCCGGCGAAGATCTGGGCCTGCTGGTCGGGCAGCTCGTAGAGATCGCTTGTCTGGTTGGACTGTATGTACTCATCTATGCCGGATGTCGTCGAGACGGTGTTGTTGCATCTGAAGAACCCGGGCTCGGGAATGGTGTCGTTGTTGGCGGATTGCAGAACGAAGAGCTCTGTGCAGCGCGGCCCACAGGTGGAGTTGAGCATCGATATGTAAGTCGTTGCACCCGGACCGACACGGACGGCGTCAAGGATGGTGGTGACGTTGTTGGTGTCCAGGAATTCGACATAGGGTGATATGCCATTGCCGCCGGAAAGAACAGGCAACTGCTCACAGGTAGCTTGCACGCCCACGCTTCGTTTGGTCAGGATGGAAAGATTTGGATTGTCGGGGTTGAGATCCATGAAGAAGTAGCGCATCTCTGCCCAGTTGTCAAAGGCGTATATGTTGGGTGTCATGGGACTGCCGTAAGTGGTAGGGCCGGTCTGGCCGGGTACGGGACCGTCAGTAAAGTTGTAATCTTGGCCTTGTATGCCGAAGCCGTTGGCGGCGCCGAGCTGGGCGGCGTAGGACGGGTCTTCGACGCCCCAGATATCGCGGACCAAGCTGAGGTTCACAGTGCTGATGAGGCCATACTTGAGCTCGGGGTATTCGGCAGTAGCAAGGTTATAGGTGAGACCGAGGAGGGCGACCAGGACGGCGAGTGCGAGATTGATAGCCACCCATATCAGACAGCCAATCTGAGTCTTACTTGGTCCCCAACCATGCGAACATTTGGCAGTGAAGAATAGCTTGATGACTGCCCGCAGACTATCGCACTGCATTATGAGATCCATCTCCCGCAGGCTCCTATGTTTCATGGCCAGAATGCGCCACCGCATCATCATGGCATATTCGCGCAGGCTGCTCGTCAAGTTGGTACCAAGCCACATACTGGCCAAGACCATGAGAGCATTGAACATTTTCACCTGCCAGACTTTCATCAAGTCTAGTTGCGCAAACCCCCACAAGAATACAGCCAGCAGCGCGCAGAAGAGAGCCGTACAGAGCCATTGCGCGAAGGCGGCAACGAAGAGTCGTATACGCTGGCGGCCTGGCTGGTATTCACGAACGGTCGACGATGACGGAGGACTGTCTGACGAGAGAATATGATGAGATACTGAATGGCGCCATGGTCGGTGGACGTGGGTCATGCGGCTCTTGGATTGTGTTGACCGGGATGTGATCTCTGATAGCGGCGAAATGATCGAATCAGACTCACGGGTACTAAACGTGAACTTCTCCGCTTCAGCTGCGCGCAAAGTTGGATCAGAGAACAGGTTCATGATTGATGCGGCATCTTGCTGAATAGCAAGGAAAAGAAATGAGGCTCTGCCACATCTTCTGGTCGTTACGCTCGAGAGAAATCCTGGCGAACACGAGGTGGTTGAGAGTCAAAGTCAAATCGTGCTCATGGTGTACTCAGGTCAGCTGTAGGGCGATTCAGCCACCACGCTCTAGATTCAGTCAGCTGCAAAGCATGAGCGAAATCCTGGGGAGGGTGTAGAGAATGACAAGGTTTGATTGGTCAACCAAGACAACTGCCGTCCGATGAGAGTTTACATTCTTCTTATTTCGGAATGTTACTCTGGGCCTGGGCGTCAGTGCGGCACGGCGGCGAGGGGCGGATGTTGGCGATGATAAGAAGCCCTTTGTTTGCCGTCCACGACTTAAAGTCAATCGTACTCCTCACACGCATTGTTTGCTGAACAATAGTGCATGCCGAAGTTTGATAGCTCGTCCAATCTGAGAGAAGCCTTATGCTCGGCCACGATTCTGCTTTTGAATGCGACATCGTAGGCGACGATCCTGTCTTCGACGGGCGTCGTCAGCGCGAGTCTTCCGCCAAACTCGGTATGCCATGCCCTCATGCTGTTCAACCAGTCGAGCCAGTCGTTCATGGCTTGGGAACCACGCACTGTTGAGCGTACGCTCGGTAAAGAAGAAGCGAAGTCCGTCATCATTCGTGGGTGTTGTGTTATAGACCAGCTCCAAGAGGTTGGCAAAATCTCCGTGATCGACCATCAGGTCCACACAGTCTACCTGCAACAATGCGAGGCTGAACTGTTTCAAGGTTGGAATTCCCAGTTTGTCTGCCGCTTGATGGACCAGAACATGCTTCTTACTTTGGGAGATCTTGTAGCCAAGCCACATCCACGTGTATCCATCTGGATCTGATGGTTCGTCCAAGGTTTGCTCACTGCCAGTTTTGTATTCGGAGAGAGGGGAGCTTGCGACCGAACCTTGCCCATCATTGTCCTGTGGCATCGTGATGGGTTTCGTGTCGACTGGATAGCTGCCTGTGTAGAGGAACTGGATTACTCTCCCAATGGTCTCTGGATCATCTTCGGGAAGGTTGCAGTGGCTAGCCTTGTTCTCCTATGTCGCAATTAGATCGGCTCATGATCGCTTGCGAAGTGCTGTACTTACTTGACAGTCGTTGGTACACAAAGCTCTGAAGAAGTCGGAGCCAGCCTTGACTATGAGGCGGTGGACGTTGAAGCGGACTCCTTCGCACTCGATGATGAAGTCAGAATCTGGGTGGTTGGTGGCGAGGCCCGTCAGCGTGGCGAGCGATAGACCGGACATGTTGTAGTATCGCGGCTCTGAAGTGAAATCAGCGGCGCGCGAACATTAGCGGGTGAGGACACCACTCACGAAGTTGGTGGACTCCCGTAGACCCAGTGCGCTTCCCAGGAGGATGGTAGCCAACCGCCGTGTAGCGCAGCGTGGTTTGGCCGGCCATGAGAAGAGGTGTCAGGACACGGAAGAAGTGCGTGAGTCATTGAGCTCGAAAGTGAAGTTGCGAAAGTTGCTAACGTGGCATTTGCACCTCCAGAGTGAGGCACGAGTGAGACCCATTTCACCTCATTATAACGCGCCAAGGCCCATCTGGTTGCGCATCATCTGGCATCAGGGCCAGCTCTTCAAACGCTCTTCTTCTGCGCCCCCTCGGCTGCTGCCCTCAATCTCTCTGGAGTGTACTCAGCATACCACGGCTTCAGGCCTACAACTACCGCCACCGCTTCGACCAGGGCAAACATACCATGAGTGACAGCCCATCTCCCCCATCCGCCCCATAAGACATTGTAGTTGTCGTATCGGCTGCACACCAACAACGCCTGCGGTCCAAACCATTTCCCAAAGTACTCTTGATCCTGCAAAACCCCTAGTAGGTTGCGAAAGAAGACGTGCTTCACTCCATCGGCCGGATCCGTCCACTCGTCCACCATGACATCCTCGTCCTCTCCCTCGGCGTTGGCGTTGGCGTAGCCAAAAGCATCAGCCCGCATAAATTCGTGCACCACGTACTTGTTGACGGTTTGTGGACCGTCCGCTGGTGTGACGACCTTGTCAACTCCATCGAGGCGGATCAATAGCCGGCCCGAGACGCAACAGATGTACTCAGTATAGCGCTCATGCCAGTGTGGCTCAGGCGACCATTTTGATCCCGGAGGAAGGGTGAGCCGCGTAGCGTAGGGGCGGGCTGGGTCGAAGTCAAAGCTGAATGTGACGAGACTGTTGTTTGGTCGTTTGAAGTCGAACGAGGTCTGGGTTGTGTAGTCTTTACGTTGAGGTCTCGATGCCATATTGAGTGAGAGCAGACAGAGCAGCCAAACCGATTAGGTGCGGAACCAGGATGGTCATCAGGGTGTCAGTGGGGACATCAGGTCTATAAGTCTACCGGCACCATGGCATCATCACTTGCGCGTCTTCGCCGGCACGTATTTACCCTGTAGCTACGTGTGCCGGATCAAGCTGAGGTCCTGCGTCCATTGATCAGCGCGATCGCTGCTTCAGGAGATATTGAGCTTGTGCAAGGGCTGACTAAGTCTGGGGGCCAGATGAGCGATTGGTTGCGAGGCGGAGGATTTCCGTAGTCAGGGAGGCTCAGCCTCGTTTCTGCTCCCAAACGTCTACCGGACCTTTCGCTGAGCATTCGGACTGTCTGTCCCAAGTGTCTCTGTCGACTGAAAGGAGGACATGTACCAAGAGCTAGCGTGGTTATCTATGCTGACCGTTCTGACCGCACCAGGACATCGCGAATACATTCACCCCCTAATAACCCTTCCTTGCAGCAGGACGTTGGACTTCTGTCAGCACTGCATTCCCAATTTTGCAGCCTCATTGGCCCTCTGAACACTTAGTGCTGTGAGAAGGAATAATGTGTTATCTCCCTTCGTGAGCGTAGGCGAAAAAGCTTCACGCGTCAAGCCACACCTGATCTCGGAATGTGCCATTTCTCCCCATACTCAGTGCAAGGGCTCGCTTGATTTGCAGCGAATACTACCCAGATTCGGAGACTGAAACCTCGGAGCCCTTTCAAGATGGCCCCAAGACAGCTCCGCAGCATGCAAAAACTACGCTGCAGCGGCCCTCTTGCAACTGATCGTATATCCCGCGAGTAGGATCCAATGTCAAGGATCCACGATTGGACAAAGGGCTGAATGCCGTTCCTTCCCCATCGGCTATCAGGGCTTTTCAGCGCTTAGTCCGCCTCGCTTTCCTTGTGAGCTTGGACGCAAAGGCGCAAAGCTTCGTAATGCATGCCGTCAAGGTCGTCAGCTGCATTTCCAGACATATCGTGCTGGCGGTCTAGAGATATATTACAAGCGAGGGTCGGTGAGATGAAGCCACGGTACATAAGCAAGAAGGGAATTTGGTGCGCATGATGGTCGTCTTGAGAGCTTTGGGTGGTTTCGTGGCGCTCGGAGGTCTCGCTGAGTAATTCTCTACACGGCCTGCATTGAGTGAAAGCGCCCCAGCCGGAAGTGGTCCGACGGTGTGTTCCAAGTATGATGAAATCAAGCAGGTAGTGCTAATAGCATTGTCAGCTCGTCTAGCATCCGTCAATTTGCACCGGTATGCTGGCGCAAGTATGCTTCCACCAGAGCTGGATCTGGCTTCTTCGAGAAGTTCGCCGCAACGTCGTCTTCTGAAGGAGGCGTAAGGACCGGGTCGTGAGCGTCTGACTTGGCACCAGATACCAGTGGTGGTGGGTTGCCTCTGTTGATGAATCCTGGGTCAGGCGACGGCCAAGCAAAGTCGGCCCAAGAGCCGATCATCTCCCTGATGTTACGAGCAAGAACGCGAATCCGCTGCCGACGCTGGATACTCCATTCGTGGTCGGTCACAGCATCGGAAGGAGTGATGGTCCCTGGTTCAGCGTCATAGTCGTCTGCGAGCCCATCAAGCACACTATGCCACACGCGCATAGTTTCATCGAGTTCTTCGATTTTGCTGACGCCCATGACGGACACACCGAGCTTCGATCCGGAAATATCGGAGCTGCCATACGCCGAGGGGTCCGGCGCAATCGGTGGGCCGCAGACGCCTACTTGGATTCCTTCGCGCAGCCAGTTCTCTAGGGCAAAGCGAACGGCAATGACCTCCAATTTCTCGCCTTGAGTCTCGACCCATTTACTGGCATCGAGACAAGCTTGGCGTAGTTCGTTGGGCGCTGGGTGCCAGTTTCCCATCGCCCCGATTGGGGGCCCCTGACGCCGCAAGAGGCCCATGCCTAGCGGGCTAGCATTCGGGACGACATCAACACCAGCCTTGACTAGGCGTTGCAGTCCTTCAGAAAGTAGACGTGTGTTCTGTATAGTAAAATTTGCGTAAGACTGGACAATATCCAGTGGTTCGCCCGTCTCTCGCAGGATCATTTCGGCCAGGTCGCAGAGTACATTGACAGGGTAGCCACAGATGCCGACATATTTGACTATCCCATTAACGTCCCTCAACCTTCTCAGTTCTGTGATGGCCACCAACACCTCTTCGGGCGAGACGAACTCAACATCGTGGCAATAGACCACATCTAGGTAGTCTGTCCTTAATCGCTTGCAACTACGCTGCACACTGTGCCGAACCCAGCTAGGAGAGTAGTCAAAGACATCGCTGCCTACTCGGCCGACTTTGGTTAAAATATGATAGTGGTTGCGAGGGTAATTTTGTTGGACGACTGGTGTGGCAAACGCGTCGCCAAGTATACTCTCAGCAGGGCCGTAGTAAGGTGAAGTATCGAAAGCTCGCACGCCGTGAGCTAGAGCCCGTTGAACAATGGCAGTCGGACCCAGAGCATATGGATCGACATTGAATTGGTAATTGAAAGTGGCGGTACCGAAGATGAGCGGAGGCAGCGCCTCCGAGAGTTTTCGGGTGGCAGCCATAGAATCAACAACGAAGAAAACTCGGGCGCCTTTTACCAAGAATTGCGAAAGGATGAGAGGAAGGAGATGAAGGAAGGGAGGACCAAATGATGGTATGTCACGGCAGTATAGGCATCCTTGTAGACCTAGGCATGAGCCACAATCTTATTACAGATAAAAGGTGAGATCTCGCGAGAATGGCGACCACGGGAAGGTTCGGCAGCGATACTGCTTGACAAAGGCCGAACCCCACCGTTCCCGCACTGGCATTGGAAGATTTATCCATTAGTGCTGGTAAAAGAACGGCACTTGTGAAGATAGCGCGGAACCGAAGTCGTGGTTAAGAGAGTCTAGACAGTTGGTGGTCTCAGTCGTGGTGTCAAGGTGCTGCTTTGTGAAAAGTCTAGTGGATACGGTGAGATGACGCGATCATACTGGCTGCACGAGTGCGTCATGAATCATGATTCCATGCATGGTATACTTGAGCTAAACGGCCACACAGACAGAAGAATGATGCATGGCTTACTCAGGAGTAATCTCGATGCAGATGCAGGAACCATCGCACGCCAGTGATGCTTGCGTTCGAATTTTTGAATTGGAGTGGATCACGTGACGTGGATATCACGCCGCAGCATACACCTTCCAGACTCGGCTATGTACCTTACCCATGGTGCCTTACCTTGTCCGCTAAATGCTCGCTGAACATAGCATAGAACGCTCACTGTCTCTTATACATCTTCCGTCGTCTGACGAGGCTTTCGTATCTATCACCCCCGAATAGAGGTCTTTGTGACCGAATCGCTTCCACGGCTCAGATGCAAAATGTCCGTCTTGTTGTACACTTCTTCCCTATAGAACGCCACGCTATGCCGTGTAAAGAGGAGATTCGCGTGAATATCGGTGGTAGTCGAGAATAAATGGAGTCGGGATGGGTGTCATCGTCCTTGAGAGTCGTTTAGCACAGATCAATCTCTGTACATCTTGGGCTTCCAACCTTCACGAATTTCCTTCTCAAATGCCGCTTTTCGTTCCGCATCTCTGACTTCAGCCTCTATTCGTTCACGGGCTCGTAATATCTTGCTTTGCAGATAGAAGCTGCCGCCCTTCTTCGGTTCGTTTTGGTCGAATAACTTTTTGAATCGGTCCATCACAACTGGCATGTCGGTCTTGCCGCCCATCGGAGGCTTCACATTTAGGATCTTGCAGGCCTCATCAAGTGTCAGACCCGAGGATGAATAGGTTGCGGTCGATCCGTTCTGCGCCGCTGATTTGGCGTATTGGGATGAGGCCTGTGCCTGCTTATATGCTTCGGCGAAGGCCTTGCCAAAGACTCGTCCTCCGGTGAGGACTATTTGCGTGATGATGCGATGCGCCATCGCGACTCGACCGGCAGCAGCTGAAGATAAAGGAGAGTGAGGGTCGAGAGAAGGTGATGCGAAAACGAATCTATCGCGATCTTGGCCGCTCCCAAAATCTTGAAGCTGCTCTCCAGAAAGGAAGGCTAGCCGACGGCCGCGGTTCGGCTCCCGGGCTCCACTCGTAGGCGACTGCGAGGGACTGCGGATGTGGGCTGATTCACATGCCTGCGATGGCTGTCCAGGTGGCCCAAGCATGACGACTGCCTTCGTACGAAATCTGAGCTCTGAGATGGACACCAGCAATCGAGCAATCTCTCCGAGGATCACTGCACACTCTGGCTGCTTGAGACGAGAGTCCATCACCAAAGCCCGCCCACGTCAGCCCTGCTGATGACGAAATACCCTGCATGTCTGTATTTGGTCAGTAAATGCGCCTTGCACCACACTACACTACACAAGGACATGAGTCCAATACCGGCATATTGCTAACAACGAGGCAGATACACCTTGGATCTCTTCAATGTCCAAGTCGAATACCTACAGCGCGAACGATGGGCCGGGCCCTCCGCAGCCGACCTATGACCCGAACCCTCCAACCACCGCTGCCTTCTCGCCCACCACAAGTGGTGGCTATTCCGCGACATCGAAGCAGCGATCGACAGTGATAGTACACAAGAAGTCACCGCTACTTGTCGCGACGCCACCACAGATCACGCGGGCGTTAGCACATTCGCATCCGTTCCTGCTACCACTGAACAAGTTTGTTGGCTTGATCTCATGGACCACGGATGATCCATGGGAGTCGTATCTGCTAGTTGCTGCATTCTGGGCCGTCACAATTTATGGCGGCTACGTACTGCGGTATACTGGGCCACTGATATTCGTTACCTTTCTCATTCTCGGGATGTATTCGCGACGATACTCCCCGCTCTCTTCTACCTCCACCACCGGCGAAAAGCATTCTAAATCCATCGAAGCCTCTACTAGCATGCAGCACAAATCTCTTGACGAGATAGTGGATACTCTATCTCAGTTTACCACTCGCTGCAACATTCTACTTGACCCCTTCCTCACCATGACCGACTTCCTATCGACTCAAAGGACCCCGACTTCCGCTACCACCCGGCCCGCCCTCACTACTCTATTTATCCGTATTCTCCTCGTCTCGCCGCTCTGGATCGGTCTCACCCTTCCTCCTTTCTACATTCTCACATCTCGCCGCGTTATTCTCTTTACTGGAACCACCATTTTGACGTGGCACTCTCGGCCTGCTCGCGTTACCCGCGTGCTTTTGTGGCGCTCACTCTTCCTGCGTCGACTTTCCTCCCTTATCACAGGCCTCTCTTTCCCCAATCCCGGGCAGGCCTCCGCCTCGAACAACACAAACACATCACAACACCACACGGCCTCCGCTATCGCCTCCACGACTCGGAAGGCTGCGTCTTCCGGGGTCCGATTCACCTTCATTCTTTATGAGAACCAGCGCCGGTGGATTGGTCTTGGTTGGACTACCTCTCTTTTCGCCTATGAGCGCGGTCCTTGGACCGATGAGCACCTGAATCCAGCCCCTTCCAAGGACGAATTTGAATTACCTGATGTTGATAATGGCTCCTCCAAGTGGCGTTGGGTAGAAAGTAACGACTGGCGCATCGAGCGTGGAAACGCAAAAGCGCACGCTAGAAATGCCAGCACGGGAAGCCGAACAGGCGCAACAGGTGCGTCTCAAGACGGCGGCGATGGAGACGGAGGTGGGTGGATATACTACGATAATAAATGGGAGGATGGCAGGTTCGAGGACGGTTGGGGGAGGTATACAAGAAGAAGGAAGTGGTATCGCGACGCGGAACTTGTAGAAGTAACACCAAGTCCCACGCCCAAAAAGGACATCGCACAGAGCGAGGACGAGAGCGAGGAGAGCCGCATTCACCGGGCCCGGCAGTACGCCGAAGGCCTCGCCAAAGGAACCCTTTCACTAAGCTCACCCACGAGTGGGCAGGACAGCGGCAAAACCACCGTCTCTACAACGACCGCTTTGGAGACGCCGACGAGCGGCGATCCAACGTCACCCGACGCCAAAGCCGCCGCAAAGCGCCGCAGCGGATGGTTCAGTCGCAACAGGTCGGAAAGCAAGTCCTCAAGTAGCAAGAACACGGCCCTCACGAAGGACAGCACGCGCTCGAGAGATGGACCGGAAGATGACCATGTGGACACATGGCGGGATTCGGGCAGGGGTTTCTCGGTCGCGGGTGATGATCTCAGCATGGGATTGAGCTAGCATTGATAGAAAGGCTGGGCCCGTGGCGTGCGGTCTACCGTGCTCATTCCATGTGCTGCCTATGTCTAGTCTTGCTTGAGAGCTAAAGGAAGAACGTCTTTTGATAGCCCCTTATCTGCAAACTCTCAGAGACAGCCTCGGCACTACCTGCATCTCGTACTTTGTAGCAAGCATGGTTTTTGACTCGCGACGCCGCTCTTCGTCGTTTCACACAGGCCATCATAGACCGATGCACATAGGCACGAGGGTTGCACCACCTCTTGATGAAGCTCGGCCCAGGACGGCCCCTCTCTTTCACATCAATCAACACTCGATTGCCCTCGCCTCGCATTGACTAGCTCTGTGTACTTCCAAGTCAACTGACGAGATCCCTCTCTCATGCACGATCTGAAGTGTAATACACTCCACACTTGCAAGTGAACTTCAGCCGACCCCCAGCAGCACGCTTGCTTTGATCCACGCCGGAGAGCTCCATCGGACGACGACACTCGGTGCATTTCCACGGCAGGTCGTTTCACTCGTGGATCAGGTCCTTGACATCGATCTTGAGTCTCTCGATCTCTTTGCAACGCTTCTGCAGCGCGTTTTGGGAGGAGCGCACCTCATTTTCGCGCGCTGAAGCCTTCTTGCTTTGGTCAGACAGCTGGCGCTCTAGGTTTGCAACACGCTCGTTGAGCTTGCGATTTGTGTTCTTCGGGTCTTGTGTATTCGCTGCTCGGGCCTCGAGCGACTGTATCTGAGTGAGATGCCCCTTGGATTTGGTTCTTGCCTTGGACAGCTGGCGCTCTAGGTCTGCCATGCGCTTCTCCAGCTGGCTTGTGGTTGCGGCCGAGCCTTCGGTCGGTGGGGACCGGGACTCTAGCGAGGGAGTCTTAGCTCGCAATTTCGTGATCTCTTGTTTTTGTGCACGGCACTCTGCATCCAAAGCTTTGAGCAAGCCGCTCGTGCGGTGTAGCTTGTGACCCAAGTTCCAGGCTGCAAATTCGTGCTCCTCAAGAACCCGGATCGCATCGGCGTCTGCTCTGACTAGAGCATAGTTTGCCAGGCATCGCTCAAGGACTTTCAGACGCAGTTCCCTGTCGTCGCTGTCAACATTATCGAACAGGGTGGCGAGCACGTCAGATAGTTGGGACTTCCACAGATAGTGCGCGAGGGCGAAGAATTTGTCGGCGACGATGTTGGTCAGATCCTCGAGTGCGAGGGCCCCCGTGTACGTGTACACCAGAATCAAGGAGGTAAGCACTCTCGTTATGGTTTCCATCGAAGCACAATCGGGGATGGTGGTCGCCGGCCCATCGCTAACACAATCCCAGTCGTCGGCCTTGGTGCTGTTGATCGGCACGAGGGCCTGTTGCACTACCGAGGTCGGAGGGCTCTCGACCAGCGCAAGCTTATCGTAATCGCCTGTGTATAGGAAAACAAGGAGTTGATCGAGTGCATCAGGATCCCACAGGGATAGGTCCGCAACACCTGGAACTTCTGCCTAGAAGTCATTAGCAAGGTGAGAAGAGGCTGGCTGATAGTAACATCGTCGACTTACGACTGCTGCGGGAGTGAAGAATTGCTTCGAGCCAGTCGGTCTCCGCGTTCAGGATCGTATTGTCGACGCGCCACTTTCGGCCACGGCACTCGATAGTGAAGTCGCCGATGGTCTGGTCACGTAAGTTGCGCAGCCGGTGTCGCGCACGACTTTCCATCACTGCTGTGACTATGGCAACAACAAGAACCAACGCGGTATGACATTGCGTAGTGCCGGCACAGATGAGACAGCTTGATGGAATAGTGTTGCGCAGAAGACAGGTGGTCGCAGGAAAACGAGTGCATTCATAGTTGGGGTACTCGCCCCACAGATGCTGGAAGGCGAGGTCGAGGTGAGGTAACAACAAGTGGCTGAGATGGTGGAAGCCTCCGAGTACTCACTTTCCACTCCTTGTCGGCCCAGGGGGTTCGGTATGATCTCCAGAGCTCAGTGTCAGCTTGTCTTTGTTCCGCCCTATTCTGTTCACCGGACTCTCATCGAGTTAGGAAGAAACTTGACCGAGCGTCAACCTTCGAGGTGCATGGCTTTCATGATTCCTGGCAACATGCCCATCAGCTTTTCCACATCGTTTGTTTCGATGTCCATTCGATCTGGTGATTCAGAAGGAGGCTGCCATCTGAAATGCATGATGGTGTCGACAGCTGTTTCGAGTAGGTCCGTGCTCTTCATCTTATCTAGCCAGTCCTTCGGTATCTCCTCGAAGCCATAATATGCACCAGCAAGCCCGCCATAGATGGCGCCGACGGTGTCCGCGTCGTCTCCTAGGTTGACCACTTTGATTGCGCCCTCCCTGAAGCTTGAGGTGGTGAAGAACGCCCAGAGTGCTGCTTCGAGGCTGTCTAACACATAGCCCGAGCTGCTAATCTCCGCCACTGGCTTGGCCTCCCAATCTCCAAGTGTCTTGTATACCTCGAATCGCTCATGGAGCGGCTCGTCCACGCCGTAAGGTGAGTTCTTCATCACTTCTCGCTGAGAGACCAGCACTGCATGGACATAGCCACATAGTTGTCGCTTCGCATATCCATCCAATGTCTGCCCAATCAGCTTGACGTACAGAGCACAGCAGCTCATGCATCTACGGTGAGGATGCGTGACAGCACAGCTCTCAATCGCAATGCTTGTAGCGGTCGACTCGTCTGCGTCCTGGGCGTTGCCTAGATATAATAATGCCACAGGCAGTGTACGCATGAGAGCACCATTCCCACATCTCGATTCGCCAGAGAACTTCTCGGCTAGTGTAATCTTCATTTCGTGAGCAACGTCGAACTCCCACGTTGCGGGATCCCAGTCGCTGTCATCGTCGTCGTCATCCGATTCGAGCCCAGCCCATAGCTCTTCCTCTTCTGATAGGATTACATCCGCATGACTATCCCGATCCATGGCTTTCTCGTTGGCAATCAGGCGATCATTTTCTTCCTTTGCAGAGCGGATCTTGGCCTCCCAGACCTCCAACACCTCCCGGGTACTCGTCCCTATATCAAAGCAATACCCGGTGCTGCTCATCCGGCCCTCCCTCCACCAAGTAATATACTTCCTCGCCTGATCGAGAGCGTGCATAGTGGGAGTGTAGATGGATAGAGATGCAAGCAGGCAAAGTGCCATGGATGTGTCATCTGTGAAGTGGCCCGGGGGAAGGTTGAAATTCGGGTTGGGTAACATGCTGGTGACTTTGGGAAAGGTGCCACGGGCCTGAAATTCAACTGGTGCCCCAAGGGCGTCAGTGACGGCGAGGCCATAAAAGGAGCCGCGAATCCGGGAGTAAAAATCTGGTTTGGAGCTCTGCATGGTCATGGCTTATGGCATTCGCAGTTTTACTGATGCCAGGCTGTCGGTGTAGTGCGTGCCAGCTGCATCGGTCCCTTCCGGTCCGTAGCAACAAACCAGAGGAAGATGAACAACTATCACACTCGAGATAGATTTTAGGCGAAATGCTGTTGTTACACAGGGAATTCAGGCTGAGTGAACGCGTGTTTCCGGTGAAAAAGGGGTCGTGACCGTGGTGATTGACCTCTCGAGGCAAGCATCGAGCGAACTTGTCGCCGACAGTCCGACAATGTGTGTTTCGGTGCTGTTGTCTTATTCAGTTGCCCACTCCAAGCATAATGTTTGATGACCCAGACTTTGAGGCAGCATACAAGGCAGAGCTAGGCAGGGCTCGGCAGAGGTCAGCCTCCTTGGCACGACCCAAAGTGGCCTAGAACGTCACGTTGGGCCTGGTGGTGAGGGGCACGGCCCGAATTGAAACCAGTACCCCGCCATGAGGGTAACTGAGATGAGAGGTCTCGATCAGTTGCCCTACTTGCATTCCAGGTCCAGGCTTCTCGGCCTCACTGGCGGTAGACATGGTGCTTAATAGTCAGGAGCACAAAGACAAATGGGCACGAGCATCCTTAGGGAATGAATATGTATTCTCAGCTAAGCTTGAACGGCGGCCATGTGATCTGAGCGATCACTCGGGTCATGTGTGCTCGAGTCGAATTTCAACCCTCCGTTTTCGTACTTGTACCCCAATCCCGTCATGTGAATGCTGTGCTCATTTAGGCGTCGAAGCCATGGGCTACCCATGATGACCATATCATAGCGTAGAAGAAAACCAGACGAAGGAGCGAGTGTGACGCCATGAGGCCAGCGGCTTGGTGCATTTATTTGCAGTTGCACTTGCCGCTGGGGCAGGCGCAGGAAGAGCCGCAGGAGCAGTTGCAGGGACCTGAGGGGATCGAGGTTAGCAACGGGAGGAACTCTCACAGCCAGACGGGCGCCTTACCCATTGCGAGGATGTGTGAGAGTATTTGGTGGCTTGTTTGCGAATAGTCAAAAAGGCTGAATGTGCTGGCGTGACGATGTTATTGCTTGTTGCCGGGATAATGGAGAAGAGAGGGAGACCAAAAACCGAAGTGAGCAAGTTTCTTATACTGCACTGTCTCGGCTGCCAAGGCGGGCAGTAGCTGCCTAATGCATGTGAAGCCAACGACGCGTAAAATACTCACCTTCGCTCCCACGCCCTCCGCCCCATTCATCGTGAGTTCACGACCGTCATCCACTCGCAGTATTCTCGCGTGGGGCGCGACCGAGCGACTTGTGCGTTTTCGCGAGACGAAGCACGCCAACCGACTGGGACGTTGACCGACCCACCTAAACCTGTGGCGGGACCTGACTCTTCCCATTGCACGTTCAAGAGGGTTCGAGGAGCCTTCCCGTTGGACCATTCGTGCGCTTCCTGTGCGTCAGGCCCATTGGTTATCGTCATGTCGGTTGATGTGGTTGCGAGGTGTTTGTGCGGACAAGTCCAGGAGGTGGTACGCTTAGCAGTTCCCGTTGATCACCCAAAATCTGTCTGTCATTGTAATCCATGCAGATATTCCACCGGGATTTTGTTCCTATCGGTGCTCCCTCTCGAGCAGAGGCCCAGCTTCGTCGACAGACTGCGCAGATATGACTCTTCCGAGAAAGTCAATCGATATTTTTGTCCTACCTGTGGAAGCCACATGCTTATCCATGTGACCAAGGACAATAAGTGGGATCTGTGTACTGGAGTGATCGATCAACTCTCCGACGGCGGCAATAGTATTGGGCTCTCAGTGAGTGGCCATGAATTCATTGACGACACGGTAGACGGCGGGTTAGGGATATGCCTCACCAATGCCAGCGGCAGGCCTGCCGAATTCTTCCTGCAGGGACCAGATGCTGCAGCGATCCCACATTCAGACTACCTTACCCGAGTTGAGCACATTTCCAAGGACATCGCCGCTGGCCAGCAATCCTGCTCTGATCAATTGCGTGCACGCTGTCACTGTGGGGGCGTGCAGTATTGCATCGGTCGGCCCACCGATCAGTCTCGCTCCATGTCTGCGCCATGGCCCGATCTAGTGGTCCCGTCGAGGTCTGGCCATGCGACGAACAAAGACGATGTCAAATGGTGGCTGAGGGCCAATGGGACCAAGTACTTGGCTGGCACCTGTGCTTGCCGCAGCTGCCGTCTCGCTGCTGGCGTGCCTGTCCAGACCTGGGCTTTTGTGCCTAAGGCGAACCTGATGGCTCCTGATGGCACTGACTTCCACTTTGGATTGGGTACTCTTACACAGTACAACAGCTCCAAGGGCAACTTCCGAGAATTCTGTGGTGTGTGTGGTGCGACCGCATTCTGGCACTGTGACGAACGGCCTGATCTGATTGACGTAAGTGTCGGCCTCCTAAGGGCTGCAGAAGGGGCGCGAGCCTCTTCATGGCTCGAGTGGTGGACACAGCGTGTCAGCTTCAAGGAAGATGCCTTGAGCTCTTCTCTGATCGCTGAGCTAGAAAGCGGGCTTGCGGTGCTCTCTAAAGACAAGTAGTCCACAGTATGGACGAATTGCCTCGTCTTTGTCCTCTTCCATCCATGTGCATTGACTCACGTCGGTTGTACCTGTTGGTGGAAGCACTTGATTCTACTTTGTCCATGCACGGGATTCTTGACTGTCTAGGTGATAGACTCTCCTATGAAAATGCGTCAGCAAGCAGAAAGGCCTCGGCAAGCGGTTGGTATTCTGAGCAATTGCCAGAAGCCGTCCACCATTGACCGTACCTCGAATTGTCTCGCATAACCATCCGAAACATCGTCGTGGCCTTCCGGGCAACATCTGCACTTTGCGGACGACACAGCATCCACACCTTGATGAAGTCCTGCTCATGCACCGCACCCATGCAGTCGCATGAAGTTTGGAACAGTGAAGATGACGAATTTTGACAAAAGATATTAGTTTTCGCGTCAGATTGTACGAAGGAACCTTTAGCAAGAGAGACGAGCAGCGACTTTGCATAGACTGCTCGAATGTGGGTGTGCTCAGAATGAGCACCTTCAACAAGTGGAGCTGCAAGGGTATGCCAGCACGTTTGCCAGTGCAGCCTGCACCTCGAGCTGATCCATGGACTCGGAACCTAGCCCTTCACCACAACCAACTGGTGAGCAGCTCGATGAATCTGCTCAGTCACGACTACTCATCATCACATTTGACGGGCGAGACGCGTTTCTGACGTGCAGGTGTCTGCGCGTCGCCATAGCAAGAACCTCCGAAAAGCCTCCGTGCTCACAGAGCTCCACACGTACCAAGTACGCTTTCTTCCAGACTCTTCAATGTACTACGGAGTCTGCATGGCTCCTGATTCTCGGTCCTCCGCAACACATGCACGCCTCTCAACGTTGACAGAAACGGCAGTGTCACCTCGGACCTCGTGCGGATAACACGGGTCGTAATTGCATTCAACCCCAAGCTTCTGAATACCAGCTTCGCAAGCCCTGGTAGATAAACTTCACCCTAAATGTGCGTCGAATACTTGGCCACTCTAGATCATGCGATCGCTGGATCTCTTTCTACACGGTGCACGACTTCTCGGAACTAAGCAGCCACTTCCCCAGGATAGAGACCAGAAGCGAGAACGTTGCAGGGGTCTGGCACGAGGCTGAAATTCTGTGCTTGTCCATTGGCCTGAAAAAGAGTTCACGAAAGCGCCTCTCAAATCTCCAGGTTTGTGCGTGATGAGAACGTGGGAGTTCGCCAATCATGCATGTCTGATCCCACCTCCTATCTTAGGCCAAAGCGTGAAGGGAAATGCATGCTTCCCAGGATGTCGTGACTTGATTTCCGGTTCATCAGCCATTGGCAGGCGCCCCTGTGTTAAGTGCAAAGATGCCAGTAGGAAGGCAATCAACGCCTTGTGGCTGGCTGTCGATAATGGAGAACATGTGGCATTCGACCAGTCGAGGCTTCGTTGGAGAAGTGCTGTTCAACCGACTCAATAAGTACATCGGTTCGCTCTAGTTTGTCAAACTGCAGTCACAACACAGCTCTGCTTAGAGCAACCACTTCGTTGCCGGTCACGACATAGATCAGCAGTCCACTCGTTCTAGCGGCAGATATATCGAGCTGCTACGTGTGCCGGACCTCGGTCCCTCTATCTAAGCGCTCAACATGTCCCAATAGGTCTACCTTGGGCACCAACCCGTACTAGCGATTGACCGAAGACAAAATGGCCAACATTTACGAAGCTCTCGGTGTGCCTCTTTCAGGCTTCAACTCAAGACCGTTCATTTCCTCATGGTTATTGCCACAAGACGCTCTAGCAGCCATTCGTTTGACCATTTCCATCTACGTCGTCGCCTCGATCAGTTATTCCTACGCGTATTTCGCTAGTCACAAGGTGACATTTCACCTTCAGGATGTCAATATCAAACCCATTTCTTTCCAGGTTGGAGCAGAAGGCATTCGACAATCTTTCAGCTATTTTACATACATAAGCTATTGGAGCCAGTCCTTCTATTTCTTCTTCGCCGCCCTACATACTTTCGTGGGCGCACGGCAGGGCATACCGTGGCTCGACAAATGGCCGAGGCCCCTTCAAGCACTGCACAGCATATATTACACATGCATCACCACATTGCCTTTCCTGGTCAGCTCCATCTACTGGTCCTCGATGTACGTAGGGCCCTGGTTTCAGCATGATTTCGATCGATGGAGTGCCTTGTCCATTCACGGCATCAACTCGGCTTTCGCTCTCTTCGAGGTTGCAATGATCGAGACCAGACCGCAGCCATGGACACACCTCGGCATACTTCTGCTGATTATGGGCCTCTATTTGCCCATTCCATACATCACCAGGGCCACGGAAGGAATTTACATATATCTCTGGCTCGATCCCAACAATGGGATTGCTCAGCTAATCGCCCACATCGTGGGCTATGCGATGGCGATCGTGGTCATCTTCAACGTCAGTCGGGGAGCAGTTTGGCTCCGATGCAGGATAAACCAAGAAGCCATGCCGGAGGAGATGGGACTCGACTATTCCGGCAGCGGGAGCAGCGTCTCGAGGAGGAGCTCTAGTAAATTTTCCACACTCAAAGCTTTTGGCCCGTCTGGAGATCTCGAAAAAATCCGCGAAATGTCGAGTGTCAACATCCCACTCGTCGGGCATGACAGAACAGCGCACGGTAGCATCTACCAAGGCGATCCTCAGTCCAGGATGTCGACGACGACGATTGCGATGTCTGCTCAGTTCCACGAAGCATCGAGCACTCATATCCCGCTTCCTCCCGAGCCAGAGTCTGCTCTCTTTCCAGCCATCTATCCCAGGAGATCTAGCAGCTACCATGTCCGTAACTTCTCCCGACCCACTTCGCAAGCAACAACGGCGCCAAGCCTTCGAGGTTTCTGGCTTTGAATGGTGCAAGTGATTAGATTGAGCTACAAGGGTGTCGCATGTTGGCAAGCGTAGTGTCTGAAATTTCAAGCTCGATGATTCGAGTCCTATAGTCGGTTTCTTGGGCCAGAGTTGGTTCCAGAACGGCCTTGAGTTCGGGCATCAATAGGAGGCGCTCGTATCATGTTCAGCTCGACCGCCTACCGGCTAATGAACTCACTCCAAATACGAGATCACGCCCGTGACCAGTCCACAGTCAGCGCAGCAGTCGTGTTGGCGAATTCAGACCTTCAGCTTCACATAAAGGCAGCATCGCCTGTTCCTCGATCGGTCTTTCATCCTCACTCGTGCCTTCAAACCCTGACTGTCGATTCGAGCACCGCACGATATCATGCCTTCCGGAAGCTGCTTCTGCGGCGCCCTCAGATATTCGTTCGAGGGCGATCCCAGCTACAAGGTATATGAGTCTACAACGTACTCATACCGTGACTGACAACGGTTGCCACCGTAGGCATACTGCCACTGCTTGACATGCCGCAAGATTACCGGGAGCAATGCGGCTATGACAGCTCTGGTGCCAGATGCGAACTTTAGCACCTCGTCGGAATCGTCACCCCAGTACAAGACCTACACGGTGACGCACGAGACCGGCATCCCTCTGACCTACTCGTTCTGCGCCAATTGCGCCACTGTCTGCTGGAAAACGGCGGGCGCAGGTTGGCCTGACCACCATATCATATTCGCGGGCACTTTGGATGGCGAAGGCACTTTGGAAAAGCTTAAGCCTGATGCAGAGTTCTGGATTAAGTATCGTGTTCCATGGGTGAAGGATCTGGGAGATACGGGTGTCATGCAATGTCAAGGCTTCCCTGAAAATTGATGGTACGCGGCAAATATGCGCATGGCTCGGGACCCTCTAGTCAGAGAAAGTCCAGGTTCGCATAGTCCAATGACCACGTCCTGCGCGACCATATTTTTGAAATTGATAATGTATGACTATCACACCTCCACTGACATCTATCGGATTTGATATCCGCGTCTTCTGCCAGCCCGTGAGGGGGTCTAAGGGGTTTCCCCCCGTTCCCCAGTGTTGGAGAGCCGAGGACATGAGGAAACCGTGCCGATTTCCGAACAGCTTCGCGCCTTTCCCACCAACTTGTCACCCAACGTTTTCTCTTCTTAAGCGGTTGCTTCAGAGCCTTTGGGGTACGCGACCATGCTTGCTGATCATGACGATTGGCTCTGCTCGCCCTCTGCGTCTGGCCCGCACCGGACAGCTTCCGCCTCTCTTTAGCCTGTTCCTCGATTGCTGTTCTTTACCCATGACGCTCTAGTCGAGCTATTCCCGCCCCATCGGTTCGTGGATTTTTCTCTCTTAGTATCAACTTCATTTCGTGTCTCAAGGTGTGCTACACCGACCGTTCAGGGCGTAGGAGAGCCGAGGTCACGTACACTCCTCATGAATAGCCACGACCATGAGCGCCAATGACGCCCGCCCACAGGCTTCGCCCACCTTACCAGATTTAAATACAGCAACGTCAATCGGCGGCCCTAGCGAATTCGAAGCCGAAAGGCGCGATTTCGAGCCACAGTCGCCAGTCCACAACGACTACGACGGGCAGCCGCTGGAGAAGATCCCCACCTCGCAAGACACTCTTCAGTTCACCGGCAACAACGGGGAGCCTCAACATGAAGCGCTCTCAGCCGTGCAGTCGGAGCGCCGCGGCTCCAAGGAGGTCATTTCCTTCCTCAGCAACGACCCGGAGCACCCCAACAACTGGCCCGCGCGCAAGAAGATGTTGGTCTTCATCGGTGGCATCATGTCCGTCATCAATAGCACGTTGGGCTCGTCGTTACCGGCCAATGCCGTCGTCTTCATCGTTGAAGACTTTGGCGTCACCGACGACCTCCAGTTCGCGTTGCCTATCTCGTGCTTCCTGATGGGGTACGTTCACCCTTCTGCTGGGTTTCGGTCTTTCGGTCTGGTCCATACTTACCGGTAGCAGATATGTCATAGGTCCTCTCCTTTGCGGACCCCTTTCCGAGAACTATGGCCGTAAACCGGTCATGTTGATGGCCTTCCTATTCTTCACCATCTTCACCATGGCGTGTGCTGTTGCGCCCAATTGGCCTGCGCTCCTGATATTTCGGCTGATGTCCGGCATCTTCGCTTCTGCGCCCATCGCCATTGTAGGTGGACTGTACGCCGACATCTTCGCCGATCCCTCCGCTCGCGGTCTTGCCATGGCGTACTTCATGGTCGCAACCACGCTTGGGCCCGTTCTCGCCCCGGGCATTTCGGGATTCATTGGCGAAAATGTCTCCTGGCGCTGGGTTTTTGGTGTTGGCACTTTCTTCGCCTTGACGACGCTGCCATTCTTGTTGGTAATGCCAGAATCCTACCTACCGGTGCTACTATCGCGCAAGGCGAAAAAGCTGCGCGAGGAGACAGGCAATGAGAATATCATCGCCATTACAGACCTGCAGAAGAAGAGCTGGAAGTATGTCATGACGGTGGTCATGACACGGCCGTTCCGCATGCTGTTCCAGGAGGCCATCGTCAGCTGCGTGTGTTTGTACGCCATGCTGACCTACAGCATCTTCTACCTGTACTTCCAGAGCTATCCACTCATCTTCTTCGGCCCCAGCAGCGTCTATGGCTTTAGCGCCGGTCTCGCGGGCTTGACGTTCCTGGCAATCTTTGTGGGCAGCATGGCAGGATTGCCCGTCTTCATGTGGTGGGACAAGTATCTGGCACGGAAACAGGCAGAAGGCGCTCAATGGGCCAAGCAGGAGGAGTATCGGCGCCTGCCGCTGGCCTGCTTGGGAGGGCCGCTCTACGTGGTGGCGATCTTCTGGCTGGGGTGGAGCGCGAGGAGCAGCGTGCACTGGATTGTGCCCACGTTGAGCGGAATACCGTTTGAATGGCGTTTTTGCTGATCTTTATGGCGCTGCTGAACTATCTCAGCGATGCTTACCTGACGTTTGCGGCGAGCGCACAGGGCATGGCGAGCACGTGTCGGAGTATTGGGGGAGCCGTACTACCCATTGCGGGCCGCAGAATGTTCATGGTCTTGGGGATCAACTGGGCATGCAGCCTACTAGCATTCTTGGCATTGGGAGTGGCCGTGATCCCATTCGTCTTCATCCGATTTGGCGATCGCATCAGGGCGAACAGTAAGTTCTGCCAGGAGCTGAGGCGGATGATGGAGGAGCAGAAAGAGAACCAGAGACGGGAGGAGGAGAGGCAGCAGAGGACGGGTAGCGGAGTGGAGAAAGGATTTGAAGGGGTCTAGTGTGGTGGTGTAGGCTTCTAGGCAGGTCTAAAATGATATTATATCGAATATGAAGCACTCATGTCTGACTCTGGTACCCGAGAAGCAATAGATTGTCGAGGAGCGCCAAGAGGCAGTGACTACACGTGACTGACAATCCTTCGCCAGCGACTGGAAGAAACCTGTCGATATCGAATGCAGCCCCGAACTCCGAAAGCGAAGCTCGTGCTCTCCATGTGTATTCGAGGTGCGTCCATCGTGCTGTCCCGGAGTCTTGGTGGGAGGAGAACGTCTCAAGGGGTTCTGCCATCTGATATTGGAGCTCGTGTAACGGAGAGACGGCACTCAATTTCACCTGAATCCCAAACTCCTTCAGCTCAGCGAGCCCGTCGCTAATCGGGAAGCGGGCTTTCCCAGTCTGGGGCCGACCCATGCACCGATACCCCAAATGGTGCTTTTCAGGGTACCGGCATCCCCTAATCGCGCCAAGTGTGCCCCAGGGTTTCAAGCTTCAAACGGGACTAGAATTCATGGGCAATGCTTGTTTTCTTCCTACAGCCGAGACAGCCTCACCACTCGAACAACTCGCTGGGCTGCAACATGAAATGCTCCAGCTCGTCGCCGGCTGTTGTGCGCGCCGTGTCCATGGCCCGTGGTTGCAACCGCACTCAGCTTGCCTCCCGATACTCGTGCTATGTCTCTCCCCTTTGGGCGTCGAGTCAGTCCGGCATTCCCTTTTCTCTTCTGTGCGAGGGCGATGGCGGGCCATCAAATTCCAGTCGTTCATCTTTCTGTCCTTCGTCATACCGGTGATGATATGTCTCTAATCAGCAGGGTCTGGCACCTCCTCACTGCCCGTCCGCAAGCGCGAATCAATGGACCCGGGCAGTTCTCGTGCCCGAGGAGCCAGCATTAGACTTATCCCCCCAGATGACGAGGACCCTTTCGTGGAACCAGAGAAGTTGCAAAGACCCTACACAGCCAGCAGTAATGCCGTCCGTCCAGACAGATCAGGCCTCGTCGCCTCGCGAGCAGGACAGGAGTCATTCCACTTTGGGTTTGCATCACCTGCTGCTGCATCGCCGCCTAGTCCGGTGGTTGGCGAGAGCGCTCTATCTCCTCCAGAGCCATCAAAGTCGCGCTTCAGCCAGAGCACCATTGTCAGTCCTGAGCACACCCGCATCAGCTCTTTTGCCGTACCCTGGCACCCGCCCCCAGATGCGTCCGGACCACGCTTCAGCACAGACAGCGCTTCAGATGCGCCAGGCTTGCTGCCGCCACAGGAGCCCAACCAGTCACGGTTCAGTAGAAACACCAGCAGCCAGTCGGACTCGCCACCGTCCCAGTCATTGTTCGCGCCTACTATCGACGACGGTTCATCGCCCGAAACACCACGCTTCTCGGTGCCATCGCGCTCCCACTTTAGCGCCACGACCGTCGACAGTCCCCCGCCTCTACCACCGCGCGCTGACCGACCATTCTCACCACTCGAAAGCCCACCAACGCCATCGCAATGGCAGGCCTTCTTCTCCCCTCAACAGGAGCAGTACCGCTCGCGATTCAGTGCGAGCACGACCACCCCACCAGAGCAGAGCCCACCCAGCCCACCCAGCTCGGCAGGCTCGGGCTCGTCCAACAGCTCTATGGACGGCACTGGACCGTCCGCCCTACCATCAATGCCACCTCAGCCATTGTATACCCAACCTAACCGCCGTCTCAATTCTTCGTCCTCCAGCCGCTATTCGCACCCTTACCCAACGACCGAACTCGAAGTCATCGATGAAGACGAAGTCTACAATTCTTCCCCGCCATTCTACCCACCACCGATCCCTTGGCGCAGCTCTTCCCGGCCCCGAACCGCCGACCGCGAGACGCAAACCTCGGATAGTCTTGAGGCGGGGTACCCTGCCGGGGCAGCTGCGGCCGTTGCGTGCGCAGCCGGTTCTCTATCGCCGCCTACGCTCGCGACCACTACGCTTTCCAGACGGAACGATCTGCCACCGATCCCACCACTGCCGCCCGCTCTACTGGCCCCCGGGTCTGGAGCACGACCTATCTCCACACCACCACAACTACCACCGCTTCCTCCATTCAACCACAGCACCTCATCACTACAACGCTACTTCAGCTACTTCCCTGCCCCGGACCCGGCAGCCACTCCTGTCATTGGTGCCGACGGACAGCCGCGCTCGCCTAATGGCAGCGTGGTATCGTTTGGTAGCGTCACGGGACCCAATGGCGAGAGGTTCAGCGCGCTCCGGGAACAGCGCAAAAGCCGAGGAGTGTACTGGGCGGAAGGCACGAAGCGCAGGCAGTGGTGTGGCCTGAGGGGCATGACCTGGAAGTTGTGGGCGGCTCTGCTGACCGTGGTGGTGCTGGCCCTGGTGCTGCTGGCCGTAGGTCTCGGGGTAGGTTTGAGCCGGAATCGCGGAACTGGTGACGGCGACGGGAATAATGCTGCTGACGATGGGGACGCTGCTGGCAACGGCAATGGTGTTGCTGGGGAGGGAGGTGGAGATGTGCAGCCAGTGTTCCCTGCCGGCACGTTTGATATCACAACGAACTTGATGAATGTCAGTACAGCGTGCTCAAATGTGTCCGCGGCATGGAACTGCGCACCGGGGCCGACGCTGGTGCAGGGAGGCGTCAATGCCAGTCAGATTGAGATGGTGTGGACGATCACGCAGAACAACGTTACGCAAGGCGCAGAGAGTGACGACGGTTTCTCCATTTCGAGTGGCGGCAATCCATTCAGCATACGATTCGATGACGCGGCACTCACGCTACGAGAGCAGGGGACGGAAAACGAGCATTGGGGATTTGAGGCTCTGGTCAGCAAACGAGTGAAGCCCGATGTCGATATCACAGGCCGTAATGTCGCCGTAGAGTGCGATTACGATCAGGTCGAGTTGGCTGGGCGGCTGTTTACAAGGAGGCAAGCAGATGAGGCTCTAGCAGATGGCGAGGGAAGCTGGCCAGGTGCGGTAGAAGTGGACCAACGAAGCAGTGCGGAAGGGGCATGTTTCGAGGTCAGCAATGGAGTACGAGGTCCACAGGTCGCGGTGAGCGCTGGAAGTGCGGATTGTACCTGTGCGTACGGCGATTCTGGTCTGGGGAGTTGATGTCCTGGCATTCGGGGTGACCAGCTGCGAACCAGGCGCCGCGGGGGGGTTTGCAGACATTCATACATGGCCACGGCAGCCCGTGAGCCGATTAGTACTTGACGTACTTTTCATTCAGAGTTTGGTTGAAAGCAAAGAGCGTGTTCGTCGTATGAGCATGGGCCGGGCAAAAGTCGAAGTTGCCTCGTGGGGCGTCCTAGCTAGTCTTGGCGGACATCTACGGAGGACACGCCAGTGGTTCCTTGCCCCTACATCTTTCTTCTACATCAGCATCACCATGACTTCTCAGCAGCAAGATCTCTTTGTGGAATTGGCAGTGCCCTTGCAGCATATCGTTTGATTCGGCTATGGAACCAAACATTACGCTCATATGGCCACGCCACTTTGAACTCACAAACATCTCACCCAGGACTCACCCTCGTGTGCTCCTTCCTCTACCTCTACTAGTGCCAAGGATCAAACTGGCAGGTGCAATCAAGTCACTTTGGCTGCCTGCACCTCTGCCGAAGTAGTTTTTTCTCTTCCTAAATAGCCACCTCTCCCTGGCATCCATCGGACCATCGTCTTTTCCTGACCTTTGATTCATAAGTCTCACACTGCCAACGTCGACTTGACTTCCCCTGCTTCTGACAACCTCTACCACAGATTCTCGACAACTTCAGGCGTTGGCTTTTGACGTTTTATAGAACAAGTACCACTCCTGGCCTGTACTCACTTCAGAGCCGGGTGCCTGACTGACATCTTGGTCTAGGCACAATGGCGGAACGCAGCACTTCCCGCACCTTGCCTGTGAATCGTCCCAATGATACTAAACCCGACCTTTCTCTCGTCACGACTTCGGATGGCGCCGACGTCACAGTCAAGGTCAGACCTGGTAATCAAGGAGGTGGTGACGACAACAACGTCGACGCGAAGGCTAGCGACACACGCAAAGTTGGCACCAAGCAACCCGAAGTCGTTACCGGCAATGGCAATGGGAACGTCAGCCCCATGTCCAAAGATAGCGTGTCTATCATCACTAGCGAAACAGGCTCTCCTACCCACAGATTCTCGCGCAAAGACGACAAGCAAGCTCTGGAGTTCATTAAGATGGCACACTCTGCCAAGAATACTTCAGAGCCAGTTGTCAAGGATCGCAAAGACATCATCAAACTGACTGAGATGGTCTCTGAGATGGCTCACCTCCTCGCTGCCAGTGGTATTGTAAGTGCACCTCTCCCCCAAAGACAAGCCACTGACCTGACGACAGGGTAAAGACACCACTGCTCGCGCCCTTGCCTATCTCAACGGCCCGGATGAGCTATCCCCACGAGCCGCTATCGCTGCTGCAAAGCGAGACCGTCATAACAAGAATCAGCGCCGTGCTAGTCACGGTAATGTCAACCGACCTGTCAAGTCCGATACCGTTACCGGCCCGAGAAGTCCCACTACTGGAAGTAAAGCCAGCTCGGGCCAGGATCGCGTTTCTCTAGAGCCCAAAGCTGCATCCAGTGTCGCTGTTACCAGTACATCCAGCGAAATCACTCCGGCAGATGCCGTGATTGTGAAGGAAACGGTCCTCCACGACTCAAAGAAGAAGCAAGACGCCGGAAAACCCACTGCCTCAACCACTGCTGGTGAGCCGGAAGACAAGGGTGGGAAGTCTGGCAAGCCCAAGAAGAAGTTCGGGCGTCACAATTGGTCCTGGAGAAAAGGACGCCGCAACTTGAAGGGAAAGGAGAACAGACCTGCCCAAAGTGGCGAGACTGGCACCACGGAGCAAGCGCAGCCAGTCACTGACCGCAACCAGGACAATAAGTCTAGTGAGAAGGAGCCGGCAGCCGCCATTGAGGAGAAGACCGTGACCGCCCCGGCCGACTCTACGCCTACACTTGCTCCTGCGGCTTAACAGCGGGACCATCGTCGAAACTATACTTGATTCGGCTCGGGCCTGGAAGCAGTGATGGGGCGCCTAGAACATGTTGACGATATCCAAAGTATGAGTTGTTGCAAGACCTCACGAGCTCTTGCAAGCATGCATTGTGTCATCTCACTCGCAGATGGACACCACAGGGTCACACATGTCTGATGTGGGGGCCAAGAGGCCTAATGAGCAGACGAACACGCCATATCGGTAGCGAAACCGCATAAGAATCAGTCTCAGCTCAACCTCCATCTTGGTATGGTGTCAGCTCGTATTTCATTATGCAGTTTTAGAATTCTAGCTGATATGATGCTCTCGACCTGCAAAGCCTTGCTTCTCTTCTCCAAGTTGGGTATCATCGTGAAGTATTCGTGACATAAGAAAATCTCGATATCGTGTGATGTCAATCCGTCCTCGTACTGCCCTGTATTCTTTCCCTTGAAAATCCACCTTCCAGCCATCTGAAGTCTGCCGAAACAATGGCAAGCTAGAACGGGAACATGTATCCCCAGTACTGTGCCCCAATGACTCTGGCGTCCGCTGCGTACACGCAAGCAAATCAGTCGTTTTGACTCATCAATAGGAAATAGCATGGCCAATCCGCGCACACGCAGGCACGCCCTGCCAGCCAGCCAGCTGTATGCTTTCGGTCGTGGAGGGGGAGGATGGGGCCGGGGGGGTTGAGAACTTGAGAGGAGTCTCAGATACCCATCCACCAACATCGCATCACTATTGGTAGAAGCCAAAAACAAAAAACCTCAGCACGTTGTAGAATTGTGGATTTGGGAAAACCCCTCAGACACATTCTCTCTCATATACACCGCTCTCTCAGAAAATGTACAAGAAGGCGGGGTACGTACTGTTCTCGTCGACGCCGCGCGTGTAGGGCATCATGGCGGCGCTGGGTGTCGACTTTGTGCCTTGCCTTTGGCCTCTGGATCGATGCTCCTGCTCCTCAGGTGGGAAGTCGGTGCTGTAGATGCTGGAGGCGTCGCTGTCGTACTGCTGGTCGGCGAAGCGGACGCGGTTTTGCTGGTGGTTCTGCGGGCGGCGGTGGCGTGGTGCAGTGGTGAAAGTGGCGGGTGAGGGGGAGGTGCTGGTGGAGGTGCTGGTTGGTGTGAGGCTTGGGGTGGAGGTTGGGGGGCTGGAGATGGGAGAGGATGAGGAGGACTTGTGGTGTCGGAGGTGGTGGAAGGGGTTGAGGCGCGCGAGGCGGGAGCGTTTGGAGGTGGTGCTGCTGCCGGAGGAGATGGAGGAGGAAGTGCTGGTGGAGGAGGAGAAGGTGGCCGTTGAGGCTGAGGTGGGCTTGCGGGTGGGTTGGTACGTGGCGGTGGGCGTGTACGCTGGGGGTGCCTCGTTGTCGCGGGGACGCTGGCCGCGGCTGGCTGCTTTGAAGGCGGAGCGGCTGGCACGGTAGATTTGGAGGGAGGGCTCGAGGGTATGGCGGTGGTCGACGACGAAGGGGAACATGGTGGGCCACACTTGTGTGCCTGCGGTGGGAATGAACTTGCTGTCGTTCTGGGTGAAAGCGAGGATACAGAGCGGGCTGTGGTGGTGGGAATCAGGAAAGTTGTGAGGCTGCTGCCACAGGATGGGTGGTTGAGATATGGTCACAGGTGTGGTAACACGGATGCGGGCCAGATTTGTCAATCACCTGGAGTGGTGTTACTGTCACAGACAGGATTCATTCGTTTGGGGATGTTGTGACTGAGCAAACAAGCAACGGACCGACTACTTGCGCCACGGGGCCAGGAAGCATATTTGTATGTGAATGCAACTCGTTCAAGTCCGGTCACTGACCGCTGCATTTCGCCGCGAAGAAACGATTACAACATAACTGTAGTCCGTGAGGAAATATGATTGACGTCTTAGCGCCAACGAGATTATCTAGTAAGCTGACCAGGGACGAGTAGCTTCAGGGAACCGCCTCGTAAATCATCCTGTTGGTCGCAATAAGTTTCACATTTCAGGCCTGAGCGTCGATCATACATGCAGGGCAGTTGAACCAGCATTTTGGGTAGCAGGCCGTTGTGGCGCCGCAAGCCCAGAAGCTTGATATCGCTCCGGATTCAATAGGAAAAGGGGAGTGACGTTGCTCTTATCGCAAGGCGGACCAATGTAGGCAGGACAGTCTACGGGCCGCACGCACTGGATTCCAGCAGGAGGTCGGCCGGCAGACACTGTATGCGCTGCGCGGCAATACGTGCTGAATCGTATCGCTGATGCGGTGCTGATACAACAGCGACGTGCGTAGCAGACATACATGCTTGATTCGATCGTCGGCTGAGCTTGTGTACGAGGTTCAGGCTTGGGGGCCGAAAGGGAAGGCTCGATAAAGAGTGGATGATGCACGGCTCTGCAAGATTTGATTTGTAGTTCGCTTGTAAGCCATCCCCTTGGAGGCCTTGTACCGAGCTACGCTGCGACCCTACCAAGGCGAGACTCCTGAGATTTGCTGAGGCGGAAGATAAAGGGGGATGCCTTATCTGGTCAGAGTGAATGCTGGACGCCAGCGCGAGATTACAAGCAGGATTTGGCGGTGCCAGTGCGCTGGCATAGGCTGTCCTTGCGATGATGGGGGCCGTTCTGGAGCGCCGAGGCAGTAACACGTGTCGAAACGAAAGTGCCGAAGGGGAAACGATCTGTGGGCCCTGATGATGAGTAGAGAAACCAGGCAGTAAGCCTGAACACGAAAGGGGAAGAGGTTCATGCCCATTGGCTGGCGGACTTGTGTTGGCTGCTCGTGTCAGCACGATTCAGGGCTCCATGTAGTGCAAAACGGGGATCGATACAAGAACGATGTCTGACTCTGGCGGGTCTGGACCCTGGTGTTCAGCGGTTGCCTCATGATGCCGATACACTGCCAAGACCTGGCAAAGAAGGCAGCAAGACACTCGCGTCGAAGTCTCGTAGAACGACTCGAGCATTCAAAGTCTTGGTATTTGGTCATATTATACCATTTCGCTATGCAATCTCGAAAGGGTGGTCGCTCGAGTCTATCTGAACACATTGGTGCAATTCGTCTACGACTTCGTCCCGAACTTGCCACCGTAAATGAAGAGACGCTCACCGTCAACAGGCTTGAAGGATTTCTCGCCGGCAGCGCCTGCGGGAGCACCAAATACGAGCTGCGACTTCAAACTCCATTTGTTAGGGATGCCCCACTCGCTGGCGACCTTTTCGTCGATGAGGGGATTGTAGTGCTGAAGGTTGGCACCGAAGCCCTCTTGCTCAAGGAGAGTCCATAGGGCATACTGATGCATAGCATTTGTGTGCTCAGACCATTGCGGAAACCTATCGGCGTAGAGAGCGTATGATTCCTGGAGCTTGGAGATATCATTGGGATCCTCATAGAACAGGATCTAAGCACGTTAGTACAGCCATTGACATGCAGATGGGGCTGGAGATTTACTGTTCCATAGGCGTTGGAAAAGCCTGAGAGCCGCTTTTCCGAACTCTCCCAGGCCTCGGGAGGAGCAACGGCCTTGACCGCTGGCTTGACGATCTCCTCCCACAGCTTCTTGTGCTGGTCGGCAAGGAGGACAAGGACTCGCGTGGACTGTGAGTTGAAGGAGCTGGGAGTATGGAGAATAGCTTGCTCGACAATCTCGTGGATCTTGTCGTCGGAGATGGGAGACTCGGGCTTCAAGGCGTAGTGAGTGCGGCGAGCCTTAAAGCCTTGGATCAGAGAGTCGGCGCCCATATTGTTAGATGTTGATGTGAAGGTGCGTTGACTGGGATGCAAGTGTGACGACAAGGGTTTGGATGTGGATAGGGAGGATGTGATTCGAAATGAGCGGGCGGGACTTATATATGCATCAAAGAAACGTGGAACTCGACGAACAAACACCGACGCCATGGCACGATTTATGTCGCCTGTGCAGGCCGCATTATCTGGCAGCGCTTTCACAAATAGTATGGGCAGGGGCTTTGAAGGCGAGAAAGGGTGGGCGCAAATCACGTCAGCGAAAACATCAATTCCGCACTCATTAATCAGTAGGTACCAAGTATTCACCCAGACCCACCTCGACAAAGCGTAGTGTGACGGCGGTGCCGCCAGGCCACGGAACGGCCGATAGATGACTGAGCGTCTTCGCTCACTCATGCTATTGTCGCAAAGTCGACTAAGAATGGTCGCTGTGGCTGATCTCAAAGAAGGCACCCACATCCAATGTGGGGCTGCGGGAGTGTTGAAGTCTGGAAAAAACATTTCTTCATCCTTGATCGGTATTGCGTCAACGTTGTTCGACCGGCTTCACATCGAGTTACGGACTGATTTCGGCGAAAATGAAGATTGGGATCCACATTGCGAAATGCTGAAGGTCTGGAAGTACTAAAGAAAAAAAGCCTTCCGAAGGTTCTCGACGGCAGATGTTTTCGCGAGAGATATACGGTTGCCCATAGATTCTTCTCGCCACTGCATCGGGCGACATGTCCGAGCAAGCCAAGACTGCTCGTCGCATCATCGATTTCGTACAAGTGAGCAGCGTGCAATGGAGTAACCACGACTCCTGATAGATACACCGGTAGGTCAGTCCGGGAGAGGGAACGTGAACCAGTCGAGCAAAGCATCATCGACAACAAACATGGCATCCCTTCTGGTCGGCGCCAGCCTGCTGATCCACGACAAAATCAAGGGTGATAGAGCAAAGCGGCGAGAGAAGAAGCGCAAAGGCTATGAGGTTCGCTACAGCGAGCTTGAGAAGGAACATAAATCTCACGAAGCAGATGTACTACACCGCAAATCCACTGGCGGCAGTATGGGAAATCAAGATACCTCAGCACCCGGTCCAGCGCCAAGAAGCCGCAACAGCCAAGACAGTCTGCGGAGCAACCAAGATGGACCGGCCAGATGGGTCGAGGAAGCGCTGAAGGAGAACCAGTCGAAACATTCATGACTATGGTCAGGACAAAACGCGAAAGCGAGATTCAGACTTGTGTGAGCTCGGCGTTCTGGAAGTGGGTAATTCTCGTTCTCTGGACTCCAATAGCAATGTATTCGACCATGTTCCTACACAACCACATTGCATGGGGCTTCCAGATGACCTCTATGCGTCTGCATGGGGTACTTTTTTTATATGATCGGTGCGACAAAGGACAAATGTAGTGTGTTGCCGCTTCCCAGGCAATGTCAGATCTGCGGAGGATAGTACAGCCTTGCCGTTCCAAGTATAGCCTTGTTACGAACAGGCTAATCCAACCTTGTAATAGCGTCTACTTCCTCTGTTGGTGGATATCTCTTCGGCTGCCTGAGCTGGCCGCGCTCTCTTTTTAAAGACAAATCCTGCATCCACTTCGTACGACCAATACGTTGCCCTCAAAGACACCGCCCTACTCGTAATTCAGGCTGCGGAAGACCATCAGAAGGACTGTTATTCCGAAGCACATTGCTACCGGGACACTACCAAAGGGTTCGCACCAAACCTCTTCGCACCACGACCGCATTGCCTAACGAGCCGAAGTGAATCACCCAAGCACTTAACCAGCGCGTACGAGAGAGTTCCTTACGGATTACTCAAAATGGCAGGACTTGATGTTGAGGCCCTCCTCGACTCTACTGCCGCCAATGGCACCCCAGACACCGATTCCGACCGTCTCCAATCTGAGCGCCGTGATCGAGATCCTGAACAAGATGACTCCCGTGAGCGCGATCGCAAACGACGTGACCGCAGCCGTGACCGCCACCGAGACCGAGATGACAATGACATGAGGAGCCCACGTAGCGACCGCGGATCCGCTAACGGTAGTCATAGAAGCCGACACCGCAGTCGCAGCCGAGACGGAGAGAGACGTCGTTCGCAGCGCGACGATGACCGGGACCACTATCGCCGTCGATCTCGGTCTCCAAGAGATGATCGTCACTATCGCCCCTCCTCGCGTCGCGAGGATGACCGTCGAGACCGTGACCGCCAGGACCGCAGACGCTCCCGTAGCCCTCGGCGAGACACCAAAGCCAAGACCCCCGACATCGCACTCACTGAAGATGAGCGCGATAGGAGAACCGTTTTCGTCCAGCAGCTGGCTGCTCGATTGCGTACCAAGGAACTTATTGCGTTCTTCGAGAAGGTTGGTCCGGTAAAGGAGGCTCAGATCGTCAAAGACCGTGTCAGTGGTCGATCTAAAGGGTATGTTGTTCCCTAGCCTAGTATTCGTACCAGAACTAACCCATTTCAGTGTCGGCTACGTAGAGTTTCGTAACGAGGACTCTGTGCCCCTTGCCATCCAGATGACCGGCCAGAAGCTCCTCGGCATTCCCATCATCGCCCAGCTCACTGAAGCAGAGAAGAATCGACAGGCCCGCAACCCGGAGGCGGCCACTACTACGCAAAGTTCCGTCCCCTTCCACAGACTCTACGTTGGCAATATTCATTTCAGTATCACGGAGCAAGACCTTCAGAATGTCTTCGAGCCTTTCGGCGAACTGGAATTTGTTCAGCTACAGAAGGAAGAGGGCGGAAGGAGCCGAGGCTACGGTTTTGTACAGTGAGTCCATGACCTTCATTGCATCAAATATTCCCGCTAACACATCTAGGTTCCGTGACCCCAACCAAGCTCGTGAGGCCCTTGAGAAGATGAACGGATTTGACCTTGCAGGACGTCCCATTCGCGTTGGCCTCGGGAACGACAAGTTTACACCCGAGTCAACTGCCAATCTTCTTCAACGCTTCCAGGGCCAGAATCAGCCTACCAGCTTCCAAGGCTCTGCCTTCTCCGGCTCCGGCGGTCGTGGCGCTCATGCTGGTGGCAGTGGTGGCGCTTTTGACCGTGCCGGAGGTCGAGACGACCAGAAAGGTTCAGGCGGCGCCAGCGCTCTTGACGATACCGATGTCGCTGGTGTGAACTTCAGCAATTACAGCCGCGATGCACTGATGAGAAAGCTTGCTAGAACCGAAGAGCCAAGCTCAACCACTGACGATCACCGCACCAAGGCTGCCGCCGCACCTAAGAAAGAATCCAAAGCCCTCCCCGTTTCGGTTAGCCAAGCCAGTCGCTGTGTATTGCTCCGCAACATGTTCGACCCAAACGAAGAAGAAGGCGATGCTTGGGTCAAAGAGCTCGAAGATGACGTTAAAGCTGAGTGTGAGGACAAATACGGCAAAGTCGTTCACATCTCGTTAGATCCAAACACTCAAGGCGACATCTATCTCAAATTCGAACGTGTCTCTGGCGGTGAAAAGGCTATCCAGGGTCTTAATGGCCGATTCTTTGGCGGTAGGCAGATCTCTGCTCAGCCTGTTGTTGACGCCGTGTATAGCAGCTTGTTCAGTCGCACGAAAGCTCTTTAGGTACAGCAGTTCGCCGGACATCACATAATCCCTGGCCAGAGTGGGCTAGGCAAAGCAGTAGGAAACGACAAGCAGGTCTGCGGAGACGTACGACAAGGCCATTTGATAGCGGGTGAGGATCAAGTCGATGGTGCCTGGTTGCTGACACCGGCAGACCTTTCTTCCGCGGAGCAAAAGGGCGAAATTGCCGCATAGGAGCGAGATACTGACTGGGGCAGACCGCTGTCATATCAACTGACGCTATGGGCTTTGCTGGCCCTACGGCATTATTGACTGAGCATCTTAGATCACAGCCGGACCGTGCATGTCACGGTAATCGAATTACCAGATTCACCTTACTCTGCTCATGCTCGTAGCTCTTAACCAATGCAATCCTTTCACCACCCTTCCCCTGACTCCTCGTGACCCCATCCCCGCCTTGCGTCTGCCTCTTCATCTTCCCGCAGGCTCAAGCCCCGTGCCAATCCCGCTCGCTTCAAGTTGTTCTTGACACGCCTCCACATCCAGACGCCTTCGTCCTCCTCATCCTCATCATCATCAGCACCTTGTGCTCTCGGGTCTGGTATACATATTAGTCGAATCCTTGAAAGCCATCTTCCTCCTGCGCATTGCGATCGCCCTTCCGCTGCTTGCTACCCTGCACAGCGCCTTTTCGCCTGTTCTCGATCTTCTTCTCATACCCGCTCTTGGTTCCTATCCTCGCTTTCCGCTTCTTCTTGCGCTCCTCCGCATTGTCGCTCTCCTTGATGGCTCGTCTCGTCTCGACACCCCGTACTTTCAGCTCTTTTCTGTTTCTCTTACTTAGATCTGGTAGCGAAGCCAAAAGCCAGGGATCGATCCCCTCAACCGTCGGTCCCCCTCCTTCCGTGCCGTCGGCGTTAGACTGATTGGATTGGCTCGAGTTAATGACACTCGCGATCGCTTTCAGATACTTGATGTCCTCTTTCGTATAGAATGTCACACACACTCCTCCGGCCCGTCCAGCTCGACCGGTACGTCCGGCTCGATGGACGTATGCTGCACTAGTGGTGGGAATATCGTAGTTGACCACTCCATTGACACCTCGGAAGTCCACTCCTCGAGACAGTAAGTCAGTGGTGATAAGGATCCATATCTCGCCCTTGCGAAACTTTGTCATGATAGTCGACCGGGCTGTGCTGGAAAGGGAGGAGTGCAAGACTGCGATGCGGCTGGACCCGCCTGCCGCAGCGGCGATATCATATTGTAACTCGTCATGCAGGGCGCTCGCGCGGTCAATGGTCTGCGTAAAGACAATAAAGGGAGGGCGTAATTGCGGCGGCTGAGAGGCTGTTGATTTTGAGGTCTGGGATTGCGATCTGGCTGGATGCAGTAGTTGGCGTAGTCCGAGCAGCTTTCCAGGCTCAGTAGCGGCATAGACCAGCTTGTGAGTGATACTGGGAAGTGAGGAGTCTTTCAGACCGATAATTATACGATACAGAGGTGGTCTTAGCTTGGAGCCAAGGGATTTCCGTCTGGCGGCAATAGTGGAGATGGCGAGTTCTTCGATATTGGAGCCAATGGTGGCGGACCAGAGCGAGACTTGAAGTTTGACGGAATTACATGCCAACCATACTAATAGCGTCTGCTCACGAAAGAGAGGATCGAGCAGGACGTCGGCTTCGTCAAGGATAAGATTAGTGATATGCGGGAGGGTTGATGAGCCTAGGGCATGGACAAGACTCAATGGCGTCGATACAACGATATCGCTCTTGACGATTGGCGTGGGCCGTGTCGCTCGCCGGTCATCAGTGTCTGATTCGGACATCAATTCCGACCCAGAAGCTTCTTGTCCCGAGTCAGTAAGCTTCAGTCCCTTTCTCATGGCTGTGATGGTGACGCCTGTCTGGGTACACAACTTCCTGCCCTCGTTCACGATTTGTCCAACGAGCTCCTTGGTGGGGGCGAGCACGAGAGCACGAGTATGTCTGTCCGAGCCCTCCTGTGATTTGTGATATTTTCTGGCCTTTTCGATTGCTGGTGTCAGGAAAGCCAAGGTTTTGCCGCTTCCAGTTGGCGCAACGCTGAGGATGTCTGGACCGGAATCAACATCTTCCAGGAGCAAAGGTAAAGCCGCAATTTGGATTTCCGTTGGCTCGTAGTAACCCTGAGCCGCGATGTTCTCCTGTATGGCTCTGCTGACATGATGTCTAGGCCGGAGCTGCGCAAATCTCAGAAGTGGTTGAGGGAACACGCGAGCACTTTCTTTCTGCTGCTTATGCGTCTTAGTCGTCCTGTGTTTGTGGAGCTTACGAAGATTGATAACTCTGATCTTGTGCTGCTTGTGGAGTGCACGTATTTGTTCGTTGTTCAACTCCTGCTCATCGTCGTCCTCAAATTTGCGCTTTATGCCCTTAGAGGATTCTTGTGAAAAGGCTTGTCCTTCCGAGGGAAGATGTTGTGAGGCCTCTTTCGGTTTCTGGGTCTTCAGACTGGTGGACCGCGACAAGATCCTCAGAGCATCCATCTTGGAATACCGCAGACAGAGATTTTGCTTGCTCGCGACTCGGACGATGTCTGAACGTTGAAAGAAGGCAACGACACTCGAGAAAATTAAAGTGGGGCACCTCTATCGCCGGAGATCAGCCGCTGCTGCTGCGGGCTGGGCTCGATGACGGTAGACGCGAGACGGGTTTGCTTCCGTTTCCGCAACCACACATCTCTCTGCGGGGGCTTGCACTTTGTCGTGCTTTGCTGAACTACAATGATCTTCAACGATTACGGCTAAGGGCTGACGAGCACCAAGATGGTGATAGGTCTCATGATACTCACGGCGATTCCGACTGTAACGGGCGTCGCGCAAGCTATTTCCGGCCAAAAGAAGCGAGAGGAGCAAGCGCAGGAAGAGAAGCGTATGCAGAAGTTCCACATCGATATCATCTGCGAGGCCGATGCGCCAATCGTCCAGAAAGAAATCCACGGCCATAGGATCGTCCTCAGGGACGATCGTGTCTTCATCGGCGAGGCTCAAGCCACGAATCCGTCAAGTGAAGGCTACGTCGCTGAAGCGTTCTATATCGAGTATCCAGATAAGGAGAGGAATCCCGTCCCGCTGGGCCTCGTCAGTCAGACCCGCGCTGATCCTCCGCTGCTGAATTGGATCTATGTCGACAATGACACTGCTGAGCTGAAATACGGCAATAAGTCTCAGAGTATCGAGCATCGCGTCGGACCGTGGGACTGGACCAAAGATGAGACATACGTCAAGTTCGCTAAGGCTCAGCTCTTCGTAGCCGTCGAAAACCCGAAGACCAAGAAATGGCAACTCTATTGGGACAACGATGAAGATGGACTCTCGAAATATTGTCCATTGAAGTGGAAGAAGGTCTACGTCACATTGGAGCGGACAATCATCCCGGGAACGTGAAACTGCTCGCAGTGTGGACTTTCGAGGCAACTCGTTGCTCTTGAACCCCTCACTCGAGGCATTGGCCTGCTGCGAAAAAGTTATGACCCCAGACCCTGCAATATTGATATCGAGATTGACACCCGACTTGTCACATTAGATGGCAGTAAAGGTCAGGCTATCTGTATCGCAGTATGGTTCACGATAGCCAGACTTGAAGCATTCTACCAACACCCGACGCATGCTGTCAAAGCCTTAACCGAGTTGTGCGCAGGCGGACGGACCAAACCTAAAAACTGCACCGGATCTGGTGATGGTGATAGGAATCGATCAAGATTCGACCATGTGGAAGGTTCTCGCAAGACCAGAACCGAAACCCAGCTCTATTTCTGCCTACTGACATGTGTATCTCAAACGCATGCTTCGGCCTTTTTGAGCTCCACCTCACGAGCTCAGCCGAGCGCATCGATGACGCCGGTTTGCGACGGAGCGACTTCCGTTACGGACCTCACAGTTCGAGTTGACGCACGCTTCCTCGAGCATCCGATCGTAACTGGACGCGTTCACCAACAGCGACACATCGCCCAAGGCCTTGATAGGTGCTCTACAAACGGAGTTCCGTTTTCAGTCTGGCTGTATGTGCCAGTAATGCGTGACATGGGTCGATCTTGGGCCTTCTTGCGCATTCCACTGATGGACAAAGTTGCCGAGCCCCTCTCGAGCATATTGAAGAATGGTAGAGACAAAAGCAATCGGCTTAATACCATGTATCAGACCGGGAAGAGCTGAATCGCTCGAAACTCATATTCACAGAGAAAAGAACTTTGCGGAACATTGAAGACAGTCCACTATAATCCATACATTTGTACAGTCGAGTATGCACACCTGATGTCCTGGCAGAGTTATGGCAGTACATCCAGCATTTCTGTGACATGGTGACGGACGGCCGACGCCCCATATGAGTGTGTGAAGTGCAGTGATCACGGATTTCCATGTTCTGCCCTGTTGATGCAAGGCTGAGACCACTCCGTTGGCCGTGTGATAGAATTCTATTCACGCCTACCAAGATCGCGTACCAAATTTCGGGACACGTTAATTTACCAATCAATTCACTGTGCGGCACAGGCAGCAGTCCAACAAATCTGGAGCTGAAGTCTGCCTTGAAACATCTTCTCACCAACATCTTTCTCCATTTCATGCACTGTTTGCAGAACCCCAACATACACGATCAATGGATTCCGAAGAAGCAAAGAAGGACGCTGAGGCGAGAGTCCTTAACCATTTCGGAGAGTTCGTCGCAGCCGAGAAAGCACGCATAGAGGGGAAACACGACTTGCAGAACAATCACAAGAACGTCAAAGCCGCAGACCTTGTGAGGTTTTCGAAGACTTTCCAGCTGAAAACTCCGATGCCAGAAGACTTAGCTAAGATGCTTGGAAAGCCCCGACAAGCCCAAGAGAAGCAAGACCATATCAAGAAAGAGGTCACGCAAAGCTCGAAAAGTGTGGTCAAGACGGACAACATCGGCGCGATCTCTGGTACAAAATGGTGATGCTCTACAATGCCATATTGACATGGTAAGAATGGCAAGCCTGGACGATGAAGTCAGACTGACAACAACCTAGTCAATACAGACCTGCTGAAACTCGTTTGATCAACCTAGAGGTAATTTCGAGGGGAACGGAAGATCGGTCTCTGGCCAGTGTGGAGTGAAAAGCCTGGCGAGCTTCATGAGGCTGCACAACTGGGATAATGGAGTTTGATAGACAGAGCAACGATGGCTATTTTTTGCGACAACTATAGCTGCCCCAAGTGCAGGTTGGTCAAGGATCCTCGTCGCTTCCAAGGTCTGACTTGCCTGTCCATAGTCTCCGGTCCATAGCCTCAAACAAGACGGCTTCGAACATCTTGAACAGCAAATTCGAGCGCCAGTAGTGCTTCATCGCTTACAGCGGCGATGCAGAGAGTTTGTATAGCATACAGAGCCATCTCACCGTAGGAGCCAGGCACGATGAGTTTATCGCCGATCAACGCAACGAAGTGTCGTATCGCAATCTGAGGTGACCCGCGAAACGCCTGGTAAGGCGTAAGTAAGGTCTTGGCGGTGATTTTAGCGTCGTCGCCTTGTCGCGTTCTACAAACTTCCTGCCGGCTTGACAAGAGTTTCCAACTTCAGCTTGTCGAACTGCAATCGCAATAGGTCAAGAACGTCTCGGTTCAGTCATCAGTCTATGCATGGGCCCTTGAACAGCAGACTTCCTGCGCTTCCATCCGCGGCAGTCATTTTCACGTCTTTTTGATTTCCTGGACGATCTCGGCCGCAGTCCACATCTCATAAAGCGCTCAAGCCGCCCTGAAGCTGTCTGTGATGCAATCCACAAAGAGTCATCCAACATCATAATATGACTACTCAGTCGCTACAATGGCTTTCCAGCGAAAGAAGATCGGTGTGCAGGGTCGCTGGATAGGCCTGCAGATCCGCGACATCAGCGATGGTGAACAACGCAAGTGGCCTGAGTGCCCCCCTTACAGACCGGCTGATGACGAAAATTACCTCATACAACTAGGACAGGTATGGGAAGAGCACGGCAAACCAGGCGTCAATTACTATATCGAACGGCTTCCTGATGGCTATGGGGTCTTCGAAGTAGACCAGCCAGCTGGTGCACAAACCTACAAGCGGCTCTTCGGCCATCCGAACGGACGATACTATGATTCGATACCGAAATTCACACCCCACTTCTTGTGGCTGATGGGAGGTATGGAAGGGGATTGCCGGTGCCACCTTTGCCGGAAACACCAATGTCCTCTTGTGCCGCGACAGTCGAGGAAGCCTAGGGATGTCGTCGATTTTTCTCTTCTGACTCGACCAAAACGGGACGGACCTACGACCGGTGACGACAGCAGTGATCACAGCTCTGCCGCGGGCATTGCTTCTCGGAGACCTCGTCGAGACGTGAGGCAGACTGGTGCCCCTTACGCAGTCGATGAGGAGGGCACCGACGATGTTTTCAAACTTTTCATCAAGCGCCTTGAGCTCGCCAAAGACTCAAACAGAGGCATAGATCAGGACATCGAAGAGACCAGCTCACTCGACTGGCGTGCAGAGCACAACGAGGAGGGCCATGACCTAATGCGATCTCATCTGACACAAATTGAGCATCAGCCAGCATTCCTGCCACGCATAGGGGAAACAGTGCTGTGGTGTACTAATCTCCTCGATGGTCAACGCTTAGCGCCCGACAAAGTTAGCTCGGAGTACAAGCTGTATTCCGCTGAACAGGATCGTTGGTATGGCTTTCCGGCCTGGCGTGCTGGTGTAATAACAGCTACACCGTCTGCTGATGTTCAGAATCGACCTCTCGGTTTCCAAGATCTGCTCGTTCCACAGAAGACAACCACAGCTCTCAACATCGCTGGCTATCGCGTTGAGACTTTACCAAGTCCGAACAATGCCTTGGACAAGCCTATCTCTAAACAGTACAAATGGGTTCCGTTGAGCTCTATTCGTCCACTATCACAATGGCAGTTTCTTCTCCATGGGATACCGGACCAGAAGTTACATCCTTCAATAATGGCAGCACTCACTTGTTCAACAAGCCTCTCCCTGGTCGAAAAGTTCAAAGCAACTGGCCTTTGGCCGAATGGTGCAATTCACTGTAAGGGTATCTATCTTGGGTCTGAGCTTATCACAGTTGGAGACACCATCAGACTCACTTCTCCCCGGTCGACGGACATTTGTGAAGATGTGTTGACGGTCGAGTCAATTCGGCTTCATCTCGGGAACATACAACCTGAGCACACTCTGCGCGACTCTCCATTCCTGGCAAAGACTTCATGGGTATCCTTTGTAGGCAAAGCCTGGACCCAAAATGTCAGCAACGCCTTTAAGGGCCCAGGGCCAAGCAGCACGGTCAGCCCACTTTCCCTAGCTGAGATGCAGATAGTCTTCCGTTCCGTTGGTGCCTCTGAGTATGGTCCGTGGTATCATCTGCACAACCCGACGAAGAAATATGAAGTATCTTATGAGCAAGTCCTTGGAAGACTCTGTGAGGCTGCCGCTGTACAAGTCTGGGTTGGTAACAATCTTGAATCGGACACTACGCAAGCCAACAAGCCAGCCTTAGATTTCGACATCAAAGGCATTCTTGCCGCTAGAGCCTATGCAAGCCATGCCGACGAAAGATTGCCAGAAACACAAGGCAATGAGATCCTCTGGTTTTGGGCCGACACAAGAGCTGAGGGTCTCGCGGTGGAATCATTCAATGGCATGGAAGTTGGGCAGTATTGGCCTGTTAGAGAGACAGAAACACTGGAGCAGTGGCACGGCTTGATGAGAGTGCTTAACGGAGTCAATGTGACTACTGCGGAGGTTCCAAATTACGTGGCTGTCCAGACATCCACGAGAGGACGGAAGCCAGGAACCAAAGTTGTGAACGGCAAACTGGTATATCCTGGCGACCCAGAATATGATTCTGCAATCGGCGGCCAGGTCAAGCCAAAGCCTAGCAGTCAAATGGCCGGAGCTGCCTTTGCGTCAACCGATGAAGAAAGCGATGAAGACGACGGTGCAGGAGATATCAGTAACTGGGCAGCACAGCCATCAAAGTGGCAGGTGGCAGAAGGTCAGGATGGCATTGAAATTTACCATCCTGAGATGGCTGAGTCCCAAGAGCTGTCACCCGAACGACCTACTGCACTAGCTGCTCAGCCAGCTATACCTGAGCACGTCTCGAAAGCGCCCATGAGCAAGACGCAGATCATGGCTGCAGCGGTTCGACAAAGCATTGAAGGGGATGATCTTGCGGAGAACATGTCGGAAGAAGATTGGTATGATGCTCCAATGCCGTTGGCACGTGGTGGTACGGAAGAAAGCTCAGGAGGTGACTACGATCCAAAGCAACAACCTCGAGGACGAGGCAGGAGATATGGGGATGCTTCATCATAGACGCTCATGACATTACCACCGTTAGAAATTCGGCATGCAGTCCCGTGTACCAAGCCGCAGGTTCTTCTGGGTATTGATTGGAGCGAAGACGGGTGAAATACCACTTAAAGCTAAATGCCCCATCGATCACTTGAAGTGTGAATACACGTGACCAGAGCCTGCCAAGATTTCGAGGATACCAGACTGCTTTGGGTCTAGCGGAGCTAAAATGCCAAGTCACACTTTCTCGAAACCTGCAACCACGAAGTTGCGCTGCGCACTTCGACATCAGCGATTGCCGACCGACACAACCAGGACCTATCTTCCTTCAATACCGTCAAGATGGTACGAGACCTCTCCATAGAGCGTGTATCACCCTACGCTCTGTTACCGTGCGACTGGCTTTTGTAGACTAACGAAAACTTGTGCAGGTCCGCTACGCTCCTCAGCACATCACCCCGGCGAAGTCTGCCCGCTCCCGGGGCTCCTACCTTCGCGTCAGCTTCAAGAACACTCGCGAGACTGCTCAGGCTATCAATGGCTGGAAGGTTCAGCGTGCGATCAAGTATCTCGAGAATGTCCAAGAGTTCAAGGAGTGCATTCCCATGAGACGGTATGCAGGCAGCACTGGCCGCAGCGCACAAGGTACGCAAAACACCATGCGAGGAACCGATGGGCAAAATATTGTCGTCAATATAGTCCGTTCATCGGGACAGCCAGTCGTCGAGAGGGTTCAAAACATGTACTAACTCGTGGATTAGGCAAGAACTTCGGCGTCTCCAAAGCCCGCCACCCCGTCAAGTCTGCCAGTTTCCTGCTGGACCTTCTCAAGAACGCCGAGGCCAACGCTGACACCAAGGGTCTCGACACCTCCAACTTGATCGTCAAGCACATCCAGGTCAACCAGGCCCCCAAGCAGCGTCGCCGCACCTACCGTGCTCACGGTCGCATCAACCCATACATGTCCAACCCCTGCCACGTCGAGATGATCCTCACCGAGAGCGCGGAGGAAGTCTCCAAGAGCAAGGATGTTGCTAAGCCGGAACCCAGACTCAACTCCAGACAGCGCGGCCAGCGACAACGGAGAGCTATTGCTTCCTCCCCATGAATGTGAGAAGTAGGAATTCGGGAGTCTGATCTGGCGATATGTCGCTCTGGAGGATGCTCAGGGGAAGTGAGGGCGTACCTCCAATGACAACAAAACTTTGATACCAAGCATGGAAAGTGGAGGAGCCGACACGCGAATGTCATGCGAACATTTCCAGCTAGGATCACGGAGCAAAGCGATTGAGCAATTCCTACGATTGCAATGAAAGACATTTCAAGAAGCATGTCATAACTTGGCTGCGACTTCGTTCTTACGCCCCAGACATGTACTACTTTCTGCTGCAGCACTAGCCCTCCGGATCTCGGCAAATTGAAAGGCACTAAGTGACGCTACGCTAATCTGACAAAGCGACAGATAACACATTCGACACCAACCCGTACAAAGAGAATCTCCCACCAAGTCTGACAATGCACGCTTTGACGTCGCCAGAGACGACTACTATGGCGTGCTCTATACCCTCTGCAGTGGCTGATATCATTCTCATCTTGCCCTTCGCTGTGCTTTGCTTCGATGGAAATGGTAGAAGCATATTCGCACCATGACTGACACAACCGAGCCCTTTCCCCGGTTGCCTTCTGACCTCGTAGATGCAGTATCCGTTCTGAACAGCGTCTTGCCGCTCACGTCAACACAGCCAACACAGCCGCCTCCAGCAACAAAGCCCTCACCTTTCCGCCGGGCCGCCTTCGACGGCGCAAAACTACGCATCACAATCCCTGCCAATACAGACGTACGGAACGTCGAGTTTCCTCTTCCCACACCAACTCCCTCCTACTCCCGTGCCAATATCAGTCCGACTAACAATCAAGAGCGCCCAGGAGCTACTCGCCGCTTCCCGTGGCATGCACGACACCCTTGCCCACCGAGGCTCCGTCTCCTCGGCCCTTCCCACCGTCGCTTCTTTCCTAAATCCCAATGCTCAATGCCCTTCGCTTCAAGTCACCGTCCTTTCGCTTATAGGAGTCCTCATCACCTGCACGGCGCAGGGCATGCGGGTGCCACGGAGGCGCGCCTCCGCCGTCGCACGGCCAAGCATGACGCCCTGATGCAAGGCAAGGAAGCGTGGGCGCTGATCGGAAAGATGGACAGGGAGGGAAGGGGCGAAGAATGCTTTGAAGGAGACTTGGTTTGTACGGAAGCGGGTAGGAAGGAAATGGGGGAATCCCTGATCGAAGAGGAGGGGGAGAGGACGGTTCTGGAGGGATGGGGGCGGGAAAAGGCTACGGGTTGTGGTGCGAACCGGATAGTGGGTTGGTGGGAGACCTGGAGGAGGTTGCAGCTGGATCACGGGTTGTAGAGCGTGGTTAGGCGCAGGAGCCTGGTGGCCATGAGTGACCGGTTCATAGACCGCAAAGGCAGGAGAAGGAGCTGGTGGTGCTAATTCCCGCAGGAGTATACATTCTCGTGTATCCTGTGAGATCTACTCAACCCTGACCATGACGGTATCGGATGGTAATTGGGCAAAGCTGACGAGGGAGGCAGTAGAAACAGTATTACCCCGAGGTCTTGTGCTTGGCTTAGGAGGGATGCGCACGAGACTGCGATTCAATGGAATGATGATGATGATGCACGTAACGATGATATGCGCACAATCTTGAAAGACGAAGCTCTGCGGTCTGCGTTATTTATACTCAGGCGCCGCCAATAGGTGTCATCAGGATCCGTAATTCTCTGTTCTGATGCCGTCTAATGCTTCTGTACATGTTCACCGCGATTCGGTCACGAAGGCTGGCTGAACAGCCACTCCAAAGCACCATTCACGTCCCCTCCAGATCTTGTCAATGCTTGGATATTGCGATCAAAGTTGTGGAAGCCCATCTCGTTGAGCTGCCGTAGCTGAGTAGCAAAACGTTCTTCGGGTGGTCTATTATCTGGTGGTCCACCGAATTCTCCTCCACCCATAGCTCCTAGCATCTCCATCCAATTTGGCTGCTGCGGGTTCGCTCCACCCCCGGCACCTGGACCACCAGCATTACCTCCGCCGCCACCACCGAACATCTGCATCAAATTTCGCATGGCATCTGGGTTCTGCATGAAAGGGTTGTTGGCAAATGGATTGGGTGGCGGTGATGATGCACTGTTGGGATTGTTGGTATCACCGCCTTGAGGCTGCTGCTGATTACCAGCCATGGCTGGGTTAAAGAGTGCAGCGAACGGATTAGGTTGCTGTGCTTGTTGATTCTGCGCAGGATCTGCTGTGCTGCCAGGGTTATTCATTCCTGTCTGCGGTGGAGGGAAGCCAAACATCGGGTTGCCCATCAATGCTGCGAACGGGTTTGCTGGCGGTGTCTGTTGGTTTTGGTTTTGGTTTTGGTTCGGAGCGGTTGCATCTGCAGCCTGCGCCGCGTCGGTGGAATTTGTCACACCAGGAGCTGGAAAAGCGGCATCCTGTCCACCGGGACCGCCAAGGCCACCCATCATCTGCTGCATCTGCAACATATGCCGCATAGACTCGGGATCAGTCATCATGCGCCGGAAGTCCTCTGACTGTAGCATCTGTCTCGCGTGCGGACCAAGGGCCTGGAGCTGGGGATTCGAGTTGATCATCATGTCAATAAACTGGGGATTATTGAGGGCCTCTCTCATCATCGAAGCGAAATGAGGGTCTTGTAATTGGCGGATCATGTCTTCTTGCGTCGGCGGATCTCTGAACATGCTCGCATTCGGCAGCCCCGCAAATCCGGCATATCTGGCGCCTGTCAGACCGGCTAATGGATCATTGCCTGTGCCTGATGCTAGATTCTGAGGTACCCCAGCTGCTGGAGGGGTCGCAGTCGAAGTGCTAGTAGAGGATCCTTGTTGGCTTGCGGGATTCTGTTTTAGATTGCTCGCTGCGCTCTTCACGAGATGCATGGTGTTGCCCTCCTTCACGCTGTGTGTAGCCAAGGTATCATTGTCTTTCAGCACTTTGCCGCTGTAGATCAGTCTCTGGGCGGAAGCAGGGACGTTTGCATATTCTGCGGTGGCCAACTTTTCCTTGAGGTCAGTCGTCGTGGTCGATAGAGGCAATGTGAAGGTGTATTTGGCACCGCCAGCCGACTTGACATGAAATGTGACCGAGGTATCCTCGGGCGCAGAGGCGTCGGCCATGTCAACGGTTGTCAGTGCAAAGGAACCAGTGAACCAGAATGATTGACAGACAGGAGGGGCAAAAGGCAGCGGGGTAAGCTGGTGGTCAATTCCAGCAACAAAGCGCCACGGTCTGAGATATGGGAGCTGAAGTGCGCCGGGAAGATAGATGGCTCAATGCAAACTGTATTGGTAATGGAAGACAGACCAAGTCTTGCCAGGTGGTCGGCAAACGTCCATGTTCATCCGGAGCCTTCGTCACTCCTCGGTGCCTGCAGTTTCTCCGCCCCGGGCTTGGCAGGAAGCTGCAGCCTCGCAGCGCATCTCGAGAATATTTTTCCACAGCCGTGGTCGTTGTTGCGGAAAAGTCGATGGCAGACTTGAAACCATTGCTTGAATCTGTGAGTGAACCATCGCTGCGCTGTGTTCTATAGCGCGCAATGATTGCACCGGCACCCCGTTAGCTCCAGCAGACCTCCATCTACAGCAGCCCTCGGACTCGTCCACATCTCCGACACCATGGCGACGACTAGTTCGATGTTCATGTATAGCTTGACAATACAACCTCCGTCATCTATCACCTCCGCGGTCCTGGGACAATTCTCCGGTACTAAAGAGCAGCAAATTGTCACCGCTTCTGGGTCGAAGCTCACCATCAACAGGCCCGATGCCAATCAAGGCAAAATCGTGCCCCTCTTCACCCAGGATTGCTTTGGCATCATTCGCGGTCTAGCAGCATTCAGGCTAGCTGGCAGCAGTAAAGGTTAGTCCATACCCAACAATGTTTTCGAGCAAATAGTGATTGCTTCGACCTAGCAGTTATGCGACGGTATGAGCAGATCCGGCTCACCTCCTCGCCCTTTGCGACAAATGCGCTGACCAATGCCCAGACTATCTAATCGTCACCTCCGACTCTGGGCGCATAACGATACTCGAGTACCTTCGCGAGCAAAACCGGTTCAATCGTGTCCATTTAGAGACCTACGGCAAATCCGGTGTTCGCAGAGTCATCCCTGGGCAGTACCTGGCTGCCGATCCCAAGGGCAGGGCTTGCATGATTGCATCGCTCGAGAAGAACAAGATTGTATACGTTCTCAACCGCAATGCCCAGGCCGAGCTCACAATTTCGTCGCCTCTAGAGGCCCATAAGCCCCAGACACTTGTCTTTGACCTGATCGCACAAGATGTCGGATATGAGAACCCTATCTTCGCAGCACTAGAGATTGATTACACCGAATCTGACCAGGACTCGTCTGGTCAGGCATACGAGGATGTGGAGAAAATGCTGGTTTTCTACGAGCTTGATCTCGGTTTGAACCATGTTGTGAGGAGGTGGTCTGATCCGGTTGATCGCAGCGCCACCAGGCTCTTTCATGTGCCAGGAGGTGCCGACGGGCCAAGTGGTGTTCTCGTATGCGGCGTCGACAATATCACCTACCGGAACTCTAACCAAGATGCTTTTCGTGTACCGGTACCTCGAAGACGTGGCATTCTGGAGAATCCGGATCGGAAGCGGCAGATCACAGCTGGTGTCACGCACAAAATGAAGGGAACTTTCTTTGTTCTGCTCCAGACTGAGGACGGTGATCTTTTCAAGCTTACTCTTGACATGGCCGAGGATGAAAACGGCCAGCCGACAGGGGAAGTCAAGGCTTTGAAGATCAAGTACTTTGACACGGTTCCTATTGCCAACAGTCTACATATCTTGAAGAGTGGATTTCTCTTTGTGGCCGCCGAAGGTGGCAACAACATGTTCTACCAGTTCGAGAAACTCGGCGACGATGATGAAGAGACAGAATTCTCCAGTGACGACTATCCATCAGATCCACTGGAGACTTATTCGCCCGCATACTTCCATCCTCGACCTCTCCTGAACTTGGCGCTGGTTCAGAGCATTGATGCAGCTAATCCCCTAATAGACGCCAAAGTTGCGAATCTGCTGGATGAAGATGCTCCGCAGATTTATTCAGTAGGTGGCACTGGCGCAAGAAGCAGCTTCAAAACGCTCAAACATGGTCTGTCAATATCGGAAATCGTCGAATCAGAACTGCCAGATCGGCCAGAAGCAGTCTGGACAACAAAGGTGCGAAGAGACGACGAATACGACGCATACATCGTGCTCTCGTTCAAGACTGGCACCCTTGTGCTCAGCATTGGTGAGACTGTCGAGGAAGTCACCGACACCGGCTTTCTCTCGTCAGCCCCAACATTAGCGGTGCAACAGCTGGGAGAAGACGCTTTGGTCCAAGTCCACCCCAAAGGTATCCGGCATATCCGAGCAGACAAGCGCGTCAACGAGTGGCCCGCTCCGCAGCATCGGTCAATTGTCACTGCCAGCACAAATGAACGGCAGGTTGTAGTCGCTCTGAGCTCCGGCGAGATAGTGTACTTCGAACTGGACTCGGACGGCTCACTCGCGGAGTACGACGAACGCCGGGAAATGACCGGAACCGTGACCTGTCTGAGTTTAGGAGAAGTGCCCGAAGGTAGGGTCAGGAGTTCCTTCTTGGCTGTTGGTTGTGATGATTCGACCGTGAGAATCTTGAGCCTGGATCCAGATTCGACCCTCGAGAATAAATCGGTACAGGCTCTCACATCAGCTCCATCGGCCCTTTCAATCATGGCAATGACAGATTCTGTTTCTGGTGGCACGACGTTGTACCTCCACATCGGTCTCTACTCTGGTGTCTACCTACGGACAGTACTCGATGAAATCACCGGCGAGCTATCCGACACTCGAACTCGATTCCTGGGATTGAAGCCTGCCAAGCTGTTTCGCGTTACGGTTGCTGGTCAGGCTGCTGTTCTAGCATTAAGCTCCCGACCATGGCTGGGCTATAGCGATCCTCAGACCCTTGGTTTCATGCTCACACCCCTCGACTATGTTGGACTTCAATATGCTTGGACTTTTAGCAGCGAGCAATGCATTGAGGGCATTGTGGGCATTCAAGGTCAAAACCTAAGGTATGTGCCTCCCCCCTTTTCTTCCCCAATTTACTCGCATGATGAGCCATACTATGCTCTTTCCGATGGCTGTACTGTCGCTGCGGAAACAAGTTTAAAAATCCAATTGTTCCTTCTGAAACTCACCAACTTCTTGCCTGCTGCATCACTTTTGTTGGAGATAGTGCTAATGCATCAGCAGGATTTTCACCATTGAAGATCTGTCCAGAAACCTCTTGCAGGAGAATATTCCTCTTTCATACACGCCTCGAAAGTTCGTCCGCCATCCTGACCATCCACTGTTCTACGTCATTGAGGCCGACAATAATGTTCTGGCATCATCAACTCGAGCGAAGCTTATTGCAGATTCAAACGCTGTCAATGGGGAAGCAACCCCACTTCCAGCAGAAGATTTTGGCTATCCTCGTGGGACGAACCACTGGGCATCATGCATACAAATCATCGACCCCGTCACCACAAAATCAGTTGTCTCCACCCTCGAGTTAGAGGACAATGAATGCGCTACCAGTCTTGCGGTCGCACCTTTTGCAGGTCAAGATGATGAAGCATTCCTAGTCATTGGCACAGCAAAAGACCTCGTTGCGAATCCAAGATCACACAACGGTGGCTTCTTACATGTCTACCGTTTTCATGAAGACGGAAAGGAGCTCGAGTTCATCCATAAGACCAAAGTCGAGCAGCCTCCAACAGCTCTACTCGCGTTTCAGGGTAGATTATTGGCAGGAGTCGGCGCGGATCTGAGGATTTACGACCTCGGAATGAAGCAGATGCTACGGAAGTGCCAGGTACAAGCCGGCACCAACATCATCGTAGGCCTGCAAACACAAGGCAGTCGCATCATCGTCAGCGACATCCAAGAGAGCGTGACGTACTGCGTCTACAAATATCAGGAGAACAAGCTCATACCGTTCGCAGACGACATTATTGCGCGGTGGACGACCTGTGCCACTATGGTTGACTACGAAACCGTTGCAGGAGGTGACAAGTTCGGCAACCTGTGGCTTCTCAGGTGCCCCCCCAAAGCTTCAGAAGAGGCAGATGAGGAAGGCTCTGGTGCTCATCTACTTCACGAGCGACAGTATCTGTCAGGAGCACCCAACAGACTAAACCTAGTAACGCACTTCTTCCCCGGCGATATTCCAACAAGCATTCATAAAACGAATCTTGTGGCCGGCGGTCGGGATGTCGTGTTCTGGACTGGTCTTCAAGGCACGCTCGGCATGCTTGTGCCCTTTGTCGGTCGTGAGGACGTTGATTTCTTCCAAAGCTTGGAGATGCAACTGGCGTCCAACAACGGCAATCCACCGCTACTTGGGAGAGACCATCTGATGTATCGATCCTATTACGCACCAAGTAAAGGTACCATTGACGGTGACCTGTGCGAGACATTCTTCCTTCTGCCAAACGACAAGAAGCAGATGATTGCGGGAGAGCTCGACCGGACGATTCGAGAAATCGAACGGAAAATTTCGGATATGAGAACACGTGTGGCATACTGATGTACCAACGGAAATGCATTTGACAGTTGAACGATACCCATGCCTGAATGTACAAGGCGCAATTGATGACGACTTACCCAGATCTTTCGCTCTCAGTGCATCTGCCTCGCGGCAACTCGTACGTGCCCGAATACGTCTCTTGCCTTGCTCGGTCTGCTGATCCTATAGCATTGATCTTGAGCTGGATGCTGCTGGCTCGGAAACGGACAGTGAAAGTACGAGACAAGAATAACATTTGCCAATTTTTGAGTACGGATTCATCGTCCAGATGGTGAAATCTGTAATTATATGGCATCACATGCTGCGTACAATCTGGAGCTATACAACTGTCCGTCGAAGTCGCCGAGGCTCCCCTGGCGGTGACTGCAGTTTTCAGGACAATCTTGCCGTGAGCGGAACGTGCCATATGGCTATACAGCCTTCGTGGTGTTCGCGTCATCATGGCGGAGGCGTCAGATCGAGACCCTCGACCGTGAGCTTGAAAGCGTCGAGTCTACCGTAATGGCCAGTCGCATCAAAGTCGAAGCGGCCTCTTTCGCAGTCGTCAAAATCGATATTGGCATAGAGCAACTCCTCTTCTTTGTTCCAGACGGGCCCGGTCACAGTCTGGCCCATCGGCGAGACGATGCAGGACCCTCCCGATGATGCAAACTCGCTAGCACCGTCGCTCTGGACGGCCTCGCCTTCTTCTTTGATCTCCCCTTTCGGTCTCCAGGCAATCTCATGGTTTTCATCGGTCTTGGTCGTCACAGATGACCTTCTCCTATGACTGGTGGGTCCATGCGAAGGTCCATGCGATGATCCATTAAGCACAGCCTCCTCGGAGCTAGCTTGTTGCTTGCCGGTAATCCATGCTGGCAGATTCCGCGACTTGATACATTGATTGGCGGACAGGACCCAACATCTCTGTTCGCAGGCGATAGTCTTCATCAGTGGCTCCCACGTGGCTCTTGGGTCGGCTGTAGGCGCGAGCCATAGATTGACGCCTTGAGCGTACAGTGCGTACCTCAGCAAAGGCATATAGTTCTCCCAGCAAATAGCAGTGCCCATGACGACCTTGACACCCTTGATGGTGGCACTCACGGCTTTGAGGCTGCTTGGCTGGCCCTGAGCCCAGACTAGACGCTCTGATCCCGTCGGCTGTACCTTGCGTCTTTTGCTGACGATGCCTTTAGCAGGGTCCACGTAGACTGCTGTGCAATACAAGCTGCCACCAGCTTTCTCCACCATCCCTACCACCAGGAAAACTCCAGTCTCTCTTGCCACATCTTCCAGACACTCCCTTGTTCCATCTCCACGTCGACCAGTCTCTTCGTTCACATCAAGCTCCCTCTTCAACCAAGCATCTTCTTCTCCTCGAGCTGTATCGCCCAGGTCGATGCAGCTCTTGAAGTAGTTTACAAATTGATTCCTCCCCTCGTCGGTTCGCGCACCGATGGCTGCGCCGAAATTGCATGTCCGAGGGTAACCACCAAGAAAAGCCTCGGGAAAGAGCAATATCGAGATGCCTTTAGCGGCTGCGCTTCTTGTGTGCTTGCGGAGGAGGTCCAGGGTATCTGCCGTGGTCTGCTGGGTATGGACCTGGGCGATGCCCACAGTCAGCTTGGAAGGCATTGGACTTCTGGAGGGCGCACAATGAGGTTGCAGGAGTCGGAGTGTGAGCTCACTTCTAGCGACAATTTGGCCGCGGTCTCCAAAGCTCAGCAACTGTCAGCTTCAGTCGTAATTCGCCTTCTCCAAATCAGTTGACCGCGGGACAGCGTCGTTGTCCGCCCACCCCTCATCACCCAGCTACGCTCTCCCGCCGACTGTCTCCCCCCGCTCCGCGCCCTCTTCCGATTGGGCGGTGTCATTGCCGAGAGGGGACTCCGTGTGAGGCAGGCACTGGCTAAGACCATTGCCGCTTCCTCAACCCATCCAACGTCGTTGGCCTCATCTCTTCTCTGGACGTCTGTGCAATGTTTCTGTCGTTTTGATAGATCAATAGACGAGACGAGCAAAATTCTGGGTCTTGCGTGCTACCTTCTGATCCAAGCATTGGCCATTGACGGGCCGTGCAGGAAGGGGATATCCGTGTTCCACTCAGATCGGATCGGGCACTTGATCCAAAAGAACAACTCGTTCAGAGGCAAAGTCTTCTCGGAACTGCCACGCGCCTGCCCGAAATCCGACAGCATACATTCAGAGCGTTATCAGGCGTTAGATGCCTAATTCTTGACCGCAACAACAGTTGACCAACGCCAGTATCGCCTCAGCCTTGCCAGCAGTCTTAGCAAAGTTCACGGGTATTCGCTGATTATTGGATCCCATAAGACTCAACATGACCGAGTCCCACAATTTCATTGTTGGCACATTCAACACCCCTCACCTATATACACTATCCTTTGTGGCACCATCCACTCTCTCAATTGTCGCAAAGCATCCAGCAGTGGGCTCACATTCTTGGCTCCACCTGAACGAATCCAAGACAAATCTCTATGCGACTGCCTGGACTGAGCCTCCCTCGGTCGTTGCATACACCATCTCGGATGCAGCCGGGAGGTCCGTCAAGCAGATCTCTCTTGCCCCGACTGCCACCAGGTCAGGATATGTGACCGCCACATCCACAGCCCTGTACTCTGCTGGTGGCCCCTCCGGCGAGGTCTTTTCGCTCGACTCAGAGACTGGCGAGATCATCAGCCCATTAGACCACATCAACGGCCACGCAAATGGGGTCAACGGCACCAAATCCGCTATCCTTCCACTACAGAAACTGAACTTCCTTGATGGCCAAGAAGGAAACACGGCAAACGGCGTTTTGGACTTTGGTGGGCTCAGACACGGCGCTCATAGCGCTGATCTCTCGCCGGACAACAAGGCACTTTACGTTGCGGACATCGGGCGGAACTGTATCTGGACATATGCCGTGTCAGAGGATGGATCACTCACACTAGGCGAGAAGCACATCTCTCCGCGCAAGGATGACGGACCTCGACACGTCTGGCCACATCCAACTGGGAAGCACGTGTATTGTCTGCAGGAGCACACCTCGATTGTTGATGTCTTTGAAACATCGCAAGGTGGTACGATCCTAAAGCACGTCCAAGGTGTCAAGATCATACCCGCAGAGATGTCTCCCAAGCTTTTCTGGGCCGATGAGGTGCGTACATCGTTTTCGAGCGGCAGTCAACCAAAGTACATGTACGCTTCGACCCGTGGCTTGGAGGCTGAAACGAAGGGCTACCTGGCGGTGTTCGCGCTGACAGAGGAGGGGTTAGTAGATGAGAAGCAGGGGGACAAAGGTCTGCTGGATATGTGGCAGACGCCAACGAGCGGTGGGTGGGCAAACGCTGTTCAACCTGGACCCACAGTAGATGGCATGGAGTATCTGGCATTGACCGACAGTGAAGAGGGCCTTGTGATGGTGTGCAGCTGGGATGGGCAGACCATCCGGGAATGCGCACGAGTGAAGCTGCAAGGCGGCACAGAGGGCAAGGTGGAGGGCGCAGCGACTGCTGTTTGGCTGTCTTGAGCATATATATTCCTTACATTTTGGACATGTTGCACGAAAGAATCGCCATGCGGGTTTGGTGGATGGTTTAAAGACTTAACATGGACCCGACCTGGAAGCTTTTCATCGGGTGTAGCTCGTAGATTTGCCTGATGAGTATAAATAGGCGCACATCAAGCTCTCGTCGTGCCGCTACCTCACGATGTCCTCGTTGCCTTTACCCGCAGACTTCCTGGCAAATAGTCCACTCGCCTTCCTCCACAACTTGCTCACACCAGTTTCCCCTGTCAGATATACGTTTCCCCTAGTGTCAGTCTCGAAGCCTGGCAATTGAGCCTGCTGCTGCGCTTGACGTCTCTCGCTGCTGTCTGCTGTTTGGATCTCCTGCCGCTCTTCTGTAACGTGATTTCCCGACTTAGGAGTGCCATCAGTGTCTGCGCCCGCCTCCGAGGTGACGTCCCGCTGGCCCCGCGCCGCCTCATAGATGGCCGCGTTGCGTGAGGTGGCGTCGCGCTGCGCCGGCGAGGTCTTGAACGAAGAGTTTTGGTAGTGGTTATAGGATTGCATTGCGGATTCGGGATTCCAGTTGTAGGAATGTGGTACTTGCCGCGAGTCGATATTAGTAACTGATGTATTGATGGACGTGGCGGCTTATCCTTGCTCTGAACTAAGCACGGAGCCAAAATCCGATCCTGAGAAACGAGGTCCTTGGTGCTGTCGAGTCAAATATGGTCCCGGGGGAAGATGCTTGGCGGTGAGGACCCAGGCTGTGCCTCTCCAGGTTGAGATGCCCTCATTCACGAAGTGGCTTATAAGAGCGGCCTGCGGAGGCTTTTACATCATGGGAAGTCCTCTCATTGGACTGTTGAGTCAGGCTGACTGCTGGGTCCCAAACCCTTAAAGTCTGTCTGACGTCTCCTGGTCTGTCTGAATTGAGTAATTCTTGCGGAAACTGCCGTGATGGTGGACCTGGGGGCTTTGGATAGTGACCACACCGGCGTTCATACAGCTCCAAGTATATATATACCTCTTCCCTGCAATAGCGATTCAGCTGGGGAAAGGGGCAAACAATCGGTCAGGCATGATCCGAGACTACTCTTGTTTCGACTTCGCTACCGCCCGGCTATAACATCGGAAGGCACACGTACCCGTATCCTCCAGTGATTTACAACCCGGAGGGTTCATCATGCTTTCTGATACCCTGACATTAGGAGTAAAGGATAAGGCAGAGATTCAACAACGTCGACCAGGGCTAAAAATGTGGATGCAGCCCTCAAGAAGAGCTGTTAAGCTCGCCCAGTTGGACAGCATCTCCAGCCGGCTCAATGTCAACCTGCGTGTTGGGCGAAAACAAAGTGTTTCACGGAACTGATCACGAGTAGACAAAAAACGGTGAAACCTCTTCCAGAGTACAGAGGAATCTGGTTGTATAAGGTCGCAAAAAGCCAAAAACAATCGACAACCAGGATTCGCTGATGGTCACCCACTCAACTACTAACTGATCGGCCTGTGGTTTAAGTTGCCTGAGCGGACGGGAAGGCCTGTTCTACACAGCCTGTGGCCGATTGCGAGGGAAATTCTTCTTACACTTGTTTTTATACACTCTATAGTCTCAGTTCTGCGAACCTCCACCTCTCTCATCAGTGCTTTGCGATTACTATGATGCTTTCTTTAGTCGGACTATATAGGCCTTTGCCGCAGCTCCTCGTCTATAATCCTCCAATTCAGCGCCTAACAGCTGCGCCTCTCCACCCGACACGAGCTGATGGACCTCGTTGTCAAAACCCTGCTCCTTCCATACCGTTTCTCGGACGGTGGCAATGATGATACCTCCCTTTTTGGTGATTCTGACGAATTCTGTCAGCACCTCAGGACCGACATGGCCTTGCGTCAACGTTCCCACACACGTCACAACATCGTAAGTCTCATCGGATATCGGGATTGCCTTGGACAGGTCTGTAACCTCTAGCGAGCGGTACACGCCCGTCGCTCGAGCAACTTGAAGCATGCCTGGACTGAGGTCGATACCATCGATTAATGCAGCACCAAGTTTTGCAAGGTGCGCGCCGACAAGGCCTGTCCCGCAACCAGCATCCAGTATGGATATGTTACTGCCGATTGTCTTGGTGTTGAGAGTTGTCAGCACGGCTTGCGCTGCCAGTGCCGGAGCGACATAGTCCTGCGACTCGTCGGCCATGTCCTGGTCGTAAGTCTTGGCCCAGTCGTTATAGAGCTGCTTGACATTCTCGTCGGCATCTATGGCCGTAGCTCGGCTGATGAACGACATGCTGGATCTCTCACAGACCAGAAGATTGATAACAGTGTAGACTAGGAGTGGATTTAGGAGAGGAGGTACGGTATATGCAACCAGTCTCCGACAAATACTCCAATCCCCGCTTCAGCGGCCGCTTCCACGAGAAACACTCAACACAGTTCTCCGCTTCCATAAGGTACGACTCACGATCTGTGGGTGCAACTTTATGCCTGGGCTTGCATCGTTCTAGGTATGTCGGAGTTGAGCAAACATCGTCTCCAATGCTAACTCTGATGCAGCACAGTTGATATAAATGTGAGACACCTCCCCAAGACCCTTAGCCTGCCTTCGACCAGTTCTGTAACGTTCAGCGCGATCACTGGAAAGCTGGTAGCATTGGGGTGCACATCAACTAGAAATTGTTGCATACGTATGAAGACCTATTTCTCGCAGCATGCGGCCGATCGGTACGAATAATATACCAATCCACCAGATCTAGGACTGCCGCTCCAATATGTCCAAAGCTACGCGCAGACTTCGATTTTCCCCCGTTGCGGTACGTGTGCCTACAGTCGACATTCAGCCTACCGCCTATGCGAGAGACGCGGGGATGCGCTTAAGCTTTCCACCACTTGGTCGGGGCGGAAGGGGAGGTATTCGATTTCTCCTACCATACCAGCACAAGTGATAACGTCAATCACCCATACACAGAGCGCCACTTGTTTCGAGCACGCACCCCTGTATGATTCAAACTATCAAGACTACATCTCTTGACGTAAGTTACAGCAAATGTACAGTGGACTGATCGAAAACACCACCTCTCACGCCACCCAGGCGGCGAGCTCCGTGTGCTTCTCAGCCTCACGAAATGTCCCGCAGCCTCTTACAATCCCCGATACATTTTCGTCGTGAGCAGTCATGCTACATATCGCATGACAGCCTGAGTCACCGTTCGAGAATTTTGCGATTGCAATGCCTCAGGCTTGTCTCGCCTATTCATGGTCGGCATATATATGCCCTCGTGGCAGTATACCACACCACGTACCTCACCAAACAACAAATCATCTAACAAGCACCACTCCAAGCAATTAAACCCACCTCCAACACAATCATATTGGCATGGCCAACAAACAGCAAGAACTCCCTCTCTTCGCCGTCGACAACACTGCGGACGTCGAGCCCTACCTCTTCCTCAACCATCCCATGGCCTTTGTGCCTCTCACCTGCGACGCCAAGGACGAGCACCACTCCGCTCCGCCCTCGCCCACAGCAGAACCCAAGTCGATTCTCAAACCCCAAACACATCTCCAACCTCAACACGTCTCCTTCGCCGCCGCACCACACCTCCCCACTGAAGCTCACGCACCACTCATGGAGCGCAAGCACTCCACCGCCTCCGACGTCTCCGACACGTTCATGGCTCCTCCCAAGCCTGCTACCGACTTCGAAACCTGCTCGGAAGGCTTCCTCGGAGGCGGCGCCCTCCGACACGTAACTGGCAGCCACCACCTCCGCGATCTCGCGGAGCTGGCAGAGCTAGACCAGCAGGCCAAGGCGCGAAGGCAGTCGAACCAGAAGGCGGTGCGGAAGCCAAAGGAAACTACTACTGGATGGAACGTGATGAGCTGGTGGCCCGAGCCACTCGACGACCGCATGGAGAGAGAATGGAGCGAGGAATTTTACGATTGAGAGAAAGAGGAGGACGGCGGATGGCTAAGTTTCGGACGAGTCACGACTGATGATCATCATGGACCTGTAACAACACCGATGCGAAAAGGTTGGCGTTTGTGGGAACGGAAAGAGGACCAGGCTCCAGAAAATCGAGAATGTTGGGAGATGCCAACTTCCAGAGCCAGAGCCAACATGAGGAGGTAATGATTTGGTAGATGTGGCCCCGCCACCTTGCGCTGGCCCTGGCATTCTCCCGTCAGCCACGGCTCGTAGCAAGTGCACGGTAACGGGGCCAAACTATACCAGAGACAACCCAACGGGGTAAAGCCATTATGTGTTATTACTTTGAATGGTTCACCTCATTTCAGACCAAAATACCCATGCTTCCCTGACCGAGTCTATCAACTTTTCACCATCCATGCACACCTGTTGCCAAGATTTCAAGTATAGCACCTCAACCTTAAGCTATGCAAGTCGACACTGTTGGTCTAGTAAACATGGATGCGCCTACTCCTTGTCCGCCACCTCATCCACCATGCTCCGGAATACACGTTGTCGCTCGCACATCTCCAGGAATACTTTGTACTTGACGTCCAACAGCGCCTTCACGCCTTTAGTTCCCGTAGGCTTAACCATCTTTCCGGGCTTGCTCATCCGGTCCATAATGCTCCACAAATCTTCGGTCTTGCCGGTATTGTCTGCCGATGCAGCCTTTGCACCCAGCATGGCCGCTCCATGGCATACTGCCGCATGCACATAGCGTGGAATGAGCACGGGCATGTCGCAGGCAGTGGCGATGAGGGACATGAGGATGTCATTTTGGCATTGCGAGCCAGACATGAAAATAGAGTTGATGTTATGTCCTGCTTTATTCATCGTGGTGACAATCTGCAGAGTCTGCAAAGCGATGAATTCCATAGTGCCGTAGTAATAAAGTGCCAGGCCATCGAGACTCTTGTCGCTTGAGAGACCAACAACGGAGCCGGACATCGTGGGGTCGGCGATTGGCGAGCGGTTGCCAAAGAGGTCACCGTACAGAAAGAAGTGCTTTCCGAGATGGGCGATACTGCGGTCGCCTCGAGCGGCTTTCATGTCGCGAAGATGTTCGTTCAGGAAGTCATAGATATTGGTATTGTATGATTCGGCACCGGACATGGCAGTGTGGTAGGCCGGATGGGTTTCAAGAACGTGCTTGAGGAGTTCGCCTGTGGCTGATTGGCCACCCTCGGCCATCCAAAAGTTGGGAATAATGGAATCGCGATAAGGGCCCCAGACGCCGGGCACGAAGACAGGTTCAGGCGACATGACGAGGTGACAGGTAGAGGTACCTGCAACTGCTGCGAGGCGGCTGAAGGCCTGAGACTGGTCGTTCCTGGGTACTTCAGTGTCTAGGTGGTCTTCGGTAGCAGTAATCTTGGCGCCGACCGTACCGATCCAGCCAGCATAGGCATCGATCACGCCGCTGCCAACAGCGATGCCTGCTGGTAAACCAAGTTCGGCTGCGGCTTTCTCGCAAAGATGGCCGGCCAGCTCGCCTGCGGACAAGTACTCGCCGTTCTAGAGCATGTTAGTGTGCTGACGAAAGTGAGGATGGGAAGGCTGTACTACTCCATTGACTCCGCCCATACGCTTGAAGTTGTCTTCAGCTAGGTCCTCGAGTCCGATCTCTTTGAGGAAATCTTCCTGCCAACCCTTGACAGAGCCGTCGACGCCGACGGGAACGTAGCCCTGCTTGCACACAACAGAGCAGAAACTGCGCTTTTCGTTGCCAGTAGCCAAATGCTCCAGAGCATCTGTCAAGTCGTAGAATTTGCAGCGATCGAACAATTCCTTGGGCATGTTGTTCTTGAGCCAGAGCACTTTTGGTATTTCCATCTCTATGCTCATGGTGCCACCAACGTAGCGAAGAAGATTATGTTTGGTAGCGTTGATCTTCTTTGTCTCCTCAACGGGTCTGTGGTCGAGCCACAACACAACGTTGTGGTCGTTTCCAGACTCGGTAAAGGTAGGACCAGTTACAGACACAGGCTCGTCGGTATCGTGAGTGAAAACGGCGAGCGAGCAGGTGGCATCAAAACCAATACCTTTGATGGTACTGGTGTCGATGTTGTGCTGGGCTACTGCACGCTTCACAGAGTCGCAGATGCACCGCCAGATATCGGTTGTGGACTGTTCGTAGTAACCAGTTTGAGGTTGCCAAAGCCCAATATTTTCCGATGCCAGGCCAACAATGTCACCAATTTCGTTGATGATGCAGGCTCTGGCACTGCCAGTTCCAACGTCAATTCCTGAGCAAGATTGTCAGACTTGTTGCTGCTCGATCTCGTTCGGGGCTGGCTCACCAATGTAGTGGGCTTGCGTAGGGTTAATGGTGTTTCGTGGGTCCATGCCGCTGTTCTTGCGGGATGGGACTTGGAGGCCGCTGGGCCCAGTCCGGAACGGTACAGCCATGGTCGGTGATGGAATACAAAGGGGGCAGATATGGAAGTGTGTAAGAAAACGCTGGCAGGAAAATGTTCAAGTCTGGGGTTTGGCGGGCAGACGACACAGATTCTGAGCTTCGTCACAAATTTGTTGACGATATGCAGGGACCAATGCTACGAAGGAAAGCGCGACCGAAGCAGTCCCACCAAGCAGAGATCACAACCCACGCCCAGCACGAGGCTCCATATATCAGACAGGTCTGCTGCGCGACGTGGAACGCGGTTTTCTGCAAAAGTTGTGGCATACCCCTCCAATGACGCAGCCGTGGGGGAGCTGGCCGAGTCGGGGGTTAGGGACTGTTTCCCCGATCAGTGCAAAAGGCGGGTAAGCTGCTGAGCAAGCTGCGGTCGAGGCCTCAACATCTTCGTTATAACATCCTAAGCTGCATTAACGACAATCACGAGTGGCTGATGTGTCAAAAACACGAAAATGCATGCATTTTCGCATGGCCAAAGAAACACACAAATGTCGGGTCAGACCCTGGACAGCTTCGCATACCCGCAGCTCGCCTCTCCTGCAGCAACTCTGTCGCAGCCTGCACGTTGGTGCTATCTTTGGATGAGCTGTGAACAAAGCACATGTTTCGAATCGAAGGGCATGGTGTTCTAATCAGCAGCTCGGATTGGTCGCATCGCTGGCAAAGCAGGTTCCTGGATGAAAATGAATATCCTGTCAGTCGACCTTCATTTATTGGGATAATGGTTTGTAAAAACGGCATGTCTCATGCTCTAATTGGCAAACCAATGTCTGTCTGACCACCAAGCACGATATTTCTGTTTAGAATGACACTCTTTTCGCTGTCGCAAGCCTGGCTCCAGTCGATTTAACCTCTTTGAGCTTCCCCGCATCTGGCGGATATGCTGGACAGTGGCAGCAGTGGTCTGCCTCCCTTCAAGGACTCATGATTCTTAGTTCGTCGTTATAGAGCAGCTGTTTCCTATCATCACCAACATTGCATCGGTTGTCCAGCGACGCTCAAAAATGGTACGTTTTCCCTTGCGGCCCACTGCCAGCTATCGGGCCTACGCCTCGTCTTGTGGGGTTTCATCTATACTCGTCAACACCACTACACCCAGCCCAGCCCCTTTGAAGCCGTCACCGCTTCAGATTGCGCTTCAAGTATCTCTTTCAGCTCGGAGAGCGTTCGGAGAGGGCATATGACTCTTCGTCTGTCGACTTCCCAAACCTGCCACGCCTATAACGCCGTTCTGCCCTTTCTGCCCTTCATGCTACCGCCATGACGTAGTTCCAGACTGACCGATACTGCCAGGCGTACACTCCGACCGGCGCGACCTTGCACGTTCACGAGCCGTTAGCCTCTCATCTATTTGGTGCGAATACCTCTTCAATGTCAACTGTGTCCTGCAGCGGTCACAGTCGCACCATTCCCGTCGATCCGGGCACTGCTAATAGCTGGTCAACATAGATGTGGGCATCTTCAAGGACACCCTACTCCCAACACTAGGTGAATATTTATGAGGACCATGATAGTCAGCTCTGACTGTTGAAGGGTACTCTTCGGCACTCGCTGTCCTCAATTATGGCTTGGGCAGATCCACAAATGCGCTGGTAACCAAGGATGTTTGTATGTGCAACGGGACCTGCGCGCGAAGTGTGTAGTTGGGTATTGACTCCTGGACAGTTCGACCAGCATATCACATCTTCAATCTCTGGTGGAGCGCTGTCTTTCGGCGAGTCTGGCACATGGGACTTCCCGTAAGCACTCCGAGCCAACTGCTGTGGTGGCTGGCTGCAGTTCCCATTTCCGACCAGAATCTGACCCTCCCGCATAGGTCGGACAAGTTCTTGGGATGCAATCCCGTCCCGAGCGCCTCCTTCTGGGCGGAGTCACCCTTTGGGCCGGCTACCGCGTCGCAAGCGCAGAGTATTCGTGGTACCAGCGTGCTGGGTCCTCGACCGACGACCCCAAGTACTCCACCGTGAAGCAAGAAGAAGGTTTCTGGAACAAAGCCCTTTTCACTTACTACCTGCCGGAAGCCGTCGTTGCCACCATCGTCGCTCTCCCATTCACCGCACCCTTCCGCCACCAAGGCGCTGTCATGAGCGGCTACCACCCCATCCTGCAGAGCACGGCTGTCGGCATCTACACCGCTGGTTTCGCCCTCGAGGTGCTCGCGGATTACCAGAACAAGGGGCAAAGCCAGTCTACAAGCACCGATAAAGATAGCATCTGGAGTGTTTTGACAAACCCAAAGTATGCTTGCTTGAAACCTTACCACGAAAATCGCTAAACGACCACACAGGAATCTTGCCTCCACCGCTGTCCTCTCCTCGTTCCCTCTGCTGCTCTACTCCTCCGACATGCTCGCGCCAATTGAGCTTCTGGGTCCCCTCACCTACGTAAGTCTCACTTGAAACGCTCACTTCCACCCGCTTCTTTTCTTTCCTCGCTCTTGGGTTTCCCATTAAACCTCTCCGCAGTACCTTTTCCACCGCTACACCTACTCCTCCACGACGCCCGAGTCCGACGTGGAAGCCGCCAAATCTGCCGCCAAGGACGTCAAGGAGGGCCGGGTCGATTACAAGGCCGAGGCGGAGGATGCGAAGGACGAAGCCGCAAAGATCATCCAGAATAAGAGCTTCCTCTCCGTCTTGGCCGTTGGCACGCTTGTGGGTATCCTGGAGGGATTCACACACGGGAGCGCTTTGCGATTCGGCGAATAAACACTGAATCGAAGGGGGACATATGCCGGTGGGCGGAGTCGTGAAGAGACGGAAATCCGGTGCAGGCAGAATTCATGTGTGGCAGATCATACGCGGTGAGAACTGGGGATGTGCTCGGTGGCAAAGAGGGGGCAGTCATCCCAAGCTTCTACTGCCTGAGTGTGGATCCCATGGCTCCCAAGCGGGCCTCGCTCTGGGGGCGGATGGCGGAACGGCCGGAGCATGGTCGGTGACGACGGGAAGAGAGACGGGAAACGGGAAGCGGGAAATGGAAGAAGCAGGACACTCTCGTTCTGATTTTTGCTATGTCTTGTGCGGTTCGGAATCGTCGCGGTCAATACGGTATACATACACAACACAACACAAATCTATTCGCGCTTCTCAACTCCGCGTTGCTCCGCTGGCTGATCTGTGCAGCTGGCTCACGCCTCCGCAGCTCGAGATACAGTAGAGATGCCAGAGCTGTCTGTCTCGTAGCAAACTAAAAGACCAGCATGTGGATATTCTCGGGATCTGCGCCCTCGAATTCGTCAATGACACACACAGCCTTGGTACGTACGAGGCAGCACGGGACCAAGCGCAGAAACGTCCGTCTGCCTGCCCCCGTTTGGCAGAATCTGATTCCGAATGGCTCTACCTAGCGACACAAGCTGAAGATACCTCCTACTCAGTCGTGGCCCTCTCTAAAGATGAAACATTCTTTTGCTTTTGTAATATGAAACCATTTTCCGCCTGAAAATCATTGCCAAACCCCAACACCAACGCTTTGGGTATCAAATGGAAAACAAAAATCTATCGAAGTAGTGCCGAACCGTGTGCTGATCACTCAGTGGCAGGTATACCTCTATGAGAAGCGCGATCCTTATCTCCTATTACCTTGCTCTGATTCATGCGGTGCGTCTAGGCTTGACGCTGACGTCTCAGTTCGGCAGCGCGCATCTCAGCGGTTCTAGGGGTTTTCCATCTAAGAGATTCGAATGGTCGGCGGCACGCCAAAATGAACAAGATCTTGCGGCCAGCGCAAAAAATACTGCTAGCCATAGCAGGCAATCTTGTTCCTGGCTATCGTCGTGAAGGAATATGTGAAGGTGTCTGAGGCCTAGGAGGATGTGGATGGGGCTGCGACGGTTGTGGAGGATGATACGCGTGTTGTTGCGGCGGGTACGGCTGTGGAAGATGACTCTGCGGTGGGTGATTCGGAGGCGCTTGAGGCTGTTGCGGAAGAGGCCCTTGGGGATGAGTCTGAGGTGGGTAAGGAGAACGATGTTGACCTGGTGAGTGATGTTGGGGGTTTGGTGGCGGTGGCGGTGGCTGTGGTTGCTGGTGCTGCTCGTTGCTGCCGTCGGCGTTCGCGATTTCCAAAATCCCTTGCAAGATGCCGTTGCTTTGTCCTGACGGATGCTCGATTCGTCCACACATGACAGCGTCGCCAGAAGGGCCCAGCGGTTGCCAAGTGATGTATTTCAACCTGTTCTGCAAAATAGCCTGCTTGTTGTCGAATTCGGTCTCCGGCGTGACCTGTACACCTCTGCTTCCTAGGAAAGTTGGCGTCATAGTCATAATGACAGAGTCAATACTCTGGGCATATCGTTGGCTGAGCAATTCGGAAAGTACCAGGCCACCGCCTTCGATCATGACACTCCTGATGTTCTCCTTTAACATCACTCGGAAGATGCCATCCCATCTGAACCTTCCGTGATGGTCCACTTCATTGATCATCAGATACTCGCCTCCATGTGCTTTGAGAGTTTGAACTGCTACTGGATGCAGGTTTGCATTTGGACCCACCACAATCCACGGCGGCTTTGCTCTCCCTAGAACAGCTACTTGCAGCATCTTCATCTCAGGCCTAATGATCAACCTGCCAGTTGGATCAATGATGATCGGCCTGGGCTGCCATCTACCCCGAGGACCACCAAAGCCACCAGCACCGGACAGTCGACAGTTCAGACTAGGATCGTCCGCAATTGCAGTCCGTACACCAACGAGAATAGCGTCATGTGCGCTACGCAAATAGTGCGTCATTGCTTTCGTGTCCGGCCCCGACAATGTCGTCCGATACCCGGGGCTGCTCGCAATACGGCCATCCAGGCTAGAAGCCCACGTGAGTGTTACATGTGGTCGAATGATATCGGAGCTAGCATTAGGGTTTGGTAGGTATGGCGTGAGGAAGCCGCGTAGCTCTGGAGGAAAGTGAAGGACATCCGCAGGAGGCGGTGGCGGAGGCGGCGGCGGCGGCGGCTGAGCCGGATGTAGAAGATGTTGTGTTTGTGGAGGCTGGCCATGGGAGGACTGTGGATGCTCGAGAGTCTGGGGTATTGGCTGAGTAGGAGCCTGCGCTGGGCTCGACTTCGCTTTCTGACTTTGGCCAGGCTTAGGACCGGTTCGCGCGCTGTTGTAACCAGTATGCGCCTTGAGAATCACATCTGGGTTTTCTTGCCGCCACGGGTACTGCACATTCCGTACGTCTGAGATCTTCATGAACTTCCCACCAGCAGCCTCCAATTTCTCCGGCTCTTGTTGCATCTTCCACCAGATAGACGCGGGCTGGAAGCCTCTGGTGGCTTCTTTTCTCGCAGTGTCCATAATGCCTGAATTACGCTTCTGCAAGTCCATAAAGTCGAGGTCATGTGCGTGACGTTCTCCCTCGACTGCTTTCCGGATGGTCACCTTGTCGACAGGTCCGAAGCTGTGGACGACCTTCATAGCCATGGTACATGCTTTCTCTTCTTTCATCTTTCTCTTCCGTGCCTGTTTACCTTCTGGCGTGGGTCTGGGAACATGCGGTTTTGCGCCTGGATGCTTGCGAAGCTTACACCAGTACAGATCTATATTCTGGGAGGCCTCAGATTGTTCCGAGGACTTGAGTTTTCTCCAGACATTGTCCATGTAGGGCATGATCGCTTCGAAATCCGCTTTTGGGAGCTCTATCGGATGGTCGAGATCATGCAACTGCTGTCGTAATACCTGCAGACGTGGGTGGATAGAGTACAAGCTATAGTCGGTGGGAGTGCTAGATTCGTCGGCAACATCTTGTTGCCCGTTCGCGTGATCATTCTCGTTGTGATTGTCGACTCTGTTGTCATCTTCCACGTCACTTTGCTCGTCCATATCATGGTCTTCGTCGGTCCCCGGGGTCGCCATGAAGGGCGTAGAGACCAAAGGGTCAGCGTCTACTCGAGTGCGCGGCGCTTAGGAGATGGCTGGAGGCCAGAGAGGCGAGCGGGGGCTGAGGGGCAAGTGCCAAATGAAGGACCTATCTGAGCATGACGCAGTCGCCAGTAGACGATCGCTCAAACGGAGGGCGCATGCAAGAAACTGAGCGGCGTCCACAGGTTTAGTATCTGAACCAATATCTCGTACCCTCAGCATTTAGAGGTCACTCCGGGCGAACGCTCCACCGTTGGCAAATGATCGGCGGGTTTGCCAAGCCTGATATGTAAGGAACTGTCTTCTCAAAACTGAGTCTCCGAAAGCGTCTGCTCTCAATACTTCATTTGCCGCATCTGTAGCACAACCCGGCGGTATGGAGAACACGAGAGAAACCCTGATCTAGAGCTTTCCAAGGCTCACTCCACTGTGTGGATTGATGGCGTGTCACTTCTGGGTCACGGAACGGTGGCTGTTGTGTCAACGTCGGGCACATGTTTGCTATCAAGCAAGTCACCTCATGCGGAACATTTGTGCTGCCTGAGAAAGAATAGGAGAATTCTTGTGCTCTTGAACTTGTTTCATTTCGTCCATCTGCCACTCTAAACCGTGCCCTCGAAGTTTGCTAAACCTCTCAATCACGCACCCAAGTTATCCGATAGAAGCAGAGTGAAGTATCTGACCTTGGGCCTATGCGTCTCTGCCCGTGCCAACAGTTCGAATAGGAACTTCCCGCCGACAATACCTCTTTTCATCTGCGCCCTAGCACTCATAAGTGCAGGCTTGACCATCTTTACAGCACCGATGATGTTTGCTTTGCCCGTACTTGGTTGGTTTGGATTTGGTACCACGGGTGTAGGAGCCGGTGAGTTCTTGCCACCAACTGCACTGCAGGGTGACAACTATTGACTTCTTCAGGAACTATTGCTGCTGGTGTTCAATCCGGGATCGGCAACGTCGTCGCAGGAAGTGGGCTTGCTCACCTGACTAGTGCTGCTATGGGCGGCTACGGGGTAGCAGTCATTGCAGGAGCAACCAAGGCAGCTGGCGTCGCCATAGCAGGTGTGGGAGCGGCAGTGGCGGCCTTGCGTCGATAGGCCACGTCGCATATTCAATGGCTGTGGATCGGAAAGGAGGCCTCGGTCAATGGATGCTGCAGTGCCCGTGGGCAACCGGCTCCTTCGGTCCTAGACCCGGCCGGGCGGCTCATCTTCTTCGAAGATCGCAAGGGGCGACTACTTAGCCGTCGCCGAATATCTTTGTGGCAATGACAACTCGTTATTCCCAATCGCTGTCCGGAAGCTTGTGACATTGCGCTTTGCCGACCTCAGTGCTCACGTCCGATCGCCTTAGTATATCCTTGGAAGTCTGCCTGTTAATACATGACTTAACAACGTCGATCACCACCAAGATCTCCGGATAAGCCGTATCGAATGGCTGTAGTCATCTCCTCCCACCATGACGCGACCTGGGCGGAGACCCACTCCGGCTTCGACTGCGGCTACGACTGCGGCTGCTGTAGCTGCTATAACTTGGTGACCGCCGCCGTCGTCGAGGCGAGCTTCTGGCCGGCGGTCCTCGTCGTCTAGATGGGGATCTCGAGGGCGAGCGGGAATAGGAGTACGACTGTCTTCGTCTTCGAGGCGGGCTGGGCGATCTTGAATACCGTGAGCGTGGTGCATAGTAGTCGTCTTGTTCGCGTCGGTTGCCGCCATAGCCTCCTCTCCGAGGCGGAGGACTTCTGTAACGACCAGGAGGAGGACCTCTTGGTGGGCCGTTTCGCATTGGCGCAGGGCCGCGGCCCCCTCTAGCCGGTGGAGGCGATCTCGAGAAGGCTCGTCGGGGCAGCACAATGCTGACAGCAATGGCTGCACCATCAAGCTGAGCTTCGTGCATGTGGGCAATGGCAGACTCGGAGCCTGACGGGTGATCATACAAGATGTACGCGGTACCACGGTTTGTCATGACTATGTCTTGTTAATTTTGCTCGCCGTACGTGCCAACCACTTACATTGTTTGTTCAGAGGCAAGTCGATTGATTCTATGCGTCCATAGGACCCAAAAATCTCTCGAAGATGCGCCTCGGTGACGTTCCTGGTGAGCTTCTCAACCACGATCTTCGAGCTCTGTACATGACGACCACGGCTCGGACTTCTGGTGTAGCTGCGTTCGCGATAGGAGCGCCTGTCGCCTCGGCTTGGACTCCGGCTTCTCGACATACTGCGTGTGTAGGCTCGTTCTCTTCCATGACCATTGCGCGATTCTCTGACGGGCGGAGTCCTGGACAAGGATCTCGAGCGGGACATGGGATGTGGAGACGGTTCTTTGCGGGGTGATAGTGAGCGTACACGAGCGGGCGAGGGTGCACGTTTGACCGATGTTGGGGTGTGTGATCGCGTGCGCGAGCGGCCCCTCGATGGCGACCTGGAAGACGCCATGCCGTTTGTGTACAAGATGTCAGCAGCACGGAAGAGACAACGGTTTGATTTGGTGCCCACCGAGAATAACGGAATGCCGAAACAAACACTCGCGCCCGGACAAAAAGTTTGGAATCGAACTGGACGTCGCTCTCTCGCCCGCGGCTGGAGAGGCAAGTTTAGCCGCGCTAGCTGCGGGTTCAGGCAGAATCTTGGCGTGAACCTCCCTCCTGTCCATGCGCTCACTCCAGGACACAATTGTCCTTCCCAGCGATGCCTAGCGAGTTCAAATGCCTTTGCACCTTTGATGGCTCATTAGCTTTTCTGCCACCAGTTGGATGGGCTTCCGCTGCTTCGACTATTGATTGAGCCAGTAGTTGGACTTAGCATGCTCAAAGTCAGTAGTACAGACAGTGCTGAGCAAGTTTGGAATCAACCACACAATGTGACGACATAATGGCCCCATTTATGGCGCGATCAGCATTATGTCCCATCGTGAATGTGACAAGCCTTTGATAGAAAGGTTTGCCAGGAGCTACAAATCCCACAATTTACCCATCCTCGGCACGTCTCAGTACAACACCTCCGTCACATACACGAAAGCATGGTCCCATGCGAGGCAGAATTCACTATCTGCTCGGTCTACATGCGGCCGCCAGTAGCGGGCCTGTGAGCTCGGCACTTCGGGTCTTTGCTTTCGGCCTGCATCTTCTTTCGTCTACCTCACCGGCTGGTCCTCCCAAAAGACTGGCACATCTCGTCAGCAAAGCTGCGTGGCTCATCAGGAAACTTGCAGGTAGAGAATTACTGAACACTCACCAAAGAATCTCGTCTCAATGCTCTCCCTCAATGGCTCTCCTTCCATTTCCTGATGTACAAAGCTTGAGTGCGGCGTTCCCGTACTCTCACCCTCGGGCGTGTTCGAGTCATAGATGCGCAGAAACAACACCTCGTCCGGCCTCATCTCACTCACGTAATGCCAGTTATGCGCCTTGTTATGTTTGAGAAAGCACACTCGATGCACGACCTTGTCGGACGCTATTTGGGCGGCGCCGGTCCGTGCCTGCGGATAGCCCACCTTCTTCGGTACGAGATCCTCCCACGCCACGGTCGTGCGATCCACCATTCCGAGGGGGTCTTTACGGATCACGGGCGAGATAGGCTTCCACACATTCACAATGCCCCAACGCGTGCTGGAAAGGGTGGGCCATGCGTCCTGAAAGATATCCTGTCCGAGAATCGGAGCACCCTCGGGGGCTTGGTCGATATGCACGAAGCGCGCGGGATGCAGTGTTGAAAGGGGTTTGTCGTCCGGCCCGCCCATCGCAGCGGCCTCGGCGGCCTCGTAGCTCTGTTTGCGGATGATATGGGAAAACGGCACAACCTTGGTGGCGTGGAGTCTAAAGAGCAGGAATGGTCAGATCAACACACCGGAATGCAGAAACCTCAGGGAAGGGGAGGATGAAGTACTTGGACTTGAGAAAGTCACCGGCTTCCTGCCACCATACCGACTTGACTCTGTCGTCTTCGTTGAAGTCTTTGAAGGTCAAGTTGTGCTTATGCAGCTCGAAACCCTGTTTGGCGAGGCTGAACTCCGGTTCACGGCCGCGGATATCATGCACCTGGACGGCCTTGACGTCGAACGGGCGGTTGCGATAGAGAGATGCGGTGCCTAGAGTGCGTACAAGTCAGTGACTGCATCAACGCGGCCAAAGAGCGATAGTCTTCTACCGATTCTGTACAGCTCATCTGGTCCTAGTATATCGTAGTTGACCGTTGTATCCACGGTCTTGGTTTCCGTTAGTGTTGCCGTTGTAGTCGCCATGGTTGCCTACAAGTATGCACATCGGCCTAGTAAGCATGCCCAGGCCATTGATATACCGGTCATTCTGGGTGTGGAGTCGGATGCCTGATCAGTCATCGACCCACCGAATCCTCTCCTAGGCTTCGCAACATTCGCATAAGGACAGCTTGCGAAGCGTTCCTAATTGGCTAGCAAGGCAACGCAGTGGCACTTGTGACATAAGCTGATGTGTTCGTGTTAAGGAACAAGCCAGCGCTCTACCTCGATGCCCTGGTACAGGACCTAGGCTTGCTGCGCCTACGTGAGCTCGCATATCGGTTAGACACGCTCTAGTTGTCATTTATGTGATAGCACTGGTAACATGGCCCTTCACACCTGCATCAAGCCCAGGACATCTTCTGGAGTTCATCACCGTCTGACGTAAGCCCTCAAAGGATATAGAACTATGTCAAAGCGGAAAGCCTTGCCACCACCAATAAAAGTACCCGCAGCTCCTGGGCCTTGATCCTTAACCATTCCTGAATGTGATACTCCTCGGGGTTTTTCATGCGGACGGAACACCCCCATTCCGATACTGCCATAGTCGGCTCTCGTCCTTGATCTGCTTCACCGGTTCCACAAGCTGTGCCTTGGTCGCGATATCATCTCCATTGACCATTCTGGTGGAGGTGCACTGACAGTCTTGGAAGTTGTAATGATCAACCACTTCATTCATAAACTCATTGCCATCAAGAACAAGCCTGTCTTGCTTGTCCATGGTGAACATGTTGGCCATGTAGTGTTGGTTGAATTGATGTCCAGAAGCCTTCCTGAGGAACAGCTTGCCAACGAATCGGTTCGTGAGCACATCAGGTGGGTTCTCGGTCGTCGACGACATGTTGGAGCCGTTAACAGCGTTTTTAGCCTTCGATTGACCATTCCTTGTGGGCTGAACGTAACTGAATGGATGTATATGGCTCTGTTGCTGTCCAACACCACGGAAATATAGTGCGCCAAATCTTGCAACCCAGTCCTTGTCGTTTGCGTAGTGCTCAACATGTTCGATAACGCGCTGACCATTTTCAAGTTCGGGACAATTCCAATGGTTCGCAGCGTTGCCGAAAGTATACACTTCAAGCTTCTGAATGTCTTTTTGCGGAACCGTCGCAAAGAGCCAATCCAAGACCATCCCAGCCTCAATCGACCCCTGGCTGTGGGCGATGAACACTAACTTGTCAACATCTGCCTGGCCAAGAAGTTCTGAGACCTTTGCGTATGCAGTGCGGATGTCGAGTGTGGGATATCCAAAGGTGCGTTGGATCACGCACTCCAATACATCAAACACGATGCCGTACGTCGCGTTGTGGATACCAAGAACAGGGCGCTGAAAGGTTCTCGCGATCCGATTGAGGTTGGCTTGTGTCCAGTGCGAGCCTGCTGCCACACCATTGATGAATACCCATCTTTCACCAGAATGCTTCGGGTCTCTGGATTCGAGCAGCTTGAGCTTGTCGGTCTGGTCCACTCGCTTCCGTGGAAGTCGCATGTACTCAGAAAACTGCTCTCCAGCATAGAGCGTCTGTCCGTGGGGACCGTTAAGACTAGCGTCGCAGACGAACTTGTTGATCATAACACCAGCAATAAGCACGCCGAGATACATGATCGTCGGTGTGCCACAAAACGGCGCTAGAAGTGCAAACCCCAGATATGCCAACTGGGAGAATACCAGGACAATGTGGACCGCCAGTGCCCAAGCATTTTTTGGTGTCGGAGCGAGTTCATCGAAATTGGGGTTGTTTGGAATGAGCGGCCAGACAATGCTCAGAAGGCTGAGACTCTTGATGTCGAACGAAAGATGGAAGAAGAGCCATATGTCCGTCAAAAGGAGGGCTACCGGGTTGGTAGTGTATGGAAGAGGCTTCCCAATCATGTTTGTCCCAATGATGACAAGAAGCAATGAGGAACTGTGGCGCTTTCTTTGTGAGATGAGTTCTTGAGTCTTCGCCTACCACGCTGCAATCGGTCTCTTGGAAGCGTCTGCGTTAAGCCTATAGATCAACCGATGTTGACCACTGCAGAACACACTCCAGTCTCCCTTAATATATGTGAAGCTCGCGATGAACAGAGCACATGTCCGAGAATGGTGATGTACGAGTGGACTGTGATCGAGCATGCCTGGCGGGCGACCATAAGGCTAACTCGGGCGCAGGTACGGGTACGTTTGCATGGGTCGAATTGCCTGCCTTAGGCGTACCCAGCCACACTATCACGAATACGGGGACCTGTCATGCTATGGGTATGTGCATGTCGAGCCTGATCGGGGTGACCGTCATTGTTTCAGCCCCGTGCGCAGGGGCAACACGAGGCCTAGGAAAGATACCCATTCTTGTACTGAGCCTGATGATTCAGCTGCGGCTACGTTGGGAAAGCATTCCCCGGAAGTTGGAACGCGTATCTGCCTGTTGAACGATGGCAATACAGGAGGCAGGCGCGTCCGTGAGAAATGTCAAGGCTCGATTTGTCGACTTGTATGTGGGGGTCGCACAATGCAAGCCATGTTTGTCCAGCTCAGCTCAGCTCAGCTCAAGCCAGCCAAGCCCAGTCTAGCCCAGCCCAAGTGGATGGTGCACACAGGGGAGCTGTAAAGACATGTGCGTCAACTTGTAGGGAATTGCGGTAGGTTGTACTTTCCGGCCATCGAGTTTCCGATTTGGATACCACAGCAGGAATATGAACTCAGCGAAGAGCTACCGACCATGGTAAGAAATCAAAACGCATCAAAAGGCCTCTATGCCAAGATCATTTTCACCTCATATCCACTTGCTATGGCCGTTGGGAACAGCTGTACCTCAATTCGCTGCAGTCATACATCTAACAGCATGATCGCGGACCAAGGGATAGACATCGTTGACCGCGTCCGGACTCATCCAGCAATCAAGATGCCCGTAGCCTTGAATCACCTCACGTTCGTAGCCCTCTTGCTGGAAATGGTTAATCAGGGTAGTGAAGGACTTGTCAGTGGTCTCTGGCGAGTAGACCACATTCTCTGATCCCGATATGAAGAGAATTGGCAAATCCTTAAGACGGTCGATGTTGCGGGAAGTGACCAGAGATTCGTTGTAGTTATTGGTAACAAATCCGTGAGTCCCCATATGCATCAAGTGCTCAAGACTGTGCATGCTGGTGCCCCCAAGAAACTTGGACAAATTGGCATGCGTAGCTGCATTCAGCTTCTTATGGGACCAGAGCCTAAACCTATGTCAATGCTGAGACGAAGATGATGCAAGGTTGACTCACCGGCCGAAGACCAATTCCGATCGATGGCAAACAACCGAGTTGCATAGCTCTCGTGCAGAGCCCACTGGATATAGCTTCACAAATTGGTTGATAAGACGTTGAACGAGAGTGTCGTGTTGGGAAGAGATACATGAGAACCACTTCCCAGCAGCGACACGATACAGCTTGGTCAATGGCATCGGAAGCGACGCTTTGAGCCAATTGACACTACCAAATATGGGGTTGAAGAACACTTGAGAGGCAGTCAATCCACGGAGCCATCTAGCGGGGATGGTGCCATCAAGAAGACCCGCAGACAAAGCCACGGACCCAGCACAATGTGCGATCACATAAATCGGATCGTCAGACCCATGTAACTTATGAATCTCTGTGAAGGCGGCTTGGATGTCAAACCTGGCGTCGAACGTGGTAAAGTCTCGGATAGCGTTGGGTGTTTTGCCAACACGGTGAGTGACACAGAAGACTTCAAATCCTTGGGATTGAAAGTACTCCACTGCATTCGTTTCGATAGTTGGCAAGGCGAAGATTTGATGATCAACGCTAGCGCCAGGAATGAACAAGACCCGTGGGGAAACGTCATGCTCGTAGCGAGCTGTTGGTAGCCAGTGTTGTAGCGTCGAAACAATGCCGTCCGAAGATGTAATCTTTCGAGTCTTATGTGGAGGTGCCGTGTCCGTCTCATAGCCTTGAGAGGTGGTCCTGGGCCATTCTTCGGCCCCTAGAGGACCAAAGAACTTCGAAGCCACTTGGCCAGTAAAGAACGTCAGGAACTTAGCAGTTGACGCCAACTTCGACAAAACAGCATGGCCGGCAGGTGTAAATGTTTTGAGCTCAGACAAAAAGTCATGCGGCTTGATGCAGAGCTTTCCACGCCCCAACACCTTTCCGTCGCTGGCCAACATGCAATGCAATGTCGATGTAGCCTTCCATGTGGCCCAAGGCTGCAAAGCAATAGATGGGTCCACGACCTTATACCCGCTGAAATGGATGATGTCGCCGAACGTAGACCTCATGTCGAACTCATATTTCAGGTTTGTGGTATCGGGTGTCCTCTGGTCGGTGCTAAAAAGGGCGAAGTCTCCCCTAAGGACCATGAACGGCGACCCACGCAATCCAGCACACGTGAACGTTCCAGTGAGCATGGCGGGGTGATCTTCAGCAGCCACAAGACGATCTGTGTTCCAGGCGTGGACAGATAAGAAGAACTGGGCAGATGATCCTGCCGCGGACGCAGAGTCATAGGCGATATCGAAATCGTCGATATCATCGCCGATGTTCATGAAGCCGGACATCACTTCTGTGAACTCGATGCCTTGCGCCGAGGACTCGGTCGCGTCTTGAATCGTTCGCTGAGCACGCTCGAGGCTAGCATCCATACGAAAGGTGTGCTTTGGAGCCCCATACAACTCAAGCGTGCCATTCTTCTCCGCGTAGTTGATGTGGAGTCCAGCTCGGTGTGCAGCAGCTGCAGCTGATCGCTCCGCAAGAGCTGTGATCGTCGCAAAGGGGTTGACGCCGAGCGCTGTTGGCACGACCGCGCCATCTACAACAACCAGACCTTCGTAGACCCCGCTATCTTTCTCAGACCCCTTGAACAATCTCCCCAACGAGTCTGTGGCACCAGTCTGACCAGTGCCATCGGCCGCCATAGATGCTCCACCAATGGCATGGACTGTGATTTCTTGCTTGCCCAGGCTGGCGTAGAATGGAGAATTGATGTATGTGCCTCCAAACTTCCCCGTAATCGAGGCTAGAAGATCGTTGAGAAATTTGACATGTTCGCTCCTGCCGACACCAAGCCAGCGAAGAGTTGGTTTGTCGTTCTCAAGAGTCATGATGGCTTGGTTGGAATCGTGGGACATGATCAAATACGTCTGCATCCTTTGCAAGGCGCCCCAAGGCGCGTACTTGGATACACGGCTCAACCGCCGCGAAGCAAAATGTCTCAACATTTCGAGAAGGCCGTATGTCCTTGGGAAGACCTTGCCAGGCATTGCTTCTAACATTGCCTGGAGCACTGGCACCAAAGGCGCAGCGATCGCCCCTTCCTCAATAACGAAGCCATCAAGTGGATTGGCTTGTTGGCGGCAGTCGATAACGCCAGTTATGGTAGGTCCGACAGGGTGTAGAGGATCGGAAAATGGTCTACCCAGACCATTGACCTCCTAATATTCCGTTAGAAGTCTGCGACAGCGAAAAGGCGACATGACATACCTCATCCGTGTTGTAGCCAAACGCGAGAATGTCCCCATTGCCACTCATGTTCTTGCCAACTCTTCCGCTCATCTTCAGTCCCAAGCTTTTGCTTCTGAGCAATATCTCTGTGGTGCCCAATGCTCCGGCCCCAAAGAAGACAACCTTGGCATGAACCCACATCAGGTCCTGGTATATGTTGTCTTGGAAGCACGCCCGCTTACTGCCATGCCACGCAAAACAGACAAGGTACCCTCCTATCCTTGAGTCTGGGTGCTTTTTGACGTGTCTGACTTCGCACTCGCAGAATATCTCGGCACCCCAGTTCCAAGCGTCGCTAAGATACGTGACCAGTGTGCTCGATTTGCTCCCGTCATTGACACCCGTAGAGTCCATCCCTGTCAATGTGCTGGCTTGCATCTGTACACCTGCGTGATTTGGGCCATCCTCGAACCTGGTGGTTTGTGGGACACGACGAAATTCTGGCTCCCCCAAGGGTCGTCCACTGGGCTGTTTCTCCAGAGCCAACTCCTCCTTGACGACGTGCGCTTGCCGCTCCAGTAGGTCAAGTTTCCGCAGTCGCGGGAAGTCTTCCGGATATTCTTCTGGCTGCAGCATTTCTCTTGCTCGATCGTAATACTCATCAAGAGCGCCCTCTTCCTGCAAGTCCTGGGGCCATTTGGGAAGAGACATAGTTCCAGCATCCGCCTCTAGAAAGACATTTGCGTTCAAAAGACTTGTGCCGCCCAGGCCGGAAGCAACGAAGGCGTTTTGTCCCTCGCCAACGACAAGTTGATAGAGCTTCGTAGGGTCACCAATGCTGATGTGACGACCAGTGCGATTGTTGGGAGCAAATAGGCCAGAGATGCTCACTTCAGGAGTAGCGTCCGCCAAGTTGTCCGGATACTCCCCTGGCCATCTTTCCTTGCCTCGCTCTAGCACGCAGACTGACTGGCCGGCTCGTGCCATTCTGCTAGCCGCCACACCACCGCCATAGCCTGAACCGATGACCACAACGTCGTATTTGTGTCGCAACAATTCCACAGGCTTCGAGATCCGGGGGAAGGTGTTATGGCTGCTCGAATAGTCTCGTGGTCGAAGTTTGGATGGGGCCTTTGTGAAGCCTCCGGGTTCTGTCGTGCCAACTGCCCACGACTGTACCCGTTCGGACACTTTATGAACTCCATCACTGCTGTCTGGAGAGGCTTCTCCATTCTGCACTTCGTCAGGCATCGACGTCGATGGACCATCTAAGGCTGCCATATTGACCGCAGGAGGTGTGTCCAGGGTCAAGAATGGCACAATCGGCCTGAGATTTATGGGCTACACATGCTACTGGTCTGAAGTCGTTGTGGCCGCTTGATAGGCTGTGGGAATTCCTTCGCAGTCTGCAGGATACCAATATGTGTTCGGCAACCCGCAGCTCGACTGAGGAGATGCATGTTGACATGTGAAAGAATGCAAGCCCGCGGTCGAGACATGTCTAGAGCAACTCAGCCCGGTCCGTAAATGCATGGCCGGCTGTGAAAGTGGCTGCATATGACACGAAACCGTGGGGGACAGGAATGAAAGGAGATGCCGCTTCGAGCACTTGTGAGCAACCGTAGCGTGCAAGTCGACAGGGGTCCCTGGGTAGTCAGGCAACCAGAGGCCATGAAGGCTGAGCTCAATTTGTCTCAGCTGTGAGCGGGGAACGAGCTCACGAATAAGGGTCGGCAAACACGTCCCGGACCTTGAACCTGACAGGCCTTGTGCTGATGGTCGCGGGCAGTGGGACCCCAACTCAGTGAGTTCTTCTTTACTGTGTATGATCTGCGACTCTCGAAGTCGCGCACTCGTTTCGAACTCCAGTTGACTCGTCGCCCTGACGTCAGCCTTACTGGTTAGTGATTCCACGACCACCTACCCAATACATGATATAACAAACCGCCTTTTCGTTTGGTGGTTTGTTCAGGAACGCTGCCTGAGTACGAATTGACCACAATGGCATCCAAGGCGATATTCCTGATGTCAGACTACGGTCATGACCCTACAGGTATGGCCGGAGAACGAGTAGCAGTTGTGTGTAGAGACTTGCTACTGACATCATGCTGTCAGAAACTGCGATACCCTGGAGGGTCTTTCGGGATGCTGGGTTGACGGTCTCTTTTGCCACGGAAGCGGGCAAAGCCCCTGCTTGCGATAGCAAGATGCTTACAGGCTGGACTGGGACCCTGTTGGGAGCGAACCAGGCGGCCAAGGCCGCATACGAAATCCTCTCAAAGGACACCGCTTTCAGGCAGCCGCTCTCCTGGACAGCCCCAGGCTTCAGCCTCGTGGACTTTGACCTCGTCTTCCTTCCGGGTGGCCACGAAAGGAGCGTTCGACAGCTCTTGGACTCTGCGGAAGCTCAGAAAGTCCTCGTCGAGTATTTCGAGACGGCGAAGAAACCATCGTCAAAGGTGGTTGCCGCGATCTGCCACGGAACCCAAGTCCTGGCCAATGCCACACGTGCCGATGGTAAGAGCGTCTTGCATGAGTGTGACACCACAGGACTGCCTGGTGCCATGGAACAGACGGTCTTTCATGCCACGAGACTTGTCCTTGGTGATTACTACAAAACGTATGGAGCAGGAAGCGATAGCGTCCAAACCGCTGTAACGAAGAAGCTGCGTGAGCCGTCGCAGTTCAAGAGCAGCTTGGGTTCAGCGCCGTACGTTTGCCAGCGATGTTCACATCCAGTCACTGATCAGCAACAGGTTCATTGTCGAGGACGCTACTTACAATTACCTCTCTGGCCGCTTTCCACCAGACTCGGAGGCATTGGCAAAGCGTGCTGTGGAACTACTGAACCAGGCTCAGCCCAGGCAACGTTGATCAAGCCAAGCTCAGATATCATCAACCCATACCAACGGTTGCCTTGCGGATTTGCTCTTGCTCTGCCGCTTCCTTCGCCCTCAGCTTCTCCAACTCTGCCCTCTGATTGTCTCTCACTCGTGTCGTTGCGTTCACATTCACCACGCCCACCTTTAACCTTTCGTATAGTTCCCTTGGCTTCACTTTGCCTTCTCCTCCGAACCACCCCAGATCTACCTCCTTACGCCATCCATGCCGCAACGCAAACACCACGCTCAGCCTACCCTCCTTCGTAGCCCTCACCCTGTGCACCCCTGCATTGATTCCGCCTTCACTTAGACCCCTCAGTGTCTGTCCCACCAGCACCACCGGCCCTTCCGGTTCTACCCAGATCTCCATGCCCTGCTTGACACTAGCCTCCATATCCAGACACTCCAATCCGGGTCTGGTTCCGACACACAAGGTCAAGAGTCCCAAGTCTGTGTGCTCGCCCGCGTAGCCTGCCTCGGGCTCGTACTCGAACATCCTCAGCAGCGTGCCAGACACGTCTGCCTCGTCACTCGGTAGCGAAAGTGTCCCGTCCAGCATATCATCCCACACGCTGCACGGCAGGTCGCTCTCGCGCGCGACATCGCACAGGATCCGGTGCAGCAGTGTCGCGGCGTCACGCCACACCTGCTCCGCTGTACTTTCCAACGTTGAGTCCGGGTGCACGGTGCAGCGGAGGGTAAGAAACTGCTTTTCGGACGGGATGGCATAGTGGCCCCACTCGGTGCCGGGCTTAGGAGGGTAAATGTTCCTCTTGGAAGCGGTGGGCAGGGCAAAGTAGGCTTTCAGTTCGCTGAAGAGGGCAGCGGTGTGGGTGTTGAGGTGAGTCGGGAGGGTAAGGGGTATCCAGCCTTGTCGGATTAGCGTGTGGAGGGCGGCTTGGCTCAGGAGGGGTGGAGGAGTAGGCGGAGGGAGGAATTCGCCACGCTGGAGTTCTGAACCAGGATTGAACACAGGCCTCTCGTCCATACTTGAGGTGGTGTCCGGTCGTCGGCAGGGGTGCGCCAGTGCACTCGGCCGCAACCGCTATACTTGGAGCTGTGTCATAGAAGAACGTGAGCAGGAAACGGGGCCAGGCAGTGAATTGGCGCGGCTGACGTGGATACCTGCAAGAGCAAGAGCCCGCCCCACAAGCCTGCTCGCTAGCCTTTATCATGACCCGGTTGCGAACGTAGGGTATCCGACGGCTGTTTCAAACAATATCTTGGATACAGAGAAGATAGCCTATAGAGTGCTTCTGGAATTGCTGCGATCGACACAGCGTCTTTTGGTCGCGACACAACCGAGGGTGTGGGCGTGATTCTATGAATCTCTACAATAAATGGACCAGCCGATGCCTCAAAGCCCGCGAAAAGTGGTTGAGGAGAGTGCCATGGCGGTTACGCTGCTCCCAAGCACTTGCTCTGATTGCCTGGTGGGCTTTGCTCGGTAGAGCCTGTGGCTGCCACGACAAAGTCATGGACGGGCGGTTCGCACCAATTCAGTCGAGCAGCTGCTTGTGCCCAGCTTTCAGCAGCTCGATGGTCCGGATTCGTGTGCTCAGAGCTCATGGCCCTCGATAACGAGAGCTCGTGAGCTGCGTTGGTGCTAGAATCCAGCCGCTCACACAATGTCCACTTTGTGCAATCCTCTCAGTCCTTGCTACCGTATTTTTCGCGGTAAATGCGCATTTGTTCGAGCTGCTCGGCTCCCGCGTCCGCGATCTTGCCATCTCGGATGGCTTCCACGATGTCCTCGAAGGTCAAGACTGCACGTACAGGAATACCTAGCTCATCTTCGGCCACTTTCATGGCGCTTCTCGGTTCCGCGTCACTTACACGTTCTTGCCTGGTGAGCAACAGGACAACTCCCACAACTTTGCCGCCCTGCGCTTGTATGATGGAGACAGCCTCACGAAGAGCGGTGCCGGCAGTCATTACATCGTCAATGACAACCACTCTCTTATCCTTGAGAGGCGCACCAACGATTGTGCCACCTTCACCATGGTCTTTGGCTTCTTTTCGATTGAACGAGTACGACACACCTTGAAAAGCCTTGCCGTGAAATTCCAGCTCGCGGGTCACTATGGCTGACAGGGGAATGCCCTTGTACGCAGGTCCGAAGAGGATGTCGAAGTGGGGGGATAAGGCCCCATCGGCGTCGGCGCCCGCCTCTTCAGTACCTAGTGGTAGAGAGAATGGAGGAGCGGCAAGGACTGATGCGTATGCACGGGCGAGGGCTCCAAGCAAGACGGAGGTGTGAAGTAGGGATGATGTGAAAAAGTAGGGCGAAACCCGTCCGGATTTCAAGGTGAAGGAGCCGAAGGACAGGACGGAGGCTTTGAGTAGGAGGGGCAGAAGTTCGTTCTTGTAAGAAGTGTCCGCAGCCATGGCGCGAGGTTGGGGTTATCTATTCGTCGCCTTCGGGACAGCCTTTCCGAACCACGATGAAGAAAGACGCGGCGACTTATTGAGCAATATGCCAACCCTCAAACTCCGGAGATGCTTCAAATCCGAGAAGAACACAATCATCGCGAGGGGCAGAAACGAGGCGCAACGCGTGCCGTGGGCTTGGCAGGAACGGAGCCACTACGGCCTGTCAGCGTAAAATTTTCGGTCGACGTGCAGCATGCATCATGATCCCCCGCGGATGGCGTGGGATAGGCTTCACTAAGGCCTGCTAAGAGTACAACGTTTGGTGTCTCCGTGCAGTCTTTCATATTATTGCTCCGCCCAACCCTTTAACTAGTTTGCTTGCATCCTCTCGTCCTACCTGGCCCTTTCTTCTGTTTGTACGATGCCGCGACAGCTCGCAGACAGGTGGGCTCGCATTCGTTATATTGAATGACCGTGATCGTACCCCTCTACTCACCGCCCAGCATCTGTCAACGGACGACCTCGATCCGTGACAGCACGCAGGGCCACGGCTTGCCTCGAGCCTCCTTCCATTGCCTCAACTCTACCTCGAACTCCCGGCTTTCGCCATGCACATCTCCAAGAAGCTCTCTCTGGCACACACCCAGCAGAAGCCGACATTTTCGTTCGAATTCTTCCCACCCAAAACCGCACAGGGTGTGCAAAATCTCTATGATCGAATGGACCGCATGCACGATCTAGGTCCCGCTTTCATTGATATAACATGGGGCGCGGGTGGAAGGCATTCTCAACTGACGTGCGAGATGGTGAGCGCTGCACAGGCACATTATGGCCTCGAAACATGCATGCACCTGACCTGCACGGATATGGAACGCGACAAGCTAGACGAAGCTCTCAATCTGGCGTACAAGTCGGGATGCACAAACATACTCGCTCTACGGGGCGACCCACCTCGAGACCAGGAGAAGTGGGAGGCCAAGGACAAAGGTTTCCGTTATGCAAAAGATCTAGTCAAGCATATCAAAACTACGTACGGCGACCATTTCGATATCGGAGTGGCAGGCTACCCAGAAGGCTGCGACGATCAAGATGACCCGGACCTCCTGTTGGATCATCTGAAGGAGAAGATTGACGCTGGCGGCACCTTCATCGTGACACAAATGTTCTACGACGTTGAGATCTTCCTCGACTGGGTTAGTAAAGTCCGCAAAAGAGGCATTGATGTCCCCATAATTCCAGGCATCATGCCCATCTCCACCCACGACGCCTTTCTCAGGCGAGCCAACTGGGCCAAGTGCCAGATTCCGGAATCCTGGCATATGGCCCTCGAGCCGGTCAAGAACGATGACGCCGCTGTACGCGACATCGGTAGGGACTTGGTTGCCGAGATGTGCAAAAAGATTCTTGACGCAGGGATCTATCATTTGCATTTCTACACGATGAACCTTGCACAGTCTACAAGAATGGTGCTCGAAGAACTATCTATGACCCCAGAGACATCCGGTGTACCCCTCGATAAGCCATTGCCTTGGCGGCAGTCCCTTGGTCTCAATCGTCGTGATGAAACTGTCCGACCCATCTTCTGGAGAAACCGTAATACATCGTATGTGGCCAGAACGGCAGATTGGGACGAGTTCCCCAACGGCCGCTGGGGCGACAGTCGAAGTCCAGCATTTGGTGGTCTGGATGCCTACGGCATCGGTCTGAAAGGGACTAACGAGGCCAACATCAAGCTCTGGGGCGAGCCTACAACGCTTAGACAAGTCAGCGAGCTGTTTGTCAAGTACCTGAAAGGCGACCTCGATCGTTTACCATGGAGTGAAGGCAAGATCACGGAAGAGACAGACAGTATCAGAAATGATCTCATTAAATTGAACTCGCGGGGGTTCCTGTCCATCAATTCTCAGCCGGCAGTAAATGCTGCCAAATCGTCACACCCTGTCCATGGATGGGGTCCAAAAGGTGGCTACGTCTATCAAAAAGCCTATCTTGAGCTTTTGGTCTTCCCAAGTGTCTTTGACAAGGTCATGGAGCGTTTAGACGCCAATCCTAACCTCACCTACCATGCGGTCAACAAAGACGGCAGATTGATCACCAACGCTCCAGATGAAGGGCCCAATGCTGTTACGTGGGGCATTTTCCCAAACAGAGAGATTGTGCAACCGACAGTCGTCGAGACTGTCTCCTTCTTGGCCTGGAAAGACGAAGCATTCCGGCTTGGTCACGACTGGTCGAGTTGTTACCCCAGTGACACTGCAACCCGTCGTTTGATCGAGACCATCATGGACGAGTGCTATTTGGTCAATATCGTCAACAATGACTTCCACGAATCACACGAGATTTTTGAGATATTCGATGGGCTCGAGGTGGAAAATTTCGATCGGGTTTTCGAGGCTCCGGCTGCCAACGGGCGTCAGAATGGTGTCCGCAACGTGGTGAACGGGGATGCAAAAGCCGACGACGTCGAGAAAGCTGTCAAGCAAGACCCTGCGAAAGTGCCTTTCCAAGCCGCACTCAGGACGGCAGATCATCAAAGGCTCAACGAATCTGGGAATGTACCCAACTAATTGTCCATTTAAATCGGCGTTTCTGGTTCAACAAAAGGCAAGGCAGCGCGGGAAAAGGAGAATATTCAACATGATACCCCATATGGCAAAAGCTACATGAAGTGATGAATTGACGACGACTGCAAAAGTTGGCACGCATTTAGCGCAGCGTTGAGGCAGTCCTCCGCTGCAGCATGTGAGACCCTCTTCAACATTGGGCCTCGCGGGGTGGTTGAATCAACCTCGATCACCCCAAAATTATTTCTCAAAAGAAGAACAAGATACCCTCTTTGCATTCTACCTGAATTCGCCCCATGGCTTTTAATAATCCGATCGTGTTCGTGAAGTGATCTGGGATCTGGGATCTGTGTCGATTTCGGCTCTGCTAGTCTCGCGCTCGTCACTGCCCGCAGGTGGTCCAAGCTTTCGTGTTGCCTTGACGTCACACTCAGTCTTGCTCGTCTTGATCACAGCTGGACTGGTCTTCACATATCCTGGTTATAACGCACTGTCCTGTCTTCGTTCCATGTAAATTCTTGCATTTGTATCGATTCACAGTCGTCCACACCTCTCGAAGGACATCTCCCCACCGTCGCGAGTCCGACGTAGCCTCCTCTTCTCCCGAGATAGCTATTGGCTGCACCTTGCCATGGCTAAAGACCCCGTCAAGTCCAACTTGGACGTAGATTATGTCGTCTCCTTTCGCATAGATCCTAAAGGTAGGACCGATACCTACTTATGTCCACTCTCACTAACAACACAAGACAAGGACGGTTCCGTCAGCCAGTTCAAGCAACTCATCAGGGCACTCGCCGGAGTTGGCTTGACTACCGAAGTCCGCACGGGAGATGAGACCTCTCTACTAGTCTTCATAAAGGCAGCCGATGAGCAAGTTCTTTCGAATGTCGTCTATCGTTCTCGTATGAAGGACTGGCTCTACGGCATTCGCCAAGTCCAGCCTGTCCAAGATACAGTCTCCGCCTTGACTAACGAGCCTTTAACTGACGCTGAGCGACATCGTCATATCTATCAGATGATCACCGCTCTGCCCGAAGATGGTGGCGCAGGTGTTACGCCCAACTCCGGAGAATGGAAGAGGGTTGAAGCTGTTTTCCCACTCCATGACCACGCCAGGAATAAAAAATGGCTGTCGGAATTCTCACGAAAGACTTTCCTCTCGCCTGAAGACCTTGACGATATCAAGGACGCCGTTGGTGAGCAGGTAGGACATTCTCGTCAATCTCCCCAGGACAATCTCTAACCTATCCAGATTGGTTTCTACTACGCATTCCTCCAGTCCTACTTCACCTTCATGATTTTCCCGGCCGCTTTTGGATTTTCATGCTGGGTACTACTTGGCAGCTTCTCTCCCGTCTACGGCATTGTCAACGTGGTCTGGTGCCTGGTGTTTGTCGAGTACTGGAAGCGTCAAGAGCAGGAGCTCTCGATTCGCTGGGGCGTCAAAAACGTTTCGGTCATCCAGGATAAACGACGCGACTTCGAACCTGAAAAGGTCATCACTGATAGCATCACCGGGGAGAAGAGACCATATTTCTCGGCCAAGACGCGACTCTATCGTCAGCTCCTGCAAATACCTCTCGCCTTCCTCTGCTTCGTTGGCCTCGGTACCATTATCATCACCTGCTACTCCATTGAGATCTTCATCTCCGAGGTGTACGATGGGCCATTCAAATCTGTCCTCACATTCACTCCTGTCATTCTTCTCACACTCGCCGTACCACCGATGTCTGCATTTCTCACTTCCTTCGCCGAACGGCTCACTTTCTATGAAAACTACGAAACCAAAGACGCTCACGACAAAGCCATGGTCAGCAAAGTCTTCGTCATCAACTTCATCACCTCCTATACTGCAATATTCCTCACCGCCTTCGTCTACGTTCCCTTTGCTACAATCTTGGTACCTTACCTCGACATTTTCGGTCTCACCATGAAGCCTTTCGCTGAGAACGATGCTCAGCTGAAGACACCAGCACCTCAAACCTTCAACATCAATCCCAATCGCCTCAAAAATCAGATGATCTATTTTGCTGTCACAGCGCAAATTGTGAACTTCGCCACCGAAACAATCCTTCCACTAGTCACGCAGAAAGGGCAACAGAAGTACAAAGAGATGTCCAATTCCCGCGCCACTCGCCACGGCGGTGCCTCACCGCTTCCCGACGAGAATGACGCCCCGGAGGAGCGTGACTTTCTGCGCCGCGTCCGCCATGAGGCCGCCCTGCCCGAGTACGACGTCACCTCCGATCTACGCGAGATGTGCATCCAATTTGGTTACCTCTCCCTATTCAGCGTCGTCTGGCCCCTCACGCCGGTCAGCTATTTCATCAACAATTGGATCGAGCTCCGTGGGGACACTTTCAAGCTCACTACAGAAAGCAAGCGACCAAACCCGGCTAGGGCAGATTCGATTGGGCCTTGGTTGAGCAGCCTCGAATTTCTTGCTTGGTTAGGAAGCATCACCACGGCGGCGCTCTGCTACATGTTTAGCGGCAGCGAGGACGGACTGGGACCCGATGGCCGTCCACATCTCATCAAAGGCTGGGCGCTGCTTCTCTGCATCTTCTGCTCGGAGCACATTTTCCTCGTCGCCAGGCTCGCGGTGCGCACCGCCTTTGGCAAGCTCGATTCGGCGAATATGCGCAAGGAGCGCAGCGAGCGCTTCATGGTCCGTCGCAAGTTTCTGGAAGAGGCTGGCCTGGGACACGCGGTGAAACCGCTGGGCGGTAACGGCAGTGGCCCAAATAGCCCGCTGCGAGCCGTCGCCGAGGAGCAAGGCACGGCTGCGCTGGGGGACATCACGAGAGCCACGCTGGAAGAGGATGCGCGTTCTGAAACGTTGACCGAGGGCGGAGACCCGGAGAGCATGCGGTTCTGGCGTCGGCAGCGTGGCTGGCGCGAAGCGGAGAGGGTGGGCGTCGGATTGATGGGGGATCTGGACTGGGAGGGGAAGAAGGAAAAGTAAGTAGCCGGGGATGGTGGGAACTGAATTCGGGCTTCGTGGACCGCTGGAAATGCGTTGGCGAATGATGCTGTGAGTTTTAAAGTAAGAACCAAGAACAACAGCGCGGGGTGTCAAGGTATCAATTAAAAAACACGGCAATGGAAAATGTCACCGCGCTTGAAGTGGAGGGAAGTGCCCACTCCGAACTATCTGTCGCCGTTGGCGTCTATCTCTATCTCATCGCGAACGCCGTTCGTCAGATATCGCTTTTAGCCAACCAGCAATCCGTGCTAACTAATCTTCGACCTTCTTCCCGTCCATCCACGTTGGTTGCACGCCGCGACAGACGGCCTCATAGTCCAAAAAGGTCTGGTCGTCTCTCTCAGCCAGCATACCGGGCGTGGTCCAGAACATGGTCCAATTCATGTCCGGGATCTTCCAGGTGCCTCTGCTCCGCTCGAAATACCACTTGTTGACCGGATTGTCTTTCCTCGAACGCCAGCACACTCCGTTTGGGAAACACGTGCGGACCATGGCATTGAAGAGGATGTCGGCCACGCCACCGGCGCCTTGAGCTTTCTTAAGCACGGCGAACTTGTCCAGATACGGAACAAGCCGGTCGGTGTCAGGGGGCAGATATGGGGGACGCTCCCAGGTGAGGATCGCACCGCCTTCGTAATCGCCTGCAATGATAACGCCTGCAATGGAGTCGTTGACGCGGCGCAGATACGCTTCAACGTCGAGGGTGCGGTCAAATGAGTCGTTGATAAGGTGGACAAGACGGTCCAAGTCGATGCGTGGATCGGTCAGCTTGATCCAGGGTTTCTTAGTCGGCGCCCATGCTTGAGCAGCTGGGTTCGGGAAGATGGTCAACGGCATCCCATGCTTGACGAAAGTGGAGGATGTCACAGAGGGGGATGTGGCGGAAAGTCGTGTTGAAGGCAGTGAAGAAGAGTAGGCTGGTTTGTCCGTAAGAAGATTGTGTATGAGTGGATTCCGCTGGCGACGAGTGCCTACGGAAGACACTGGGATGTCTGTATTCCTTCTTTGGCTTGAGTTGGCGGCTTCCTCAGGTGTGGTGATGAGACCGGATGCAGCCTGCGGAAGCATGTTGAGCGCCCGACGGAGCATCGCCAGGTTTGAAGCATGTTGAGGAGATACACGCAAATCAGTCGAGCTTCGGAGCTCTTCTTGTAAAGCATGGTATTCTTGCGCCATATTCACGAAGACATGCATTTGGTCGTCAGACTTGGGGCTCGGGATGCCGCCAGAGGGGTCTATGACGATGATCCGATCGAGCAAGACTCTATTAGGGTGGTCGTCCTGGGTTTCGGCCTCGTCGCTCACGGCATCAGGACCATCCCGGTTGGCACTACTCATGTATTGCGTGAGAGCCAACATAGTCTCGTTTGCTGTGATATTGGTAGCCCGCTGGGTGCTCTCGTCGTACGCAACGGGAACGACAACCGGGATTCGTCCACGGTGAAGCGGTCTGTATAGCAAGTCCGGCATAGAAAGTCGTGCCCTACCATCCGGACCAATGGTGAGGATATCGGTAATTTTTCTGCCGCCTTGCTCAGTCGTCTCATCTAGCAAGCTCACCAACCGGTCAGTTTGCCCTGAGACACCCGCCTTCCGCCCATGAGGTTCGTAAATGTGTGGTTCGTCAACGACGACGCAGGGGAGCATGCTCAATCTAGCCAATTGAGCCAGTGTGCCAGTGATCCCGCGGAGGACGCCCTCGTGGATCTGCTCCAGCCCCGAGATCTTCACTAGAGCAACATGGGGTATCTCGGATTCTTTTATAGGTTGCTTCGTAGGCGTGTTGTGTTGCTGGAACACAGGACTGGTGTCAACCGCAGCAGATCTGCCAAACAAATTCGACGTCTTCGAGCGTGGTCTGTGGCTGTCTATGGGAGCATTTGCAGTCCGAGGGGGGGTCTTTAAGCGCGTGAGATACGCTTTCGCGTCTCGCCTCGTGGCAGCAGAGACCAGTAAATCCGCAAAGAACTGTTTATCCTCCTCCTTCTGTTTAGCCAGTTGTCCCAATGGCGCAGGTGGATGCTGTCCCAGGACGTTCTCTGGAGGAGGCTCCGCTGCACCTGCCACGGTCACATAGCATGCTCGGCTCTTACATGCTGCACTGTAGGCAATGAGAGCACTCCGGTCATATCTGCCCAGCTCGAGCCTTAGGGGACGTTGAGCTATTCGAGCCCGGGTCGCAGTTTTCGACCAGGGCAAGGGCTTGAAGCTCATGTTTCATTGTGCACGAAAAGCGAAGAATGGTAGCAGGGAAAGTTATGCATTGGTTGCCCTGCTAGAAGTGCGCGAAGCCCTCGACTGGACTTATGATTGAAGAGGATGTACTGGCTGACGCCCAATATGATTCACAATGCTGTATGTCAAAAATGGATGCACAAAGTTTCGACTTCACCGCCGATCTCGCTACGTCAAGGCTGTATTGCTGGCGGTAGCACGTTGCTCCGTGCCGCCACCTGCCTTGATCTTTGCACCCGCATCCCGCAGGAGTTTGATCTGACGCCGCTGGAGCAGACTCCAGAACACTCGACACTGGACGAAGGAGCGGCGAGGCATTGCTAAAGTGTGAGCTCCGCGTCAATTAACTATCCTCAGGCTTCCGACACCGCCGAGGTGTACCCACATACGGAGTAGTCTCATGCGCGTCCCGAAAACACCAGCCGATTCGGGAGAACACCCACATTTCAGAGGTCAATATGGCAACGTCATGGGGTCTCAAGCCCCTCCAACGTATAGCCGAAGGTGAGTTTGCTATATGATGATGAGACCTCCACGGTTCACGATTTCATGTTTCACCCAACAATCTATCTGCCCACCATCTTCTACCCGCTACATTTCGCATCGGACTTCAACAATGGCGCCTCAGCTCGCATGGATAGGTCTAGGGAATATGGGTCGGGGTATGTGTAAAAACTTGGTAGAGAAGGGAAACCTATCGCAGCCTCTCCTTATCTACAATCGGACGACCAAAAGGGCGGAAGACCTTTCCTCGAAGATCGGGCGCTCGACCGTAATGACATCCATCCCGGGACTAGTCCAGAAAGCCGATATCATCTTTTACTGCCTAGGAGATGACCCTGCAGTGCTGGGCATGGTCGACGAAATCCTGGTCAACGATGTCTCTGGCAAGATCCTTGTTGACTGCTCTACAGTCCACCCCGAGACCACACAGCAGCAGGCGGAGAAGATCGAAGCAAAAAGCGCTCAATTTGTTGCTTGCCCGGTTTTTGGAGCGCCGGCGATGGCAGACTCTGGCCAACTTGTTTGTGTGCTCGCCGGTAAGTCATCGGCGGTCGACAAAATCAAGCCGTATTGCGAAGGCGTGATGGGGAGGGCCATTATCGATTTTGCCGGCCAGGAAGCCTCCAAAGCTACGTTGCTGAAGGTGGGAATCATGGTCTACAGGCAGGTTAGTGAGACTAACTAGATCAAGGTCCTTGGAAACACTTTCATTGCGAGCATGGTAGAGACGCTATCCGAGGGCCACGTCGTAGCCGAGAAGTCTGGTTTAGGGACGCAACAGCTGCATCAGTTCATCGAGGCAATGTTCCCGGGTCCCTACACCGCTTACAGTAACAGGATGCTAAGCGGAGACTATTATAAACGAGAAGAGCCGCTGTTCGCCGTGGATCTGGCCAGGAAGGATGCCAGACATGCTCAAAAAATCGCCAATGATGCAGGTGTGACAATGAAAAACGTACAGATCGCAGATGGGTTACTTCAAGGTGTGAAGGAGCACATGGGAACGAAGGGCGATATCGCTGGCATGGTATGTCGAGTCCCTCTGTCCACTCCCTCAAGTCTCGAGACTGATTCGGCACCAGTACGGCGCGAAGCGAAAAGAGAGCGGCTTGCCTTTTGAGAACTGATCTCGCCCGGTATATCGATTTACTACGCAAGGTAACGATTCCGGCGCAATTTGTAGCGATAGGTCGTGCAGGGTCTCATGAGATAGAGGCAGTCGGTGGGAATCCTTGTCTCGGAACTTCTGGACCTCAAGACATATGTTGATATGATTGTTCAGGTGAAAGGAATTTCGCTTGGTAGATACCCCAAACGAAGTACTGGTCTGACGTTGCACGCCTAGCCAGAATTTTGCTCTGCTAGCAGCTTCGTGAGCCCGGAATGTCCCCTCATTCCCACGTTATCAGGACGCAGTCCAAGGAGGCGGCACATGGCTGTGTCATGCCCACTCACAGAAATGTGGCAGTTCTAGTGCGGATCAAAGGGTCCATCCGCAACGTGAGCAAGGTTTCCGAATGGCGGTGAAGAAAGGAGGCGGTAGGTCATATTGAGGCGGATCGCTAATCTATTTGTGACCTTATATTCACCTCAATCCACTGTTCTTGAATCTCTGAGTCTCGTTGTGGTTCTACTTGGGCATCTCGGAGTACCTCCGCTCCTGCGCTGACTTCTGCAAGCTCTTGTATGGCGACTAGTAGGTCTTGCGACACAAACAGGGATGGTTTTTGAATCTCACAGCAGGATCCGGTGCGTGCCAGCCTCTCAGGTGGTCGAGCATCAAGCAGAGTGGCGATGGTCTACGTGCCTGGCAGTCTCCGTAAACTGTTCCTATTCGATGCCTGAACCAAACGAGATCTGTGGCCGTCCCGAGGGGGTGCCAGTGGCCGGTCAGGGTTCTCCCTCCCACACGCACCCAGGCGGTAGGGCCCGTGGCCGCCGTCTTCTTATCCACCTTGCGACTATTACCAAGTTTTCGGGGTCGATGATATCGCTAAAGGAACTCACCTACTTGCCCCGTCTGCAGACGGCGACATCCAGCTGCGCGGCTGAGGTTTGGCCCTCAACAACGCCTCTAATTACCCCACCCCACCGTGGGGCAACTCTGGACTCATCACCAACCGGCAAAAGGCGCGTGCGATACTACACTGAGCTGGCATCCTTTCAAATCCCAGGCGGGGAGCAGTATTAGCCGAGCCATTATCGTGAACAGACCAAGTCAGAGCATGACATGTGTTCCGTCGTCACTTACCACGTTGGATCTCTCCAGCACTAACTGAACTGACCTGGCTACCTGCGTCGCCTCCGTCTCTCCAGTCGTCCACTGACCTTCTCATCCCGCGTCCGCTTTGGCCGTTTTCTGTTACGCTTACCTCGCGCTCATTGTCTGCCTTCCTTTCGTCCCTCGAACGTTTTACTGTTTAGCCATGTCGCCTCCAATTGCTTGTTTCCAATGACGATCGGGCATTGCACGCGGCAGTCGTCTTGATCGTCCAGAATCGTTTGTCAGGCTGAAATCCATCACTTTTCTGAGCGTACCAGATGCCCGCGCCTCCGCGCTCAGGCCATCTTCGTCTTCGCATCTGAGATCTTCAGCCTCGAATCCACCAGCTCGACCACAATGTCGGGCCGTGGCGATGCTCGTCGCGGCCGCCGGTCCCCACCACCCTCTGACTCTGAAGACGAGTCTCTTACCCACATTCAGTGTTGGATCCCCGCCGCTAGCATAGACCTCGTCGTCCTAGCCATTTATCTCAAAGAGTTCATTGACGATACAGCCACCATCAAACCATCGCCAAACCCTCAGGTAACACTTACTGAGGATGCTACTGCTGCTACCCTTCTGACTGCTCATAGGATACATCGAAACAGGGTTACACGATTGGAGCAAGGAACACGTTGAGTGTGGTAAGTATTCTGTATCGAACCTCAGTCATCAACTGAGACAAGGCTAGTCAGGCTGTCGCGACATCATCGAGGACTCCCGGACTTGGGAGAAGGAGAAGCAGAGCAGTAAGCAGCACCATTTCCCACGATTGCTCATCTCACATAGAGTAGGGGATTACCGCAAGGATCCTTACCCGTACAACGATTCAGACACCTGGTACAATAGGCGGAAAAAGGGAGCCAGTCCCGGGCACACCAACCCTAGGCGACGACGAAGACCTGCTGGAGAGGTTGCCGACGCCGCAGCACGGGCAAGCAAAGCAGTTGGGGCCCGACACCGGGATCCAGATCCTGAGCCTCCGCCCCGCCCTTCCAACCCCCCACCAGATGTTCTGAAAGAAAGCAGAATACCCAAACCGGGACTCGAAACGTCTATGAAAAAGTTAAGCATTGCGACTCCCGACAGCAAAGATATGTCACGTGAAAGCCTGAGCAAGAGAACGGTAACAAATGAAGAGCCTAGGGAAGAAGCAAACAGAGGGGCGCGGGTGCAGCCTAATACAAGTAGCACCAGGCACAGGGACAAGGCCGACAGCGATATCAGGTCAACAACCACATCGGGTTGGCGAGAACGTGATCGGCATACTGTTGACGACGATGACGTGCGTTCGACGATGTCAAGTGCCCGAAGAGACCCCCGGGATCGTCACCGAACGTAGGTACCTCAGTCAACTATCGGGCTTAGGACCGAGATATGGACAACGAGACCAAATGGCAAATCGAGTACGACTGGAATAGGCTGAGAGCGCTGCGACGGATTGGATTTCATTTGCCCAAACACGATCCTGCTCGTTGGCAGAACGACCAAATTTCCCTCATTCGACAGGCATTTGGAGCACAGTCTTGGAGACCGAAAGAAGTCCTCCAGTCAGCCAGCATACTGCATGGATAGGCGTGTTGAGCTTCCCAGACATGACAGTGAAGTTGGTGGTGGTAATGGATGCAAAGCTGCCCAGTATGACGATATGGATTCGCACCAAAGTGTGAGGTGATTAAGGAAGCAGGAAGCTTGGTACCAAAACTCAGAGCCGAGGCGACGGAACGAAGAAACGGATTGTCCAGCAATGAGGTGCGTGTGGATTTGCCGCTCCACGAGTGACGTGATAGGGTGACCAGGGTTCGTTGCACATCGGTTGTTGCAACCAAAGCGCGAAACCGTAAGTCATCTACGCCAACATCAGCACGAGCATCAGCGTTGCCGGAGGCCCGAATTCGGGCTACCCAAAGTCATTCTATGGCGTCACACTGGGGCCGTACTCACGGCAGGGGTTCTGTTTTCCAATACTGGACGCTCCTGGGAAGCGTTCAATGAGCCTGAGTTCATCCTGCAAGAGTTGAGTAAATGTGCCCAGCTGGGTATCAAGGATCAGTGAAGGGGGAGGTTTATGTGGTGAGGCACCTTGCCCGTTTATATTCGCCTCGACATCACCGCGCCCAGGTTCATGCTCTGTATGACCAGCTACCACCGAGGATCCGTGTTTGGACGGCAACGAATCGTTTGTCATCGGTCGTGCTGCGATCTCTCGCAGCACTGTTCTTTAGGTGTCCACCTTAACCAGGATAGCCCAGGTCCAACTTTACGTCTATCGTTATGGAGCCTTCCAGCAATGCTTGACCTGCATGGTCCTTACCTTCTGAGAGCAACATCTGGTAGGATCTAGGTCCCGCATCTTCTAAGCGGTCATATCCAGCCGGAGGGTAAGGTCCTAGCCAATTTGTGGGGTGCAGGTGCACAGTAGACCTAGCCACCGAGACGTCGGTATGGAATCGGATACTCCGTACTATCGGTGGATTGGTTTTCAACAAAGACCATGTGAGCGCTCCGGGTGTTCATCAGCGAAGGTAGCCGGGAATCGTCAAAGTTTCACATCCTGGGCAGTGAGGCGAGCCAGCGGTTTCTTGAAAGTCGACGTTATCACACTGTGCTCCACTTGTTGCATCGTCCCCCGGGGCTAGGCTTTCGTTAACGGGTGCATGCAACAGGATGTGACGTCGCTTTGGGCGCAGAAAGGAGATGCTCGGACCGAAGGAGTTCGTCACTTGAATCAGAGGTAGCTGCGGCACAGGCGAGGGTGATGAGATGGCACGGACGCGAAGCATACAGCGGCGGAGTCTGAGCGCAGGCACAAGAACGGGGCGCAGAAGGACTGCTAGGCCGTGCATCCATAGATATACTAGTAGTGCGGCCATATCGATTTTTCTGTTGAGTCAACCAGTACATCTCTAGCATGTTGAGATCAATTGACCTACTGAAGCCGGGTGGTCAGATGTGGCATCGCTCGCACCCCTCGTACCGAAGATTTATTTGATCTCCGGGCAGCGTGATACACGCTCGGAGCATCCAATCAAGCCCCGAGCCATCAAAGATGAGGCAACAAAAGAATCGGTGCGTCGGTCAAGTGGAGCACTGATTTCATTCCTCCAGCTAACGCCCCAGGCACCTAATGCACGGTTCTTTCTGTCGCTCGGAGCTGCCTCTTGTGCTTAACAAGCCTAGCCTGAAAGCCAGGTCATCACGCGTTTACCGGTGAACAGGACGACACGTCGAGTGGGCGTGGGCAAGCCCAGCTAATTTCCAGGCATTCTGTTTCTGCCATGGCCACTGCTCGCATCCGTTGCTGTGCATGACCACCTTTTGGCCCACTCAATTCGCCCTCATAGTCGCGGCCTTTTGCTCGCCAACTGCCTCTTGCCGGTACGCCTGCCTGAAACCTCGTTGTGTGATTCTCTCTGTGTGTGCCATCGTTTCCTGTGCCCCACCGATAAGCGCGCTGCGTCGAATGAGGTCAACAGTTACTCAGCCTTTTCAATAGGGTGTCTCAGTCCTTTGTGTCTGTGCTATCGCTTCCCTTCAGCCTGACCGACGGGTTTAACCTGCACTGAACTTTCCGGCATCTCGCTCCCGCTCAGCGTTCAACGTTCATCCTTCGCCTTCAGCTGTCCGAACACCGTTACCGAGCGACGAATCTTGCCATGCCCATTTTCTGACTTCCATGGCCACCAGTCCGAGCTACAACCAGGACACCGCGGCTCTCTTTCCATCCACGCAGGGCGAGGTATCGCGCAGCACAGAGGGTCCCTCGGCCTCAGAATGGGAGGCCAGGAAGGAGGATATCCGCCGGCTCTACGAAAAGAAGCCCTTGAAGGATGTCAAGGCCCATCTGGAGAAGCACTATGGCTTCAGAGCAACGTGCGTTCCCTGCCCATCCCCTCTCACTAGTCTTGCCCGCCACCCACTTTTCTAACATGCAATCTTCTAAACATAGAGAACGTATGTTTAAATCTCGCCTACACCAGTGGAAGTTCACCAAGAACTCTTCCGACAAGGAGTACCAAATATGCGCCGTCCTCCACAAGACTCGTAAAGACAAAGGCAAGTTCGACAGTGCCTTTGTGATAAACGGTAACCCGCGCTCTCTCCGCGACCTCCGCAAGTACATCAAGGGAAGGAAGATGACCGAGGATGAATTTCTCGATGCCGCTCTGGAGAGCGTCAATATCTCCAAGCTCGACGACAAAGTGCGAGCGGTAACCCCGGAGCCGGAGCCCGAGTCTGAGGAAGTCGGCGAGCCCCAGGATTCCGACGATTCTGACGCCCCCACCCAACCCTCCCGGTACGCCAAGCTCACCCCATCCTCGTCAAACGCCTCCTCCTCTCCCCACCAATCCTCGGCGTTACATAGAGATGCCCTTGCCGCCTCCCGCCAGATCGCCACGTCCGGTGCCTCCTCGTCATTCAATCATGGCAAGCGCCGATCTTCACAGACCTCGCACCGTCACTACTCTTCTGCCTCGTCAGTATCTAATCTTGCCGGCCATGGAATTGCTCAGATACCGTCTGCGCCAGCCTTCACGCCTGATACATACTCAACTTCGCCGACAAGTGTGACGCGCCATCAGACAGGACGACTATCACAGCGCTCCTCGCCACGAAGGAGCTTCGATCGGAGCGACATCGATAGCTTGGCGTACTCGACCCTCTACTCTGCTTCCCTGCCCCAAACATACGGCACCGACAACCTCGATGCTTGGGCTGCAATGATGAATGTCGACGGCTCCGACACTTCGTCGCTTTCCGACTATGATGTCGTTTGCCCAAAATGCCACCGGCTCACCTCCGACCATTTCACTAGCTTGTGCAACCTTGGCACGCCAGATTCTGGCGTCTACTCTCCTTCGTCACAATCCAACGCAGACATGACTCGTGACATCTTCAACCCGTCGCCCGATCTGCCAGCAGCAGCCAACCATTTCGCCATTCCAGCACCAACCAAGCAACATGACCATTCGTGGAAATGGGTCTCACACTGCTTTTCGGCTTGTATATACTACTCTCGCAGCCGATACACGACGACCTCGGACAACAATCTCACGCAACACACCCCTGTAGCTACCAGTGCTCCCAACGACTTCGCCTTCGCGCGGTGGGATCTGGAGCGCGCAAGCCATGAGTTCCACGCGATGCTCTCCAAGGGCGACCCCAATGTCCTCATTGCGCTCAACCAGACGGTTATGGTCCTGAGCATGCACAATTGGGGAAACATTACGCCGACGATCTTGTCGTCCGCAACCAAAGGCACTGAGCAGGCTCTCGGGAGCTCCCACCCCATCAATATCTTGATCCGATTCATCATCCGCATGTCGAGTGGGAACACAATGTATGCCAACGATCAAATCACGAGCCCAACTCTGAAAGGTGTCTGGCAGGCATTTGTGCATGGTTGGACGAGTGAAGACGGCCAGCGAATCATCCACGCCGAAGGCGAAGCGGGTCGGCGAGCCATTCCCGCCATGTATTGCTTTGCTTCTCTCCTGTGCGCAGAAGCTGTCAACGAACACAACCCTGCAAAACGAGCTGTCATGCTAGCAGAGTGTGAGTACACTCTCAAAAATTGCTACCAGTTGGCTTGTGCGACATTTCAGAAGAAGCACCTCCAGACAGTCCAGGTCATGGTCAAGCTACAGCTATGTCTCGAGAGGCAGGAGCGGATCCCCGAAGCCATCGAATGGACGGAGCGCGCCGTCCGAGATGGCGAAGAGACTCTAGGCAAATGGCACCCTCGTCAACTAGAAACCAAGCGTATCCTGGCAGAGTTGTACAGAAGAGATGCTCGGCATGGTCAGGCAGTGGAAGACATCTACTGGGATGTTCTTGAAGGGAGGATACGCATGCTAGGCAAAAAGCATGAGTCAACGATGGCGATCAAGCAGACCCTGGAACAGTTTCTGAAGGACAGAGGCCGCTGGGAGACTGACGGAGGCAGCAGCAAGACTTCGAGCGCAGCAAAAGACAGGATGAATGACTTGTGGGAGTGGACCCATCTTGACCGGGAAGATGGCGGGGACGGGGCTCCCGGTGACCATGTGCAGGAGGGCTACTGATCTCCAGTTTTCGACGCCACGCAAATGGCTCCTCATGCTATTCTGTAATCACCGGAAGCTGTTGCGGCAAGAGACGAGAACGCTTTCGGATCATGGGACTGCAGGTACGATCTTCGCACTGTTGAGTATGAGCTATACGCAGCGCTGACTCGGCTGAAGGCCCACCTGTAGCTGTCGGGCTTTGGTGGATCGAACTGGGCATTTTCGCCAACCGTCGGCGTCAATGTGTACGCAGGTGGAGCATCTCATGTCGAGTACTTTGCGCTGCGGCTGCAGAAGCAAGTTTGGTCCGCCACCTGTCATGGACAACGCCCCTGCTGAAGCACGTGGGTTCGTCCAGCGGATGAGACTATCTGCCATCCCACGCCCAATATATCTTGGCGTGGTGCTGGTTTTAGAAACACCCGCCCTTCTACATGAGCTCAGGTCAGAAGTAAAGATAGCTGCGGAGTCGCAATGCGTGCTTGAGGAGCAGCAATTGTCGACTGTTGGGTCGCCAGAGGCTGCACAGTAAATGCTCGTCTCCGACATCAGACCGGACGGCTGCGGTGAACAAAGCCGCAACAGCTCCCCCTACGGAGCTTTCTCAGGCGTACCGGTCCTGCTCTAAGCCACCATATATCATGGGGCAAGCCAACGGCTCCATCATAAGATTCTCTGGCAGTTCACATGGGGACACCGAAACAACACCGAGAAACAAACAAGCAACTCCCATTTAGACTACAGCGGGAGCAACGAAAGAAACTTGGTCTTCGAAGGTATCAGGAAGGGATGGTAATGGGATACACTGCAGCGTTTATTGCGTGGGGCGGCTACTATCAAAAGTCTTGTGCGTTGGATGTGTGCTTTCGGGAAGCATGGAGTTTGCGGATTTCAAAGACCGACAAGCTTGGATTCTTGGACAAGGGAAAGTTGTGACACTGTGTACACATCAATCTGCTCCTGGAAAACGTTCGCTTCAGATTGCTTGAAAAAAACGAAAATCTTACTTGGGGTTCGGGATGGATGAGGATGTGGTGAGCTTGAGTGAGGAGATGAGCGAGCGAAGTTGCGTTGTTGGACTGGGATGGATGGATGGGGACAAACAGTGAGGAGGAGGAGGAGGAGGAAGAGGAGGCGGCGTGAACTACACTCGCTCTTCTTGCCACAAGTCAGTGTGCGGTGCGGTGATGGATATCGATATGCGGATATCAGCTGCCTTCACCGGGCCATGGGATTGTGCTTCACGCCGTCGCCGCTTCCATAGGAAAACGTTGCGAGGTGAGCGACGACTTGTGTGTGTGTGTGTGTGTGTGTGTGTGTGTGTGTGTGCTGAGAAGGGGCTCGAGCATGTCACGTCACTGGAGAGGTTGCAGTGTTGAAGTCCTGTGTTTCGAATCCCCATGTTCCTCCCTTCACTGTTTCCTGGCCTTCTGACCTTCCCAATTGTAGAGAAATCCTCAGTGAGGGCCTCACGCGGCGCAGACCCTTCCCACCCAACTGCAACGGACACTTGGGTCCCACCACATCGTATCGTAGACGCCGTGGTAGAGTGACTGACCAGGGCTCCCACCCAGCCAGGCTTCCTTACCTACGTGTGTGTGTGGGTCCGAGAGGACGACGATCTCCCGCTGCAAGGCGACCTGGTGTTGCAAAGTGAGGCAAAACGTGCCCCACCATCGGGCTGTTATTCCAGTGTACACGATCTACAGTACTGTATCTGTCGGCGGATGTGTGTGTGTCATGGCTGACAATGACGGTAAGCGACAAGGCGCGAAACCAGCCGTTGTGTGTCTGGGGTTATCAGCCAGCTTCAGCCCAGGCTTGTGTCTTCTGGCGTTCGGAGTCCGACCTACTGTACTATAGCTACCCACGGAGAGAGAGCATTGTGGGAATGGGAAGAAAGTCCAGAGAAAGAAGCCTTCTTCCAACATTTTGTGTGTGGCCCGTTGCCGTTCATGTTGGCGATCAGTTCAGTTCAGTCCGGTCCGGTACGGAGAGCAGTGACAGTGACGGTGACGGTGGTCCCTCGCTTGCAGTATCACCATTGATGGCGTAGCGGTGGGTGGGTGGCGCACAACGCTTGGAATGCGGATGAGCTGGTCAGCGATGCATGGTTTTTAGCCTTATCCTAGCACGGCAATTATATATCTTTTTTCTCCCCCCTTGAGATGGGACCTTCAGTTCGCCTCATCGGCGGCCTTTGAGACTCTCCATACCCATCAATAGGCAAAAGACACCATCTTCAATCGTAGTCCCCCATGCTCATACGGGGCTGTTTGCTATCTCGTTAAGCCCTCGGTCACGATTTTCTTCCCTCCTCCCATGGCTCACCTCGCCTCACAACCCGCATGAAGTGCCAAGACTTTTACTGCCTGGTCTCCGCCAGCGAAACGGAGAATCTACTGTACGAATCAAAGCTCGATTCGGCTCGTTTCGACCTGATTCGATCTGGTACGGACTTGGGGACGAACTTCAATACATCTCCGATTCACGGCAGTGGCTTATGCAGAACATTTAGCTTGTATCCCAAAAGCGTTCCTCTCTTTTAAACGTATAGCGACAAACCGCCGTACACAGTCCACCTACGTCTCTTGGACACTATGAGCATGCCGTACTACAGCGTCGCAGCCGCCGTGGCTATCCCCAGCATCGCCAGAAGCAAAGTATTGCGACCCAATGTCGGTTCCACACAGACACCGAGGCCCGAATACGGTCCGGGTCCTCCGCTCTCTCCACTTCCCTGGCCACCCACACTTACGGCTGCATCGCCGGTAAGGGGAATGGTCACGTTGACACTCAAGACCTTCGACTGCTCATTGTAGCTGTATGGCACTTCATTGCCGCCCGCACCCGTGACATTTCCGGGCTGGGTATCAACTCCCAGGACCAGAATGCTCTCAATCTGCACCCCAGCGTCGTAGCTGTAGTCGCCTGTCATCTGGAATATGCCTAGGTTGTACGTGAAATTCACGAGTGTAGTGGCTTGCTGCTCGAGACTATCGCCATCATCAAGATAGAGGGTACCGTTCGCTGTGCCATCGAGACCAGGGGCAACCACGATCTCGAAACCTATCTTGCGAAGGCTTGTTGTCGTGTTGGCGCTCTGCATCCGCAACGCCATGATGCTTCCGCCCTTGATATGCAGTGGAATGACGGTGTAATCTACATCATCGAGAGTGGTCGTAGAACCATTACCACGGACTGGTAGAAAGCCGGCGTTCCAGTCGTAGAATATATCGTCAGGAATGTAAATCTCGACAGAAGTGCTGTTTTCTTCGATGACAGGGGATACCAGGACAGCATCACCAAAGAAAAACTGAGCATAGTTGGCAAAAGTGTTGGAATCGTGGGGGTAAATGAACCAAAGGGGGTTCAAACTCGGTTTGCCGCTTTGCGTTTGCAGGTAGAATTGTGTGTAGAAATAATCGAGCATACGGTAGCGGATCTCGATGGCGTTACGGGCAGCTCGTGCGACAGACTCCCAACGGTAGAACTCCTGTCCGATGGCTCCAAGCTCGTTGTGATTGCGATAAAAGGGGTAGAAGGCCCCTAGGGTGGCCCAACGGGCGCAAAGGGTCTCGGTCGTGTTCCCACTAAATCCGCAAACATCGCTTCCCACCATCGGAACCTGAAAGATCGAATTGAAGTTAAGCATGTCGGAGATAGACAGATGGTATTGCTCCCAGGTTGCCGCATTGTCACCTGTCCAGTGGCCAACGTGCGTGCCAGCACCCAGATACGTACTCCTGGTAATGACCAGGGGACGAACCAAAGGACGCCGAGCAAGCATGGCTGTTCGAGAAGCGGAAGACATCATTGTTCCATAGAGGTTGTGCGTATCATACTCAACAAGACCATTGGCGTGATGCAATTCGGTATTGATCGTCTTATTCGACAGGCTCCCAGCGGCATTCATGATGGAGTAAGGCGGGTCAACTAATTCACGGTCCGGAAGCCCCTGCTTAGTACCCAAGGCCTGGCGTCTGACCGTCATGTTACCGGCACCGGGTTGTAAGTTTGCTGGAAACCCAGGTAAAGGAACCGCCGACCCATCTCTCAGAGCCGGTGGATCGGGGGGGTTCTTGTTCTCCTCAGCGAATCCTGCTGGATCTGCGCAAGGCCAGTTGCAGAAATTGGCTGCTTCATTCATGTCGATCCAGAGACCATCAATGTCGACCCCAGACTCGGCACTGAAGAAGCTGACGAATTCGTCGTTCCAGTACTGCTCGACGTTGGGGTGAAACCAGTCAGGAAATACGGTTGGACCAGGCCATACCACCCCCTCGTAGATCGTTCCATTGTCATACTTTAGCCACACATCGAGATCAACACCGTTACTGTACGCGCTATAGTTCTGGTAGGCAACCGCTGGATCCACCATGACAATGTAGTGCTGATCACGATCGTGAAGATATTCTACCACTTCCCGCACCTTTTCTAAGGGGAAGCGGTCCGGATCAAGAGTGAACACTTTCCGGAGTTCCATATAATCAATGTCTGTCCACGCAGTCTACCTGAGTCAGCAAAGTCTTGTAGATGCCTTCCGCTCTACTTACCTCGAGAGGTATCTCTGCCTGGCTGTAGTTATGGATCATTTCGGCAACTTGATAGATGTCTTGATAGCCATATCGACAGTTGTGAAAACCTAGACTCCAATAAGGGATCATAGCCGGTAGGCCGACGACCTCGGATATCTGCTGTGATGCTTCAATAGGGCCAGGCCCCGCGACGAAATATAAATCGATGACGCCTCCAAGAGTATTGTATTCGAGGTATTGGCCATTAGTATCGTTGATCTTGATATCCATTCCGTTGGAGTTCAGCAGAACTACACCATGTGTACCACTTTCGCCTCGATTGTCAAGGTAGACCGGGTGATTGCCATACAGGTTCGTGCCCGGTGGAATGCCATAGGAGTCTCTTGACCACAGAGTCCTGGTGTAGTTGGTGGTATTGAGCTGGAAGGGATCCATGTGCTCCCCAAGGCCATAGAGCGCAGGATTCTCCGGCAGACTTGTGCGAAGGCCTAGGTATTGAGACTCGAAGATGATAGGCCATCCGGAGGTGTTGAACAAGACTTCGCCATGTGGGCGGGTAACCGCAAACGAGAAAGGGCTTGATGTGTAGCTGAACTGCAGTTGCGAGCTGGAGGCAAAACCGGATCCTGGAGATGGCCGAGGAAAGACGCTCTCAGGGACCTGATAGACGTTCTGGTCCAGGTCTTCGATCAGCACATGCAGGCGAGTATCTGCGCAATTTGATCAGCCGCCCGCACAAGATCCTAGAGCAGCTTACCAGTCTGATACTCAACGGTCAATGTCAGGTTCGGAAGATCTGTTCCGTAGACGTCGCATGCCTCTCCGGCAAGCTGCAAAGTCGCGGTTAGCCCACTTGACGTCTCTTGGACATTGCTAGCCGTGTAGCCCGGGCATTTGCTTTGACTGGCCACGCCGAGGACCAGACCGGCCAGGACGAAGATTCGTCTGTGCATGTTAGCAAGACAGATAGAGTCTCCAAGTCAATCCGCGAAGCCTGGATCAGGTAGACGTTGTCTTGGTCAAATATTTCTAATGGCCAGAGGCAGAGCAGCTGTTGGACCACGGGCGGAGGAATATGATCTGTCTGTCCCACCCAGACGTCCACATCAACAGCATCTCGCACCCCTCCGTGTGTGGGACTAGACTCCCCGCAAGAGTACAAGCTGCCGAAGAGGAAGGTGCAGTTGACTAGAGGTCATGCTAGTGCCGCTGTCGGCACCGCCATTGGCAAGGGTGACCATTGGGAGGCTGACCAACCAATAGACTGGGTCAGATGGCCATGTAACGACCTGCCAAGCAACGCGATGATGCTCCGTATTCGCGAATGCATTTGGCCGAAGTGTGACGCTGGAGTATTAGGGTAGTAGCAGAGCTCAAAGTCGTCGTCAAACCGCGGAGAAGGCGGGCAGCGGGGAAGTCAAAGACGGGGAAGATGCTGCATTGCAGCCAACATGATGTCATGTTTCGACACAGCGCGATGCAGAGATTCTCCGAGGGCGAGATGTGACAACACGAAGTCGAGCAACAACTGGAGACTGGTTCTAAAGCATATCTATTCCGAGAAAGATATCATGCACGAGAGGGCGCCAAGTACGCCTCATCGAGCGTCCAGGTTGGGATTCTGGAGGACTGCTACACCTGCGTCGGTTTGCTTTAATTTCAGCTGAGAATCCTCTTCTTGCATAAGTTCGCCAGCCCCCTGAGCATCCTCTTCGTGTTTGGCGCTGACATTGATGGCCAAGAAGCTCTTGGGCAGCTGCACCGTGTCGAATTTCGCTTTCAACGTCGAAATCACCTCTTTCCAGTCTTGATGGTTCGTGAGGCTTCTGCGCGGCGCTGATCCAATGACGTGTTTCGAGTCGAGAGAAATGTCAATAGGATCGATGGTATGGCAACCTGGGCTGATACTGATGCGGATTGAGTATGCCGATTCCTTCGTGTCCGCGTCTTGTGCCTCATACAGTTCAAAGCAGATTTGACTCAGGTAGTCAAGCTCTGGTATGGCGGCCCGCTTAATCTTGGTCTCTATGCCACCCTCCATGATGCAATTCAGCAGCGTGTAGACATGAGACTCCTTGGTGAAGTATACAAAGCTCTTCGCATCTCCGGTAGCTTGCAACTCCTCAAGATCCTGTACGATCTCTCGGAGTAGTGGTAAAGAGGTTAGCAACCCAATCTCCAGCTTTTCATGGTCCGAGATGCCATATTCTTGAGGACCGATGTAATCGAAGAGTATCTTGGCGTATCGATACAGCCCTCGCAGCCGAGCAAGGCGCTTATCCTGCTTTCCTCTGGTGTCTCCACTGCCACCAAACAATTTGAAATACGAAGCATCCTGCTCGTAGCTAGTCAATGGTGGCGTCGATGGCGGCTGAGCCAGGACCGACCGCCGTCTGAACCCCATCTTCTTGGCAAGAGAATGGCGATCACTGGGCGAAAGCGATGTGGTAGTGTCCTGCCGGTCCACACCTGGTACCGGATCCTCTTTCTCAGACTCTGGGGAAACAAGCTGTGAGCTTGTGGCTTCCTCGAGCTCGATCTCGTCAATGACGGTTTGACTTGGTGTAAACACCCATTCCAGAAAGGCTTTGTTGTGCAGTGCATCGTACTTCATCGTATCGTAGAGCTCCGAGACCTTGCTCGGATCCGCCTTGTCTGTATCACAAAATTCGGCAAACAGCTTCTCCCATCGCTCTTTGAAAAGTTCCGCATCCTCGCCGGTGCACCATCTTGCTTGAACCGAATTGACGTCAACGGCTTCTCGGGAATTACTGCTGCTTTTGCTCTCGGGTGAATTGATGGCTGCTAGCGAGGCCGCGGCTCCGCCGCTGAGCTTCTTGAAGTTGTAGCGCATGACCTTTCGGTGGAATCGTAGAAGATCAATCACACTTTGCATGACGATAAAGGGTTCCGGAACGTCCTTAGGCCAGGCAAATTCCTCCGGTACCGAGTTTCCCTCGCGAAGAAGGTGCTTAAGCTTCTTCTTGACCTTGTCCATGACGTCTTTGGCGGCGTTGGAATCATCTAGCAGGTCCTTCCGCACCTGTATATAGTCTTCAGAGATATCGTCGCGACCCAGGAAAGCCGCGGCCCAGATCTGAGCACTCGTGCGGACACGCTTCTCAGAGCTGGTGAAGATCCGCACATCGTCCAAAACCTTTCTATTCAGTAGTTTGAAGTCATCCCTCATGTTCTGGCCAAGATCTTGAGATTGGTAGCGAGCCGAGTGTGTTGGCTCTCCGCCCCACTTCATGACCAGCTGGAGCTTGTCCAAAACCAGATCGTGTTCAGCTGCTGAATATCGCGAGAACGTCGCGCCCGAGATCGAGTCGCTCCTCGTTGTCGTCTTCTTCATTTCGTCACCAAGAGGAGGAGACAAAGGGGACTGCGGGATGTGGGCCTCGGCATGCTCAGGAATAGATTTCTCGAGATTAGGGGATGACGAGCCCGGAAGAGCATCATCTGGTCTGCGCTTTCGGAACATTGGCTTGATCTGAACTTTTGTAGCTGGGTGGCTGCGCTTTCGTGCCAAGGCATTGCGCAAGTTTCGGAGCTTATCCTGGTCTTCGAGATTTTCTCGCTGTGCGGTTTTGACGGCAGCTTCAACGCTGGCTAAAGCAGCTTCTCCCTTTAGCAAGACCTCTTCATGATGGCCTTTGAGTAAATCAACAAAGACCTGGGAATGAGCCGTGAACTTGATCTTCTGTTTCGGAGTCCGATCGGCATGACGGATCACGGTAACCACGCCCTTCAACTTCCAGGAGTGCTTGGAGCTAGGCATTGGCGCTGTGGTCTCTGGGCCTTGCGCCTGCTCGGATACCCCGGGAGCTTCGATCAAAGCTGTGTCTGAAACAGCAGGCTCAGTAATACTCGGCGGCGGCAGTACTGCATCAGGCTCGGAACTCTTCGTCCCAGGAACAATACTTCCCATAGAACGTTCCATAGTCGGGGGAGAACTGATGGGAGTCGTGACGGATGAAGTCTTGGGCGAGGATGCTCCATGTTGATGGTTCCTTGAATGTGGCATATGCTGCGACAATTTGGTTATGCTGGGTGACTTGAAAATGCTTTTGAGAGCTTGGCGATGGGAATGCGAGCCTCCAACACTGGTGCTTGTATCCCGGCGGTTTGGAGACGCTTCCCCGCGACCGTCTGAGGATGTATCGTCGGCTGACACGCCATCTTGCTTCAATTTCTCGTTGTAGAACATGCCTTTGAGTATCTTGGCACACTCATTATAGTAGCCTTCGTTATCTTTCACGAAACTCCACCCGTTGACATCGATGACGAAGCTCTGGCCGTTCGCGCGAAGCAGATCCAAGCCGCAAATTCGTTGCCCAAAGCCTCTGCTGACTCTGGAGGCCATTTCCTTTTCGGCAGGACTGAGGTTGGTCACATATCGCATCTCTTTGCCGTGAGTGTTGCGCTTAACGAGACCATCAACTGCAGGAGACTTGCGCGTCTCGGCATGGCAATAGTCATGGCCCACGGTGTATGCCTTAACATCTTCAGCATTCTCAGTCTTCAGGAATTGTTCATAGATGAAGCTGTTTGATGGCTCCGTCATGCAGCGGGGTACGATCAGCTTCGGATCGAACTCTGAGGACTTGTTGCCAACTTTTCTGAAAAGCCGACGACCACCTCCGCCGTCGTAACTCTCGGGAAAGTAGACAATGATGTTGTGGTCTTCCCCGCTGACCGGCTTTTCAACGAAAGGTTTCTTGATGGATAGGCCATCAACCAGCAAAGTGTCGTTATCCGGCATCTCGACAGACCTGGGTGGTGCAAGACCGCCCCCTACGCCACTCGATGGGCCCGGAAGACTGACGCCATTCATTTTTCGCATGTGCTGTGCTAGTTCTGGAGAATCGAGTTTCGGGCCTCCGTCACGATTAATCTCAATGCGTTTTGGAGTAGGGACCTGCATTTGATCCAAGATTCTGAGGCAGATTCTGCGGTCCCACAAAACCTTCTGCATCGCAAGATCGTTTACCACAAATGGTTTGCGCAACTGCACGTACTCAATGGCCTTATCCAGAGGAAAGCCATCGGAGAAGAAAGCCACAAGGAAGTCACTACGCAATGTCAGCTGGTGGTTGATAGTTTCGAGCCAGGTTCTTACCAGACTGGCCAATTTGCGACATCTGATATCGTTAGCTGCGTCACCACACAGATCATAGGTGCTCACCTTCATCGAGGATGGCCTTGTCACCAAAAATCACAACCTCAAATTCGCCGTCAGCTTGGAGCCTCGTCAGGATCTGCCGGCTTGGACGGCTTCTGGCTTTTACATCCAGCGCACATACGCCGACCGTTCCGACGACTTTCTTTGTCTCCTTCACGGGTATCTCAACCGACTTCTGACTCGGCGTGCTAAGTCTGCGACTAGATGAAATGGACCGAGGAACGTTGTTCCTAGGCGCCCGGTTTGGCAGAGCTGCAACTCCGGTGGCTGTTTCCGGCTTCAAAGACTGGCTAGCCGAATCGCTTTTGGGAACAGGACCTGAGGAAGACACCTGAGGGTTGGAAGTTGCACCGACTAAATTGAACAGGTTAGGAGACTCTTCTGAGATAGCAGGAGGCGAGAGCACTGGCAGACCTGGTGTTGATGTCGCTCCGGAGGAGGCAGTGGTGACATGGGTCGAATCAGTGGCAGTGGTTGAGACCATTGCCGAAGGGTTATTAGCATAGTGAGGCTTGTCGTCCATACTTTTAATGGAAGTCGGAGAGCTTCGAGGTCCATCGTCGGCTGATTTCCGTGGCGGACGGTACATATTCATCGAGTTCGAAAGACGTCTGTCTGTTGTTGGTTTGGAGCTAGGAGGCGGCATGCTGATGCTCGCTCTCTCAGTATTGGTCCTGTCAGTCTCGGCATGCGGTTTCCGCCGAAGATCAGCTGGATTGCCTCCCCCAAGTAAGGAGTGTGCAGAAGGTGCCCTTGGGCCAAGACGAGGCGGGCCAGCTGAAGTGGGTGTCGCATTTTTACTGCTCCCAACCGAAGATGCTGTATAAACTGCACTTAGAGCACCTCCATCAATTCTCTGCTCATCTGTTGAGTCCTGGGTAGAGGTCCGACTGAGTGTATTCTCCATGAATGCTGTCGTGCACACTCGAAAGCGTGATGCAGCGATAGGTATTGATGAGATATTAGATTTCTATCGTCAATGACAAAAAGACGGTATGCTCTAGCAACGAGGTTGAGACATGGGTGCCACCAAGATCTGATTTATCATTGGAAATAGAGCCACCAGCGCCGAGGACAAGCCGTAAGGAAATGAAGTGAAAGATGGTGATGTGGTGTCAAAAGAGAAACATGAAAGCTCAGAGATCGAAGTTCGAAAGATCCAGCCAAATGAAGCGGGACAAGGGCATGTGCGTGGTCTCATTGGGCCGACGTCATTTGGTCGTCGCCGCAATCTTCCCCGATTTTTTCTGCAAAGCCGTCCGGATATCATCCCCGGATCGCCGCATTTTTCTTTCGACGTGAGAAGCGTGTGTAAGTCTCTTTGTGGGAACGCTTGTTCGACCGTCTGTTGTGCAGTCTTTGACCGGGGGCGTAAGAATATAAAATGGCTGATACAGCCGACTTTGCGCTGCCTGCGCCCAAGAGGCAGCGGACTGACGACCAGAGTACAACGATCGTCCGGCCTCTGGGCTCTCGATTGTTCACACCCTTCAGGGTATGTTCTACGTTGGACCGTTGAAGAGGAGAAACGCTTATAATTGTGCAGACGCTCGGACTAGTCTCTCCTACATCGGTACCATTTACCTCCGTTCCCTTGGGCAAAACTACCTTTCAAATCACAACTTCGGTGGGCCGCAGCTTGCAGACATATGACCTCCGCCGAGGTCTGCAACTGGTTTTCTTGAGCCGGCCGCAATGTCCCGAACATATCACCGCCACTTGCGCCTACCGGGACCGAGTACTAGTCGCTTGGGGAGGCACAGACGGCAAAGAGCGAGGCGTCTGGGTTTTTAAGAGAGGGAGGCTCATCGCAGAGCTTGAGCACACAGACCTCCGTCAGCCTGTCGAGAGTATCGTGGTGTTCGGTGCCTGGACGGTTGCATGCGGTAGCAGAGCTATTGAGGTTTGGAAAACGGACACGTACGAACATTATACAACGATCGTGCCGCCAACTGCCACACCGGTCGGGGGTCCGCTTACTGGCCGAATGTGCACAATGCCGACCTACCTTAACAAGGTTTTCGTCGGCTGTAGTAACGGCAATGTTGAGATCTACAACGTCAGCACTGGCAAGCTGGTTCATATCCTTAATGCTCCTTCCGCTTCATCGGGAGTTGTGACGGCGCTTGCACCAACCACAGCCCTTTGTGTGCTTGCTGTTGCTTACAGCGACGGTTCCATTCACTTTCACGATGTCGACACGGACGAGATAGTGTTATCAATGCCGAGTACCAACAACAAGGCCATTACGTCGATCGCTTTCCGGAGTGATGGAGTTGGCGCCGGGGATGACGGTCGCAAAGACGGTGTCATGGCAACGGCAAGCATCGAAAGTGGGGATATCACGCTCTGGGATCTCAATCGAGGAGGCAGAGTGACCGGTGTTGTCAGAAGTGCACATGAGACCTCAGCCACAGCCACAGCGTCAGGCATCACAAGAGTCGAGTTTCTTCCAGGTCAACCAGTCATTGTGTCCTCGGGCCTGGACAACGCCATTCGCTCTTGGGTCTTCGACGCGACGCCATTCTCTCCTCTACCCCGTGCTCTGCACACGAGGAGTGGGCATGCAGCTCCGGTCACCGAGCTCATGTTCTTACCGGCCGCTTCGGATGGATCCGAGGCAGCAGGCAAATGGCTACTATCTGCGGGTCAAGACCGTGGTTTGTGGGGCTTCAGCCTGAGAAAGGATGGCCAGAATACTGAGCTTAGTCAAGGCAACATCAAGAGCAAGGCTAAGAGAGTTGGTCAGCTGTCTGAGAGCCGTGCGGCGATCGAAGATCTCAAGGCGTCGCCCATTGTGGATATGGCTTGTTGCCTCAACCGTGACGGTGGCATGGGCAGCGTCAGTGGTACCATTTGGAGCAACAACACCAAGTCAACCGCGGAAGAGTCCAGTATGACTGGTTGGGAGAGCGTGGTCACCGCACATGTCGACGACAAATCCGCACGAACCTGGTCCTGGGGCAGGAAGAGAGCGGGACGATGGGCTTTTGAAAGCGGAGACAAGAAGCCTGTCACTAGCGTCGCGATTACTGCATGCGGTACCTTTGCACTCGTCGGCTCAGCAGGTGGCGCGCTGGACATGTTCAATCTCCAATCTGGCGTCCACAGACAACGATTCCCACCTCGACTTAAGCCCGCTCAAGCAAAGGAGCTTCAGGCTAAACCCGATGGCGCTGAGGAGTTCCTTGCGGCTCGCAGGGGACACAAGTCTACCATCACAGGCATCGTTGTCGACAATCTCAATCAGAATGTTGTTTCATCCTCTCTGGACGGGAGCATAATCTTCTGGTCTTTCAACACCGGGCTGCCCCGATTTCACATCAACCTACCCAACACGGCGGCCCTCATCCTGAAATACTCACCGTCCTCGTCACTCCTTGCGCTATCCTGCGATGATCTCTGCATACGTATTCTCGATGTCTCGTCGCAACGCATCGTTCGCGAGCTCTGGGGGTGCGTCGGACCTATCAATAGCATCACTTTCTCGAACGACGGGCGCTGGATCGTCGCGTCTTCTATGGATAGTGTCGTCCGTGTCTTCGATCTCGGAACGGGTCACCTCATCGATGCGTTCCGATTGGCGCCTACATGTACGAACGTCACCTTCAATCCATCGGGAGAGTATCTCGCAACGACACATGCAGGTACTCTTGGCATTCAGATCTGGACGAACAAATCTCTCTATACCAACATCTCCTCGCATCCAATCTCTGAAGAAACAGGCATTATCGACCTCACATCCACGACATCTTCGCTGGTACCATTTCCTGCCCTCGAAGTGGCGGACTTCTCTGAAGACGCCGCCCCCGAAGCACCCGCTAGCGGCACATCAACCGACCAACTCTCATCGGCTCTTCTCACTTTATCGCTCCTGCCGCGTTCACGCTGGCAAACACTCTTGAACTTAGACGTCATCCGGGCCCGTAATAAGCCCATCGCGCCACCTGAGAAACCCAAGGCAGCCCCATTCTTCCTCGGATCCTCGCTCACACTCAGCAACGGCGACCTCCCCCTTAATGAAACCAACTCCAAATCCCCAGAAACCACGACCAAAGCCATGTCCCGCATCACCGGCCTCTCAGCGGACTCAACAGCCACTGAAATCGAGCACCTACTTAACGAGCCTTACCCGGCAGCCGGGCCCCACCCACTTCTCAAGCAGCTCCTCACACTCCCACCATCTACGACGGCCCTAACACTGCAGACAATGTCGCTGTCTGCGCTGGCGCCCTTTATCCGCCTGCTGACGGCACATCTGAGACAACGACGGGACTACGAGATCGTCAATACATACATTTCCCTTCTGGTCAAGTACCACAGCGAATTCGCGCAGGTGGATGAGGTGAGCGAGGCACTCAGAGAGTGGAAGAGCGTCAACGAAGAGGAAGGCAAGCGCCTGGGGCAGATGGTGGGCTTCGCGAGTGGTGTCGTTGGAGGCTGGTTGCGAAGCAGTCGATAGGTGGGCGGAAATTGGTGGGGAGGTTGTTCAACCATCACGTGAAGGACAAGGTATCCGAACAGTACTCCTATAACGGGCAACTTGCACCTACCTTCCTATGCCATGGCGGCTCGCCCGCAGTGGTCGATGTTCTTTCTCATTTACAGCATCTGACTAGGCTGACTGTTCGCAGCGGCTGCTTCATATTCATACTGTACACTATCGTTTGACAAAGCTTTGCGCTTGTAAGTTCTGGCACATCACCGTTGTACAGGTTATGGTTCCCCATACTACCCCGTCATTGCTGCACACATCCATCGACAGGTAAGCATCTCGTTGATGCACTCTCCACCCGCAACAATACTCCTTGACAGACATATTCCGTAGACTCGCTATCCTGATGTACCTCTCGACACTCGGGCCCATGCCATAGCCATCCATGCTGATACCAGTGGCAATCCATAAGTCATGACAAGTGCGAGAGAAAAGTCGAAGTGTACGCCGACAGCAGCACCAAATTGGGCCTAGACGTTACCATTAGCGCCTCGATTTGGTCACAATCATGTCTTCAAGACGCTCCGGAGGGGCTATTATGGCTGCCTGGACGGCCATATGCTTCAAACGATGGCTCAGGATGGTGACAGGGCAATGAGACATGCGTGAACTCACCCTTTCTCGTGGAAACAGACCTTCTAGACTAGATCTATTCTGCACTAGAGCGGTTGGAGGCCATGCAATTGCTGCTGAAGATGCATCAGCGCTTGACGTACCATTTGATCTGACGACTCCAGGCGGACTCTTGATCTGGTTGCTGAGAACATTCTCGTGGGGAGGAGGATTTAGGGGCTCTAGTGACTGTTGGTCCTGAAGCTTTGGTCGAAAGATGGTGGCAACATTCGATGAACCATTGTTGGACTCAGAGCTATGTTTGACGACGGACTCAGCGGGAAGGGTTGCTGCAACAACCCGAAGATTCAGAAGACCCTCTGCCTCTAGGGCCATTTTTGTCGCTTCGTCGGCGCTCTCAAGATTTGTCGTTGTGTCGATCTCATTCGGATGATTGTCTGCGGCCATTGGGCCAGTGTCTATGGTTGGAGAGGTGGCGCGTTTCGTTGAAAGATCATCTGTAGCTTCCTGTGTCAGTTCGAAATTTACTTCATACTCGAGCTGTTGGTCACCGAGCCTTGCTCTCGTCACCACGTAGAAGCCTTCTTGTCTTTCCCCCTCTTCAACTCTAGATGCAATCAGGTCTGTGCTATTGCCTTCTGATTGCGCAGCATTATTTGGAAGGACTTCATGCGACAGAGAGATGGCAGGGCCAGGAATCTCGAGCATCTGGAGAAATCCCTCAGGGGCCGTCTTTGCCCCAGTAGGTTGAGCCTGATCTTCAAGCCGTGGTGTCTTTGAGGATCTGTCACTTGGCTCGGACGACGGATAGACCTCTGTGCTTCTCTTCCTCTTGAGCGTCGCAGGTCGTTCGAGCATCCTGCGCATCTGCGCAAGTTCCAGCGTCCAGAATTGAACGTAGGCAGATGCCTACTGCTTGTCAACTCTCGCCGCTCTTGAGAACAGTGTACCATTTGCGTTACTTACATTTGTGATCGGCTCCAATCTTGTAGCGATGTTCTGGAGTGAGTCAAAAATCTTGGAAAGAGTCACTTTCTCTTGCTGGGAGAATGCATTGAACCAGGCTTTATACCCGTGCGTCAGGTCTTGTACTACCGCATCGTCCACACCTTTGCTGCTTGGCTTTTCGCTACGGTCGATAGCTTTGAGGATTGCACGGGCGGTATCTCGTATGCTTTTGGTAGCGAGCAAGCCAAGCACAGTCATGTTAAAGTACTTCTTCGTCCGCTCCGCTTGTCTGTCATGAAGTACTCGCGCTAGCCGTAGCAAAGCCTTGTGCACAAAGTCGACTGGATGTGTGACCGTAGCACTACAGGGTTGGGTGCGCGGCCAGAAGTAATCAAGAATAGTAATGTGCAATTGACCTTGTCCGGTGCCACTGGTGAACGTCCAGACCTGAGGGAAGAATTCTTTCAAAATATGGGAATTGCGGTGTACCTCCTGTAACATGAACTCGATTCCCCGGTCAAGGAGGTTGGTGTTCCAATCGACCCTATTTCTTAGGAAGAGTATGTAGAAGAACATGGGTATAGCGAGCTTGAGTGAGAGATATGTTGACTGCTTCGCAATATGCCAGGCATGCTGACATTCGTCCCAACTGGGAGCCGCTTGACATGGGACACTGGCCCAAAAGTCGCAGAAAGTCAGGCGGTTTCCGAAATGAACAAGTTCGGGGGCATAGCGACAGAGATCATCTCTCATGAGGATGTAATCAATGCTCGTGAACGGAGACCGAGAACAAGTTGCAGAGCCTGTGACGGTTCCAAATGCCAGAAATTCGTCCATGGAGTGGTTGTTTGCGTTCTTCAGATTCAGTCCGAACTCATTGACCAACTTTTGCGCATCCCACAAGCGTATCAGCTTCGAGAGGCAGGACGTGTCGATGATAGTGAGGAGAACTCTTCCCATTGGATGACGCACATCGAATCTTGAAGCGTTCTTGAGTTTCTTATGTAAACGGTAGCAATGGATCTCTGCCACCGCAACGGCGTACCTTAAAGAGGATGTTAAGGAGATGAATGGTGACTTGAAGGCGTTTTCGGAGTCCCAGTCCTGGTGTGTCGCATTCAGATGATCAAGCACAACTTTTAGGAACACTCTGTCGTTCGCAAAGATATCAGAAGGGAGATCTTGGTTTCTTCCGACTTGATCGTGGTGTGGTGAGACAAAAGGAGGCTTGAAGCTTCCATGAGTGAGCCCTTGAGTTGTGACTCTGAAGAGGTATGGCGGGTAGTTCGTTTCGCCAGTTGATAGGGGAGACATGATGAAAGGCTAGTCCTTGAATTAGTGGGAACTTGTGGTTACTCTTCGAGACAGGAGTTGAGCCATTCGCAGTCTAGGAATGGGTGTCGCCCTTGAGGAACCTTCATAGTAACAGGTCACATTACGACTTCGCAGGTACACGACAGCGACGAAACGGCCTGTGGAATGTTCATGAAGGATGGAACGATGAGCACAGTATGAGACGACAGACTGCAAGCGAAATGATGAGAGCTTGACAATGATGCGAAGGGTTATGAGGTAAGATGGTTTCTGCGACCACGTTGACCCAGGCAACTGCGCTCAAGTTCGACTTCACTTGTGCCTCGCCTTTACTCATTTCACTTACTTCGTATTTTGGCAAGATCCCATGGCCTGAGACCACCGCGAGACTTGCCCTAATACTCCTTCACCGGTCCTGCAATCCAATTTCGGTTTGCAGCCGCGTAGGTATCGCTGAATCGTTCTCACAACCTTCCCAGCAGGCAGCATCTTGAGCCGAGTCGGCACGGTAAATCACAACTGACGAGTATAGATAGCCTCAGCACATGTGCGCATCACATCGCGAACGATTATGACATGTATGGAGCTCAGCCATACCAGCTCAACGCCGTGGCAGACATCACCCTGAGCAACTCAGTGCCGAGCGAGCCGTTTGAGCAGCTTATCCGAGTTCACCTAGTCGGTTCGCCAACATATCATTCACCTACGTTGAGCTCTCAAAACTCGTGCTGTGGATCGGAAAGCACCATCCTGTCGATTCGCAGAATCTCACCCCAGGAAAGACCAGGGCCACGGCGCCACACGCAACAGTGAGGAACGCCTTGGTGTCTGCTCAGAACCATGATCTTGGTGCCTTCTACTTGACAAAACTGCCGAAGGATGCGGACACCGCAGTAGCACCCATCAGCATCACAATAACGAGGGAAATTGAGATAAAGGGGCAAAAGGCCCAGACATACGGGATTTCTCTATCTGGAAATTGACCTGCCTTGTCTAGTATTATCACTATCATTGGCCTCGCATGAAATTCAATCCCGAGGGAGATCAGCCTTACCCGCCACGACCCCTGGCGATTGGCTCTTGGGTGAATTTTGTCGGAAGCGATCGTCCGGTGCTAATGCCCCTCGATTACCATCCTTGTTCAGCTGCGACATCGAGATGCACTGAGCACCTTAGGGCGTGCTGCGTCGTTGTCTAGGGCAAATAGACGACTTACCGGGGGCACGAGAAAGGAGGTCCAGCCTTGTCGTACACCGGTTCCACCACCCGGAAGCTGCTTGAATCTATCTGATACGGACCGAGACGGTCGTCCGCCGAAGAAGGCGGAACGGAGCCAACAAGCAGCGTACCGCCTGGGGTGGTAGAGCTGGCCATAGGAGAAGGATGTAGCTGCCGCATCCAGAGATACGGGTCGATGCTGAGGGGGCGACACTATGAGCACGGCTAATCGAGCCCAAAATGAGCAGTCTTATACTTGAAACAAAGACTGCCAAGTCGCATCAGCTTTCACTCAGCTGACAACCTGACATGTCGCTAGATACAGTACCAGCTGAATGCAATCCGGCGTTTGGCTTGGATAGCATAAGCCAGAGTAAGCCGTGAGCTCCCCCGCTCTGTATAAAATCATGTAGTCTTGAAGCTTACGGAGTCACACTATGGGTAGGACCTTTCACTGACCCTAGCGCCCAATAGACGCTCCTCTTACTCATCTCAGCCCTGGTTGCTAGCAGCATCGGCCTCGCTTCCGAGCCTCATCAGCATTTGTTGTCATAAATGCCGGCGTTATTGCGCCTTCCATGCCAGAAGGAAGGCCGAGCCAACTTCTCCGCTTGTCCCTGTCGCCATGTCCTGATGCAAAAGGTTAGCATATGTTGGAGACAAGCTGTAAGAATTCGGTGATGGAGGTTGATGCCTTACCTAGGCGGAAGGAACCTGTCGCATGTGGCCCATTGAAGTAATCTACCGATCCAGAATCGCTACCAATCGCCGGCGTTTGCGAATCCTGTGTCAATTGCACATCACGCTTGCGTTTCTGTTCAACGAGCTTTCTGGCGAGATGCCTGAATAGGGGTTCAATGCCTTCTCCATCCACGGCGTTGACCTCTTGGCAATTGCTCCAGCCTTCGTCCAGCAACCATTGACCGGAGCTGCGTTTCGAGTTGCTGTGGTTCGGTGTCGAAGATAGTGTCACGCCGGCCAACTCTTCAGCGGCGAATGCAACGGCGCGTTCTAGAGGAATTCGCCTGGCGAATATCAGTAAGATGAACGGCCTCTGATTACAGCCACCAGAGACGAGAGGCCTAGACTTCAGAGTGTAGACTTACCTCCGACTCGGATCGTCCTCGACCAGATCTGCCTTGCATCCGACGATGTGAACAATGAGGTCGTCGTCGGCTTGAGCCTTGATCTCTCGCAGCCACGATTTCATTTCCTCAAAGCTGAGTTCATCAGTGATGTCGTAGCAAAGCAACGCTCTAGACCGGCGATATCAGCATCATAGCCCAGTGAGAGTGACAAGGCAAAGTCGAACCAAACGGGTCCTCGGTGTTCTTGAGACAGTGCTAAGGGGTGGTGTCCTTACGCTTGTGCGCCTCGGTAGTAGAGTCTCGATATCGAGCGGAACCGCTCTTGACCAGCCGTGTCCCAGATTTGAAGTTTCAACATGGTGCCGTCCTCATCAATGAGCCTCTTGGTGACAAAGCTTGCTCCAACGGTGGAGGGAACACTCTGCAAAGGAGCATTGGTCAGAAATCTCTCGACAAGACTCGTCTTTCCAACACCTTGACTGCCGAGCACAACTATCTTTGCCTCGAGCGAAGGCACGGGGAGCGGCTGGGGAGTAGCAGCCATCGTGAAAAGCACACTCCGAAATAGACTCGGATGCCGTTATTGCAGCTTTGGAATCATGGCTGTCCGATGATCGCTTTGAACAATACTCGAAGGGCTATCGAGTCTGTTTGGACGCGCACGTCATGGGCAGACACGCCTGAAATTCTCGACCGCGGTGATGGACAGACTGGTACGTTGACAAACAAAGCAACTACAACAATATAGACAGCAGAGTCACACTTTGAATTCGACCGGGATTAATCAAAACAGAGATACTGCAACAGGGATCTGCAGCCTCCGAGATGGGCAGTCACGCGCCCGCTATCGAAAAGCAACGTTGGCAGGGGTATCGGCGAATATCGTACGGTAGCGCGTTCTTCATAAAAATGTCATTTTGAATGTCGCTGATACATATGCAACATCAAGCAACCTTGCCATTGCGGTACGCATTGCTCGGTTTGAAGGCGAACTTAAAGGCTGGAATATCAACATCCCGTGCCACTGCGGTCTGGTACTGGCCAGGACATGGGTATAAAATAGGGCTGCAGGGACCACCGGAATGCGCACTGATCTCCCCCACACGCAGTGGACTCCGAGCATCACCATCTGTGATATTCGCGATTGCGCGGTGCCTATCGGCTTGCTCGAGTAAGACAGCCGTGAAGATTACCTCCCGAATCGCGGGAGACTCGAGCATGACCTAGACCCGGAGATCGAGCCAGCCCATGCGTGGTCAGCCAGATCTGCCGAAGATTCTATTCGAGGTTCGAGGCTCCGCTCGGCGTCATCACCGCACTCTGCGGGGAGAAGATCTAATCGCCTCTCCACCAACTTTCGTCGATGGCTCCTCGGCTATGGAGCTGCGCGCGCAGTTCGACTATAATAGCGTTAGCATCGTTTGCCTCTTCATCTTTGGTGGGTTTGTCGTCCTCGCGTTCTTCATTTCGTTCTATTGCTGCGCCCCAACCTTCAGCCCTCGTACCCACGACCACGTGCAAGATCCGGAACGAGCTTCGTTGCTATACAACAGCACCTAATTGAGGTGCCTTGCAGGATGAACCGCGACAAGGGCGAGCGCCCGGACGTCGGCCACTTGACGGGCGAAGAGATTGCAAAACACAACTCGGCGGAAAGCTGCTGGGTCATCGTTCATGGCAAGGCCTACGATGTGACAGAGTTTCTCCCAGAGCACCCCGGTGGTCCAAAGATTATACTCAAGTATGCCGGCAAAGATGCTACGGAGGAGTATGATCCTATACATCCCCCAGACACCCTGGACAAGGTCAGTATCCCGTCAGAATGTGCCACCTATCTCCTGACTTTGTATCAGTATCTTCCCAAGGACAAGCATCTGGGGCCAGTGAACATGAAAACAGTGGAAAAGGCAAGTTCAGCATGTTACTTTTCTCCCCTGGCTTCGCGCGAGCCACGTCGTCTCAAAGCCCGAAGTCGAGCCAGATTTGGCCAATTGTACCCCAGAAATGGTCATATCAGAGTCAGTCAGATTCTAGGTTCTAACACTTTTACAGGAGGAGAAAGAAGAATCGCCCGACGAGAAGGCTCGTCAAGAGCGCATCAAGAACATGCCCTCGCTAGACGCATGCTACAATCTCATGGTGAGACTCGAGTGTCCCAGTTTATTTCAAACGCTAACGAGCTCTAGGACTTCGAGTCAGTCGGTATGCGATGCCCTCCTTCCCCCGGACTTTACCTTCTCTCTGAACGCGACATGCTGACAATTTTCAGCTCGAGAGGTGATGAAGAAGCCTGCATGGGCCTACTACTCCTCAGGCGCAGACGACGAGATCACCATGCGCGAAAACCATTCTGCCTTTCACAAAATCTGGTTTAGACCTCGTGTATTAATCGATGTCGAGAACGTTGACATTTCCACGAAAATGCTGGGAACAAAGGTCGATATCCCCTTCTACGTGACCGCCACCGCTCTGGGCAAGCTCGGCAACCCTGAAGGCGAAGTGCTCCTCACCCGCGGCGCCAAGAAGCACAATGTTGTGCAAATGATCCCTACACTTGCGTCCTGCAGTTTTGATGAGATCGTCGACGCACGGGAGGGCGACCAAGTTCAATGGCTTCAGTTGTACGTCAACAAGGACCGCAAGATTACAGAGAAAATCGTGAAGCACGCAGAGTCGAGGGGTTGCAAGGGTCTATTCATTACTGTCGACGCACCACAGCTTGGCAGGCGGGAGAAGGATATGCGCTCGAAATTCGACGACTCGGGCAGCAATGTGCAGAGTTCGAGTGGCGAGAACGTAGACCGAAGTCAGGGTGCAGCTCGCGCCATCTCCTCCTTCATCGACCCTGGTCTATCGTGGAAGGATATTCCCTGGTTCCAGTCTATCACAAAAATGCCTATCATCCTCAAGGGCGTACAGCGCGTGGAGGATGTTCTGAAGGCGATTGACTACAAGTGCCACGGCGTTGTGTTGTCCAACCACGGTGGCCGGCAGCTCGACTTTGCACGATCGGGTATCGAGGTACTTGCGGAAGTGATGCCCGTACTCAGAGAACGGAATTTGCAGAACAGCCTGGAAATATTCGTCGATGGTGGTGTCAGGCGTGCTACGGATATCATCAAGGCTTTGTGCCTGGGCGCCACGGGTGTGGGCATTGGACGCCCATTCCTGTTCGCTATGTCCGCCTATGGGCTGCCAGGTGTTGATCGGGCAATGGTAAGGCGAAACTTTAACTCACCATTGCCGCATTGTGCTAACTCTTGTGCCAGCAACTCCTGAAAGATGAGATGGTCATGAACATGCGGCTTATCGGCGCCAGTTCGGTCGATCAACTGACGCCCGACATGGTCGACTGCACCGGCCTGAAGATGCACACGACAGGAGTGCCGGATGACAGTCTGTCGCTACGGAGTTATGATGCGCTGATCACCCCACATATGATGTTGAAGGGCAAGCTGTAGGTTATTGAAGCAGGTTCAAAGGACGTCAGTATGAATTCAAGAAGAGTCTCAGGAATTTGCCAAATGGTAGAAGGTGCATTAGTGGATTGATCTGAACAAAGCCGGTAGGTCAGCAGCGTAACGGTACGAAGCGATCACGTATTTGGGGAAGATATCATGAGGTCGGAATGCATTGTGGCTTCAAGCATCTGGCCTGTATACTTATGGTAGATAGCACCAGGCAACAAATTCATCACATTGGATCGGGCAAGCTTCAGAGACGGTGCACTGTATGCTTCGAGTTGCAGCGCTCAACTGCGCTTGCCGAGTTCCTTTATAGGACCGTACACCGCAAGCGCCTTTCCGCTATGAGCCGCCGAAAGCTATGACTGCTATCATCTCATTACCGGCAATAGAGCTGTCGAGGCTCGGCCTGTGCCGTCAACGCCCCAAGAATCCGAAGACAATGTCGCAGTGCGCCCCGGCTCCTTGGCAATATGCACCATACCAGCCGAGAACCGGAATAGTCTACTTCCAGAGCTTGCCCAAGCTGACCTCCTTGTCGTTCGCCTTGTTCAACACCTTCGCCGTTGCGAGGTCGAAGTCTTCCTGTGTGACATGAACTCTGCGCTCACGAAGTGCGAACTGCAAGCAGGTTAGCGTAACTCGTGGAATCGTGGAAGACACTGATGACTTACCATGCCGGCCTCCGTACAGACACCCTTCAACTCGGCACCAGAACACCCATTCATCTTCTCTGCAATCTTTGTTAGATCAATGCCTCTCGTCAAGTTCATCGATCTCGAGTGAATTTTGAGAATATCCGCCCTCGCCTCTACCGTTGGTGGGGGAAACTCAATCTTACGATCTATCCGACCTGGTCGAAGGAGTGCAGGATCTAGGATATCGAGACGATTGGTGGCCATGATGACCTTGATGTTTTTCGTAGGTTCAAAGCCATCAAGCTGATTGAGAAGCTCCAACATCGTCCGCTGCACTTCTGAATCGCCGCCACTTGAGCCCTCCACGCGCGAGGAACCGATAGAGTCAATCTCGTCCATGAAGATGATCGAGGGTGCGTGCTCACGCGCCATTACGAAGAGCTCACGCACCATTCGGGAACCCTCGCCGATGTATTTCTGCACCAGCTCGGAGCCCGACACGCGGATAAATTTGCAGTCGGCGTGGTGGGCGACAGCGCGAGCGAGCAGCGTCTTGCCAGTACCAGGAGGGCCGTACAGCAGAACACCTTTGGGCTGCGCAATACCGAGAGACTCGAACAATTCGGGATGGTTGAGACCTAGCTCGATGACTTCCTTGATCTCTTTAATTTGCTGGTCGAGACCGCCGATCATGTCGTAGGTAGAATCTGGAACCTTTTCCACCATCATGAGGGAGACCAGCGGGTCTACGGAAGAGGGCAGCATCTTTTCCAGCTTGTAGGAGTCTGAGAGGAGGGACACGCGCTTGCCAACGGTGAGCTTGGAGATGTCAACGCCATCAGCAATGTCGACGACTGTTATTTGTTAGCTGTAACGCAGGGCTGCGATCGTGTTGGACTTACCATATTTACCCTCCGGATGTACTTTGACCAGCACTTTCTTGGTGCCCATCACCTTCACGACCTCACCAACATAAGATCCCGGTTGTTGCAGCAGCCCCAGTTCTTCCCGCAATAACCGCACTCTTGAGTTGTAGTCATTTCTCTGTGCTTCTAACCGGCGGAGGACTGCTTGGCCCTGTATGATCTCAAGTTTGAGACTCTCAATCTTGTTGTGATAGAAGTTATCGAGCGCCATGATGGCGGCAGGAGTTCGAGATGTAAATGGCGAAAGGTCAAGAAGTTTGGCTTGCAGGCAAGTTATTAAATGAAGATGATGATTGTTGCGGAGATTCGTACGAGTGAAGGGCAGTCCAACCTGTTGTATCGGAGACGCGCAGGCAAATCGTAGCCTTCTGCTTAAGTAATGACGAGGCTGAAGTCTCCAAGGGAGACGACCAATCAAAACCCCACTTCGAGTGTCCATGTCGGATGAGGATGTTTCACTACGAACAGCTTCCGCTTCGCAAAGCTCTCCCTAACTTTGAGAATAGATTTATCAAATCGGGCTGTTGTTTACTCGATGTTCAATCTTCTCGGTCATATACGCCAGGTATGTAGTATATCCAGAAAAAGACGTCGCGGGTTGAGTAGGCGATGCAAATTCACGCGACAGTCTCCGGGGCTTCTCATAGACTCTGTCAACATGCTCGCTCGCAACCGTTCCTCAGCTCTGACTGATTCACCGTTTGCAATGACGCCCTGGCTGAGGTTCGCTTATCAGACAATCCTTCTTATCTAGGCTCTCGAATAGGAGCGTCAATGCCTCCAGAGCCCAATTGTGGGTCTCAGCTTTTGACCACGTATGAGACCGGGATGGCGAGATGGCTATATTGTGCGCCTCTCAACGCCCTGTCTCTTACGACAAGGGCGAATTGCTTCAATCTTTGTCCTTCAACTCTGAGGCTTGAGGAGTCTACTGGCTATAAGCGGTCCTGGGTCACTGTGATACGTTGCTTTGAACATCCTGATTTGGTTTGAAGACATTGCTGTCGCGATGGAGAGGCAGAGGTGTTGCGATATGAGCGGAATGATTGACTATGGTACTTTCACTGCGACGGGGCAAACTTCTTCAGTCGGGCTTTAAATATACTGTTGTGCATAGATTGCTATACACCCGAAGCGCGACAGTTGTGTTCAAGCATTTGGCTCCTGTAATCGGTGATGGGACGACAACAATTAAAGGGTCCGGAGCATCTAGGAAGATCATCGACACATCGTCATCGTCCACTAGGTGAGGTATTTGGAGCGCACCACCCAATGAGCCTTCTCGTGCGGTGGCTTCGTGCGAAGTCAGGCACGACAGTCGGTGCGACAATTCTATGCAAAGGACTTGCCAGGATATACGCAGACACGTTGCGCTCGCAGTGGTGACATCGATGCGAATACAGGTCTTGGCTCCTCAGAGATTGACAGGGTGCTGAGAAAAGATATCTACAGCGTACCGTCAGTGAAGCAGAGGTAGATAGAAACTGATCAAGCATTAGTATTGGTAACTACGTGGATACATCCACGAAGGAAAGAGTGACCAAGGCATGTGCACGTGGGTGGGCGCTTGCTCGCCGCGAGTGTCCGCCATAGCCGATCTACAGAACCAATAAGGGCGCTAATGGCGCTTCATGGCGCTCATAGCGCCTACGGGTCCCATAGTGCCCGAGCTGCAGCCTCGTACTCCAACTACTACTCGGGCTGCTCCAACCCAAACAAAGACGCTTGCGGACTTCTACTGCACGTGCCAGCTGATTGCGTAGGCAGATCGTCTGTCAACTTGGGCTTGCAACACGGCAGCTCAAATCATCTGCCAGAAATCCATCAGATGATGTGTCTAATTCTCCGCTGATGTGCATGCGGACCTCCTCCAGACACCGCCAGAACCGCTGACATTCCTGCGATAAAACAATAACATCAGGTCCCGCCCCGCCGAAAGTCTGCTGCTTCCCCAGTTTGCTCGTCATGTCTGGTAGTGGTACTCCGGCCCGCAGTCCCAAGCTTGAGCCTGCCCCAGGATCCCAGCCTCAAACTCGAGTGACTTCTGGGCCAAGTTCTGTTGGCGAGGATGATGACGCTCGTAGAAAGACGTTTCGGTTGAGCACAGGTCGCGAATATGGTATGTCATAAGGACACGCTTACTGCACTTTCAACTCACACATGCAGGCACGATGTCCTCCGCTCGGTCCCGGCCGCTGCAACGGCAGGCGACGATTGGCTCGCCAACGGATACCAGAGGGCCAGATAGCGCAGGTTATTTCCCCCCAATATCGCCTCAAGTCAATCGGGGGAAGAGGCCATCAGTGGGCCGACGAGCATCCACCGCCAAACCCCATAGGGGCGAACAGTTCTCCGTTGACGATGATCCGTCCGAAGTCGAGGAAGACCGTGAGGTGCGACCTCCGACTGTCTCAAGGTCGCAGTCAACGCGTCGGAGAAGAACCACCTTTCAGCCTCCGCAGCTGCCACGTGTAGACTCCAGCCGCGAGGAGGACGAGGAGGAGGCAGAAACAGAACCAGAGGAGCCAGTCACACCTCACCAACCAGAACCCCAGGTCGAGGAGGAACACGATGAAGACGTTGCCGAGGAAACATTAGATGAAGCTGCAGATGGAGATGATGATCTCGATTTGAGTGACGCCGAGAGTTTCACACTCAGAGACCGTCAGCTGGCCATCAACCAAACTCATCCCTTCGGTATCAGGATCTGGAAGCCAGCGCTATACAAGAAGAATAGATCAGTGGAAAAGAACGCGGAAGAGGACATCCATTCGTCACCGAGCCAGATTGTAAGCCCCTGGCTGTGGTTCTTTAATGTGTTGTGGACACTGCTGTTCGGATGGTGGCTTGCATTGGCCGCCATTCTCGGTGCAGTCGCCTGCTTCATGTTTGCATTTGAGAAAAGCGCCGCTGCTTACGGTCGAGTCTTCTGGGGCATTTCGGGCTATCTCTTTTGGCCGTTCGGCAAATTCGTGAGACTCGAATCGGATGAGAACTACGCCGAGGAAGATGAGGGTGAAGGTCGAAGCATTGGAGAATACGAGCGCTGGCAGGCCGGCGATCTGGAATACGGACGCCTTATGTTTGGTCCGACTCTCACCCACACTGGCTCCATCGTCGGCAGACGACGCAACAGCATCGAGTCGGCAAGCGAACACGACAGCCTACTTGAACGATCTGGTAGAATGGACCGTTATGAAACTGACCTCGGCACTCGTGCCAAACGCCGACTCTTTGGTCGTGGCCAATGGACGCTAGGAAGGGTGATCTTCTTCGTCTTTTTCTACTTCAACCTCGCACCCTTGATGGCTGTGGTCTCCCTGATATGCTGGTTTCTAGTCTTCTGGATCCCAATGGGAAGAGTCACGTGGATACTCATCCATCATATGCGAAAGCGTCCTTTGGCCTTGGGGTTTCACGCTGATGTGTCACACGCTCGGGAGTCGTCTAGGCCGTCATCTATTCTGCTTTGCACCTACAGAGCAGTTGGAATCAAGTACTGGAAGTATACGGTTGACGGCACCAATATCTTTCTGATCAATTTCCTCGCCGTGGTTGTCTTTGTCATCTTCGACAACTTCTTCCTCAGAGAATTCTTGAAGATCGAGACATGGTTCACCAGTCCTGCTCTTCTATTTCCGCTGGGTTTGGTTTCGATTATTCCACTGGCGTACTTCATCGGACAGGCCGTGGCATCCATATCTGCACAGTCAACAATGGGCATGGGTGCAGCTGTCAATGCGTTCTTCTCCACGGTCGTGGAGGTCTACCTATACTGCATCGCGCTCAACGAGGGTAAAGGCCGCCTGGTGGAAGGTAGCGTCGTTGGCAGCATCTTTGCCGGCATTCTCTTCCTGCCGGGACTATCAATGTGTTTTGGGGCTATCAAACGAAAGACACAGCGTTTCAATGTCCAATCCGCCGGCGCCAGCTCCACGATGTTGCTATTTGCGGTCGTTGCGGCGTTCGCTCCGACTCTGTTTTACAAGATTTATGGCAGCCACGAGCTTATCTGCAAAGAATGCTCCAACACCTTCGATGACGAACGAGATTGTCGCCAATGCTACTTCCGCCAAGTGCCAGCCATCAATGATCAATTCTACACTACTGCCGTTCGACCCTTCGCTTGGGCAGCTGCAGTCTTGCTGTTCTCATCGTACATGATTGGTCTGCTCTTTACTCTGCGTACTCATGCTTCCATCATCTGGAGTAATGAGGCCGACGAGAAGAAGCCAATCACAGCGTCTCAGACGCTCGAGATCAGTCCAACAGACACAAGACGGCAGAGCATGTACCCATCTCTAGGACAGCCTACAGCGCACGGCAGTCAGGTTTCGCGTACGAATGTTAGAAACTCGCAGCTTTACAAGAAGATCCTTGGACAGTCTCTTAAGTCAGCTGGTCTTGCTCCTGATGGTGATGGTTCTGGTGATCAAACGCGCCTGGGGTCACAAGTTCATGCAATCGACCATGCACAAGGCGAGCTCCCGCACAAGCCACCACCCAGGCCTAATCGAAGCGGTCTTACGACCCCGGATCCTCAAGCAGAAATGATTCCTGGGCTAACGGCGGAAGAGAATAGCAAGCTCCTTCGGCGCGTGACCGAGCTTGCATCAACAGCAGCAACCGTGGCAGCGAGAGAGGCTACGGCAAACCCACGTGCAGCTGCTTACCAGGCGACTCATAACAAGAACGACAAGACCTTGAGGCCGTCCGGAATCCAGCGCTCTGACACCATTGGCGCTCCCGCGGCTGCACCAGCTCAGACGGAGCAAGTCGCGGGTGGTCATGATGCGCCAAACTGGTCCCGGACCAAATCAATGGTGATTCTACTCGGTGCAACCGTGTTATATGCCGCTATCGCCGAGGTCTTGGTCGACACCGTTGATGTCGTTCTTGAGTCATCTGACATTGATGAAAAGTTTTTGGGTATCACACTATTCGCGCTTGTGCCCAATACAACGGAGTTCTTGAACGCCATATCCTTTGCAATGAATGGTAACATTGCCCTGAGTATGGAAATTGGTTCTGCATACGCCTTGCAGGTCTGCCTTTTGCAAATTCCGGCGCTTGTGTTGTACTCGGCCCTGCACGGCAGATATGTCGATCCCACAAGTCTTCTGGACCACACCTTCAACCTTATCTTTCCTCAATGGGACATGGTGACCACGATACTGTGTGTCTTCTTGCTGAGCTATATCTGCACAGAGGGCAAGAGTAATTATTTCAAGGGCAGTATCCTGGTGCTGACCTACCTGGTGGTCCTACTAGGTTTCTACCTTAGCGGCTATACCGACATGGAAAGTATGGAAGTCAACCCACTGGACACACTCGCCCTGGGCTCAAGTATGGGGCTGCGATCCGGGCTGTCCGGGGGTAAAGAGCTGTGAAACAAACGTGGGAGCATTGGTGGCAATAGATTATCTGTACCATGAGCATTTAATGTGACGCATTCGTATAGTGCCTGGTGCAACGAATGCATTGTTGCATGGCAGCAAAGTTGAGACGCTATGAGATCTCTCTAGTTGCATGATCTTATCATTTTAGGCCTCTAACAAAGGTTGCCGACCTCGTGGTGTAGGCCTAGCTCGAAGTGGGCGGGGACCCCGTTCCGTAGCGCAAGGAGGCGGACCTGATACATTGGCCTCAACAGGCTACAATATTGAAACAACTCAGCCTGGTTGTTGCGACCGCTTGCAGCTGTTTCATGGTCTCAGTCTCCTAGGCACAGACAGTGAGGCAGTGACCGCCCTTTGATGCATACGTACAAGCGTTACGAATCCCTTGGCATTCCCTTCTCCCCCACGCTTACCCTTTTGAGTAGGTTGGCTCTAGAAAGTGTTGTCTGTTGAGTCTCACGCGCCTCATCTCCCAGATCATTAGATGTATCTTTCCCTTCCTATCTTCTGTCGCCATGTTGTATTACGAGTGTTATCAGAACCCTTACATCTAGCCGTTGCATCAGCCTTCAAGGGGAACTCGAACCGCTGTAGCTAGCACCATGGATACTCGCTTGCCACCTGACCTGCTGGACGTCCTCTCGAACTCTATCGTTTCCAACAACATCATCACCTATCTTCCACTCGCATCGCGCTTCGCTTTGATCAGAACATGCCATTCCTACAGAAACCATCTGCTCAGCAGATCCGACGCTTTCCGGTGTCTCGACCTTTCCAAATGCAAAGGTGCCTACATCCCGTATATGCGGGTGGATTCAGGGGGCCAGTCCTTCAGGGCCGAACGGATGGACGAGAGTCTCACCGAGGATGAGTTCCACGCTGGGCCGCTGCGTGGCGTGCTTCGGAATCTTCATCGGCAGAAGATCATGCCAGCGGTGAACAGCTTGGTATTAGATGGCTTGGCGTCCATTACCAATGACCTCTTGCACGAGATGGTCACGTCTATGGAATACAACGTTCGTCTCTTGAGTATACGACGGTGTCCCAACGTCAACCAAGCCAAGTTGCAACAGCTTCTTGCCTATATATGCCGGCCTGGCAGGCCTGAGGGAACGCCACGTCTGCAAGGTCTGTATATGTTTACGAATCCTTCGCAAACAAGACCTCATACAGATCGTACCGGGATCATCGGAGCAGATGGGGCTCAACTTGGCGCATTGCCAACTACAAAAGGGGTTTGGGACGGTACCGAGCCTTACTATGCGCCAGCAGGCCGTCTGGTGCACCTGACTAAACCGGATGCCACCTTCTGGGCCCAAACCATCGGTCTTTGCAAAGGCATCGTTTGGTTCGATGCTATTCTTTGCACCCATATGCATTCCGGGATGGCGCCGATGATCAGCGACAACATCCGGGATGAGAGGCCGGAGATGCCTCCAATTGCAACCATTGCTCTGGGCCCTGCTGGATGCACTGGCTGCGGGCGTGCACCACAAGGGGCACCAGTTTGGGGTCAAAGCGACTTTGAAGAGTTTCCACTTCTGTGGCCACCGCCAGCGTCTGGAAGGATCGTTGATGCCATCCGGCCGCCGCCTCAAAGATCAAGTGACAACACTGCGACTCAACGTCTCATCGTATCGTGTCAGTGGTGTATTGATAACCGGCACTGTGATTCTTGTCACAAATGGTGGTGCAGCGACTGCTACAATCCAAAGGAGGGCAAAAACATCCAGACGGTGGAGGAGCTGCATGACCAAGGCGCCATCTCGCAGCAGCGGTCCTTCGAGTCGAACACGTCTATCAAGGTACTACAAGGTTTCTGCGTCCAAGAATGTCTCCGTGGCGAGCTCATGGCGGGTGCGGGAGCAGGTGGGATGTGGGGCTGAAACTGTCTCTGAAGAGTGTCATTATGGTTCTTTTCAGAAATTGTACGGTGTCCCTGTTGTTACCGCTACCGAAATGCCTGTGTTTTGCCCTGGGGCCTTTGTCAACGGATGTGGGCTAACACTTCGACTCTACAGGCTCGGCAGAAGATGGCCGTCACCCGCGAATGTTGGGAGTGTGGCAAGGTGTGCGCCGCTTGCGCTCCCCTGGCGGCTCGATCATGCAAACGGTGCAAGAGCGAATATTGCATCTTCCACAATACAGGATGCGACGCGACTACGGTGTGTGCCAATTGCGACCTCTTCCTGATGAGGCAGTATAAGAGAAAGAGGCTGATGATGATTGATTTCATGTGATAGTGCGATTGGTGCTCCTTTCGAGGCGGCCGGCGTACGTGAGTACCCTCGGATATGGCAAATGGCATGGCTAATCTCTACACAGTCGCGACTTATACTGACCATCAGTCTCTTCCCTCGCCTCGGCTGTCCCGACTGTGAGATCGGTATACCAGAAGCCTCATGTTTATCACCATCGGCCAGCATGGCATATTAGTACCCACGTGCAAAGGCCTCACAACCTCGAGCTACCACATCACCCTGCTTTGGTACTCCTACTCCACACCTTCTGTAACCACTACTGCTCTCGGCGCAAGCGACTAGAGCCAGCGTTCTCGACTCCATGCAACACTTATGTAACAACAATGATACTAATATCCTCGGCTGTGAACGCAGCTGCCATAAAGACTTTCCCTTGCCTTGCTCGTGTAATGACCGGGATAGTGCATGTGCGGGTGCGAGGTGAGGTTTGGACTATGTTACATCTCCATTCTGATGTATCCCTTAAGGTCGATCATTTGCTCGTCGAGGAGCATCAAGGTTCATACAACATCTAGCATAGCATGGATTTGCGGGCAAACCCTTTAGCCTCGTCAGAGCGATAAGTGTCACGTGTCAGGCTATACGCCTGACCACTAGATGCGCCTAATCTCAATCTTAGCTTTGTTCTGTTATTCGCTCAACAGATATACTCACGAGTACGAGCAATGGCTCAGATGATGGTATAGTACTGTTCGTCAACCATGCCGGTATGCATCAGCTGCAGCACACCGGTGAAACATTTGTACACGACGTACAGCAAAGCCGACGATCGCTCCCTCGGAAAAGGGGTCAGGTTGACGCAATGCCCCGTATGCAAGCAGTTCGCAGATCGCTATGTTGAATACGATTTCGTATTGCTCTTCATCGACCTTGTCTTGATCAAGCCACAGGTATGTCTCGTCTTGCAATCCCAAAAGGGTTTCTTCTTGGTTTCTGCCTGCTTGGTGGTTCCTGACTAACAGCCTCTCTTGGCAAAGGTTTATCGCCATCTCCTCTTCAACCGGCTTGGACGAGCCGATGACAAGCTCGATCCAAGCATTTTCCGATTAGGCACTCTGCTCGTGCTCTTCGACGTCTACATCACTTGGGCTAGAATTGAACGCTCCAATGCCTCGTCTGAGGACGGCCAGCAAGGACCACAGTGGGCGCTGTCCGAGAGTCCTATCATTATTCAGTACATGTTCTTCCTCACGATGAACGTGCTCGCGACTGTTGCGCAGCATGCAGTGATTCGATTCTTGTCGAGGGTCCTGCTTTCTCGGTCAGTGTCGCAACACGTGCGCTTTCTGACTACAGAAGAGCATGCTCAGACGGTGAGATGTTCTGCCGGGGCGTCACCAGCAGCGATCTCAACGGCCCTCCTCGTATCTAGCTGCAGCAAGTTGTTCCCGATATTGCTGGTCATCTGGCCTTCGGCTAATTCGGAGGATGAGAATGGACGGGACCCGCTAGGCGGAGGGCTAGGCCGGGCCTTCGTCTCGAACGCAGCTCAATATGTTGGCTGGGTGGTGCTACTTAACAACATCGAAGCCTTGCTAATCCTCCTGGACTGCGGCTATGTAATTGCAACGAGCCTGGCGATTGCCGGTCTTGTGTGCCGATGGACCCTCGAGGGCTGGCTCTTGGCTCTTGTCGGGCTGAGGAGCTCGAGCTCACGAGAAGCCGTGTCCGGTTTCGTGCATAGTTGGTACGCTTCGAGCAAATGAAGATGTGTGCTAGTGTTCCCGTGTTCGGATCCGGAACGGGGCAAGCAACGCGAACACCAGGACCATTTTCTGGGGAAGCGGCTGGACGTGAAGTAGCAGCCACGTGAACTGTAGCCATGCATGTAGCATCCGGTCCAGCAACGTGTCACAGCCACGGACACCCGGAAGAGAGTGCAGAGTCGTTCGCAAGCGGATGAGGGGCCCCATGTCATTGTGGCAACCGTGAGCTTGCCGTTCTCACTGCCGTGCTCTTGGCTTGTGCCAAGCCCCCCTACGACGCGGAGGCTGCAGGGCCGCGCTTGGCTATCCCGCATTTTCTGGAGATCGACTGGGGACCCGTCCACTCTGCTTGCCCCTCCGCCCCCAAAATCCCAGCTGTCCCGGAGAATCTTCCTTAGCAATCTGGAGTAGTGCGCAGCCACCACGAATGGCGCCGGTGGGCTGCTACGCCGCGGGATCTAGTGCTCCACGTTTCTTGACCCTGGGCTAGCGACTCCCAGTGCGTGCAAATATCGCTTGCCTTTGTTGTTCGTTGCTTGGGAACATTCCAGGTGCCACATCCGATGACTACCGAGTCCTGGGCGTCATGAGGACATCATATAATCTGTCTGTTTTTTCAGGCTGAAAAGGCCTAGATCCGCTAATGATAGCTTCTCGTTCTTAACTGTGGGCTCCTCCTCCCTAACTCTTGCTTCCGCACCAGAACCCGCATTTCGACCTCAGACTTTGTATCTCTCTGAAGATGGCATCGGCGACAGCGGGCGGGCACGCTCTGAACCATGCAACCAAAGCAGATCTTGAACAGTCCCAGCATATTGATGAGAAGAGCAGTGAGTCGGACGGAAATGATCTGAACGTAATCACCTGGACCGAGAAGGAGGAGAAAGCAGTTCGCAACAAGGTCAGTCATGTCAACTTTCGCCTGCACTGTGCATGCTTCAGGGCTCCCACGTGGAGCCACGTCGTGTCTGCTGGCCTCAGACTGATAGCGTACTGATTTCACACAGATCGATTGGTATATCGTTCCTCTCGTCACATTCCTCTATCTGCTCTGCTTCCTTGACCGTGCCAACATCGGCAATGCCCGCATCCAAGGCATGCAGGAAGACCTGGCCCTATACGGCTACCGCTTCAACTGGGCAGGGAGCATCTTCTACATTGTCTACCTGCTTGTTGAAGTCCCCTCGAACATCATTCTCAAGCGCGTTGGACCTCGCTTCTATCTCCCGTTGCTCGTCGTAGGCTTCGGCGTGGTCTCAATGTGCACGGCTTTCGTCAAGGACTTCGCCGGGCTCTGCACGGCGCGAGCCTTTCTCGGCATCTTCGAAGGCGGAGCCATGCCCGGCATCGCCTTCTTCCTATCCTGCTTCTACAAGCGCAAGGAGCTCTACTTCCGCATCGGCATCTTCGTGTCAGCAGCCTCCATGGCCGGTGCCTTTGGAGGGCTTCTGGCTACCGGTCTCGCACGTATCCCGCGCTGGGGCTCGGATGCGGCACCCATCCACACGTGGCGCAACATTTTCTTCTTTGAAGGGCTTATCACCATCTTCGCCGGCCTTCTCGCGCCCATCATTATGCCCCAGAGTCCCAGCACCTGCAAGTGGCTGACCGAGCGACAACGCTACATTGCCCACGAGCGCCTGATCCGCGAGTACAAGTCCGACCCCATGGAGACAGTCAAGGCGCGACATGTGAAGCGTGCCGTGTTCAACGTCAACAACATCGTCGCCGCTGGAGGCTTCTTTGCCATCAACGTCACCGTGCAGGGTGTCAGTATTTTCATGCCGACCATTCTCGCCGATCTAGGCTGGACTGCCACTCAAGCACAGCTGTACTCCGTTCCCCCTTACGTCTGTGCCTGTTTCGTGGCCATCCTGGTCGCCTTCATCAGCGACAAGACTCAGAGGCGAGGCGTCTACCTCGCGAGTTTCACCTTTTTAGGCATCGCCGGCTTCAGCATTCTGCGCTGGTACCAGGGCGTCAACGCCCGCTACGGCGCGGTCTATCTCGTCGTGGTAAGTCTCTCATTCCGTTCAACGATATCATTTCCTGTATCCCCCGAAAAAACCCCCTCCCACAGCATAAGCCCCAACCCCATATTCAGTCAAACTAACATTCTCCCTTTTCACCCAGATCGGCGCCTTCCCCGGCGGCCCCGGCTTCCTCTCCTGGGCAGTCAACAACACCGCGGGCCCCAACGTCCGCGCCGTCGCCTCCGGCTACATCGTCTCGCTCGGGACCATGGGCGGCATCCTCGCCACGTGGGCGTACCTGCGCGACGACGCGCCCCTCTACCACATCGGCCACAACATCAACCTGAGCATGCAGGTCTTGGTGCTGTGCCTCGCCAGCTTCGGCATCTACTGGTGCCACCGCGAGAACCGGTTGCGCGACCAGGGCAAGCGCGACCATCGCCTCAATGGCCTCACTGAGGCGGAGCAGGCGGATCTCGGCCACTTGCATCCGAGCTTTAGGTATATCTCATGATGAGGGGATGGGGAGATAACGGTGAGGGGGGCGGAGGGGAAGGTCGGAGCTGGGTAGCCATCGTGACAGTTGAGTCCCAAAAAAGAAAAGCTGCGTGGTGGGGAATCATGGCAGTGGAACAGTATGCATGAAGGGATTTGAATGTTCAAGCAGATAACGATGAGAATCTCGGACTTTTTGTGTCCTGACTTATTTGTTTGTTCCAATGCACGGAGGATCTGACCTACTTCAGTTGACTGGCCGCCCCTGTTTTCATCTCTCTCTGGTCCCACCAAGCCCTCAATGCTTCAACTTTTGCTCCTAGGCCCATTTGTCTCAACACGTCTCTATCCACCACAAACCATCCCAGAGTCTGCCTTTTCTCTTCCAGCTTGGCTGGCAGGTTCGCGTAGGCATTCAGCATGTGAGAAGTGTTGACATCACCGCTCCCTGTTCCACACTGCTGCATCACCACGTCTTGTAGTAAAGCAACCGTGCCACGTTCTGGTTTGAAATTCTGTGCGTCGATGTAGGCAGCCAGGCTGACGCCAGAGAAGAGATGCGACACGGACAGATCGTGCAGCTTCACATGACGTTTGGGCGGGAAGGCTTGAGAGTTGCGTAGCAAGGTCTGACCTGTCCAGGTGACAACTACGAGTAGGCTCACTGGAGTTGAGGGCGGTAGCCCTGGAAGATCAGCTAGGTTGGTGAGCTCCGGAGTCGGGTATGACGGAGCACGCTCTTGCTCTACTGCCATCGGCATCTTTGAGGGCATCTCGCTGGAGTACGGCGAGGCACTGTGATCGATCTCATGAAGGGTCTGGCGGCGTTGTTGCGTAGTGGCGACGCTAGGAGTCCTCGTCTCGAAGTCACCGGAGGATTGTGTGCCTGAAGGTTCCTCCATGTTGGTGTCTCCACTACTTTCGGTACTCGACAGCGAAGCACTAGGTCGCGGTTGCTTGAATAGGGGTGGAACCAAAGACGCCGAGTCATGGATTGCCTCAGAACGCTGGCGTTTGTGGACAGGGCGCAAGGAGGTCGGCAGAGGTTCCTGGGGCTCGCGAATGAAGCCACCTTCTTCGGTTGATGTGGAGGGTGCGCTTGCACGCTCGACTATCTCGCAATCGTAGATTCCCAGGAAGAGGATCTGACCAGGGAGCTTCCTCCGGGGTGCCTTCTTCACCTCAAATTGGCGAACTTCGAGAATGTCGCCTTTCTCAACATTCAGTCGCAGCTCGGGTAGTACGAGTGCTTGGACAATGAGTTCGTCATCAGTGAGGTAGTATCTTGAGGCTTGGGGTGGATTCTTCTCGGTCGTGTGCCTCTCACTCACAACTGCCTGAGGCACGACACTCTGGACGCGGAGCATGAGGGAGGGGGGACGGTGGGCGGTACGAAGGAGCTCGGACAAGCAGGCGCGCATTGCCCATTCTCATGGTCGCGACTACTGAGAATGCCGCTCAGTGAGCCGCAAAAACGCCTGGCAAAGCCAACAGCATGTGATCAGGGTGAAGTTGAAGACCGACGAGAAAGGAAGTGCAAGGTGGACGGCGCGTTCGAGCGCGTCGCGTCACGCTTTGATTGGCTTGGCAAGGCAATAGGCAGTAAATGGCTTTGAGCCTTGGAGTTTCTAGATTATCCCACTACCCGTGAGAACGAATTGCCGCGCCCGCAGCATGTGCCACGAAAAGCCAGTACGTGCGCTGTAAACATCTACAGTCTAAGGGCAAGGCAGCTGAAAGTTCTGGTGTCAACCCTCTGAACGCAGACTTGGGCCGACGTGGGTCAAACAGAGCAGTGGGAGGGCAGCCGACTTTGGCCCCTCCTCAACATTCGAAAGAGACATAATTTGCTAACTAGCACTGTTCTGTAAGCTCACGCGAATGGTCTCTCGCGCAAACCCTTCGCATGCCTCAATCCTGGAAGTCGACATTCACTCTGTCACGAAGGGTCCTATAGTGAAGCGACAACAGGCGGAGGGCTCTCCAGGAAGAGCTCTCGGCCCCCACGCCTACCTCGACTACCTGCAGGTAGCTATGTTACCCGGCCGCTTCCTCTCAGCGTCCTAGCCTCAGCCTGATTCATGAAGGCATTGCGGTCTGGCTGATATTTTGGTGTCTCATAACAGTGCACTGTCCCGTGCGGATGATCACAAATAAAGGGCTTAGTGAGCTTGGATCCGCAAGCAGCGCCTGTCTTACCGTGGCCCATCAGGCGTGGTGATGCTCAAAACGGAGCGATAGCCTCATTAACGGGACTCGCTTGTTGCCGCCGTCAGTTGCGGCATGATTATCAAGCGCAGCTAACACTGAGACCCACGACCCATGCAGCCCAATGGACTCGGCCTGGTGGAGGAACGGGTATGCTGCTGGCTTCTGGCGAAGCGGGTGAACAGGACGGCCACTGGACGGTTACTGCTGGTCCTGTACAACCCTCCTCGAGTCCTGATTCCAGGCTCAACCTGATGACACAAAAGCATTCCTAGAAGACGCCGTATTCAATCCAGTCTTCAGCATCCACCTTCACCCAAATTTGACAAGCTAACATCTTGACCAAGAGGCCCTCAAGCCATGGCCTATACAACAGCGTACCAGTACCAGGGCTCCCAAACCTATGTACTCAGATGCTTTTCGTGGAGATCGATTCTTGGTATCGTTGGTCCCTTGGCCCTCTTCTGCTTTTACGCATTCATATGCTTTTACTTTCTAAATCGCAAGCCTGAGAACGACATATTGCCTGCGAGCTCAATTGATGCAGACGTACCCTTCTACCTTTACTTTATCGTCTCAATCTTCACGTTGGAATGGGCCCGAACGGCGCTATCGAACTTTCAAGCCGCAGCATTAATGCGTCCTAGTTACGGCCCAACTAACGCTATGGGTTTGATGTGGCATGCCGACGACAACTGGGCTAATCCGCTCTGGTGGCTAAGAGCCTTGCGAAACTTAGTATACACCCGGCTCAGTCGGCCGGGTGTGAGAGGTATGGGCAGCAACCGCAACTATCGAACGACCCCGGGGCTGCTCTGGGTGTTCCTCAGCTTCACCTCGATGCTCATATTCGTGGCAATTCCACTCAGTGGACTCACACTTGAATTTACTCCGGCTCTCAAGACAGGACGCAGGCAAGCGACTATACTTGGACCGACGGCAAAGACCGTGAATATGAAGGCTCGCAACTCACTGCCCTCCATTATCGAGGGCAGCTGGAAAACAGGCGACCTTGCAACTCCTCCTGATTCTTCTTACTTCTTCGCTCCAGATGGCAGCCACAATGTGTCGCTGACCTATCTTGAAGACATGAGCATCCTCAATCCGAATGAGGGCTTCACCACCTTTCTCGGCCCCGCAATTAAAGACCTGGTATCAGGAACCACGTTCGGATTGGAGGCCTCGCTTCGATGCCAGCACGTTGATGAAAGAGCCTTACGATTGACTGACTCTCACGAGTGGGACCTGTATAACCTCACGTATACCCTCGACGGCTCCGTTTCCTCAACCGTGGGCAGCGGTGCAGAAGTTGAACGCTATGGGATCGTCTTTTTAAATGAAACGAGAAGTGCAGATCTTCAAAGTCCTTACTCCCTCATGATTGCGGCTGATGGAACATGGTACGGCAATTCGCCATATGTCGATCCGGACAATATCGATCGCCAACTCTACAGCTATGCAGTCGACAATGGCACATCGGATGGAACTCCATCGGGTCTGCTGGAGATGTATCTTTGGCAGGCTGGCGACAAATCTAACGATACCGTCTGGAAGACACTTCAAGCCGATCCATCACCGCTCCTAGCCAAGGCCACTCTCCCATCGCAATCTCAAGTGGATGAGGACATGGGCTTGGTCGGATACGCCATACAATGTCATGTGCGAAGCAGGGTCGGGCATGCACGTCTGGACCCCATGAAGCGCACTTACAGCGACTTCAAGATAACGAATACAACAGGCAATGGAGGCGACAACGACGTCTACGGCTTACAAATGCTATCGATCATGGCACTTAGTGACTGGGACGGCGTCAATTACCGACCTCGTCAAGTCTCGCTCGCCGGGTTTGAGTCTCGCTGGGTGTCTCTGCATCAGGGTCTTGGTCAGCCGGCCTCAGAGATATGCATCAGCGAATGCGATAATCCAGCCGACGAAAACTACGGTACAGGAGTCCGCTATTTGGCCCTCACGCCCACCGATGCTACACGCGCGCTGTACAGACTCTTGGGCCAGAGCATGATTGCCATCATGAGTGCAGGGTCGCAGGATCCCTGGAAGGATGACCTGTTCCTCCTTGACTCGGCTCGCTGGCTGAAACCGGGACCCATGCCCTGGAAGCCGGTGCTTGCCATACTCGCCCTCTGGACCGCCATCACCATCAGTCTGTCAATCTGGACTCTGACAACCAAGCGATGGGCTCCCACCATGAGCGGCTTCGAACTGTTTCGCTTCGGAGGCCAATTCGCCGACGAGATCAATGGCTTCGACTCCGGGCGGTTTGAGGCCTGTGACGAGCTACGCAAGATTCCCGGCCTCGTGGGCGTTCTCCCAGGCTTGGCTGCGGACGGGGAGGCGGGCTTCATTGGCTTGAGCGAGAGCCCCGCGCATCGGGATGGGAGGTACGTGTATGACCGGCGAAGGGCAGCGAGGTATCGGAGGCTGTAGGAGGCGGGTAGCGTTCAGGCCATGCTCCATCACGCGTTATCAGATCATTGAACCTCTCCATTACTAGTCATCTTACTGCATATTGACATCACTCATGATCCTCGCGCGCGGAGTCGGCTTTTGCCAGACTACCGCGAAGCGTTACTCTCCCGGCGACGCTGATCCGTAACTCCTTATCATCAGAAATGCTGCACACGTCTCTGCAGTCTTCGTACCGCACAGCAGACGCTTCGCTCCCCTACTCTTGCTTTCTTCTTCTGCCTGACTGACAAAATCACGTATGGGCAACCGGGCACATGCCTCTTTCTCAGCAGCCGCCATCAGAGCTCTCTACCCACTCCACGCCATCAAGCTCGGCCTCGGCGCCTCCCTCGCCACCGCCTGCAACCGCCCGACCAAAGCCGGACCCTGCACCGCCGCCAACGCCCCCATCAGCAAACACACCAACGCCACCAACAGCAGCTGCTCCAGACTCGCCACCTTCCGGCCCCCGCCGTACTTATTGGACGCATAAGCCAACTCCTCCCCCGCCCTCCCCACCATTTTCCTTATGGGCTTGACGCCATGCTCCCTCGCAGCCTCCAAACCCGTCTTCATGGCCGGCAACCCATCCATACTCCACGCGTTCTTGTACGCCCAGTAGCGCGGCATGCTCTCCCCCTCCTTCCCCGCGCGGAATCTCGCGTCCTTCTTGCGGAAGTGCTCGTTCAGGATGTCGCGGTGCCCGACAAAGTCAAAGTAGGGGACGGAGAAGCCGCACGAGGTGCCGACCTGGTGGATGTCGACTTTGATGATGGAGCGGGTGCCGGGGATGGTGGTGATAGAGGGGTGGGAGGCGACGAAGGCGGAGAAGGCGGGCGTGCCGTGTTCGAGGACGGTGCCGTGGCCCCAGAGGCGGAGGATGCGGGGTGGGCCCGTGAAGGCTGTGAGCATTATGGTGATGCGGCCATTCCTGTGGGGGGGTTGTCGGGGGTTAGGACGTGGAGAGGTTTGAAGGAGGATGTGGGTCAGTGGAGGATGAGGGTGGGAGAAGGGCTTACTCGTAGAGATGGCTCATTGTTTCTTGGGGAGGAATTGGATGTCAGTCTTGGACATTGTACATGGACAACAAGATGGTGCGCGCCGGCTTCATTAGCTGAAGATGGGACTTACCGCTCCCACTTCCGGTGAGTTCTTGATACCAGAAGGTGCGGGGGTTGTCGACGCCGAAGTACGGACCACCTTTGGGCGAGACGTTGATATGGCCTTTAGCTGAGAGGGGCGCAGTGGCGACGTAGAACAGTTTCTGCTCCAGAATCCATTTAATCTGGGACTCTGGGATTTCTTCGAAGAAAGCGCCCATGTTGGGCTTGACGGCGTGCCGAGTTGTTGCTCACGACGGACGATTTGGTGGCGTTATTGAGAGTCCGCTTGCAGGAATGCAGGAGGGAAGAGGCTACTATGAAGAGTAGCGGGGCGAGGCTGTTGGGTTTAAGGAGTTGCGAACCGAGGCCGATGGATCTGATACCGGCCATGGTTATGACTGATGAGTTGCGGTAACGTGTACCTGGAGTAGATGGAGACCCTTGCCGATGTCGGCTGGTGGCTGCAAACATGCCCCTTTGGGGGCTGTCAGGCGTCCTCGGGTATGGACGCCTGGAGAAACTCTATGCGAATCGAGTATAAGGTGGTAAATATAAGTGCAACATCATTATTCATTCTCGTGCTTAACTCCCGTTAGATCCCGCCACTAAGCGTTTCGCGGGGGCTTTCGTGCGTCAAATGAGAAGATCGATCACGCATAGTTGATAGTGCCTGGTCGGAAGCACAGCTCTGGCTCACCCCGATGAGCATTCACTGCCTGAGATTTGTCAAGGTATAGATAGTATGGCGCGAGGGGACATTCGGGGCGGGATATGCTACCGTCGAAGCTACTTAGTGCTTCAAACCCCCACCCAAAGTGCTTAAGCATACGACTGTAGCTCTGTCAGGCCAGGGAAGGCTTCTTCTACTCAGTCCCATTTCAGTTGCAGCACTGCGGCACTGCTCCAGGGCACCTCCACTTCAACGACACCTTCTTCACTAACCTTCAGTATCTCTCCTGTTGTGGCATTGTCCTGCGGGACAGGCAGACCCTCGTCGAGCTCATAGTTGTAGCTCACGCCATCGTACGTGATACCAGTGATCGCATTGCTCCCGTTCGCCATAAGCCTCTGGACGCTCACCTCCTTGACACCGTAATCACTTGGCAACGTGAAGCTGAAGGCCTCGCTCGGCCTCTCATCATTGCTTCTAGACTCGGTATAGTTGTAGGCCTGCATCTGGATGAGCGCAATCCTCTCCAGCCTATCATTCACGTACGCCGCGTAGGCGGCATTGTAGATACTGTCAAGATCGATGTTCGCGACTGATGTATTGCCGGATGTCAAATCCCCAAGGAAGCTGGCGACAGCAATGTTGCCATAGTAGGGTGCTTTCGTGCCTATGGTCTCGTTCGGCGTGCTCATCGGTTGCCACGATGCATAGCGATAATTGGTTCCTTGGTGCATATGCACTCTTGCAATGCCTGTAGCCGCGCAGTAGAGATTGAAATCCACGCCCCAAAGGGCAGCACCAAAACTGTTAGAGAGGGCAGGGGCGCCTTGGCTGTCAGATGGTTTGGTCAGCTTCAGTCGTCAGAAAGGTAACAGGGTCCTATTTGGTATGAAGATGGTATTGGCTCTCATGGTCTACTCACTGTTGCACAAGTTAGCGAGAAAAGCCTTTACTTCCAGCGACGACGGACAGTAACGCCATTCAGAAGACACTCGACGAAGCCTCAATCCCGCAGTGAGAGAATAACAATAACGACTCGGGACTTACCTTGTAAAGGCTGTTCGTCTCCCCGAGCAAGTAAGGCAGTCCGGTATCTCGAAGCAGTGTGGTCTCGTTCAAGTGCTTGTTGACACTCAGGACTGTGCTCGTGTGGTTCATCAGTGTGTGCTGGAGCGTCACACCCGGTTGCGTTGCACCACCAATGTAGTTATGACTGTCAATAAAAGCGATCTCCTGGTCGGTGTCAAGCCCAGAGCTGAAGGTCTTGATAATGTTCAAGCTGTTGGAAGTGCCAGCAAAAGATGGGCTATAGAAGCGGAATTTGCCTTGCTCGATAACGGCAGGGCAGTCTCGCTCAACGATTTGGCGCATAGTCCGGGTTTTGTTTAGATATTCAGCTACGTAGTCAGACTCGTCCCACCCCGCAGGGCGCACAGGCCCTTGTGCAGAGGTCTTGAATAGGTCTGGCTCATTTCCGAGCGTGAAGAATGCGAGCTTGTCGCTGGTGAGAACCTTGCAGACTAGGGGAACAGTGCCAACCAAGGTGTCGTAGCCAGCGGACCCGTTCTTTCCCAAGTTGAAGCCGTGCAGGTACTGAAACCCTGGCCAGGTATTGTAACTATCGAAGTACGACGGTCCGATGCTGATGGTGGTCGGGTAGTCTCTTGAGCGATTCACGTTGACGGTCCCGACGAGGGCTTCCTCCTGATTCGCATCATAAGTTGCATAGTCTTGCGTGTTCCCTCCGACTCTGATGATCGGATTGGAGCCCTGTATAGCGCCTAGATTCGTCAAGAGGTTATACGAGAAGTTGTTCGGTGTCGACGAGTTTCCAGCGAAGTCAGGAAAAGAAGAAAACTCGATGGAAAACGAGACAAATGATTCGCGGATAGGCTCGCTGGCGTTGCTTGGTGAGCTTATAGACAAGGGTATTGGGTTACCCGCCAACGCCACGGCCACAAGTGTCAAGACGGATCCCAGATGTCGCTGGCCCATATTGAAGTTTGGTGCTCGTGTACTTGGGTAGGTATATTGAATACTAGCTGACACTTGGGGAGGACGAGCTTGTGATGTCTACTTAAACCGCTCCTGCCATTATGAGTAGTCAAGGGCAGCCGGTCTTCAGAGAGCTTGATCAGAAGCCGCGGGTGGCTGATTGGCTCGCTGCGAACGGTGTAGACTTCGGTACATGGCAGGGTAGTAGTAACAATGAGGAGAAGCCGACGATCGCAGGTTTGCGGGGGTTGCGTGTGGCCAGTTGGGTAGCTGTTCTCAGCTTACCGGGACCCATGGGTACGGCTGCTAGACCCGCGCACTCATGTACCGGCGACTGAACTGCATTGTGATTGCAGGTTAGCATCACTGAACGACCGTCCTTTACGTAGCACGGAGCGCGGTCGGGACCTCGTCATGACTTCCCCTCTGTCGACATATTTGAGGTATATTTGCATGTCAAGGAAGCCTCGGCAGATTTTATTGACGAGCTAGAAAGCTAAGATACATCGCAACAGTGACGCCGTCTAGGTGTGCAGTCGATCTCCGCTAAGATGGCCCCAACATGACGGTGCTCTGCCTATGAGGCTATGGTTGCCGAGATCCAAGTAGGCAACTACTTCACCTGTTCACGCCCAGCTGTCAATTTTCATTGTGCCCTTCTCCTGCAGGTTTTTGTGCATATCAAACGAATTGAAGAGGAGATGAGGCTCGTGTCCCCAGCCTGGAAATGCATTAGTAAACCGGTATCGGAGCCAGAGATGAAGGGCTGGAGAGGAAAGTACTGACCCTTCTTCAGACACTCAAATTCAGCCTTGTCGAAGTAGTCCTGCAAAATCGGCCGATAATCTGGATGCGAGCAGTGCTTGATGATCTCCCTTGCACGCTCGCGAGGGCTCATACCACGAACATCCGCAAGGCCCTGCTCCGTTACGATGACATCAAGATCGTGCTCCTATGGACGTGAACGACGTGGTCAGCATTCTTCCAGGAACTGGATGCGCAGAGTATGTGGTGGGAGGGCAAGCTTACTGTCTGGTCAACGTGTGTACACATGGGGACGATGCAAGAGACGCCGGTAGGATCCGTCTTGGATGGTCGCGTGGAAGGGGTGTGCATAATCGAGTACTTGGCGGAGCGCAGGAAATCCGCTGAACCACCTAGGCCATTGAGCATTCTGCTGCCCATCACACACGTACTATTGGCATGGGCGTAAATGTCGACCTCAACAGGAGTGTTCATGCCGATGACGCCAAGCCGACGAATGATCTCAGGGCTGTTAGACACTTGCTGAGAGCGTAGCAGGAGCTTGCTGTGGTAATTCTCCCACCCATCGTAGAAGCGCTTGAAGCCTCCAGGGCTGAAGCGAATGCTGGTTGCGGTCGCGAAGTCGAGGTTGCCGGAGTCAAAGAGATCGAGAAAACTATCCTGAAGGACTTCAGTCCAAACCTTGAGATTCTGTGGTCCATTAGTGAAGTCTCTCGCGTTAAAAGGAGGCAAGTGACCTTGAAGTTGGCACCACCAGAGGCCAGACCACCAATCACCGCATTGGCAATGTTGCCGATACCCGACTGAATCGGCAGGAGATTCTTGGGAAGCCGATCATGCTTCACTTCATGTTCTAGGAATTCAATCAGGCTGAAATCGTGATCAGCAAGCCGTCAAGGATTGGTGATTAGGACATACTTGGAAGCAATCGCGCGAGATGCATCGTCTTCCGGTGCGTTCTCCGTAGTCTGGTCCGGGTAGTCACTTTCGACGAGGGCAACCACGCGCTCCGGGTCGATCGGTATGTGAGGAGTGCCGATGCGGTCTTCGGGAGACATGATAAGATATGGCTTTCGGTTGGGCGGCAGATTGGTCATGGTGATGTCGTGTAAGCCTTCAAAGGATGGCGCTGTATGACGGTCAGGGATCCGCCTCCGGGGTTCAACGATCTCACTGACCAGCAGTATTGAGCTCAATAATGATCTTATCCGCCATCTGAATAATCTCGGGGCTGGCACCAACGCTGGCACCTGGGATAATTCCGCCGTCTTCAGTGATGGCAGAGGCTTCGATGATGGCAACATCAAGCTGACACCCTGGTTAGTACTGACTCGAGTCGGAGATAATCTTGCCATACCCTGTTGTTAGCCTTGTGCTTTGTATAGTATCCATACATCAAGTCCACTGGCTAGTGCAAAGTCAGCCTCGACAACTCTCCATAGCATCCCGAGCCGGCTCCGGATCAGCACCAGACTTACGAACATGCTCAAATGCTTATCGAAGAATTTGATGTTTCCATTGTTGATGCCCTTGGCGATCTCCTTTCCGACCTGGTGAGGTGCTCGCCTCTCGATCATGTTGAGCTGAACGTCTCGTCAGCTTATCCACTGGAAGGGAGCAACGCCTGCCTACCCTTGCCCATCGATTCTCCGTCTCAGCTCCGGAGCTGGCACCCACGAAGAGATTGTACTTGAGCTTCCCTTGCAGATTATTGCGTTCCACGTGATCCGCCATAGCTGTCGGCACCTTTTTGGGGTAGCCTACACCGGTGAAGCCTGACCAACCAATGTAGCTGTTATGGGGAAACAAGTCAATCAGATCCTCAGCCTTGGCTAGCTTCTTCAGATATGAAGGACGCCGGCATCGCGCCTTGAGGAGCTCCGAGGCGGCGGCCATGACGGCAGCAGAGTAGCTCCTTCGCCGGGCAGCGCTTGCAAGGGAGACCGGAGACTGGGAAAGAGAAATGGGCGCACCGATCCACTGGCAATTACAATGTTGTAAGAAGGAATAAGGGAGTTTGACGTTTGGGAAACCAAGCTAAGATGCTCGTAAGCCAAGACGAGATTCACGCTCGAAAGGCAGGCTAGCATGAGTCGAGGCTATAGGTGCTTCGAGGTTGGGATAGTCCACAGCAAAGCGGCCCACTATTCCGACCGAGTCCGCCACAGATAGATGTCCGAGCAAATCACAATCGAGCTTCGAGCTTGCGTGGGAGAGGGCTAATTTTCGCATCTGGTGGGGTCTTCGTTATTCACACCGAGAGCCGCAGACATTCTCAGACCCAAGAATGCTACTTTTGGGCTGCTGCGCGGGGAAGAACGCCGGCATCTAGAGGACGCGTCTGCGTGTTCGAAACGGACGGGAAATCCTAAATGCGGTCGTAGCTGATGGTCACGACACCGGAGTAGAGGAGATTGGTGTTATCACACGTCCGGTAGGGCTGAGTGCAGATACCAGCTTTGCCAGCCAAGGTATGGGCAACGACGAAACGTTCTTTTAATTCTAATTCAAACGGCGTTCTTTCGTCTATCATGGCCCAAAAGTCTCTCCGGGCTTCAGTTGCAGATAAGAGCATGCTTGCCAGTCGCAGCCTTGCTTGTATATTTCGGTGCCCCACCATTTCAAGTTCTGGACCCAGCCCCAGCCAGGATACAGAAAGCCAAAGAAGACAACGACAAGCCCGAAAGCAAGCCCGCTGTCCAAGGCCGCACTCATCGTCATAGTATACTTGCTCCACCAAGCGGGTGCCCTTCGTCGGACAACACTATTGAAAATGAAGCAGACCACCGCCCAAATACTGAAATTGAGGCCCGTGGCCGGCGGGATCCAAGACAAGCTGCCGAAGAGGACCGGTAGGTTGATCTTTCGCCACACCGACTTCTTATGAGTCTTGCGGCCAATCAGCCATACGCCTATGGGCGCGAGAAACCCTACCAGGAAAGCCCAAACAAGTGGTCTGTACAGCGCACCGGGTCCGAAGAAACGTTGTGGACCAACCACTCCCCACAGGATACTGCCGTTGAAGTGCACCCGAGCGATCGGACAATTGAAGCCATTTATCGCCTGAGGCGTGCAGAAATGGGGGATATTGATGAACATCCAATTCAATACGCCAATCTGGACCATCGACGAGACCAATGTAGCCACCATCTGCACTTTGAATAGCAACTTCGGCGGGATCTTCATGTAGTGACCAAGCTTCATGTCGCTGGAGAACTTGATGCCTTGTGCCGATGAGATGTAGCAATAGGTGACAAACACCATGTTGGCGACAGGACGACCAGGAAAGACAACACCACAGATGAGCTGGCAGATCAGGTATAAAGACGAATGCTGATTGGTGATGGCCATGACAATTCCAACCGGAATGAAGAGGACTGCAGTGATGGACACCGCTAAGATGAGGCCGTACCATGGAAGGTAGACTGGATAATACTCGACCACGAACATGCCCACAGCAAGCATGACCACGAATGTGATCAAGTACCATGTCATTGGCACGTCCGGGTACCGCGCCATGAGTCGATTATGCACATCAAACCCGGACTTTCGTGCAGAGGCACATCGATTGGCGTTGTAAACCGGCTGCGGTACTGGCGCGTAACCAGCCGTGTCCCGTTTCTCTTCGCGCTCGTTGAAGGCTTCTCTCGACTGCCGCATGATATCTTTGCCGTGCCAGCAAGTGGTATGGGAGACCAAAGCGGCAAGTGCTGCAAATTGCACACCATACGAGAGAACGTAGGTGATGGGGAGGTACACTCTGGAATAGTTGTCGTACGCTTCTTTGTCGAAGATGAATTCTGGTGTCAAAATTCGGCTAACGTCGTAGCGCTTACCTCGATTGTCGTATACAATCGATGTCAGGATCGGCATGTATGCAGAGTACATGACATTTGCGTAATAGAGCAGAGGTGCCATTACCCACATAACGATAACCAGGCCGGCTACAACGTTCAAGGCAGCCCACCAAGGCGTCAGGAGCGGCGATCCGATATAAGCGATCTGGGCCCAGTCAAACGTCAGTGGGAACATGCCCAAGCCAGTTGACACGCCAAACAGTGTCGAGACCACTCGATTATCGGGCGCAAACCAAGTGATGACATTGAAGTAGCTCAACGCAGGCATAAATAAACCTGGCAAGAAATACCAGGCGCAAGCTGCCGCCCATATGTAAACGAAGAAGCGGTATCGCGACATGGTCCAGCCATTGGCCACTTTGTTCTCATTCTTGTGCATCGTAGAAAACATGGCCGTTGACATCAAGGTGCCGGGCCAGATCATTGAGGCTGGTCGTACAAGAAAACGACGAGTAAGGCCGGCAAAAGCGTAGCCCAACACCTGGGTCGAGACGGTCAGCAGGATCTGATACATTATCGGAACTTCTTGTTTGTAGAATTTGTGTTGCTCAACAACGACATCGGTGGCAAAGGCAAAGCCAAATGACACATTGCTGCTGATATAAACACAAGCGTGTTCCTTCTCGTTCCATCGTCCCTGGGCCAGCCAAAGGCGAAGGCGAGTACGGAGCGGCAGGCCCGTATCTGCCAAGGGAGGATCCTGAACATCGCCATCAACGAATGTAGCGACAGGGTCGCTTTTCCGTTTCAGTGACAAGTCCCATAGCTTGCCAATGGGATGTACAAGGACGAGCGCGATGACTGGAGTTATGGCCACGCTCGGATAGCGCAATGAGAAGAACAGATTTGTGGCAGAGCCGGCCACAGCAAACATCATGGACAAGATCCACATACGAGGAGTATTAATTGATACTGTGGTGTTGTCTGTAGGCGCGACGGATGCTCTCACCTCGGCATACTGCGAGTTGTCTGGTGGATTCTCTTCGTTCCAGTCATCCTCAGATGACTCGCCTCTTGTCCTCTGGCTTGCGTTGGACGACTCAGCCTTGTCTTCGTGTAATGGAGGCACAACCCCAAATGAGGTCTTCGCATCAGGGCCCATTGTCACCTCGCTGGTAATGGACGACCTACGTCGACGCCAGTTGGAGGCTGTGGCTCGTACGCGTGGATTCGAGCGGTTACCGCGCTCATTAGGCATGCTCTGCACCGGTCTCAAGCCATTGTCGTCGTCGTGACTGTAATGATCCTGCCAGAAGGGATCATCGTCCTCTGAACTCGGAGAAGGCTGCGCATGGATAGGGACAGCACCGTATGATCCAGTGCCCAACGCCGGTGAAGAGCGGATTAGGAGGGGCGTCTTGGACATGATTGCACGCCAGGCTCTTTTAAACCAGCCAGGCGGCCCGTGCTGTGTTACCGACCAAGCGGCTGGATTGTGGTTATGGGCTGGATCGAGATAGGACGCGCCGTTTGATGGGTGGCGCGGGAGAAGCTGCTCAGCAGCATTTTCATCCTGTGACAACGACGGTGAGTGAGAGCGGTGAGGGTCAGAGGCGTGGAAGGTTGAGAGCTCCAGGGCGGGTATGTTAGGGTGAGGCGAGGCGGGTGAGTCGAGGTGGACATGATCATCAGGCGGAAGACGACTCATAGCACAGAGCACCCCATTGCCAGAGCCTGGGACGTGCAGGGTGCAGGCGGTGGTGTGGCCGTTCCACGTTTCATTTGGGGGGCGCAGGCTGCATTAGGCCCGCCTAGCGCTGCCCAAGAAAACGTCACTAGGGGCTCGGTCCGTAAAAGCAGTTGTCTTTTAAGTTGTCACCGCTCCCAAATGCACCAAGTCGATGTCGGGATGCGTGTCTTTTGACTTCAAATTCCATAGATCAAAGCTTTGCATCCCGCGCGACGAGCAGGTGATCTTGTGATTCATTATCTGATAAGATCTCAAACTTGCTTCGCCCCTCGCGTAGCCACTTAGGTACCCTGCCAACCTTGTCTCGCCTTGCCCGCATGGGTGCCGGCAAATGCTATTCGATCGCTGGAAAATCCCTCCCTGCAAACATGACTTCTCGTGCCACTCTCGCGACGGTTCCGCACTGTCCTCACTGGCATCCTGAATCGGCGGCCCGCACGCCGACATACATCTGGTCTTGAATGTGGATCTGATGGCACCTGGATCTGATTGGTCTCACAGGGTCCATGAGTCCAAATTCGAACCGCCGAAATAGCTCCATTGTAGTCAGCAGATACGTTCCATCCATGGGACCTAGTCACTGCACCTCGAAAAGGACCTTGTTCATTTCCATCAGAGCTATCCGTCGACCCAAGCAGATTGAGCGACCGTGACTGAAGGAAAGTTCCCAGACTCGTTCTCGGAACTTGATCTCATCTGAGCTTCCTAAGACCCATCGACTAGGTCTGAAGAAGTCTGCATCTTCTCCAAAAATGTCTTGTCGGCGCATCATGGCGTGGTGTGCATGTGCAACTTGAGTTCCACCTGGAATCCATAGGCCACTGATCCAAATCCCCTCTGGTGGAGCAACTTTGGTGTTGAGGCCGTTTAGAGGCACCCATAGTCTGAGTCCCTCTTTGATACATGCTTGCAGGTAAGGTAACTGCAATGCCTCCTGGTTCTGAATGACAGGACTTGATGACAGCCTACACACCACAGCCCTACGCACCTCGTGTCGCAGTCTGAGATACTCTGCTGGGTTGGTCAATAGGTACAACAGCGTCATGCGGATACAGGTCGCAGTCGAGTCGGCCCCTGCGAGGATCTGCAACAACGACTCACTTTCAGCCTCGACTTGGGTCAGCCCGTGGATGATGAAAGAGTCGAGCATGTCTCTGCTATGACCACAGTCGACATTTTCTCGGTAGCGATCGCCTATCATCCTCTGGACCACCCCCATAACTGCACCAAGTCCGGTCTTATCCGTCGGTTTCGGACCTGCAATCGACGCCACCAATGTGTTCGACAAGAGGTAGTGTATACATGGATGATTGTTGCACAGCTCCATCAATGGCAAAAACTTCGCACTGGTCTTGACATAGGCATACAGGTCTTGCTCCTTGCGGAGAAAGCCGAAAGGTCGACCGAATGCCAGGTCTGTCAAGACATCGAGCGCAAAATATTGGGCGATCCGCGCGAAGTCAGCAGGTTCTGGCTTAGCAACGTATCGTTCTAGCACTTGGACTACCTCCACGACCCTGTCGTCCACTCTCGATTCCAGCGATGGGATGTCTTTCCCAGTGTACTAATAGTGTCAGTTAGCCTCTCTCCATGAGGGTCTTGAGACGTGCCCCAGGTGAGAGCTTGGCACGTAGTTGCCGGTGGCGGCTCTCGTCTTGTTCGGACAGGGTATTGTTGATTCTCGGATCTAGGCGCATTCCCTTATACCAATGACCTCTGCTGAACTTGGATCGCGTGTCTGTCATGGCACGAATCACACTCGGATCGTTCGTGATGATCATGTTGGGTCCGATTCGTACCGGTGAAGGGCCTGGCAGCTGTCAGATCTTGCGCAATCCAACCTACATCTCTGGCCACTGTACCATATTTCCGCAGAATGCTTTCCGCTGTGAGATGAAAGTTGCCGTGCCAAGCTGCCTGGAACAACCACAGCTCACTTACTGCAGCCAGCAGTGGACCAGGGAAATACTCGAGTTTACGGTATGCCTGCGCACGTCGGATAACAACATACACAAAGGCGAGAACAGTAGAGGTAAAGATTGCCCACCAAGAGATAGAAGCATGCAGGCCTAGACCCATGAAACCCATGATGTAGATCAGTGCTTTGCGAGTCGTGGTCTCTTGATCAAGAACCCGATGACGATAATCGGCAGTACTCTTATGCTTTGATGCTCTACTGATTTCACGGCAGGCGCCACCCAAATCTTGGGAACCTTAGCAACTTAGACCGGAAAGAAAGCGGTGGATGGCAACTGTCACCTTCCAGTGGTGCAGAGCCGGTTGGTAAGAGCACATGTCGTCGTCACTGCGACACGGGTCTTGCTTCCACGGATGCTGCGTTGAAGTGAGCATAAACGGGCGTGACCCCCGAGCAATCATCAGTTGACTGGCCTTTGATCATGAGAATTTGCACGAGCTCTAGCCGCGATAGCGGTGCCTTGACCAGTAAGGGTTTCCTGCTGTGCTAAATCTGGGGATGTGCAGCCGCTATCAATATGCACGAATTCGGATATCTCGCATTCTATCAGCACGCATCGAATGTCATGCAGCAACAATCCACAAGCGTATAGTGATTAAGGAAATGGCTGCATGCTACCGATTCGGTCTCCATTGAGATGTCAAATTTCGGGGCGGGGGCTCAGATTCCAACGATGCTCAAGGTGGAGGATGCTTTTGGCGGAAAGTAGGCTTGCGCATCGACTCGCGAGACTCGTCGATGGCTCTCCCTAGATCGCTGTTCGTTAGACGCCGCCCGTATATTAGCAACGCGAAGTGTCGGTGCCCGTGCCCAAGGAGTCAATTTGAAAGATTTTGGGTATCTCTGAACCCATATTTACACCGTGAGTCCTCTAGGGATGCGGGAAGCTGTCTTCATACCCGATATGCTCCGCTCACTTCGACTTCGTTTGTTCATGTTCCCTTCTCGGCCTCCAGTTCTCGCTCCGCCTGCTGGTAGTATTTCGCAGTGTCCACGCCATGCTGTAGTCTTGATTAGCAGCGGGTTCTTGATGGCACCACATTCAAAGCCCCGACATACCTGGTTGTGATTCACAAAGTTTGCGAAGGGGACAACGTGGCTCAGTAAAGAGGAAAAGCGACTGTTTCGAGCTGCCACTCCCTGCATGTACGGTGATAAGGTGCTAGTGCCGTACAGCGGCTCGCCCTTCTTGACCTTGTCAACCATTTCTCTCATGTCCAAGTCGATTTCCCGTTGGTTCTCCGAAGCTCCCAGGAATCGTACTGTAGCAATTGTCAGCTCCTCCTGCTATCCCCCAAATAGGTCGCCCTTTCGTGCTCGAACGTACAGCAACTCCTCTGGTACACTAGTCCAGCACCTGCCACAAGCCCGACCGCGACGCTAAGTCGGAACAACGGTGGGTATGCGCCTCTTCCGGAAAAGGACGGTGCGTAGCGCTCAGTCACGGTGAGGAAAGCAGGACCGATCGCAGCCATTCCAGCCCCGTACGTCCAATCTTCGCCTCTTGCATACCTGAAGGCCCGACGCCAGTGTCTATACAAGATTTTGTCAGTATACGGTGGCTGAAGCGTGCGGACATCGAATCTGGACGCCATTGGTAGAGGACGGGAGCTCGTACGGATCTGTGTCAATGACCTGTGGGCTCTGTTAGTTGCCTCCCCGAACCTGAGAGAAGACTTCAACACACTGGGTATGTGGCATTGAGCCGCTTTGGCGGCACAAGCTGCCCGGACTCCTGCGCCATTGTTGTCGTGGTCATGCGTCCTGTCCTATATCGCCAGGCCCGGGACCAAGTTGAGGTTGCTCCTGCGGAGCTCAATGCCAAGCACAAATTCATCCTAATTCAAATCCAGTTAGCGTGCTTATGGAATGCCGATGACGTTGATCGTGATTGGCAGGCGCGTGCTGTTCTCAGCGACGCGTCGCGAGCCTCAACCACTTCCATATACTGCCCTCGACCACCGATCTTGATTATCCTGCAGACGACACAATGGCTGCCGATCCGATCACTGCTGATACAGCAGCTGAACTGCTCAACTACGACCTCTCTGATGACGACCCTTTCAACGACAACCCAACTATCTCGCGCGACGACAAGCCCACACTCTCGCCCCGCGGCACGAAGCGCAAGAATGACGATGACAAGGAAAACTTCCTCGGCCTAGATGATGAGGTCACAATAAAGAAGAAGCGGAAGCCTACAGTCAAGCTTGATGAAGCTAGGTACGACGCAACTCACATCCCTACATCGAACAGATGCTAACAGCTGCTCAGAGTTCTCTCTGCGCCGGGCATACCAAAACTTCGCGAGATCGCCCGATCGACGGCTGGAGTGACGCGAAAATTGCGCATGAAGGGCAAAGGGCATGAGTTTACTGATGTTGCTAAACTGCTTAACTTCTACCAACTATGGCTTGACGGTCTTTACCCGCGAGCGAAGTTTGCCGACGGTCTGCAATTGATCGAGAAGGTTGGCCATAGCAAGCGTATGCAAGTGATGCGGAAAGAATGGATAGACGAAGGCAAGCCCGGCTATATCAGACCTGGCACGGAGCTTGTGGAGAGCATCTTGAATGGAGACTTCCAATCGGAAGAAAAGGCTGGACACAACGGCCAGCCAATGCGAACCCAAACGTCGGGCGGGCCACAGGTGGAGGAGGACGACATGTTTTTCCCCTCACCCAGCAAGGCCGGCCGGCAAGAATCACTCGGGGCTGGAGATCCTGATGATGAAGAGCTGGTAGATCTACTTGCTGCGCAGAGTGATCGACCCCTGGTCCCTTCAAAGCACACCAATGTTCAACCTGATTCAGAGGGCGAAGACGATCTGGATGCTTTGCTAGCCGAACAAGATTCGTTGCGTCAATCCGGGCCCCTTTTCAACCAGACCCGACGTCCGGCAGAAGCCGATGATGGTGGAGATGATGACCTCGATGCTCTGCTTGCCGAACAAGAATCTCGAATCGCTGCTTCAGATCAGACTGCCACCACGCGGCCCACAGCGCATTCCGCAATTGGAACGCGAGCTGACAGCTCATCCCGACCTTCAAGCAGTCACTCGGCCAGCAAAAGGAAACAAGCCATTTTCGATGACGCTGATTCGGAAGGTGAAGATGATCTCGATGCTCTGCTCGCCGATCAGGAAGCTCGGAAGCGTCACTCGACGCCGCCAACCTCGCCGCACGATCGGGCCGAGGCGCATCCTGAACCCGTGAAGTCCAGTCAGCACGAAGCGAAAGGTGACTCCCAGGCGACGGTAGCTAAGATATTCTCCTCTTCGCCCCTGCGAAATGATTCGTACAAGGATGGCCTAGGCATGAAGATTCATTCTTCCTCTCCACTACCAAATAATCCCGAGGAGGAAGATGATTTGGATGCGTTGTTGGCCGAAGAGGGAATGTGAATTGACAGCTTCCCTCACAGCTATGGAGGGTGGTCATACCGAGGACGTCAATAACGAGTATGAAATTGAGTTTGAAGAAGGATTACTAGACGTGATCAATGCCAACAGATGCTGCATTTCCAGGAGCAGCCTGTCAATCCTTCGATACTTGATCCCTAACGAACATTCTTTCACGTTAAAGGGTGCAGGAGCCCCGTTCTACTGTAGAGCCAACATCAGAAGAAAGCACACCAACCAATATACATCCGACACAGCCGCCACTCATCTGTCGCCTGATGCACCATCTCCTGCACGTACCCACCCACGCTCAACGGTACGCTCTCGCCTTGCAAGAAACCCCTGACCTTCCCACGCACACTCTCCAGCACCTCGACCGGACTGTTCGGCACGCCCGCCACGGCCTTCTTCCTCCGCCTCTCACGCTCCAAGAAGTCCGTCGTTGGATCGTGCAAAAAGGTCTCGAGGATGGTCATCAACGCGTCCTCATTGTTCCGCAGCAAAGTCAACGTGATCTCGGAGCACCGCCGCCAGGGCCCCTCGTAGCCGGGGGGACCCATGGCGTCGACCATGTTGTGCGTCAAGCGGAAGGGCACGTGTTCGGGCTTCTCGAACGTCAGGCCCTTGTCGAAGAGGCAATTGAAGTCGACGTGCATGAGGCTGCCGTTGTCCTCCTCGAAGAGGATGTTCTCGCCGTGTCGGTCACCGAGGCCGAGGACGTGGCCGACGATGCTCATGACGGCGCAGGAGCGTGTGTAGCGCAGCCGGGCGGCGAACCAGGCGGATGGGTCCGGGAAAGAGTCGATGAACCATTCGTGGAAGACGGGCGGAAAGGTCTTGAGGATGCGGTCCGAGAAGATGGCGCACTTCTCGGGTGGGCCGGAGCAGGATTCATCCAACAAGTTGCGGATCTCGGTGTAGTTAGGCGAGATCGACTTGTCTTTGTAGAGCTTGAGGATGATGTCGCGGAAGGTCTTGAGATTGTTGACCCACTCGATAAGGCCGCACTCTTCGTTGAGCGGCACGACAGCGTATGTGCGAATGTAGAGGCGTCGCTTGGACGCGTCCACGTCACGTTTCAAGAAGCGGTTGATCATGGTATTAAATTCCATCAGGCGCTGGTCTTTGCGTAGGTCGTCTTTAGGTTTCGCGAGGACGCCGTAGATGGCGCCATCCGAGCCACGAATGGAGAGCTTACGGGGCTTCTGCAGAGAAGAGAGCACGAGAGCGTCATCCAGGAAGGCGGATATGGTAACCGGATCCTTGTCGAAGGCACGGAAAGACTTTAGATAGGCGCTATCGTAAGAAGTTGGGATCGAGGGGACGAGACATGACTCCACGGGAACAACTAGGCGTGATGGTGCGATCTTGTGGTGGAAGCCCAAGTCCCTAGCCAGGCTGACCCGACTGATCTTGCCTTCGATGGGATACTCGGAGACCCGCAGGATTTCGTCTGAAAATCGTTGTCCAGCCGAGATCATGTTCCGCAACTCGGACGGAGTCAGTCCACTACCGCTGGACTTTTTCTGGCCTTCGACTACTTTCGAAATTATCGTCAACCCACGGCTTGCTCGGTCTTTTGACTGGGATTTTGCGACGGCTAGCAAAGTCCATAGAGCTTGATTGGGGAAAGCTCTGACAACTTTGACGACGATGCTGACCAAAATGTTGTATACAGCGGGATTAGTGTGACAGATGCGCGCCACAACTTGAGGCAGAATGGTGTACAGGACAGCAGCTTGGATGCGATCAACGTACTTCTGAATGTACTTGTGGGTCTCGTCGATGACTCGCTTTCTTTGGGCGTTGTTGTGCTGGTGGAATTTCTCGTTGCCCCTTCGAGGATCAGTGGGTATATCTGATCCAGCAACAAGTTCGAACCATAGGGTAAGTACCTTCGGCAAGGTCTGAAATACAAACTTTCCGCCATTGATAAGTGATCGAAGATAGTTCTCTATGACCAACTTGGCGAGTTCACCCGTCAAAAATGTTTGTGACTCTTTTCCAGGAGGCATCAGCTTCTCCGAATCCAGTAATTTATTGTAGTGGCGGCCGAGATAATACCAGCCTTTTTCCCACTTCCTGAAGTGCTCAGTGGACTTCCGAAATGTGTTCTTGATCTCTTCAGATTGGGTCTGTCCGGCTCGATCCAGCCATTTGCCAAGCAGTAGATAGGCTTTCGCGGTCAGTTCGTTTTGATTGTTTTGTTGCTCGGTAGTAAGAGTGACTGGCCCATCTTCAGCAACGTAAGTGTGAGCAATGAAAGCACCAGAGCTGATAGCGCCTTCCAGCGTCTGGATGGCTTTTCGATGATGACCGTCCTGCCAGATGAGCTTTGCCTCTTCGATCGAGGAAGATTTATCCCCCAGTGCTGCAGCTGCAAGAACAGCATCGAAAGCCTGAGAAGATGCTTTCGCTTTTCGTGCCAACCGAGCACTTGTGAGCCAAGCTCCGGCAATGTCGTTGTCGCTGAATACGGGTTTCCTGATCTGCATAGCTGCCCGCCTCACCGACAACAGATACTGCTTATCCTGAACATTGGATCCCAAGATATCCAGTCGTTTGCGAAGGATTTTCATGTTCTCGGTTTTGCTATCAGTCGTCGTCTCCAGGATCAGACGGAGATCATCGATTGTGTGCATCTTCCTCAAGCTCTCGTAGCTATTCGCAAGGGACATGATTGCGTTGGGGCTAAGCTCCAAAGCACTTGTTCTGTAAAGCTCTTCAATCAACTCGGATCCGGCGTGGTGGTCGTCCTTGTAAGCTTGAAGCAGTACCTTCCCGAGACAGGTTGTAAAGTCGTCACTCGGGTCTGCTGAGACAAGCTTGGCTAACTCATCCCATCTATATGTGGCCCAGGCTGATTCAATGGCATACGGTTTTAGCTGCGTCAGTGGCAATTGTGATGTGCTGACCATGGTCTCATATCGGTCCAGTAGCAGATGGTGTTGACCAGACTCTCGAAGGCATTGCATGAGATTCTTCTGTAGATCAATGTCGTCCGGCCTGTCAACGATCTGCATCTGATACCAGCCTTGAGCAGTAGTCCACCTTCCCGCCTTCTTGTGCTCCAGAACTCGACCCTCGACGTCAACAAAGTTCATTTGCGCTGAGATGCCTTCAATACCATCAGGCTCGTCAATCTGGGCGTAGATATCTTGGAGTCGAGCAAGATCTGAGTCACGAGTTTGTACTGAGCCTGACTTTCTGATGTGTTGCTCCCAATGGAACAGTGCTCGAGAATACGATTTGCACTCAATAGCGCGTTGTGAGATCAGATCTGGTGGGATCTGATCAATCAAGTGCTCGACAGCCTTGATTTGCTCTTGTGCGACTTGCATAGCGACTTCAAGGGCCGTACGATCATTCTTGGACGCGTGAACACTGAAATTCTTTCTCCGAGACTGCAGGTAACGACTGAGGTATTGCAAGACCTCAAATATACTCTGGCTGCACGACTTGATGTCCTCCTGTGTTCTTCGATCGTGGCCTGCCAGAGACTGTCCCAATACGTTCAGGATCTCTTCAACGATATCTCGGACATCTTTGTCGACGCCGCTCACCAGTAGGCTGAGCACCGTGTACGGCAACAGGAACGAAGGAATCGAAAGGTCTTGGCCTTGAATTACTCGGCTGCAGATCGAGTATATTAACTGAACGTTGCTGCCAGGCGACCGATGCAGGAAATCCATGACTATTGCGCGAAGCCAATCCTCATGAGCCATTCCGGGCTTGAAGTAAGGATACTCTCGCCCTTCAGGCGTCCGTAAGTCCTGCACACGGTATTTCGAGGTCTGGAACGGCGCCAGAGTATTTCGGACGGCCTCTGGCAGGTCATTCCAGCGTCGATAAGCCGAGCTCGGACCACTTCGAATGCGAGGTGCTGAAGTATCCTCCTCATGACATAGATTAAGCAATTCCTGCATTGCCCATGCAAGGAAGCCCTGAGCTCGGGTCGTGGAGGCTGAGAGGAAAGTCTTCACCAAGACATGCTCTAGGAAATACATGATGAAGTCGACGGTTTCCCCAGCGCTCGAGAAGTTTGACGGTATGACCAATGGCTTCCTCTCAACACTAGCTTCGATTTTGTTCGAATCAAGACAGCCTATACTGGCCAGGCAGTGGGCGCTCAGGCGGTTGATTTCCTGGTTGCTCCGGAACTTGACAGGCGAAGCCAGTAGCGCTCGTGTAAGACCAGATATATAGGCATCGGGCTTCTCGCGCAGAATCGATTGCTGCAGAAAGCCTTGCTTGGCACGCAGTACCGGCGAGAGCTCCCGCAATGCCTGCTCGATAACAATCTCGTTCTCGTCTTCTAGGCGCTCGATGAAAGCAGTAACCGTTCGACGTTCGTCCAGCTGGCGTTTGAGAGCACCGATCTCTGCCTGGAACTTACTGAGCACCGGGATGTCACCAAAAGATGGCATCGTTTCAAAATTGTCCCTTATCATTATAGTATGTTGCTTCAGCAAATCTGCAATGAGGTCGTAGGCCATGTTCTGTGTGACGGAGCTGAACCGATCCCAGTACTTGACAATGATTGCTATTGTCTGGTTCACCAGGGGTTGAATGTCGTCCTCTTTCAGCGATCGTATGACAGTGGCCCACGATGCAAACGCTGTATCGCAAAGATCTGAATCGTCAAGGGAGGAGCGGAGACAGGCACAGATCTGCGGCAATGCCTTAACAACTCGTGCTTTGCCCAATTTGACGATTTCTGACAGCGCTGTAACGCTGCGCTTCTTCTCGAGTTTTGGCTCCTTGGCTTCGATATCATTGAGGAGAACTGTGAAATGGGTCACGATAGCCAAGCAGTGGCTCTCTAGGAAGGTACTCAGAGTTTCACCTCGTTTAGACGATGACATATGCTGACCTGGTTTGCGCAGAAGGATGGAGGCCAGGAACTGAAGAGCGTGGTACGTTCGTGACGATTTACTCTCGCTTGCTTCGCCCGCAGATTTCAAGAGTGTACAAGTGATTTGAATGGGATCGTGGTTGAGCCAGCCTGACAGATCCAAAGATGCAAAGTCGTCGGAGACTGCCATAAGCATCTCCATGATCTTTTGCTCGGCGTCTTGGTAGCCTTGCATCAAGAGATGGGCTAGGATCGCCGCAAGATTTCGAGGCGCAGTGCAGATATCGAAAGCCGTTGTAGAGGAGCCGTGGGCCGCTGCAAATTGAGTGATGATGTTGAGCTCTTGGTTAAGAACGAGGTTTGGAAGAGCGTATTCTTCAATCAACAGCATCAAGCCGTTGGTTTGCATGCCCACAAGCGAGCATATCTGCTCAGCAATGGCAGGTCGACTGGCCATATTCTTCGCAATCACCAGACCGACAGTCCGCCAGAATGGTCTAAAGAGTACCGCAGTCGTCACCTGACGAGCAGCAGCCAACTGTTGTATCTCTTCGTAGACAAGGCCACTGATATAGGAGTTGTTGTGGCCGAGGTACTCGACGAGCCTCAAGATGATGATGTTCTGCTCCTCTTCTCCTACCACCTGAGCTATTCTCGTCAATGCTAATATTGTCGTTTCCTGTAGAGCTGTGTCCCCCATCGACCACAAGGACTGCAGGAATTCGAGAGCCACAACTCTATTGTCACGCGCAATGGAGATATCGGCTTGGATGTCCATGACATATACCTGTAGTGTTGCGATCGCGGCTATGCGGAGGTCCCTCGACGAACTGCGTAGACATTGTAGACACCATTCGCCTGCTGTGGAGCTCCGAAGACTTGAATCAGACAGAGACTGAGTATGCAGCAGAATCCGACGAAGCGCAGTCATTGAGGAAACCCTGGCCGCAGGATTGCGCTTGATGGGTGGAATCACGGCAAGGAGAGTCCTCATGAGCTCCTCAGCAGCGACGTCTGATGTGCTTCGTATAAGACTGTCGCCATTACATGCTGTGCAGCGATCCTGCGTCAGTGAGTCTTGGGCCATTTGACAGATGATCGACCCCATGGAATCGATGGATTCGGTTTGTTGGTCTTCGCCAAAGCGCTTCATAGCCGCAGCCGCGGTTGTATGCAATCCAACAAGGTCACCAACAGCGTTGCCGGTCAACTTGCCAGTCAGCCTTCTGCATAGCTGTTGCCTGATGCTGGGCTGTTGAATTTCGCCATCCTGTACGTCAGAAAGTCGAGGTCGTTTTCGAGCGCGTTCACCATCCGGCCAGGAGAGGTCATCTGTTGTGTCGTCCAGGTACGCCGTGTCTGGGTGTTCTCGAACCTCCAGCTGGCTGACATTCTCAATGAGTTCACTGAGGTCCTGGTTGTCGGCCGCGTCTTCTACCAGATCTTCAAATGTGTTCAGGACCTGCTGAATGGTTTTGCGAAGTTGTAACGACCTGGGTGGCGGAAGAGAATATTTCGAAAGAGTCTGCAAGATTTTGGCAATGCTGAAGAACACGTGTGCTCGGGAGTTGAATCGGAACCTCGAAGCAAGGCCGTGACACGCAGGGCGTATTTTCCAGAGGCGGTCGACAAAAGCTTCGTCATTCAGCTCGAAGGTACCAGACGATGTCGCTGTCACCTTTTGGCTTAAAGTGGTAGCCAGTGCGAACACAGAGCCCAGTAGAAACTCGGTCACTGCGTCATTGGGAGTGCCTTGTTTGGAGCTCCCACCAACATGAATGCAGGTAGATATGGTTTCTAGGATAGCGTCAACGCGAGGGACGGAAGCCTGTGGTCCCAACGCCGACAAGAGTTTGGGCACCATTACGATATAGAGTGGGGGTTCAGCGAGATCATCCGATTTTCCATTGGCGGAAGTCCGCATGAAAAGCACTCCTTCTGCTCTCTCTGTGGCGACGCGAATCACTTCGAGACAAGCCAGAAATCGCGTTTCTGCCCTAGCGTTTGCGCTATTGGGTTGAAAGGGGTCGTCGATGCTGTCCCGCAGGACTGGGTCGATACCTGCCTTGAGAACAACTTCAACAACCTTGAGATTGATGGAAACATCGGAGCCAAGGTTCGGCTGTCCATTCTCATCTGTGGCTAGGGATTCTTCCAGCAACTGATCGAAACTGGCTTGGTTCAGCTCAGTAGCGGCATCCTTGCTGGCAATCCGAGTTGCCAGAATTGAAGACGGAGGCGGCTCGAAGCCGTTCGAGCGCCGAACACCGTGGATTGCTGCCATGGTCGATCATAGTGCGGTGTTGCGTAGAACTGAGCAGGCAGCCAGAGATGTGCAGTAAAGTTGTAATATCTGGACAATTCGAAGACGCGACTACGCGATTGAGCAAATGGCCCGCCGTAGTCTTGGCACTAGTACGCCTATGAACGCATCAGTCTGCCCGCCTCGGAATGACTTGTGTTGCCTTGTTTCTTCTCCAATTTGCCTCTGATGCCTTTGCAGAGCAACCCGGAACCAATGCAGCCGACTCATTTTCAGGCAATGGGTACACTAACCAAGGTATCCCGGCTTGCAAATTCACATGAGTGGCAGCCGAGGCCCTAGCCCAAGGCAAAGCCAGGCAGAAACAGGCAAAAGGCTCCACTTCTCAGGGGCCAAGCTGAATCCTCCTCGCAAGGCAGCATGCCAGACCAATGAACGTGAAGACTCATCGAGCGTGTGGAACGTCTGACCAGGCTACCTGCAGCTAGCCTACAGCTACTCCGCGACGTCAAAGCTTTCTGAACAGGTCAGTGTCGCTAGCTATCGATCATATAAACAAACAGCTCTTTGGCACTTTCTTGTCTCCGGAAGTGTCTGATATCGATCTTGCAATCCTCTGGCCTTGCTCTGAACATCGGCCCCCATCAGTCAACTCAATATGGCTCCAGCAAAGCGCAAGCGAGGTGCTGCACAAACCTCCAAGAAAGCGCAGAAGAAGACTCAACAACAGAAAGCGAAATCACAGCCCAATGTCAAGGTCGACGAGACGTTCTCAGATGACAACGGTGAATACTTCCACGGTGCAACAGCTGTGGTCTAACAGCGAATGCAACAGGTGCGACTGTGTATATTGACGCCAAAGACGTGATTTGGGATGCAGCTCTCAATCAGACCAACATTGGGGAGTCCGTAAACCCCCTGAAGTTTTAGTACATCATACTAACTTCGTCTGTCACAGCAATAACAACAAGGTCGGTGCTATGTATGCCAGACTTGAAATAAGTCAACTAACACGCCACAGTTCTACTTCGTCCAGATCCTTCGGAGCAAGAATGGCAAACAGTTCTACACTCACACTCGATGGGGAAGGGTGGGAGAACTTGGCCAAGCCAAGACGGTAGGTCCCACATCGCTTGAGTCCGCCATCAAAGAGTTCGAGAAGAAATTTAAGGACAAGACCGGTCTGGCTTGGGACGATCGCAACGAGGATTCCAAGGGCGGTAAGAAATACACCTACCTGGAAAAGAACTATGACGACGACGAGGAAGAAGAGGAGACCGACACAAAGCAAGATGACTCTGTAAAGTCCAAGTTACCCCTTGCTACACAGCGACTCATTGAGCTGATCTTCAACGAAAACCATTTCAATGCCGCGCTTGAGGATCTAGGGTACAATAAGGAGAAGCTGCCGCTTGGCAAGTTGTCGAAAAGCACCATCAAAACCGGCTTCAAGTATCTCCAGGAACTTGGGAGCTTGATCAAGCACCCAAGTCTTGCACAAAACAAATACCAGCAAACCCAGAAAGCGGCTCTTGAGTCGTTCTCGAACAAATACTACTCGACAATTCCACACATCACTGGCCGCGTGGCACCGCCAACCATCGATGATAACGACAAGCTGCGGGTCGAGGTCGCCATGCTGGACACCCTCACTGATATGAGTGTTGCCAATACCATCATGAAGGCGCGCGACAATTCTCGTGACGCCGAATCCGTGGCTCTGATCGACAAGCGCTATCAAGATCTGGGTCTTTCCGAAATGACACCCCTTGAGCACGACAGCAAGGAATACAACGAGCTTGCAAAATATCTCCTTGAATCGTCGGGCACCACGCACAATCTTCGGTATCGACTCGAAGACATCTTCCGGGTGGAGCGCGCAGGCGAGAAAGAGCGGTTCAAAGCCTCCCGCTTTGCAAAGGTCAAGGACTCGAACAAGCTCCTGCTGTGGCACGGATCCCGCACGTCGAACTATGGTGGCATTCTGTCGCAAGGTCTCCGCATCGTAAGTCGCTCGATTGTTTGGAGCTCAGGAAACGCGCATAGCTTCACCTGTGAGAAGTTTTCGAAGCTGCTACTGACAAGTACCTAGGCACCGCCTGAAGCACCGATGAACGGCTACGCGTTCGGCAAGGGCGTCTACCTTGCCGACTGCTCATCCAAGTCAGCCAACTACTGCCGCGCCAGTATGTCTGGTGGCACCGGACTCCTCTTACTCTGCGAGGCCGAGCTCTCCAACCCCATGTACGAGATCAGTTCCGGCGACTCGAATGCGCAGGATCTGTCGCAGAAGTATGGCGCCATCGCGACCAAAGGAGTCGGTCGGACGGTGCCTCAGAAGTGGAAGGATGCGGGCTGTGTGCATAAAGACCTGAAGGGTGTCAAGATGCCAGACGGACCAGTCGGTGATAACAAGACTCTCAAGCAGTCGGGCTACCTGCTCTACAACGAGTACATCGCCTACGATGTCAGTCAGTTGCGGCTGCGGTATCTGCTCAAGGTGAGTATGTGAGTGGTTTTACGTTGGATGTGGAACAGATGCTTTTCTCCAATGCACACGGGCGCAAGGATGGTCATCAGCGTTAGCGAAGAGTCTTCATTTTGGGACACTGGTAAATCATAGCTCTGGTCCTGGTTCAAACACGGAGTTGTCACTATAGAGTGAGCGTTACCATGCCAGCGCCGGGCTCGCCCTTTGATTCAGTACTCACGTCTCCCAATTACGCCCCAGGCCAGGACCCCACGCTGCCATTCTCTGCGCCTGCGCTCGCGCCCAAAACCTTTGGCCAAATGGCAGAAATCGTCCAGGGCAACGCCAGCCAACTCGACGTCATCGCTGAAGTTCACCGATCTAGGCCTCAGTTTGCCCCACAAAATATATCCCCATCCGTGTCGAGCATGTGATTGCGCAGGAAAACATTTCCATGACAGCATCGAGATTGCGAACTGGAACAGTGGCTCAAGCGCAGTGTGGCGGCGGATCATGACGCGTTTCTGCGAGGGGTTGGGTCTCAGGCAATACTGGAGCGGTTGGTGAAAGCCTCACAGATCGAATGGCATTTCTGGCATCCTCGATCCACCTGCCGCTGGCCGTGAGTCTGATTGGCTGTTGCCGCCAAAAACCAGTCCGAGCTAAACTGAAAGAGGCAAGGCTGATCGTGGAGAATGACGTAGAGCTGTTGTTTGCATCGCGGACGCTCTGACCCCACGCAAAAAGCGTCGATGGCGTCGTTCGTCACAAGGTCAGCCCAGCTTGTTTGCAGTGGCCCGGTGGTGGGATCCAGTCAGCGCCACAGCTCGAGAAGCGTCTGGGCTGGAAAATAGTCCGTACCGCTGAGCCCCGATTTCAGTGCTCCTGGGACATATAAGTATCTTCGGGGCCCTCGAGGCCATCTACATTCTACTTCATTACCACAACTCAAGACACAACTAAAACACCATCCTTCCACACACAAAACCATATCAACCTTTTTGTCAAGAAACCAATCATAATGGACTCTATCAAGTAAGCCACCAGCCTTGGTCGGGACACACCTGCAGCCCACCTAACACGCCGGAAATAGGAACGCCGCCAACTACGTCAGCGACAAGGTCAACGAGGCCACCTCAGGCGCCTCCAAGGAGGCCAACAAGGAAGTCGCCAAGGACTCCAACGTTGACGTCTCGACCCGTGCCTCGGCGGCAAAGGATGCCCTAGGTGACAAGGCGGACGAGCACAAGCATGGCGTACGTGTTTTCCCCACGAGCTCATCGTGCGACATATCAGACTAACGTGTCCCATCAGGCTTCTGCTGAGGCCAACAAGCAGCGTGCTACCCACTAAAGTACAGGCATAGCTGGCTGTTGCGCGACGGAGTAAAGGGTTCTTCGATCCACGATAATGTATATATATAGCTGAAACCCTTTTGCAACCATTTCCTGCTCCATGTCGTGGTTTCGCTCTGTCGATAAATTGTCTCCTGATACTAATACCTTGCATTCGATCACCAATCCACGGATACTCGCCAAATCGTTAGAATACCTCCTCGATCTCCCTATCCTCATCCCTCTTCACCAACGCTGACTGCGCATCCCCCTCCCCCTCGGCCTCGTCCCGCATCAACACATTCACCAGCCTCTCCACCGCCTCCCCCACGCCCTCATCCTGCACGTGGCTATGACACTCCCTCACAATCGCATACACCTGCACCTCCCTTAGCCGGTCCCTCCCCTTCCTCGTTGTCGTCAGCAGCGTCAAACTCTCAATATGCGTCGTCAGAATATCGTTACTGCTCTCGCGCTGCTTGTCCGGCGGCAGCAACTGCAGGTCCGGCAACATCTTGTCCATTTCGTCCTCCGGGTAGGTCTCGCTGCCGGCCAACGGTAGCAGGATGTAGGGCAGGATGTCGATTGCGGAGCCCGTCTCGGCCGACGGCAGGGACAGCAGCGCGGGGTGCGAGCTGACCTCGAAACACGCGTTTTTGAGTGTGCCCGCGACGCCGCGGCGCCGGATCAGTGAGGGGTGCTCGGTGAAGACGAAGATCTTGCTCAGAGGGGTGACGTTGTCGTATGCCTGGGGCGTGAGGAAGTACTTGCGCACGTCTTCGGACGTGCCGGAGAGGGAGGCGAGGAGGTAGCTGAGGTAGTCGTAGTTGCTGTCCGAGGGGGTGGAAACGAAAAGGTCGAGGAGTTGATCGAGCGCGGCGTCGGACTGAGAGGTCGAGGTGGCAGGAAGGGTGAGTGTGCGTAGGCGAGCGAGCGAGGGATGAATCGAGAGGTTGGCGAGTAGCTCCGACAAGAGCTGTGGGCTGGGGTCTTTGGGATTCTGGGCTGATTAGTGTGTTATTGCGGATGGGGAGGCGGCAGTACTGTTATCTTTCGGACCAGATCAATGACCAGATCATCATCCTGAGCAAGTCTGGCGCGGATCTCGTCATCCTGACTGCTGAGATTGACGAGGATTGTCAACGCATTTTTTGCAATTGACTTCGGATCTTGTTAGTGGACAAGCTGCACGTAGAAACAAGGCGTCGAGGCACAAGGCTGAGAGCCTGGCAGCGCTTTCAAGGCAACGCACCGGATAGTCCCGCACAAGAAGCACCAGGTGTTTAATCGGCAAAAGTTGATCCTTTTTGAAGATGGATGGCTGTGACGCTGAGTAACCCACCAGGTTCTCACATGCTGTCCACCTCGTCAGTGGTGTTGGTGTGGCCACGGAGTTTGGGCACCTGCCTATGCTTCGTATCTGAGTGTTGCCATGTTCCAGGAAGCCTACCAGCTTATCGAACCGTCAGATCCCGTCCCGTATACTTCGGACCGGGTTCGAGCACTTACCTCCTCCAGCTCTGTCGGCATATTGTGTAACTTGTTGGCAGGGAATGGAAGAGGAACTTTGGTCGCCTTGTGAACATAAAAAACTTGTGAGAGACTTCTCCGGGACTAGCGCGGACGGTGGGGTGGCAGTGCAAAAGGCCCTTCGCACGCGATTGGTTGACATGGCGGCAGTTTGGGCAGTTCGTGCGCCTGAACCTCGTGACCCCTCTCTCTGACACGTTTGAACGCCCAATTCACCTCTGACGCCTAGTCTGTAGAAGAGGGTCTTTTGTCTCAAGCCAGTCGGTGGTAATTCGCCCGCAGAATGACCATGCCGCCCTCATACCCGCTGCCTATCGGAAATCCATATGTAGACCCAATGCGCCCTGTCGGGCCAGGTTGCAGCTGATTAGGCTACAAACACTGACCTCGAACATCTCGTTGTCCACCACGTGTCGCCAGTAGTGAGGACCATCTTTCAACTCTGCAATCATGGCGCTTACACAGACTATTCCGATACCTGTTGCAATGCAGGATCTGAGTCGTCAGATTGCTCACATCCGACGCAGGACCAATACCTTGATTGACTATTACATCTATCCTGGCGCAGTGCCTTCGCAGATCGCTGCCTATGACCCGCGGCTGGCGCTTCTTGACGCTCGTCTGACCAATCTCAACAAGATCTCATACACTAAACTCGCATACATCCTCGACAGCTCGGACGCGCTCGCCGGATCACACATCACCGATGTTATCGATCAGCTCCTCAACGCCGTACACGGCATCCAGGAACTCTTCATCATTCACTATGATCCGCAGCTCGAGAAGCGCAAGCCCTTCGACACCATCTACCAGACCCTTCTGTTCCGGGAGCGCCAAATGAAAGATACCGTGCACTTTCAGATGACTGACACCCAGCGTGCGAAGCCCGAGGAACTACTCAGCAACCAGACCAACGGCTTCTGTCGCGGGGCAGTGATGCTTTTGAATGGGCGAGACAGGGGCAAGATCGCCTATGTCGTCCCGAGAGATCTCTTGACGGATAACCGGGAGCGCCTCGACCGGTACGGCGGCGCATACCTGTGGTGGGAATGTCCAGAATGCGAGTTTCGATTACGCTACCATGTGTCCGCATCTTCGCACAGCAACATCCATTCAACACAAGAGCTTCGTGAGCATCCGGGCGTCAAAGCCGAGTACAAGAGTGCCTTTCTCTGCAAGAGCCATCTGTACCAGCCCCTCGGCAGAGGTTCCCGCGGCAGTGTCTCTTCACCCGCCAAGTACGGCTGCTTGATCTGCTTTGCTCAGGACAAGAAGGACAAAGGAATGCCGATTTTCTACACCGGACGCGAGCTCGTCTCTCACGTGGCCTCAAAGCACAAGGGGAAGAACCTGCCGGCGCCGCCGTTGCTGCAAAAGTTCAACATTGGCGTCAAGGGCAAAACGGATGCTAATGTCAGACGCTGGGACATCAATCTGACTTAAAGGTCCCGCTCCGCCCGTGTTCTGAGCTTGTGGCGGAAGATATATAAGATAACTAGCGATTGGGGCGAAACACTATGCACTCAGACACCAGTCGGGGGTGGGGGGTTCGTAACTACCCTGCCAACGACAAACGATAGCCTCCGGGGTCATCTTTGCATTACTGCGCGCTTAGGCTACGAGACATGAGAGAACGCCTATAGAAAGCGTTGGAGCTACGAAGCTCAGACCCTACTAGGCTCTGACATATGAATTGACGAACTTTAAGACTCGGAAGTGAAAGATACGGGATCTGGCCCAAGAAGATATGAGAGTAACACGGCTTGAGCGTCGGGAGGCTGGTCGAGTGTGCACGCCTTCGTCGAGAGTATGGTCAAAGTGATGCAAAAAGATGGTCAGAAGTCCGTGGGCGTGTCCAATTGGTATTGGTGGCTTGTTGCTGCATGGCTTTGCTCGAAATTTGTTGCCTCACAAATTGCTGATGTCTACCAAGAATATTTCTTGAACATTTTGAGACCAAGTAGTCGTTGCCTGTTCGAAACCTATTCCTGCTTTTGATATAGAGATGCCTGATAATCGAGCCGCTGCAACCATGCCAAATACTTCCTCAAGACACATATACATCACTCATTGGCCAAATGCAAACTCATAACATTGCGTGACAAGTCCCATATCTCTTTGAGACCACCAACCCCCATCGACTCCGTCACAGCATTACCTCCCTTTTCCCCGCCACCAGCAAACCTCTATCGCCGCTCACTCGCCACCTGCTCCGCCCCCACATTCGGCACCTCCTCCGCGCCGGGCAGGCTCGCATTATTCTCCCGCGCCGCCGCGGGACCATGCTCGCCAAACGACCTCTCCTCGCCCAACTTGGCAAACTCCCGGTCCACACCGCGGGGCCCGCTGCCCACGCCCTCCAGGCCCGCGCCGTCTCTGCTGGCCGTGTGCTGGCCCCCGTGCTTCAGCTCCGTGGACGTCTGTCCGGAGCCCGGGTGCCCGAGCCCCGTGTGCACGTCCGCGCTGGTGGAGCCCGGCATGTCGAGGGCGCCCGTGCGGTTGACGGCCGAGGCGTTGTCGGCTTGCCCGGGGATCGAGTCGTTCTCGCCCGGTTGGGGCGTGTATGTGTCCTGCTTGGGGGCGGTGCCTGGAGGGGCGGTCTTGGCGGAGAATTCGGGGGCGTGGTCGTTGGGCGAGGCTTGTACGCCGGGTTTGTGCTGCAGGAGTGGCATTGTTAGTTGGGGAGGATTGTCAAAAGGGAAAAGGAACAGGGACAAGAAGACTCACGCCGTGGGTGGTCATGGGGTCGCTGCGGGGCGCGTGTGGGTTGAACTCGCCGGCGGCGTTGTTGAGGGAGTCCGCGTTGCGGGTGGCGCGAGAGTCGGACATGTTGGGTTTGGTTTTGGTTGGTGTGTTTCTGTGTGTGATGGATGACAAGTTTCAGAATCTGAATACTTGTGATACTGTTGGATAGTAGAAGCGTTCGAAGTAGCTGGATCTTAGAGATGATTTATCCTTCTGCCAGGCCCTTCTGCTGCAAAACAGTGACTCTACGTCACTTCTGCTAGACATTTTTTGCTGGTCAGCTTAATGCAATGTGATATGCAATGGTGGGTATAATATGATATCATGCCCCTGGTCAACGGCCTCACGCTGGTGCATCGAGCACGCGAGCCGTTGGCGATGATTCATGGCTGGAAATGCCATCCCGGGCCAATCGGATTGAATATTCGTGAGAGCGGGGATTGACTGCAGTATTGCAGCCAAGGCTTCTGTCACATGCACCGTTTGCGAGTATTCACGAAACACTGCAGTGGCCTACAGATGCTGGCGACCGATGGCGTGATATGTATACGAAGTAGTCGTTGATGCCAAACACAGACATGTCGGGTCCGCTGCCCTGGACCTGGCCTTAAGCATCCCATCTCTGCTTCGTCCGGCATATACATTAAGTTGTACCGCAGCGCTGATGGATGTGTCTCATGCACGCTATCCAGACCCTTCCCCTTGAGTATATTCAGTAACCTGGGTAGGTTTGTGAGAACGCAACTACCCCGATCATGGACCTGAACCATTACAGATTCGAGCATGAGCGGCGAGATCCAATTTATCAATGACGGTCAGTTGTTAGCCGAAAAAGCGGAAGGGGGAGGGACTCGAGGAAGACGGCTTTCAAGAATCAGTCTTGGGCTACCTAAGCTTACTCAATAGCCAGCCTCTCGTCGACTGATATTTTCTGCACGGAGCCATTTCCAACCCGCTCGACACCCCCCTTCTCGAGTTCTTTCTCAAAGTCATCGCTGTCAACTTCGACCCCGCGGATAAGCACTTCGCTCAATCCCTCGAGGGCGGCGACAAACACGCCGATCAGACTTGCAATGACGAAATGACTGATAGTCGTCCCGATCTCCAGCCAGCTGCCTTCATCGCGGACCATCCAAAAGAAATTTAGTGTCATAAGATCTGAGATCGCCATCACCACCATGAAGAGCGCGCTGCTCTGTAGGCCGACTCGGCGATTCAAAATGCCAAGCGCGGCTGAGATCAGTGCGAAGGGGACCATGATCTTGAGTATCAGCAACGCGCCCTGGGAGAAGGGATCGAAAACAGGGATGAGGCGGTAGACAGCATCTAGCGAGAATGACGAGATCGAGGCGATGTTTCCGGTTGAAAAGAAGGCCGATTGTAGGAGGAAGAAAAAGAAGAGTGATGTACGGAAGTCAGCCAAGGTCAAAGTTCGATATGTCTTGCGAGGCGTGATATCGGCGGCAGACGGTGTGGTACTGGTAATAACCGTGCCATTCTGGTGCACAGGTTTGGCCGTAGGTTTGTTATGGAACCTGAAAATGGCGTGCTCCAGTCGAATCCAGGTGAGGAGTGTAGCACCGAAGGTGAAGTAAAACAGACCTTCATAGGAGATTGTGAGGATGATGAAGGTGGGCGCAAAAGTCAGAAATATGACCATTAGGCGATGGAGGTAGTGGTTGTTGGGTGCGAATCGGTGGGCGAACGGTAGAGTGAGGGAAGCTACCAGACACAGCCATCCAATGACTTGGTTCCCCAGAGGAAGACCCTTCTTCGCTTGAAGAGATAGAACGCTCGAATGGCTAACAAGGACTGTGAGGAGGATGACGCCTAGCTGCAAGCCCATGAAAGCTCTAGACAAGGCACTGGTCTGTCCCGAAGCTGCCTTACCGCTTCGTGATTGCGCAGTAATACTCTGCTCAAAGAGTACATATCCGACGCCAGCAGCGAGCATAAGCAGGCCGCCGAATGTGATGGTGTTTGCGTTTTCGATTTTGATGACAGGTAGAAGCGTAAAAGTGCCGAGACCCAAGCATCCTGCTGCCCAGACTAGCAGGATCTTCGAGTGTTGCGCAACGAAATCCGGACCGTACAGCGAAGGCCAGAATGCCGCTAGACAATAGCAGATGGTAAAGATGATGCGGTGAAAGTATGATTGAACCTAGTACCATTAGTCGGCCCTGAGTGAAGTGCAAGAGGGCGAACATACCAACGCTTCGACGACAGCTAGAAATAGCACGAATTGAATTACCAATGTAGCATTCGCTGTGGGACTTTGCATCTGACCAAGCAGAATCTTGAACCCGGCGATGCAACCATTTCGTCTAGCAAACACTTCTTCCCAGAAGAACACCGGAAACAATGCATACAAATAATACTGTATAGGTGAACGGTCGACGATAAAAGATGCGTATAGCAAGACAAGGACTGAAGAGAAGGCAATGTTGCTTGTCAAGGTCCGCTCGCCACTTGTGCTCCCTTGGGTAACGTGAAGATCAATAACAGTGCTCAGAGCGTAGGCAATCCAGCCTAAGTACCCCATGGTAATGAGTGCTCGTAGGAAAAGCCAGTCGTACGTTTGTAGGTATCGAAGGCCCTGAATTGCGTCCTGGAATAGGACAGCGGTCTGGTTTATGGCCAGTTCGTGCTCTCCGGAAGCGATGTTCTGCTCGATGTTTGCGATACGGTCCGAGGCAGAGCCGTCAGTCTGAGCGAAACCAGAATATGGCTTGTACTGCATGGCGGTCGCCTTCTTCTCGGCCTCCTTTACGTTGTACATTTCGAGCACTTCTTTGACGTTGGCAAGTGCGGCCGCAGCTTTCGCTTCTGTTGTCGCTGCAAGGTATGACAACGGCAGTTCTCCAACAGAGTTCACCGGGAATTCAATGCCGGCAAGGTAGGCCATGAGAGCAGCAACGTCGGCCTGAGCTACGTCATGCCTTTGCACGTTGTTCAGGTTCCAGTCATGAGAGACGCCATCTTCATGGCCAGGTGCGTCGCCATTGGGGTGAATATTCGGCTTAGCCACGCCCGAGCCCCAGGAAATGAGAGGGGTCCGAGTATTGTCGGGATGTCCATCACCATGGCTACCCCAATCGCTCATCCCGTGATCAGCAGTGAAGACATAAGCAGTCTCATCATCCGCGTAGAAGGCATCGATTAACTTGGTGATCTCCTCCACACCCTGGTCGACGATTTTGATATTGTGGAGGTACTCTTTGGAATATGGCCTGTAAGAGTGCCCGGTAGTATCCAGTCCGAGGAGATGAAGAAAGAAAACAATCTTTTCTTGTCGTAGCATCGCGTTCAAGGTAGAGTTCGTCTTCGCCTCCTCGAACATAGCCTTGACTTTGTCAAAAACCCATATGTCTAGCGCAACCGCATCGGTCGAGAAGTCTTCAAACTCGGGAGGATAGTAATCCGCGTCAACTCGTCCCGGAACTGCGCCTTCGGAGAACATCGGAAGGATATCAGGACTACCCCAACTCCACGTATGCTGGCTTCGATTGAAGACGCTGTCAAAGTCCACCGGGTTCATCTTCCACCCAGTCGTCACAGCAGATACATCCTCATATAGTCCTGCAATCAGCGCCACATGCCCCGGTCTTGATTCGGTGGGTACGCGCGTATGCGACATGCCGAACGTGCCATGCTCGAGGACCCGGGAACGCAAGAACGGCGCAAGCGGCCTGGGAGTAAGATCGGCGTTCGCTGGGTCGGCGGGACTTGGGTCAGGATGCGACTGGAAGGCTTTGTCGGCACGTAGTCCGTCTCCGACGTACAGCACAAGGCGTTTGGCGGGAGCTTGGTCTTGTACCACCCTATGCGCTTGCATGCCATGAACGAGCGGACTGACGAAATAGATGTCAAAGATGGAGAAGATGTACACGAAGTGAAAGACGGCAGCGAGGACGAGGAAGCCGCCTCTGCCTAGTCGTGCCATGACTGTTGCTCTGATCAAAGGAAGGAATGACTACGGTGAGAAGAAATCATACCCAAGCACAGGGGAAATGGAGGACATTGAGGAGGGCTGGCGCAGTCGAGGGGAACGCAACGTTGCGGAATTTTTGTAAGCGGAAGGCTAGCCGAGCCCCTGAGACCCGCGAATCAGGCAGTGAATTCCGCCATCGCTTTTCGGTGGGAGTCTGCTGTATGTGCAAGATGGCTCCTTATATTGATGCTCTAGATACCTCACAGGCTGTCTTCCCGCCATCTGCTCCTCACTCGTGACCAGCCCTCCTTCTCAGCAATACCACCCAGCTTCTCGAGACCAAGTCCTCGTTCGATCCACTCCCGGCTACCCATCTCGCTGAGTCTGCTCAAAGCACGAGCAAAAGCAAATCGCTCCTCATCACCGCTAAATAAGCTGCTGTTCTTGAGCATAGTCATATTCATCCCTAAATCGTCCATCAGGTTGCGCATCACATCGTCCACGTCTGCTCCGTCGTCAACTTTTCCTTTCACCTCCTTCTCGTTGGAGGAAGATTCTGAATGCGACTTCTGCGACATTTTGTCGAGGCTGTCATCGAGCTCCGTTTTGCTCAGGAAGAGCTGTCCCAGTGGCACAGCTGTTGTCAAGACCAGTTTGGCTTGGCTCTCGTACACCGCATCAATGAATGTAATGAATCGCCGAGCCCAGTCGCGTTCTCGATGCGACATGCCTGGGACGTCTGTAATAATGAAAGCTTCGAAATTCCGCATCATCTCAATATAGTCCGCCGCACCCGTTGCACGTCCAATTAGCTCATTGAATGTGAACCTCGCAGCATTTCCACTGACTAGCGGTATTTCGACATCGCGGCCCCATACCTGAATGGTGACGGGATGAGGAGGGTCTCGTTCCGGGTCACCCAAGAACTTGAACCATTTGTCCGCATGGGATGCTGCAGCACGGTCCAGTGGATGATGGTACACTCCAGATGGCGGGCGCGGGATTTTGCGGTAGTCGGTACTGCTATCCAGGTTTATGACACGCAGCTGCTTCTTCAGCAGATCGATGCAAGGTATAAAGGACTGTCGTTGGATTCCATTTTTATAGAGGTCATCTGGGTGCCGATTCGAAGTGGTGACTATGACGACGCCGTGCGACATCAGCGCCTCGATTAAGCGCCGCAATATCATGGCATCGGCCACGTCTGTACACTGGAACTCATCAAAGCAAAGAACTTGGGCTGTCTCTGCAATGTCGGCTGCAGCGAACGGCACTGCATCGAAGTCTGAGCCATGTTGCATACGTAGTTTGTGCAAACGCTTGTGCACATCCTGCATGAAATTGTGAAAGTGTATCCGGGTCTTCGAGGTGACGTTTGATGGCAGTGTGTCGTAGAACAGGTCCATGAGCATGGTCTTTCCCGAGCCCACGTCGCCAAACATGTATAGGCCCTTGGGCATATTTGGGGGCAGCTCTGCGATGACCTTCTTCTTCTTCTTGCCTCCTCCAAAGATCGATCCAAACAAAGATTTCGGTTCTGGCTGTAAATCTGCAATGGAAGGATGGACGACCTTGGGCCAGTGATAATCTCGGAGCATCAGGTGCAGGTCATTGAGATGCTCAACGATGCCTGATCGGTCAGCGCAAAGTACTACAATTGAATGGTCCACTCACTCCTTTGGTGCCCGTCATCGCGCAGTCTTCGAGAGTGAACTCGCTCATCGTATTCCTCCAAAGGCGTCAAATGGCTCGGTTCGTCCTTCACCGTCGCAAGCGCCCGCTTCGAACTGCGCACCGAGTTGCACAAAGCCGGCCTACGTACAAATGGACGCGATTGCGGTGCATGACTGAGCGATATAGAGGAAATCGGCCTCCTCTGTCTCTCCTGCTGCCAGCAGCTAGCACAGATGCTATCCCACCGGCGTATGGGAAGGCGACCTTCGGCACCGATAGCTCGAAGACAGGCTCGAGAGCTACCGACTCTGGGTCGGACCGCCCCTCTCATGGCGTCTATATTGGCGACTGTGGAGTCTGCGTCCGCTTTACAAGTCCATGACGCTGTGATGATCGTGAACAGCAAAGTCGAGGACCAGATAGATCTCGAGACGCCTCGGCTTGTGGCGTCCAAATGCGCAGCTCCAGAAAGCAGCCCAAGCCCGATTGCGGCGGGCGCAGCCTATCAGCTCTCGGAGTAGAGTTTCGCCGTTTTGGGTTCCACTTTTTTCACTGCCTGATTTCTAAAAGTCAAGGAGCGTGTGAGAGCATTCACAAAGCTTGCGATACATGCAGCTGAAGGCTAGTACAGCAGACATACTGATTCAAGAGATTCCACAAAGTCGTGTCATAAGCCCCCTCGCACCGTTGGGAAGAAGCAGCATATACTTTGTTGCGAGCACCACCTTGCATTAGGATTAATCTAGCTAAATCAAAGGTGTGCTTGTCGCCGTGGACAATCAAGGATCGTGTATCATTGTAGTCGGAAGTAGACTGGCCTTATCCTCACTCATCATGCTCTGCTCAATCGTCGAGAGAAAGCCCCAAAACCCGCGCTATGCAAATATGTAAGTCGTGAAGTTAGAGATTCCTCAATAATGCCCATAATCACCATACGTTTCGACCTCCACATCGTCGTAGTTTCCGTAGTCCGCATAGGCGGCTACACCAGTAGGTTCAGGTAGATGAGTCGTGGTTGTTGGGTCATAGTTCTCGTAGTTCGGGTACTCTCCTGGGTAGTTCTGATAGTCGCCGTAATTTCCGTAATCCTCACCGCGCTTCTTGTACGTGCCGTAATCCGCGTACTTCTCGACCTCCACGCCATCATAGTTCCCATAGTCCGCATAGGCAGCTACGCCAGTGGGCTCGGGCAGATGAGTCGTGGTTGTGGGTGCTGGGTAGTTCTGATAGTCGCCATAGTTGCCGTAGTCGCCATAGTCATCCCGCTTCTTGTAGTGGTCGTAGTTTTCCACCTTGACATCCTTGTAATCGCCATAATCTGAGTACTTCTCGACCTCAACATTTTCGTAGCTACCATAATCCGCAGAAGGGGCATAAGGGGCACCGGCGGGAGCGGCGATTGCTTGCTGCACCAAAGGAATGGCTGCCAAGGCAAGACGGACTGATTGAGGGAGCTGCATTATGGTGGGTGAGAGACCGCTAGCAATGGGGACTGGAATCTGGTCTATAGCGGATGTTTGTTGTGCTGTTATGACGGTATGGTTCGGGCTTGAGGAGCAAGAGATTTCCCGCAGTGGCGTGAGAGCTCATCTTTGTATTCCATATCCATTGTGTCGCGGATTATGATGCAAGTAATCGTGCAGTGCACCGCTGAGGTCGTTGCGGGGACGTTCGCATCAGTTCACCTAGAATAACTGAGACAGCCGCATGGTGGGATCCTCTGTGCCATAGCCTGATTACAGGAATAGACCAGTAGCGTGGTCTCAACTTCGGAGGGTGTTGAGCGTTAGGCTTCACTGCCACGTCAGATGCAAACAGTATAACGACGACCAGCTAAGCCCTCGCAACCGGCCAATGACACAATCATGAAGCTGTCCCTACGAGGATGGTGCTGTGCGCAACGGAGCAGTTTCGGCAAGTCAGGCCTCATGCTGTAAGTGCCCATGACGGCGATTTTAGTCAGTGCAACCAATCGCAACTATGTCCATGCTGATGTTGCTGCGCGTTACGACACTCATGGATCCTATGCGGCTGACAGTTGGAGTAGGTCTGATTGAAACATCTCGCATCGTAGGCTAGTGGCACCGGCTTACTAGGCTTGGCAAGACACCAAAGGTAGGTCATTTCAGGAGGTATTCGGAGGTAGTGGAGCAACGCATGAGGTGTGCTCGATCAATGTAGAGGCAGAATACCTCGCCTAGTCCACCTGTCCGGGGGAGCCCTATACCATGATCTTGTCCGCCGCGAGTTCGGGTAAGCATAGCAATGTGACCTGCGCAAGCATGAGTATTTTTAGGGCCTTTACACTGTGCTCCACATGAACCGAAAGCCTGACGAATTACGATACATTCCAGGCCTACCAGTCTTGGCTGTTTGGTGCACTGCTGACCGCAGACCAAGCTCAGCCACGGCAATGTAACTCTCACACAGCATCTCAATATGTTGTTCCTCGGCCAGCGCCCGAGCTTTTCCACTTCGGAGCAGGTGATGTCTTGCGCATCAGCGAGCTTCTCGAGTCCTTTTTTTGGAGCAGTGCCAGAGGTGGTGGTCTGCTTTAGCTATCCTCGGCTGTGCTCATAGTTTTCACGACCGGTAAGATCAGCTATCAGTGCCTCTAGGTGCTGCTCAAGTACTTAGCTTATATCATGTGGCTACATGCTGTCCGCTCAAGCACGATCAACACATCAACTAGCTCCATCGAACCTCCTCACCATGAGCAATTCTCACTATAGCAAGATCGAAGCAGACACTGATAGCAGTGATCATGAGGCTCTCCTTTCCTCTCCCGATGCAAGCCACAGTTGGTCGACCAGCCAGCCTAAAGGGTGGTTGAGCTGGTTGAGCAGCCCTATAGTCACCCTTGTTCTTGTCTGCATAGCATTTGCAACCGGCTTCTTCATTCAAGCCATTCCATTCTTCAGCAAGGACTCTCTGTGTGCGGCACACACCACGCAATACACTCCTCCTATCCTTTCAGACGTCTCCATTGAATACAGCTCAGTCGATTACAATGGATCCTTCCTCCAAGAGAACATCTACCGACGCCCGGCAAGCCCTGAAGTCGATGCTGCGTGGGAGGCTCTAGGGGTCAACTACCGTGGCATCCGTGTGCCAGAGGACCAAGCTGTCGCTGCAGGCATTTCTAAGTCTCACGTCAGGATCAACAAAAAGCATGGAGGTGGCTATCCTGCAAACGTCGAAGGACTTCATCATCTTCACTGCTTGAACTTGCTCAGACAAACCTCGAAATACAACTTTGACTACTACAAGGCACTGGGAGAAGGGGCATTCAAGAACGATGACATGATCGTCGAGAAGCATGTGACGCACTGCTTGGACATACTTAGGCAGCAGCTGATGTGTAGGGCTGACTTTTCGGTCTTTGGACAAGTGTGGACTCATCCCGAATCGCCAAAGCCATTTGTCGACTTCAATACCAGACACAAATGCGTCAACTACGATGCTATTAGACAGTGGGCGGAAGAGCGCCAACTACCCAAGGGAGTTCCAAAAGACTTCCTAGAGCCACCCAACGAGGACTCTCGGATCTACCCAGGAACGCCTTAGTCACTTCTTGACGTCAAATATCTTAACGAAGTTACGCAGATAGATGTACAAATAATTCTTATCACGCAAATTATTCAGCAAAGTCTCTAATGCCGTCTATGTTCGAAGTGTCGTCATATTGAAAGACGTATATCCGAAGTGCCACTGATGTGCAGTACCAGCCATTGTTCGATTGATACCAAGCAAGTGGTAACCGCTACAGAGTTTGCACAAACCCAGTGCCAGGAATACAGCCTGGTTCCAATCATCCAAAGTCATATGTATGCTCCAGTTGACCTCCGCCATTCCCTTTGTATCTCAACTATCATGCTCTCGTGTGCAGCTACAGATTCTCCTTCGAAACGTAGTAGTTCAATTCTACCATATGCGAGCTGACCTAGAGTCGGCTGCCACAAATATGACAGCCTCAGGTGGTATTCACTCCATCTAAGGTAATCTGGAAGACTTCACGTCCCAAATGAGGTTGTGCATACCAACGGAAGTATGCTCATTCCCATCCAAGCAGCAACATATTGCTGCTAAGACTTCGACCACGATTACCGGCATGTAGCGGATCCTTGATGCCCACTACAAATAGGACGAAGTTTTCGACAGTCACTGCAACTTATCCTCATCAGAAGAGGACTAACACTCCTCGCACTTCCGGGATGGCGGAACTACTGGGCTTGTCATGGATAGGCCACGAATTCGACATGGGAGGGCTACAGCCTTGGGAACGAAGTGTAACTCCACTATTCAAAGACTCAAGTTCATACTTGAGATTATCACTTGGTAGCGTCTCCATAAGACATGTTCCGCACACTTGATTGTCGCATATCATGTATGTAAATACACGTCAATAGTTGCTCAGCTAACCTCAAGTCCTATGTTAGAGGCAGTCATTTCAGTAGTAAATGCAGCTCGGGCAGCCCTTTTGCAAGCAATGAACCCAGACGTGAGTATCCGCGTAGAGCGGGGAGATAAAAGTAAACGTGCAACGATCCTAAGATACAGAATTGGCGTCTGAGTGGACGCCCATTCATTTCCAGCAATGTCCGCGGCGGCCAAGGCAATAATCAGTCTGCTTATGACAACTTGAAGCAAATCAAGCGGTCTGAAACGTACGGTTCTTGCTACGGACCTTTGACGTACTTCGTCTCCATCCTGATAGCGCTTTCGGACCTCTTTCTCCTTCTTTATCTTGTGTTGTAATTCTGATGGTAGTCGCCGAGCAGCCCTGCTCGCTACGCTGGCGCGTAGATTCATTCCTAGCGCAAGGTGCGCTTGGAGCTTTGGTCCGCAATCTTGAGGCACTGAGGTCCAGCTCCCTACTAGACGCATTGCCCCCAACGTGCAAGGAGCATCTGCGTACTACGCCCGCTTCAGTTCCTTTCGTCGCACAGCCCTGGAGCCATGTGTAGCCTGAGAGACCGAGCGCGTCTGAGTCCCATCGGGTGGGCGCGTATCCCTGTAAGCGCCGAAGGCTGCGACAGGCTGTGTTTCCAATGGCGCCTCGCTAAAGTGGGAGGCAAGTCGCAGCATCGCTGAGCCACCTCGTCCTCTGCAGAAGAAAGAGCAGCCTATTCAACGTCATGGACCCAGGTCTTTCCCATAGAGCTGCTTGCTCACTCCTCGCTCCATTCTTGTCACAGCCCGCATTCTTGCTGTTCGATCCACAGCGTTGGGTATTCCATGGACCCCATCAGCATAATCGGCAGTATTGTAGGGGTAGTGGACCTGACTGGTAAGGTGGTATCCTTCGTCAAGGGCCCGGACACGCAAAGGCTGGCAGGTCAACTTATCAGCCTTTCAAAGCTGCTGGAGCAACTGCAGGCATCGATCAGCAAAGCGGAGGAGCAGTCCGAACCACGGACTCCTTGGCTAGAGGACGTCGGTCTTGTGAAGGACGATTTGGTACAATTGCAGAATCGACTAGAGGAAGTAGCACGTCGCTTGTCTCATAATGGCACGCCTATCGAACGGCTGAAGAGCGCACTTAATCGTAGAGTGCACGAACGAGGTCTGCGGGATGCTTTTGAAGACATTGAGCGCATTTTACCTCGAATCAATGCAGCATTGGGACTCACTAGCATGTGAGCTAACCTATGAATGTCTGGTCCGGAACTAACTTGAGTCTTTCCAGCAAATATCATGTGGAGATGCAGAAAGCTGTAGCGAGCATTGACCACAGCGTCACTCTCTTGACAAGCTCCTGGGACGGTAAGCAAAATCGGATGGGTTGCATTGTGCTAACAGCTCGTTGAGACGACCTGGAAAACCGAACGAGGGAAGAAATAGGCCAGTGGCTGAAAGCTCCAGATCCCAGGGTCAACTTTGCGAATGCGAAACGTTTGCACCTTCCGGGCACGGGGCAATGGCTGCTCAACAGTCGGGAGTTTGCTGATTGGAAAGAGCACCCTGGTTCATTTCTGTGGCTATATGGTATTCGTGAGTTGCTCCCACATATATCAGTCTTCGCAGAGCTAATGCGGCGGACCAGCTGGTTGTGGGAAAACGGTTCTCAGGTAAACTAGACTGATTTCTATGAAGCATTGTGCTGATCACTGACGTGCTACAGCTCATCCGCTCTTGATCACATTCACGGCCATTGTCAGCGGAAAGAGCCGAACACTGCTGTTGTATACTTTTACTTCGATTTCAACGACTCCCGCAAGCGCCAGTGCCTGCTGTTTATCAGATCTGTCTTATATCAGCTGTGTCTATGCGACCCGCAGTGTTTCGAGGGCTTGCGAAGTTTACGTCGCACAAGCACGAAATCTTCTATGCCACTAAGCGATGATACTGTCCTCAATTTGATCGATACGAGCATTGATCGTCTACCCAAAACCTACCTCATCGTGGACGCTCTGGATGAGTGTCACGACCGCGAACCGCTGTTGCAATTTTTGGTCCATCTTTCCACCCGACACGGTTCCAAGCTGCATTTGTTAGCAGCGAGTCGAGAGTGTGATATCACCAAGCGACTGTCAAAACATGTAACTCAACCTGTCAACATCCAAAGCGCTGTGGTTGACGAAGACATACTCTTCTACATAAATCACCACCTAGAGACTGACGAGCGGCTCCAAAAATGGAGAGATATTGCTTTCGACGATATCAGGAGTGGTCTCATGGCCAAGGCTAACGGGATGTAAGTAGCAAAGTGGTGCTGGCTAGTCTGAATCCCGTTGCTGATCTATCAGGTTCCGTTGGGTAGACTGTCAGCTACAACTCATCAAGGGCTGCAAGAAGCATTCCAGGCTCCTCGAGACGCTGCAATCGCTACCAAAGAGTCTCGACGAAACATATAACCGACTTATAAGAGATATCATTGCAGATGACGAGCAGTCGGACGCTATACGAGTCCTACAATGGTTATGCTATGCGCAACGACCACTAAGCCTGCCAGAGATTGTTGATGTGCTTGCGACCAGCCCGGGGCGAAACGGCGAATTCCGACAACGCGAGCGTCTAGCAGATCCCTACGATCTCATCGCCATATGCACAAGCCTGATCACAGTAGTAGAAGTTGAAAAACATGGGCAACAGGCTACCCAAGTCCGTCTCGCTCACTACTCAGTTCAGGAGTATCTGCTCTCCCCTCGTTGCTCCCTGGGGAACTTCGCTGCACAGCAGAGCAATTTTGACATAGCGGAAACATGTTTGGCTTATCTGCTCTACACTTGCAGGCTAGCGAGAATCCTCCCGAATTCGAGCACGATCGAAGCGCAACCTCTATGCTCATACGCTGCCTCAAATTGGTACGTTCACACGAAACTCTCAGGCTCAGAGCTAAGCACTGTCGTGGCCGGATTTGCTATTGATCAGCTCTTCGATCAGGTTGATTTATTTGAAGCGTGGGCCACAATGCCAAGCGATGGGCTTCAGGTGTCCAACGATCTGGCGAGAGATGCTTACGAAAGGCGGAAGATGTCGCCGCTGTATTATGCGTCCAACATCGGTATTCCAGAGATCGTAAAGCACTTACTCGAAAAAGGTGCAGACCCGAATTTACTCCAAGATAGCCGCGGCCAATCTATTGCGGAGCAAGACCTTCGAGAGACAGCTCTAGGCACCGCCGTACTTGGGGGACATCTTGAAGTCGTCAGAGTGCTTCTCTCGGCCGGGGCAAATCCAAACGCAAGAGGGAATGGTGGCAATACACCGCTGGAGAATGCGTCCTTTAAAGGAGATCAAGACATAGTGAAAGCATTGCTGGAGGGCAGCGCCGATGCAAACATACCGACAAAGACTGCCGCTGTTCAGGACCTTGCATTGCAAGCAGCAGCTGAAATGGGCCACGTTGGAGTTGTGGAAATCCTCTTACGCCACGGCGCGGATCCCCATGCGATCGGCAGCGACTACGGCAACGCTTTGAATGCAGCTGCTTTTAGAGGCAGCATAGAGATCGTTCGCATGCTGATCGATGCCGGAGTCGACCCGGGGTATCAAACAGATATGGGCAACGCTCTCCTGTACGCGGCGGACGCCGGCCACGAACACATCATCCGGTTACTATTGGATAAAGGTGTCAACGTGAATCAGCTTACGGAGTATAGCTGCGAACACGCGACAGCGTTGCAAGCGGCGGCGTACGAGGGACATGAAAGCATAGTCCGGCTGCTCGTGGAACGAGGCGCAGATGTGAATGCACCCCCAGGCGCCAATGGCAGTGCATTGCACGCAGCCATCGTGGGACGGGGAGTGGCAAGGGTAGCGGGTCCACATGAGTCTATCGCGGATCATCTGAAGGCCCTCGGAGCAGATGATGTGAAGTCTACAGCTGAACCCATTCGGCGGAACCGCACGCGGCCATAACCCGCTACATCTGGATGCTGGTGCGAGCAGCAGAGCCAGGCCGGACGAACATTGTCGGAGGTGTATTGATTTATGACAAAAAACAAATGAAATACGGACATACCGCAGAAGACCCTATCTTAAGTGAACAGGATCCATGGTGTGTTGCGAAATAAGTCCGATGAAACCCTGATCCAGAATGTTATAGAGAGACAAATGCTACTCGGAAACAGATGGCGGTAATATATATAATTCAATACACGATATGCTAAGAGGTGATATCATTTCACAGTTATCTCTCAAGGCCTGGAAGCCGTACAGTATCCGAGACATTGCTTTTGGGCTATTGACGAGAGGGATGCTCAACAGCCTGATGCACAGGAGCTGTCGGGTACAGATTGCCTCACCCACGGCGGCCCACGAGTTTGGCTTGGCCAGTACATAAGATCGGAAAGTGCTCAGCAGCAGTGCTTTGTAGCTCCCGAACAACTGACACGCCCTGGCCCTCGTCAGCGCCAACCCTCCCAACCCTCCCAACCTGCTCAAACCTCCCATAGGGTCACCTAAGCCAGACTTGAATGCCCACAGGTCAACCTCAATCGACGCAAAGGGAGTTGTTTTCAAGCTTCTGGGATGCTCCTGGCTCGAACAGAAAGACACAGATTGCGAACAGCACAACACCGCCTCCTCTTAAACCGTCATCCATACATTCATCAGTAACAACCTCACACAATAAACCAAGCAAGACCATAACACCTCGTCACTCACAAATTCGTCGTCTATTGTCGTAGCATTTCGTCGTAATCACCATAGAAGTGAACAAATAATTCTTCAGGCCGCTCCGGTGATGTCGGTGTCTGTCCCGTGCTCTTCGCTGTCTTGGTTTTGCTTGCGCCGCCGCTCATTCAGTATCGTCACCGCGTCGCAGCGTCTCAGTCCATCGTTGGCGGACCCTTGGATCTCCAAGAGGCATTAAATACTCACAACAAATACACCTAGACTCTCGCTCCTGTTCTTCCCGAGGGGGTTAAAGATCTCGGCCATACATCTGCTGAGTCCTCTCAACCCTCGGGCGCGACCGTCGCGCTTGCGAACACCCTCAGATTCAGCCCCATCTTCTCGATCGCCTCATCCAGCGACTCATCGCCATACAGTGGGTACAGAGCATTATCTTCCTTCTTGCCGGATATGACTTCTTCCCAACGTAAATGCAGCGACCCATTCTTGACCTTTAGGCGCGCCTTTACCTTCTCCAGGAGCTCATTGAAACCAATATCTGGTGGGAAGCGCATCACGATGGTGTCTTCCTGCCAGAATATCTTCAGTCTCAAGGGCGTTTGCGACTGCCCGGAATTTTGCGATGCCTGCGTAAGATTTGAGGGTTGGGATTGAAGATATGGCCTGTCAGGGCCAACACCAGTAGGGGACATGAGGCCACCATATCCGCCAGGAGGACCGCGTGCGCTGCCGGGTCCTGGAGGTGGGCCCATACCGCCGTAGCCGCCGCTCATTTGTTGGTTGGAGGATGCTTGGCTGAGCTGATTTGATTGCACCCGTTGCAACGACTGTTGTGAGCCGCTCGAGAGGCGGTAGTCGTCGTTCAGCGCATTGGGATCGATTTCGAAGTCTTGTCCTGGTTTCGGTTTAAAGAGGTTACGTACCAGCATACTCTTTGAGATGTGCTCGGGCATATTGATTATCTGCTTGATATACTCGTCGAGGTTTTGCCGTCGGCCGTTGGAGATAGCATCCGTAACATGGGCGACAGGTCCGGGCATGAAAGGCAGGGTGCGTTGTTTGTTGCGGTTACCAGCTTCGACGGGAAAGGCCTCGATAAGAGCAATCTGCAGGTCGTAGAAGTCGGCATAGTAGCGGGACAGCTCGAACCAACGACCGTCATCGAGCTGACATTCAATTATATACCAGTACATGTCGTTGTCGAAGCAGTAGCGCGGTACGGAAGCCTGGACAGGAGCGGGCGGTACCGAAGGATCAGGCCTTTGGACTGGTAGCGCTTGCATCGATGGTGGCTAGAGAGATCAATCACCGTACACATCAGCTGGAAGGTGCGACTTACGTATGGACTTCGCCCGGAGGCATTTTGGATGCTCAGACGACCGAATTCCTGCTGCATATTTTGCGTCGCCTCGCCGCCGAATTTACCCAGGCTGATACTGCTGTTCTTGTACTCGGCGGCAAATTTCTTCCATTCTTCCACCCTAGGTACGCCGGCTTTGCGCACGGCTTCTAACGGATCGGGCACTGACTTCATCGTCGCGGTATCTTTGATGTCAATGAACGATACAGGAATCAGGCCTGGCCCCCCTAGGCGCCCTATTGGTTTTGCGACAAACCATTCTGGATTGGACTGGGCAACGACGATGATGGCTTCGCCGGCTTTTGCTTCCAACTCGTCTGCGCGCTCTGCATTGAAGTCGTACTGGACGACGCCATACACCATGGCGCCGGTCCCTCGCCCGCCCATGCTTACGCCCCGTTGATGGCTTGGCTTTGCAGTGATGGAGGAGGCAGAACGATGGTGATTGGAATTTTGAGTACCGGGTTCGGACACGCTCGAGTCTTCCGTCCGCTCACTCCCAGAATTAATGGACTGTCCACTCTGGCGCTGCTGTTTACCAATAACCTCGAAGAATGCGACCGGAACAAGACCACGCGCGGTCGGAATGAGAGGATTGCAGGCTTCGTACCACTCGGTATCGTCTTCACGACTCAGTACGTGAAAGAAGTCGCCTTTATGGAAAGCCAACTCTTGACCATTTTTATTCTGAGGCTCGTAATCGTAGAGGGCCTTGATGACCTTTTTCGGAGGAACGATTGCGATGGCGCTTTTCGCACTAAGGCTGAGGTGTGGCGGCTTGCTTTGCTCTTTGTCGCCCTTGAGGGACCTACGGATAGCCTAGCGCGCAGGTTCGGTCAGTGGTCGGAGGACAGCGGGGTAGCAGGCGTATCGGATAGGCTGTGCGAAGGCGCCGTGGCCAGGATGCCGAGTGCAGTGTAGGGAGGGTGTTTCAGATGGGATCAGGAGCATTCTTACCTTCATGTTGCATGTGTATGTTGGCCGACGAAAGCCGTGGGAAAAGTGCGCCCGTTGGAATAATAGGGGGGAAGTCAAAACACGAATGGGGTCCGCTGTTGTGCAGTTTTCCTGGTGTAGAGCCTGCAGCTTTGTATGGCTGACGACAAGGTAAGAATGCTTGTGGGTGAGCGAATATGGGTGGAGTGAGAGTGGCGGGGGAACCCGTGGGATTCTCAAGATTCAAAGGAGCAGACAAAGGCCTTGTTCGTAGTCGCTCTCGTCACACTGTTTCGATCTCAAGTCCGAATCCAAATATCTTTCCCCTCTCTTTTCAGCCGTGATCGTTAGCTTAGGATCGCCAGTGCTTGCTCGGACCTTGCAGCCAAAGGCCGCCCCAAGATGCTGCCGTCTTAGGCGGGGCTGACGCCGAAGGAACTTGCGCGTTGGAACCAGGACCGGGATTATCGACCTTCAGGCGCATGCCATTGGCGGCCGATGGTTCAGACCTAGTCTTTTCGGTAGTGGTACTATGCGGCTGCACTGCATCGCTTTGGCCACGAGGTGTGCAGGCTTAAGCTGCAGGTCGTCTATATAGTGCCTCAAATCGCGCCCTCGGATGCAGCTCCATCCGCCAGCAAGCCCAGATCTGCCATGACGCGGCTCCAGGAGCACCTTGACCAGCCACCAGCTGCACCACAGCCTCAATTTCCCAGGTCGCCCCTTGCAAAAGCACCCCGATCGCTGGCCGTGTCAGGGATGTCAACGGGCAACTTGCAGGAGAATCGGATTGTACCCTTGCAGGTTGTATTCTTGATTGATCTACTTGAGAAATGCCCCAATCTTAAACATCCAGCAGCTTTCAGCCGCAGTAATATTGGCTGCTTTCATCCTCAAGATGACCGCGCGACTGCTGCACAATGTGCTCCCCTAGCTGCCGCATGAACAGAAAGAATGTACCGAACCCAACCCCAGCGCCCACGCTCGGATATACTGTCAGTAGGAAAGGAGAAGAAAAGGACCGTCGACAATCCGTTGATGCGTCAGCCCTGGTATGAAAGGGGAGGTGCCTGCAATGGCGGACGCTGCTAAGTGCTTACGATGCGACCGAATGGCGGCCCGGGTTGCGAGATCAAATTTGTCCTTTGATGTCGACAGATCTGAACGCGGCCTGTCGAGCGTTCTCGAACATTGACCCGGTTTTGCCGGTCAAGAGGCGTACATGACCGTCTCGTTCTTGTAGGAGCGCCTCGCCACCGTCGCCACCGTGCTCAAGGATGAATTGAGCTATCTCTTGATCCGTGTCGAACCCAAGCTCTTCGGTTAGAAATCGCAGCTTGACGTCCGGCTTGTAGCTAGATAAATGTTAGCAGGAACTTTGGATGGCATGAGGAAAAGACACCTACGACTTGCACATTCGAGCGAGAGCTGCTAATCGCTCTCGTTCAACAAACATGTCCATCAGGTAGGCTCCCATATTGGGTACCTTGAGGTACAACTGAAAGAACTTGTGGTAGTTTCCGAGCGCCAGTGCTGACCGTACGTCGAGGGCATGCTTGATTGCTTCTTGTTTCTTGTCGGCTGGGGTTAGTTCAGAGAGTACGTTGTTCATGTCAGTTTTATTACAGGTGTGAATGTAGTACAATATCCGATAGGCCTTGAACTCGACAGGGTGACCACCCAGCTTCAGCTGATACAGCCCACGAAGCTGTGTCTGACACTGGTTATACTCACCAAGGTCACCCTTTTCCAGTGCGATACGTGCATGGATTTCGTAGACCGTTGTGGTGAAGTCATTTTTGATATGCTGAACAGTGAGGTCCTGTCGTAACGATTTGAATTGGTCGCAGATATAGACGTAGTTGCCCTCACTGCGCCACTTCTTCTTAAGCAGCTCAAGAGTTTGACGCAAGATATCAAGGGGGCGAACGTTCTCCGGATTAGGCGCCGCTGTGAGTCGGAAGTAATTCTTCTCCAGTTTCTGGCAAGTACCAACAACGGGGCCAATCTTATCAGGTTCCGGGGAGTTACCAAGCGGGGTGCGAGGCGTGCTAGGGGGAGAATGGCCGGATCGACCATCGTTGAATCGCTTTTTGCGAGCTTCCAGGTTTGACTTACTCATCGCTTTGGGATCCTCCATTTTTAAACGCTTGTCTTTCGGTGCGCGAGAAATACGATTGGCAAGATCTCCGGATCCAGAAGGCTTGTTTCGCCAGGGAGGTTGAGAGGACTGATCATCCGGCTCTGCGAACTCATTTGACTTGCGTTTCCGTGGCGTGGAGTCCATAGGGGGTTGATGAGGAGTGTTAGGGGAAACCATAGCTGACGACAGCGAATGTGAGGGGGTAGAATGAATTGCAAGCGCGGCACGATTTCTTTCTTCAACAATAAGCTGCTGGGGTAGCGGGTACGTGTCCCAGTGGATAGTCTCGAGGCGACCAGACGTGGCCATTTCAGTGATAATCTGCTTTAGCTTGGCTTCCATTTCGGGTCTCGAGACGTCTTTAATAGCATTTTCTTGTGCAAATGACCGACTGACGTATTCACGAACAGCGGGTGACCATTGCGTCTTCTTCGGTTGTGGGGAAACAGCTTGTGCGGGTGGAGGTGGTGGCGGTTGAGCATTGAATGGTGGTGGAATGTACGTGGGCGGAGGGTTAGAGAGCGAGACGGGTGCAAAGGCCTGTCGTGCGTTCACTGGGAGGTAAGCGCCCTGACTCTGAGCGTGGTGGCCATTCGCCTGCCACGGTGGCATCCCTGGCGTCGCTGAATACATGATTGCGAGGATGCTATCTCGGTCTCTAGTCGGCGATGCGAGAGGGTTATGAGCGCGAAGAAAATGCGGCACGACAGGAGCACAATAATTTGCGTCGTGCGAGATGAAGCGGTGTGGAATAGAAGCGGCAAAGAGGTCCCCAAGTCGAAGTTGTTGGCAGTGTCACACCGTTAGCGCGCCAAGCCGTGGCGGACGCTAAACCGGAAGCGGGCCAGTATCAAAGCCTGGCTGTGGGCATTCCAGCGGAATCTAGACTTCTGCCTGTGCATCGTCACTGCCCTGAAAGCCTTGAGGAACCATGAAGTAGCGAGCTGCTTCTAATCAGCCTTCAGAGCAGGTTCTGGATCGAAAGAGATGACCTCCATCAAAGGATAGCGGCGGCCGAATGTTCTTCACCAAGCCAGATCTTACTTCTGGCTCTCGACCAGCGCTCCTACCGGATGAGACTCTCCTGTTCGTACAAGATAGCGTGGGTCTTTACGAAGGGTATGTCATCAAGGCCGAGTTCGCATTGGTACTAACAGCATCAAGCAAGTACAAGATCGCAGCATGTCAGAAGGGCCATGCTTATCTAACATCACACCGAGTCTGCTATGTTGACGATGAGGATCCTCGCAACCACTCTCTGGCGGTCGACTTGAAAGATGTTGAGCGTCATGAATTTCAAGCGGGATTCTTGAGATCTTCGGCAAAGATCACTCTGCATCCTAAACCTCTCAAGCGTGGCTACGGTAGCTTGCGCCAACCTGTCAGTGCCATTTCGCCTGCCCTTCAAAGGATATCTTCGGCATCGTCACCAGTGTCAAGAGCACCGAGTCCATTTCCCGATGGTCCAGCTCGAGTCGCTTCTCCTCAACTAGATAGGGGCACCTGGATCTGTTCAATTTGTACCTTTCCTAACCCCGTCCCATCAAATTTCGACCCAACGATAGCCACGGAAGCTTTCCCACTTCCGCCGTGTCTCACTTGCGGGATCAAGCCAGAATTTGCTCATGTACTGAAAGCCGCTATCGCTGCCAACGCTAAACGAGCATCTGCGGGCTCAAGCACGACAGATCCGCCTCCTGCTTCGAGCAAGGCTCCGCGTGTGAGCACAGCCGAATCGAAATCCATCACGTGTCCTCGCTGTACGTTCCATAATCATCCCTCATTATTAAATTGCGAGATATGTGGAGCGGATCTGCCCCGACTAGCTTCTACCACAGCTTCTGCGCCGCCAGAACGCCCTGCCTCCCCAGGCCCGGAAATCGCCAATCTCAACCTCGACGAAGATCACAGCAGTCAGAGCATCAAGTTCTCATTCAGAACCGGAGGAGATAGGGTCTTTCTGGAAAAGCTGAAGAGCGCTTTGGTCCAGCGGAAATGGTTGCTTGAACAAGCTCCGCCAGTCCCGCGACCCGATCAAGACACACGCTCGAGCACTCCAGACGTCACCGCCTCTCCAGCCAGTCGGCCTCAATCCACATCCGTGGGTATCGCGGGCCTCGAGCAGCGAGGACTGCAGAGCAGGCGGAACAATGAGGCCGTACTTGGCTCTGCATTTGGAGATCTCGAGGCGCTCATGGCTTCTGCCAAGGACATCGTTGCCCTGGCGGAGAAATTTGCACAAGATTCTGGCAGTGGTGGGTCAAATCCGCTGCTCTCCGAGAGCGCCACAGCGATGGGCATGGTCACCACCAGAGATATTTCAGGAGACAGCTCAAATACATTGTACATAAACGAGCTGTCCCGGAACCTGGCTGAGTATGTATCAGATGAGCGCAGAGGCATACTGCGTACAAACGGCGGCATTGTAAGTCTGGTTGACTTGTGGGCTATGGTAAACCGAGCACGTAACGGTGTAGAGCTGATCAGTCCTGGCGACTTCCACCAGGCTGCAGTCGCCTGGGAGCGCCTGAATCTGCCTGTCCGTCTACGTGAGTTTCGAAGTGGGCTCCTTGTTGTGCAACCAAAAGACTGGACGGATGAAAGGGTGCTCAGTCAGATCACAGGTTGGCTTAGATCGTTGCAACAATCGCCTCCAGAAGAGCCGCCCGCGTGGGATTGGGCGGTCTTCGGCTGCGGTGTGACTGCACAAGAAGCAGCTTCACGCTTTGGCTGGAGCATTGGAGTAGCCACCGAGGAGCTGGAGATGGTCGAGGAGAAAGGCGTCGTTTGTCGTGAAGAAGGCATCGAAGGGCTGAAGTTTTGGCTCAACCTTTTTGTTGATGGAAATGATGAGGAAGACTGAACATAGAGCATTGCAAACGCATATAGATGTGCACATGTTGAGAGCGTTGTAGCGCGAAGCTCCATCATTCTACTTCACACCCACAGCTTTGAGGAAAGCTTCTCTCCGCTCCTCCTCGATGCACTGCACCGCCTCAGCTATCGTCTCGACCTCTTTGATCTTGTTGCCAAGATTCCACGCCTCGTCTGCTTCGTATCTGACGGCAAAAGCTTGCCAATTCAGACTCTTGAGCTCGGCAACATGGGCGCCGACGGCCTCTTGTGAACCAGAGAAAAGCATGATTCCAGGGTAGCCCGGCTTCGTTATTCCTCCGACAAGTCCGTCGTGTGTCGGGTGAAGCGCTAATTTTCGCTTTGAGGTCGCCAGCAGGTGATGGAGCCAAATGATGATCGTTTTGGGTCTATCTGACACTACGTCGGGTGTGGCCAAAGACTCATCATCGTCCCGCTCGCCGATGGATGCTTCGAGGAGTCCCACGAATCGGTCGAGGATGGCATCGAGTACTTCACCAGGGCTGTCTTCAGCCTCACCACCAGGTGTCGCTTCTCCGCATATGTCCTTGACGAGGCTTTTGACCCGCTGCCTCGTATCTCCTCCGCGTTGGTCCGTGGCCAAGATCACTTCTGGCCAACCCGATACGGGATAGCCTTCAGGTAACCGCAAAATGAGCCTGTCTTTGGAACCGGCGGCCGTGGAGAATGCAAGGTCTCTTGCTACTGGATCGAATGCAACCCCTTCGGGGTACATCGACGAGAGCAGCTCGATCTCAAGGGTGAGGCGTTCGGAGATAGGAGGTGACATGGAGATGGCGTGTAGCAAGGCTGGGCAAACAGGTTGTATAGTGTCACACGGAAGATGGCGAAGTAACGAGAGAATTGTTGTGGACCAATCGGACTCGCCAGAATCAACGTGCCAGCCGACTTAACCAATCATGTTCACTGCTGTGGGGTCGGCGAGGAGGAGTTGCCTGACTACGAGGTCGCAGGACTCGTTAAGATGGCAGCTCACCGAACATGGCTAGTGCTGTGCCACTGCGGAATGTGAATTGCTACCACTAGGAGCACGCGTAGTGCTGTGCTGATCGTCAGCTAATTGTACAATCGGCATAAATTGTTTCCGCCATCTTATCCACGATGAAGTGGCAGCTATATGAGGAGGCCTGCTGTCCTCTGTAGGTCGGCAGAAATCATTCATGCATCTACCTCTTCCGGTCTTTCGTTTGACATAGTTCGAAGTCCATTACTTCAGAAACGGATTGTGTAAACGTATGACTCATTCTATACAAGATGGATTTCCTATACACCCATTTGATATGGAAGCCTCCCTTTCCCACTCAGTCCTTCGCGGGCCGGACCGTCATCGTGACCGGATCCAACAGTGGCATTGGCCGAGAAGCAGTGCGTCATTTTGTGCGCCTCAACGCTGATCGTGTGATCATTGCGGTTCGCAACCTCGAGGCCGGAGAAGAAGCGAAGGCCGACATCGAACGCACCACGAAGCGGACAGGCGTCGCGGAAGTCTGGAAACTTGATCTGAGCAGCTACGATAGTGTCAAGGCCTTTGCTGCTCGTGCTCAGCGCGAGCTCGAGCGCCTCGATATCGCCGTACTCAACGCCGCCGTCGCCACGGGGAAGTATGGCAATCCAGAAGGTCTGGAGAGCCATATCACCGTGAACTTCGTCTCGACCTTCATGCTCTTGATCCTCCTTTTGCCCCTTATGCGATCAACCGCACAGAAGCTCAAGCCTGGGGAGGATCAACCACATATGTGCGTGGTCGGCTCTGGCATTCATCATTGGCTCAAACTGCCACCAGCTGAATACCCTGAAGGCGAAATCCTAGCCAGACTCTCAAGAGTCGAGGCTTTCCCCAACGAGCAAGGAGTTACAAAGACTCCAGCGAATTACATCTTGTCGAAGCTGCTGACGGCCCTGGTCACGCGCGAGATCGCACCGGCTATCAACCCCAACGAAGTCATCTTCAACCACATTTGTCCGGGACTGGTCAAGTCGGGTCTGAGGCGAGAATTGACCGGAGCACTTGCATCCGTGGCCGACAGTGTTGCCAGAACACAGGAAGTGGGCAGCAGGACATTGATGGCCGGTGCCGTGGCGCCGAAGGAGAGCCACGGCAAGGCCATGAGCAATGCTAAGGCTCAGCCAGAGCCGGCCAGGGGTACCGACGCCGGATTTAGCAAATTTGTGTTGAGTGAGGACGGGAAGATAATGCAGGGGAGAGCATGGAGAGAACTTAAGGCCATCTTGGAGAGGGAAGGGGTTGATGTCAAGGCAGCATTGGGTCCCAAATAAGTAGATATACTAGTCACTGCTTTTGCCAGAGCCTTGGACGAGTCGCAACATTTCAACACTTATCTCTGCTCTGGGTTATCTTCAAGGGTGATCGATAAACTAGGAGGTCGTGCATTTGATAGTCACAGTATAAACCGAGTCAGCTCAACGTACAGACTGTGTGAATCTACGGCTCATCCGATCATAGAGCACTAGCATGTAATGAGGTTGATTAGGGATGGAGTAACTTTGGACGACTGTATGTGAAAGCGCCTTTCGGCTCGGTGAAATGAAATGCCGCCAAAGAGAGCTTGGCATCAGTGCTCCGAAGAAAGTTGATTAGATCCAAGATTCACGTTCATCTAGTAGCTTTACCGCCGTCGTGCAATCTACTCTCGTACATCTGTGAGGCGTCGGAGGCTCAGTCTGACGAACTGACTTACGGGAATGGCCACATCGCAGCGACTCTCAGCCACCGTTGGCGTCATCACCAGAACCGCATCGAGCCCCTACATCTGTGCATCCTGTCGCACCCGCGCCGCCGCTTCCTCTCATGCATCCGCACAATCTCGCCAGCAGCTCCGGCACAGCTCGGATATTCCTTTCACCGAAAAGATTCGCCGCAAAATATGGGGTACTGATAACCCGCCTGGGCTGAAAGACCCCTACGGCGGCCCTAGTTTCTTGGAGCGTCGGCTTGCACAGAGGAAACAGGCACAGCAGTCCGCGGGCCAGGAACTATCACAGGAGACATCACAAGAAGTGCAGTCGCAACTCGATGCCGCGCACGAAGATCAGCCGACGGTCCGTTCGTCACCACGAAACAACAGCGCACCAGACTCTTGGGTGGTTGATCGGTCGGACGCCGAACCGCTGAAGCCTTCGCGTGGGACATATGAACCGGCCATATCGTGGGAGGGCTTGGACTGGGTCGGTGATAAGGGAGAATATCAATTCCAGGAAGAAAACGAAGTGGATGCTTACGTGCCGTGAGTCCCATTGCTACTGCTGCTGCTATGGAGCTAACCTGCATGATAGTTGGTTGACGCCCTCGTCGAGTGACCGACTTTCGGAAGTCGAAATCTGGGATGCGATACACGAATCCATTTTCGATGTCGTGCAGCCCGAGGGCGAGGAATACGATCGGGAGGTCGCCATTCATGTTACGTCTGCAGGACATGTGGCTGGCCCGGGTGAGGGACCCGTAGGTGGTGCAGATGCGTTCATGAACGCGAAGATAAGCTTCAAAGATCCAGAGGCGAAGACTTTCAAGGCAAGTTTTGTGGTCCGCTGCAATTACAAGTATTGACTGGACTTCCTAGATTCTGAAGAACTTTCAGCAAGTAACTGGGCTTCGCCTCTCCGATCCCACGCTCAATCAGCTTGCTCAAATCCCGAATGCCACTTTCCGTGATCTCGTTGAGATCATCATGGAGCTGCAAAAGCCGAAGCCCCAGAAAACGCACGAAAATCTTATGGCGAACGAGGAGCTCATTGCGCAGCCGAATGTCAGAATCTCGGAACGCAAGATCAGCCCCATAGATAGGGAGCGAGAGATTGGCAGGTGGAAGGTCATTGAGAAGGAGCTGATGGAGAGGGGTCTACCAGTGGTTGGACGAGCTTATGCTAAGGACGAGCGTATGCGAAGATGAAGCTTTCCTTCTGGGCGAAGCATGGGTTGGAGAAGAGTACGGGAACGACTCCTCAAGTCACCCAGACAAAAGGCTGCTTCCGCAGGGAAGCCTGATAGCCAAGGATGAAGTATTGTATACTACACTAGAGACGCCTCAAGAACAGTCAGGGCAGAGCAGACCTGTTATTACGGTCACGCTTCTGCCAGATGTACAAGACCATTGACCATTTTCGACAGTCAGTCTCTCTACAAGCAAAAGTCATTCTCCTCGATCTAACCATCGGCTCCGAGCTGCAAGTGCCCTGTACAAGCCCATCCACCACAAATGGAAACACCAAAACCGAACGAGACATAGCCTGGGTTGATATACACCAGGCTGGCACTTTCTCCAGCTGTGTGTCTTTGGAGAAAAGCTGTCCCATTGCCGAAGCCGAGGAACGCATCCGAACCGCATTGCTCGCCTCCCGCGCTGCTGCTACGGGGGTATATTCTTTACCGAACCGCGTTCTCTTTCACCGAGCAGTGGTTTCTAAAAATCCTCTGGTCCCGTTTGCTTCCTTTCTCTGCCTCTGCTAGACAAACCCGCAGCGAAGCTGGCTGCGCTCAACATCAGCTGTGCTTTGACCTGCCTTGCACCCTTCCCCGCACAAGCAGACTACCGAGCACCAGCACCAGCCGGCACCACCAGTATCCTCGCCCTCTGCAAGCCTTCCACCTCTTCTCATAACAGACAGTAGTTAGTAATGGCCGCCGCCGCCGCCCCCGCCCGCGGGCTCGCCGCCATCCGCCACAAATCCCCACACGACGTCGTGCTCCTCTCCTCACTGCGCACGCCCGTCACGCGCGCCTACAAAGGCGGCTTCCGCTCGGCTTACGACCACGAGCTCCTCTCCCACGTCCTGCGCGCCACCCTGGCCGCGAACCCCAATTTACCGCCCGAGGCCATCGAGGATGTGGCCGTGGGCGTCGTGCTCGCCGAGCTGGGCGGCAGCAAGGCCGCGCGCATGGCGCAGCTGCACGCCGGCTTCAGCGAACGGACTGCCCTGCACACGGTAAACCGGGCGTGCAGTAGTGGGCTCGCGGCCGTGACGGGGATTGCGAACATGATTGCCACGGGACAGATTAGCTGTGGCGTGGGCGCGGGCATGGAGAGCATGACGAGGAATTATGGGAGTCGGGCCATCCCGACGGATTTGTGGGAGGGGTTGAAGGGGAGTGAGGTGCAAGATGCGAGGGACTGTATTATGCCCATGGGTTTGACGAGTGAGAATGTGGCCAAGCGGTATGGTGTTAGTAGGGAGGATCAGGATGCGTTCGCGGCAGAGAGTCACAAGAGGGCGAGTCGCGCTCAGAAAACGGGGTTGTTCGATGGTGAGATCGTGCCCGTGAAAGTACTGCAGAGTGATTTGGAAGCGCCGGACAAGCCGAGTGTGGAGGTGGAGGTGAGCCAGGATGATGGAATCAGGCATGACATTAGCGTGGAGAAGATGGCGAAGCTGAAGCCCGCGTTTGCGAAGGATGGCACCAGTACGGCGGGGAACAGCAGTCAAGTCAGTGACGGCGCGGCCGCGACGCTGTTGATCCGAAGGAGCACGGCGAACGAGCTGGGCTTGAGCGGCAGCATCATCGGCAAATGGGTGGCTACTCAGACGGTGGGCTGCAAGCCCGATGAGATGGGCGTGGGGCCTGCCATCGCCATCCCGAAGCTGCTGGACTTCACCGGCACCAAGACCGACGATGTCAAGGTGTGGGAAATCAACGAGGCCTTTGCGAGTCAGGCACTGTACTGCATACGGAAACTCGGCCTGGACAACCGAATGGAGGACGTGAACCCGCGGGGCGGTGGCATTGCGCTCGGTCATCCCCTGGGCATGACGGGCACGAGACAGCTGGCGACGTTGATGCCGCAGCTGCAGGAAGGCGAGGTCGGTGTCGTGAGCATGTGTATTGGCACGGGCATGGGCATGGCCGGTATGTTTGTTCGCGAGTGAGACTGCGCTTCTTCTGGAGCCGTCATAGGCTTCCGTCATTTAGCGAGAGGTAAAAGGACAGACAATCTGTGCTATAGAAACAATACCAAAAGCTTTCGTAAATACAGCTGCTGCCCTTTTGGCCGGCTGCATGCACGTTTTCCCGCAAGGAGCAGTAGGTGTTGTCTCACACGAGGCAGGTCCTGACTGGAAGCCAAATCAAATATAGACATGCTTCCCCCTCTATCAGCCTTCCAGTCTTGCCGTGATATTGGACGGGGTGAAATTCTTCAGGACGTTTTCTGTTCTTAGGGGTATCTCTATGCAAAGTCTATGTTCGTGGCAAATGCAACATGACGCCTTGCTCAATTCCGGGCCCTCGGCGTTCCCAGGAGCAGGGCGTTGGGGTGGGGGGGTTTCGCCCTTTTTCAGGTCGAGAAACAATGGCAAATGCTATGTTGCATGCAGCTGCTTCCTGCGTGCATCTCGTCGAGATGGCGTGTGGTCGTTGACGCCTCCACTAAGCCCGTCATCGACACCAGACAGAACACTCAGATGTGTAGCTCCTCCAGATTCGCGGCCGGGCCATTCTTGATGACGGCATCCGGGCTGGTTGGCGCAATGTTCGCGACCTTGGTGCAGATCCAGGTCGAGGCGTACATGTTGACACTGCGTGGCTGCTGTTAGCGGCCAGAAAGGGGCTGTTGCATTTGCTTTCACACTCACCGATCAATGCACTTCCCATTCTCCCGCAAGCCAACCCTCTTGGCCTCGAAGCCATTTCGCTCGAGCAGGTCGGTATACCACGGCCTTCGGGCGGCTGAACGGAAGAAGACGCGACCGCCAAGTTTCAACACTTTGTTCAGAGCGAGGACTTGTGAGATGGCGGCGCCGGTGTCGTCGGCTGGGTCAAACCAATCCATCGAGTCCATGAGCTATGGGCGCGTATCAGCATCTTGGAGCGATGACTTTGGCGCGGGGACTCTACTTACGATGGCAATAGTGAGTGTGGACGGCGTGATGCGCGAGATGACCTCCATAAGCTCGTCGGTGTGGATGCGCAGGCCGTCAAAGGCTCCTTTCTTCGACAGCTTGGAATAGCTTTTCTGGGACATGTATCTTGGGCCGCATCTGGAGACTTGAGTCTTTGACCATTCGAGGATGGGCCGTACTTACTTTCTCGAATACCGCCCTCGCAGACACACGTAGTAGAAGTAGTTGTCTCGACTCAGCTGCGTGTTCTCTACCACTGGATCCAGCGTGTCGACCATATACTGCCAAATGGCTTCGCCGCAGTCTTTCTTGCTCTTTGGCCGACCAGTTTTCTGGCTAAAGTCGTCTAGAATCAGATCTCTCTGCTCCTTTGGTACACCTGCGGCTTTCCAGGCCCACCATTCGGTACTGACAATCAACTTGTGCAAGGGCCAGGAAAGTAGGATGTCCCGAACCTGTGGCCACATCTCTCGCTGCTCATTCATTGTCTCAACGGAGCAAAGAGTCTGGACTTTGGAGGACATATTGAGCAGGCGGAATAGACGTCGGACCAGCTGAATAGCATGGCGGGAACCCCCGGTCTCGTAGAGGCCGTGCTTGGAAGAGAAGACTGACGCGTTGTTGAGCCAGTATTGAAAAGCCTGAGAGGAGAGATGTGGTGAAAGCTTGGTGAGTAAGAGGCTGCGGAACTCTGGATGGCGTCCTTCGCCAAAGAGTGCCCAAACATCGGCGTGAGGAAGGGCGGCGAAAGCGGCAACTTTGAGCTCGAGAAGGTGGTTCTGGTTGGGATTGAGGTCGACTGCGTGAATGCGCTTCGGGGATTCAAGAAGGTAGTCAAGGATGTTGTCACCTGCAGAGGTGATGGTGAGGATTACATCTGACGAGTTGATGTTCAAGAGTTGGCGGTCAACTGTAGGATCTTCCCAGTTGAAAGCGTAGATATACTCATTCTTGAATTGTTGATGCTTGGTGAGTAAATCATTGTAATGGATGCGCCAAGCGTGGTTCTGGTAGAACGCAGCTGGCAGGGGAAGGTTTGAGCTGAGGTTGACAATAGCAGATTCGTAGGATTTGGAATGGACGATGCTCGTGGACGCCTGCACATCCTGCTGTTTGCGGTATTCGTTTGCCGATAGATAGGGAGACTCTGTAAGGACGGCATCCTCTTGCTCGACAAGTTTGGTTGAAGTGTCAGCGTCTCTTCCACATCCGATAAACATGTAGTATGGGATACCACCGAGCAGGTAATTGCGATCGCTGCAGGACAGAATGGTGCCGAATCTATACTCGATATAATCTCGGCGGCCAGCGTCCAGATTGACTCTGTCAGCCTCGAACCACGTTCTCCAGAACATGCGACCCAACCAGTTGACATGACGGTTGAACGTGCCGCCAATGTAATTGCGAGACGAAATATCGACAAGGCTTTGAACATAGAAATCCACGATTCCAATCGTGCCGGTAGGGCTCAAAAACTGTGTCAGAAGATCCACAACGCTGTAGAAGTCTGGGATCATTGATAAACTGTAGCTCATTGTGATGAGGTCAGCAGAGCCTGGAGCACACTGTACCCGACGTGCATCATCGCAGAGAACCGTCACGTTTTTCCAGCCGCATCTGGCCACACGTTGACGTGCAACATCACAGAGAGATGGAGAATAGTCCACCAGGAAAACGTGCTCGAAAGTGTTCTCAATACCAATGGTCTTGTCCATCACTTCAATATTGTAGCCAGTGCCCCCACCGATGTCATACCAAACGGGTTTATGCGACGGAGCTTGGGACGAGGACTGGCGAGACTGAAGCTGGGCTGCAACAAGGGCGAGCATGTCTTCGCGGCCGCAGAGCAAACGCTTCCGGGTGGTGTCGTAGATGCCAGCCTAAGGAGAAACTAAGTTGGAGGATGCCCGTCACCGAGGACGGGTAACGTGACCTACCTGCTTGCCGTAAAAGCTTTCGAGCGCGGACTGTTGTCCATCGCCGGCTTTCGCATCATGAGGTTTGATGAAGTTGTTATAGACGAATTGCAGGTATGGGGAAAGTCCCGAGTCCTTGAATTGGGTGTTCTTAGTCGCGTGCACAACCCACAGTGCCAGACCGGCAAAGCCGACCAAAGACACCAGAGTGACCAACGTGATCTCCGGGCCAAACTGCTGCAACCGAGTGGAAGCATGCGCGTAGATTTCCTCCATGTTGAAGACGAAGGGCGAGCTCAATGGAAAGTGGTCGTACAACTGGATGAAGGAGGGGCACGAGGCACGCGGAAGAATTTATGCCACTTACCTCGCGGGGCTCAGGAGGACGACAATGGCAGCGACCTCGTGAGTTTGATCACGCCGGACATCTCAGTTTTGGAAGTTCAACAACAAGAAGTTGCAACAAGGAACAAATAGGACAGGAGAGTGGTAACATGCGGACTCGTGAGTGGCTGCGAGGATTGATCGCGGGGATCAGTTCGGAATGATCTGGTGGGACTACAGGGTCTGGCAGAGTTTGGCGTCAGGCACATGGTGCACACTGGCTGGTTTAGAAGCATTCGGCCCTGTGAGAGCCAGACGTGTCAGGCAGTGAATGTAGTGGGTGTGGGCGAGGAGCTGTGTCGCGCATGTTGAGGTTGGAATCGACCAATCAGAATACGAGGTGGAACGGCGTGGTCGTGGCATCAATTCCGACTTCGCAATGGGGCCACGACATTTACCCCATGCGGGTCCCGATATATCGACGAGCGCATGGCCAGGAGCGAGGTCAAGCTCCTGTTTGTTTCAACTATGAGTATAGCTGGCGCTTGAATGAAGATTGAGCTGTTCCGCCGCGACCGAAAGGTGCTCTTCTGCCGACAGTTCTACGTTTGGGACCGGCGAATACGCCTGGTACTCTCGCTCCAAGGCTGTGTACCAAATATGGACATCTCTCTGGAGCTGCTGGAAGGCCTTGACATCGGCATATGGCGATGTCCCCATGCATTTGGTGAGGCGGGCCTTGATCTGGCCAGCCTCATATAACTCGTTTCTTTGCGCCTCCTGGGCCTGCAGACTAGAGGCTCCAGCATTTGTCGCAGCCTCTCTCTCGGCCTGGACCACGTAAATCCAGAGGCTGAACATGGCAAGATAGAAATCGATCGAGTTGACACTCTCTGGCGAGGCTCTGTGGTAGGGGTATCGCACGATGAGCTTCTCGTAGTACTCTTTGGCACTCAGGAACCCGCTCCGTCTCCATGATTTCCCAGGGTCAGGCTGATGCCGGAAGAGTATTTCGGCGCCAATGCCCCAGTATTCGCCTGCACGCACATCGAGTGCTTGACCTGAAATCTCGGTTCTCATGAGCAGGCCTAAGGCCCGACGCGCGCGTGGCCAGTCTCTATTTCTTAAGCACTTGTGCAGGAGGGCAGTCATGGCTGAAACGTGCTGCAGTCGTAGGGATTGACCATTTCCTCTTCCTTCGGTGCTGGCATGCGCACCACGCGGGTTCCGAACGGTAGTGTCCTTATGAGGAAACGGCGGACGAGGTAGCGGTTTATTTGGCTTGAGGTTCGCGACATAGCGCTGAGCGCGCTCCCCAGGACTCACAACGGCACGGTCTTCATTTTCTGTGGACTCATCCTGCTCATCACGGCCAGTATCATCTAGGCCAGCCTCAGCCTTATGTAGGACGCCTCTCTTTCGTTTCTTCTTCTCGTGTTGCTCTCGGTCGTGTTGCCACGGCTGTCGCTGTTGTGAGGTGGAAACAGGAAGCGCAAAGAGAGTCGACATGGTAATGGCTGCCTTGACATATGGTTAGGCCGGACCAGGGTGAGGCAGCGAGCAGAGGGTCAACGAAAACATGGGGGCATCACGGTGGTGTTGACGTCGAACAAGCAATATTGTGAGCGTCCGAGGAATACCTAGTTCTGTAGAAAGAAACATAGAATAAAAGGCGGCAGTATCTGGTAAAATTAGGCACGTTTCATGGTGCTGGTAAAGAAGCACGTCACGCGCCAGCTGAAGCCAACCATCAGCCTTGCAAGCCGTCTTTGAACCCTCGCAGCTGCCGCCGCCCTCAGCCCATCCGCGCCCCAACATCGCCAACGTTACGCCACGACTGCGCTGCATCCCACTTATAATCTGCTCGACAGTGGACGGTTACTATCAACGTCTCTCAGCGCCGCCCGCCGTTGTTTGTCCGGCTCTTCCAGGCCTCATTCCCAGTATCTTCCCACGTTGCCTCTGTACCAACTCCGCCACCTGAGTCCGCTCACTATCTCATCCGATAGCCTTCTTCTCATGGTCTTCTGCGGACGACAAGGTGTTGCGTAGAAACAGTCACAGTCTACTTCGAGATTGCCTACATTCCGAGCGCCTTCCTGGGCTGCTTGCTACAGGAGCCCTCACCATGATGCTGGCTCGATAGTCACACGTGAGCCCATCTACCTCGAATGCCACTTCATCCGATCATGGGCAATACTCAATCTACCTCTCACACCTCCTTCAATGCCGAGTCCGACGGTCTAATAGATCAGTCACATGCAGACCAGAGTGACCAGCGTTCCGCAATGAACTCGACCGACACAGCGCCTACTCAGCCCCGAGCCCGCAGGCAGCGACTCAGCCTATATGGATCGGTGAGGCAACGAATTGTTCATCGCTCATCGGTCGTCAGATCTCATACCGGCTCACAAGATATAACTCAGGATGCTGACGCGGAACAAGAAGAGCGGCCTCTAGTTGACACGCTTGAGACAAGGCCCACCGTTGGTACCGTCACAATCTCCACTACACTGCCTGGCCCTCTTTCTCGCAGTGCCTCATCCGTCTCAAGGCTAGGATCTCGAATCTTGCCAAACGCGGTGGCGAGAGTGCTGTTGAGCAGCGGCGAAGAGACACTTGCCGAGGGGCATGCTTTACGGAATGGAACGCCGGAGAGGTGGCGGACTGCTCAGCGACAATCGCACTTCGATTCCAACAGCAGGTTCTCGCTGACCGGATCCATAAGACGGCGGATTGGCAACCGTTCTGAGTCCCGGGGTAGCCCAAGACGTGCCACAGCGAGAAGCCTGTTCACTGGCGGTGCATCCCATCGACAATTACTCAACGATACCGATCCAGAGCGTCTCAGCCAAGATCAGCCCTCAATCACTTTGGATTTGAGTGACATCTCCGCGTCAGTGCGCAGGCGCAATCGACTGCAGAGAGTACGAAACTCTTTGTCTAGCCCTTTAATTAGCCTTTTCCAACCCTCGGTCAATCGACACGACTCAATGAATCTGGATAGACCAGTCGTAGGAAGGCCGGCTCAGGCCGCTTACACAGATGATTCGGATCATCTGTTGCCCCCCTTGAATCCCGTCAATCACCATCTCGATTTAGGTGATGCTCCACACGAACTCGACGCTGTGGAGCCGGAATCAAGGTCAGTCCTACCCGGCGCAACCTCTGCTACTGGCATGAGTGCCATAAGACAGCTCCCCCAAAGTCTTCGCTCACGCTCGCGACTATACCGCCGCCCGGAGGCGCCACCATTGTCTCAAGTTCTGCAATTGGCGGCCCAGGCGATTGCCTCGCAGCTGTCTGGTCATGGCGATGGTCTCAGCCCAATGACTCGCCCTTTGGGCGGTCAGGGATTTGGAGGAAACATCGAGGATTTTGTGCATACCCTCCAAGAAGCTGCAAGTGCACAGGCCGGTGAGACCCTCGACATGAATACACCAGAGGGCGACTTGCCGCCCGTCAACTTTATGCGCGTCTTTTCCTTCCCAAATGACGAAAATGGCTCCCCTGTAGCTCCACCCCGACCGCAGGAGGGAGTCACTGGAGACAGTGAAGCTGGCGATGCATCCTTGGATCCGGACCGCTCAGTAACCCTGGTGTTGGTTGGCGTCCGTTCAATGCCTTCAAATCATGAAGCTGTGGGCGATGGAGCTCTAGGTCCTAGCCTTGACAACATCTTGAACCTGTCGCCATTTCCACCCTCAGCTGGACTTGGCAACGCAGGTACTGGAGCCTTGTTACGCCGCGCTGGAGGCCGGGCACGAACCCACCGGCGACATTCAATGACCAACTTCGACTTTCCCGCACAGTACGAGAGCCAAAGACATCATAGGCGGCGATTGTCGAGCATTGGCCCCCCCACAGATGCCCTGTCATCCATAGTTCCTATCTCAGAGAGTCCACCAGGGCCGGTTCCACCTCCGTCTACACCTGCCGACATTCGTTCAGGTCAAACTACACCGCTCCGGCGCCCTTCTTCAGCCTCGGCAGCACACTCTGCGGCTCTGCCAGACCTTGACGAAGATCGTGCTCCGCCACTACTTTCATCCTCATCCTACGACTACACCTCTGCTCGTCAGCGGCAGCGCTCCGACAGCGAGTTTGCCCGCCGCCCGGAGCTTGGGGCCGGGGCTGCACGGCGCAACGGCGTTGTCGAGCCAGATCATCCGCCCGTTGGCACAGCCACTGGCCGCAGCTGGTTGATATACGTTGTCGGAACGAACGTGTCTCCTGACCATCCCGCGTTTACAATGCCGAGTCTCTTCACGGACAACCCAAGCTATGAGGACATGCAGATGCTTACAACATTACTTGGACCAGTCAAGCCGCCGGTGGCTAGCCAAGAGGATGTTCGAGAGGCAGGTGGGCTTTATAGACTAGTTCTGCGGGACGGGTTGCTCGTTGGAGACCTTGTCACCACAGAGGCACAGCTAACGGAACCTTTGAGAATGGAGGAGCGGTGTTTGATATGTCTCTGCGATTTCGAAGAGCGGGAAGAAGTGCGGCAGTTGGGTAAGTGTCGACATGTGTACCACCGGGAATGCATCGATGAGGTAAGTCCAGTTTCTGATCTGACCGATTGGAAACAGCAACGACTAACGGGTCCACTAGTGGTTAACTACAGGCCGCAACAGCTGTCCAATGTGTCGAGCACAAGGTGTCGACGAGAGGAACCCATCGACGCCGGCAGTGGAAAATTCACCGCCCACCCCGGCTGAATCTATCAGAGTACCTTAGGCGGCACTGGCTGTCTTTCCATTTGATCACGATGCCCACGAAACGGCCGTGCAACAGAAGCATAGCCTGGCGTTGGTAAAGGCGACGGACGGTGCACAATGTGTTTGATTTTTCTTTGCTTCTCCTTCGACAGAACGTGTCTTGGTTACTTTCTTCGCCGTCACGTGGTTCGGAATGGGGCGACGTATGGGATTTGCTAAGGATAGGGGATCGAACTTATGATACCCACTGTTCTGCTGTTGCAGTGGACAGACACTGATGTTCAATCAATCCGTAATGCACACTTGATAGACACTGGACGGCAGTCGCTCTTGCTCAGATGGACCACCTTTGTGGCACCAGCGACGTCATGAACCCCTAGGACGACTTCTCGTGCAAATACTTGTGACACAAATAGCACCATGAGCGTTGAGCCCTGGAGCACAAAGTTCTGATAGTGCCTCGCCGGTACCTTGTACGTAAGTGTACCTGCCCTTCGTGGTGAGTGGCGCAATTTCCGTCACGCAGACTATTGTCGTTGTCTTTGATTTTTTGACCCTCGGCGTTCCATAATCAGACCCTCACCCACCCAATAATAGAGACTTGGGATGGAAGACGATGCCGAGCACGCTGCTTTGCGACGGACGACATTCCTAAAACCAAGATCCTTACCTCGCCATTCGACAGTGATTGCCCATTTCCGAAAATGGCACACACGATGATTGAAATCATCCATTCACAGAAGATGCAATCCCATTCTCGGACATGTCGGGTCACCATCGATACCTCCCAATTTACGAAGAATTAATAATGTCCATACTGTTTCGGACCACAGAGTAGGAGTTGGTTTCGTGTCACGTATTCATGAGCTGGAGCCACATGGACGCCACATTCCACATTTAGTCTCCCCGCCTGGTTCCAATTTGGCAACTACGAGGGACCGGGGTGGACGGCTTTTCCAGGGCGTGCAGCCAACTAGCCGCTCCGACGCAGCTGGTGATTGGAGTACCAGAGTCGGTTTTTGCACCAGAGATTGCTTCATACCCTATTGCGGAATATCAACATCAACAGGCAGCAATGACGACGGCGGTCGGGGGCAACATCATCAACAGCGCCGGCGATGCCACTACCCAAGACCCTCAACGTTGTCTGACGGATACGGAGTCCCGACGGGCTGGAGATACGGTGCCGATTGCGATTCTCAACAGCGTACTCCGTACCTCCGTACGGATACTTCATTGACTTTCGGAAGCGGCACTGCTAGTCCATCACAAGCTCCAGTGGAGACGTGCCTCTATCAGCGAAAATCTCCCCTTCCATCAGTCTGTGTGTATCATTGAGTTCAGCAGCCTTCTGTTGACAGGTGCTGGCATTGTCACCTATCAGCTGGAGCTAGACCCCGGTATCACTTCGGGTCAGGCTGGACCACCATGATACTGGCTCGACAGCGACAGTTGGTCCCTAGCGTATTCCTTTGACTTTTGGTTACCGGAAATTTTGCATTCGAGTACGTGACCGTCTCGGACAGTCTGTCGAGACCCTGCACAAGTCCTCCACGGGACCCTTCGGGAGCTCGAAAAGCAGCAGGCCTTGGCCGACGGGAGCTGATCTTGTGCCGTGGATTGTCCACATTTAAGGCCGATGAGTCTTGAGCCACCATGCCGATTCAGCATTGGCGTCTCCTCCAGTGTAACATGGAAAAGACCAGAAAATAACAATGCGAGCACCGATCCATGTGCCGGGGAAAAGGCCCTACAGCCGTTCCGAGAAACGTGGGCTTGGAATACCGGTTGCAGACCTTGCTCCGGCCAAGTAGCCACGCGAAATCACTGAAAAGACAACGGCTTTGCGTCAGCAATTGGCGAAAGATTTCGACCACTCAAGCACTCATCATTATCCTTTCAGGTGGATCAGCTTCCGTTCGTCTGCCCGCTGTCAAACTAGACTCAGGGGCTCTATCCAAAGTTCCAGAAAATCCACACAGGCACGTTCCTCCACGTTGTTGACTAAAGCTAATAACGACATCGAGCATTATTGAGGCCAAACTCAATCAACTGCCGCTTTGCCCGGTGCAGGATGCTAATTGCTGCCCGTCGCGGCTCAGTCGTCCTAGCACCACATTCCGAGGGAAGCACAATGTCGGACCCACGAATGCCGCCAAATGTTAGTGTGCTTGCTGGTTCCAGGTAAGTTTCGAGTGCCGATCCTGGTATCAAAACCCTTGGTTACGAGGTTTCATCCTTGGTCCGGGTATGAAACAACAAAGGTCATTTAACCTGCAATCTTTTCACCCTCTACCACAGTACCGGAGTGGAGGGTCAGCTTCGACAGGCGTTGGTCCGGGGCCGCGTTACTCCTCCGCAGGGCCTAGAGCTCCAGGACTCCTCTCTGCGATTACTTCCTTGCCAACGATCACCGTCCAGTTCCTCCGTCACTCTTCGACGCTATGCCGGCAAGCGCTTCCTGTGCATGTGCTGACCCACATCTTGCCGTTAATCAGTATTGGGCCTAGCATTCTTCCCATCCATTCTCATATTCCTCACCGAAAAAAACTATTTGCCACGCGCTTTCCTGCCCAACCTGCGAGCAGAGGATCGTCTGGCGAGCATCGCCTTCTTGACCTCCTAGACAAACCTGAGCAAGACACCGTCCATCGCATACCGTAGCTTATCTTCCGGAGCATCACGCTACCAGCTGCTGAGAAAGCTATTTCTATCACCTGAATCACTCCTGGACTTGTGCCTGAGTAAGTACGAATCGCAGCCTGGTAGAGTGGGCCATTATCGAGCGCTCGCTCTGCACTCAGTTCGGCGGGCCCGGGTAGAGTAGATCGACCTGGATCGACCCTCCGCTCCCTGGTCGCTCCTGACGACACTACAGGTGACGACCGTTCACCCCCCGGTCGGAACCAGGGTGCCTAGTCAGAGAATAGCGCGCTCCATCCACATTCGCTGCAAGCCTAGGCTAGCAAAAGCCCCCTCGAATTCTGGAGCTTTTCGCCCCTCCCATACCTCGAGGAGTCGACATAACCTGTACCACCGCTACACTCTGCAGTAATACTCAACCAACTATCGGCAGCATCCCGTCTGCACTGGTTGCTCTGCTGCGCCTGGCTATTCGTCGCTATTTCCAGGCCTCGCTCGCTCGCTCACTCTACCGCATGCACAACTCCGAAACGCGGTGATCTTTGGATATCACAGGCCCAGTAGGCCTAGATCACATAGCAGCGAAGAACGCCGCCAACGCAACCTGCGTTGAGCAGTTTTGTCCAACTGCATATTGCCATCTGGACCAACCCGTCACCGCTCTGGACGCGGACCTCATATTCCTTTTGCAGCGTCGATTGATCTCCTGGTAGTGCCTGTTTTGGATGGCGTCGATGTATTCGGAAATAGCGACATTAACGGTCATGACCTGCATGTCGAAGCATAAGTCATAACATTAGCATCTGTGCAGATACCGCAGCGGCGATTTGCAGAGGGATACTCGTTCCTCATCGGAAAGGATCGTCAGCTCCTTCATTTCGAACATCCCAATCCAAAGGACCTCAGCAAGGATCAGGGACAAACGGTGAAGCAAGGAAAGGCCTGGCTGACTTGTGCGATTCCTGTTCAAATCGTCGACTCCCATTGCTCAAGCTTGGCCCCTGTGTTGCGCATTCGTGGCAGCCTCCAGAGAGGGAACGTACCACGGCCGTCAAAGCGCAACGCCAGATCAACCCGTGACACTCTATTTCCACCTTCCGCAAAGGTCCAGTCTTGTCTACACGACCATACAGATTACTCGGTTGCGGAACACGAGGCCAATTCGCTCAGCGCCTTGTCGCTGCCGAAGCATTGTTTCTACTGGGCTGAGTGGATCAGGTGCATCCAAGGAAGGCCGTACAACATTTGACGAGCACCATGAGCGGCTTTTTCGAGCCCTCAACGAATGTGCCACCGGGCCATATGAACGATCCTGGTGGCTATCAAATGTACAACAATCAGTACAATAATGGCCAGTATCCCAGGCTCGGTGGACCCAACTCTCATTTTGATGGTGTCGCTTTCTGGTATCGGCCGGAAACGCAGGAACCAATATATGAACGCGATCCTTCGCTGTACAATCAAGCCATTGGCCTTCCACAGAACACTATGGAGGCCACAGGAGTCAAGCATCGGAGAACGAGAAGCGGCTGCTTCACCTGTCGGAGCCGTCGGGTCAAGGTAAGCTCGCTGTCTGGGATCCACTATCACGACTGACATGAGATCAGTGTGACGAGACTAGACCAGTCTGCGAGCGTAAGCTATCAGTGCCAATATTATACTCACGCCCAAGCATGACTGACCGAAATAATAGGGTGCAGAAAAGGTGGTAGAGAGTGCGAGTTCCCGCAACCATCGTCGTCATCGTCATCATCGTCAAAACGTACCAAGTCTGAAGCGAAAAGCCCAACCACAGCTTCCAGGAAGCACGAGAAAAGCGACAGCAAGGAATCGACAGGTCTTCCATTAGAGACTATTAAGGATGAGGATGAGGATGCAAGTGAGCCGCCCAGTGCCGCAAGCACCTCATCCCGAAGACCAACCCTCAGCAAAGTTCGTACCGCTTCTACACAATCACTGTCTCGCAAACAACGCTATAGGCACGGATCCGAACCATCACCGACCTTCAAAGACAAGTCAAGCCCGCAATCTGCGTCCAGTTCCAGCTCTCATTCTCGAGCAGAGACGCCGGCCTCATCAATGACTACTGGAGCACCATCAGCTGATATTCAGGCTCGACAGGCAAAGATCAAAAGCCTGAAGCCCGATATACAGAAATACTTCCAATTTCAGCAAGACCATCTTACCTACTACCACTACTTCTTCAAACTCGACCCCACTGACTGGATCCATAACGACTTTATTGAGGAAGCCTTGTCGTACGAACCTCTACTCTATGCCGCTGTCGGCTTTGCCGCCTATCACTACGAAGTGCGCCAACCCGATGCCAAACTCGGACATTTTCTCAAATATCACTCACGTGCGATTTCTTTGCTGCGCAAGTCAATCGAGTCTTCGCAGCCTCTTACTCCTACGTTACTACTCACCGTCCTTCAGTTGGCTACGTTCGAGGAATGCCTCGGCGACTGGGTGAATCTGGTTGCGCACCATCGTGCGGCTCATTCCATGTTGACCCAACTCTACACACCAGAGTCGGTTCAGGCCACGTTGACAGGGCGTATGCTATTCACCTGGTTTGCGCGAATGGATGTTATTGCCTCGCTGATGGGAGGTAAAGATGCCTCGCTGCCACGAGTCTGGTACGAAGCCAATGCCATCCATGCAGAATCACAGATTGACACAGACCCTGAAAACGACGTCGACATCGATGGGCACCTGCTCGCATTTGTGGCCAGTAACCGCCTCATCGGCTATGATATGGCGAAGCTCTATGCGCGGGTACCGACGGGTGATATTTCTCTCGAGGAGTTGCATCTGGAGAACGACAAGATTGTAGAGCGCTTGCGGAAGTTCAAGTCCAATATCGAAAAACTCAACGATGGTTATTATACAGTCCAAGAATTTCCGGCGGCGAACGACTGGCCCCTGACCGATGCCGACATCGTCGATCCTTACATCCCTGGTGGCCTCTTTCGGGATGCTCTGTGGCCCATGAATTTCATGTGGATCGACTGGTACGCCATTGACATGATGCAGCGCTATCAATTATCGCTCATCCTCCGCCAACCGGTCCCGGAAGAAATGGAGCGGCTGGCTCTTGAGCAGTGCCGCATCTACGAAGCCGTCGCACGCTGGCCCGATGCCCCCGAGGGCTCGATCCTCGGCGCGCATGCCTCAATTGCCCTCGCCGCAGTGTTCCTGAAAAAGGATGAACGCCATACCATGTGGATGCGCCGGAAGCTCGCAAACGTGGAGCGGCTGGGCTATGTTTTTCCACCGCACTATCGTTCGCAGATGGCGCGCGTGTGGGGTCTCACAGCAGACTTGGTGGGCGAGGACGAAAGCGTCGAGGGCTGGTGGCTTCCCAACGATGAAGGCAAATTGCCGATCCTCGGCGAGATCAGGAAGGTGGTGAGCGACAGGAACAAGGCTGGCGAGGATAGCGGGATCCTCAACAAGGAAGTCGAGGATGTGCGTGACATCAAAGCCATCTTCGCGAAACTGGATTTACGGACCCAGCACTCTCGGGCAGGGGCGGGTTTGAGGTCCGGGAGCTTCAACAGCGTGGATGATTTGTCGTTCAGTCCACAGGAGAGCGAAGGGCAGCGGAGTGAGGTGAGTACGGCTATCGGCAGTCCAGCAAGCGCGGCCAGTGCGAAGGAGGAAGGATGGGAGAGGTGGGAGGGAGCAGCGAGTTCGGCGCCGGAGCCCACCATCAATACTACTAGCCGCGGCGAGGAGCGGACGAAAGAGAAGGACGAAGCCAGCAGCAGCAAAGCCAAGGATCCCAACCGAATGAGCGGGCTCTGGTCCTAAGTGGGTAGGTGGAGGATCGACACACCCAGGCTGCGGGAGCCATCGACAGGTATTCGACGAATCCTGCCAATCGTCCCTGTCGAACCTCATCTAAAACGGCGTGTTGCCCGAACAGGTTGAGGTTGATGACAAGCCACCACGACAAAAACGTACCTGGGTAATATCGAACGGATCAGACAACCCAGCCCGAACTCGAAAGAAGAACGAACACAACGAACCAATGGTTTCCACGAAGCAGACGCATAAGAAGTTAAGAACCAACAAACAGGACGACGTTCCGAAACGACATAAAAGGTCACGAAAGACGATAAACCAACCAACCAACCAACCCTTTGAACAGACAAACAAAACCCATTCATGTCTCCAGAGTTGAACGACCTCACAACCAATTTTTTCTCTCTTTTTGTCTTCCAAAAAAAGAAGTTTCTTTTTTATCTTTCGACAAAAATTGAGGGCCCTACCCGTGTGAAAGCGACAAATTAGCCAATTCGTCAAGATTTGTCAAGGGGTGCGTGCCCTCATATCGCCCAAGCATCGTCTGCTAGAATCAGCAGCAGCACCAGCAGCACCAGCGACGGCAGCGGCGGCCGAGAAGACGACGACGACGGCTGCGGGCCTTCTTTCTCTGTTTTTTCTGTTCGATACCATGTACTATACCATGATCTGCTTCTTTTTTCGGCGGTCCCCTTTAGCGAGACATTTACATATATGTGCTGCTGCAGCTTCTTTGTTTACTTTTTCGGAATATTAATGCCCGTCACCACCTATATACACCCTGAGCGTTCGCTGTGGTCATCCGACCTGCCGGCTTTGAAATCCCTGGGCGACTGCCAAGTCAGGCCGGAAGGGGGAGGGGGAGTTCTGGGAAACGCCTTTGCCGTCGCTACCCCAAGTGAGACGCGTGCTAGGGGAGGGCAACAATAGAGAGATAGGATTACCACTAGTGGGAAAGCTGCGTGGCCTCCGAAGCATGTCCGATATTGACCGTGAGACAGGACGCGCAGCGCAACCTCATCTCCGGGCGGTGGACAAAGTACTGTAGTGTTGTCGCTGTCTCCGTTCTGTGACGGTGCCACGGTAGAAGTGATGGCTTCCAAGACGCGAAGGCTCGTGGCGTAGTAAAAACAAATCTCATCTCAAACCACCGCGCAAAGATATTGTGCAGGGCCACGCATACCTTGCCACACATGGTTCTTGTGCGCGCTGGAGCTACTGTGTTGACGATCCTGATGCGAGCCACCGCTAGCCATGGTATGTGGAAGCTGGCGGGCGCGGAAAGTCCCATGCGGTGGAGAGGGCCGGCCCTCAGGCAGCTAATTGAGTACCGTCGAAGATTTCGAGTTATTGACAGTGGCTCTTGGTTCGCGCTGCTTGCTCAACTCGGGCGCTTGTCTCAAATTCTCAATAATTATTTTCCTTGGCCCAGTTGATCTTGAGCATCCAGGGCGTTCCCCGGCTGCATTTCTTGCATGGTGGTAGCGGCGTGGTCCGTGTGTCTCACTCGTTGACCCCGGTTCCCCAACCGAGAAAATTAATATGCGAAGTCGAATTCTCCGCGATCCCCTGTTCCTGCCGCACAGGTACAGTATTTTGCCCGGGTGATTCTCCCGGAACGTGGTTGATCGATGAGCACCTTGTAGGCGTTTAATGTCCAGTCAAGCGGTGAGGCGACGAGACACTTACGTGTCATCGAACGTCGGCGCGTTGCCCTCTCCGATCACTGCATGAAGCTCCCAGCTGTTCTCGATGCCCATGCAAACGATGAATGGATTGACAAAACCCTTGCCACCTTGCATCATTATCCCGCAGGGCATTTTCGCTTATGAAGCAGCACGGACGGGCACGGACTCACCTCTAGCTCCCCATGTACGCCGTCGCTGGCTCCCCTGGTTAGGTCTACTTCACTACTGTCCTCCGGTGTTTCAGCCTCGCATGTACCCTGTGGACTGGGCGAAAGGCGAAGTGGCTCATGCTGTCGGGTCACTCCTTACAAAAGCTGCGCAAAGACGTGGGAGTCCAATGCAAGCGGCCTCGCAGTCTTCGGCATCCTGGCCGTCCACTGGGCTCGCCTGCTATTCAGCAGAGAATGGCGAAACGAGGAAACTTTACCGGCAAACCAAAACGAAATTTAGTCTGTACGACGTCTCGGATGGAGTATTTCGCATCTCCACCTGAAAACTTAACTTTCACTCGCATAAAGCCACCATGGCTGATCGTTCGCCGCCGGCGACGACTATCCGCTGCTGTCACAGCCAGCGCGTGGCGGTCAATTAGGCGAAACCCCTCATCTCACTATTTTCAGCGAGAGCAGAAGATCTGTTAGATCAGATCGCTGATCATATGCTGGGTCGGAGGCACATCTCCCCTACCGTTAGATTTCTTGTTGCTCTGACGAGCTTATGCCCTGGTTTCTTCCGTCTAGCACTTGGGATAGAAGTCGTCCGTGCTCAAACATGGCGACACACTGACAATCGGTTGAGGAAGAACCCTTCACTGTAAGGCTAATCTTCGCGGCAGCCGTGCGTACATAAATGATCCTTGGTCGGGACGGAATAAAGGGCCCACGTACCGCCGTCCGTCAGATGACTGATGGCCGTAGACGTATGCCGTCGACAGTGCAGGGGACTCACGAAAGCATCACCACATGCCATCCTGAGGTGTTGACAAATAACTGTACGCCCGTGCGCACACGGGTGTTCGCGCTGTTGCCAGCCCCTTGATGCCACAGGAGCGACTGTGCCCGGGGGTGGCATATGTCTCTCTGCTGGAAAAGGCATTGATCTTAGTGCGATGCCTGCAGCCGCTAGCGCCATGAACGCGGGTTTTTGACGTTCATCAGATCAGGTCTGGCGGCACAGGTCTGCCTGCAGGCAGTAGTAACGTGGCGTCTCCCCGCCGCGAAGGTCGCTGTGGGGCTCCAGGCCTGACAGGATGTGAGAGATACGGAGAAATGCTCATGCAAAGAACGAGCCCCACCCCCTGGCGTATGTATCTGCGCCCTTAGCGCTCAAAGGTTGCATAGGGTACTGTGCTAGGCTCCACGTGTGCCTATGGCGGCCGTGGCCCGGATAGATTCCATGTGACTGGGCCATCGCAGTCGAAACTAAGCCTAGCATGCACCAATGGGTCCTGAGCGCAGAGTCTCGGTCGGCCGGCGATGGCGAAGGTAGCGACAAACGTCTGATGGCCTGAACACAAGCTCGGCTTGCGTGACGAGGAGAGGCGAGAGTGGGACTAACGTTGGACCATACACGGCCTCATACCACACGGATGTGGCCCTCGTAGAGCAGAACCTTGCTCGCATGCTACCACATCTACAGTGGCCATCGGAAGCTGTGATGGATACTGCAGAAGCAGCCCAGCCCGTCGGCGTCTTGTCAGGATAACATGCTCTTGGTCTCAATATGCAGATCAAGTGAATGCGAATAGGGTCTGATGCGGATGGCAACCCCCCGGACCGGACTCGTATAAGCGCCTTTCCCGTTCATGCTGGATGTACGAGTCACATCAGCTCAGCCAGCCTCTTGGCTCGTTCATGAGAGCGTACGGCCTGGTCAACCTGGGGAAAAATGTGTCCGCAGAATTACGAGTCAGCGCTTGCAGTAAGACTTCGCGACCGTGACCACGCGCTGGTGCAATTCACACTCATCGATATCACAAGCTTTGCCTGTTGGGGATGTTTGCGGGATGTTGCATGCAGGCGTCAAGGCATGAGTCGTGGGGGTGTCCATCAACGTGAATCGTATATCCTCGCCGATGTGTTTATTTTGCCTTGACGTGATGGCTGCCGAAATGCCGAAGAGATTACTTACGACTGCGGCCGAGCAAGACAGCCAGCCCCGGAAGACCACTTATCGGACTGTTTGCATGGGAATTACGGCGATGTGCTGCTTTGAGCGGCGTAAGATTGCCCAAATGTGCTGGATGTCCTAGTAGAGCGGAACATTCAGGCTCTCCGCTGACGGTTACAGAGACGCTGATATGCCCTATTATTCGCAGACCACGCCTGAGTCAATAGCACAAGTTTTGCAGGGGTGGTCCGGACGTCGAGCGCAAAAGGGACAAGCGCTGAAGAGTAAGTTGTGCCGAATGCGGCTCCGCTAGAGGCTCTAGAGGGCAGATAGCCTTGTGATCCGTGTGCCGGAGCTTGACTCAAGATGAAGATGTGGAGGATGGAAGGGCCCAAGCCATCCCAGTGGATTTGGGCTGAGCACCCGGCGCGCTGGGTTAAAACCAAATGGCTTGGCAAGCGTAAGCAAACCATACGACGTATTTCCGTCGTGTCGATGTTTCTGTCATTCTCGTATTGCGCCAAACATTGCGTGCCTTGGCGTTCGTATGGCAGAATCCAATACATTCTATCCAGAATAGCGTGCGTGGATGCGTCAAATTGCAGCATGTTGCCAAAACAAATGATGACTTGTCTGCCACGTTGGCTGAAAGTAATAGCTGGTTGCGACCACCAAATGTGTCCATGACCAGCGGCCCGTCCGGACTGCCACTCTTACAAGTACCCCCAGTGTATCCACATGTCTTCAGTTGTTCTGATCAGACATGCTTTGGGAAGACTTTGCGCGGGTGTGCAGTCGTCACATCGTGATCTCGCGGATTCGAGGGCATGTTAGACTCAAGTCCGAACGTGGCTAGATGTGCAGCGAATGCATTCATGAATCAGAGGACTTCAGATGCGAGCGGGAGCGGATCGTCGGGTTTGGACCTTCAGTCTTGTGTCATGTTTGCGGGACGCTCGCCTCAAGACGTCAACATCATCATTGTTGAGGATGGCACAAGGAAGCCTCGCATATGGTCTCCGTCGTATTTCTTAGAGCAGGATGCTTGTGCCACCAACAACCCGACGGTCTTGCGGAGCTCGTAGGCTACCGATCGAGTACCTTTTGGGATAGATTGGCGTCGTTGCGAGTCCTCGAATCTTGCTAGCTCGGTCAATTCACTTGTTGGGATTCGGTCCAGGCCAGTGCTCATGATTGTCACTTCACAATCATGAGTCTCTGCGACATTGAGCGGGTGCAGGCCTTGATGAAGCATATTTGTTGTTCAAGCCGCTCTGGAATGTACTGGTAGGAAGAACATGCGACTGTAGAAGAAATTGATGCCATGGAGGGAAAGTTGGCACCAATATGTACAAACATGTACAAACAGTTAGTGTTTCAGTTGCAAGTCCTCATGAAACCCGCACCAGCTATAGCTCTAGTAAGGCCAGTACTAAGTAGGCAGGGATGAATTGCGCTCTTTACCCCTCCAGAGTCGCAGCCTCGTGTCGAGGTCGACAAGGCTGGGAGCTGCAGCTGGAGCCGAACTTTACTCGCGTCCGTCAGCCCTACGAGCCTCGTGTCCAGGGTAAGCAATGCCAGATGTCATGTCTATGTCCCCTTGCCCACACCAATTACTGATTCCACGTCTCTGAAACCGACGTTACATGACCTTTATATCCCCTATACGCGGGCGTCGTCTACCCGCATCCATCGTGTCCTTGCAGTGCTTTCGCGCATGCGCCCTGAGACAGCATGGCTATGATGGCTAGTGGAACATCGGGCAATTCCAATCTCTTCGACGACGACAATGCGGTGCTTGATGACGACTTCCTCAATGATGGTAAGTTTGTTTCATCACTCGGGCGACACAGGAGCACTGACGCGCACAAGAGGTCGAGCCTGATGAGCCCTCATCCACGTCAGACCGGGCGCCTCTTACAGGCAACATTCAATCTTCATCGTCCCAAAGACCGATCAATCAGGACTACTTGACCTCACGCATACCGGGAGAGGATAGAAGAGCACCACAAAATACCATCGACGAATCAGTATGGGATACTGTCTCCAGAGATCTGTTTGCGGTATGGGAGAAGATGAGGCAGGTGCTCTGGCCCAAGTATCTATTGGGTGGCATGCTACAACGGCAGGGCGCCGGCACCTCCGACGTCGAAAGCCAAGGCTTTGGCAGAGATCTGAGAGGTCTGGTCGGAAGGTGGCCGGACGCAGATGGTATTCTCGAGGGCGGCCTGAGCGAAGGCTTGCGGGATTGGGATCTTTGGTACGCAAACCACGAGCTGGCTGGCACCGACACTAACCATCACAGGGGCCCTCTCATCTTCTGCTTGCTGCTCAGCATGTTCTTGTCAGTTCGAGCAAGCAAAGATCAAGCCGATCTGGTCTTCTCTGGCGTCTTCTCCATCGTTTGGATTGGCGAGGCGGTCGTCACACTGCAGATCAAGCTGCTGGGCGGCAACATGTACGACTACCCAAGCCCCCCATCTTCATAGACGCAATTATGCTAATGCTATTCAGTTCCTTCATGCAGTCGGTCTCGATCATAGGCTATACCCTCTTCCCATTGGTTATTGCCTCGCTGCTCTCAGCACTAGGCTTGCCTATGATTGCGCGCATACCCGTCTATATTGTGCTTGTCGCGTGGTCACTTGCTGCCGGTGTCAGCATTCTAGGAGGCTCTGGCGTGGTCAAGAACCGGGTCTTCTTGAGCGTCTATCCTCTTTTTGTCTTCTACGTAGGCTTGGGATGTCTCTGTTTTATTAGCTAGGTGCAGATGACGCGCCCGTCAATGGAAGACATCATGGAGAGAACGAAGACTTTAACGATGAGCACATGCTACAGCGGTGTTGATGGGTAGGGAGACTGCCAGCCCAATGTTAACGTAAATTGCTCGACGCATGGTGGGGCCGCGATCAATACGCTCACACTCGAAATCAGACGACCTCCTCACATTGTCCTTCCTAGAATTCTATATATTGTGTCTTGCGGACCACCAACGTCAGTGTCTTTCTCTACTAATAATTGTGACACAGTCATCCGCCTGCGTTGTTCGATTCATCATCGGTTGCCTTTCCCGGCCTTGTCGCAATCTCCGAATCACCACGACCCTCTCTGCGGAACAGCTTTTTGAACAACCAATACCATATTCCAACCTGCCGCACCACTCAAGCCGTGCACCTATTCAATTGCTATTACCTGAATTTCTTCCTGCAAACGCCCGCGGTTCGTACTTGCGTTCCGTTCCTGGTTTCCCCGCAACCAGCGGTAGAGGTTGGTGTACGAGTCGCGCGGCTCGTGGTCTACTTTGGCGACTCAGCGGTGTATCTCAAGCAGCGCAATCGTAATTGACCTACGACTCTATTTACCAGCCGCAGAATCTCGGCGGGCCGCCATGGCTTCGGAGCAAGACTCCGCAAACGCGACTGCGACCGTCGCCACCTCAGACACTACTGCTCGTCTCTCAACCCCGCCAGAAGGCATGTCCGACGGAGAGCGAGAGCGAACCACAAGGGAAAAGCTGAAAAAGACATCAATTGCTGGGCTGTCCCAACACTCTCGGGCTGGCAATAACTCTGCTGCAGGCAGTGAACCGGATGCGTTAATTGTCCCAGAAAACCCCTCCGAAAATGGTGGATCTCGAGGACGGCCATCTAAGAAACGGTCTTTCGAGGAGCTGGCCAAGCAGGAGCCGAGTAGTCCAGTCGAGAATGGCACGGTGGATACTCTACGTATTGGTCACAAGAGGATGCGTTCGAGGGAGGTTCCCCACGATGCTAACCTGGCAGCTGAGTACCACCAGCCAAGTGACGTGCAAGAAGAGAGCGATGAAGACGCTAAGAAATCTCCCGGAGGCCCTGGTATCCTTGTTGCTTCAACAGAGGGCGACACAGACAGCCAGGCTACGCTCGAAGGACGAAGCAAGTCACACGAGCACAAGCGAGCGCCTAATGAGTCTACGACAAGCACTGGTGCAGGGTCTGTTGATTCGAACACAGCTGTGCAGGACCCTAGCGCAAGTCAAACCCAGGGGTCGGCCACTGGCGGGTCGTTCAAGTCGACGTTGGCCCCCAGCTCGGGGTTCACAAACACATCCTCTGCATCACCCTTTGGAGCTGTACGATCACCACCAGCATCGGACGCAGAGGGCAAGTCACCATCCATAACTTCTCCTTCTGCATTCGCTACCTCCGGTCTGTCCGCATTTGCTGGCCAGGACAAGTCCCCCTTTGGTGCGGCCGCGACAGCAAAAGCCGCAGGCGGTTTCGGCGGCAGCGGCACTTCAGGATTTGGTGGGGTTAGCTCTGGGCTTGGGGGAGGGTTCGGAGGAGGTTCGTCAGCCTCGAGCTTCGGTGTCGGTCCTTCGCCCTTCGGTGCCAAGAGTAGCTTCGGCGGGGGAACATTTGCCTCGTCGACCGCCGGTGGGTTTGGTACCACTGGAACAGGTTTCGGTGGCGGCGCTGCGCCGAAACCATTTGGCGGACCCCCAGCTCGTTTCGGTTCCAAGAGCAAGAACGACGATGAGGCCGAGGCCAGTGATGCAGAGGACGTCAAAGATCAGCACGACGAGCGAGAGGAAGAGAAACAAGACAGCCGCTTCCACAAGCAGGATTGTAAGTTGTCTGATGGTGCTTTGCTAGCACAGGCTAACGAACTCGACAGTGGAAACCGGTGAAGAGGGTGAGGAGACCATCTTTAATGCTCGAGCGAAACTGTACCATTTTGAGAAGGAGTGGAAAGAGCGAGGTACCGGAGTCCTCAAGGTCAATGTGCGGCAAGAGGTCCAAGCCGCGGCCTCGGACGCGGAAGCCGATGCCGAAAACGGAGAATCAGCCAAGATTGTACTGAGGGCACGGGTGATTATGCGAGCCGATGGCGTACACCGTGTGATCTTGAACAGCCCCGTTTTCAAGGAAATGAAGGTTGGCACGGAATCCGGCGAGACGCCCACCAGCAAGACTATGTTCTTGACTGGAATGGATGACGGCAATCCCAGACTCTTCCAGATCAAGGTAAGCATATGCTGACAGTCTGAACTTTCTTGCGGGCAGCTAACAGTGTACCAGATGGGCAAAGAGGAGACGCTGAAGGAGCTATACCAGCGAATCATCGAATTCAAAGAGGAATTGTGATGAGCCGACACGGCAAGAAAGAAGGGCTTTGCAATGCCGACTTTGGATCCGACAGAAAACGACCAAGAGACGAAGCAATGAGTAAACGGCAGCATGATGCTTCATTTGTAGAGCATTGATCAGCGGGTGGCTAGGATATCTCGGCTCCTAAATGCCAGAAAGTTGAGCACTACTTGGAGGTGCTCGCTCGTATTGGAGTGATTGAATACAACCAGGCAGACTCACGTGGAGCAACAGCAAAGCTATTGGTCCTCGAATACATTACATGAGACCTCTCGCTCTCTCAAGCACCACCCTCCCTCTTCGCATATTCATCCTCGATTCTCTCCTCATACAACTTGTCCTTCTCGGCCTGGCTGAGATCGGGCTCTTCGACTTCCCCCTTCACGCCCCTTCCCTCCTCCTTGTCTGTCACATCCTCGATTCGCCCTTCAAGCTGGCCCTGTCTGGCTCCTTGGGTCCCACCAGGCCCTTCGATTCTTCGGCCGCTGGCGTCTGTGTAACTTCGCTCCTCAACCATGGGCTGTCCGGTTTCCTGATATGTGCGCCGAGTCTGAGTTCCGTCGCGATTGTTGCCATGGGACTCGGAGGTGAAACTCTGCGCAAAGGGCCGGCCTCCGTTTGAAGACGAGGAAGAGGAGAAGCTGGTGTATGAGGAGGAAGAATAGGAGTACGAGGAGTTGCTATTCGACATGGCTGAAATAGGCACTGGACTGATTGTGATTGCTACTGGACGACTTTCTGTGCTCTGATTTGAGAGATGTTGTTACAAGGATACTGCTAAACAGAGAATTCAATGAACTGAAGGTTGTTTCGCTATGTAGACGATCACTTGAGAGTGATGAAAGTGTTACGTCATTGGTCGGGTCGCAATAGAATCATGAGTCTCACACCTCCCATGAAAACAAAGCAGGTTCAAGTATCTCGGGAACCAGCGAGTAAATGCTCGCCTATTCTCGAATCAAGAAGTCGAAACTATATGCTGGCTACCCTGTTCCTAGGGTTGTCCTTTCGCCACGCCACCAGGCAGTAAACGGGGCGCTAACAAAGTGCGGGGGAGATGCATGCAGCGGCTCCGGGCCTGAGAGTGACGCTGGATATTTTCCACCCGTTTCACCTTCTTGAACACTGGGCATGAGATAGAGATCTGTGTTCAATTCCTGCCTCGCCTTTTTCCCGGTCTTATTCCTCATCATAAATATCCACCGTCAATACTCACGATGGGCAACGATGGCGGCTCGATTCCTACGCGCCGCGAGCTTGTCAAAGAAGCCGCGAAGAACCCGTCTGCAACCGACTTGAAGGAGAAGCAACGCGAGCACCTGGCGCACCGCTGGTCACAATGTCCTGTTTCGCACAAAGCGCTCACGAAACCGATTGTCTCCGACTACTCGGGCGATCTGTACAACAAGGATGCGATCATTCAGTATCTCCTGCCCGTGGAAGTGTCGGGCATCGATAAGAAAGAGTACGATGCGTTCATACAAGGGCGGATCAAGGGCTTGAAAGACGTCGTCGAGGTGCAGTTTGAGGTCGAGAAGGATGATACGCTGAAGACGGAGAAGAGGGTTTGCCCCATCACGGGCAAGGAATTGGGTGTTGGTGTCAAAGCGGTGTACTTGGTACCGTGCGGCCACGCGTTCAGTCAAGAGGCCGTCCGCCAGATTGGGACTGGCGAGTGCTCCGTGTGTAATGCAAAGTACGAGGAGAGAGATGTGGTACCTATCTTGCCCAGCACCGACATCGACAAAGAGTTCGTCATGAACCGAATGAACACACTTCGCGAACTAGGCCTTACACACTCTCTCAAGAAGGACAAGAGCAGCAAGAAGCGGAAAGCAACTGGCGATGACAACGGAAAGAAAGAGAAGACTAACGGAGAAAACGCTGAGAAGTCCGGCACGTCGAAGAACGAATCTTCAAATGGTATCAAGAACTCCGCCACGGCAAGCCTGACGAAGCGCGTGCTCGAGGAGGAAAATGCCAAAAAGAAGCGCAAGCTCGAGAATGAGAACATCAGCTCGCTGTACTCGAAGAAGAATGGCGAGAAGCTGAGAGACAATGAGTTCATGACGCGAGGGTTTTCTGTGCGGTGAGAGCAGCGTACTTGAACAACTCGCACTATGTTATCTTGGGCGACACTGCTCGAATCCGTCAACAATCGGTATTCCGAGTCCTCGAAGTCCGTCATCCCGTACTCCAGATTCGTGTATCAAAGGCCTTGATCCATATTGGAAGGCGGCGAAGTGGCGGTGAGGATCCAGCGTCTTGTGAATATGGCGCACACTCGTTCACGGATTGCATCATTGCCTCAGATGCGGCTTATAAGCCAACAATGCGTGGTGCTCACGCAAGCTCACGCGATCCAAATTTGTGGATTATTCAGTTGAGCCTCAAGTGGCACATCGGCGCGCTCTCACCTTGTCGTTTGCCAGCATCGGCAAAATCCCTGCGTCTGACTGGCAGGCGCACTGTCGCAACGTTGGCCTTTCCCGACGCTATGGACTGCATTCCGTCTGTTGATCCGAGCCGGGAAATCTATTCGACAGAAGAATGCGCAGTGAGCCACTTATAACTTATTGGAGAGCGGAACGTGGCCAGGATTTTCGACCGACAGGCACTATGATAAGCGCGGTCGCGCTACCGTACGGCCTTACGTACGACAAGTCGATCGCGGCTAAGCATTCACATCATGCAATGGGCCGACGTCTAACTTCTACCAGCTGACAAGCGGAACCCGGCTATTCGTTTACTCCTAACATGATGGTCAGGTACGCATCCACATCAGGTAGATGCAGTGGCCGGCTTCTCTTACATGCAATATCAATGTCCTGGCATCATCCGCTTAACATCATTCGACATTCCACCGGTTCTGTGCCACCCAAATCAATTACTAGAACAGCATACTCACGGCAACGAGAACAAGGTCTATGGACCGCGCCGACTACAGAAGTCCATCTACACTCCTCGCCCTTCCTTCAGAAATCCGCCACCAAATCTACACTCACGTGCTCGCGCACCAAACCATCGTACCATCTCCATCACTGACGCCCACACGCGCGCTCCCCCTCCGTGAGCATCCCTACACACACCCGGCTCTCCCCCTCCTCGCCACCTCCCGCCCTATCCACGCGGAAGCCCTCCCTATTCTCATCAGCACCGCCACCCTCGCCCTCCGCCGCCGAGAGCACCACGACCTGCTCAGCAATCTGCCCGGGACTATACCCAGCCATCGTCGTCCCTCCTTCGCCGAGCTGCGCCGTATCGTGATCGCGTGGCCGTTGCTCAACGCGTACCCGGCAGAGGTGCTTCAGGCATCATTCCCGGCGCTGCGCGAGCTGACCGTTTGCGCTATCGATGTACACGTCGCGCACGTGCGACTGCTACAGTTGTGGGCGCAGCGGCGGGCGTTCGAGGGCCGCGCGAGCGAGAATGCGGCCGCTTTGGGCCTCGTGCAGGGTCTGATGTGTGAGATGTCGGAGGACGGGTGTGATCGGCTGTTGGGGGTGCTGGGCGCGGCGAAGGGGAGATGGAAAGTCGTGTTAGGATGGCGGATCGGATGTGGAAGCTGTAAGTGGGGGGAGGCCGCGGAGGGACTGGCATGTAGTGGGCCGTTCAGCAATGGAGAGAAGAAGGGGGTATTGACAGTTGATGTGGCGGTTGCCCCGTGAAGGATGAGTTGCTGAGCATCTAGGATTTGAAGAAGGGCGATTACGAGGGTCATGGTTATCGACATCACTGAGAGCTTGTTGAGGGAAGTCGGCAGTTCAAGTCGTCGGGCAGTGAGTGCTATTCACCAAGCAGCGGAGCCAAATGCTTCGCAAACCTTCTTGTCACGGTGGGACTTCAAGAAAGGAAGTGAGTAGCCGGACAGATGAATCACCAAAGCCAAAACTTCAAGCTCTTTTCCTCTGCGCTAATGGCGCGCACTCTCGCTCCACCTGATGCCCGGTTCCCTGAAGATCCAATCGTGTTCAGAAGTAACCTCCTTGGCCTTTCCATTCCACTGTATTTGACTACCCAAGCGCTCGGTCTCGCCGCCTACGACGTGCAGGCAGCAAGTCCTCGAGCGACCAGTCGGTACGGCCAATAACGATCAGCGATAAATGGCATCAGCCATTTTCACCACCTGGGCCATTTCAGCGACATCATGCACCCTCACGATATCCGCCCCACCAGCGATACTTGCAGTGACGGTCGCAGCCGTGCCCATCTGTCGCTGCGCCGGGTCCGGCGTCTCGGTGATCTTGCCCACGAAGCCCTTGCGACTTGTCCCAAGCAACCAGGGCAGGCCCGACAGTTGAGGAAAGGTGGTACAGTATTCCCTCAGCTCGGCGAGACGCCTGAGGAGCTCGAGATTCTGACCCTGGTTTTTTGCGAAGCCGACGCCGGGGTCCAAAATGATGCGCCAGGGTGGAATGCCGGCGTCGAGCGCGGCCTGGACACGCTGAGCCAGTTCTTGAGCGACGCCATCGACGACTCCGTACGGGTAGCTGGTGAGTTCGGTCATGGTGTGTGGGTCGCCTCGCATGTGCATTAGCACGATGGTCTTGCCGAGTTTGGCCACCGTGGGGAGCATGTCTTGGTCAAGGACACCGGCGGAGATGTCGTTGATGATGTCGGCTCCCGCCGCCACGGCCTCTCTAGCAACTTCGGCGTAGAATGTGTCTATGCTGATGGCAGTGTTGTCGGCTTCTGGCATCTGACGGATTGCTTTGATGACTGGCAGGATACGCTGTAGCTCCTCCGTAGGGCTGATGAGTTCTGCTTTTGGCCGCGTACTTTGGCCTCCAATGTCGAGAATAGTGGCTCCTTGGGCTATGAAGGCCTTGACTGTGCTTTCCAGGTGAGCTTGGTCATTGGCAGTGTGCAGGCCTCCGTCAGAGAAAGAATCAGGCGTGATGTTAAGGATCGCCATCAGCGACGTGGGCTTTTGGGGATCAGTAGAGCGGATCAGTGGGAGACGAGGTGTCAATTGTGTGACAGGCGACATTGTTTTGTCACGGGCGAGAAGCCCAAGGTATAGGTCAGCTACAGTCCGATTTGAGTCGTGCCCGTTGTTAGCGGATGATACGACTGCATCAGGGATGATGCTGTGGAGAGGTCAGACATTTGGAGACAGTTGCACAGATAGGACATACTCTGACAATGGCCTGAGAACGAACTCCCGTTCATGCATGAGCTTGTGGGGCACCTCAAGACGCTCATGCTGTACCCTCTCTCGGTTGTAGAGGATGACGTCGAGGTCAATGGGTCGAGGGCCTTTATCAATGGTCCTTTTCCTGCCCAAGTCATTCTCGACACCTTGCAGAGTATCCAGAAGGCCAATGGGATCCAGGTCAGTCTCGACCTCGCAAGCGCCGTTGATGAACAAGTCTTGGTCCTCGTAGTACATGGGCTTGGTCTCGTACAAGGGGCTGACTTTCAGCACCGTCACTTTCTTGCGCATTTCAGTCAGGGCGTCCTCAATGTTGGCAATGCGATCGCCCATATTACTGCCCAAGGCGACGGCTGCGCGATGGACATGCCGTCGTTTCATCATGGTGGTCTGACACGACCTTCTGACATGCTGCCGCAGAGGAAGGCGAAAAGCATTCCACTGCAGACTTGGATTCATATAAAGTTATAGATGAAAGAGATCAAGCTCAGGTGGCAGAAATCTTTGTGGCGGATTCATCAATGCACGAACCAACGAAAGCTGCTTTCTAGCTTCCCGGGCGACAACCTTAGGCGACGTTGAAAGTTGACGAGGCTGAGGTGTGCACCCAATCAGGTGACACACATCGTTAGAGCCATTTGCACCGACGGGGAGAATTACCTATTAGGCTAGTGATCAATGTAATACGACGATTGGTCCTTGGAATCTATCGAAGCAGTATTAGCAGTGCTAGTTGTTTGTCTAAGTGTCAGCTACAGAGTACTGCATTGGGCATTGAACACGAGTAAGGTGAGTCGTTCGCGTAAGTGTGGGGAGCCGCGCTTGGACGTGAATGGCGGGGGGCGCCGCGGCAACGAGCCTCGATACCTCGGTAAGTGCGCAGGCGTGGCAGGTGGTCTTCCTCATGCGCCTCTCGTCGGTCTCGCTGCTACCCTACCTTAGGTGATTACTCTACACGGGACCTTCGAAGGCATCAACCCATCGTATCCCTCTGTCTTTTCCTGTCTGCGCGATCTGCTACATCCTCTGATATTCCGTCCCTACCTCGCTCTTGCAGCTCAGAATCGACACCTTCTATACAGACAAGATGGCTTCCCCACAGCAGATCAAGACCACACTCACCGATCTCCTGAAGATCAAGCACCCGGTCCTCCTGGCTGGCATGAACGTTGCAGCTGGCCCCAAGCTTGCTGCCGCAGTCACCAATGCCGGAGGCCTGGGAGTCATTGGAGGTGTAGGGATTGTTTGCATTCATCGAGCGAGCGAGAGCAGCTGACATATCCTAGGTTGGATACACCCCAGACATGCTCCGTGAGCAGATTGCCGAGCTCAAAGGTTTCTTGACAGACAAGAATGCTCCATTTGGCGTCGACCTGCTTCTTCCACAGGTCGGTGGAAGCGCTAGGGCGACGAAGTACGTTTCACTCCGACTGTATGCCTAGCAGATTCTAATGATGCCAGCTATGATTACACCAAAGGCAAATTGAATGAACTTGTCGACATCATCATCGACTCCGGTGCTAAGCTGTTCGTGTCAGCGGTCGGTGTTCCTCCTAAGGCCGTCGTTGACAAACTTCACGCGAATGGCATCCTCTACATGAACATGATTGGGCATCCAAAGCATGTAAAGAAATGCATTGACCTCGGTGTGGATATTATCTGCGCTCAAGGTGGCGAGGGTGGTGGTCACACTGGCGATGTCCCTACAACAGTCCTCATCCCTACCGTGGCTGCCATGTGCGCGAATGCCATCTCACCTTACACTAAGAAGCCCGTCCAGTGCGTTGCTGCTGGTGGGCTATTCAACGGTCAGTCGCTAGCCGCATCACTCATGCTCGGCGCCTCGGGTGTCTGGATCGGCACCAGATTCGTGCTCTCTAAGGAGGCCGGCGCCCCCAAGGCCCACAAGGAGGCTGTGCGCAGTGCTGGCTTCGATGACAATGTTCGCACCATCATCTTCACTGGCCGCCCTCTCCGTGTGAGAAGCAACGAGTACATCAAGAACTGGGAAGAGAACAGGCAGGCTGAGATCAAGGAGCTCACCGGCAAGGGCACGATTCCCGTCGAGCATGACTTTGAGTCGATGGGAGATGACATGAGCGATGAAATGATGGATAATGCGAGACCATTCCTTATGGGCAAGGCTTCGGCCGTTGTCAACGATGAGAAGTCGGCCAAGGAGATTGTTGATGAGTTTGTCAATCAGGCGGTGCAGAAGATCAATGAAGGCAAGAGCTTGTTGGTCAGCCCAAGCAAGCTGTAGATGGATGCAACTGCTGTAGGTGAAGGTTTTCCGCGCCCCATGCTGGGATCTGGATACCGGCGATGGGTATGATACGAGATCCGCGCCATTCTGGAGCGTTCTACTCAGTTGACATTGTGTTTGCATCATTCCATTTGCTCTATAAGTTCTGCTTAGTTGCCAAAAGTCGAAGCGTCTGCAAGTCATCTCCCGCTCCTCTACGTAGCTCCTTCTTACCCTATGATGACCCTGCTCTTCGAGCGAAGGAGAATTAACTACTCCGACAAAGTCCTCCTGGGTGTCTGACGTAAGAAGGCCACTCCCAGCCACTGATACAAGTAGCCGGTGTATTATGATATATATGTGGTATTCCGAGATCACGACCCCCCGGGGGGGGGGACTCCTTCTCTCCAGCCCGTCTCCTTTCTTTGTCTTACACAGCGGACACCAGACGCTTGACAGGGGTAAATCAGACACATCTTTGCAGATGCGAACCCAGTCAAATCCAACGAAATTCTACTTCGATGCGCCTCGAATCCCAATCCTCCTCAGCGCGACTCTTCGCCAAAGCTCCCATCTATCCTCCCACTCTTCTCCCCCTTGGCCACCACCGACGCGCCCCGGTTCCTCCTCAGACGCAGCCACTCCCACGCGCCCAGACACGTCACGACGGTAAAGACGATGAAGAACGGCACCAAGTTCCAGCGCCAGCCGCGCTGGATGCGCAACTGCTGGCGGATCTTGCGGCGGTCGCTGTCGTCGCGCAGGGGCACCTGGTCCAGGACGGCCTGGTACCAGTTCTCGGGCGTCCACTCGTCGTCCGGGTAGGGACTTGGGGCGGGGTTGGCGGCCGCGATGGCGAGGTCGATGGTCTGGCCTGTGTGGTTTTGTGTGAGGACGAAGGTGTAGATGAGGGCGGCGAGCGTGAGGAGCGTGCCGAGGAAGCTGAGGATGAGCCAGGTCGTGAAGAGGGGGCCCGGGCGGGTGTCGGTTGTCTGGTGGGCGGGGTTAGCATCTTGATGGTGGCCCGTAGAGGGGAAGGAGGGGGGGCTGTAATAAGGGATAGGCTCGCCGGTGCGTGGCAGGAGCGGCACGGCTGAGGGTGGCGTGTGGTGCTGGTATGGTAGACGTACCTCGCGCATGCGTCGGCGCTCCCACCAGATCATCAGCAGGCCACCAATGCCGATAAGGATGAAGCCGGTGCCGGCGGCGCCGTTGGAGGTGTGGCCTTGATCTTCGAGCAGCACGCTGGGTTTGGCCCATAGCTCGAATGTGTCGGGCCCGGAGTTGGAGTTGGAGCCCGGTGAGTCGACGACGAAGAAGCCGTTGGCGCGGCCGTGTAGAAAACCGACCATGGCGGAGATGAAGGAGAGTTCGATTATGGATACGATCATGAGGATGGGGATGGCGATGAGGAGCGAGGTAAACGGCTTCATGTTGGAGAGCGCCATGTTAAGGTATTCTTGTGGTGGGTGCTAGCCTTGGGAGGCAGCGAGACTGGACGACGGGCAGATGTGGTGGACTTCGATCGCCTGACACAGGGCTGCGTGCAGCGAGTAAGTATAAGTAACGAGTACGGCGGGCCAAGAACCGCAGCTCGCAGGTTATTTGAGCTGAGCTGACATGCAGTGTTGGTCGGCCAAGAGTTCAAGAATATAAGGCATCCAGGTGGATGATCTGCTGGCGCGAAGTCGAGAGCTGGTCCTGGGACAGGTTGGATCGCAGAGTCAAGATCCGTGTTCGGTCGCGGCAACGAAGAAAAGTTATTAGTATTATGGTTAAACCGCCCACGGGCCGCAAGCATGGAAAGGCAGCAAGTGTCGTCCGTCGGGACCGGCTGGACTTCTGACGGGGTGAGAGAGGGCAAAGACCAGAGAGGCCGGCCTGACTGAACAATTAAGTAATCGCAAACTTAGCCCTGGATCTGACTGCAAGAACGTCTGGTTCGTTAGTCATGTATCTGTGGGTGTGGGCGGGGCGAAGGAAGCTGTAGCTACTCCGTACACGAAGGGCAATTTGTTAATACGGAACGTGGATCGTGCGCTGTGCTTGAAGGAGCAGTAGCGTGGCTGGCCGTAAGCATTAAAGAATAGCGATTACCAGATCGGAACAGCCGACCAGCGCAGCCACCTTTTCGGGGAACACGCCGCGCCATGAAGTGGCCATCTATAGGGTCGTTAGATGTGCTAGTGATGGTACCAGGAATCGAAGACGTTCGATGCTGGGCGAATGATGGTTCAGTGGTGCTCAAATGAGATATCAAACGAAGGGAAAAGGTATGTAAGAATAGAAACCCGCCCCCGCAAAGGAGGCGAGCCTCGTGGAAATGCCTGTCTCAACCCACCAATAGCACCTTGATCACTGTCCAGCCTTGAAGTCTCTTCGCTGGGGCAACGGCTTGGGGCTTGGGGCTTGGGGAGGGGCGTCGATCAGGCAAGGCCACCAACCCATCTAGTAACGCCACGAATCCACGACCGGTCCTGGCGAATCTGCCCAAATAGAACACACGGCACACGCCAGGGACGATTACCCATGGAGGACAACTTGAGGTCGCACAGAACTCGCTCGGCCACACAGTACACCACCGCCAACGCTTGATCGCTGATCTCAGCTTGCTCTGATTCATCAATGCCAAGTTGCTGACTCGAATCTGCGCGCCGCTGAGCCCAACTAAGAGGCAGACAACCCAGATGCGTGAATTTTGGCCATCATGCTCACGCACATAGATTCCTTAGCCGAACAGCCATGTGCTTTGTAATTTGGCAGTCACAGCCGGGGGGGACCGCAGAGATGAGGTGCATGCTCATTCAGCGATGCCACGGCTGCTGTGGCGAGACCGGCGGAGCCAGCCCTGCTTAGTGCTGACCGCGCCGAGCTGCTCTGGTAGGGCAGGGTCACTTGATCTGGTCTTCGGACCTGAAGACTGTCAACCCGGGAGATCTTTGGGAGATGCGTTGGGAGACGCGTTAGGAGGATATGTGGCACTCTCGAATGACTTCATATAACGAGCGATGCGTCTATGGCCTTGTCCTAGCAATGTGCACGCGACTGCAAAGTTGGTGGTACAAGACAAGCATTATGATCAAGCAGCCGCTATAATTAGCACGTCGGCACTGACAGGGGCCAGACGGCAGACCGCAGGCGGGCGAGGCTGCCCGTTGCCTGTTGCCTGTTGGCCACGCTCGCTGACAAGGATGCTGGCATCCTGCAGGAAGAATATTCCAATATCGCCAGTACATGTAGAGAGACACGGGCCAGTTGCCGAGAGATGTAATGGAGGCTGCATGACACCGTCAACCAAGGTACAGATGAGCAGTGGGGAGAACGGAATGTAATTGACTACTGATGCTCAATTCGTCTATCTGTGCAGCCAGCCAGACTGCGCACCAGGCTATGCCCTGTAGCCCACGCTCGGTACGGTAGGTCATGCTCTTCGTGTCGACGTATCTTAACATGCATTGCTAAAGCCAAGAAAGTTATCCCTGAGAACTCCGCCGTATGCTGCTGTCGCCCTTGTAATTCGTCTTCTCCGCTTGACGGGCCACAACCCATTGCATGACGCTCTCATAGCACAAGACAAACTGCCGCAGATTCTGCACCATGCTGAGTCGCTGATGCCGGAAATCGTCCACCGCTTTGGCTACCAAGTCCTCGTCATCACGCTTGACCCAGCGATCCACATCCACATCCATGCTGTCGGCGTCGCGCGACTGGTCCAGATGTTGACGCTTCAGCATGTCAATGACCGAATCGATCGTGCAAAACGTTCCCGTGCGCCCACACCCCGCACTGCAATGCACAATAATCGGCCTCTCGTCTTCGGGCGCGGCATCCTGGGGACTTGGCACAGCGTTCGGCGTTGACGACCCGCGAACATACTTGTTCACTTGTTCGACCAGCGTCAATAACGCTGTGGGGCTTGCAGGCGCTCCAAAATCCGGCCACTGGCTGTAGTGTAGTTGGGTCACCTCTCGCATCGGCTCAAACGGTCGGTTCGAGTGAGTCAACGCAAAGGACCGCACCACGACTGCCGAGCTCTCCGCTGCTGGTGACCGCACCTCGTCCGCCTTGGCATCCTTGGGCAACGTATTGGTAGTCGATCGCCGCATCCCCAAGTTCGGTCGAAGCCCGGCCGGGGACTTCGGTGAGGAGGATTTGGGATCCAGTGATACAGTCCGTTCACTTAGCTGCTTCAGCTTTAACGGTCCATATTCGCCCGCACTCCAGTATGGATGGCTCTTGAGTAGTCCGCCTTCGGACTCGGCTGTGAGCATCACGATGACCCGCACATCCTGCTCCCATACCACTCTCCAGAAATCATTGAAGGTTGCAGGTATTGGAGCCTGCGTAGCAATGTAGTGCCGATTCGAGTACTCCGCCTTGACGTGGCTCGCGTTGATGTAGTCGCAGTCGCCATTTTGAACCCCTTGCAAGCGCACCCGCGAGTGGTCGTACGGGAATATATTGTTGTACCGATTCTTCGATCCTTTCTCGATGCCGGCGACCTTGATCTTATCGGGGGCCTCTACACCAGGCGTTCCGTACGATACCTTCAGATTCAATGCCTGCTGCATACGTCTTTGCTCGGATTTCTCAATCGACAGAAACTTATCCGACACTAACTTGCCTTCGTCGCTGCTTCGCGAAGCATTGTCTAGCCAACTGGGGAGGGCTTGTTTGACTTGATCGGTCATGTTCGATGGTTTCTTCACTGGGATCTGGCCGACGCCATCCATCAGATCCATGTTTTGCCGGATGTTGCCGAAGAAAGGATTGGCGGCATTTTTGGTGGATGGCATAGCGCAACCGCCTGCAACGGGCAACTTGTCGTGTGCTGGAGGGGCTATCGACAAGGGCGAGTTCGTATTACCTCCAGCAATATTAATAGGACCTTTGTCGATGAAGCTGGGCTCCATCTTGGCAAAAGCCTGTAGGCCTCCTTTGACCACCAAGCCCGTGCCCCTCCATCCTTCAGCTGCAAACTTTTTCAAAACGTTGAAAGGAATGGTTGCTTCTTTGGATAACGACGATGAGGCGTCGTATACAGCGATGTATTTGCACGCCGGCCACCGTTCAAACTTCTCCCGGTCGGCGTCTGACGAGAAGGTATCCGACAGCTTTTGGGTTGTGAAGGATGGTCGCTTGAGAAGCGTGGTAGGGATGCATAAGTTCAAGGCACCCCGAACTCTGGAATTTACATAGTGCTGATAGACACGTAAGTCGAGAATCAGTACATCCTCGGACGCTCGCAGTAAATCGGCGATCAGCTTCGGGCCGACCATGCTCGACGGCTTATCGTCACTCGTGGGGGGCACTGTGTCGGATCGAGCCTTGATGAGAGATGGAACCTGTAGTTCACTCGTTGGGAGAGACAGGCGGGCATGCTGGTGGTCCGCAACGCTATGTCGGGGTGTCATGGTTAGGGGAGAGCCCTGTTGCGGAAAGTCGAAGAACGAGTCCCCATCTTTGGACGGTCGCCGTTCCCGTGCATCTGATGACTTGTTGGACTTGCCAAGGTGGGGACGTTTGTTGTTTGGTGATATAGGTGATTGGGGCCCAGAGCTGCTGATAGTGGCCGATAGAGTCCGAATCTGGGCGGGTCGCGCGAGACTCGAAAGACTGCTGAATGACGAGGAGTTCAAGCTGAATGCTCCTTTCTCCGACTGCCTTCTGAACGCTTCGAATTCGGGATTGGACTCGACGGCTACGTTGCGGGGGCTCGTTATCGAGTTCTGAGCGTTAGACGACGGAAAATTCCAATTCTGACGAGCATGGTGGCCCGGGTTTGAATCAGGAGGATTGGTATCATCAGTATTAACCACGAAGCCGAAGTAGCTCGGACTAGGGCTTTTTGGATCCTTTGTGAAGGTCTTCGGGGACAACAGCGGCGGGTTCGCTTGGCCCACGGATACAGGGTTGGGATGGGCCCGAGGAGTCGTTGAGGGCCTTGAGGAGCGAGATGATGACTTTTTATGGGAGTGGCCGTGTGAGGAGGAGGGATAGGTCGAAGTCGCGGCGTTAGACATGGCTCGTGAGGCTCGGAGGAGCCGTAACACTTGAACCTCGACTAGAGATATACTAGGTAGCAGTAGCAGAAGACCCGTGACAACAATGTCATGGCTGCCGAGCACGCGACACGGAGGCTATGCTGATGATCGATTGAGAGTCCATGTCATAGTATGCGATGTCGAGAAAGAGGTAGGGTAGGGTATGGTGGAGCTTGGGACAGGCAGTGTCGGGAAGTGGGAGTGTATGTACTGGTCTGGAACAACAGGCCGCTAGAGAAGGTCGCAGGAGAGCCCAGAACTTCGAAATAATGGGTGAGCGAAGAGGCGAAGGATATGACGTCGACGAGCCTAAAGTGCCCGGCACAACAGAGGCTTGTACCTCAGCTGCTTCCGCTAGCCGATACCCGAAACGAGGCCCCGGCACCCGTATTTGCTCAGCCTCCCATGTGTCACACGGCCAGGAATGATGTTTCTGGCAAATGTGTCGCCTCCCCAACTCTGCTGCAAAAAACCTACCAATTGTGGTGTGAAGAATGACGTTCATACAGAAGAAGGCTCCTGGGGCAATAACTGACTTTCGAAGGGTCGCCACGGCGGACTTAAACGTGCGAATCTTAAAGGCGCCCGACTGCCAGGTCCTGGCAAGTCCCTCACTAAGGTTAGACCACTGCCGGCAGGGTCTTGGTTCGGCTACTGCCCGGAGGGGGGGAGGGGAATCTTGCATGAGGCCTGGACTTCAACGCACCGTTTTCGTCCCAGCTTACAAATTGACACGATGCATACTTGTATGTGCGGTGAGCGATATGATGATAGTAGAGACATATGATTTCGTTGTGGTTGTAACTCCCGACCAAAGTGACCAGGTTCGTGCACCATTGCGAACACTTCAGCATGTTCGTTGTGGGTTGTCCCTGTAAAAATGTGCATATTATAATATCGGTATATGTCGTTTGACGAGGGCAGATCCCTCGCCGATCGTATGCTCAGGGTCCATTCTGCCGGTGGTTCCTGAACGGTTGGCCGTCTCTAAACGACCGCCTAAATTCGGGCATGTGCTCACTGCAATCGCTTCTGTCACAATGTCGCGTGACGGGTACGAGCAGACTAGTGGTACAATACACATGCTTTGAGGGCGTCTGTGCAATGGATGGAAACCATTTTCCCACAGGTTGGTCCACCTGCCAAAGCACTGTCAAAGCAGCCACCATTTGCGTCCTTGATCATGGCCGCTGCCGCATCGCCGATGACTCCAATGGCGCTGGTCTCACCAATTCGGTCGAGTGGCTTCATTTACCACAATTGAATGTTAGCTATTGTGATTTTGCCGTACCAGCCCGCAGTCGTGCTTTGGCTGCATGCTACCTGCCAGTCCTCGAGCAGCCAAAGTCTCATAGGCCCGCATCGATGTGTGAACACGTGGAAATGTACCTCCGTAGCTTGTCTGCCCTCAAGTACTTCGCATAGGCTTGCTCTATTTCGCGAGAGCGCGACGAGCTTGTAGGGACATCATCACTATGCGTGCATCTCACAGTCGGCCGTCAGGTTCACCTTTCCACCGTTGGACTCGTTTCTGCTCCCAATTGTCCAGATCTTTAGCCATGAGTCGCTGCTCTGTGTCAGTTCACTGTAACCTTATAGCATCACCATACTTACATAGTACTCGTCCCTTTGTGCGTTTTCACTCTGGAGAAGCTGCCGCCGTCTTGGATTGTAGTGCATTGTTCCTTCTCCAGTCGCACCACCTTTTAGCCCGAGTTCCATTGCTTCGGCATGACTCAGCTCCCGGTTCTTGCGATCGTGCTGTTCGTAGCGTAGTGCCGTCGCGGGCGTAAGAAGGAAGGATGCGCCCAGCATCATCGCAATGAACGGGAGGCCAAAGAGTGCGAAAGGATGCTTCGCCAGCCGCCGCCTGTAGGATGCCGCGATCCGTTCACTGAAAGTCTCTGGCCCTTTCGATGAGCGGAATGGATTCGACTGGAAGGTAGGCATTGTACACGGGAAGCTTCACGCGAGCGAAGGAATGTAGTCTGCTCTCAAAGTCATACGACGGCGACTACGTAGAGTCGCCGACGACTGCCAAGACTGTTTATCAGACTGCAAGGCTGTGAAAGGCTGCGCCCGACAAACGCGTGAATGGTCCATCTCCAAAAATTGTCTGCGCGTCGACCTCATCTCCTTTGTGTTGACAGCTCCTGTCTCAATCTGTGCGGTCGGAAGCTTGTTAAGACCAATACAGGATGTCGCTTTTTGGTCAGAGCTCCGGCGCTCCCTCTGGAGGAGGCGGCTTGTTCACCGGCTTAAGCTTGAACACTGCTGGCGGCGGTACCGATGCCCAAGGCAAGCGCAAATCTATCTTCGATGCCTCGACCTCTCAATCGAATGCCTCACAACCGCAACAGTCGTCTGGCCTCTTCGGAAGCCTAGGGGGATCCACAGCTCAAAACACCTCCAGTGGCTCGCTCTTTGGTAGCGGTGCGGGTGGCAGCAACATGACGAAGTCCAACTCCTCGCCGTTTGGCGGCGCCAGCCAGGCTCCGGCCTCTACAGCAGGTTCTTCATTGTTTGGAAACACAACCACGGCTGCTCCCTCAGGAGGTGGACTGTTCGGTTCCGCTCCAGCCACAAGTGCACCACAAGGAGGCGGTCTGTTTGGCTCAACTACAACCACAAGCGCACCTCCGGGCGGTGGCCTATTTGGCACAAACACCACTGCATCGGCACCATCAGGAGGCGGTCTCTTCGGCAACACTGGTACTACAGGCGCGCAGTCGAACCCGATGAGTAGCTCTACATTGTTTGGCTCGAACACTACCACAACGCAGCCAAGTGGCTCAACATTTGGTCAATCACAGGCCAATCAAGATGGCCTGCAGAGTACTCAACAAGTTGCAGGCCAAAAACAGAGCAGAGATGGCGCCTACTTCAACAGCTTACTCGAACGGCAAAAGAAAAAGGCAAAGCTGCAACCCTCCGATCCCAACTTCCATCGTAGTCAGCTGCCGAACCTCAATATGGATCTGGGAGATTTGGCACGCCGCGCTCAAGACCTTGGAGGCAGAGGTGCTGGTCTGGAAGTGGCTGATAGCCGCGCTCACTACTTGCTGGCTGGATCTGGTGTAGCCCCAGGAAGATCATTTCGAGGCTTCATGTCAGGTGAGGACGAGGCTGCCCCAGAGGCTTCCACCGTCATGCCAGACCATGGTTTTGAAACTGAAAGCTACATCCGCAACCTACAAGCGAAAGGTCGTGACGCCGTTATGCGCGAGAATATGGAGAGAGTCTACAAGGAGGTTGACTCGTATATCGAGCAGACCCTTGGTGTGGATTTTGAAGAGCAGAAGGTTCGCATCATGAAACACTTCGGTCTCATCTCGGAGGATGAAGAGGTTGGCGGTAGTGCTCAGACGTCGAGCTTTGGCAAGACCACCACTCGGGGGCCAGGTCTCACCGGCACGGCACAGCCTGCCAGGAGTGTTTTTGGTCGATCTGGATTAAACAAATCCATCATCGGCACTGCTGGCTCCATCAATGGAACCTCCTCTTTCTTCAAGGGCAGTACTTCACCAACCAAAGGCGGCACCTTGCTTAGAGGCCAGACGGCTCGAGACCTACGAGACAAGGAGAGGCTGTTCGTGGAGCAAGTCGAGGAGTTCAACAATGCGAGGTTAAATCGTCCTGATCGCGCTTCTTATCCGATAATGGAGAAGTTTGGACAGGTGGAAGCCAGCGCTGGTGGTGACAGCCCTCCCCAGCTCGTTGATGCCTACAAGGCACTTCGCGAGATTACCCGCGAGGGCAGCACCTCTTCAAACGTATCTGAACGCCACTATGCCCCTAGATATGTGCACAACTCTACACCGGGCGTGCCCGAAGAGCTACGCACACAAATCCTTGATGGCTCACGGACTCATTTGGAGAAAGCCTTCTTTCGCGAGCTTGAGAGCGTCATTGAGAAGAGTCCTCGTGAAGCCCAGCTTGGTGGCCAACCTACGATTACCAACAAAATCAGAGCCTATATACGAGTCCGTGCCTCGCGTCGCGACCTGGCTCCTGACGGTGCAGAGCTGCAGCAAATTGGGGACACTGGGGAGTATTGTTGGATCCTCATCTTCTACCTACTCCGGACCGGCTTTGCTAAGGAAGCTGCGCAATACGTCCAAGATGATGCCGCTTTCCAGTCCACAGACAAGCGCTTTGTCTCGTACATGACCCACTATGCCAACTCACCTGATCGGAGACTACCCAAGAACTTACAAGGCATGATCGATGGAGAGTATCAACAGCGTGCCAAGCTTGCGCCTAAGGGCTCGGTCGATCCCTATCGCATGGCCTGCTACAAGCTTGTCGGCCGCTGTGATACGGAGTCCAGGAACCTTGATGGTATTGGACAAGGAGTCGAAGATTGGCTATGGTTACAATTTGCTCTGGCACGAGACCCACCTCGCGATGAAGAATCTGGACAACCGTTTGGTCTCGAGCAAATTCAAGAGACTGTCAGCGAGATCGGCGAGAAGCACTTCCAGAGAGGTCAAGCGGATGCATCCACTGCATACGGAACGTACTTCCTCATGCAAGTACTCTCCGGCATGTTCGAGCAGGCTGTCGACTATTTGCACACCTTCAACCCTGTCAGTGCCGTCCACTTCGCAATTGCGCTTAGTTACTATGGGCTGCTACGGACCGTGGCTGACTTCAGTGCAGCCGGCAACGAATTATGTGAGTTTCAATCCATCTTCATTCTACGTCCTTGCTAACTTCGACAGTGTACAAATCGACGACGGATCAAAGCCAGATCAATTTCGTGCCCCTGATCGCCTACTACACTGCAACTTTCCGCATTGCGTTACCGGTTGCAGCTGTCGATTATCTATGTCTCATCTGTCTCAACTCCGACCTTACTCCTGCTGCACAAGGCCAGAACCAGACTCGTGCTTGCCACGAATGTCTGCGCGAGCTTTGTCTAGAGACGCGAGAATTCGCCCGTCTCCTGGGTGACATTCGAAGTGATGGCGCTCGTTTGCCAGGTGCTATCGAGCAGCGTGCTCCTCTCATCAAGATTGAGACGCGCGACGAGTTTCTGCGCTCCATCACAACCCAGTCCGCGGCCATTGCGGACCAGCGCGGACAGATTGCCGATGCTGTACTGCTGTATCATCTTTGTGAAGAATACGACAATGTGGTCAGCGTTCTCAATCGGGCCCTGGCTGATGCTGTGACACTCGATCTCGGCGAAACACCTATGCAGCTCCAGCCGCTCAAGCCTCGACGTGAGCAAAGAACACCGTCACTTGACAGTCCCCAGGGTCCCGTCTCGTCTCTCTCGCTTACACAGTCTACCACATCTCCGGTCGAGCTTGCCAAGAATATGGCCGCCTTGTACAACCGAGACGAGTCATACTTTGGAAAGATCTCGAGCGCCAATCGGGAGGTCTGCGGAGGCCTCTTGAGACTGGCTGCTATCCGTGGTCACCTGGAATCGGAGCCGCCCAAATACATGCCGGCTCTTCAGGAGCTTAACGAACTCGGTGTCTTGCCTCTTGAAGCCAAGGGATCGATACCAACTATCCGGGCGGCTGCCTCGGCTTTTGGTTCTATGCCTCCCCTCTTGGCTAGGTGCATTGGGATTGCGATTGTGTGGGCGGTCAAAGCGATTGGTGGGGAGCGAGAGCGCATTGTTCGGCAAGGAAGCTGGGATGCGGGTTATGGTAATGATGGCGACGGCGTTAAAGAGCAATTAGGGAGCATGGCCAAGGATCTCATGGTCTTTGCCGGTTTGGTGAAGTACAAGCTTCCAGCAAGAGTGTACGACATGTTGACGAGGGCGGGTGGCGATGTTGGTGGATACTGATCCAATCGAGGGTCATCGCTCTTCTGTGTTGGAAGTCGAAGCTCGAGGCACGAGACATTTAAGAGAGAGCCTGCAAAAACTGGTGTTCTTCTTCGCATTACGCCCTTCTCATCTGCGACAGCATATCGAACTAATCTTGACCTCAACGACCACCTACTGAGCAGTCCTCCAACAGCGTAGCCCAGTTCAGCCAGTCGTTCTCTTCACCGGCTACACCGGTCACAATTCGTGCTAATCTCAACTGGAGTTTCCCACCAGCCAAGGATGAAACCTCCCAGCAGTGGACTGGGCCCCGTGGACTGACGGCACCCAAGCAAAACAGTTGCTTTCGACACTTGTCATTGGAGCGAGCCAGCTGGAATACTACATGATCAGGGGTCTCCGACGTTGTCTTTGGCTAGAGTGAGCAATGAATGATGACAGAGCTAGAAGGTGGTCCGGGGAGCAAGTTCAGCGTGCGCTTGCCATCGAGAGTTTTTGAGTACATCCCTCGTCTCCTGTCTCAGTTGCTGTTCACCTCAATTCAGACGTACCCTTCGAGCCCTCTGACGGCTACGTCCCCGTCTCATCTCGCTGGCGCCTCTCTTCCCCGTTCAACCCGCGGCAGACAATGCTGTTGACCTCTCCCTGGCCTCATTAGAGCGCTCAATGCACTCAGCCTGCTCATTGCTTCCCGCACGGGCCTTCAAACCAGGCTCACCTCACCTAGTTCGTCGCTTGTGGTCCATTTCGCTGCAATCTAGCATCTCTTACTTCCTCGTCACTTCACTTGAGCGCTCAGTTCGCCGATACGAAGCATGTGATTGCAGGCCAGTCGCTGACGTTGCCTCCACGGTATCGAGGCTCCCAACTATATAATCCTGGCCTCCTCCACGTGCATCAACTCTGCCTCTCTTATTCCGAACCCTACTTTCCCCGTCCACCTATCCGACAGCCTACAAATTCCCATCTCTCTACGTATCTCCCTCAACAGTCACAGTTGTCTTCAGCCACAGCCATGGCTTCTCAGACAGACTTCGAATCTGATTTTGAGTTGCTCATCAGACCTCGGCGACCCGCCAAAGACATTCATGACATCCATGTCTTCCAAGGACTTCAAAATCGTCAGCAACATCAGTGGTGTTGACCTCCGAATGGTCTCACTTGCAGACGTGAAAACCAACGCCACTGAGCCTGGGGAGGACGACAACGCTCAGAGTACCGATGCAGAGGACGATGCCATATTCAGCTTTGGAGATGGTCCAGCTCTTCCAGTCTTTGGGCCCGAGAACATGCCTCAGAAGTTCCACAACCGTCACACTCACAGAATCACCCCCATCGAGCTCTGGTTGTATGGTGGCGCAATGTCCAACATCAACTCCATCATTGTCAAGCCTGACTCTTTCGACAAGTCATTTTCGATCAGAAACGGTCATGGCAGTGCAGCATCGGTCGATGGATCTTGCGTCACAAAGCTCGTAAAGCCTCTCTGCGCCGATTACGAGGGCAAGATGACTGTCAAGGCATGAAGAGGCCACACCTTCGGCAGGAACCGCGAGGGTCAATGTTTCGCTCAACTATTGTGTTTTGACGATGACTTACATCTGTGAGTGCTCTTCTGTTTGGAATGAACTTAACTGATTGTCATTCTAGTGATGCCACGAACAGATTCGATGTTTTCCTCGACAAGGACTACAGTGCGCACAGTCTAATTCTTGAGATCTGCAAGCGCAACTTCCCTAGTGATCTACCTGAGTGGGCAACCGGTGATCGTGTTGAGGTCGCTCGTGGAGTTGGGCAAGATTGGTACGCACTTCCTTTGCCCATGCCAAGTGGTGAGCAGCGTGTCAAGCCACTCGTCGACAAGACTGTGATGGAGCTGGCCACGTCCAGCATCGGCCTCAAAGGCATCTTTCGTCTCAAGATTCTGTCGCACCACCGTGAGCCGCTGGACTGGGATCCGGTCATGACTGACACGGGCGTGCGACCTGATGATCAAGACCGTGGCAAAAAGCGCAAGACAGCTCAAGGCACCAACATCAATCCATCCGCCAAGCGTCCAGCTGCTGGGTCCAGTTCCGTGGTACTCCCGGGAGGACATCTCGTAGTCGTATAAGACGGATGGGCTACAGGGACAGCACGACGTACTCGACCAGGATGCTAGACCTGGAAAGCTCTTGTCCTTAGCCTCACAATTCTATAGGCAAGGCACCACTTCGCTCTATTTCACGACACCAATACACACCACGAAGCAACGAAGCAAGGATGAGACGACTCGAATCAAATCCGAGGTCATGAAATACTTGAAATTAATGAAAAGATGACGAGCACACACATACAGCACACGAATCCAGTACCCCCCAGAACTAGTACAAACGCCACGCTTCGGACCACGAAGATCCAAGGTCGAGCATTCGATAATCGGCAAAAGAACCCATCGGATCATATTCCAGCACATAAACACCCCATGAAATCGAAGTGCCCAGACTGCAGCATACAAAGCATATTTGACAGAAGTCAGGTCAATGCAGTCCAGAAACGCCAAACACCTCTTTGGACACACGGGAGAGGTCGCTGCCAAAGTCGGAATTTCACAAACGTTTTGCCCAAGCATAAGCAGAGGAGGTATGATGAGCTCTTCCACTCGTACTCGAGCTTCGGCCGCACATACGCACAGAGAGCGAGGCACGCACATGCGCCGCATACATAGATAAATGGAAAATGGAAAATGGAAAATGGAAAATGGAAAATGGAAAATGGAAAATGCAGAAGCAAAAGTGCGACCAATTTTGAAGACATGTTCTCAGTGCTTATTACTGTTGAGTAGATTCGCCATGTGGTGATATCTACGGATCAAACGTAAGTGTATGGAAGGCAGGCCAGGGGGGGTTCGAACCGTATCAGATGCTAGCTTGGATGGCCCAGGGGGGTGAAGGGGCAGGAAGGAGCGACACGTTGAGGCCAGAATAACTTTCACTCACGGAGCAGGACCCCCATGCACTCAATTCACGTACACGTATATACGAGATGAGACGAACCTGACGGTCAACGGTCAACGGTCAACGGACAAGGTCGATCGTTGCTCTACGTGCCCAGCAGCAACAAGAAAGCACACAAAATAACGACAGGCCATCTATGCATCGCGAGCAGAACCTCACTGCAACTGAAGATCCATCTCTATTGTGCACATAGACGAGATATATACGTACATATACATCGCGACGCTGAGCCTTCACAAGATAATCAGATTATCAACCTTGACGCCCCCAACCCTCACCTCCCACCTCCTCCTGACCCCCACTCCCCTTGCGGACTTGAGGCGCTGGTACACCTCCTCGCCCCCACCCACCATGACCAGCGGGATCCCCTCCCTGCGATCCACGCCCGTGCTGCTGACCTGCCGCGCCTCCAACAGCGGGCGGATCAACACATCCTCCTCATCACCTGCGCCGCCTGATTCGGCGTCGTTGCCGTAACTGACCACGACGACGAGCTGCAGCGACGACGGCGAGGGCGCAAAGAGCGGGATATTGGCGAGTTTCTGCGCAAAGGCGCAGCCGCCGCGCTTGACGAGCAGGATTTGGTGTTCGCGGGGCGCGGAGAGGGGGAGTTTGTGCGTGCAGAGGTCGCCGGCCGTGAGGATGCGGGTCCAGGGGAGCTGTTGCGGTGCGAGGTCGGCTTTGGGGTCCAGTGTGGCGGGGACGTCGGGCCAGGCGGGAATGGGTGCGGCGCCCAGACCGGTGGCGGTGATGGCGGGGATGACTTTGCGGCCGGAATTGGAGGAAAAGGTGAGGGCGGCGGCGGCGTCGTTGGCTGAGGAGGGGATGGGAAAGGGGAAGGAGCTCGAGTCCATGATGCTGGAGAGCTTGTTGACGAGAGCGCCCCAGGCGGACTTGACGGCTGAGTCAGAGATGTCGCCGACTAGGTCGGAGAGGTCGATGGATAAGGGGTCGGAGGATGTTGTGTTCTTGACTGGTGCGGTGTTGACGTCAACGACGAGGTCAAGCATGACTGTGTCGCGGATGCGGGTGAAGTTAGGATCTGATGGGCTGAGTACGCCCTGTCCTGTTTCGCGCGAAAGGTATACCTTCTCGTCCTTGCCGAGGGCTAAGTTGTTGATGGCCTGAATGCGGAAGGCTTCACCCTCCTCTTGCTCATCAAAAGAAGGAACATCTTGAATCATGCCCAACTTGAGGCCGCCAATATGGTTAATGAGTATGCCTTCTTTCAGCCGCTGCAGTGGCGGCGATGGCTGTAGTCCTTGGTTCGCCAACTGCGGGAATGATATGTCAAACGTTGGCTTAGTCGGCAGTAGGGCTGTAGTCGCATTGTATGGAACTAGTGAGGGCGGAAGCGTCCAAGGAAAGTACGTATAGTTAGAAGGTGAGCTCAGATCTGCCAGATTGATGGCTGGATGGTCTGTTGCGTACTCTCCAAGCACGGACTCGATGTTATCCCTGGTAGGCATCATGTGTAATCGAGCAAGGTATGCGGCGTTGTAGACGTCTCCTCTCGCGGCCGTTGCTGAAATGCTGAAAGGAAGTGGTTTTTGCTTGATAGGACACTGACCAGGCTCAGTCAAGGGTCTTGAGTAAAGCTCCCCTTGCTCGCTTCCGCCTCCGACGTGACGTGGAATAAGAAGGGGATGACCTTCAGTACTAAAGACCATGGGTTCATCCAGGTGATTCAAGGGATGGTCAGGATCGAAGGTCAGAAACAGATATTTGGCCGTTTCTCCAAGGAAGAAGCTCTCCATGCGATCGGTCTGTTCGCCCGTGAGAACATTCTGAATGCTCGCCCAGCCGCAGCGAGCCCAGCATCGGCGTTTAATGTCGCGCAATGTCATCTCTGCGACATACAGATACCAGGGGTCTTCGGTTGCTCGATAGATATGATAGTTCGACTCGATGAATTCGGGCCGTCCGACCCACCAGCTCAGGCCACCTTCGATGCCGCCAGTCATCAGATTCCATCTCTCAGGAAGAGCTGAGAAGCGTGTCCAGAGGGCGGTTTGGAGCAGGTGGGTCTCAATGGCCTCCTCAATCTGGCCCGCTAAAGCAAGTACGCCAGGATAGAAAGCGCTGAGGGCGTCGATCCAAAAGCCTCTGGCGGCGCCCGTGTGGAGGTCGACCTGAATATAGTGCGGATGTTGATAATTCGATCCGCGATAAATGTGCCTCTTCACAGCAGCTTGAGCATCAGACCATGCTTCGTAGAAGCTCGCCGGACTATCCTCCTCAGGTAATAGCGTTCCGAAGAGTATTCGAGGATCCTTTACATATTCAACATCTTTGTATACCGGATGTGAGTCTCTGGACAAGAGGACAAACGATTTGAAAGCATACTCGAAGAAACTGTCAATGCCGGCTCCAATACCGGTCCAGGGACTAACCCAGTTTCCAGTCTCTGCATCGATGCCAGCGCCAATCAAACCAATTGCGCTTCTTCGATTCCAGATGGCCCAGAAGGCGCGCTTCGCCAGCTCTTCAAACCTTGGGTCGCCTGTCAACCTGCTTAGCACGGTGAATTCAACGACCAGACTACCCGCTCCAGCACTGCAAGTCTCGGTAATCTCTCCGGAGCTCTGCTGTGTGAGTTCGCACTGGCCGTCTGCTGGATCGAAGTTGAGTGGCGATTTGGCATAGAAAGGAATGCCTGATCTTAGGTTGACTCTGGGGTACGGAATGCCCGTCTGTGTCCAGAATGCAGGAAGCAGTCGTTGGCCCAAGTCGTGAGCGAGGCGAAGGAGTTGACCGTCGTACTCTAAGCCATTCTTCCATTTTATGCCTGACCCGGGCTTAGACGAAGTAGATTGCCAGGCCCTGGCATATTGGGCCTCTTCAGGTGGCGGAGAGTAGCCACGGATCGGGAGATCGCCCACGGCGAACAGATGTGCACTCAACAAGCCACCAAGGCCTCGTATGGCAGTCTCAAATACCTGAACCTTACTGTCGAGGTCGAAGCCCTTTGCCCGCAAGCCTGTTCCCCTGCGCCCGTCTGTACCATCACCATACTGTTCCACCAGCCGCTGTACCCCGTCCTGGAACAGCAGCAGTGGCTTATTGCGCTTTGAGCTAGAGGGGGAGGAGGCAAGGACGGCAAGCGTGGAGAGGCTGTCGATCAATGTGAGCGAGTAATTGCCCAAGGCATCGTTGATCTCGAAGTGACCCGGGTTCTCTCTATCGCGGGTCAGGGGCTTGCACGTTAGCGGGCGCAATTCGTCCTCTGGGAAGGCATGGTTCATGTAGTTCTCGTAGCCATGGTAAAAAAGGTCTTCGGTCTCCTTCCTGAGAGTTTGTCAGCACGTGCCAGAGCAGAACGGGATGACAGAGAGGAAGGTGTACCGTAGCGCAAAGAGCTCTCCTGGCGAGATGGCTTCAACAGTAGCGATAAAGATATATAGGACGATGACGAAAGCCCATGTGAGCCGGCTGCCGGCGCTCAAGGACCTTGGTGGCCATGGGTAAGCGTCTGGCGTCGTGCGCATGGCCGTAATGACCATGGCCCAGGAGGTTTGGGCGTGTGCGGCATTTCACTCGCTACAGACACATCCGACGCCGGGTAGGAGATAGACCTAGAATAAACCGTAGCCTCGACTTCGAGACGAAGGGGCCTTCACCCAAGGGAGGGACGGTATACGCAGAAAACGGTGGCCATTTGCACCCTGAATAATGCCAAGGCCAATTAGGATGCGGTTAGCGTCTCTCGTCTCTGGCTCTGGGTTCATCAGCTTCTACAATTGCTAGCATGTAGTATTCAAGGCCCATCACTACAGCCACTGTTATTGTTCACTGGAACAGAGTGGGGTGGAACATTCCTGAGTTCCAAAATACTATCTATGCATGCATACAGAAGGGTATCTTCACGTCAAACCAAGCGCAAGGCGCCGAGGCTGTCTCTCCTCCCGGCTCCTGACCCGTCGCAATGGACTGAGCCTCATATGATGTTCGCAATGGTCATGCGAGATTTATTAGTTGTGTCACTCGACTGACTTTGGCTGGAAGGCGAGATGGGCGCCAATACCGGTCCGGAAGCAATAGGTGGTGCTGAGATGGGCAAGCTAGTTGACGGGAGTGACTGCTGTTCTTCCATTCCCGGCATTCGTGGTAGTATCGACGGAGGTGGACGGTCGCCATGGTGAGCTATAGGCTGACTGTGCATGCGCTTCTCTTGTAGCGATTGCAGATATCTCGCCCCGCGATCGATCGTCTGCCAGCCACCCCAGTCCTGCTGCTCCTCTGCTGAGAGCTCGCTATCCCATATTGGCGACTGTGACTGCGATTGTGTCTGTGTGGGTGACAAGGCATCGTGATCCTGTGACATTTGCTTGGGTCTCCCGTGCTTCTGCCGGCGGCTTAGGTGTGTTCCAGTCTCAGCGTTGCCCCAAACCCAGCTGTTGGTGCCGGACTGCAGGTCGCCCGACAGATAGACCACCATCTCCTCATCCTGCTCCAGATCGATTGCCGCAGGCGACTCCATTTTCTCCACCAGCTTACGCAAGCAAAACGATAAATGTCTGCCACAAGATACGTTGATGGATTTTGTCGTCCCAATAATGCTTGCCGCCCTCGCAAGGATGAGGAAAGCATCGTCCAACGGTCGAAACAGCAGAAAGAGCATTGCTCTCCAAAGATGCGTGCAGGCCATTGTGGTTGCGCAAAGCATGAAATGCTGCTCCGCTTCTGGCTGCGGTGTCCGTCCATCCGGGGCTATGCAGCGGGAAACTACCTTCGCAGTATCGCGTGCAGCTGCCACACAATGTTCCATGGCCTGCGATCTCTGCTCAGGGGAGCAGGAAGGCGACAGATTATGGCGGTGGAGCATGAACCGTGTATTTTGAAAGTAGATGAGCGGCATCACATTCCTCGGATCGATAGCCGTGGATGATGCCAGTTGTAGAGCTTGAGGGTACAGACCTAAGCAAGTACCCAGATGAGCCTCGAATTTCATCAACGTATCGTTTGTGATGCAAAGAGATCGGAAGAGTCGAGATATAGGGGCCATTAGACGGGTAATATGTATCGTCGCCAGCAAAAGTGTTGAAGGTGGTGGGTTCGACCATGGGTTCGCAGGATCAACTTGTGCCCTCTCCTCTTCTAGCAGTTCGGGATATTCGGTATCGCACTCGTCGTCGTTGATAATCATGGGCTTACCGAGCTCCATGGCCAGAAGCCTGTGATTGTCAGCTTGTGCTCTGCATGCAACCACAGATAGACAGGGACGCATACCGATCCCAAACGTAAAAGGAATACCAGATACGTTTTCGCATTTCGCCCTCTACCGGAGACCATTGCCCGCCTTGAACATGCAGACCCAGATCCTGCGCCATCCGAATGGCAGAGCCCGCCCAAATCCAGCTTGCAGTTTTGCGATTGACCTCAGCCAAAAAGAGGCTGGCGAGAAATGCGACGATGGCCTGGTTGGTCGAAACATCATCTTCCCAGAAGTTGATCGTGGACACAGCTCTTGTCAGATGTTCCTGAGCTTCCTTAAGAGATTGGGTGTCTCGAGTTGACAGCGCACCACAAGCAAACACCACGAACATGACCGCGATGAGCTCGGGCGGTAAGGCCTGAACACCACCACCCTCGTACAGTTCGAGATAGTGTTGTCTGAAGGTCTGCCAGTGTAATACAGGATAGTGGCGGTGGATGCACTCGAAGTAAAACTGCATGTAGCGATCGGCTGTCGCACGAGGAGGCAGATGCGGCGTATCAATGCTCTGGTGTGACTGGCGATTGCTCAAGGGCTGAGCATTGGTCACTGGCGGCTTGAGCACGCCGCGACCGACATCGACTAGGTTCGCTCGCGCCTGGGAGAGGTCTTGAGGTGCGCGAGCCTTCAGCATTCGCCGGGGTGATCGACCTATCAGCGGAACCTCGACCAGTGGCTGTGTCGCGTCCGAAACGTAGTCATCAAAGGGGTCGATCTTTGCTTCTCTTGCGCGTACTCTTTCGAGTTGCTGTCGGGCTTCAATGAGCTGACGCTCAAGATCCTGCACCTGTCTGCGGAGAATTAGCATCAGCTGCTGTACTAGGAGCGGACAACACTCACTTGATAGAGGACATGCGCCGGTTCGTGTCCTTGGTAAACTGACATCTCACATTTCGGCTCGAACATTCGGTGCAGCTTGATGTTTCTGTAGCATCGCACTGACAAAGTTAGTACCACGTAACCATCTGGCCGAACATGAACAGACCTTGACCTTCCTCTCCCTGCACGCATCGCAACTAGGGTCCTTTCTTCGTTGGCGATATGCACGCTTGGGGTTCTGCATCATCATATGCGCGGACATTTGGCCAGGAGAAGGCGTGCTACTTCCAGTCGGGCCTGCTCTAAGTGACTCCCCAAGGATAGCATGACTCTCGAGCGGTGAGACTGAGCCAATATCCCGTGAGTAATAGCCAGACATAGTTGGTGGGTCTCCCGACACTATTCTTGGTGGTGACGGTCTTCGATACAATGGAGGTGTCTCGCTGTAAGATGTCGCCAAGTGCGGCAAGTAGCTGGCACCAGATGCTGAAGGTTCGCCGGGACCATAGTGCTGGGGTGGTCGCAAGCCTTGCATTTCCCGTTGCCTCTCCTCCGTCCAAATCCTATCCAGCAAGTTTCAGCCAGGCAGAGCTCTTCCCATGCCGGCTCCGTCGCCTTTTCACAACAACGTGGGTGGCGAATTGTATGCGGTATACGAGGGATGAAGGAAGGAATCAAGTCAGGGTGTAGGTACAGAGGGCTCGGAAAAGAACATGTAAAAAAATGTGAGGCTAGACCTCGGAAGGATGTGATGAATGAGATACGGATGGTGACAAGGGGTTGAGGAGGCGATGATTCGTCGGGGGCCAGTCCACCACAATAGCAGGACGGTCAATGTGAGGTACATGTCAAGCACTGGAAGAGGCAACAGCATAAGAATATGGCAATCGGGGAAAGCCCCATAAGCTAGCCTCTGGGGTGGAATGTTCCGTGAGCGGTTGATGAACAAACGCTAGGGTCTGATGATCGGCAACTCGTGTCAAGAGAAATTTTACTTGTCGAGATGATGAAACGAAGCCAGTGCGGATCGAGGCGAACTGGGGTGGTGCTGGTGATGGACATACCGCGTAGACTCGTGGGTCGCTTGTCGGAATAAGGTTGTGTTAGTCGGCGGGCAGGACGCAGACGACCTCAACTGCCGACCACAGCCGGGCTGACGAGCACAGGGCGAGACGACTCAGGCGAAAAGAGGTAGATGAAACTCTGGAGGGGCACTTGACCTGAGAAGAGTCAGAGGTCCGAAATGGGCCGGCTGATCTCGAGCCACTCGAGGCAGTCTGGGATGATTTCTGACCTGTCTTGGGCGGTGCCGGTCCGCCAACCGAGGTGAAAGCAGTTAGTTTGGTGCTAAGATGAAGCCGAATCAGGCATGGGGGGAGCTGGGATAAGCGTGGGAGCGGTGTACCAAAGCATGGTGGCAAGCAGCTAGCCGGTCGGCAGCTAAGAGCTTCGAGAGGATACTGTTCGTGCTTCGAGAAGCCAGGTAAGAGGTCGCATTTAGATTCGTCTGGACCGCGGGTGATTTAGGCTAGGGATACCGACAATGCTTGACGCGGCGTTGGATGGGGCGTTGGGCACCTGAAACGTGGGGACTCTGGGTTTCTGGGTTTCTGGGTCTCTGCACGGAAGTACCACAACAGCGGTGAGAGGCGTCAAAGACCCTGGATGTTGGGTCGACCACGCAAGCCTGGGAGGCGCTTGTTGTTGGCCTCCTGGTCGGTGTGCCGTCAGACGAACAGCTTTAGGAAGCCATCCATCGAGGATCCGCACCGGATGACTGAGATGAGGCCGACGGTGGGTATAGAGGAGAGGGCTGTGCAAATGGCATGGACCCACGCGCGCGGGTTTCATCATCTCTGGGACTCCGCACTGGGTCGCTTCTTTGGTGGCTTCGCTCGCGCGACTGCGTGTTGGAGCTTGGCAAGCGATTCCGCCGCGGGTCTACTGCACATCTTCCATTGTTGTGGATATGCTACCACCAACGTGGGGTCTAACAGGCTTTGAGTCTCAGAGTCTCAAGCGTCTGTACATGATAGCGTACGAACTGCGCCGGCTCCACCTCAACCCGCGGCAGCGTGAGACGTGCAAGAACTGCTCGCAACAACGATGATGGCCCCTTCAGCCCTTCGAGGAGGGCGGCAAGGGGCAGATTATTCTAGCGCGCGTCACGTTGTGGCCTAGCTCTCCTAGGGTGCAGATCTGCGCAAAAATTGGGAGGGCTCCAGCGGTCCGGGATTCTTCAGGAAGTCTGAAGGTCGAACGGAAGCAGGAATTGGTACTCGCGAGACCAGGCAAGCTTTTTCCTGGGCGTGCTCGAGGAACATGGTGTGACAGATGGAGAGAGAGCTAGTCGCAAGGCTCATCCGAGGTTGAGAGTAGTCTGAAGCTTGACTGCCCTGCATCCACCCATGAGTTTGCATATCGATGCCTCACTCGAACCAGTAGTAGCTGCCTCAATGCCGCACACATATTGTTGAGCCCTGGCTCGCCCTGTAGAAGTCAGCGCCTGGCCCTTCTGCAATGATCGTCCACTCGCTGTTCCGATCGGAGCTCTGCGAGGGACGAGTCCGCGGAGATGAGTTCTTGTACCTGATTTCGTTGTGACTGGCTGCAAGTGCAATCTTATCAATCTGTGGCTCTGCCTCGTACCATGGATCGAGATGGTCGTCGTCCGTGGCAAGGTTTCGTGGCCGAAACCCGTTCCATGCGAATTTGGTTCCGAGCTATGCGGCAAATCAATTCGAAATTCGTTGGCTGGAAACAAATGCCAGGAGCCGGTGTCAACAGCCGAATTCTTTTCAAGTCTGTCGATCAGTCTGATGCTTGTTTCTGTCGAAGTCCTGAGAAGGAAAGCCGACCAAGGTGGCGACTTGCAGTTGCGTACACCGGGGCGCAGGCTACTCCGTACTCCTCTGACCATGCAGGTACCACCCACCAGTAGGCTGCAGCAGGTACCTGCACCCCAACACACAGACACCCCGGCATTGTTCCAGGCATTGTCCCAGGCGCTGTCCGACTTGCCAAGAGCCACCCGACAACCTTTTGGCGACTCGAGGTACAATTGTGTCAAACTTGCTCTAAGCATAGATAACTCGGAACCGTTTCGGAAACTCGGCCACGAGCTCTATGCTTTGGCTTCGCGGCTACTACCACCGAGGATATGACCGAATCTTAAGATGCCCAGTCATCCAGACCGTTGTCAGCGCGCCGATCTCCATTGCTGCGGAACCGTACCTTCTCCCTAACTTGACCAGCAACCTCTGACTCGGATCTCCTGCATAGATCAGCGGAAACCAGGATCAGTTTTCACCTCCCACTGGCATGATCTGCACCGCATCCCCAAACCCCCTCTTTATTTCGACCGGGGCACAGGCGAACCTACCGTCGGTATGCCGCCGTCGAGATCCGATGCACCTGGCTGATCTGTTCCATTTCTGGAACCAGGCAATAATCGATTCGATCCTCCGGCTATGTACTACTACCTGTGCCTCGTTGCTTAGAATACCGAGTACTTACACGATATTTCTAAGAGGACCGGCAAAAGGTGCCATTAGCTCCAGAGATCATGCAAAGACTCCTGCAGGTACTTGCTGGCTTTGCCATCGTCTCAGCTACATTGCAATATCCCAAAGCACTGGCGCTAGCAGCTCGCCACCGACGCCAGCAGGGTGAGAGTGGCTAGCCTCGCCAGCTCTAGACTTGTTCAAAGCCAGCACAGACACTCTACAGTAGACTTTCGGTGCCCAACAGCCATCACTATCGGCATTCCAGTCTCCGGCATAGCATAACGGCTCTACTTCACTAGTGGCATAACTCCCATCCCACCGAGGCACGACTGCAAAGTTCCGGACCGACCAGTACAACGCGGGGAACTCTCTCACTGTCCTGGGCGCATATGCGGAGAGCCGCGTGCTGAATTGTGCTGGCTTGTGTCCCCGGGTTGACACGTATGGATTCAGGACCCCTAGCGCACGCTTGACTGCCAGAGTGATCTATATCTAACGATGAACAGCAAGGGGCCCAAACGCAGCCCGCCTTTTAATTACCGTCGAGATATGCGGCCGCAGAATGCCTTCCACAAAAGCCCAGAGTAGGCCCAAGAAGGTCTGCATGAGTCAATGCTGCAAATCGAGGTTTCCTTGTTTCAAGACGTCGATGCTGAATAACCTCGAAGAAATTTCTTCAAGGCTTTCCGATCTAGTCAGCAATGCCACCGTCTCATCAATCCTGCACACCGTTCACGCTCGTGCTGCATGTCCTAACAACCCGTGAACACCTAAAGCAAAGAATGGCGCGCGAATATTTACAGACTCTTTCCAAGCTACCGAGCCCTGTCCTGCCAGTTCTTCCGGTCAGAATTAGCTATACTACCCAGCTCCGTAGCAAATCACCTCCAAAAAAGACACAACGCCGGCGTCACTGGCTCCTACCCACTACAGTATCTACATTCGGCTCGCGCATCTTGGAAATCCAGATGCCTCAAACACCGTGGAACTCAGCCGTGGCAAAGAGATTGGCGATGTTTCGTCAGTGAGGAGTGTCCCCAATGCCTGGGTTTATCGCCGCGTGCTCAATGTTGTACACATTTACACCTACGGCCACGAAAACAAGTGCGTCAATGAGGTCCATCTTGAATGCCGTTGCTGAAGTCGATGCGAATTTACCGGCTTGTTCGTGAATTCTCGTCAAATTTCGACGACGAGCCATATGTCCCCCCGGGTGCGTCTCAGACGTCAATCACGAAAACATGCACTTGTAAGTCCAGAACAAGCAGGATTGAAGAAGCTCCCTTCAATCCTTCGATTGTGTTCAAAAAGACGGACTCCTTATGTAAGCCATCAGCTAAACTCCAGGTCTTGTCATGCATGATGCGTAATAACGCCATTCCATCCGCCATACTCCGCGCTTGCAGAACCGAAATGCATCAAAAAATGGCCTTGCCAAAATCCTCACGATAACAATGATCCTCCGAATACTTTTGATTTGGCCTCAGAGAATATTCGTAGCATCATTTGCTCACACGACACAGTGGAAATGCTTCAAAAAGGGGATCGGCCATCCCGAGGCCACCGCGAAAGCCCCTTTTCCCGACCATCACACTGCAGGGCTTCTGGTGCTGATGCAAGCAACGCAAGGCAACCTCACGCTCATGCTTCAAGCTCATGCTGACCTGACCCTTTTACAACAATTCCCCACAAAACAGCCTCGACCATGGGGTAAATGATAGAAGAAGTTAGAACAAGATTCGGCGAGGGGCCCAAGTCTGACATCCGTCATCCGTCAATGTAATCAAAGTCATCAAGTCATCAAGATCCGGACTATGCCGGACGCACAGCCACGCACAGATACGCACGCGTGCATTCGCACGACAGCCGCAATTAGCCAGAGCCTGTGGAAGAAATACACGAATCAAGCTTTTTCTCCCTCACTCCTCAAAACTCAACCACCAAAGAAAGTCGTCCACAGAATCCTCTCCACGACCACGACGTACAGGCACGTCACGACAAGGACATCCGTGGGCAAGGCACAACCACCGCCCATTACATCGCTGGCCTCCTTTTCCGGTGGTCGTCGGAAGACATACAAGTTCCCCAAGATCCTGCGGTCGCGGCACTGTTTCCACGCCGCGAGTAGCGTGCCGTCTGGGGCGAGGAGTTTGAGGTTGCCGTGGCAGTTGGGCGTCGCTGCTGCGGAGGCCGGGAGGTGCGAGAGCACGCTGTGCGAGCCTTTCCAGGTGTAGACCTTGGTTGGTGATTGGAGGGAGTTGGAGGTGGATGTGGCGGAGTCGGGGGCTTTTGCTGGAGCTGAGGTTGGCGTAGTTGTAGTCGTAGTGGTAGTCGACGTAGATGCATATGCAGATGAAGCGGCACCACCACCGCCACCACCATAGCTACTGCTGTTGCTGCTGCTGCTGCTGCTGACGGGAAAGAAATCCCACTGCCGTCTCCACCCCTTCTGCCGCACCTCCCACTCCTCATGCGCACCTCCCTCCTTGTACGCAGACCGCGCCCCAACAAAGCCCATCTGAATCCTCGCGCGATTCCGCGGCGGCAGATTCATCAACGGCCTCTCGATTTTCGCCACCGCCGCCTCGATCTCGACCTCGCACATGCCCTTGGCATGTGCCTCAGTTTCATCAACATCGACATCGACATTGCCGGCCGACAGCACCAAAAACTTGGGCGGCAGCGTGGCCATGCACTCCCACCACTTCAAGCTCGTAGTTCGATAGACGAGACCCAGGTCCCTCGGGAGGTCGTGCGCGTCGTCAAACAGCCTCACCTCGAGCCCGAGACTCTGCGGGAGAAGAAGGCCGAGGGGCGTCGATTTCGAGACTTGGAAGCGACGGACGTGGTCGTCGTGGTATGGCATGGCAGTGGCGGCTGTAGCAGGCCACCAGCGCCGGAGTTGGAGGTAGAGCTGGAGCTCGAGACGCTGCCCTGGCTGGTGGCGCGTTGGCGTTCGAGCTCCGCGGCCCGCTTGCGAGAGTCCTCGACCAGCCGCGGCCGGGCGTGCGGGATCCAGTCGCAGGCGGCGCGGAGGCCCGAGACGTGCTCGAGGATGGCGGCTTCGCGGCCGGCTTGTGGGGTGGCTGGGTGGCAGGGGCAGCCGTTGGGGAAGCGGATTTCGCGGAGCGTGATGGTCGTGTAGCGTGGTTGCTCGCGGCGGTCTCGCATCATGTTAGTGGGGTCGGGAATGGTGGTGGTTGTTTGGTTGGGGAACAGGGACGTGTAGGCTGGGGGTGGTGCTGTCGTGGCGGCAGATATGTTGAGTTGGTCGTCTTCGGGGATGGTGGAGGGAATGGAAGAGCTGAAAGAGCGGAGGGAGGCTGCGGACGAGCCGGATTGTGACGAGGTGGACATGTTGGTGTGGGTGCTGGTGGTGTGATGTGTGCTTGGGCCACAGGGGACGACATGGGTGTAGGAGGGATCACAGTCATGGGAACAAAGAGGGGAGCCTCACATAATATCTGGGATGGAAACCCTGGGGGGTGGATTATGCGAATAGAGTTCTAGAATACCGGAAGTGTGTCAGTCAGTCAGGCAGTGTACGCTGCAGCCGTGTGGATGGCAAGGCGTGGCACCAAGAGCGGATGGCATCAACTGGGAACGGAACAGGGCGGCAGGCCTTGAGGCCGACCAATCAGCAGGTCTGGCAAAGCCTTGGTTAATGTTCGGGTTGCTGGGCGTGGACTCGGCAGCGGTGCCCAAGACGAAAACCATGTGCTTGTTGAGTGGCTGCGGTGGTTCGTGGCGGGCGGAGACGAGAACAGACGAAGAGCGACAAGAGTCTTGGACCTGGGGAAGAAGGAGGGAGGCGGAGCGTGCAGTCTGGGTGAGTGAGTTGGTGGACTCGTCATCTTATAGCTCTGTTGAAGTCTTGTAGCTGCCTTGCCTTGCCATGCTATACACGTCCGAGAATAGAAAACGAGCTTTAGACCGACACAAAATGCCTCGCGCACGCGGAACAATAGACAGCCAGCGGAAAGTAGCGGCACTTGCGGTCTGCTGGGCGTACTCGGGATCACTTAGGGCGGGAACACGAGGTGAGGCAGATCGGAGGTCAAAAGGCAACCCGGTGGCCCAAGAAATGCCCAGTAGCTGCCACGCCTCCTGGCCTTGGCCCCAAGAAACTGACAGCCACTCACGCCATCATCGATTGTTGCTTCTGGCGCGGTGAGCACAGTCTGATGTCTGAGTGGGAGTGTTTCCGTTTGCTACGTATCTTAGGTGCTTGTAACGTGGCACATGAGCTTCAAGCTGCGAAGTTGAAACCGTGACAAGATCCACGTGTCACGTGATCCTATTGCCACCGTCTACCCGCCCTACCACGCAAACTTCTCCTTGACATATCCCTCTGAGATCTCCCAAAGCTTTTCAGCGTTCGCACTCGATGTACTGGGGGCTCTAGCCTTGTCGGTGATCTGGCAATCCATGAGGAATACTCCGACATTCTCCTTGCCATCCTCCCGCCCCGGATCCGTGACAGGAAGGCTCAGCTTCGGGTCGGTAGCTGCAGTGAGGCTCGTAGAAGCACCAGCTCCCTGAGAGCGCCAGGTAAACACTTTCTGCTCGAACATCTTCTTGATAGCAGCCGTGACCTCAGGAACGGCGGCACGTGAGAGCTCGGTCTTCAGAACTCCCGGATGGACAGCAAGACTCAAGATGCCGTGCCTCTCAAACAGTCGATGATTCAAGCCAACACTGAAAAGCACATTTGCAACTTTGCTTTGGTTGTAGGCCTCGATACCAACGTAGGCCTTGTTCTGCGTGTCAGTGTAGCCCCAAGCTTCTAACAGTTGGTACATGGGCTGCTCCTCTTCCGGGAGGTCCTTGTTGACCGTCTCGAAATTGACATCGCTGAAACGCGGAACTGCCATGATGGGGGAGCCTGAGGTGACATTGATAATCCGCGTTGCACCTTTGGGGTTCTGTCCTGCAGCCTTCAGAATCTTGGGCATTATGAGGCATGTGAACTATAAAAGTTGGAGAACATAACACTGTCAGCATTTTCCTGACAGATAAGAAGGTAGGATGACATTGAATCCTCCTGCATGATTCAGATTTTCCACGAGGTAGGCAACTTACGAGAAAGTGCCCCAAATGATTGGTTGCCCAGGTCATTTCAAGCCCGTCTTCGTTGATAGTACGCTCCGGCAGGTTCATGATGCCGGCATTGTTGACGACAATATCGACTGCCGGTACGTCGGACCATGACAAGAGCTCAGCTGCAGCGGCGCGGACGCCCTTCTGGCTGGCTAGGTCCATTTGGAGAGTGCGGTATTCAACATCCGGATAGTCTTGCTTGAGAGCGTCGATCGATTCCTGCAGTTTAGATGGGGTGCGGCCGCTGATGATAACACGAGCAGGAGCTTGCGATGCCTGTTTGCGTTCATATTAGCAACGGCTACGGTCAAATTCCAAAGTTGCTCACGAAAGCCTGTGCAGTCGTAAATCCAACGCCGGCACGGTTGACTCCGGTGACGAGGATTGTCTTCCCGCGGATGTTTTCACCAAAGGCTTTGGCTACTTCCAAGCCTTCCGTGTTCTCGCCGAATGACGCATGGGTTGTGGCAGTCATCGTGTAGGTAGATATAGTCAGATTGTCGTCAAAGGGGGGTTCTGTGCAAAGGGATTATCGGGTATGAAAGGAGGAACACGCTCACTTCCAGTCGGACGTAGCCATTAATATGTTTCAACCGTGCCCGGCCTTACCACAGCTTGTCGCCGACCGCGACATGAACGCGATCGGTGGGCTAGCCAGATATTCGACCAGGCAAACATAGCCAACAGGTTGGTTCGCTGAAACCGATGTCTGATTGGTGAACTGGGACGGGGACCTCGGTGCCATCGAGCCGCTGGTCGTTCATGCAAGCGGGCACGGAGACAGCGCTGACAAGCCCCGGAGTTACCTTTTTCGTCATCGCAGCCGAGCTTTTCGAGGACACACACCACAAGGACGGCTGTAGTAGAGCTACCAGATGATTGGAGACAGTCCGATCGGACCAAACCGCTCCTCACAGAACTTCGCGGTGATCAACGCTGGGTGTACTGTAGTGGTTTGAGACGTTAATTGCTGCTCAGTGAAATGCGGCGAGATGGCCTTCCACGCATCGCATCTTGGCATGCCAAGTCTACGGTGCCGTGAAGCTCTCATCTCAAGCTCCAACTGCAACTTCAACTGTCTAACGAATGACCACTCAAAGCTGCATTGCGCCGGCATACTCTACCAGTGTGAACGAGGCAGTCATACACCACAAAAACATACGTCCGGCCAGAGTTCGTGCACAGCGTTGAATGGCTATGAGAACCTGGAGCTTGTAGCCACATATTCGTACCGAAAATGGCGCACAGGGGTTTGCTGCCATTTGGTCGGCTCGTCAAGGAGTCATCCCCACTCTCTGGCAGCTTCCGGACCATCTTTAGCCCTCGACCACTCAGCCTACGTTCTCAGAACTTGCCAACAAAGCTCAATGTCAGACATGCGTCCAGCACCCGTGAGACGTCGGCCACTTCTCGCCTGGTGAACTTCTTCTACGGTACAACACTGATATTCGGACTTGGCATAGTCTACTTTTACGTCACTGACACGCGTGCGAGCGTCCACAAGTGGATTGCCATACCTGTTCTGCGATATGTCTACCCAGACCCCGAGGAAGCTCACCATGCTGGCAACAGGGCCCTTAAAGCTCTTTGGGACATTGGTCTGCACCCACGTGAGCGAGGGGATCCCGATGCCGCCCAGGATTTAGCTGTTGAAGTGCTCGGCCACACACTTCGCAACCCTATTGCCACGTCGGCAGGAATCGACAAAGGTGCAGATATTCCCGATCCGCTGTTAGCCATAGGACCTGCCATTATCGAAGTGGGAGGTGCAACTCCTCAACCTCAGCCGGGCAACGACAAGCCCCGTGTGTTCAGGCTGACGTCCCAGAATGCTATGATCAACCGTTATGGTCTCAACTCGGAAGGCGCTGATCATGTTGCCATGCGGCTCAGGCAACGCGTGAGAGAATTTGCTCATTCTTTAGGTCTTGGTCACGATGCTGCAGCAGAAAAGGCAGTTCTGGACGGCGCTGCAGGCGTTCCACCTGGCAGCTTGACCGCAGGAAAGTTGCTTGCAGTCAACATTGCCAAGAACAAGTCGACTCCTGGGGATGATGTTCAAGCTGTAACAGACGATTACGTTTACTGCGTCAATCGTCTGGCGCCCTACGCGGATATACTCGTAGTCAACGTCTCCAGCCCCAACACCCCCGGATTGCGCACTCTGCAACAGTCAGACACTCTAAAGCGCATATTGACCGGAGTTGTGCACGCAGCAAATTCCGTTGACAGGAAGTCAAAGCCAGCTGTCATGGTCAAAGTGAGTCCAGATGAAGATACGGATGCGCAAATTGCCGGCATTTGTGCAGCCGTCTGGGCATCAGGCGTGGACGGAATCATTGTCGGCAATACAACTAACCAACGACCAAAACCGCTGCCATACCTGCGTGACTACTCGCCAGTTGAAGAACAGCACCTCTTGGAACACGGCGGATTTTCCGGCCCTCATCTTTTCAACCGAACAGTGGCGTTGGTCAAGCGGTACAAGGCTCTCCTGGAGGAGCAGCCGGAGGACATTGACGGACCTCAGCGCTCAAGAAGCGCTCTTGAGGTGGAAGCTGAGAAACTACGCGCCTCTATCAATCAGAGCGAGGAGACAAAGCTGCAAGAGCCTCCGATACCTGGAACCGTAGTTGAAACCCCTAAGGACTCCACAGTGCAAGAGGAGACACAGAAAGCTAAGGCAGAGCTCGAACAGCAGAACACGTCGGAACGGGATCGGCTTCAGTCAATTCTAGATGTTCTCGACAGGCTTCCAGCTAAGGACACGTTTGAACAAACAACCAAGCCCAAAGCCATCTTTGCCACAGGCGGCATCACCAACGGACAGCAGGCTGCTGAGGTACTTGATGCTGGCGCCGATGTGGCTATGGTATACACTGCCTTAGTCTACGGCGGTGTTGGTACGATCTCACGTATCAAAGACGAATTAAGAGCAACAAAAAGGACCTGAAGCTAGTCTTTGATTGGTTCTGGTCGAGCAATGTAATAGTGAACCAGGACCGCTGGGCCTCTGAAGTCTTCGACCTCCTCCTGGGTACCTGTCGGCAGGAAGCCGGATTTTTTCATGACCTTGATGCTGCCTGTGTTGCTAGCCTCGACTTCGGCGGTCAGCACCTCGCGTACGGCCCCAGCTGATTGAGGTACCCGGCGCTTTTCTGGCATCTCATCTTGCAGATCCAATTCGCGACGTGGGAGCTTCCAATACTGCTCTAGCCAACCAATCACAGATTCCGTCGCATAGCCTTTGCCCCAGTACTCCTTGCGAAACAAGTATCCAAGGGTTGGCGGCTCGCTCATGTGGACACCCACGGTCCCAATGATGACCCCTGGAGAAGCCAACTCTTCGACGGCGAAACTGAAAGTTGTTGCATTGTTTGGGTGAATGAATCTATTTACCCATGTGCGAGTGGCATCAAGGTCTCTGTCGACGACGCCCGCCGAGGTGAAGATCATGACCTCTGGTTGAGTCCTCAGAATGTGGAATTCGGTCGCATCAGCTTCAGTCTTTGGACGTATCAGGAGTCGCGAGGTCTTGAAAGCGCTCGCTGACCGCGGAAATATTGGACGCGTGACCTTCATGTTGAAGAGCAAGGCCGTCGAGACTGGTTGAAATTGAGGTGCTGCTATCAAAGTGGTTGATTCCTGGCGGGGTATGTAGTATGAATATAAAGCACAACCAGGTTGCCCAGCGGATCACGAGTACGAAAGCGCTTAACCAATGCCACTTACCGTTTTCATGCTGGCGGCACACAGGCTGCCATCTGCAGCCTGAAGTTTTTTTATGGCTCTGTTCGGCGCTGAGGACACGGAGATGGCACCTAGTAGATCGTTTGAGTCAAAAATCGCCGAGGGGCACAGAAATCCTTGGCAGTTCGGGGCGGAAAAACTCGTATGCCGATGTGCCAAAAGTTTCCAAAATTTTGACCCAACCGCCCCTCGCCGCCTCGAGTGTTTTACACGCCGCAGTCTTCGCCAACTTCACTACCGTAGAGCAGCGTCCAACAAGATGAAGACAACGTGGAAGGAGATCGCTCCTGTGCCAACATCACAGGAGTTCATCGACATTGTTCTTTCCAGGACACAGCGCAAACTCCCCACGCAGATTCGAGCGGGCTTCAAGATTAGCAGAATTCGAAGTACGCCTACCGCTTGCCCTGTGCGTGTACCATGCTGACCATCCGACAGACTTCTACACTCGAAAAGTCAAGTTCACTTCCGAGACGTTCTGTGAGAAATTCACCGCAATTCTCGACAGCTTTCCCCGGCTGCAAGACATCCATCCGTTCCACAAGGATCTTCTCAATACTCTCTACGATGCCGACCATTTTAGAATAGCGCTCGGTACGATATCGACAGCCAAGAGACTGGTTGAGACAGTCTCCCGAGACTATGTTCGACTCCTCAAATATGCTCAGTCGTTGTTCCAGTGCAAGTCGCTTAAGCGAGCTGCACTCGGTCGCATGGCCACCATCTGCAAGAGACTGAAGGATCCTCTTGTGTACCTCGAACAAGTCAGACAGCATCTCGGTCGTCTACCTGGCATCGACCCCAACACCAGAACGCTGCTCATCTGTGGATATCCCAATGTCGGCAAGTCGTCCTTCCTTAAGTCCATCACTAGAGCAGATGTGGATGTACAGCCATATGCATTTACTACCAAGTCACTCTTCGTGGGGCATTTCGACTACAAGTACCTGCGCTTTCAAGCTATCGACACTCCTGGCATCCTCGACCACCCTCTCGAAGAGATGAACACCATCGAAATGCAGTCAATAACCGCCATCGCCCACCTACGGTCAGCTATTCTCTATTTTATGGACCTCTCAGAACAATGTGGCTACTCGGTCTCGGCTCAGATCGCTCTTTTCAACAGCATCAAACCTCTTTTCGCGAATAAGCTCGTATGTCTAGTTATCAACAAGACCGATGTGACGAAGCCCGAAGACCTGGACGCCGAGACGCAGCAAGAGCTGCAAAATCTTGTCACTCAAAACCCCAACACCGAGCTCCTGCAGCTTTCTTGTGTTACTCAGGAAGGTGTTCAGCAAGTCAAAAACACAATTTGCGACCGTCTCATTGCAGAGCGTGTTAATGCCAAACTGAAAGCCGGTCAGGCATCTCAGCCCGCCAATTCCGAGCAACCTACTGGGCGTCTTGGTGATCTGCTGGCGCGTATCCATGTTGCCAGGCCTCTACCTGGTGCCGTGTCGGAAACTGCGATTCCGGAGGCTATCCTCAACGGCACACATAAGAAATATGATCCCACGGATCCCAACCGCCGGAGGTTGGAACGCGATTTGGAAGAAGAGAATGGTGGCGCAGGTGTCTATAATATGGATATGAAGAAGTTCTTTGATCTTGGTAACGACGAATGGAACCACGATAAGGTGCCAGAGTTTTTCAACGGCAAGAACGTCGCGGACTTCGTTGATCCTGACATTGAGGCCAAGCTCACGGCTCTCGAAGAGGAGGAGGAGCGCCTTGAAGCAGAAGGCTACTACGACGAAAGCGAAAGCATGGAAGATGAGGAAGAAGCCGATATTCGCATGAAGGCCGAACTGATTCGCAACAAGAGGAGGATGATCATGGATGATGCTCGCAGCAAAAAGTCACTCAAGAACAAAGCTCATATCCCCCGCGCCAAAAAGGCCAGGACACTGGGACAGATGCAGAATCACTTCGACAGCATTGGCCTCGATGCTTCTGCGCCTGTCGACCGTGCGCGAGCCCAGATCCGCAATGTGCCTGCACCAAAATCAACGATGGGCGACGATGATATGGACGTAGATCTGACCCCGGCGCAACGCGCCAAATCCGTGGGCAGGGCACCCAAGACAAACAGACTTACAGATGGCATTACGAATTCGTCGACGGCCGTCACCGATCCGGCAAGAAGCGAGAAGGCGGCGCGCATGTCGAAATTGAGCCAGCGGCAGATGAATCGCATGGCGAGACAGGGCGAGGCTGATCGTCACACTTCGGCCAGCCTGCCGGCCCATCTGCTCAAGGGTAAGCGGAAGATGGGCAGCACGCGCTCACGTTAAGGCTCAGGTGGACGGTGTATGTGATGTCTTTATGAACCAAAGGTCATGGAAAGGTGGCACGATAGATTGCACGGCGTCTCGGCGTAAGATTGTGCAAAGATACCATAACACGAAACCGTTTTATGTTGAGCATCGATCTGATAATCTGTTCGTTTTAAGCTCCATCTCTCCTACCTTCGCGCGTGTTGTAAGGTCGTTGCTCTAACAGACTGCTGCCATGCTACAAGCCCCGCAGAACATCGTATCGGTGCTTGCCGCAAGCAAGCCAAAAGTTGCATCAACGACAACCAAAAGCAGTGGAACAAAGATGGCGTTTGCTAGATCCCATTCTGCCAAAGAGACTAGATCTATGTAGTTGAACACTGCTGGAAGACACAACTGCCACTACTGCCTCGAAACAACGCCTTCAGATTTAGGTCCAGTCGTAGCAGCGGCACCATCATCCTTCAACCAACAGAATGCCACGTTTCCCCTCCTCCTCCTCCTCCTCCTCCTCCTCCTCCCCTTCGAGCCTGTCCCGCAGCTCCAATAGCACGACAAGCACAAGCACACAAGCGTCCGCTCGTTCCCGCACCACAGGCATCCTCCCCGCGAACTCTATCGGGAAGTATCGTCTTGGTATGCTGCGGAAAGACGTGTTGAGACTTTGACGCAAAATCAACCTGGCGGTGCGGCAGCAAAAGACACTTAGGGCAGCGGCGGCTATTGCACGGGACAAACGGCGAGGCGAGGATGGCGGAGCGGGTGGTGAAGCTGTGGGGTGATGTGATGGTGAGGGATACGGTGCTGAGGGGGGCGAAGAAGGTGTTGGAGGAAAAGGCGAGGGGGAGCAGGGCTGGGAGGGAGTCTTCTCGTGGAGACAGTTGGGAGGAGAAGGGGGCAGAAGCGGCGCAGAGAGGGGGTAGGGCTGGTCAATGGTGGAGAGCAGGGCGAAGAACAGGTGCGGCGTACGAGGAAATGGCTGCAGCGTGTTTGAGTTTGGAGGGATGGGAGCTGGGGGTTCGTTCCGCGGCGGATCTCGGAAGTGGTGGTTGGACTCGAGGATGGTTTCAGTGATGGCTGCGGCGGATGAATGGAGGATAAATGTGATGAGGCCTGTATCCAGGTTGGAAGTGTCTGTTCGATTTGGGAGCTGTTTTAGGAAAATGTCCTTGTTAGCAGCAAAAGTCCATATATGCAGGCGAAATCGTAGTAGTTTGGGCAAACATCATGGTAACCATGAAACGGGTGTCGGTCTCGTTTCTTGAGGGAATTGATCTAAGCGTTATAGCCAGCGATCTTATGTACAGGCCATTTCGTGCAAAACCACCTCTCGCCGTCTCGCCTTTAGAATGGGTTGTCCTCGGGAGGGATCTCGCGGATGAAATAAGGGCCAATGATGGGGACTTTCTGTAGAATGTCTTTTCGCACGCGGGGAATCTCGTTGAAGAAGTAGATTGCGAAGATGCCAGCGGAGACACCGAAGCCAGCAGCAATAGAACCGTATCGGACGGCTTTGGGCGCACTCAGGCCCCAGAAGTTGGGGACGTGCTTGGTCCTAAGAAAAAGTGTTAGCGCGAGTGCGCAAGCTGTTTAGAGCGGTCCGTCAGCTGCAGTGGCAGCTTGAGAGTTGGACTATGGGTCGCGAGAGGTCGGCTGGAGCTTACTTGGGACCGTAGGGAGAGATGTATGCCTTGTAGGTAGGTTGAGGACCGTAGTTGCGCATTGGCGTCCGGCCGGTGCCAGATCCAAAGGGGGCCGGGTTCGTAGACTGGAGATGGAACTGTCAGTGGTGGAAGGTCGTTGAAAAGCTGGGACTGACCATATTGAACGGCTTCACTGGCTGTTAGATCTTATGCTGTCGAGGTGAAGGTGCTGGATCCAGATGCGTTGTCGTCAAAAAGTCACTGAGCTTGAACCCGAAAGGTGCCATGTTAGTGCTTAAGTTTGACCGTAGCTGCTACGTTGGCCAATTGAGACTGCGTCGCGGCGCAGAGTTCAATGCACTGCCTCTCATTGGCTGTGCTGCTATGCGCGTGAATCGGCGAGCGGGTTGACCCTGCTCGTGGTGTAGTGATCTTACCACGAAGACCATACTCGATTACCTACCAGGCCTGTGCTTTCTCAAAGTCCGTCGCTGCTCCGAGACATATCTGCTCCCAGCGTGCTTTGGTTAGCTTAAGGTACTGACTGTCAACCCACTCATTTCCTATCTGCATGCTCCGCTCTTGGTACCCATCAAGCTCGAATCCAACCTTTCTAAGCAAGCCCTCGCTGGCTTTATTTCGAGGGTCGATATCGGCTGTCAGGAAAGAGAATCCTGCTGTGCCGAACAGATAGGGTAGAATGATTTGCAGCGCTTCGAACGCCAGCCCCTTTCCCCAGTGTCTTTTTGCGAGTAAGAAGCCGATCTCCTGGTCCTGCCACACCCCGATCTTGCCAATCGACATCATGTCCGGCTTCAAGCAGATGACAAAGTCTGTAAGCCCATTCTGAGACCCTCCGACCATACCAGACACCCATTCCTCAGTGCGGGCTTTCGAAGAGTGAGCAGGCTCACTCCTACCACGTGTTAGTGTGTTAATCTTACAAATACAGACCACGTTGAAGTACCAGTATCGCATCACCTCAGGGTCCTTGAAAGCCTCGTTTAATGATTCGGCATCCTCGGTCCGCGCCGCACGTAGGACAAGTCGAGACGTATCCAAGTGAACCTGTCCGCCGGGTGTCTTTGGCGTTGCATTACGATCCTTTTCCGTATGAGAGCCAGGAGCTGCTGCGTCTCGGTCTTTCATCACCGCGAATCTGGCTCTTCTGTCCAATCATGGATCCTTGATAGGGTATTGGATTCCGGTCATGCAACTTGCCAAATGTCAGGCTTGCAGCAAGTGAGCCCAGATTCAGCTACTGGTACGAGATGTTGGTTGTCCGAAAATCTTGGCATTCGTGCTCGGGCCCGAGTGTGCCCCAAGTTGCATCTCCCCTGCCCTTGTGCGGCACATCCCACCCCGCAACACGCAAATTTCATACAGAGTATTGACTGATGCATGCTAAGCCCGTGGCCTATGACTAAACGACCACTGGACTTCCTCAACCGCGGAATGCTGACGCTGGCTGGTCTATATACGCAGGGCAAAACAAGTTCAGAAACGTCGCAAAACGTAGCTAACATCACAGCCTCGTTTCCTGGAGTATAAAAGTGCGGGCACATAAGCGCAATGCATTCTCTCAAGTGCTAAAGACACTCCGACATATGTACCACCAAAAGCGTCTTGATCCCAAGTATCAGCAACGACTTCGATATATCTCGGCCGTTCACTCCACCATGGTCTCTTGCCCCCGACCCTAACCGCTCAAGTTTCACTGATTCCCCGATACTCCATTCCCGCTGACCGAACAGAAATCCTAGAACTGTTGTCTGAAACGATACATATCATCGTATCGTATCATGGCGCCCATATCCCCCTCCTACTGCGCCGGACAGGACAAGCTCCCTTGCCGTCTTCGTTTATTGCAAGAAGTGTTCTTTTTTTTTACTGCTGGTGTCTCGCCCTCCGGGCCCGACACCATGCTCACGCCTATGAATTCCATGCAGCTCTCCTCTCAGCCCTCTTGGCCGACAGCGCCACGGCGGCCGGGTCCCGCGTCGCCCACAACCACAGGCTGAAGGGAATGATGTATGCGGTGGCGAATGCGGCCATGCGGACTGGGTGCGGCGTTGTCGGGGCACGCAGGGGCTTCATTGTTTGGAACGTCATTGCTTCGGTGGTATTTGTATGTTTGGGTGTATGCTGTGTGTGTACGCGTTTGTTTGTGTTTGTCAAAGGAAGACTTGCGGGAGACACTTTGCTCGCAAGGAATTTCGATGTTTATGTGGTGTTGTGTTGGTTTGGTTCGAGAGCCGTGATAGATTCTATAGTATTGATTTGGAGGGTTTGAAAGTACAGCGACTCGATATACCAGCGTACCAGTCTCCTGCTTTTATTGCCATTATTGCAACTGACTCTCCACGTAGCACCGGCTTTCGGCGACTCCATTGTCTTCTATTTTGACCACTCCACGCCGGATGGGTCTTGGTTGTTGTGGTCAGGCCATGGCTTGTGGTGTGACTATCACGAGATACATGCCTATGGTACTAACTAGTATAGACTTCCATCGGGCCACGCCGCGGCACGGACTTGGCACGTAAATCGCTCGGCTGACATAATCGCTCAAGTTGTCAGACCACCGCGACCAAGTTTTTCTCAAACTCAGCAATGATGCGCTTTTTGGCAAGGAGTTGCTCAGCGCTCTGTTGAGAATGGCTTGATTAATCGCTTGGAGTTTGGGGAGTGGGCACGGTGTTCATCGCTTTGTGGCCTTTGTATTCCGGGACGCAATGAGTACCCGGTATCTCTCCCTGCGATGGCGATGCAAATTGTGAGGTCCTGCAGTCATCTGTCACCGCTCTGTGCACACTACGCTATGTATTTACTCCAGGAATTGTGGTCGCTTCGCGTGCTTTAGGCATCATCTGTACAAAGTCTCGAGCCTGAAGCATTTCTTCGCTGGGTCGTCCTGCTATTGTGCTATATTATCGTCACCGCTCCATATGTTGGTAAGCAACGAACGACTAGAATAACGTATACACAGCTCTGACTGTCGCAGCGACAACCATCCCAATGTTCCAGCCTATTGCAACCTATCGAGAGGCGGTACGTCACTTACACATAACAGGCCACCTACAGCCCCTGTTCTCCCCAGCCTCGTCAAGTCTTGGCATAATATCCCTCCTCGCTGCATCGCCTTGTACGACCTTAAGCCAGCGCTTATAGAGCGTGTAGGCGTACATTCTGGCGATAGCAGCCCTGAAGTGTAAGAGCTGCCTTGACATATGCCATTAGCTTTGGCGTCGACCGCAAGACAAGGCCTAGATGATGCTTAGAAACACATTGCGAGCAAAAGCAGTATCACTGATAGGCGAATACAGAGATAAGCTGTGAACCACTCCTTACTCGCTCATTCTGGTAAGACGTTGACCGTGATTAAATACAGCTTATCCCGGATAGCATAAGGTGGTCAGCCCTTGGAGATCTAGACGTGCAATTTCTACGGAAACGAGGAAGATTTCAAGAAGGTACACAACACTGGCGACTTGTGATCCTTGACGTTGAGGTGAGACCTCATCGATACATGGGAGGAGGTTTGACAGTGATTGGGAACAACGGCTGCCGGGGCATCGGCTCCTCATGTCCATGATATTTTGACGACCGGGTCTAAAGACCTCGCATGGCTCAGGACGAACAGTCAGATAATGGCCGGCTGCTGGGCTATAACTTTGGGCGGACGCTACCCCTCACACAATAGCCCGCACATTTCAGCAACAGCGATGGCGAGTAGTCGCGACTTGTTGCTGGATGGCGCAAGGTCCGCCCTTAAGATTCAGACGCAGGGTATATTCACAAAACACAACAAAGTCTGTAAGCTTAGGTGCTGAAGGACGCAGCATTAAATCCATTAACCAGTCATGATATGCAAAACATTTAAAGCCAGGGCAAGGCCAACTCTCCAACTCACACCACCTTCCAAGCATACGCAAACCCCTGCCTCTCACTCGTCAAGCGATGCACACTGACCCTGACCCCCATCTCCCCCTGCGGCACGCCCTCCCACTTGACCTGCTCGACATTATTCGCGCGATCAAACCCACTGCCCGTCCCCATATTCCCATGCCTCTCACTTCCTCCTCCCGCAGCCGCACTACTGACCGTCAAATCCAAATCATTCTGCAGCTCCGCGCCCGCGGGATCCGTCCACACGAGCGTCACTTTCAGCGTCTTCCCCGTCTCAGGAACATTGATGGTGAATTCGAACGTCTCATCTTCGTCGAGGCCGTCGTGCTCGCCATACCCGGCTGTGCCCGAGGGCGTGAGCGCGCTGTCCGCCACGGAGATGCGGCCCCAGCCGGAATTGGGATTGGGGCTCGCGCCGGCTTCGCTGGGGTTGTATTGGCCGGTGAGCTCGACGGCGCCGTTGATCAGAAGGGCTTTGACGAGGGCGGCGCTGGGCGAGTAGTCGCCGGTGCTGGGGTCGGCGATGGGTTTCTGACCTGGAGCGCGTCCGGCAGGGGGAGCGGAAGTAGTGGAGGTGTCGCCAGCTGGCGGGTTGGCGACGAGGAATTGGCGGATGAGGGCGGCGCAGCCTGTGGCGAGGGGGGCGGCCATGCTGGTGCCGGACTCGAACATGTATTGCGGGTCGGGGGATTCGCCGTAGTAGGTTGATGCGGCGGCGGCGGAGGATTTGGCTGAGAGGATGCAGGTGCCGGGGGAGACGACGTCGGGCTTAATGCGGCGCTCGCGGGTCGGCCCACGGGAGCTGAAGGCAGCCATGCCGTTGGGATCGTCGGCGTATTGGTCGCCGTAGATGGGTTCGGCGGCGTAGCGTGGGTCTCGCTGTCCACCGCCTGCGGAGACGCCATATGCCACTGTGAGCTCGGGTCGGTTGTTCTCTGAGGCGCCCACGGTAATGCAGTTCTTGGCTGCAGCTTGGGACCCAATTTGACGGAGGTCTATGACGCCGTTTTGGTCACCGTCGACACCATCATTGCCGGCTGCAAAGACGATGACCATGTCTGTATTGTTCTCAACGAACTCGTCAATCTCGCGAGCCGACTGGTCGTATGCCAGGCCAGGAGTTGAGGACCCCCAGGAGTTGTTGTGGACACGGGCCCCTTCAGCATAAGCAGGACCAAAGAGCTCCTCAAGATCTGTGGGAATACCTCCAAGGCCACCTCGGCTGTCCAGCAGCGATTGCATGACAAGCGTGGCGGATGGAGCTGTTCCTTGAATAAGCTCGCCGTTGGAGAGGGTAGCATTGCCGAGGACGGAGCCGCAGACGTGAGTTCCGTGGCCATCAGGGTCATTGGTCCTGCCTTGCCGGCCCAGGGCGATGAGCTTCTTGATGCGATCTTCTCCAGCAAAAGCTGGATGCTCCGAGTCGATGCCTGTGTCTCCGACCGCTACGACCTGGCCGGATCCGTCAAGAGCAGTGCCGTTGATGTCGACATCTTCTACCTTCAGGATACCACGGGCGACGTTGTTGAACAGGCGGTTCGGGTGCACTTCCTGGATGAAGGCGACATTGTCGATGGCAGCGAGGGCGTCAAGGTGCTGCTCCTGCACATGAAGACGAACCTTGCCCTTACACACTGTGACGTCCTCTGGGTCGACGTGAGCGGCCTCACAGATCGCCTTCTTGCAGCCACCGAACTCACAGCCTCGGTGCAGAACCACATCGACGGTGTGAGTGCGGCTTGAGATATGGCCAGGGGGGCCGACGGTGTGCCGTCTCAGGCTGGGGTTCACAACGAATGAGGTGGGGTAGACGTCGGTATAAGCAACGAAGTCGAGGTTTCGGACAGCGCCGAGGTCACGGGGCTCATAGCGACAGATGTAGCTGTTGTTGGCAATGTACTCTAGTACGGCAACATTGTTATCTGCGAGGGCCTGCTTCTGGGCCTTCTTCAAGGGCTCCTTGGCATTCACGATGATGTAGTTGGAATCAATCTGAGACGTAGCAGACTCGGCTAACGTCTGCCTCGCTGTGGCAGGCGTTGAAGTATCGAGGGTGTTGCCATTGCAAGTGATCAACACCATATTGAGCAGAGCAGTGAGTGTATTTTAATGTCTGATATAGAAGACGCTGTGTGAAGTATAGATGAACGGCGAGAAGATGGAAAGCTATCTCACCTCGAACACCCGGCGGGCTAACATTGATATAGATTTCGGAACCTGGATATGCCAGACTTGCACCATGAGCGCATATCTGAGTAGCGTCATGTCTCGGGCAGTGCTAGAAACGCCAAGGCGGGGCGGAGGAGAGGTGAGCGGCGGCTAACGCAAGCCAATGCCTGTCAAGCCAGGCCCCGAGATGCTGGCTCGTTCTTGTTTCGACACTCAGGCAGCCTCGTGTACGTGACAGCCGTACTGGGATGATGCTTGAGGACTAGCATTCACCAACGACATTGAGAAATCGTTGGTACGAACCCTGGGCCAAGGTGGAGCTGATTTGTCTCTGGTAACGAATACAGCGGTCAATAGCGTTGAATCTGGTCTCTTGCATAGCGAAGCTGAAAGAACACGAGTGGGGATGGTATGTCGCCCGGGTACGAAGCGAGCAGTATTGGATGCGCTTGTTCAGCTGTACACGAGGCATACTTGCGAGGCTTGAATCGGCTGATCTAGACAGCGGGCAGGCAACGATGGATCTGCGCATCTTGGCGATGATGCACCCCTTCTTGGACCAGGCAGACGATGCTCATCAGAAACGTGTCACACCGCCAGAGGAGATGGACTCTGGAGTCGGAGCCAGGAAAGGTTGGAAGCGGTCGAAGCAAAGGTGCAAATCTTTCTCCACTGCTCAAGTCCCGAGAGATGATCGGCCTTGGCAGACCTTGTTTCACGTCAAGTCTCAAGTCTCATGCCAGGTTCCAAGGTACAAGTACCCCTACCTGCCCGGTTGGTTTCTCGAGACGAGACGAGGCAGGACGAGGTGTGCAAGACACTGAGGTCATCGGTAGTGATAAAAAGGATGTCTGAGTGGATAATTGGCCCCGAGCCCCATCTCTGTTAGACTCTTCCCCATGTACCAGGACCAAAGCACCTTGCGTACTTACGTAGCTCTGATAGTGTGAGCATTTGATACGCCCGAAGCCTACCACACTATTGACACCAATGTCTGCGGAGGCAAACCATCAGTAGAGCGAAGTGGCCAAGCAGCGGAAAGCCAATCTCGCCAAGACCATTCCGTCACGCAACTAAGAAGAAGAAGAAGAAGAAGAAGAAGAAGAAGAAGAAGCAGCAAGTGTCGTGTTTATGTGTAAGTAATAACAGATATAACTCTACCTGTCTACTCTAGTGCACATCTAACCCATCTATTCTTCATTAGTCATGCAATCCCCTCTTCTAGATGCAAATCGTGTACTTTAAGAATCGTCAATAGCCTCATCCAAGTCTGAGAGCATACTTTGCTCCAACAAGCTGGAGCTTGCGACGTAGCTGAACCCTCCGAACGGATCTGACTTGCTGAGAGCCCGACTGTGTCGACGTTGCACGGCGTCAATTGTTCGATCGGTGAACTCTCGCGCAAAATTCTCCGCCAACTCAGGGTTCGTGACCATCGGCTTGATGGGTGGCTCGAGTTGCCTCGCCTCCAGCTTCACCCAGTCAATCTTTTTGAAAAATCGGTGCTTCTTGATGACATTGATGTCGCCCCTCCCCACACCAAGTCGCTTCCTAGGCTCTTTTCGCAGCAGCCGTGACAAGAGATCCTTCGCATCGGGCGACAGGAAATACGGTAGATTCAGCTTTTGGTGCATGATGTTCTGCTGGATCTTGGTCCAGTTACCCCCTCCAAAAGGGGGCTTGCCTGTCATCAGGTCGCACGCCATTGCCCCCAAAGACCACCAATCGCACGCTTTGCCGTACCCCGGACCGTACGAACTGTCTTCGGAACCGCGAATGATCTCGGGTGCCATGTACTCGATCGTGCCAACGCCAAGGCTGTTGCATCTGCTCCCGCCCGGCGTGCTCGCGTCCTCCACAGCAACCTTGCTCAGTCCAAAATCAGTCAGGAGCAGATGACCCTCCGCATCAAGCAAACAATTCTCGGGCTTCAGGTCGCGGTAGATGACCCCGACAGTCTCGTGCAGATATTCCAGGGCAAGAATGATCTCTGCAATGTAGAATGCAGCAGTCTCCTCCGGAAGAAACTTCTCCAACTCTAAGTGTCGGAAGAGCTCGCCGCCTGATGCATACTGAAGAATCAAGTACAGTTTCTCATGGTCCTGAAAGCCATAGTAGAGATTGACAATAAATGGATGGCGATTGACCAGCTCCAGAATCGTGCGCTCCGACATCGTATTCTCGACCCGCTTCTTGTGGACTTTCAAGAAGGCCTTGGTCAGTTGTTTCTGAGCAAAGAGTTTGCCGGTGGCATTTTGGCGCACAAGCAAGACTGTACCAAATGCTCCATCGCCCAGACACTTGATCGGTGTGAAATCATCTGCCGTCATCTTTCTAGCGATTTGAGAACTGGCCAGCTGATCCGGAGACATGGTTGTGGTCGAAACAGAAGCTTCTTCGGCCATGGACTGGCTGACAAAGTCTTGGTCGATGTTGATGTTATAGCTGACAATCTCTTCGTGAGGTTCTTCCACGCCATTTTCGGAGCTGGCACTGGCAGCGCTGCTCTCCATGCCAGAATCGAATTGGCGCGAGCGCGAGGCCTCTCGACTAGTCTGTCCACTCCTCAGATTCAATGCATCCAGTTGCGCCTTGAGGCTGCTAATACCTGGTGACTGGGGCCGAATGAGCGGACTTGCTCCAGCCAGGGCGGGGAGATGCCGAGGTGGAGACGTGACTCTTGGGCTGCAGTTGACCGTGGATGTATCGGACTCGGCGCCAGAGTCGACTGGAGTGAAACCTCGCACTGCATTGATGGGTTGAGACGGAGCGGTCTTCTTATTCTTGTTCGCCCTCTTCTTCTTTTTCTTCGCATTAGCGGTCAAAATGGCGCTTCCCCTGACTTCAGGTAGTCGGCCTCTCGGGCTGTCTTCGTTGGCAGTATCGTCCAAGATGGCGGCATTGCCCACGCGGTGGGGCGTGGAGGGCGTTTTGGGTCGTAGCTGTGTAACCTCGGGTTCCTCGAGATCCATAACTCCAGTACCAGTCACAACGGACTGCAACGCGGTTGACTCCTGCTCGCGCCTTTGTTCTGGCAGAGCTACGGCGTCGTTCGTCACATCATCAGTTGCCGGAATATCGTGGGCCTGCGTCATGGTGGCGGCCGATAAGATACTCATACTGAGTGACTATAATGTATATCTTCGTGACAAGGTTTGTGCGCGGAAGAGCGAGATCGCCCAAACGCAGTCAAACTCTTTAAGTGTAGCAGCGTAGTACAACGCTCTTATGTATTACCGTCCGCCCGAGTCGAGGCGGACTTTACGCCAGTAGCCAAACTAATGCGTGAATGGTGAACAACTCGGATCCAGCAACAGTCATGGACGACGCAGCGAAAGGCGCACGAAGGCAGGCATAGAAGATGGATTTGGAGGAAGTCGCGATGTTCTGACCCATGGAGTGCAGTACGTGGAGGTTGGAAGTAATGAATAAGGAGACAGAAGTCTCGAACGCGTTGTGAGCTGTATGGGGAGGTTGCGAAGTGGTGTTGCGGCTGGTCGCAAACGTGGTCGAGGCGAAAACAGGAGTTGGCTGACAGCATGACAGAAAAGTGATTTTGGAACTGCTGGCCGCAGGCGTCTCCAACCCGAAACTGGAGCCTCCCCGGATTCGCTGGATCGGACCCACTTCGTCCCGATCCACCCACGCCGCAACCAATCTTTCATCACGTGATAGACACGTGACCATCATTCCAACACGTTGATTGTGACCGCTAGATTCTTTTTCTGTCTCATTCGTGCATACCTCTAATTTGGTGAGCAATGGACACAATAATTCTCCGCGATCTGAAATTCGAACTCGCAGTCGGTCGAGATGCTTGGCGTCGGGCAGGCAAGCTGCAGCCCGTGTCCATCACCTTGAATCTCCAACCGACGTCGACATTTGAGGCCGCTGCTCTTCAGGACGACGTAAATTTGACGCTCGACTATGGCAAACTCTACAGGACGGTGTTTTCCAAAATCAGAGATCAAATTTACGGCAATGTCCAGGGTCTAATGCTGGACTTGGCGCGCTGTGTCGAAGAATACAAGCTGCTCGGCATCGACATAGTAATGCCCAAGGCAGTTCTGGAAGCGGAGAAGGGGCTTCATTATCATCTCCGAATCGACAAGTCTGACCCAGAAAAGGTTGATGCTTCATGGAGCATGGCCATCAAGGGTATCGGCGTTTCCTGCATCATTGGTGTGAACCCACACGAGCGTCAGTACAAACAGAAACTCTCTGTGGACCTAATCTTGGGAGGTCAGCCGCTCGAGGGGGGAGTGGATAGAAACGAGCTGGCCGATCCAGGTCTGCAAGAGATGTGTAAGAGTTTGGTTGAAGTAAGTTACCGATCCCATGTGCACCCGCCCTGTCTAACCCGGCAATCAACAGCGCGTCGAAGGTTCTTCATATCAGACAGTCGAAGCCCTGGGAACCGCAGTCGCCCAAGTCGTAACTATGGACCACAATCAGCCCATCGTCACCGTCCTGATCGAAAAGCCAAGCGCGATTGCCACCATTGAGACGGCCGCGATCCAGCTCACCCGGTCAAGAGCTTTCTTTGAGAACAAGGACTTCTGGAAGGTCAAACGGCCATAGCACACTCAGTTCGACACTGCAACGGGTTTCACGCGTCATCCAAGTTGACACAGCTGATACGACCTCCCCCTCTCGAAGTCGTAGACACAGCATCTTCCATATTCAACTCCTTCCAAGTCCCTTCCAGGCTCTCCCGCGGTATCGCAAACACCTTTTTCCGTCCAAATCCCACCTTCAGACCAGTGGTCAACTCGGCAGGCCCACCACTGGCTGCAGAGCCGTCAGGTAGATATGCAGCAGCGGCTACAGGTCTGGCAAGTCTGGCCTTACGCGGTGACAAGAACTTTTCCATCGGCCCAGGACTCTCAGATGCCGCGTCTCCCTCGGTCTTGGAGCGTGTGAGCTTCTTGCGAACATTCCGCCTTACTTTGCGTTGTGTCACCGAGTCTTCCAGTCCTCGGACCGGAGGCGACGTGCTCAATCCGGAATTGCCTGCCCTCCTTTTCTCTGGTGTTCGTGGAGGGCTGTAGTCCGAAGTTGCGTCGGAAGTTAGGACTACAGTTGGTGATGATGTGAGTGCAATCGGATTGTCAATCGAACCCGAAAACGACACAGAGGGTGTGGTAGGCAGGTCCAAATCGTCTTTTGATATCGAATTTGATGTCGACGGTCGCGAGTGCTTCAGGCTCTCCCGTGCATCCATGGAGCTCTTCATTACTCTTCGGTCGAGAATGGGCCGTGAGCCGGCCTTTGCAGGCTTGAAGTACTGTTTGAGATCGGGACTATTGTCGGGCACCGCCTCTGCTTCAGGCTTCCTTCTTTTAGTCGGAGTCGCAGGTGTGTCGGACGCTAGTGCGTTCTCGTAATGTTGGGTTGAATGTGAAATATGGTCACTCGTGGCAGTTTTCGATGGCTGAGGCCCAGCTGCGGTTCTCGTTAGGGCGAAGTACTGATCGATGCGATCAGTCTGCCGAACCTGCCCGGCCTTGACCTTGGCTCCTCGACCTTTCCGCGTGGCTTTTAAGCGGGCAGCCTCTACCTTTTCTCGCTGTATCTGATTCCATTCTTCGACAATGGCCGGAACCCCAAGCTCAACCTGTGTCTCTGCAATCCATATCTTTTCTGCCGTGTATGGATTCCAGCGAGGTTTCTTTGTCTTTGTCGGGCTTTGAGCCATGTATTCCAACGTAGCGTTGTCGGGCTCTAGCTCTTCCCCGTTGTCAATTTCTTGGTCCTCCTCGAGCGCCGCCAGATTCTCGGGGCTATCCTGTTCAGCCTCGAGATCAAGCCCAACAACGTCCACTGGTATCACTGATAATCTCAGTTCGGGAATGCCTCCTGTCGTATAATGCACGCGTCGTTCGTGGATGTGCTCGACGGAAGGGACAAGCGAACCCACGACTCCATTTTGCAGCCGATTGGCGAGCAGCGGGCGGGTCATTGTCCGAACGAGCTTCCACGCTCCTGGCTTGTACTGCCAGTCAAAGATCTGGCCCACGTATTCTCGTAAAGATGGGATATTGATGTTTGCTTCCCATTCCTCAACCCACTTCTGCTCTAACCTCGCAAGCGTCTCTCTGGTCGAAATAGCCGGGTTTAGGTAGCAGTCAAGGATCTTCCTGTCCGGAAAAGTCTCTGGTATTTTCAGAGTCTTGTGCCTTTTCTTGAAGTATCCACTTTCGTTCGTTTCGAGTTCGTACGTTAATCGCGCTCGCCAGTCTTCCAGTGCATTCTCATCGTCAGTTCTGATTGCTTCGAGTAAATCCGTACCAAATCCAGCCCGAGCAATATCGCAGGCCATATGAACACCGAAGCCTGGCAGACCCTGTTGATCGTAGTCACCACCGCTCAGCATTGCCACAAGGATCATTCCATCAGGGTCAAGTCCTGGGCCTTGCTTGATTTTCTTCAGGTTGAGCAGGTCAACATGAGTGGGTTCGTGGTTGCCACGTGCAGCCTCTTTTGACCAGTTCCGAAGTGTCACTCCCGAGCCGAACATAATGGCGTCGCCATCCTGACTCATTACCATGTCGACGATGCCATGTTTTTGGAGTTGAGCACACTCAGCCTCCGCCTCACCAGGAGCTGAGTGGCAGGGAAATCGAAACTGTTGAATCAGTCTCTTCGATGTCTCATTTGCGATGCATGAGCCGTATCTAGCAACCGTATGGCCTCGCTTGCTAAGTGGTTTATCCTTGCCATCGTAAACAAAGAGAGGATGGATGGGAAGTGCCAAGAGTCTGAGCAGTCTGTAGTATAGTGTCCGTAGTGCTGGGTTCTTTCCACCCTGTCCGGACTGTGTCTGGAAATTCCAGATGGCTGCATCGATCGCTATACGTAGTGGTCTTTGCGTATGCTCCAGATGCTCGATGGCTAGCTTGGCGAGAGCCACCCTGTCTCCCCTGCCCACCTCCTTCAACACCCTAGAATGTCAGCTTGCAAACTGAGCACGGAGAAGCACGACATACCCTGGAATACCCATTGGAGAGAGCCAGCAGTGCGAATGAACGAAAGATCTGCGAATCTGGAACCGTGATGTCGCCACTGAGAAGGCACGAGGCAGCTTAGCGTATGCGTATTGACGATTCTCCGGATCTGGTTAGCGCTCCGGGGGGTAAATTCACCACGGTCAACCTCCCGCAAGCGACCAGTACCAACGAAGATATGCCACACCGCGTGCCAACTCAGCTGAACGCGTAGAAATCGGCACAGCCGTGCTTGCCGTCCTTCGAGGGGCGAGCAATCCGAATTGGCGCAGATATGGCATCTACAACTGCATCTGCTATCCGTCCCAGTCTCCGTGACAACCGACAACCGTCCGGTTCACCTCATACTCCCACGTCGCGCTTTATATCTTCCACATACTCCTCACCTGGCTCAACGTTCCGTCAAGAAGAAGATGCTGTGATCATCGAACTAGATCCCCGCGGTCTGAGCGCTGGCTTCGAAGGTGAAAGCGGGCCTCAATGCTTCATACCTTTCTGCCCGGACGGCGCTCGAAGAGTAGGTGATTACAGACAATGGCTTCCCGGCTATAAATGCAGTAATGCTACGCTTGCGGAGACGGTAAGTGGCTACGAGTTGTGGCGGAATGACCTCGGTTTGGACGGCAATGCGCTCGACCTAGGGTTGCTCGAAGATCGACTGGAACGGGCAGTGCGAGAAGCGTACAATACGTATCTGTTGACCGATGTTGGCGTTGCGCGCCTGGTCCTTGTGCTACCGTCCCTTGTTCCCCATCCAGTCTTATCTACCATTATCACGCTGCTGTTCGAACGTTGGAAATATGCCTCCATCGCTCTGCTACCCAAGCCGACTATGTGCCTAGCCGCGGCCGGAATACGATCCGGCATTGTGATTGACTTTGGCTGGGAAGAGACAAGCGTCACTCCGATCTACGAATATCGGGAGCTGCAGTCAATGCGAAGCACACGCAGCATGAAGCACCTGACACTGCGAGTAGGCGAGTGGTTACGTGCCATCGCAGAACAGCAGACGGTAGCAGGAGGGCAGACCCTAACTTGTGACTTCGACTTTGTTGAGGATACCATATCGCGGATAGCAACGTGCGCCACATCGAATCGTGACGACCAAACACCATCAGAGGAAATGCAACAATTGTCATTGGCGGAGTCGGAGGTACAGGATGCGATCAACCTGGACTGGCCCACCACAACATCCACACAGAGCGTCCCTGTACCACGGTCAGAGCTATCCCGACTTGTAAATGAATGCTTCTTCGGGCTCCCCAACCAGGACAGCCCGGATGACGAAGAGCTGCCTCTCGGACGCCTCCTCTACCACAAGCTCCTACAACTGCCCGCGGACGTGCGAGGCCTTTGCATCTCCCGCCTCATGTTCGTTGGGCAAGGTGCACCCATTCCCGGCTTGAAGCAGGAGACCATCGCTCAACTCAAAGCACACATCAAAGCGCATGGCTGGACGCCCGTTCGCGGCACACACGTCCAGAAGCAACGCAAAGGCCTTGTCGAGATGGCGCAGGCCCGAACAACACCCGTCGACGTACGCTTCGACACGGTACCGCCCGCCGGCAAAGATTACGTGGAAGAAAAGCTGCAGAAGCAGAAGGCCAAGGAAGCCCAGCAGCAGGATGTCCAGGGCCATGTCCGCGTCATCGACAGTCTCGGGGCGTGGGCGGGCGCAAGTCTGCTCGCCAGCTTGAAAGTCAAGGGCGTGGTGGAAATCGAGCGAAATAAGTTCTTGGACCATGGACTGGCGGGCGCCAGTCGAGAGGTGGATGTCAGTGTTGTGCCTCAGCAGCGAATGTCGACCTTGGGAATCGGTGCAGCCAAGGGTAGTGACCGCACCAGCTGGACTTTGGGCAGTTGGGGATGATTTCCCTGTCGCCTAGACTCGGTCGAGAATCGTGTTCATCTTCACTGGCTTAGCTGTTTGTTTACGGAATCGTAGGCCTCTGTTTTCTAAACTTTCGAGCGACATATACGGTATCACAACAGACCGTCGTTGACTTTTGACCTATGTACACACCTCTTCACGACTTCAAGACCGCGATATGTACAGCGAGCTGGTCCTGAATGTTCATGCCAATATAAAATGTTTCCGCGACCCGGCGGATCGCAAGCCGAAGCGTCAAGTCTTACAATCCCACCTCCGCGCCCCTCAGACAACACCCAAAGCCTGCGCTCCAGCCCTGAAGTCATCCATCGCAGTGTACGCGCCACACATGCGCCTCTTCCCCTCAAACGCCTTCCGACCATGCAGCACTCTCCAGTTATCAAACACCACCGGCTCGCCCGGCCTGAGCTTGACCTGCACCTCAAACTCGCCGCTCTCCAAGATCTCCTTCCACAGCTTGGCGGCGCGGTACCAGCCCAGCATGACCGAGTGGCTGGGGAAGACCGTCAGGGGAGAGCGATCGCAATTGTTCCAGCGCACCTGCGTGAGGGTCGACGGCGACAAGGCGTTTGGGCGCATTGACGGGTCCGCATGGTTCAGCACGGGCCCGCCTTGGATGTGCAGCGCGTTGTTGCGGAAGGGCCCAGCGGGAGAGCCTTCGGCGGCGAAGACGATGGGGATGGTGGAGAGGAGTTCGTAGGCGGCTTTGTCGGTGCGGTAGAGGGCGTCGGCGGCGGCGAAGCCGTCGGAGAAGGTGGATTCGCCGCCGAGGGTGGCGTCGAAGTCGGCGGGTTGAGGGGTGGTGCTGGAGGGGCCGTGGGAGAGGAGGTGGAAGAGCTGGAGGCCGCAGGGGTCGTTGAAGTAGGTGGTGTCGGTATGCAGGGGGAGGGACAGGTTGGTGTACGCGGTGTCAATGGGGTTGGCTACCGAGGTGAAGTCCCAGAAGCCGCCGTAGTGGGTGTGGCGGATGGGGCCGAGGGCGTTGAGTAGCTCGATGGTTGCTTCGGGGGAGGGAGGTGTGTTGGAGATGAAAGCGAGACCGTGCGTTTGAATCTGGGAGAAGAGGGAGGCACGGCCGGATTGAGAGGTCAGGGTCTCGAAGGAGGTTTGTGGTCGTGGACTGCTGGGTAGAAAGGGAGTCCAGTGCCGTGTCGCCTGGTGACGCTGAGTGGCATTGAGCTTGGAGCTGGGGAAGGGCGAGTGCTCCCTCAGCCACGACCAGGGGAATAGAGAGCGGTGAGCGTCGCCATCGGCCCAGATGATCTCAAGCCCGTCCGAAGTTGGTGCGATGGAGGCAGCTTTGGTAGACGGATCAAGTGCGAAGGTATCTAACTGGCGCTGATGCGTGTGTGGATGGGAGCATGTTTCGCAGAGGCAGTGGTCCCTGAGCCAAAATGAGGGATATCTCGCAGCCTCGCCTGAATCGAGCTCAACCAGGACCTCCTGGCTTGCAATGTCATTGATCAGGACTTTGGGGGTTGCCGGCCTGGCTGACGACGATATGAGGCGCCGATAAGCCGAGAATAGGCAGCTGCCGGTTGGTGCTCTGGGGGCCGACCTGCTACAACGTATAGGCAGTGGGGCGGTCCCTTGTTGCACGTGTCGAGCAGTGAGCAGGGTGCGTCTAGAGCTAGCTTGCCACCGGAGCGTCAATCTGGAGGGGCCGCAGCAGGATCGCCGCAAAGGACTCAAACCGCTCATGCTGTCAGATTCGCCTGGGTCACGGCACGGGTGTGTATCTGAGCACCTCAGCGATGAGTAAGGCAGGCCGGCACAGTTAAGAAGCCGTTGCTTAAGGCGTCTCCGGCTTAGCGGGCGCCCTACAGCATGCCTAGGTAACCAGTGTTTAGCCCCCACAGTGCGGCCCCGAAGCCGACGGGAATGGAGTCCTCCGTACTGTGACCTGCATTGACTTGTACCGCAAATATCTCCTTGGCATCTGCATCAGCACCAAGCTCAGCACAGTCGATCAGACCTTGACGATTCGACCGCCTCTGGACAGAATCGCATTGTTGTTGCATTTGCGCCATTATCAACATTCATATCTGCCTGTTCTGCAAGGTCCATCTGAGTCACCCTTCACGCCTGCATCGCGTAGTGCCAAAGCACATTTATACCTACAGCAGCCCTAGCTGTTGTTCGCTGGTAGGGCTGAAAACGTGTTTGTGTCAGCGACGTAATCCAAAACTCGGCGATCGGCGACGTTGTGCGCTTGCAGCGGCGCATCATGGTCCGAAGTTGATTAATTACGCTTCTACTCTGGATGTCTGAAGGCCCAGCAAAGAAACCTCCCCGGTTCGGCGGACCTCGTATCAGATCTTGGGGCCCCAAGAGCCGTACCGGCTGCTTAACATGCAAAAAGCGTCGCGTCGTGCGTCTTCTCCTCCAGCGTGCTCGAGAAAATCGTTAACCATGGGCAGAAATGCGATGAGGCTCGTCCAGCTTGCAGGCGCTGCGTCCAGGGCAACCGTAGGTGTGAGGGCTACGAGGAAACCACCAAACCATGGGTGTTCGAGACCGCAACTCGCGCCGACTCCCCACTTCCACCTACACCAGAAAGCAGTACCGCCATTCCCAGCTGGGAAGCATCCCACGGACTTTGCGATGATTCTTTGTCCCCGGACTCAGACGACATCCTCGAAGTCGTCCGCGGTGAGCACTTATGTGCGCGCTGTGGATTGCCCCACATTGAGATGGCCTGTCCTTCCAGCCTTTTGAGTAGCTTCTTTCGACCATCCGACAGTCCCTACCGACGGCAGAATGAGCAATACTTGTTCAAATTTTTCGTGGAGGTCGCGGGAGCTTCAGTCGCGAGAAGCAACATCAGCGCCTACTATTGGCTTGGGGCCTTCCCTCAAATCGCCTACGAAACCCAGTCCGTAAGAGATTGCCTTCTTGCGGTGGCTGCCGCCTTCCACCAAGCCTCTGGTAGCATATTCGTTGACCATGCCCAACCGGGTGTCTCGACCCTTGTATACGAGGGGCGTGCTATGAGATCTCTCAGCCGGGGAAGCCCCTCCACCTACGAAGTCCTGAACACTTCGATGGCATTCTGGGTAACATCAATGGTTATTGGCAACTGGGGTGCCAGCTTGCAGCACCTCTACTACTGTCTCAAGATCATCAGCGGCTTGAAAGATCCGTCCGGCTACGATAAGATGCAGTTGCAATATCAGGGGGCTCTCGCGAAGATTGGTCTCGCATATTTTCGCATCACCCGTGGGCCGTGCCAGAAGCATGGCCCGGGTGACTTTCTCGCATGCGACGCTGAATGCTTCGAACCGGAGGAAAAGCCTTTCGAGCACCGTGTGGCGGATGCTCTCCATCACATGAAGGCCGCCTTCCCATCCTTTGAGCTCTGCCTGGACTTGCTTCGCAATCGAATGGAGCCACACACTTACCAAGCAGAGCTGGAAGCAATGCTTGAAAAAGAAATTCGTGAGCTGAAGTTTCTAATTGCAGCTTGGTCCGACACGGTGCGCGTTCATGTACTCCAACATGTCTGGGAAGAAGCTCTGTTGCAAACACCATACACGGCTTCCCCATTCGAGTCTGTTCTCGCAGACCTTATTCGTTTCATTGTCAATGACCAGTACAGCACGGGCTTAGTCTTCCAGGAGTTGGAGCTGCGGACTCGTGTGACGATCCCCCATATCGTGGCATCCACAGCTCGCGGTAACGGCCTGATCGTGAAGGACAGTCTCGTTCTGATGCTGTACGGTGGCTATTCCGAAGGCCTCCTCAAAGTCAGAGGTAAATTCGAGGGCGAGCACATCAAGCGATTGATGGAGCACATGAAATGAGAGCCGCCAGGATGAATCTGTACCAGCACCCAGCTGGTACCTTTCCATGACCATACCATTGCTGTTGTTTCAACGGACAAGGTACATGCGTGATCCACTACCGAGCGTGTACACGCCAATGCTGGTTCGATGTCCGCATCACGTTGTGTTTGACGAAGCGCATCTGCATCCTCTACTGCCAACACGAGTCTGACGGAGGATCAGTTTCGATGCATCGTCCCAGTATCCCCACCAGAACCATTAATGTGTACCAAATGTTACGCGACGAGCGTGGGGGCCATGCCAAGATGAGGCATACCGCGCAGTGACTAATCACCAACGCGGACTAGCGACTTGCGTCTCGACGCCAGCTTGTCACAGCGTAGAAATCTGCCAGCTTCACTCCTCTCCTAGCGGATGCTTAGATAACGACACCATTCACACGATAGGAAGGCATACAATGTTGCCATAGGTCGAAGCTGGAGCCAGCCACTCCAGTGTTCGTACGACCCTATACTGGAATACCCGCCGATCAGGCTGGGAAATGGTCAGGAGAGGCCAGCTCACGACTACCTTGTCATCAAAGGAATTTGCTTAAGGTCTTGCCTATCAACGTCATACACCAACCACAGCAGTCATATGTAGTCCACCACGCCATTTCTTTGTCAAGCATTACCGCCAGCCACACCGCTATCTGTAACAAGCTCTATGGCTTCCTTGGATTCAGACTTATAAAGCAATCTTCTGTAAGGGAGCCATCATGAGCGAGACGGCAACCGCAAACCCCCCGCCGGGATTTCCCTGGACCGGTCTGCTACAATGGCAACCATTCCAGATCGACGCCCTCGGTCTGATTACATTGCTGGGAGCTGAAGAAGTGAATGCTTCTGTTGGCAGGCTCGTACGCAGCACATGGCTGGAATACTTGCCCCTCCTGGGCGCGTACGTCATCGCCAACGAGCGTTTCCGCGAAAAGGAAGCTGGCTTTCACCTCTACAACATCTCCAAAGGCATTGCGACAACAGATCTCGCTCCTTGGTTCTCCCGCTGGATCAAGGCCCAAGACTTCGAGCAGACCCGGAGCTTCGTAAGGTGGACCGTCGAGAAGCGACCAAATCTGCGATATCAGCATATCCTTGGCTTTGGGCTCAGCTTCAGCGCTATAGGGTTCTTGCTCGCAATGACTGTGCTATCCTACGACTGGTATGGTTTCGCTAATGCCCTGTCGATGGCAAGCTCGGTCATGGTGCGGCACTATATGATTGAGTCTATGCGTGATGCAATTGACGAGCAAGTTCTGGGGTCACGAAACGAAGACAAGCGGCCGCTTGATGAAAAGAAAGAGAAACTTGTCGGGTCCCATCCACTCGATCGAGGCTGGCTTGGCAAAAATCCTTCAAAGCTTCTCATCATCACTTCTGACGCGAAGGCCGTTACGATGTTGATACCAGAAGAGCTTATGAAACCACCCTCACCGTTCATCGCTCGATTGCAGCCGCACCATCGCTTCTGGTATGGTGTCATGAGGTGGGCAGGTTGGATCGCATTTGCGGTGCAGGTCATCTCGATCGGTATGGCCGATCTCGCCACACAGTTGGTTACTGTATTCCTGTTGGTAGTCCCAACAGTTCTCCATGTTAGCAAGCTGGGATGTGATGACTCGAAATGGAAGCAAAACATAGCTCGCGGCTGGGAGAAATTTAGGGGCATGTTGGGGAAAGAACCGCCACGGCCCAAGCCTGACGAGGAAAAGATCGGAACCGAAGTCTACATCAGCCAACCCAACGAGCCAAAAGCCAGAGAATTCAGCTTCAAATACGCGTGCTGGATAGGCAATCTCCTAAAAGCCGAGGTCTACGAATGGCCAATGGATCACCACTATACCTTCACCGGTAAGGACGAGCGCGGCCCGCGACGTGTAAAGCCATATGTGCACACCAACAAACCCTTCGACAAGCGACAGTATCTCTATGCCTGGCTGCAACTGACCAAGCAGGAGACTGACAGCATGGACAAGTGGGATCTCCTCCCGCACGACCGCCCTGGCCACAATGATGGCTGGCTCAAGGACTATCAGATGGGCAGGGACCACGTCACCGAGCTCAACAGGCAGGGTCAGGGGATCATGAAGATCATTGCGAGAGCTCCTGGGGCGCAAGCTCAAGACCATGCGGACACGAGAGCCGCTGACGCCGAGACCACCAGGAGCAGCGCCGATGGCATACATTCCCGAGACTTCCAGCTCGCTCACACCACCGATCCCAACATCGGAGGCGGACTTGGAGGTCGAGGGAGCGTCGGTGCCGCCAACGACAGCCAGCACGATCCGCTCCCCTCGCCGAGAACAGCCAGAGACCGCGCTCCTGCGGCTATTGCAGACCCCATCGCCCACGAGGTGGTGGACACCGAGGAGCTCTGGCAACCCCTGCCACCGAGACGGCGAGACACGGGCATGACGGTGGATTCGGCCAACTATGTCAGCCACGAGGTGGCCAAGGAGCGCAGGCTGAGTCTCGCGAGCTTGCCGCCGGTGTCGAGAGGGAAGGCGGGTCCTCTGCCGCCGGCGTCACCTGTCGAGCGGTAGAATTTTTTGGGGCATGTTTGAATGAAAGTCACATGGCGGGAAACGGAGGGAGGGAGGGAGGAGTCAGTAGGCGGCAAGTTGGTAGAGTGGCCAGTACTACTTAGCGATCATGTAGCGTTAGAAAACTCGATAGCGGCACTTGTAGCAATTGGAGAAAGAAGGGCCTTTTTTTGTAATGTGGCATACGATTTTCTATGCATCTAGACAATAAAAGGCTGGGACTACAAGCTGAGCAAATAGATCCCTTCGCGAGCCAGGCACAGGGCTTTCCCTCCGGTTTTTCAGCGGCAGAGTTTGGAGAATATGCTCGACACCGCGGATAGTTAGTGGAGTATCTTTCCCTCATCAGTGCCCGGCTTGCTTTTGGCCCCGATGCATTTCTTTGATTTTCTTATTTTCTTGGGTGATTTTGCTCTCGATTTGCGAAAGGGTGGCTACTTCGGTGATCTTGGCGGTCCATCTTCACTAGGTGAATCGGGTCTTGTTCGGCAGGTTCGTGGACGCATGCAGGATGGCGAGGCGCACACTAGGAAGAGCATGCTTACCAGCCGGAAGTGGGCTGGGCGCTGCCCTCGGCCCAGTCACCGCCGCCAGTGCCGGGATCGTTCCAGTTGGCGTCCGGCGCAGGCGCACCCTCGATGCCGGGGGCGGCGCCGCTCTCAGCGGTCCAGTCGGCCTGGCCGGTGAAGCCACGGTCGACGGCAGCAGGACCGGCCTCGTCAGCGCCAGGCTTCTGCTCCTCCTCCTTCTGCTCCTCAGCCTCAGGATCGCGGTAGAAGTACAGATCAACGACGACGTCCCAGTCAACCTCGCGGTTGGCTAGGGTGCCGCGCAGGCGCAGGACCTCGCGGGCCAGCATCCACCAGACGAGGCCGATGGCGTGGCGACCCTTGTTGTTGGTGGGGATGGCGACGTCGACGAACTCGGTGGGCGAGTCGGTGTCGCAGAGGGCGATGACGGGGATGTTGACGTAGGACGCCTCCTTGATGGCCTGCGCGTCGGTGCGGGGGTCGGTCACGATGATCAGGCGGGGCTCCTTGAACGAGCGGGTGATGTAGTTGGTGAAGTTACCGGGGGTGAAGCGGCCGGCGATGGCGACGGCGCCGGTGTGTGCGGCGAACTTGAGGACAGCACGCTGGCCGTAGGGGCGGGCAGAAATGACACAGATGTCGGCGGGGTTGTCGATGGCGGCGATGATGCGCGCGGCGAAGACAATCTTCTCCCTGGTGGTCTGTTAGCGTCACATGTCTCTTGTAGGCCTGTGAGATTGCTCGTACCAGGTCTTGGAGAGGTTGATGACATTGATACCGTCAGGGCGAGTCTTCCAGAGGTATGGCTCCATGTGCACCTGCAGGTTCTTGCTGCCGAGATGGGACTGGGCAGCCAGGAGCATCTCAATGTCCTGAGAGGTAGGGTTGAAAATGGGGGGAAGGTTCGAAGGAGCAGCCATGTTTGCGGTATTGAGAGCGACCTGGGCTTGGTTGTTGAAGGAGCGTCGAGAGGTGTAGAGGTCGTCGATACAAAGATGCTTTGAGGTCTGCGAATTATTCCGTGTGCGCGCGCATGAGCCAAGATTTGCAGGCCGCTAGTGCCAGAAAGGGCAAGAGATGGTCATATCCGGAGAAACTTTATTGCGGCTGAGCCGCGCGCCTTGAATTTCTGGCAACAGGAGACCGAGCTTCAGGTATCAAGCACGTAGCCAGTGCAGCAATGCCTCCGCGGTTGGTAGTCGCTTCTGCGAGTGGTCTTTTCAACTGTATGATCCCCGTCGAAGGTTTCAATGGAAAAGCTAACCGCTAGCAGTCACAAGTCTCTTACAAGCTGTCCCGGCTCCGGTCCGATCAGAGTCATTGATCAAGTGCTCATCATGCCTCTTCTCAACAACAGCGTCACAGCAAATGAAGAAGAAGCGAAAAGTCAGGAAGCATGTTGATCCTTACCGAGCGGCGCAGGCGAAGCAACGAAGAGCTGCAAACGTGGCGCGCCAGGAGCTATTACGCAAAGAGCGAGACGCTGGTATTGGTGACCCCGTTCAATCCCGCTCAACGCCTTTCATCGAGTCGCTCAAACCAAACGCTCCGATCGAAACGCTGAAACAATCATACATGAACTATTTTGTCAAGCCCAATGAGATGGCACAGTCCATCGAACGTTCAAAATGGCTGTCCGAACCCTTGCAAACTGTGAAGGATGAATTTCGGTACGCAGCGGACAAGGAGAAGCATGAACGGGACCATGAAAACGCCGTGAAGGCGATGCAGTCGATAGCCAGCCTTGAGAACGCCAGCAGCAAGGACAGGACCAGAATCAACATAAATCGATGCATCGAGGAATTTGGCCGACATAAGACCGATGAAACCCTTCCTCCCAAGCCTGAGAGCTCCCAGCAACCCAATCTTGCCGACATCGAAGGCTTTGCCGCGGTTCCCAAACGCAGTGGCCCTGATACGGGATCTCCAGAAGTTCAAGTCGCCATCCTCACAGCCAAGATCAACGTCCTTGCCGAAAACCTGTACAAGAAGGACAAGAACAACAAGCGGAACCTGCGATTACTGGTTCACCGGAGACAGAAGCATCTCGCATATCTAAGGAGACAAGATCGTGGAGGGCCGCGATGGCAAAATCTTGTCGAAAAATTAGGCATCAACGATGCCATGTGGAAAGGCGAGATCAGCTTGTAACATACAATGTATAAATTCAGGGCACACTATGCGTACCAGCTCCTATGGATTAGCCCTTTGTCCATGTGCCCGCTTCCGGTCTAAAGCCACCCACATATCCTTCCGCCGCCATGATATGTTCTTGGTAAGTTTGGCCGGTTAGACTCACTTGCTAATACGAAAGACCACACCACGGTATTTCATGACACACCGCGTCCTCCGTCAACATCAAAGGCCGCACCAGTGATGTAGTTCGCCTCATCCGAGGCAAGGTAGCAAACCATATTTGCAACATCTTCTGGCTGGCATACTCGCCCCAGCGGCACGGTACCCAGGACTTTCTTACGTCCTTCGGGCGTATCATGGCCACCGAGCACCTTCGGAAGCCTGCAATACGATCAGCGTCTCTGGTTTTTGACGAATGGAGGCGCCTGAGCTTACATTGCTGTCTCGCCTACCGCTGGTCGAATGCAGTTGAAGCGAATGCCGTGCGCCGCATATTCGCCTGCAAGACCCTTCGTTGTCTGCAACACAAATTAACTTGGTTAACGTCAGCAGCAACGAAAACACTCACGACAGTTACGGCTCCCTTGCTCGCGGCATACCAAACCAGGAAAGGCCGCGGCCGTGGCTCGGATATGCTGCTCAGGTTCACGAATGACCCCTTGACTTTGTTCTCAATCCAGTACGGCGTGATGACCTTGTTGCTCAGATACAATGGCTTCACATTGACCCTGAACATGAGGTCAAACTGGTCTTCCGGAATCGTGTGGGAAGGTCCCGCGTTATGAACGACTCCGGCGCAATTGACGACGATGTCAAGTTTACCAAAGCTATCCAGCACTGCTTTCAATATGCCCTTCCAAGATTCTTCCGACGAGACGTCTGCTGTGTGAGCCACACAGCTGTCCGGTGTCGCCTCGGCTGTTTCGCGCACCGTTCGCTCATTCAGATCGACGCCTAGGACTTTGGCGCCTTCGGCAGTGACTTTCTTGACGATGCCTCGGCCGAAGCCAGCGCCCGCGCCGGTAACGACTATGACTTTGCCATCGAGTCGACCCATGTTGTTGGCGATGTGCAGACTTTGCTTGTGCAGTTTCCAACGTACTAGAGGTTTCACGACACGGTGTTCGATATTGCTCTCCCAAAGGCAGCAAAGGCAGGTAGATGATGAAGCAAGTGAGTCCCAGCAGCACCTTTTCCCGTCGTTGACTTGAGTCGACTTATCTACTTCGAATACACTTCGAAACTACCCGAGGGTACGAAAGCACTTCTGGTTCTCCACACTTTGCCTTGTGGATTTGCGGAGAAGACATGGAGAGGAGGAGGGGCAGCGAGCCTGGACTTTCTCGGCGAGGTTGCCTTAACCAGATTGCTTCTGGAACTCGACCTGCTTGATACAATCACATCGATGCTGCATCGGTGAAGTCTGAGGGTGCGAATTCCGCCCTGAGCGTGATCGCTGCTTCCCAATTTTGCCCTGTTCTGTCCAGGACACTTCCGAAGCCCTACATCTTATCCACTTCAACATCATTCAGAGACAGCAACGTACAAGCTCATCCGTGCCTTTTCGACCTGGACGCTGAATCACTGCATCTATCATGCAGGGGTTATATGGAGTCTTTCCAAATCCGGCGGCTGAGCTAGACACCCTGGTTGCCCTACCTAAGACAATGCAGCCGGTATTCAGCCCGAATGCACACCTCAGGTCGAGGCTTGCGCTGGGCATTTGACTCAAGAGGGGCCATGTTCGTGGCTGTCGTCGGCCTACTCACATTGACTAGCATGTACGGAATCTGCTTGTCGTGTCTGCAGCCCGGATCAAGAGACAGCATCCGCTATGCGTTAGGTTTGGTGCTCTGGCCGTCAGCCACCCTTCACCAGCAGCCTGGTCCAACATGAATGGATGGATGTCAACAAATTTTCTCGGATCGAGCGACGTGGGCCATCTCGATAGCAGCCTCGAGAACTCTGAATGCAATGTTGCAGACCGCTATTCTATCAGCCGTTGGGTATAAATTTCAGGTTCTGCTGGACATGCATGACCAAGCTACCTACATCACATCTCTACCTTTCTCTGGGGTAACGAGAACAGCAGTCATTCAAGCAACAGCAATGGCGAGCATAACTTTCCCCCCAGTGCCCGAGTTGCCGATTCATCCGTACGTTCAGTACCTGAGGTCTACTCTCGTCAAAATCGACCGCCTCAAAGACCTTGAAAAGGCCATACGCGAAAGCATCGAGAAAGACCAAATCGTGGAATTTACTGAATGGGGCATTACAGACGCAAGCCGCTTCTTCCAGTACGCAAGCTACCTCCTTACATCGTGGATTCCGAGTGAAACGCAAGACGGTCGTTTCGTCTACTATGTCCTCACCATCTTTTACTACGTCTTCGACAAAGCCAGCATCGAAGACCTGCAGACGCCCATCGCCCCCACGTCCATTCAGGGCGACATGCCAATCATCACCCCAGTCTCTAATTGGATCACTGGCTTTGCTGTCCGCATGGGACAATGGCTGGACACACCTGACTCCCTGACGCCGGCCAGCTATCAGTCCTTTGTCCACTCTCCACCGTACCGTGTGGGTCCACACGGCGACTACCACATCCCTGACCCTGCCGACCCCCGCGGTGGCTTCAAGACCTTCAATGAACTCTTCTGCCGCCGCCTGCGCTGTGATTATCCCTATACCGGCGTCCGCCCGATCGCGGGGCCCAAGGACCCCAACGTCGTCATCTTCCCCGCCGACTCGACGTTTGACGGGGCTTTCCCCATCGATAGCAACAACACGGTCGAGATCAAGGGCCTCCAGTGGCCCATTTCCGCCCTGCTAGCCGGCTCGGAGTACGCTGACAGTTTCGCCGGAGGCACCTGGGCACACGCATTCCTCAATACGTTCGACTATCACCGGCAGCACGCGCCTGTGGCCGGAACAGTCGTCGAGGCCTCCAACATTGAAGGGCTATGCTATCTGCAGGTCATTGCCAAGGACGACGAGCATGGGCATACGCGACTGAAACCACACCGTGGATTCAGGAGCCCAGCTAACAAGCCCCGGCACAATGGCGACGTAGTCGCACAGCCAGACGCCCCCGACGAGGCGGGCTACGAGTTCATCCAGACGCGGGGTCTGATCATCATCAAGACGGGACGGCCGGAAGTCGGCTTGGTGGCGGTGCTGCCCATGGGCATGGCGCAAGTGAGCAGTGTCAAGCTGGCGGTGCGGGTCAACCAGGAACTGAAGAAGGGTGAGGAGATTTCGCATTTCGAGTTTGGCGGAAGCGACATCGTCCTGGTCTTTGAGAAGAAGGCCGGTGTGGATTTCTCCAAGATGCCCTTGAAGGAGCACCACTTCATGGGCGAGCAGTTGGCGACGTTCAATCCTGCTGCTGCTGGGACTTGAGGGCTACCTTGAACTACTGATTTGAGGAACGGGAGAGAGCAGGGGCAGAGAGAAGGGGGTTGGATATCCACGACTAACTCTATCCGGTCACTACCGCACGACAAATGAGTGGTTCGAGAATTCTGCCAGAATTATCGGCATAGAAGGAAGAGGGTAAGAAAGTGTCACTGTATCAACAGCGGCCGCTCACTAAGCGGCCGCTGCCCTACATTATAGAAGCGAAATAAGCCTGCCCGTCATGTATGCGTTGCTCCCAAGCCCTAAAGTCTTACATCAAGAAGTGAAAACCCCAGTCATGGCCTGCCCTCCCCCTTCCCCTTGATCTCTCTATCCCACTCCCCAAGATCACGGTCGCCCGATGCTCACAGCGCAAAAGCAGCCACAGCAGCAGCAACAACCCCCGCCACCACCAAGGTCATCGACCCGCCCACCCTCGCCGCCGCACCCGTCGACCCCAGCGGCCCCTTGTTGTTCCCGCCCACATTCACGGGGTTCATCGGCCCGCCCGTCCCGCTACTGGGCCTCGCGCCCGTCGCGCTCGGCCTAACCCACCCTGTGCTGTTGCACGGCAAGCTACCATCCGTGCCGTTGCGCAGTGGGAAGCTCGTGTGGTTCATGGGCGCGGGGGGCAGGTGGCCCTTCGTTGTCGTCGTGTTGTCTGCTGCTGCTGCTGCTGCTGTCGTGGCGTTCTCGGGGATGCTGGCTGTGATGGCGTCGGCGGTCGTGGAGGTGTCGTTGCAGGGCTCCGTCACGGTGCTGGTGGCGGTGCCGGTCGTCTCGACGAGGAGGACGGTGTGCGTGACGAAGGGTTGGGCTTCTTGGCGGGGGAGGAGGGAGGGGTTGTTGGCGCTATCGCTGCTGTCGGAGCCTTGGTGTAGGACTTCCCAGGCGGGTTCGACGAGGGCGGGAGGCGCGAGGTCGATTTTGGCGTTTGCGTCGTGGAAGGGCGCGGGGGGCGACTCGGGGTTGGGAGTGTTGGAGGAGGGTAGGGAGTCGTCAGCGCGGCGGTGCAGCGGTGGCGCAGCGGCATTCAGATCGGCTAGTTTGACGACGACGGGGATGTTGAAGTGGGCTTCGCCGTTGCTGTCGAGCGGGAAGGGTGGGGATGTCGCAGAGGGCGTGTCTTGTGCTGAAGCGAGGAGAGGCACGGCGAGGAGGAGGAGGGCGGCGTGTACAGGAGCCATTCTGTTGGAAGGCATCGTTGAGGGTGAGCGAATGAGATGGAGGCGTCGGCGGTATTTTGCACCGTGGTATTGGATACTCCTATGCTGAGATTGCGACTTTTCACACAGCTGTCTCGAAGGTACTGCACGGAAGGATCGGCAAGGATGAGGCATCCAAAGGCAAGACGCTGGCAAGAGAAGACCAAGATATTCTGGGTAGCAGGCGGCTTGAAGCGCGCTCGAGATGACCGGATGCGGTGGCATCAACTATAAGAGGCACAAAGACGGGTTTTCGATTGTGTGTACCATCCATTTGTGGACAATTGATGAGTCTTTGTTGTGTCTGTGCTCAGGGAAGTCTAGTCTGGACTGCTGTTCCCGGCGCGTTCGATGGGAATCTATTGTTGGTTACCGTGCTTTGTCCGCTGCATCTGAGGACACGAGCATTCCGAACTTTGGTCAAAGCGTCCAAAGAGTGAGGTGAGCAGTCCGCAATTCTAGGGCAGGTATAAAGACTGATGGACGATCTGTATCATTGGAGTATCTGTCGGGCGCTTTGCTTGCTCTTCAAAGATGAGAAGTAAGTCATAATTGTGTAGAAAAATAGGTTTGCAGCAGGTCCCGAGTTTGCCCTTGTCGTAGTGGCAGCGTGCTGTAACTTCCGGCTGCCGGCGTTATCGTCAGTAGCCGATTTCCAACCAACCTTCTCGTTTGCTGAATGACCGAGGAGTAATTGTATTGGTGGCCGCTCCGCTCAGCCTGCTGTCATCGATGTCCGCTATCATTTTTGCCACCCTCTAGGCGTAATGCAGATAGTGCTTTCGGCGATGAGCCACCTTACCGACCCTTCTCCATCTCCAGTGCACACTGGTCCTGCTCGTCATCGCGCTCGCGAGGTTTCGCGATCCATCGAGTCTTTTGGGTGACCTCCTGGAGCACCCATGGTGCAGGATACCCACGTCCCATCTTGCGCTCCCATTCTCCGAACTTGACTTCTAAAACTCGTGCAGTGCTGTTTCCACGAGATCCAAAGATGAAACGCCAAAGTTTGCCCACAAACTGCTCCATCTGCGGTTGAGTCGAGGGAGGAATGGGCTCAGGACGCAGTTTGGCTCTCTTGGAATCGTGGTCTCCATCTCGAGAATTGGCAGCGGCGTTCTCGGCCACGGTATCGTCCTCTGCATCTCTCCGATCTTCGCCTTCACTTCCGCTATCATCGTCGTTATCGTCATAGTCATCATCATCAGCGTCGTCAGGTGACCGGCTCGAGTAGTATCTTGGATTGGCGAGACTAGCGATGCCTAGGTCGTAATATATCTGCAACTTAGCCAACTTCATCTTGGCTAGTTCTTTGATCACATCATCGACTTCAAGTTCTGAGTCCAGCTCCCGGGTATGACGGTCGCAGTCAACTGACAAGTCTCTCAATTGTGCGCAGGTTTCACGAATGGCCGCGATATCCTCAGCGGTGAGAACTTTCCTGCTGCCGTCATCGTCATGCTCAATGGTCTCCCTCTCATGCAGATGCAGGGTTTCCAAAGAAGGCCCATGGCGTGTTAAGACTGTACTCAAAGAAATGGCGCCCATCCAGGACCAGAGACTTATGCTCTGAAGTGGTGAACACGTGGTGAGATAGTTCTCCGCAGCGGCTGAAAGGCTTTTTCCACCGTAGCTGAGGTTGAGGGAAAGATGCTTCAGGTTGGGAAGCAACTTCGGAGCGCTGGTGAAATAATTCACATCAGGAGCGCCTCGAGAGCACTTGATGTTTTCCAGCTGCGAAAGATCGACAAATCTGGCCCATTCATTGAGTGTGCTCTCACTGAGAGGATATCCGTCTAAAGTCAGGCGTCTCAGGGATTTGTTGGGTTTTGGATGTGTATGAAATCTTTTCGCACGTGCCGCCTCGTCCTTGCTCTCATCGGAAGTCGGAATATGGACAACACAGCCAGAAACACCTTCAGAAATAGAAGCAAATCTCAAGTTTGGAGCATTGGCGACGATGCGCTCGAAGCAAGCACGTCTGAGATCCGGTGTGTTTCCGTTCCTCCATATCTGAGTCCTGATGGCGGTCAATGCGGGAGAATGAGCTAATGCGATTTCAGCTGGATCGTGCTCGTCCGCAGTCTGTTCGTTCCGCTGGAAGTTGTAGACCAACAGCTCAGCCGACTTCTGGTGTTCATGGAGAGCGTTGAGCACACTCAAGGGGATCGCAGAAGCACGATTCCATGTCAATGTCTTGAGTTTTCCCAGTCTTGAGATGAGCTTGACAAGTCCCTCCCAATTGGTAGCTTCGTTTTGGAATGGCTCAGTTCCCCAATATAGTACATTCTTGCTGTCGACTGTCATGTCTCTCAGGCCGCGAAGAATGTTATCGTCCTCTAGCCAGTCGTGAACCTCCGGACAGATGGCGCAATTAGGTGCGATAAAGAGGGTTTTGCGCCTGTGTACAACAAGCTTGCTGGTAGCATGAATAAGTTTGTTTGTCAGAGCGAAGTTCAGAGCTGAATTTGCTGAGCTGTCTGCAACATATTCAAATATGAGTGCAAGAACCTCAACTTCGAGGTCGTCAAGTCGAGGCATGGCGCTTAAGATGAAAAAGTCAGACTATGTGGGTCGAAGAACAATGATCGGCCAGTGGCGATCTTGATGAGAGTGTGTGAGGTGGCGGTGGTGAAGTAGACGAGGTCGAATGTTGCACAAGTGGAGATCAAGTTAGGCAACGACCGCCAAGCCGCTAGTCTTACAAGGCAGCCATCCGCTTGAGCGTTAGCGTTGATGTACGCCTTTTGCCCGCCTAGACCTTGTCCTCCGATTGCCCGGCTGTGACCGTTTGCTGCGGATCATTCGTCAGCCCTTTCTCACTGGATCGTACCGGCCCCTCGTCTCGTTCCCCGGGCACGGCCTCATCGTCCGTGACGGGAGGTGGTAGCTCATGTGGCAGCTGCTCCGGCTCCTGCTCCTTGACCTCTTTTACCGGCCGTGCAACATTCTTTCTGATATCCCAACCCCCCCTCCAGCCTACCCAGCCCTTCTCGTGTGGGCCTCGAACAAGGCAAATTAGAAGCGCGAACGTGATAAAGCCCACACTCGCACTGCCACTGGCGATCCATCCCCCATGAGCATACAGGCGGTTGCCAACAGCGGTCCCCATCAATTGACCACTAAATACGCTCACCATGTAAGCTGTATTGACACGGTTCCTAGCCTTTGGCGCAGTGCTGTATATTGCGGTCCTGTTGGCAATCTGACTTGTCTGTATCCCGATGTCCAGCCCCATAGCCTGGAGAATGGGACCAGCGACCGTGATCTTGCCCGTATACGTCCCGACAACGACACTGGTGAGACAAATTATCTCGCCAATAATCACACTGAACAGCGGGACAGTCTTGTCCATGACAGTCCGAGCAAAAATCGGACCCCATGTCATCGCCGCGATCCCTATCAGTGCAAACATGCCAATCACGAGACTCGAGTAGTGGTATGGAGGACCCGCCAACAGAAAAGTCAATGTCGTCCAATAATTGGTGAAGGTAGATGAGGTGAAAAAGCCGATCAGACATGCCTGCATCAGCGTCGGAAACTTAAAGGTCAACTTGATGATGTCCCACAGCAAATATGGGTATCTTCTGATGAGACTCTCTCCCGGATTCGTCGAGGGATAGTCCGGCATGAACAAGTACAGCAGGATCAAGATGATGTACTGCAGAGCGAACGAGATCCAGTAAATGTACCTCCATCCGATGACAAACGCCACAACTCCGGAGAGGAAGCGTGCCAGAAGCATTCCCAGCAGCATGCCAGAGACCACGACCGAAAGCGCTGTGGCTCGTCGGTGAGCCGGGGCCAGGTCGCCCACCAGCGGTAACATGAGCTGCGGAGTCACGGTAGTGACCGATGTGATGAAAGATAGCGCGAGGAAAGCATGAAAGTTGTGTGTCACGCAAAGACCAATCCTATGGTGCCTTCAGCATGGTCCGGGAAGGATGGAAAGCGTGGCGAGTGCTCACCAGAGAGTTGCCGTGAACCATACCAGCCAAAGCACAAATAGTCGTCGTTTGAGCTGATCTCCCAGAGGACAGAGAAAGAGCAGACCGGCAGCATAGCCGGCTTGCGCAAGCGTGGGGACGTATGACGCTTGCTCATCGGTGACGCCAAAGTCTTTAGCCAGGAGGTTGAGGATGGGATGGTTGTAGTAGAGATTTGCAACCGTGAAGCAGCCAGCGAATGCTAAGCATCATCAGCCAACAATCCACAGTCCATGACCGTAACTTCAGTCGTGCTCACCAAAGAGAATGTTCAAGCCTATATTGAAGGCAAAGGGTTTCTCCGGATCGTATCTGCATCTCGGCGGCACATACGCCAAACGATCGACCAGTGATCGTAGCCACATTTTGTGCGTAGTGGTGTTCTGAGTCTCATCTTGGGCGTCAACTGATTGCTGAGGCTCCAGAGCAATGGCTTCCTGCTTGCCTGACATGACCAGGCAGCGAGGACATCAGCGGTCAACAAATCCATGATGCAAGCAAGATATGGGAAATGGAGAAGAAGTAATAGCGTCGATATTGGAGAAGCCCCAACCGTAACGGGCAGGTCGTCTAACCTGTTGATCCCGGCTGAGCCTTTCTCCGGGCTTTGCGATAGGCGAGTACGGGAAATTTCCGGTTAAGAGCCTCGGGTGAAGAATTGGGATTCGCTCGCAGCCTCTCGCTCGTGTCTTCCTAGATCTTTGAGATCTCCTTTCCAAAGAGGATATTCAGGATCCATGTTATCAGGATCGCCAGTCTAGAACGCCAACTCCTGTTCCACATAAGGCTGCCGGAACGCCATGCAAGCCATGCGCTTCTGCCCGTCCAGCCCTCGTCATTGTGCCCCTTGCCCGCAATCACGCCATCTCTCTGACCAATGTAGCTGACGAGACGCTTCTGTGTGTATTGGAAGGGCTGCTCGAATGCTGGCCTGCCGGCCTTGATCTTGTTGAGATTGTCAACGAGATATTTCGACTTCTGACAAGCGACTTCAGCTGTTGTGGGGAGGCTCGCTCTCTCGATGTCTGCCGCGTCACCCAGGGCAAACACTCCTTCGTGAAGCTGGTTGCCTTGCTTTCCTGACGCAAGAACCCGAAGTCGATCGTCAGTCTGAATGCGCTTCAAGCCCTTCTCGGGAAGTTTGACATCTAGCTTCTCAAGCAAGGGTACATGTCGATTGCCAGTCGCCCAGATCAGCATCCCGTACGGCACCCGGCCGCGGTCCTTAATATAGAGGGCATCTGAGTCAACATTCTCAATCTTGGTATTCGGCGCTACGTCAATGCTCCGTTTGAGCAGCTGCTGAGTCGCGTACTCGTGCAACTTTTCGTCGTATGCACCCAGGATGTGAGGCGCGACGTCGTAGATTGATAGTGACATGTATTCCACCACCGACGGGTAGAGACCGGCAAGCTCGTTCTTGCAGAGGTCATCAAGCTCTGCGGTGAGCTCAATTCCAGTCGGACCACCTCCTACAACCGCGATATGAAGCAGCGCTCGAGCACGCTCTTCGCTGACGTTCGGAAGGCTGGCCTTTTCCAGTAGGTCGAACAAATTCTTACGAATTTTCATGGCGTCTGACACGTTCTTCACAAAGAGGCTGTGCTCCTGAACGCCAGGCGTGCCAAACGTGTTGGGCTGGCAACCAGGCGCAAGGACTAGATAGTCATACTCGATAGCAAATTCCTCCTTAGCTAACTCCGGGTCTTCATCGAATGCCGGAGCACATTGACACGTTTTGCTAACGAAATCGACATCCAGCACGTTTGCTTTGATAAATCTGAGCGCTGAGCGATGCTTTGACCGAATCGATTCCTCTGCTAGGTAGAAGTTGAAGAGACCCACCGCTGCTGAAGCCAACAACGGAGTGTATGCAGACGTGCGACGTGGCGATAGGATTGTGACCTCGTACGCGGAGAGATCGATGTGGTCACTGATGTAGAATCCAGCCCATCCACTGCCGACCACAACCAGCCGCGGCTTCGAGGACGTCATCTATGTGGCGAGCTTGCAAAAGATCAAAGAAGCTGTGCAGAAAAGAGGTTGTGGGAAAGTTGCACACAATGTCGAGGATCACAACCCGTATTTAATGTTGTTGGTGATGGATGGGCGAAAGTTGGCAGTAAAATGGTTGTACATCCATTAATCACCTTGCTGCATGTACGTCAGACGGCGGCACATGCGCTTCTCTTCTCCTAATCCAATCGAACATTAGCGAATCTGAGATTTTCGATGGCATCCCGGCGCACGAGCTTTGTATCAGGCTGAGATGCAGCATGGCGACGAGAATAGTCAATACCTAACACCAGTGATGAGATGAAAAGAAGTTCGACAGGTAAATAGTTCGATGGCTGGTCAACAGAGTACTTCTCCGTGCAATTGTGCTATGGAAGCGACTTTTGTTTGTCTGCAATCATGCCACTGAATCGTCGCCCACCGTCCACCGTTCCATACTTCATTTCTTCCCCACATTGTGTACAAATACAGGTGAAGAGCTTTGGCTCTTCGCACGAGGCCCTAGCCTCGGTGATTGCACAACAAACCCTAGAAAAAGACTAGTACTGCAAGAGACGAGATTTGCAGCAGCGAGACCGCTTAATCCAACTCAGTGATTCCATCCGCGACCTCCGCCATAGCTTCCATAAGTTCCGAATGCATTAGTGCCGTAGGTTCCGTAGCCACTGGATTGGTGTGCACCTTGCTGCCCACCAAAGGTCCCAAAACCGCCACCGTACTGAGGATAAGCACCGAACGCCTGTTGAGAATTGTGGGTAGGGGGCTGACCCAGCCCGCCCGGCTGAGCCTGACTGGTGTTCACGGTCGAACCGGGACGGCCAGCTTGAACCGAAGGGCTAGGACCCGAGGGCTTTGTAGCATCCTCGCTACCCTGAAGACTGCCGTGCTGCTGACCCAGTGACTGGCTCTGTCCAAATCCGGACGAGCTTCTGCCAAAAGGATCAGGCATCGCACCGAATTGATGGCTGCTGCCAGGAGTGGGCTGGTCCGACGGTTGGGCAGACCCGCTTCGCCCGTATGCATTCTCACGGCCACCAAAAGTGCCCGCGGTTGCCGGGCTAGATGAGTACTCGTGACCATACTGCTGCTGGGGTTGCCCATACATGCCAGACTTGTAAGAGCCAGCGCCGCCGTAGTGTTGGTTGGAGCCATACGCATATTGGTTGCCATAGTAATCGTCCTGTTGACGACGAGCATCGTCAAACATGGGTCGATTGGCACCATAGCGGCCCTGTGCCATTTGGTTCATATAGCTCTGGCTGTACTGTGGGTACTGCTGAGCATAGTTGTTGGGGTATCCATACGAATAAGCGCCATGATTGCCGCCCATGTGCTGCTGCTGCTGCTGCTGCTGCTGCTGCTGTTGAGCAGCTTGGGTGTGCTGAGCGGGAATACCAGGTGCGGGGGTGTTATTGCCGCTCGTAGTCGCCTCCTGTTGTCCGTAACCTTGCTGAGGGCGAGCGGTCGCGTAGTGTGACGCTGTCTCTGGTGCAGACGATCCAAAGGCACTTCCGGTGCGCTGAGCATCTTGATGCTGGTAGTTGTAGTATTGCTGGTAAGCATCACGGCCGTAGTAGCTTGACATGTCGTTCTGGCCCGCAGCCTGAGGCTGACCAGGGACTTGGCTCGCAAAGGGCTCCTGGTTCGGGCCAGGAGCTTGCGTGCTGGGTGGCTGCCCAAACGGATCATATGTCTTCGAAGGCTGGCCATATCTATACGGATCACCGAAGCCCGGTGCAACCTGAGGGGCGACCTGTTGGTGTTGCTGAGGGGCAGGCGGCAGACCAGGTGCCTGACGGTGAGCCTGAGGCTCAGTCGGAGGCTGCGGCTCTGCGGGTGCAGCGGTGGTCCGAGCTTCTGGCAGAGCAGGGGGTAACGAGGCTCGAGGAGCTACTGGAGAGTCGTCTGGAAGTTGAGTGCGCGTTTCGGGCTCTTCACGATCGTCATCGAGATCATCACTGTCACCATTGAGACCCATTTTCCCGAACTGTACAGCCGCTTTTTCCACAGCGTGATTGCCAGGCATGACAACAGCCTCCTGCTGCTCTTTAACCTTGCGGACGAAGCTAGCAGATCTCCCACCGCCGGTCGTGGCCTTCAGTGCAGTCGCTGCATAGCCCGAAGCTGGGCGAACTGGTGCCTTGGCCGAAGTAGTGAGCTGAGCAAGGGGGTCCTGAGTGCTCGCAGTGGTGCTAGCGACAGTGTGGGAAGCGGGGGGATGAGATTCATCGGGGAGCTGTTCGAGATTCGTCTCCGTGAGTTCATCCTTCCCTGGTGATAAATCGGTGGGACCTTCGGAGTGGGGAGCGGAGGGAAGTTCGGAGGGAGCATCGTCGACGACTTGTGCTTCGATGGGAGGCGGCAAGACTTCAGGTACGTTGGTCTGTTCGGGAGCACCAGCAGTAGCAGTATTGGACGAGTTTGCCTCCGGCTGTGCAGCTGGAACTGAAGCAGGGGCTTGTTTGGGTGCTGGTGGTGGCTTCGCAAAAAGGCCTGCCCAACCACCGGGCTTTTTCGTCGCAGCAGTGGTGGGAGCTGCAGGTTTCGTAGTCTCGACTGGGGCAGATGCCTTCTCAGTCTCAGCTTGGGCCGGTGTGTCTCCATTTGTAGGTGCAGAGTCCCAGCCGCCAACCGCTTCAGTAGTGGTAGCGGGCGAATCCCAGCCTCCGACCGCAGTGGCAGAGGTGGTTGTCTGACCCCATCCATCGTCCTCCGCCTTAGGTGCATGCTTGGTGCCGTTCGCTTGCGAAACAGCTCTTGCTCCTCTGCCGCCGCGAGCACCACGCTCGGTGCCTCGTCCACGTCCTCGTGCATCAATCCCACCTCGCCCACGGCCGCGAATCGAGCCGGTGTCCGCGGAAGTCGCAGTATCTTTGGACTTTGGCTGCTTCTTCTTTACTTCGCCCCATTGAGATATTGTGCCTGTTGAACGTTAGCTAGGTTGGCAATGGACGGAGACTACCACCAACCAGATGAGATGCGATCGACTGCAGCTTCGAGGTCACCGTTGGTCTCTTCGAGAGCGAAAACCAAGTCTTCGTCGCTCCATCCGGGGCAGACTTCATGCAGGAGAGGGATCTTGTCGCCGAACTTTCTCTTCAGTTCGCCAACTTCGCCTTCATCTTCCAAGGTTGTGAGAGGCATGTTCTCTTGTTCGTTTGTGTCTTTGTGCGATCTGGAAGGATTGCGACCACCTCTGAAGCCACCTCGCCCGCCTCTAAAGCCACCTCGGCCTCTGGAGTTGCCAGTCCTGGCCGACTGGACTTCGGACATTATGAGTTGTGAAGGAGGCTATGCAGTACTCAGGGATCGAGGAACAAAAGGTACACGTCAACGGAAGATGAGGCTGCCAAAAGCAGACCGCCGCGGAGCGAGAGGTGTGGTTTCCAAAGTATGGTGGATGAGGTAGGTAGACGACGAAAAAGTTACGAAGGGATTGATTGTGTTGTGACAATAGCAATTGTCTTGTTTGCAGCCGGGGTCACAAACTTGAAGCGCAGGCTGGTCAAGTCGCAGCCAAGCACGATCGGCTGAGGTGGAGTCGATGGGTGTGGTTACAGCCAATGAACGCACGGCTTCCGTACGCTCTTGCCCCAAACTCACAGGTGATTTTCAGTTGGCGTAGACAGGCGACAGCTACAGCTACAACTCGCGTCTGCAGACGTCCACCTTCCACCATCCAACTGCTACAGCCGAGAGAGCTCAGCGCTTGATACATACTGCGCTTGGCCTGGCTGAATTTTTGCCGCTGCTCGCTGGATTCCATAGGCTAAGCTCCCTATTTATTCATATGCCAAGACCTGACATGACCTATCACTCCAGCATACTACTGTGTTGATTGAAACCTTGGAGACGCCATCTACAAGCTGCGATGCTCTAGCCGAAAGGCTCAAGGGCGTTGATATCCACGCAAGAGTCATCTTCCCCTCATGAAGTCTCATTTGGCCGTCGAGGCCCCGTCATCTACGACCGTCTCCTACGTGGTGGCCAGCAAGAAGCGGCCAACCTCGAAGACTCTGATCTTGATTGGTTACTGTCTCAGAGTCAGCCTTGCGTTCCATGTGTTGCTAGCCAATCTTTGCAAACTCCAGGAGGATGGGATGCTGGAACACGGACAAGGCTATGCGGAATTGCTCTTCCGCCTTACATTTATCGATTCATTCGTTGAATACCTGGCATCACGGGCAGAATGGTGGCAGCTAGGCATTACATCAGCAATCCTGCTCTGGGCCTGCTTGCGAAGGCCCTACGTTGGTATGCAACCTCCCATGTTCCGTGGCAAAGCAGCTAATGTCCAGCAGAAGAGTCTCTTCTCGTCCTCCAGGGCCTGGGGATCCAGACTTCAACCAGCTCTTCCTACTACTTTGTGAGCCCTACAACAACATTCATTTCGACCACTCGCATCCAGGACATCGTCATCCATGAAGCCTTCAAGGGACTTGAGGTCAAGTTCTACCTTGCTGTGATTGTCGAAGGTGCCACGGAGGTGGTAGTCGTCTTCCCGAGCCTTCTGCCTCGCCTGGATGTACTGCAGGAGGTATGGCGCGGCACTCGGAGGTGTCTGTACGCAAATACGCCCAAGGCCGGGTAATCAAGCTCAAGTGCCATCGAGTGCCGACTTCCGCTTGGTATCTTTCCTTGCTTGGCGGCCGTTGCGATACTTCTCATTCTGGTTCTCGAGGGTGTCCATCTTGGGCTTCTTCGCAATGGGCGTATAGAGTCCGACAACCCGGGCCGAATCGGCGCCGTCGAATATCTTTTGACTCCGTTGAGCTGTTGAAGGTTGTCGAAACCCACCTCTCGTCAATGGGGTGCCATCGCCTTGGTTTAGCGCCTGGTCCAGAAGGCTACTGGTGACTGTCTCTTCAAGCTTGGCTTTTCGCCACTGCGTCCACAATGTATCGGTCAGTCCGCCCAGACCGAATTTGGTATCGTTTTTGCTTGTCACTGCTGGCATTGCGACCGCATCTCCGGCGTATACCCAATCCAGCTTGCCTCTTCCACCGTCTTCAGGACTGTCAAACACGCAGTCCCACAACACCAGTGGTCCGTCGTCTGCCATTTCGTACATAGCTTTCTTGGGATTGCTCTCGACATCCAGTAACTGGTCCACCACGCGCGGCTGCTCTAGACCCTGGCCGACCAAGAACAACACTGCAACCATGCACCGTACCTGGTGCCACAGGAATGCACTCCCGTGGACCGAAAAGCAGTACACCTTTGGGCCTTCATCCACGAATTCACCAATCCCCGACCTCCTGGCAAGCGTCTTTATAGCGTCTTCTCCAGTAGCATTGAGGTGTTTGTGGTCTGTCAACTTCCGCCCGCCGCTCTCCCACAACTCAACGTCGGCAAAATTGATCCGTCGTTCGCAGCTGCTCATCTGCTTGCTCGGATCAATCTTACACAGATTCCTGTAATCGTGGGTCCCCTCTAGTTTCTTCGCCGCCTCCCGCATCTTGTCAATATCGAGCCAGCCTTCCCTTATTGGCGAAGGACTGCCATCTGCCAAGGTCATGCCTATTGGTCCAGGCGTGGGGAGGAAGGCCGGGTTGGTGAAGAAGTACTTGTACCGCCGCTCCTTGCAGGAGAAGCGCGCATCGAAGTCGGCCGGTGGGGTTGGAGCCCAAGCGAGGATACGGATAGAAGCGGGGAGGATAGAATTGAGGATGGAGAGGTAGGGCAGCTCGTCCGCGACAGGGTCGAACGCACGCCTCGGCGACGAGGAAGCAGGAGGGCCAGGAGGAGCAATAGCGGAATCATCATTCGTATCTTCAACACTATCCACTGCCTCCCTCTTTGCTCCTCCCACGCACTCATCCCCTTCCCTTGGTACGCGCTTTGGCGCATTACTCCTCACCCGCACGCCGACAACCTGCCCAAAAGCACTCACGCCTCGATCCGTCCTCCCACACTTGCTATACTCGCATCCATCCCAATTCAACTCCAGCCTCTTCTTGCCGCCACCGGCACCATCCTCAACCGTGGCTTCCCCGGCAGCGGCATACCTCTGGAGACGCCTGGCTGCCTCCCACTCTACCTCGACGTCCTCGTCCGCGCCCTCGGCGATCGGCGGGCTGATGAGCCGCGCCTTGCGCAGCGCCTTCCACAGCACCTCCTCGACGGTGGGCTTCGGCGGCACGGTGCCGTTGGCGTGCTCGAAGCCGTTGTAGTGTTGGCCCATGTAGGAGAATTTGAGCGCGATGAGGCGCGTGCTGAAGCGGGAGGCGTCGAATGGCTTGGAGGGCTTTGCTTTGGGTTTGCGGCTGGAGGCGGGAGGGGCAGAGGTGGTGAGTGCGGCGAGCTGCGAATTGGTGGCTTGCAGTTGGGTTTCGAGGCGGTTGATGCGCGAGATCAGCTCGGCGGGTGTGTAGTGGGAGTAGTCGGTGGAGGGGCGGGGAGAGTCTTGCTGGCCATTCGATGTAGCCATATTGCGGGACATGAATTGGGAGGGAACAGCGAGGAGTGCAGGTCGGGGGGATCTCGTGACGTTTGGGCGATGATGACAGTGCACTAGACTGTCACCCGCTCGCAGCAAACGCCGACGCATTGAGCCAGCATGATATACGCAGAGTTGGCGGGTGGAACATTTCGCAGCACCGGAGGAATATATTTTGAGTCGGCAGGTGTAGCCGTACCTTATTGGCAGCTGTAAGCGAGGCCCGCCTGTTGCCTATAATCACTTCAAATCTACTGTACAACCCCAAACAACTCCACCTCTTCTCTGTCTTTTTGAATTTGTTTCACAAGCTTGTCAGATTCCCAACAGAACAAATTGGTTGCAAACCAGCCTACGAACTTCATGCAGATACTCATAGCAATAAGAGAGGAGAGGCCGCTCCTCGCAAAAGGTGGACTTGGATTGCTGAAAACTTACCTGATTCCTCCTCATTAACGACTCTTATGCCAGCCAGCATCCCCGAGATACTCGCGGGTCCGCTTGTCAGAGGAACGAGTGCCACCGATGAAACCTACCAGCCTCTCTACAGTCTTGCGCCTGTCGACCTCAGCTGCAAGAGCACGGTACTCTTTGTCGCTTTTGGCATTGTCAAGCCTGTGATACAGCTCACTCCTTGTCAAGCCCCGCCGCTCCCGCCGTGCGCGCTTCGCTTTTATGTTTTGAATCTCTCGCAAGTCCTCGGAACAGGTCGGCAAATCAGAGACGGGGTCTTTAGAGAAGTCCTCGATATGCTTAGCAGATTCTTTAACCTGCGGGGACGGTGCGTACGTGTATTGAGACGCCCGCTGGGTACTCTTGTCCACACAGGTGTCACTGGATCTCTGAGTCTCTTCGCATCGACTCACACGCTCTGAATGCTTTGTACCCTGCGCACAGCTAGCGCGTTCTTCGCCAGTGTGACAAGAACCTTGAGCGCTTGAGCGAGCCGAAAGCGGCTTGTCGGAGACCTGAGCCGCGGAGTCAGCCTTACCTTCCTGACGACGCTCGGCTCGCTTCGTGCGATGAAATTCATGATCATCGTATGGATCATGAGGGTCGTATTTCTGTCCCGCGCTGCCCAGATTCATGTCATCCAGGTCTTCCGCCAACTGCGACATCTTTGACTTCTTCTTTGATTGCTTTGCTGATTGGCTCATGGCTCCTGCTTCTGATTGTGAGTTCAAGATTCAGAAAAGGAGTTGTCAGGTCGGCAAGGTTGTTTAATGATGGAAAGAGGTCCCATTTCCACAATGACTGGCTAACAAAGAGGTTTGCTGCCGCTCAACAGCCATTCACATCTTCTAGACAAAGAGCCAACAAGGCGAGCTTTGAGCACAGAACCAGTCCATGACTGAGAGCCTCTACTGACACTTGAAAATCACCACATTATCGTGCAGTATAGCAGATCGTTGAGAGGCTGTGGGCCCAACGCGTATAGACTAGTGCACACGGTCTACCGAACACTGCTCGCCAAGACCTAGTTGGTCTGAGAGTGCTTCCAGCAGAAGTGGCGTATAGTGGTATGCTTACATAGTGCAACAACGAATCTGAAATCCCCCTTCGACCAATGGGCATCTAATTTGTAGAAGATTTTGGAGTCGAGGCAATTATTCGACCTGTAATCCGGCACTCGGATTACTATCGATTTGCGGGGAGATCGCCGTTTGGGGGCGCCTCGTGAGAGGCCTCGGCTTTTCGCCCATGACGTTACCCCATCTCGATTTCTAATGGCACCTATGGCGTGCTCTATCGATGAGACAGCATATAAGACCAGACGTGACGGTTTGTCCAGTTAGCGTCTACTGTGACTATCTGTCTCACGTCCCTAGAACTTCAGAACCTCAACCCACTGCCTCGAACATGTCCGCCACCGCTACTCAGACCGCAACCACTACTCTTACATCCGACAAGGATGCCTCTTATATCCCCAGAGGGCCGGTCACTACGACTTTGAACTTCTTCAAGGACCCAGAGGATGGAGCGAAGCCTCATAATTACGTCGAGCCACAGCCAGAGGGCACACCCCAGAGGAACTTTGGCATGACCACCACCGATGTTCAGATGAATGACGTTCGGGGCCGCGAGTCCGATTTCTATCTTGATAAGGATGCATTCGAGACATTCCAAACGGTCCCTTCGAAAATGCAGTACGATGACTGGGCCGACGACGAGAAAGTTACGGGCGTCTACTATCCCGAGGTAGTCCAGTTCCTTCTCGATAACGTCCCGGGAGCGCACAAAGTGACCTTGTTCGACCACACAATCCGCCGAAGCAATCCCGATGCGCCACGAGCGCCCGTCACCAGAGTGCACGTCGACCAAACCGCTCGATCCACTGAGTGGCGAGTCAAGCTTCATAACCCAGATGAGGCAGACGAGCTATTGAAAGGTCGCTACCGCATCATCAATGTTTGGAGGCCTCTGAACGGCCCTGTCCAGGCCCACCCCCTCGGATTTGCCAGTGCAGAAAGCGTCGATGACAATGACCTGGTTCCTGTGGAGCACAGGTACCCGCACCGGACTGGTGAGACCGCGGGAGTCAGGTACAAGCCAGAGCAGAAGTTCTACTACTGGTCGGGCATGAAGAATGATGAGCGGCTCTTCTTGAAGTGCTACGACAGCAAGGATGGTGTCGGCCAAAGAGTGCCACACACGGCCTTTGTGGATCCTCGGACTCCTGAGGGCGCAAGAGGGCGCGAGAGCATTGAAGTTAGGGCTCTTGTGTACGGTTAGAATGGGAACGAAGTGATGATTGGAATGTTGCAGCAGTTTTTTAGCATAGCTCAGGCTTCTTCGCCATGTCTCTTTTACAATTTCGTCTACATACAATATAATTGCTTAAACCATATCCCTTGCTTGGTGTGGCACGGATTGTGGCCCGCACAGGCGAATTCGATGAATCACGGTGTGAGAACGTAGCGAAGACTGACTCAAGTATCCTTACTATAGTGACTCAGGCTATGCTGTCTGGTGGTGTGGCGAGATTCACGTTCTCGACACAGCGCAACTGATATTGAGCTACACCACATACAGTTTAGCTTCAACCACATTTCAGCAAGTCCTTGGCGGCTAGCGGCTGATGACACGCCTGCCCCTCCTTCGAGTTCTTCAGTCTGCAACATAAAAGTCTTTCGAGCGCTCGCGAAATCGAACCACCGACGACTGCCTGTGGATCTGTCTTAATTGCTGAATCACACCGAGCCTACCTAAACACGTTTCTAAGCGATAATTTTGGAAAACCTGCTGCAAGACACTGGCAGGCAGCACACTGAGTCAGCCCCGCCTCTTCCGGGTCATATTTTGGACCACTTTTCGACTCATAAAAAAATCACCACCCACCTCTCCGCCCTAACTTGCGAATGCTCCTCTTGCTATCAAGCTGAGCAACTCGGACGGCGGCCACACAAAAACCTACATTGTCGCCCTGTTGCCCACCTTGAACGAATACTCACCACCACCTGCTGCACTGTGAAGGAACACCTTGGATCTATCACCATCCCCGGATACACGCGCATGGACTGGTTTGATCTTGTCATGAACCTGATCATCAGCCACTTCAGTACCTTCTACGATAATCTCGATTGACATGGCGCCAGCTGTGTCCTCCGCTCCTCGACCTCGAGCTGGCGTCACCAGGAAGAAGCCTCCTCCATTCAAAGTGCCTGGTCTGGGTAACAATTCAGGCCTCACCTCCTTCAGAGGTTCAACCCCTGTACGCCAAGCCACGCCGGACGCCAGAAGACGAACACCTGATACATCTGCTCGAGTCTGTCCCAGCGGTTGCGTCAATCCCACCTTCAAGCATTCCGACGACCTAAATTGGCTCTGCGAGAATTGCGGTGCTGAGGTGGAAGTCGATGACCACCTGGTCAGCGAAACACAGTTCGCCGAGGGGCCTTCAGGACAAATTCGTGCTCAAGGTGTTACCATCGGCGCAGGGGAAACCCACAGAGGCGGTGGTGCTTTCGCCCATACCGGTAAGGCCGGCAGCGAAACTACACCGACCAGAATCCAGGCCGAGAGAAATGCCAAGAACATTGTCGCTCGAATCTGCAATCAACTTAACATCCATGGCGAAGATGAATCGGCTCTCAGACTATTCAGCATGGCCTATACGAAGGGTTTCATCCGGGGACGTAGTTTGGACGATGTCGCTATCGTTTGTCTCTACCTTGCTGTCAGACAGAGTACCGAACAGATTGAAGGTGTTTCACGCCCTAAGCACCCATACATGTTGATCGATTTCGCCGAACGAGGCGATATCGATGTCTTCGCGCTCGGTCGCATCTATGTCGACCTGTGCCGCGAGCTCTTTTTCGATCCCGTTGGAGGTATGCAGCAAGATCAAGATAAGAAGCCACTCCTCGCGCCGGGTCCAGAGGTTTTCGTTGAAAGATTTGTCAGAGAGCTCGAGTTTCCAAGACACGACGAGCGAAAAATCATGAAAGATGCCTACCAGATCATTGCAAGCATGAGGAGGGATTGGATCACCAGAGGGCGACGTCCGGCCGGCGTTTGTGGTGCTGCTGTGGTCCTAGCTGCTCGCATGAACAACTATCGCCGAACCGTTCGGGAGGTCGTCCTCGTTGCCAAAGTCACAGAGATTACCTTAAACAAGCGATTAGAGGAGTTCAGTACGACACCTCTTGGCAAGGTGTCTGTCAGCGATTTCAGAAGTCAGGAGCTGCCTCCGGCCTCGGATGATCACTTGAAGACGCAAGAGTTCTTGAAACTCCAAGAGCTTCGCCAAAAACAGAATCACAACACTTTTGAAAGCTTACCTGACGCTTCCAACCCTCCTATCCTGATACCTAAGCCGAAGAAGCGGAGACGGAAGAACGCAGGGAGTGTGGCCGAGACTGCTGCTGACGAAGGAGATGCGGGCGAGGAAGAAGAAGAAGAAGAAGAGGAGGAGGAGGAGGATGAGGAAGAGAACAAGCTGGAGGAGCCATCTGCGAAACGCGCAAGAGTTGATCCCGACGGTTTTGCCATTCCCGACCAACCAGCATCGTCCGCCACTGGGGCAACAAGTACTAATTCAACGCCGAAGAGGAAGCCAGGGCGTCCGAAGGGTAGCAAGAATTGGAGAGCACCTGCACCTACTGCTCGTGAAACGGAAATAGAGCGAGAAATCGAAGGCGCTATCGACGAGAACATGCCCGAGATGGAGGAAATAGCGGGACGAGTAGCACGCGCGCAATCGTTACCAGCCGAGGACGCAGAAGCACAACCATCGGTCGACAAGACCGCTCCGATGATGATACCAACTCCCTCCCCGACTCTAGGGGCGCCTTCTCTCACAGCTGGCAATACTGGCGATGTTCCAATGTCACCTACCCTCGGCGGTGACGAATTTGAGGACGACATTGACGTCTCAAACTGTGTCCTTTCCGAAGAAGAGCGTCGTCTGAAGGAAACCATATGGGTCAATGAAAATGCTGACTGGTTGCGACAAGATCACGCCAAACGTATCCGCAGGCAACTCAGAGACGCTGAGCTGCGTGAAAAGGGCATCGACCCTGTCCAGTACGAGAGGAACAAGAAGGCCCAGGGCCGTCGCCGAAAAGACGGCAGCAAAGTTCCTGGCCGGCCCGGCGATGTTGCCTACCTCACCAACAAAGAATACGAACGTCGCGGTACGCCACAGGCATCTCGTGAACCCAGCGAACCTGCTGCCGATGGGTCATCCCGACAAGGTACCGTCTCTCCCGGTCGCTCTGCGGCTCTCAATGCCGCGGATTCTGTTACTCGCATGCTCGGCCAGCGCGCTGGCTTCTCTCGTCGCCTCAACTTGGGAGCTATCCAGGGCATTTATTCTGTCCCGGGTGAGCCCGGATCGCCGTCATCCACTTCAGAGAGTCGCGCCTCGTCGATCTTGTCTGACGACTGGGACGAGCGACGCAGCGCCAGCCGGGACCAAATCGCAACATCGAGTGCGGCCCGTCGCCGCCGCGCGCGCGCTGGTCTACCGGAAGACGAAGATCGTAGCGACGTCATCTTCGGCGGGCAGGGGGGCAAGAATACTGGTCTGGCTAGAAGCAAGGCTAGCATTAGTGCTGAGCGGCGGCAGGTTCAAGCGCGTAGCCAGTCGAGAGCCAGTGGCAGTCCAAGTGTTGCGCCTTCGGCGTCGGGAGAGGTCCGGCAAGCAAGCGCGGAATACGAGGACAGTGTGGCGAGTGTCAGTGGAAGCCCAACTCCTCCGCCAATTTCAGCGAAACCAGCGGCATCAGCGCCACGTGTTCGGAATGTGACTTTTGCAAAATCCCCGCCGCAGCAGAGGTCGGCACCGGGATCAGGACCGCACACACCGGCAAGTTCCGGCAGTATGCAATCAACAGATATGATGGACGCTGGAGAGGAGGAGGTCGTTGGCGAGGAAGTTGCTGGCGAAAGAAGCCTGATTCGCGAGGTTGCCCCGCCTGGATCGTACGACGACGACGATCAAGACATGGAGGATGATGACGAGGAGCAGAGCGAGGAGGAGGATGATGATGAGAGCGAAGTCGACCCCGAGGAAGCTTTTGCGGGGGTACTGAAACCCAGGAGGACCTGGGATGACGATGATTGAACAGATCAGGCGTGGATTTGGCGGAGACGATTTGTCTCAGGACACTCTGGTCTAGAGTTATTCTCTATTTGCAGATGATACCCCGGCATTAGTACACGAGCGGGATTGGTTGGGACGGCATGGGACACAAGAAGTGATCATTTCAACTGAGGTTTGGCGTCGTAAGCATCAGTTAGATTGCTTGATGTACCAACAAGGTAGATGGTTCCAGATTACAAAAGGCAGAGAGACTACAACAATTCAGGTCAATTCCGCAGATCTGTTCCGAATCATCACCGTTCAGCATGATGCCAAGGTTGATGGACGCTTACCGGACTATTACAGCGAGCCTTTAGTTTGCGATCATGAATACGAGTAAGAAATACGATGCGACCCGACCCGGGTGTTACACCAGACCTCGCGACGGAGTCAACTCTCACCACCCACCAAGATCAAATCTGACGACATGAAGGTCATCGTCGAGGACTACAACCCACTCTGGGCAGTGCAATTCCAGCACGTAAAGGACGAGCTCGAGGAATGCTTGGAAGGCGTCTCATACCTAAGCATTGAACACGTAGGGAGCACTGCGGTACCCGGGCTGGCCGCCAAACCATTGCTGGACATCGACATTGTGATCACACGAGCCCAGCTACCGGCCGTGATCGAAGCACTGACGAAGAAGGGAGGCTACGAGTACAAGGGCGACTGGGGCATTCCTGAGCGAGAGGCTTTCCGCCAAAAAGGCGCCGAACCGGCGAGAAATCTGTATGCCTGCATCGAAGGTAGTACCTCGCTCCGCAACCACTTAGCGGTGCGCGACATATGCAGGAAAGACGAGAAGGTTCGCGAGGCATACGCGAAGGAGAAGCGCCGTCTGGCGGCAAGAGAATGGCGCGATGTCGACGAATACTGCGAGGCAAAGAACGATGTTTTGATCTGGGTGCTTGAACAGGCGGGCTTTGCCACGCCAGATCTGGAGGAGATTCGCCGACGGAATACAGCTCTGGATGGAAGTTGAGTTCACGGGGTATCTTCTGGCGAGCGAGCGGAGGATGAGCACATACAGTATCAGACTGCACACCAAAAAGTTGGGGGAGGGGGGGGGAAAGAGGCGGGGTACCTCGCACGACAAGCATGTGCAGCTCTCGACTGCAAGGTGTGTCGTGTGCTGCGCACGATGCGCCCAACAGAAAGCAGATCAGCGATGAGTCCCGATTTACACAGCAAACATTCTCTTAGCCGAGACAGCAATGCAGCCTACTGCGTCTTGCGGGACAGGTCCGCAGCCGTGGGCGCTTTGTGTGGGCGCTCCCCAAAACTTCTGGTGGGCCTTTGCAAAAAAAAGCGAGCAGGCTAAAAATTGTGCAGATGTTCGCTTACCGATTGGCAGGGATTCTCAACGGGCAGGCAGGTGGACCCTGCCGTCGCCGCAAAACCCCCAAGGTGCATCATCGGCCAGGTGAAACACTTCAGAATCTCAAGACTTTGTTCAGCGTCTGCGATTTCCTATCCTGTTGGTTTGCCTCGCTCATTGTCTTCCTCTCGGTACTACAGTCGGTTCCATTGTTGACGGTCGCTACCTTTTTTCTTCTGCATACCTGATCAGTGCACGTGCACTGTTTGAACAACAACAGACGCCGCCGCGTACCCCAACTCCACGCTTTCTACGACTTGTAATGCCCCTATAGCCAACACCCTCACGATTCCGTCTGCTGAGCGCCATCTACTTGCCAGCATGGCTCTCTTCCGCCGACAGGACGAAGATACTGGAGACAAACTGTTGGAGCTGGCCTCTGACCCTTTCAAAACCGAGGTGCGCATCCCATCAATTTGTTTCCCCAACTGCAGATCCCTGACTATCCACAGATTCAATCTTCTTCTATAATCACTGCCTTTGCCCTCTACCTGGGGCTTGCCTTGGGTCTCGCCATTCTCTTCTCCGTTTTCCGCCCTCGACACCGCGTTCTGTTCGCGCCCAAGTCCAAGTATGCCGACGAGAAGCATGCACCTCCTGCTATGGGCAATGGCCTGTTCTCCTGGATCAAACCTGTTACCACCGCGAAAGAACCATATTTGATGGACAGAATCGGCCTCGATGCCGTCGTTTTCCTGCGATTCCAGCGCATGCTGCGGAACATGTTTCTTGTGTTCGGCGTGGTTGGCATCGCCATTATGCTGCCAGTCAATGTCACTGAAACCAAGAAGTCGACCCTGGCGGAATGGCATATTGGTGCCCTGATCTACATGACTCCTAGGTTCACTCAAGGTGGTGCACTTTGGGCTCAAGTTGTGATCAGCTACATCGGCAACATTATTGTGGCCTATTTCTTGTGGCACAATTATCGTCGCATCCACAGTCTTCGCCGCAGCTACTTCCAGACTCCTGAATATCAAAAGAGCCTGCATGCTCGCACACTCATTGTCCGCGATTTGTCTAGTGACCTCCGGAACGAGGATGGTGTAACTCGTGTCACCGACCATGCCAATCCCACTGGAGTACAGCCAAAGGTCACGGTGGGCAGAAATGTCAAAGATCTGCCGGGCCTCATCGAGGATCACGAGGAACAGGTCCGCGAGCTAGAGTCTGTACTCGCCAAATACCTGAAGAACCCCAACAAGCTCCCCGCAAAGCGTCCGACCATGAAACCTTCGAGCAAAAGCCGATATAGTGGCCCAGTCACCGATGGCAAGGTCGACGCCATCGATTACCTCGCAGAACGCATTCGAGAGCTCGAGACCGAGATCACAGAGGTGCGAGAGTCCATTGATCGCCGAGATCCGATGCCCTTCGCTTTTGCTAGCTGGGACCACATCGCCCAAGCCCACTCGGTGGCTTTTGCAAGTCGCAATAAGCAATCTATGGGTGCTCGTATCGACCTTGCACCCCGACCTACGGATCTCATCTGGAAAAACCTGCCTATGAGTAAATCTACTCGCAAGACTCGCCGCCTGATGAATGCTGTCTGGATCTCGGTTCTCACCTTGATCTGGCTTCCGATGAACATGGGAATTGCACTCTTCCTTTCCAACTTGGGCAACCTTGCCACTATCTGGCCCTCGTTTCGGGAAAGTTTCGAGGCAAGCCCCGGATTTTATGGAATCCTGCAAGCCGTTCTCGCTCCTACTATTACGTCGCTTGTGTACATGGTGCTCCCAATCATCTTTCGACGACTGCAAATCCGGGCTGGCGATGTCACGAAGACGGAGCGCGAGCAACACGTCTTACGCAACTTGTACACCTTCTTCACCCTCAACAACTTGGTGCTGTTTTCTATTTTCGCCGCCGTCTGGCAGTATGTCGCCAACATCATCGATGCCGACGACGGCACTAAGAGTACTTGGGATGCAGTTCTTGAAGGCAAGTTCTTCTTGACTGTTACCCAGTCACTTTGTGACATATCACCTTTCTGGGTGACATTTCTGTTGCAGCGCAACCTGGGCGCCGCCATTGACCTCACCCAGCTCTCGCGGCTTGCAACTATGTGGTTCCAGAGGCGCTTCATGGCACCCACTCCTCGGCAGAACATCGAGTGGACCGCTCCGGTGTCGTTCGACTACGCGAGTTATTACAACAATGCGCTCTTCTTTGCCACCATATCCCTGGCATTTGCAAATCTTCAACCGATCATTTTGCTGGTTGCAGCCCTGTTCTTTGCGTTCGACGCCTTGATACGCAAGTACCTGTTGATGTACTGCTTTGTTACGAAGAATGAAAGCGGCGGCCAGATGTGGAGAACGTTGTTCAACCGCATGGTGTTTGCCACGATGTTGTCAAACGTCGTCATTGCGGCTCTGCTGATCGCGCGGGATGAGTATGTCATGGCCGGCACGCTGGGCCCAGCTCTCCTCTTGATGATCGGTTTCAAGGTGTACTGTGCCAAGACGTTCGACAAGGAGATCAAGTATTACGCGACGAGTGGCCTGGTCGATCAGGAATCATTGCAGGCCGATGGTGGTAAACGTCGCAAGGCAGAGAAGATTTCTTCCAAGTTCGGCCACCCTGCGCTCTTCAAGCCGCTGATGACGCCAATGGTGAACGCCAAAGCTCAGCCTATACTCTCAGAGATCTACAAGGGCCGTCTGGGATCAGATGCTGGAGGCCCGCTCGCAGCAGGCTTCTCGGATACCTTCGCCATGCAACCAATGGGTCCTTCAAAGAATGATGGCACATTCGAATTTGTGACAGATGCTCAACAAGACTTTGCCTTCTACAAGAATCGCGAGGACTTCCGCGATGAGGCTGGCAGCAACTTGTATGGCAAGCCGGACGACACAATGACCGAACGATCCGCCACACCTATGGGCTTTAAGCGCAGCGGCACTGCTCAATACTCTGAGTTTTCGGCAGAGAGTTCACGCGCAAACAGCCCGGCTCCTCTACAGCGAAATCCAAGTCAGGTACATCCAGCGTTCCGCAATGGTTACGATGTGGACAGCCAGCACAGCCTTAGACGCATGGAATCCCCCGACAGTCACGACATCAGTCTAAGACCACGATCAGGTCTCTACACTGACCCGGACGATGACAGGTCCAACCTGCTCAATCACGACGTGACGATGTCGCAATTCAGAAGCCCTGGCGGAACTCCAGATCAACAAGGTGGCTATGACTATTTCAGGAAATCATGAGATGCGTTTGGCTTTTAGAATAGATCTGTAAATACGTGACCCACGAACAATAGACTGGCGTCCTTCGGGATAGCATTTGAGATGATTGCGTTCTACTTTCATGTGCTTGTTATTGGCTTCCCGGTCGGGTGATTCGGGACTGTGCATTGTGTTCCCCGTAGTGTAAACAATGGGAGGGCCTGAAAAGTCCCATGCTCATCGTGCCTTGGTCGAAGAAACGCTACGTCATGTCGTGGCGGCTTGGGGATCGACAGGAACAGCTATGGCGCTTTCGATCTTGCCAAACGCAGGCACCTCCAAGGTGAATCATGCTCATGCGCATGCTCTGACCAAACCTACGATAGCTGCTCGTCTCCTGAGCCGTGCTACTACCCCGATACGGATCTGCCGTGCTCCCGTAGTCGAGCCATGAAGCGAGCCGCCCGTGCCGCGGGCTGATCTTGTACTCGTCCGCAGGACAATCTTCGACCCCCCCACCAGCCTCGGACGATTCCCCTACTTTCGTAGCAGGGCCACACAGCGCCTTGACGCCCTCAGACTCAGTCATGGCGTGGTACTCGATCCTGCCGCCGCAGCTCGAGTTCATCGAGCGCTGGGTCATCCGCATCTGCGTGCGTTGTCCTCACCTCACCTTACCCGGGCTTGCTCTGGGCCCGTACCACCATATACGTAGGCTAACTTTGCAACTTGCAGCTCGTCCTGGCCATCATCAACCTCGCCCCGTGGGTCATTGCCATACTCTACGATCTCCTGCTCTACATCGGCCGGCGTCTGTGGCATGAAATGCCCATCTGGGGTGGTCGAGCACGTGGGGATGCGAGGCCGAGGGCACCCTCGCTTCGCGACCGGCCTCGTCGGTTTAGTCTGGTTGAGTTGATGGGAGGGGGGGATGGTGGGAGTGGGTCTAAAGAGGAGATGAGTGTGGATGAGCTGAGACGGCGGCACAAGACTCATGTGAGGAATACGAGTGCGGCGAGTGTGGGTATTGAGGAGGAGCCTTTTGAGGCGTTGCGGTGAGGTGTGTCTCGAATCAGCCTGGTATACTGGGGCTGCCCAACGTTCTTCTGCGCGGGCGACATACACATAATCCGAGTGGTTCTGCGGCACAGAGTCAATGCAGTCCAGCTGTGGCGATCTGACCATGGCGGATGCCTTGCTTTCTCGGCTGACGAGCGTCCTCTTCATGCATGCCGTGGCCCGCAGTAATTGCTGCTGCCACTTCTGGACTGGATGATTTCAACGGCGACCGACTGAGTTGTCGGAGTCAGATACTCCTTGGGACATGAGAGTCCGGCTTCATGTACCTGTTCTAGCGCAGGTTTCCTGTAGCATTGTCTGCAGGTTGCCGGGTGCCGCACAGGCAGCCTCCTTACGTTACAGACACATGGCTCAGATCCATTGCTGGTGTACTTGCTATACCCACCAAGTACATGGTCTCTACGAGGGCCAATCTTTGGCGCCTTTCCTTGTTTTGCCCAGAGCTCTACAATTGACAAAGCCGCCTCTATCTCGAACGAGCAGTGGTTGTGAGCCATGGCTGAATACTATCAAGAGCCATGCCACTGCGAATTCCAGCAGCGTGCTAGTGTGCCCGGTAATGCCACCATTGATCATAACCATTGTGACTATGAGCATCATCACCAGGAGAGCCGGGGGCCTATGCACCGTACATCGTCATTGTCGACAAGGGACTGTCACCAACATCATCCTTCATCACGCCATTCTCCCTGCCCAGGCTCACGTCGTTCAAGATGCTCAGAATGCCGCTACGGTCGCGAGAGTCGCCCCAGCACACGCCACGAGGGAGGTTGCGACCTGCTGCGTGGTCTGGAGGTACTTGACCGACGTTCACGCAACAACGACGTGTCTAGGCTATTGGACGACTTGACACAACACCGAGTAAGTAACAGTCATGACAACAGACGGTTGCTGGGCGACGTGGTCAGCCAGTTGTTGGACCGAAGCACACGGGACATGCCCAGCAGCTCTCTCACCACTCCCAACAGGGACGCGCTGATCGACTTGATCATACGGATCACATCTGTCAATGACAACAACAATACCGTGCCGACCGTCGCACAGTCACACATACATGACTCATGTCCTGCCCATGCGGCCGGAGCCACTGATTTCATGACCCTTCAGGCAGCATGGGTGGCTCGTCACTCAATGCCTGTCTCGTACGCAATGTACGCGCCCGACATAAGCATTCCCGTATTTCGGCCGGTTATGTATAGCCCGCCTGGACAGATGCGAGCTCCGCCGCGGTGAATGGGTGGAATTTGGCGCTGAGAGCCGCTGCGAAACTAGCCAAGGTCATCTGTTTGGCCTTCACTTTAGCGTAGACACTCGAGTGCACCGAAGCAGGTCATAATGGCGTGAGGGATAATATGAGTAGACTATCCTGAAAATCAGCGTTGCTTCATACCAACATGGTCCAACAACTTTGCTTCTCACAACATTGTCTCCCGGAACCAAGAAGGAGGGTGCACTACCCGGGGCACCCAGTCGCGGTCTGATGATACTTTACGCGGGATAACCTCGGCCCCTCCCCCAAAGCTGCTGCTTCGGCCGACTCCAAACAATGAGCGGAAGCAAAGCTGACCGGCAAACAGTTTCGACCCTTACTCTGTTTGCTGATTCATTGACTCGTTCACTGCGCCGAGAAATACATAGCGGTGTCCGTCCAGAGCGAGCGTAGGAACGACAACATGGATCAACACAACCCCCGCAGCGAATAATCTTATGGCACCGGACAAGCCATCCACAGTCGTCGCATATGCGGCCGGCGCATCTCTCGCAGCGGTAGCGGCATTCTACGTCTTCAGCCCCTCCTTCTTCATCGATGGCGAGAATTCACAATATCCAAACGATGGGCGGAAACGAACCATCATCGGGCTGGCGAACCCGGCGAACGATTGTTTCATCAACTCCGTCCTGCAGGCACTGGCCGGCCTAGGTGACTTGCGCCTCTACTTGATCAAAGAGCTCCATAGACGGCAGCTGGAAGAGCACGGAATCTACGACACGCCTCCGCTGGTGCTTAAGAGAGGCGAGAGGGCGGATAAGATCGTTCAGCTGCAGAAGGCTCCTGTTACCAAGGCTCTGAAGGACATGTTGGATGCGTTGAATGAGCGGCCGATCTACCGGAAGACGATCAGTGCGAGGCCGTTGATAGAATCACTTGAGCGCGCATTCTCTACACGGATCAGTAGAAATCAGCAGGACGCCCAGGAGTTTCTACAGATCGTCTTGGAACGGCTGTGTGACGAGCATAAGGCTTCTGAGAATGCGAGACGGCGAGCTGTACAGAAGACTTTGCCTTCCGATGGATCCGGAGGCGATACTGTTGGTGACGCGGATTCCATGCACCAGGATCTGGCACGAAAGGAGGCCCGGGTGGGCGACAACGATGCGTTCCCATTTGAGGGGCGCATCGAGTCCCAAATCCAGTGCCAACATTGTGGATTCAAGACCAAACCGTCGGTAACGACATTTGTATCACTGACATTAAATGTACCCCAAAAAAGCTCGACTTCGCTAGATAATTGTTTCGACATCCTACTCAAGAGCGAAGAGATAGACGACTATAAATGCGACAAATGCAGGCTGGTCCATGCAATCGACTGGAAGAAAGGTCTGTTGGGCAAGGCAAAGGCGGATGAGGACCGGGAGACACTCGGTAAAGACATAGAGCTTCTGGAAGAGGCTGTCCAGGCGGACCCCGAGAACTTGCCAGAGGAAGTGCAGCTGCCCGATTCTAAACAGGCGCCGAAACGCAAGATCCGGAAATCGACAAGGATAACGGTGTTCCCCAAGCTTATTGCCATCCACCTGTCCCGCTCTGTGTTCGACCCAGGCAGCTATTCGAGCAAAAACACGGCCAAGGTGTCGTACACACAGCGGCTCCGCCTCGGTGGGATTCTCAATGAGCACTGGTACAAGCTGCTGGGCGTTGTGTGTCACAAAGGCAGCCACAACAGTGGACACTACGAATCCTTCCGAAGGAACCACATCTATCCTCCATTCGCTACTCCGGACGCTTTCAAAGCGTACGGAGATGCCAGTCGAGCTGAAACGCCTTCGTTGTCTGCGGTGCCTTCTCCTCTGACCAATGGCAAAGATGTGCCCTCTGGTTCCACGCCCGCAGACCGATCATCGTCCTCGCTGTCTTCTGCATCACCCTCTACACCGTCGCGCCCATCCTCACAAGCTACAAATCGGGCGGACGCCGCCAGCAGCACTGCGCCCACAAAAGACGAGACGCCAGTGCCAGCCCGAAACTCGATTTACCGGACTGTGACACAAGGATCGAAACCGCAAATACAGTCGCACAAGTCTGAAGCGAAGCCTCGCCGCCGAAAGAAAGGGGCAGAACGGTGGTGGCGTATATCAGATGAGAAAGTGAAAGAGGCGCGGACTTCGGACGTGCTGGGGATGCAGAAAGAGGTCTATTTACTGTTCTACGAGCTAGAAAGGCCGGGTGAAGATATGCTCTGAAATTACATCCAAGAGATTTGGATGATGTGCTCAAGCGATGACAACAGGTGTACAGCGTACAAGCAATGGTCAAGCGTACAACGGGCATAACGACGATCGTACGGCTCGATCGACACTGTCCGATGCTAGAGAAGTCTTGGAGACGGCTCTGCCCTTCTATTCCGGCAACGAGGCCGGAGACGGGCTCGGTACATGTTTGAAGAAGACGCCTCCCTCGGCGATGGCACCGACTAGTGATATTGACGATATGTACAAAGACAACATTTGCCTGACTCCAGCGGCTCCCTAGTGGGCGTTCTCATCATCAGTCCAATCAGTGTCTGCTCTTTCCAACCCCATGGTGATTTTGTTTCTGGCACCAAGTCAACCCACATTGGCAGAGCCCGACAACACCCGTGGTCTGAAGCCCAGAACGGGGAAGAACGTGGAGCATGATGGGGCTTTGGTGAGGAAAATTACGGAAACCCGCCCATCTGGATCCACGAGGGGCATTCCGTCAAAGGCTTGGCAGATGTTATGAGGGGCAAGCCGGTTCGGATGGAAGGTATGAGGTGAGTGGATGCGATGTAATTGAATCAGCTTTGGTCTTTTGCTGTTGCTTCTTTGGCAAACTGTTGAAAAACTTCAACTTTCTTCTTTCCAATTCTACTCAATCACTGGTATCCCACAGATCAGTATCCCAATTGTTTCGGTATGTCGCCATGATTGCTGAGCTTCGACGCCCCGCATACTTGCTCCCTCTCCTCAGCCTACTCCTCAAGGCTTTGTGTTCCTGTACTGACCTTGGATGCGACAGATTTACCACTAAGCACTACCGATTATCACTCCCCGACCGTCAATATGGGTGTCAAAGATGTCTTGTCTCGCAAGGAGGGCGTCATCGTAGGTGACGATGTGCTTGGTGAGTCGCCTCAACGCCTCGAACGGCTTTCCCCAACTGACTCGTTCGCAGCTCTCTTCAAGTACGCTCAGGAGAAGAACTTTGCCATTCCCGCCATTGTGCGTTGTTCCAGTTTAAGCCTGCTCGAGCGCACCACTAACCGTCTCAACAGAATGTTACCTCATCCTCAACCGTGGTCGCAGCGCTCGAGGCTGCTCGTGACAAGAAGTCTCCAATTATCCTGCAGGCTTCTCAGGGAGGCGCAGCTTACTTTGCTGGCAAGGTACGTGGGATGAAGAACATGACGGATGATGTCGCTGACGAATCTACAGGGCGTCAAGAATGACCAGCAGCAAGCTTCGATCGCGGGTGCTGTCGCTGCCGCTCACTACATCCGATCGGTGGCTCCCATCTACGGCATTCCCGTTGTCCTCCACACCGACCACTGCGCGAAGAAGCTTCTGCCCTGGCTCGATGGTATGATGGACGCCGATGAGGCCTACTTCAAGGAGCACAATGAGCCTCTGTTCTCATCCCATATGATCGATCTGTCTGAAGAGGAGGTGGCCTGGAACATTGAGACCACTGCCAAGTACCTCAAGCGGGCTGCTCCCATGAAGCAGTGGCTGGAGATGGTGAGTAACTTGTGCGATACCCCCGTGAGGCTAGACTGACAGATGCATCAGGAAATCGGTATCACTGGTGGCGAAGAGGACGGTGTCAACAATGAAGATGTGGACAACAACTCTCTCTACACTCAGCCCGAAGATATCCACCAGATCTGGACCACCCTGTCTAAGATCAGCCCCTACTTCTCCATTGCCGCTGGCTTCGGTAACGTACACGGCGTCTACAAGCCCGGTAACGTCAAGCTGCATCCCGAGCTGCTCGAGAAGCACCAGAAGTACGTGCAGGAGAAGGAGAGCACCAAGACCAACAAGCCTGTCTTCCTAGTCTTCCACGGCGGCAGCGGTAGCTCCAAGAAGGAATATCTTGATGCCATCAGCTACGGTGTCGTGAAGGTCAACCTCGATACTGATCTGCAGTACGCCTACCTGACTGGTATCCGTGACTACATGCAGAACAAGAAGGACTATGTCCAGAAGGCTGTTGGCAACCCCGAAGGCGAGGACAAGCCAAACAAGAAATACTTCGATCCCCGTGTGTGGGTGCGCGAGGGTGAGAAGACCATGAGCGCCCGTGTTCAAGAGGGCCTGGAGGACTTCAACACTGCCGGCCAGCTGTAAAGCATTAAACAAACCCGCCAGACTAATTCAAGTCTGCGCTCCATAGCCAGGCAATAGTCTGGATACCAGACACCAATATTGATATGGCGTATCGTCTCCAGACGTTACTTTAGCGATCGCACACTTCCTACGGCAAAAGCAAGTCTAAAGCAAGTCTACATGCAGCATCAAGATTCGTAGATCGAAACCCCCTGAGGCGAGAGTACTACGTCGGGGGTAAAATCGATGGCGATGGAGGGGCGTGAGGGGCACCCAGCGAAACCGAAAATCTGCCATGACGTATCGCAACACGGCATGGTCGCGTGGGCCGATGCAAGTTGCCCTTGGAATCCATGACCGCACCGCGAACAGGCGATCGTGTTGCTGCCATGCTTCGCCTATTCATCGTCCACCCCCTGCAAGACTATTTATTTCCTTAACTAGAAACGATCCGGAGCCTACTTGTACGTTGGCTGCTTCTCCTAGAATACAACCTCCACACCTCCGTGCCTCGCTTCTCGCTCTTCAACCCAAGTCAAAGCAACAATATGCCCGAGGTCGAAGGCGGTGCAGTGCCGCCACAGAGCAAGGGCTCTTGGACTTCGTTCCTCAAGGTCAGTGTGTCCCCAGCCTATGAGGCGCATTTGCCCCTGGGGCGTTCAGAGTGCTGATAAAGATCTCTAGTCGGTAGCCTCATTCAATGGCGACCTTGCATCGTTAACAGCGCCGGCCTTCATTCTCTCATCGCAGTCCCTCGTCGAGTTTTCCGCCTACTGGACCGAGAATACGTCCCTCTTCGTCGCGCCAACCAAGGAACCCGACCCTGCGAAGCGTTCCCTGCTCGTGCTGAAATGGCTGCTCAATACCCTCAAGCAACAATACTGTTCTCGGTCGGAGAAGCTGGGGTCCGAAAAGAAGCCTCTGAATCCCTTCCTGGGGGAGATTTACCTCGGGCATTGGGACGATGAGGCTGGGCAGACTCAACTCGTCTCGGAGCAGGTGTCCCATCATCCGCCCGTGACCGCCTACTGCATCACCAACGAGAAACACAACATCAGGCTGCAAGGCTACAATGGGCAGAAGGCGAGCTTTAGTAGAACCATCCACGTCAAGCAGATTGGGCATGCCCTGCTCACGCTGAAGCCTCCCAACAGTGAAGAAGTGGAGACGTACCTGATTACGCTCCCTGCTCTGCACATCGAGAACTTGATCTACGGTGCGCCGTTTGTCGAGCTCGGCAAGTTCATTCATATCGCCTCGTCCACGGGGTACGTCTCCAAGATTGACTTCTCTGGTCGTGGGTGGCTGTCGGGAAAGAAGAACACATTTACGGCCACGCTGTGGAAGGATGGTGAGGGTTCGGAATCACACCCGTTGTACTCGGCAGAGGGACAGTGGTCGGACTCATTCGACTTGAAAGAAGGCCACGGCAAGAAAGCCAAGACGGTCGACACCTTCAAACCCGCCAACGTCAAACTCTCTCGGCTCAATATAGCTCCCCTAGAGGAGCAAGACGTCTTCGAGTCCCGCAGGGCCTGGTCAAGTGTTGCCAAGTCCATTGAGAAGGGCGACATGGATGCCACTTCGCATTACAAGTCGCGCATCGAGAATGCACAACGGGCGCTCCGCAAGAAGGAGCAAGAAGAAAAGCGCGACTGGAAGCGGGTGTTCTTCTCGACGGCCGACAGCCAGGATCCCAAGGAGGCCACGTTCCAAAAGCTGGTGAAGATGGTCATGGCTCCCCATCTGGGGCCGAATGCCGTGTGGGAAGGTGTGGCGCCCGACAAAACGGCGGGCGTGTGGCGCTACGACGACAAGAAGGCGGCCGAAGCGTCCAAGCCGTTCCACGAGGAGGGTCTGCTGGCACTGGGGGAGAACCAGGACGGAACGAGTGCGCCCGTCAGTCGCGTGGCCACGAACCTGTCTAGCAAGGCTGGCACCGACAGTGTGGACCAGAGTCCGATCGACCAGTCGAGGAGTACGGGTGATGTCAAGGGTAGTGGTGTATGATGCTGCGTGGGGTAGAGATGGGCGGGCTGAAGCTTTTGCGCAGAAGCATTCACCCTGCCTTATTTATGCATGGTTTCGCACAAGGAGGAGGAAAAGGGGGAAAAGAAGAGCATTTCGGAATTTTTTTTTTCAGAAACCCATCTTTGTATTATTCGCTTCGCCATGACCTGTGACGCCCCCGAGAAATGACGAATTCATAACCAACCAACCTTTTGACTTTTGAACCATTCATTGGCGCGTGACGGGCATGTGCCAACAATGAGCTGCTTTGCTGCGAGTACGACACGTTTCGTCAGGCAAGTTGGTGAAAAAAAGAGCCGGTGCATCCGAGACGCACACCGGGCAACGGGCAGCACGCCCCCTTCGCCAAGGCCAAAACAAGGCAAAAAGCAGCAGCGCCTTGTTTCTGGGCTCCGTCAGTCGGGGGTTTTTTTTTTTTCCCCTTCGACATTATTTCTGTTTTATCTTGACCTCGAGAAGACAAGACCCTTGCGTCGTCGTCCAGACAGCAAGCCATGCCACCGTCTTGGTCTGCATGTTTTGTATCTTTTTCTCTCTGCCACGTAGCCCTGCCGTCTGATGGATGACTGGGCGGCGCACTCTTATCTACCCACCAGAGAAAGCCGGGAGGAACGCCTGAATCGAATGGTTCGACTCGTCCTGTCCGACCAACCCGTCGTTCGTGTAATCTGAAGTCTTCGTGTCGGTCTTTTGACTGTGTCGCACGCTTTCGTGCGTATGAAGTATGAATGAGTGGAGAGCTGCAACTCACGCGCCTAAGTGATTGTTTGGCTGGTCTGGAGGAAGATGCCGCGTGCTGCACATACTTGGAAAGCTGACATGACTCACGAACATAGACTGATAACAGACTTATTAGTATAATACTGACCGAGCCGCTAAGTAGAGGTGGGTGATATTTGTGCAGAGACCTTAGGGAGGGATGGGCTGCGACTGTGTGGATACGGCGTTGAGTAAGGTGTGTTGGGAGGTCTACTATCTCCGTGAATTACTCTGTGAATCATTTGATGCGATGTAGTACCAGGAGCTAAGATTTCAGGTAGCGAGTAACCTGCAGACCAACGTGGCCCGACCCTTAAAGTGAAGCTTTGCTACCGGCTAGTCACGAATCCCTCTTGGTCTCCTTCATTCCATCCATACGATCACGCATGCCCTTGGCCATCTCTGCCATCTCCGCAGCGCTCCTTGTGCCTTCGGGAATGGTTTCCGCCTTCTTGACAGCAGGTCGTTCTTCAATACGCTTAGTCCACTTTTGGAGACCGGGCCACTGACTGAGATCGAACTCTAGAAAGACCGGGGCAGCGCGGACCCAAGAATACGAAGCGATATCAGCAAGGGTATACTTGTTGCCGGCGAGCCAGTCGGCATCCTTCAAGCGGGACTCAAGGACATCGAATAGGCGCTTGGTCTCGTCCATGTAGCGTTTGATGCCGTACTCAGAATATGCTCCAGCCATGGCTCGGAAATGGTTGGCTTGACCCTGGACTAGATGAGCACTTGATCTCAAAGAGGTAGGTTTGACTTGCCTGCATGGGACCGAGGCCACCCATTTGCCACATCAGCCAAGACATAACCTCGTAGTATTCGCGGCTACCATGGGGGTAGTTGAGCTTGTTCTCTTTATCGTAATGGTCGGTCAAGTAGAGCATAATAGCTCCAGTCTCGAACACACGCATGTCACCATCCTTGAGAGCGGGGATGCGACCGTTGGGGTTGATTGCGAGGAACCAATCTTCCTTTTGGGTGTTCTTGGTGATATCGACCTTCTCAACCTTGTACTGGAGCCCTAGTTCCTCAAGAACGATGGCGGGCTTGAGACCATTGGGTGTACCAAAGGTGTAGTAGGTCAAGTTATGAAAAGGCGGGTTGCCTGACATTTTGCCGGACTGATAGAGGTAAGCAGGAATGAGTATGCCGATTGTAGTTGTGAGAATGATGGTCTAGAGGGTACTGGGGCGTTGCATGGTACTCGTGCAAACGATAGCTGAGACCAGGGCTGAGTTTGAGATGAGTTGCTGGGAGATGGGAAGCGACGTACATATGCAGGCTCGACTCTGAGATGTCTCCGGTGCTCGCGGAGTGAAAATGGTGAGGCAGAGGAACCTCGTGTAATGGGTGAAGGGTATCGGAACACCGAAGAGCTGGGTAAGCGAGAAAGAGTGCGACGAGCTGGGCCGAGAAATGACATTTGGAAAGAGTGACTGAAAGAGATACCGTGTATATACACTTTCTTGCTACTGCTGTCGTCACGGGCACAGGCACGGGCACTGCAAGTGGACAGAGAGTGGAGGAGATATTCGCAGTCGGCCGCACCTGGGCGTTGACAAGGGCGGGGGGACCAATGAAGTCACGGTGTCCCCTGGCTCTGCTTACAAAACCCGTGCGACATCGACTTGGTGAACCATATCTGGTGATTTACCTAGATGCAAACCATGCGAGTACGTCTTGGTCAGTCTGAGCATTTCTAAGCAGACGGAATTCGGGGTTAAGAAACACGGCTCTGCTCAATTACAATAGGCGCACTAGCGATGCGTGTCTGGCCTCTCAACGGCGGCTACAACTCGCACCAATAGCCGGATTCGGAGGGCATTTGGGATGCAATTGACAGTCCTTTCAACAAATACCGAATTATAATGTACCCCAAGGACAATTTTGGGGTCGTATCTTGGGAGTTGTCTTCTAACTAAATTATTGGCTCTAGTGCCAATACGCGGCCCGTATAGGCTTACCTTGCCCAACATAGGCGCCTCGAACTTGGCTCTTGGTCGACATGGTCAATGTATTCCCCTTTCATCCACCACTAACTTGAACATTGATGTGTGAACAGCTTCGTATCACCAGAGGCCTTTGCACGCGGACTTCTGCTAGAGGTCTTTGTACCTTCGCCCATCCTTTACATGTCGAGCACTGGAAGAAGTATGCTATTGTGTTAGAAAGACGTTTGCGTTGGGAGAAGAGAGCCCGCGTTAATGCTACAATACAGTATATTAATAACAGTCTTGACAAACCTCACACCATCAACCACCCGAGACCCACTGAGGCGATCACCAATGCTGTTACTGCATGGGCCGTACTTTTGCCTCGAGCCAACGCGACTGCCTCCTGTCCAACTCCGGGACTTTCTGCATACTGCTTCAGTATCCAAGCATCACCCAACCCAACAGTCGTACCAAGAACCAGACTGATTCCCATGCACCGTTTGACCGCAAGCGCTGCAATCGGGGAGGTACGGCACAGGTCCGAGAACTGCCACATCAGGACCAGAGTCAGGGTCGACAGTCCTGTGCCAATGTTGCGGATCCCATGGACACGGATGTAAGCCTCTTGAAATGCATCTGCGTGTGCGGCATCCTTTGCCGGCGCCAGGAGACCGAACCCTTTGGCCCCTTCCAGCGGCGAGACAAAATTGTAGGCGCCTCCGCCAAGTGCTACAACGCCCAGGAGTCCGGTGAAGATTGGAAGGGCGGGTCGCAGGGATGAGAGGGACAGTGACGAATTGATGGAGGACATGACTTGACGTTAATGTTGATAGACTGGTAATGCGACAAATCTACCTGATGTTGCAAATCGAAAGGAAGAAGCGTTATTGCAACGAGGATGGGTGCTCGGCATCTTTTGAGGGCTGGAGAAACAAGAGTCGGGATCCTCGATTAGCGAACCCGATGAACCCGACCCGCCTCGAACACGAGCGCTAGACTTCACATGGCGAAGCTGGGTGGAGTTAGGCGACAAGGCAGCATTCGGCGCGGCATGAGGGTGATCATCATCCTCAGTCACCACTACATCATCCAGAGGCGGCGGTAGCTGCTGTCGACAGAAGCAATGATGTCTGAGCGTGCGCCGAATGGTCCGATCCTTTGTGAAAGGACAAGTCTCAAGTGACATGCTGCCCTGTCACAGTCCCCGGTTGAGGTCTGGGGATTACCATGCATCATTTCGATTCGCATCTATCCCATTGATCAGCGGCAGCCCGTAGGAGTATGCGATGATAGCAGTGATGCATAACGCTGAAGTGCGTGGAGGGAAACGTTGGTCTTCGTCAATATTGTCAAAAACGGCTGCTGCAAGTTTTTACGGACGCCTGGTGATGCCTGTTGATTAGCGAGGTATGTTCCTGCTAAATTTGAGGAAGTCGCACCTCGTTTGCAGCTGGCGTGAACCCACGCAGCCTTGTCACATAGTTCTCGTGCTTACTTTATTGACCGTCGCGCCTGCCTAGTAGGTTCTCAGCCTGAGTTCGATCAGAAGCCGCCTCTCCGGGGCTTCGAAGCACTTTTCTCTTCCTCGCCATCTTCAAGAACAATCACAGCCACCTCACCGATCTTGTCTCCTTCCAGAACTTCGAAAATGTCTCCCTCACCCGAGCGCCGACGAGCCCTGTCTGGCAAGATCTCTCCTTTCCGCATTCAAAAGCGTAGCTCGCCACCGCTCAACAAGGTCTCACAATGGCAGACATTCTCTGCTGACGCTGGTGGTACACCAGCGCAAGAGTTCCGCCAGCACCGCCTCACGCAGGATAGCCAAGTCAGTGAGAGTTCCCATTCCAAGCCCATAATCGTTCCAGCTCGCTCTCTTAGTCGTGGCACTGTCTATCACGAAAACCACATAGCCTTTCACGGAGGAATTCTTTCCAACTTTCACCAAGGCCAGCGATTCAAAGGTGCTGCTGCACTCGCCTATCTGCTCCCCAAGCTCAGGGAGCTCAACGTTCCCCATCCTCCGGGCGATACTCTGGGTGCACACATCCTATCACAACACGATTTCTCCTGCGGCGAGCAGTTCATGATGGCCATGAAAGCCTTCTTGTTTGAGTCCAAGGACATCGATATAGTCGTTCGCAGCTTCCAGAGCACCGTCCAACAAGACACTTGGGCGCTCATCAGCCGCATTTCTTGCCGTGACGGTCAAATCCACAACGAGCAGCTCAAGAGCGAACAAGCCGAATACGCTAGACAAGAAACCAAATTGTACCAGTCAAACTTCATGCAAATCCTCAGAGCACGCGATCCTGCAGACATGAAGAATCTTGGTCGCCAGTGCCCCAACTTCAGCGACTATCTTTGGAATAAAGCAAACATGGCAGTTGTCATCGCAACCTGTCTCGCAAGAGCGGAGCATGATCATGCCCTGGCCAATATCTACAAAGATAACTTCAGCGAAGATGGCTGCAGCGTTAAGCGGGGCTTTGTAGAGGGCAGTCGCTTCGATGGGATCTGGGGCGTCCGTCTGGATTACGACAACAAGGCTATCGACGATGAGAAGAACTGGAGGGGTGAGAATCGGCTCGGCAAATGCCACGATGAGGCCTGCAAGTTGTACAACTTGATTCGATCGGAGAAGACCCTACAGGCGGCCCAAGTTCAAATAAAGGAAGAGCTCCAGAACCAGGCTTGATGCTTGTTTGCGAGCGTAGCACTTTTGTGCTACAGTGACTAGACTTTGCACTCACCACAGTCAAAGATGCAGATGAACGAGGGGAGGTTTGAGGTTCAGTAGGACCACATATTATTAACACCACCCCGACTTACCCATACTATCAGACAATCGGTCGCCCTTCGTCTCGAAAGCTGCCCTTGACTTCGATGGACTGCTACGCAAGGAGGGACTTGGTGGTGGTCACAGGACAGGCGAATAGGAACCATAGTCATAACTCGCGTTGCGCCATCTGAAGGCCGTGAAGAGGCAGAAAAATCAAGAGTATGCCTAGATATGGCTTCGACTCGAGGCGTGCAAGATCAAAAGTCATCATTCATTAGAACACCATACTTTACATCTCTCCAAAAACAATGACCAGGGGGGATGTTTAGCCAACAGCCCACTCCAAGTGTCCATGATCTATCGATCCCCGATGGCTCTCGAGCTCCTCCCGCGCCTGATCCAACCTCGCAGCCGGACTCGCCACCGCCTCCGCCCTCGAGACGATGTCCGGGAAATGCGTCTGCGCAAAGTCTAGGAAGAAGCGGGCCTGCGCCGTTTTCCCTCTGGAGGAAGCCATGTCAGCCGCGTCCAGGATGGCCGTCAGCAGCGCCTGCTGGATCTTGGTGGTCCGGCGCCATTTCCACTTGGACCAGTGGGCGACGAAGGCTTCGTTGTGCAGGTCGTGGTAGAGAGGCTGCACGCTGGGTCGGTCTGGGTGGTAGAGCGCGAGGAAGCCTGAGGAGTAGTAGGTCTTGGCCATGGCGTCGAGGGGAGGGGCGTGCGCGAGGACTCGGGAGAATAGGGCGCTGGGGATGCCGTGGCGGCGTCGCTTCATGGCTACGAGTGAGGCGATGCGGGTCCAGGCGGCGATCATGGGGGCGGGTTGCGGGAGCGTGGCGCGGTGGGCAGCCGCTGCGACGTACTGTTGCGCTGCAGCGGTGAATTGCTTCTTGCGTAGGGCGTTGCTGATCATGCAGGAGACGAATTCGTCCTCGGCGTCCAGCCAGGTGCGTAGGTGCTGCTGGTGCGCGACGAAGGAGGCGTCCTTGCAACGATGTAGATGTTTGAGCCACTCCCAGACCGTCTCGTCGGCGCCGTCTCGGGACATGACGAGGAGGACGGGGCCGACTGTGGTTGATGTGGTGAAGAACTCTGTTCTTTGCGCGTCTGATGCAGAAGCCATCCATGCAGCCAGTCGGGGTGCGAGTTGTTCTCTTTCATTGCGCTTGAACGTCTGCGCGTCGGAGAGGTAGATCTGGGCGGCCTTTCGCAAAGAGTCCATGTCCAGCGCACCCTCTCGCAGTATTCGATCTATCAAGGTAACGGCACGCGAGCTCCCTGGCTGCGCACCGGCGGTGTTTTTCGATTGTAGTAGCGGGTGCTGTAGGATAGCGTCGAGGTGCGTGTTCACGGAGTGATTTCCATCGGCCGGAGCATCACTCTCTCGGTGGGCATCGAGAGATGGTGCTGGGTGCACCTCATCAAGACGTTTCCTGAAGGCACCGTCGAGTGATCGTAAGAGGCGCTGCGACTCCCGTGCTGTTGCGGGGCTGGGCGGGTGCAGCTTCGAGACGATGGATCGCAGCAGGAAAGTCGGAGAGACTCTCATATCGGTGGCTGATTATTATCCTTTCGTGTCACATTGTAAGATGGATCTGCATCTAGAGTCCTTCAGATGGTATTGCGGAGGTTTGGATGTGGCGTGAGTTGAGATGCGGTCATATCATGCCTCCATGGGGTGTGAAGATCATGAGCCATTCGGCTCAGTGACGATTGGCTACAGAGGAATTGTTCGAATGACATGCTAATTGGAGCAATTTTGAGCAGAAATCGCTTCGTCTGACAACGTTCATACCTATAAATAAATTCACTCTGGCGAATGTACAACATTCAAGTTATTGCTACTCTGAGGATACCACGTCCAGTCTTGTTTTAAGCTCATTTTATCATTAATCGTAACTCTAGCATCAAAGGCGAGCTCTGTCGACATTTGGTGTCCTGACCTTCTCTTGCCAATCAACTCCTGTGGCACTGACAAAGCTGTAGCGAGTCTCATCAGCCTCCTGTTGCCACTCGTCTTGTCGAAACCGTAGGCGTTCGTTATCGCCAACGAGTTCACCCCATACAACTGGCGCTTTTACCATCTCTTCTCTGGCTTCTTGACCTAGTCTCACCTCGTCCAGCCCGCCAAACATGCCCACCTGCCAATTGACATGACAACAGGAGCTGATTGCTGCACTGCAGCTGGCGACGATTGGCATTCCAGGTTCCATACGAAATGAGCCAAAGGCTAAGATACTCAACATGAGAATCGAGCCGACCATTATCACAAATATCATGCCTATCGGGGAGTAGCCGCAAGATGCGGTCGAAAATGCCCTCTCCAGCGTACCGACATGGTCGTATATCGAGATGACTGCCAGGAATATGCTTTGTGAGATCAACCAGTGAAGCAAACCGCTCATGAAGATCAGCGGTACGGCGAATCTGAATGGGAGCTGCAGGAAATAAGTCCGTCGCTGCTCGCCCACTGGTTGTGTTGTTCGTAGTGATCGAGGATGGTTCTTCAACGTCCAATTGATGGAGAAGCGCGACCATTCTATTGAGCTAGACATTAGCGTGAGTAGTGTGTTGAGCGCAAAGTAAAGAAAACTGAGCGCTAGTTGAGGTGAGTTGGCGACCAAAACCGAAGACACAACGCCCCGGTCAGGAGACATGGATTCAATTTCCCAGCCATTGATGACCATATCGGAGGATACTTTACCAAAGCCTCGCTGGAATAGCGCGGCGAACGATGTTGGAGCATTGTTTATTCTCCATATAGCGATATACAGGAGCACGGCAACAGTGCTGACGCACAGCGCGAAGTAGACAAAGACGACAGTCCATCGAGTCTTACTTGCAGAAGCTGCGAGATGTGGGCCCTTTGGAGAAGGCTGCCATTGGCGTGAGGGTGGTAGGTTCCATTTGTGCTCCGGTTTGATATCTGCCTCGGTTGCTTGCGGGGGTCTTGACGGAGCATCGATAGTAGGATGCTGGGTCAGCCTGTCTGGTAATGTTGCTGCAACTTTGCTCCACGTTTTTGGCTTGACTCTTTTATCGAGTTGCTTGATCTTGTGGATGGACGTCGGACCCAGGTTTTCGGTGGTGGAATCAGGGTCGACGATGAAAGATGAAACGGCATCGCCAATGGTCATCAGAGGTTGCGTAATGACCGGCGAAAAGACCATATAGCTCATGATACCCAGCTTGACGAGATTGCAAAACACCACTACCCAGATGATGGCAATATTGGCGTAGAATCCACATTCTTCTTGGATGGACTCACTGAGACAGTACTCCGCCGTAATATTGGTAGGTTGCCAATCTTGCCCAACGATTTGACCTTTGTTTACACGTTCAGGACAAGGGTCAGTGTTAGAGTAGGTATATGTAGCCGGCAGCCCTGGTATGGTGTAATCTTTCCCGTCGTAGCTGCTTAGGCCGTACGGTATCGGACACAACCATTGATAATTTTCGGTAGTTGTTGAGGATACTCCCATGCTCATTATCATCAAGACCGAACCATTCTCTGGAGAAGAGGGTTGGTCGTTTGTTATGACGATAACAGAACGTCGATCTGTAAGAAGACCGGTAGCGTATTTGTTGATGCACTCCTGGTTCTGAAGCGTCGTGAATGCTCCTGGGTCTTGCATGTATTTTTGTTGAAGCCTAAGGCCAGATTCGGGGAGGTCCGGAACAGAGACTGCAGTCTGCCTCGTAGTGTAATTGAACGGAGCACCATCGAGATAAGAAGGGTTTGCAAAGACCACGTCATACCCATTGTTGCCGATGGAAGAGAAGAAGGCGGAATTGAATCTGTAAATGTCAGCAGCTGCTTTGTGACGCCACGGAAGAACGCACAACAGGTGAAGCGGGAGTGAAGAGATAGCCAACAGGCCCCAGAGGCAACAACGAAGCCTGCTGATATGATGCAGATTTCGGATACTGGGCAAGCCGATGTCTAGCCACCGACCCTTGGCGTGTGCCTGATTGACGTCTGCTCGACTCGGGGCCACCAGACATTGCACTGAAAAGGCCTAGTTAGCAACGATGCACCGGACTCGCATAGAGAACATACTGCAGTAGTTGCTTCCTGCTAGCAGACAAGTACTGATGACATTGATTGCCAAGTGAGACCAGGTGTTCATTCTTGCTGTTGTTGAACAACTTCCGTGGAACAGCTCAGCCAGAATTCGGCCATTAGGATCTTGTGATCCAGCAGCGGCCAATATCCAGATGCCGAAGCCTATGTTCACTACGGCTGTGACGCCGGCTGTGATCGCTGCGGCGGATGCTCCGAATTTCCACCCATCAGCTCCTAAGCTATCGGCCACACGGTCCTCGGCGCGCTTTGGTGAGGGCTTCCGGGCGTTGGTGTTGAGACGGAAGGATCGAAAAGTGCTCACGGTCTGTATCGGACCTTTCTCCTCATTATTTAGCTGTGCTAGCTCAATGGTTGTCGCTGAGTCGTGAGGCGAGTCATGTTGCGCGTGCTGACTATCAGACTTAGACAGGAGCGTCCACCCTACCCGATCGCGCCAGGGACGTTTCATGGCCACCAAGTTGAGATCAACAGCAGTAGCCGATGAGGCCAGAGGCCTTCATATTACCAATTGGCGTTAACGTACCAGTGACTTATAATTGAGAAGAGGCGATAAAAGAGCTAGATCAGTAGAAAGACGCGAACGCTGCCGGGCTCCAGTGCAAGATTCGCAATGGCCCCCAAATAGCGACACTAGTTTCGAGGTTTAGCTCCGCCTGGCGACGATGGACATCATTTGATAAATGATCCACCATCGTTTCAGATTTATAGAAATCAGCCAGGATCAATGTACATGAAATTAGTCACTGGCGATCGTTGACTATGAGGCATCGGTCGGCCTAAGACCTTCGTGACGGTCGTAGCTTGTCCACCGCCGGATCTGCCAAACAGCTTGGGATTGTGTATACTAGGAATCGTGTGTACATTATGTACTGCGGCAGCGAGGGCGCCGAGAAACTGAGCTGTGTGACATAAAGGACAAAGTTATATAATGGTCGTCCGTACTGGCTGTTGCGAGCTCTGGAGACAGGCATAAATTCCTTGGCAAGATTTTGGTTTGGGCGCGTTCGCTTGGTCTCAATGTCTTCCTTGCTTGCATTTTGAGGTTTGCTCGTCGGACAAAGCTGAGACTACTTACGAGACAGATATCGCCAGACCCTTGATAATGGCAGACAATCAACGTGAGGACGACCAGCACTCAAGTTCTACGGCGCTTGCTGACAGGAAAGAGCGGGAGTCGCCTGCGCGCGTGGACCGCCTTCGCAGCAGGTCACCTCGCAGAGATCGGAGAGATGACAAGCCCCGTCGGAAAGACAAAGGCTTCAAATGGAAAGACAAGCGACGAGACGAAGGCGAACCACGCGACCGAGATTCTGGATTGCAAAGAGGCTACAGAGACCACTACCGCCCGCGCTCGAGATCCCGCTCCCCACGCCGAGATCGCTCCCCTCGCCATGAAGACGACAGTGTCGACAGGAAACGGCCCAAGCAGAACATCGACGATGGAGACGGAAAGAGTGAGCCAAAGGAGAAAAGGAAGGAGAAGGAGAAGAAGGAGAAAAAGCCTGCTGCAGCCGTACCTCAGCAGCCCATGATCTTGGTTACGGTGAATGACAGATTAGGGACCAAGAAAGCCATCCCATGCTTCGCATCAGACACCGTCCGTGAGTATCAGGCGATCGTGTCGGCTGGAAGATGTGCTAACAGGCGAGCAGGTGACTTCAAGATCATCGTGGCATCCATGATCGGCCGTCAGCCACACGAGATTCTGCTGAAGCGTCAGGGGGAGCGTCCGTTCAAGGATCAATTGACATTGCAGGACTACGGTGTCAGCAACAATGTGCAGCTCGATCTCGAAGTCGACACCGGTGATTGAGGGAGCTTCATGGCATACATGGTCCCTGCTTAAATGACTGATCCAACACATCGATGACCGGAAGAAGACTTCAGGGTCTTGCCGAGGCTGGAACAGCCCTCCATGGTTATATCTTCTGTCTGATACGATATGGGGCAAACAGCATGTTGGATCTCGGACACCCCATGCAAGTCATGCAAGCCATGCGACTATGCAAGGTACAACCGGGCAGAATCAAGTATCCGTATGGGGATGACGAACAGCGGTGGGGCGGCGGGGTGTGGTACCTGCCTTGCATAATATGCACGTGCCATTCCGAGAGCGGCAGGCTAAGCGTGAAAATTGTCTGAACCTCCGAACCTCAAACCCTACCAACCTGCATCTTGTTGTTCTCTTATGTCTTTTTCTCGCTTGCGAGATACCTCTCTCACCATGTACTTGACTGTCATACTCTAGTAGCTACTCAACACGACCTCTTACCGGGCCTCCGAGCACTCAGGCCCTCGGAAGCGCTGATCTCAGCCCCACCGAACTTCTTAAACTCCACCTCTTCCCTCTCCTTCTGTCCCTCACGAGACCTCGGCAATCATGGTGCGAAACATCGTGGTCCTGGGAGGTAACTCCCATCCCACTCTCACCGAGACAATCTGCGAGATGCTCGGTATTTCGCCTGGCCAAGCCTTGTTCTCGAAGTTTGCTGTCGGCGAGACTCGAGTCGAGATCGGAGAATCGGTCCGCGGGAAAGATGTCTACATTGTGCAGTCAGGAGGAGGAAAGGTCAACGATCATTTCATAGAGCTCTGCATTGCCATCTCTGCCTGCAAGACCGCCTCTGCAAAGAAGGTCACGGTCGTTCTCCCACTCTTTCCTTATTCGAGACAATCGGATATCCCCTACAACAAGACTGGCGCACCACTCATCCGCTCATCAAGTGTCTACAAACCAAGCACCAATGGAGAGCAGCATTTTACTTTCGACAGTACTCCGAGCACCCCTCTCTCAGAGAGGCCTGAGAAGCACGACAAGCATGAGCTGAACGGCACTTCCAATGGTGGGCCAGGAAATCTGCATCGACCAATCTCGCGCCCCCAGCTGGATGATATCGGATCTGGTACTCAGCCTCACCAGAACCGCTACAGCCATTACCGCGAGTCGAGCACCAATTCAAACTCCAAAACGGAGCAATCTAATGGATTGCCTAGCCGCAGTCGTGGTAACTCAAGCGCATCCGTCTCCGGCGTTAACACCCATGACTTCGCCGTCTCAAAACCCGAATCACCAGCCGATGCGTTCAAGCCTAGGCCTGGGTACCGCCAGTGGGTTGCCCAAGCCGGCACATTGGTGGCAGATCTCTTGACCTGCGCCGGTGCTGACCACATCATCACCATGGACCTACACGATCCGCAATACCAGGGGTTCTTTGACATTCCTGTGGACAATCTGTATGGCCGCCCTCTCTTGAAAAAGTACATCCAGCACAACATTCCTGGCTACAGAAATGCTGTAATCGTGAGTCCCGATGCTGGAGGTGCAAAGCGTGCCACTGCTATAGCGGACTCACTTGGACTGCAGTTCGCTCTGATCCATAAGGAACGACGTCCCACCAAGGTAACTGACCGACAAAATGCTACCATGATGCTGGTTGGTGATGTGGCGGGAAAGACAGCCATCCTCATCGACGATCTAGCCGATACGAGCAACACAATCACCCGAGCAGCTAAACTAGTGAAGAAAGAAGGTGCCAGCAAAGTATATGCGCTGGTCACTCATGGTGTTCTCAGCGGCGACGCCATTGATCGCATCAACGCAAGTGCACTTGACAAGGTAGTAGTGACTAATACCGTGGATCAACGCGAACATTGCAAGAGATGTCCCAAGCTCGAGGTGCTCGAGGTGGGGCACGTCTTTGCAGAGGTGAGTCACATTGACAAAAGCTCCCATCTACATAGCTGACTTGTCTCCTGGCCATTCGTCGCGTCCACTACGGCGAGAGCATCAGTGTTCTGTTTCAGTACGACTAAAGGATCTCAGCATGATGACCACGACTCATCGAAATCGGCGTTATCATGGGACACAAATGGCATCACATGTACTGGTGACACGGGGTTTTCTGTAGTGCTCATCGTAGCCATTATTGGGAGAGAGAACAATGCACAGAAACCAAGATCAAAAAAAGCTTCAACCAAGCGCTGGACGGGGCTTTGGGAGGATTTGTTCTTGCGGATTCCATAGCATCATAATCCAAAATTATTGGTCCTTCTCGGAGGGCCAGGTTGAAAGTGCGTGTCGATCGTGACTATCCTTCCGACGAGAACGTCGTCGTACTTCGTGAAGCTGTAGCAGTCGCTGGACTTATTTTCTGGGACACTTGAATTGCCGTGAGTACCAGTCTATGCTAACACGCTGAGCTGAGCAGAGCACAACCAACATTGAACAGGTTATTCGACCCGGAGACACAAGAACAATGCGAACAAGAACCAGGCACAACATCGGAACGCTGCGACTTGGTATTTTGTGGTGATAATGCATGCCTCACAAATAGCCTGCTCTTAGGTACCCATACGCCTTGCATGCAATACACAACCTTCTAGAAACACTGGCTTCAAGTTCACAGACCTACAATCAGAAAACGCTTATGTAGTTGCCTATCCTGTCTTTCTGGTTTTGTGCGATGCACTCGGAGATCCATGTGATGTTCCGAATCTCCTGCCAATCATTAGTATACTTTTTGAGATGCGACGGAACCATGACACATACCTGCTCCCTCAGTTTCACCCACGCGTATATGACAGCATGGGTAAATTGTCTGGTGAAGACCATCTTGGAAAGCTCGGCCTCCTTCAAGTAGAACAGATCTTCAAGCGTTTTCTGATCTGCTCCGGAGCCACCTTGCAGGTTGCCGGCGCCCATAGAGCCGCCTTGATTTAGGCCAACTTCATCGAAGAATCGCTTGTAGTCGCCGACGCCACTGACAGCTAACGACACACCTTCGAGATCCTCGGCTCTGGACAGCATGAGCATGCCCTCGGGATATAGTTTACCAAACTCTGGGTAAAGTTTTTTCCGCTGGTCTTTGCTCAGTTCGGTGCCAAACGAGTTGATCGTGATATTGATGGCTCGGCGGTCGGCTTCAAATTCAAGGATCTCGGACATGACTTCGCCAGTCGGTGTGTAGGCCATCTCGGGGTCGTTGTTGACAAAGTGGTAGAAGTCTTCAAGGTAGTTCTTGTAGAGGGTATTGCGGACGATTTCAATGTTGAGCTCATCAAGGTCCTGGTGGCTCAAGCTGCCCTTGAAGTATGGCGCAAGAGGAGTCTCGATGAGCACGGAGTTGTACAGCTCCTCGATGTTGGTGGCGACGCAAAGCACTGGCATGGTCTCAAACCAACCCAATGGATGGCATCGCTCCAGCAGCTCTTTGGTGTCTCGCTCATGTAGGGTTCCAGTGATCAGTAGGGCGACGTTGTCGATCATGTACGAGTAGGTGAGATATTCCATAAACTTCGACAATGAACCCGTGCACTGTCCTTGTAGGTATCTGAAATCTGCGACCAGCTTCTCCGTAGTTTTAGATGCGAGAGCAGAGGTCGAAGGGTTAGGAGCTAGATTGGAAAGCGTCTCGCCGTATGAGGGACCCAGCTGCATCTTAACATCATCGATCGTCTCGCATTGGGTCAACTGCGGTTTGATTAGCCTCCGCGCCACTCGGTGCTTTGTTGTCATACGCTGCTGTAGTTTTGCGATGTAAGAAGAGCATTTCTGTAGCCACGAACGATTCCCTCCATGTACCCGCCATTGATGTTGAAGTAGAGACCTGCAGAGCTCGTGTTAGATACCCAGAGGCATTCGGGTAATTCACCATACCTTCCATCCTGCCCCTCGTGGAGGCCTGGGCGGCGGCGGTGGAGGACGTGTAGACCGGGTTTGCCTGACGTGAACGACACTAAGCTTGTCTGTCCAGAGATTGGCGCTAGCAAGATGAGGGACTTGAACTGAGGCCGATGAATTGATATTAGACGGAGTTGGAGTCTAAGCCGATGCAGTCAATGCTGCAGCACCAGCTTCCACTTGCATGACCTCGACTGCGGAAGCAAGTCTTGGCGAGTTTGCAGCTCCCTGGGCTTGGCGGGTTGGCCGCAATTTTGGGGCAGACCTGCTCCAAAAATTTTGCTGCCCGCCAGCAGCGAGTGTTCTATTCAACTACTCACCTATCGTTACGCTCCTTGGTGCAGCTAACGCCTCAACATGACTCTCCTCGTGCTGCAAGAAACTCCGGCCGGATATGCGTTGTTCAAAGCGAGAGACAAGAAGCTGCTGAAGCGAGACGACATCGCATCGCAGTTTGACAGTGTCGAAAAGGTATGCGAGCAGCTCAAGCTCAAATCTTTTGCCAAATTCGACAGCGCCGCCGCTGCGCTTGAAGAGGCTGCAGCTGTTGTCGAGGGCAAGGTCACACCACAACTGTCGACATTGCTCAGCACTGTCAAAGATGAGAAGAAACTTAGTTTGGTGGTTGCCGACCCAAAGCTGGGTAATGCTATCGGAAAACTCCCCGGCCTAGACATCAAGGCCGTCGCCGATTCGACCACCGCCGACATCTACCGCGCCGTACGAGAGTATATCCACGAGCTTGTCCCTGCGCTTAGTGAAGCCGACACCAAGACCATGTCTCTCGGTCTGTCGCACTCGATGGCACGACACAAACTCAAGTTCTCGGCCGACAAGGTTGATGTGATGATTATCCAAGCCATTGGTCTGCTTGACGATCTCGACAAAGAGTTGAACACCTATGCCATGAGGGTCAAGGAATGGTATGGATGGCACTTTCCAGAGATGGCCAAGATCCTCAACGACAATCTGGCTTATGCGAAAGTGGTGCTGAAGATGGGCATGCGCGAGAACTGGGAGTCGACTGACCTGGCCGAGATTCTACCCGAAGAAATTGAACAAGCCGTCAAGATCGCCGCTGACAAATCTATGGGCACCGAGATCACGGATGAAGATCTGGAAAACATTCAAAGCCTTGCAGAGCAGGTGGTACAGTTCTCCGAGTACCGCACACAACTCGGTAGCTACCTTTCAGCTCGCATGGCCGCCATTGCTCCGAACCTCACTGCGCTAGTGGGCGAGCTTGTCGGTGCTCGCTTGATTGCCCACGCTGGAAGCCTGATGTCCCTATCTAAGAACCCTGCCAGTACTATCCAGATTCTCGGCGCCGAGAAGGCCCTGTTCAGAGCCTTGAAGACTAAGCACGATACCCCCAAATATGGCCTCATCTATCACTCTTCGCTCATCGGTCAAGCTTCTGGAAAGAACAAGGGCAAGATGGCACGCGTGCTTGCGGCCAAAGCAGCCTTAGGTCTCAGAGTCGATGCTTTGCATGAGTGGGAGGACGAGGAGAACGTCGGTGAGGAAGAGAAGGCCGCCCTAGGCCTTGAAGCTCGTTCCTATCTCGAACGCAAGCTTGCATCGATCGAGGGCAAGCCGCTCAAATCGAAGGGCGTCGCTATTGGCCCAGATGGCACACCCGCGACCACTCAGCCCAAGAAATGGGACATTAAAGAAGCCAAGAAATACAATGCCGATGCCGATGCTCTCGATGGTGATGAGGGCGCGGCTGTCGCTGAGTCGAAGAAGTCGAAGGGCAAGAAGCTGATCGAAGAGATCCCCGATACCGAGATGACCAATGGCGTCAGTGAAGACGAATCAGAGGCCGAGAAAGAGTCCGAGGACGACGAGGCAGCTGCCAAAGCTGCCCGCAAAGCCGAGAAGCGGAAGCAGAAAGAGGAGAAGCTGATGCGCAAGCTTGAGCGAAAAGAGAAGAGGGAATCCAAAGGACACAAGAATGAGTCCACGGATATTGATCTCGAAACGATTGCAGCGAAGGTCGGCGTTAGCGCGAAGAAGCTCAAGAAGAAGCTAGATCGTGGCGAAATGGTGATTGACGCCAATGGTGACGCAGTAAAAGTCAAGAGCACGAGCGAGGATGTCGTACCTACCACGAATGGCACATCAGATGTTACGAAGAAGTCGAAGCGGAAGCGGGAGGAGGACGAGCCTTCAATAAAGTCTGAAAAGAAGAAGCGCAAAGAGAAGGCCTGATCCACCCGACGAGTCCCCTGTTGGCGTTTACTGAGTCTGTGATGACATCTGGCATATGCATGGCGTTTGGCGTGTGGAACGAAATGTAGCATGAGGGCATGAAAATGGTGTCGGGCTCGGGCTTGCGTGCACAATATACCAGTGGATGTACGGTGTCGCCACAACCAATCATTAGTGGCTAGGCTAGCACACCATCGTTGATATCAATTCCAGAAGTATTCATACCTTGACGACTTCATGATCCAGAAGGTAGAGTGACTTGACATGATGCTGAGTTATGGTTAGTGGCATTGTGTGGCCGCCTTGCGGAACTGAACAAGGCAAAAAGGTGGAGAACCTCAAAATAAATTTAATGCCCACTTTGCCTCCTACGACGTTCAACGCCTCCCAGCATATACCAGTTTGTCTTAACCAGACATCTCCTAGCTATTCGCTATTTGTGCCTCGTCCGGTCAATGATATCCGTCCGAACTACTTCACACCACACTCAAGATGATCGTCGTTGACCCGCAGTCTGCGCTTCTCACGAATGCGGAGGTGTATGACTTTCTAAAAGCGCAGAAACAGCGTCCGGCCGACAAGAAGCTCGGTGCCTACGAACCCGTCAATCTAGCCAGCTGCATCCAAGTACGAAAGGATGTAAGTATGCGGGCGCGGCCAATGTCTGAGCCGTTCTTCAGTTGCTGCCCAAGGCTAATTTCATAGGTTCAAAAATATATTGATATCACCGCTCCCCACACTGCTTCTCTTCCGGCACCAGAGGCTTACATGAGTGAGGTTGTCAAGCGGCTTCGTCAATTCGACCTCACAAAGACCGAAGTCTATTCCATCGTCAATCTAGGGATCGGCTTGCCGCGGGTCCAGCCCTCCGTGAATGGGGAAGCTGAAGGCATGGAAGTTGACGGCCAGGAAGAGGCGACAACCAATGGAATGGAGCCAATTGCTCAGATCACGATGCCTGACGATGATGGTGACGACGCTACTGCAGAGGCGGATGCTGCAGATGACCAGAGTGGTCGTTATTTGCTTGGACTTGTTGTTGAAAACCTTGACGAGCGATTTTCTGGCGAGGAAGGCGACGACAAGATTCAGGCCATTATTCGAGTTCTGAGAGGGTGCACTGCTCTATCCACATCTACCACTAACGGTGATCATGAAGCGCACCCTAGCTGAAGAATCACGCACAGCTTGCACCTGAAAGAACAAATCATCCTGCGAAATTCGTGTCAAGTCGGTTCGGACATGCGGCACGGCCGAGACGATAGTTGGATGAAGGAATGGAAAGCTTCCTGGTCACAAAGCTGCCAGCCCAATACTCACCCTTGGTCGAATGAGCCGATTTGAGAGATAGCCGAGTTCGGAGACGATGCGGGCAAGTCGGACAATGACATTTGGTTGTACGGTCAACCAAGGACACACTTTACCAGTGCGGGAAGCCGTGCCGAGACGACTACACCTAAGCCTCCCGCGTTAGGGTCATTCAGCAGAGACACGTACAGTGTTCACCCGTTGGAAATTTCACATGCTCGTATAGGTCCAGCGCCCGGCCGCAAAGAATGGCGGCTCCTGGGCACCACTGTCTCCCACGAGAACAGTCAGGAACTCAGGATAAACCAGACGATACGGATAATTCGCGAGCCTAAACAGCTCCTCGAGAAAATGCAATAGGAAGCCTCTTGCATCTGCAGAGCTGAGAAAGTCGGATCCTCAAGGCCAAGATATCACACAGAGTCTGACAGACGGTAGCGCCTCTTCCTAGCGATCGAAAGTCGGCTTCACTGAGTGGCGTTCATAGAATAGTAGGGCCGTCGCCAGTCCCGTATATCAAGTGTTAGATACTGGGCTTCTGAACCACAGTGCCCTCCCTATCAATCTACGATTGAAATGGTAAACGAACTGTCTGGATGTCGGTGCCCTCCGAAGCAAGCTACGCATGAGTTCAGTGAATGCAGCGTTTCGACAACGCGCCGCCGGTATCTGACAGAATACCTTCAAGTCCTGCCATCATGCTTCTCATCGAACTCGTCACTGAACCTATTTAAGCGACTACTTTGGATGTCTTTGGACCGTTGAGAAGACATTGCCCCACCACCTGGGCATCCTCTAACGTGGCCATGTTATTTTCCTTGTGGCGCATTTTGGGCAGATGCAGGTTTGTTGGCAAGCATAGGAGGGGATTCAAAACGCCTTGCATCTATGACATGTGTTGTTGAAGTACTGGCGACTTCGAGGCAGGGCTGCTATATGATTGGGTAGATTGAGCAGTAAGATATAGCTCTGGCCCCAATCAGATGTCACCTTGAGTAGTTCTGTGAGGCAGTGCAAGTGCGTGCTGCGGCAGGGGGGCCAAAAGAACGAGTGTGACCTGCTAGAGCTCGGTGACGGGCACTCCGACCTATTCTAGATCCTGGTAGCATTGTTGGGTCTTGCTCAGATGCCAGGGAAGGCACTGCCTTGGGTGAGCTTGCCTTGTGATGTCCGAAACTGCAGCCATAGGCGTATTGCTTAGAGCTTCTACAAGCATCCTTCCGCGGCGGTCCGCGGCCGCGGCAAAGTACAGTACATACTTGACCGAGAGCTTGAAGTGGGATGCGCTTCTATTTCTGGACTGCGCGACTTGGAAATACGTCGTGAAGGCTAGCAACGAGCTTCGCGCTTCAAGGGTTTTGGTATTCTGCAAGGGGAAATATTCTGGAAGCATACGGGAATGGAACTCTCTCCCTGCGCTGCAGATGTTCCATCACAGCCCAGATGGCTGCCGATATCCGGCTTGATCCACGGGGGGGAGGGCCAAGGACCAAACTCTATAGCCCATTTATTTTTGTGCTGGGGTCATGTGGTCAATGGAGCTGCCGTCGGAGTATTCTTATAGGTGGCATTCCTGTAAGTGGCAAAGTATTCGAATATTCGATCACCAGGATAGCGGGTGAACGCCTATCAGGGGTGGGAAGAAAGTCGGACAGCTCGGCACCCAGGCCAAGGTCGCTTTGATGTCACGACTAGGCTTAAGAGAATCCGAATACGCTGTTGAATCGCTGCAACAGACACGGAGCGTAGCATGGCAGCATCATGGATTTAGTTCAATTTAGGCCAAGTGGTGATAATTCCTGATGGTACGGGGTAGAGTACCTTTCTCTACCCACGAGATGCGGCTACTTGGTCGCCTATAGGCGCAGCTGAAGAAGAGTTGCGGCTGCGGAAACGGGCAGTAGAATAGCACGCCTCAAACGTGTTTCGGCCGTTGCGAAGGACGGGGGCAGCACAGGATACTCACGACTTGGGTCTTCATGCCTATTACCTTGTTGTCGCGTGCATGTGGATGGTGTTCGACCGACTCGCGATAAGCCAGAGGTTACTGGTCGTGGAGAAATAAGCTGTAGCTTAGACGGAATATCGGCAGAACATCAGTCGATCAAGCAACCAAGCATTTGGCAGGGATTGCTGCGTTGCCGGTGAGCCTCGGAGCAAAAGCACTGCCACTCCGATGGTTGCTGAACGAGGCAGATTCGGGTAAGCAGCAGTTCGAATATCATTGTACCATCGTGCAAGGGACAATGCGAACAACAACAACATTACAGCACCCTAAGCCGAGGCCACGCGTCGTGCCTTGAAGCCAGAGCATATAGAAATATCCCGCGCAGTAAAGACGAATAGCAGCGAGCGCGTGATGACAACAGAGTATAGGCGTGACGGGGAGTAGAGACTGGGATCGGCAGCTGAGACGGGCCCCCGAGCCAGTATGCTGCCGCTTAAGGCTTAGGCGACGTGCAAGGCAGTCCCGCGCAAGCCCAGCAGGACCCAGCAGGACCCAGCAGGACCCAGCAGGACCCAGCGGGCCCCAGTAGGTGTCCAGTGCGGAGAGGCTAAGCGACAGAAATAGCATTGGCGCATCTTTGCTCAATCAAACCATCATGATCCATCATCACCCATCACCATATATTCCTCCCTCCCGCTTGCATTTTGTATGACGCTCAAGACTTCCGATACCATCTCTAGTCGGTCTCGTGCGCACTCCTCCTCGTCGACGCATACCAACACTCCATTCATTCCACCACCAACACATACCTCTATTTACCCCTCTCCACCTCGCGACACAATGGACTCTCCTATGTACAAGGACGACACCCCCAATGGCAGAGGCAAGGACAGCGCTTCTCCTCAGAGAGGCTTCCAACCTCGCCACGGTGAGAATGGTGTCATCAAGGTTCAGCCTCCGCGCAGAGAGGACCTGCAGCCCTCGTACGCGCAGATGCTTCAGGGCGAGACTGAACCCGATGCCCATGGCTGGTACGGTTCTATGAGTATGTCGCCCCCACACTCCTGATCGCGCGCATCCAAATCACTGACACCATCACAGTCAACACGCTCGGATCCTGTGTCGGTTTCTTCGGTGCCATTCCTTGCTGCATCGTCTGCCCCAACCCTTACAAGCCTGTATCACAGGGCAACGTCGGCCTCGTCACCAAGTTCGGCAAATTCACTCGCGCCGTCGACCCTGGTCTGGTTAAGATCAATCCCCTCTCCGAGCGCCTGATTCAGGTCGATGTCAAGATCCAGATTGTTGAGGTGCCCCGGCAAGTCTGCATGACCAAGGACAATGTCACCCTCAACCTGACCTCGGTCATCTACTATCACATCACCTCGCCACACAAGGCCGCATTCGGCATCTCAAACATCCGGCAGGCTCTGATCGAGCGTACCCAGACTACTCTGCGCCACGTCGTTGGTGCCCGCGTCCTACAGGACGTCATCGAACGTCGCGAAGAGATCGCCCAAAGCATTGGCGAGATCATCGAGGATGTCGCGATGGGTTGGGGCGTCCAAGTCGAGTCTATGCTCATCAAGGACATCATCTTCAGCAACGACCTACAAGACTCGCTCTCCATGGCCGCCCAGTCTAAGCGTATTGGTGAATCCAAGGTCATCGCTGCCCGCGCTGAGGTCGAGTCCGCCAAACTCATGAGACAAGCCGCCGACATTCTCAGCTCTGCTCCTGCCATGCAAATCCGTTACCTCGAGGCTATGCAAGCCATGGCCAAGACGGCCAACAGCAAGGTCATCTTCCTGCCTGCCGCCAACCAGACTATGCCTGAGGGTGCTATGAAAGCGGCGCTGGCCCCAGACGCTGGGGGCCCCAGCAACTATCAAAGCAAGCAGAACACCGGCAACCAGTTCAATATGGACTCAGGTGACGGATTCCAACAGGCCATGAACGCTCGCGTCATTGAGAATATTTAAACAGTTGTCCGACAGCCAAATTTGGTGCCTCAGCTGCGCTGCCTGTTGATCGACCATCAGTCGATCTCCAGTACGACATTTGACGGGTTTGGTTTACTCTGAGATTCGGCGTTCAACATTTGATACCCCTTTGTGTATCCTTCGTTCGCTATTGCGGCTGGGTGTATGATCACGAGTTGAGCCTGAGCGGTTCAAAAGTTTGGTCCACTGCCATAGCTAATCACGATTGATTTCTCTGAATACTCGTCCATCGTGCGCTTCTTTCCTACCCACTGATCTTTGCCACGTCTGACAGCCTAGCACTGCAAGATATCCGGGACTTGTGGCGAGTTTTGAACGGACAGCAATAATGCGGCAGGCGTCCGACTATGCAGGCTCAGGAGGAACGTTGCCCTTTTTGGAGGGATTAGAGCTTGTCCATCGTCCCAGCCAGGTGTGCAGAGGCCGACCATATGCTTATGAGAAGGACGCCGTTATCCACTCGCAGATTTACCTATCTTTGACATTGAGGCTACAGTAGGAAGGAGGACATCGTCTTTCCATTCGAATTTGGAAACTAAGCTCAGAACTGACGATGCCCTCCTCATTGCTTCATAGTCCACGCTTTGAATGGTCGGGCTCTGAACTGACAATATTAATACTCGCTTTTCCTAGATATCGGTCCTGCACCCTACAGCTGATTCATTGTACAACAACCACTCTGCGCCACCGGCATCCAGGTGACGTTAGCTGTTCTTCCCACCGACCATGGCCGACCAGAGCTTAGCGAAGCCCGGATCATTCCAACGGCTATCCACGCAAGGAACAGGATGCTGATCGCACCCAGCGTCCACCCAGGACCTGCATTTCCTCCGGCCTATCCTATCTCGATCCTCTCCGTCCCCGCCCTGCTGCCAAGAAACCCCAGCCGAGCCAACCTCGTCCCGTCGTAGCAACCGACTTATTCGCGACCTGCTGCAACGAGATTAGCCCGGAGTAATCGTTCCTTGGCTTTGATACTGAGTGCAACGTGCCTTGCGCAGAGATCGGCGGAGTGGGCTTTCTGATCAGAAAGCCTGTCGGTAGGTAGCGACCATGCTGTACTCGGCGGGAAGCTGCATAAATATGGGCTGGCCGCCGCGAGGGGGGCGTTGTGTGGCAGGTCGCGTCTGGTCTTTGGTACTGTCAGAAGGAACAATTTGAGCTACCAGGAAGTTCCAAGTAGTCTCTTCGAAGCAGGAACAAAGCCATTCCCTTTACACAGAGGCTGTCTGCTTCGGAAATGGCGTCGCTAATCCTCTTGTTGTTGCCTCTGGCAGCAGCTATCGAGAGACCACCTCATCAGCCACAGGGTAATGGGACCAAGATCCTCAGCTTCAACGAGACGGTACCGGCCGCGCAATACAGTGCTAGCTCGGTATCCGTGTCTTGGGTCTCTGGAGACGAGGATGGCCAGTATATCACCGAGAGTGAAGACGGCAGTATCGTGCTGCAGAATATTGTTACTGGCGATTCTCGGACTCTGATCGAAGCCGATGCAGTCCCTGAAGATTACTGGGAGTACTGGGTCAGTCCGACGGCTGACCGAGTCCTTTGGTCAACAAACTACACCAAGAACTACCGACATTCCTACTATTCAGACTATATGATACAGGAAATCGAGAGCGGCGAATTGACGCCATTGGTCGAGGATCAGGCCGGCGATATCCAATATGCCGAATGGGCCCCAACGGGCGACGCCATTGCTTTCGTGCGCGGCAACAACCTGTATATTTACAACAACAGCGAGATTACTCAGGTCACTGAGGATGGCGGCCCAGACATGTTTCATGCGGTGCCAGATTGGGTCTACGAAGAGGAAATCTTCGGGGACCGCTACGTGCTCTGGTGGTCGCCTGATGCTCAATTTATTGCCTTCCTCTCCATGAATGAGACTGGCGTCGGCACTTTCACGGTCCCCTACTTCATGGGCTCGCCACTCGATCCCCAGGAGGTCGCTCCCGAGTACCCATATGAGCTCGAGCTCCGGTACCCCAAAGTTGGCAGCACGAATCCGACGGTCGAGTTCAATGTCCTGGAACTGTCGACTATGGAGGTTTCCAACATCCTGATCGATGCTTTCGAACCCAACAACACGATTATTGGAGAAGTTGCTTGGGTCACGGACGACCATGCAGGTGTAGTTTATCGGGCGTTCAATCGTGTCCAGGATCTCGAGAAGCTCGTTTTGGTCGACCCGGCGGAGCAGACATCAAGCGTCATCCGCGAGCGAGACGGAACCGACGGCTGGCTCGATAACAACCTCGCCATTCAGTACATTGGCACAATCGACGATTCCAACACAACCTATTTCCTCGATCTTTCCGACGAATCCGGCTGGCAGCACATCTACCTCTGGCCCGTGGATGGCGGCGACAGCATCCAGCTCACAGAGGGTGAATGGGAGGTTACGGCTGTACTGAAGGTCGATACCGATCGCCAGTTGATCTATTACACCAGCACCGAAGCTCACAGCACCGAGCGACACCTATACTCGGTCTCCTTTTCGGGCAACAAGACCGCTTTGGTAGACGATTCCGTGCCCGCGTACTACTCTGCCTCCTTCAGCTCGGCTGGCGGCTACTACATCCTCAGCTACCTAGGGCCCAACGTACCCTATCAAGAACTGTACAGCATCAACTCCACCTCCGAAGCTTTGGACTCTATCACCACAAACGAGGCACTAGTCCAGAACATTACCGAATTCAACCTCCCCAATATCACATACCTCGAACTCGAGCACCCTGACGGCTACACACTGAACGTAATGCAGCGCCTGCCTGTTGACTTCGATCCCTCGAAGAAATATGGTTTGCTTTTAATACCGTATGGAGGTCCTGGTGCCCAAGAAGTCTCGAAGCAGTTCTCCCCTTTGAACTGGAAAGCCTACATCGCCTCTGACCCGAGCCTCTCCTACATAACCTACACAGTCGACGGACGAGGCACCGGCTTCAAAGGACGCGCCTTCCGCGCCACAGTCACCAACCACCTCGGGCGCCTCGAGCCGCTCGACCAGATCTGGGCCGCCGAGCAACTCATCGCCGCCAACGAGTGGATCGACACCGAGCACGTCGGCATCTATGGGTCGAGCTTTGGCGGGTACCTCTCGGCGAAAGTGCTGGAGGAGGACTTGGACGTGTTTACCTTCGCCATGATTCAAAGTCCTGTGACTGACTGGCGGTTCTACGATACGTTCTATACCGAACGCTACATGAAGACCTTGGAGGATAATGAAGCCGGCTATAAGTGAGCTTTCCCCTCTTTCCCAGAATTTCTGTCAAGGGATCAGCGAATGGTCGCTTACCCGCCCCTCTCCCACACCCAACCCCCGACCACCAACCCTCCATCCTTGTACTAACCGCACCCCCTCCCACACAGTGAGACAGCAATCCGCACGACCTCGGGCTTCGCGCACGCCGCCGGCGGCTTCGCCCTCGTGCACGGCACCGGCGACGACAACGTGCACTACCAAAACTCCGCGGCCCTGGTCGACCTGCTCGTCGGTTCCCCGGAAAACCCTTCCGGCGTGACCCCCGAGAAAATGAAGATGTTTGCCTTTACGGATATCAACCACGCGATCCCCAGCAGTAAGGCCGGCACGTGGCTGTATCAGTTTTTGACGGAGTTTTTGTTCGAGGAGAAGCTTAGAGGAACAGAGGACGAGTTGGTGCATCAGTGGAGTAAGAAGGAGGTGGAGGTGGAGGTGGACGAGAGGAGGAGGAGGAGGGCGGTTGAGTGGCTTGCTTGAGAGGTGAGGCTTTTGCCTAGGGGTCGGTGGCCCCCCCCCCCGGAGGAGTTCGACGAAATTGACGGCAGAGCATGAATAGAGGTTAATGATTGATGAGACGAGAATTCACACAAAACGCATAGTTGGCGCCGGCCGCGTAGAGGAAGTGAGTTGGTAAAAAGGTTTCCCATACATTCTTATCCAAACCATGGACCCGCTCCAGGACGCCGTACACCTAGCTACATGACCCTCACCGCTCCACGCCGCACGTGGTCCTTGAAATGCTATGCAATCATATGGCCCTCGATATGTGTTCTCAACCCCCTCACAGTGGCCTGTCGTTGGTCTTGTCCAAACGACCTATACACGCAGACAGACGTAGAAGAATGAAGCTACTTGGCCCCGTCATACGCGCTTCTCACGCGACCTCTCACGGGGAACCGCTCATTGAGCATATCCTCCTGCGTCTGCTGCTGCTGCTGCTGCTGCTGCTGCTGTAGGGCCGACGATTTGGCCGAAGAGGACAACCCCGTGCTCGGCAGCTCCGCGGCGGCCGGCATCGTTGGCGTTAGCACGTTATCTCTCTCGCTCGCAGCACCGTCACCGTCGCCCGCGTCACTGGTAGTCTCCAGCTCAATGAGGTCAGCCATGGGCCCAGCGCCGCGCTTGGCAGCGCCTTTGCCGGCCGCCATCTTGCGGACCCACCCTTCGACACCGCCGGCCAATTCGCTCAGGCCAGAGCTGTTGCTGCGCGCGCTGCGCACGCTGTCCATGCTGGCGCGCGGCGTGCTGCGGAAGCTGCCGATCGGTGGCGGGGCGAGTGTCTTTTGTGCTTCTTTGCTCGTGATGGCGAGGTCGGGGAACAGCTGTGCGAACTTGCGGTTCAGTGGGTCTTCGGCGGGGCCGGGGCGGGACGGCTCTGTACGTAGGCCACGCAGTGTGCCGACGCCGCCGGGCCCGCGAAGGGCTTCAATGAAGGAGCCTTGCGTCGTGCTGCTGGACCGGGGGCGGCCGGATGATTGCCTGGTGGAGAGGGTGGGCCGGCGGACTGGGGAGGCGTTTTGGGAGAGGGACATCTGCGCGGCGTGGCTGAGTGGGTGACGCAGGTTGTCGAAGGAGGAGCGGGGCGTGGAGGTCACGCTGCTGTCGGTGTGAGCGGGCTTGGACAGTGATTTCCGTCGCGCCCGTGGGAAGTAGCCTAGACTGGAGCGGGGGATGCGCAGAATGGCAACAGGGTCTGGGAAGTTGGGGAGAGAGACCCAGGAGTCGTGACGGAGATCGGGGTTGTCATTGGAATAGGAGGGGAAGGCTTCGGCTGTGGGTGAGGGTGCCTGTTCTGGTGCAGTGTGTGTGCCCATTCGCTTGAGGGCTCCTTTGCCTGGTGTTGTAGTCTTTGCAAGATCCTCGATAGCAGCCCCGAGCAGATCAGACCCTGCCTGCGGGCCCTCTACTTTCTTCCCACGAACAGAGCAGGCTTCCACAGGCAAGAACACGTGATTTCGTACTTGGATGTTGTCGTTGGGCCAGAACCTGTTGACCTTGCGGAACACATCTGGTTGGCAGCCGTATCGGAGCATGACGCCGGCCAGCGTGTCCTCTCGAGCAGTCTTGTGAACGTACACGAGTGCATCCTGATCGTGTTCCACACCATTGTTAACTTGTATATCAGCATCTGAGTCTCTTCTCTTGTATCTGCCACTGGAATCCCTGGACTCTTGGGCGCCGCCGAGTAAGAGGGCCTCTCGTCTCTTCGCCTGCAGAAGTGCCTGTCTGTCTTCTAGTGAACCAGGAACAACGTCAGAAAGACCGTTCGTTTTCGGACCCCATTGTGGTGTGGTGGGCGAAGATGAGTATGCTCTGTCCTGCTTCATCCATTTCGGATTGGTGACTGCCCCCTTGGGCTTGCCTTTGCCGCTAGGATTTACGTCGCCGCCCAGCAGCGACGAAGCGATACTGGACCATGAGGACCAGATATCTGTGCTTGCGGCCCGACTGGCCTCTGCTGATGTTTTCCTGGAGTTGGAAGCGCTTCCAGAGGCGCTGCCTGGCTTATCGGCTGCTCGGCTGCGATTGATACTGGGCGAGGGACCGCGGTCAGGGAAGAGAGGTGTGGCTTTCGAGGAGCTGGTCGAAGTCGCAGTCGCAGTAGCGTTGGACGATGTCTCGGTTTCGTCGCCAAAGTAGGATATGAGGCGGGTGTTACGCGGACGCAGGGTCGATGTGCTACTGTTGGAAGTCTGGTATAGGCTGGTGTTAGGAGTGCTCATGATCGCTGGGGCAGCCAGCAGGAAGCATTGGCTAGCCCAGACATGGAGGTGGGACAGTAGCGGACAGGCACAGGATGCTATGAACACGTATTTGGCATGCTTCGTTTGCGCGTGGCGTCGAGGGAATGAGAGTTTGTGTTGGTATGTGGAGGGGAGGTGAGGTGCTCAAGCCGCCGAGCGACATCTGGGGGGCCGCGCCAGAGATGACGCCGCGGCTACGGGTGGGCACTCATCTCTGGCCCCTGAGAGGCCGGTACGACTATGGAGTACCAGGATCCAAGGATCTACAGAGAGCCGCGTCTGGTACCATACTTGACCTCACTCATGATTCTGGACGAAACGATTATCGGCTTTCACAGGGACAAAGATGGGGCCGTTCATAAACCATGTACCGTGTCGTGCTGTTACCTAACATGAGAGGCGAGAATAGACCATAACCAAACCCTTCGCCGCCCTTGCAACCATTGCGTCGTGACTATCATCATACTATCCCCTCGAATGCACGAAGCATCCATCGTTGTTGTTCCCCCTACGATCAACTACTCCCTCCTTGAACTTTCCGTACTGTAAATCCCTGGTCGTGTTCCCCGCTTCCATCCCTCTCCCTCCTCGACTGGCAGGACCATCTTCTTTCGTGGACCAACCTCATTACCGCCCTGGTTTATACCCCTCTGAGCTTGCGCTTGAGCTCCGATCCCTTCTGCAATGAACCCTATCATGTAAGCTCCACCAGCCAGGGCCAGCACAGTTAGTGTCACAGTCCTAATGCCGCGTGCCACACGGCTGAAGAAACCGTCCTTGGATGCTGGCGTGGCATAGTCATATGATGCATCAGACGTTGGTGGTATTGGTGATGGAGATGACCGCTTCGGAGCCGATGACAGTGGCACGGCTGGTGCTGTAGTCGTGCCCGAGAAGACCTCTTCCTGACGCTTGACACGCGGCCGGCTTTTTGGTAATCTTGATGATTGACGAATCGATGTCGGAGGTGGAATCGGTGCCGACGGTCCAGGGGGATCGACTTCGGTTGGTATCTCGTTGAGCACCGTCGCTGCTTCTTTCGCAGCTGTTTCTAAGGCTGGGGTAGGCGCGGCAATTTTTGTCGTCGCACTGGCTGTCACGCTGGCCGTTGGGAGGCTGAATACCAATTTATCTTTGCCACCGTCGACTAGCTCGTAGCCGGCATCCTGTAGCTTTGGGAAGTATTCCAGAAAGCTTGTGGTTTTTGCTTGATCGAGGCCGGCTAAGAGTGTAAACGGATTCTTCGCGCGTGTAGCCGCCTCAGGCAGGCTCTGAGATGGAATGTGCTCGACAGCCTCTGTCATATGATTATAAGCAAGCGTGACGACGGGCGAGGTGTATTCGGCAGAGGCAGCCTTGAGCTCCTGCAGTGGAGGCGGTTGCTCATCGTTCCAGACAGCCGACCCGGAAGGGGTGAAAACGGGATCTTCCATTGTCCGCGGGAGATCTGTCTGAGCACGTAAGTCAGCGGCCATTTTCGCGTCGTCCTTCACGATTGCAGGATATGCAGTGACAGGTTCATCAAGTCCTCGTGGGTCGGTGTCGCGTTTGATCCCCTCGACGATAGCTGCCACTGGCTGATCGAGACTCTCGACGACCTCTTCGTTGACCTTTTTCGCCTCCGTAAAGACGGGCTCATCGAGTCCTGAGGCCGATGCATCCTCCTCAACAAGAGGCTCTTTCGCGTATTCTGCAAGCCTTTCTGCCTCCAGCTCTTTCCACGGCCTTTTCTCGCTCTTCATACGCAAATCCTTCACGTGTAACTTGATATCGTGAAGCTCCCTCCTCACTGCCTTCATATCGTACACAAGTCGAGAGTAAGCTGGTTCGAAGTTGGACACATATTTCTCAATCGCAGGGGAGCGAGAGACTCCTTCTTTGACCGATGCTGTACTCAGCGGATGAGGCTGGCTCGCGTTCATCAAATGCCTTGGTAGTACGGCGGCAGGAGGAAGTGGCTTCTGTGTTGAATCAACTGCCAGACTCCTGTCTCGTGATGCTTCCTGAGAAGAAGGTGGATTTTGCAGATTAGTAATGCCTCGGACGTCGTTTCTGAAGTTGTCGTAAAGAGCGCCCATTGACTTCATTGTCCTTGCTACAATGCCGTCAGGATTACTTTCCACGTGCTTCCAAACATGTCTGACTTCAGGCCGCTGCGGACGAATTGGTTTATCGACCTCCGTCTCAAGGTTGTGCCGGGAGGCAAAATCTTGCTCAAGCTGCTCACGCTTTTGACGTCTGCGGGACTCCATGTCTTGCTTGGTGGCGCGCTTGGCTTTCATGGCCGCTCGCACATCACTACTACGGAGAAGATCGATGTCTTCGGCCTTTTCCGCCGCGGCAACTCTGCCCTGCCAGTCTTCCTCTTTCGGAGACTTGCTAAAGGCCGTCTTGGTAGCGTGGGTCGATCGATCGAGAGAAGGTTGAAGCTTCTGCATCCTCGACGTGGGCACAGTCCTGTCCCAATCTGAGGATGACTTGAATTTGTTGAATCCCTTTATGGGAATGTCGGTCGTTCCATCGTGCAAAGTTTTGTTCTTGAAAGCCGGCAGGTCGCTACCAGCTACCTTCGAGCTCTCTTCGACGAAGCCCTCTCTTGCAAGCCACGGCACCTGATTTTGAGTCGAGGAATCAGAAGACTTGTGTTGGGGTTGCGTCGTAATATCGTTAGCTTGAGCTTCTGGGGTGGTGCTGGACGAGAGCTGTTCAACCGCTACTAACTCACTAGGGTGCTTTGGCTCGGCGGTTGTATCGGAAATGTTCTCGGCTCCTGGAGGTACATATTTACCACCGTATTCTGCGGTAGTGTCAATTGTGTTGCCAAGAGTCGTGGCCTTGAGTGACTGGAACTTGAGTTGACGCGAGTTCTCGAAGCCTGGCTTACGCTTAGGCGTCGAAGCCGATGGCTTTTGTGCAGATATCTCACCATAGCCATAAACCTTCGGACTATACGTCTTGACAGGTATATCAACGGCATTCTCTCCGAAAAGCGTTTCAAAGATCGAAGTCCGCCGTGGCTCGATGGCGGGCTCCTCGGGCGCAGCCTTTGCGGACTGCGTTGGAGCCTTCTTGAGGACTTTAGGTGTCTCTTCAAGTGCCGCCGTGAATGGATATGCGACCCTCGGAACCTTTCTCATAGTGATTGGATCATAGTCATATTCCATAGGTTCTGCCGCGGCTGGTGAAGGGCGACTGGGTTCGGGCTCAGCCGCCGCCACTTCAGCTTCGGGCACGCGAGAAGGAGCAGCGGTAGACTTTGGAGAAGAGTCTGCTTGCACCTCGTTGACTGACTTGGTCTCTTTGGGATCAAACACCCAGGAGAAAGATGTCCATGATGAGTTGTTAGCTGATGGCGGACTCCAAAGCCGCCGGCCGAACAGGGTCTGATATGGATCGCGCTCAATGGCACGATCAATGGCTTGTTTGAAAGAGTTAAACTCTTTGCGAAAAGTGGTCAGCTCGTCTTGCTCAGGCTCTGAACGCTTCTCGTTTACAGGTTGTGGGGCGTCATCGGATGATAGATTCTGGATGCCCGGAAAACGACGGCCGAGTCGCCTTCTTTGCCATGGCCAAGCATCAGACACCTCGTCTCTGTCCCACATTGCACGCCGACGAACTATTTTGGCATCTCTGTGCCGCATGAAGCGCTGCAAACGTAGGTATCTGTCGTCTTCAAAGCCATCCGAAGAGCAGCCTCTATTGTTCTTGCTACTCCACCACCACAGATATCGGCATTGCTGCAATTGAGTGGGACGTGTGCGAGCTATTGCCGTCCGCAAATGGAGAGGACTTCGTTGACCCAAGCAGTGGGCCGACTTGGAGGTAATGGTACGGTGGGCCATGGCGATTGAGACAGTGCTTCTGACAGACCGCCGACACTCTCAGAGAAAGGCTGAGCTCTGTGATATGCTTGTTCTTCTTGAGACACGATGGAGCTGATCACAAGCTCATCTTTCTCGTCGTGTTGATGAAGATAGGCTGCAAGGACGTCTTGCGCGCGTAGATACCGCGGTCTGCGGGGTACTAGTGGGCCCCACTAGACGCGATGATCTGATACGAACAGCGGATGGCGTCGAGAGGAACGGCCCTTGAGGCAGCCGTACCGATAACTGCCGGCCGTGTAAGTGATGGGAGACTGCGAACAGCGACGGATAGATGAGCTGTGGTGTGTCCGAGGGTGAATAGAGGCCAATGCTGACGAATAGACAGACACGCGGGGCTCGGACAAAGAGGGCGGGTTACCGGGGCGGTGGATAAAGATAAGCGTTTGATCTCCACTTTCCAAGAGGCAGTAGAAATGCCTCCCAAGGTCTACAAAGTTGACGGGACGGCTTCCCTAACTTATCGCAAATCACACCAGAAGCCTCTGCTACGAGCTTGGGGAGCGCAAACACGTCAGTCTTGTCGACAGCTAGCGTGTGTGAATGTCTGATTCAATGCCCGTAAGCTCACCGGCAGCATGCTGCATTCCTCTTGAGGCTCTGTTAACCTCGGGCAGCCAGCCGTCTTGCTCATAAACCACAAATATCTGTACACAGTTTACTTCTCTGAGCCATCCATAGACCCTATCCCAACGCCATTTAACCTGGTATCAAGCCCAACGTGTACCATTCATTCATTCGTGCTCTTCCACCCGTCGCTTCGTCAGAGTGTCAAGCACCCGGCAATAAAATTTGGATGCATCTTCCCGAGCGAAAGTGATTTCTTCGGTCAAGTAGTTGGGCATCAGCTCCATCATATCTCCGTCTCGATTGGCATCCAGCAGAGGTGTATACAAGAACTCCGTTTCCTGGAAGCTTGCTGTCTTTGCTTCTTCAGCATCAACATACAGCTTGAAGTGCAGAGCTGGGAATTGTTAGCTTGGCTCACATCAAGGGTAAGTGTACTTACTGCCGTTCCGACCGGTTTGAATGCAGTCATAGGTGTCGCCCTCCTCAGTTCGCTTGACGCCCCGGATAATCAGTCCGGTAAGGTCTCGGTAAAGCTCTTCCTTCATTTGAGCACTCTGTGTTGTTTCACTAGGGCCAGATGGTGCACCCCGGAGCTGGCCGTGGTGCTTCATCGCGCTGCCGGGGACCTTAGGGTGCTCTGCCGAGGCTGATGAGCTGCGAGCTGCTGCCAGCTTGGCTTGCAGGTTCTTGATTTCATTCTGGGCCGATGTAAGAGAAGCAGAGATCGTCGAATTTGCCCGGCGAAGGTCTACCAGTTCTTGCTCGTTGGTCTGGACCTGTTTCTTGAGCTTTCGACTATCCTGGACGAGCGGCGCTTGTTGAGACAGCTCTTTCTTTAGCGACGCTATCAACTCATTCGAGGCCTGTGTCGTTGCGTCACATTGCTTCCGAAGCTTTTCCATGTTGGCATTGGCTTCACTAACCCCAACGTCCTTGAGACTGCGATACTTAAGATCGATATTCTCATACTTGCGTGTGATATCACCGAGCTTGCGTCTCAAGTTCGGGTCACCTCTCTCCGTATCAGAAGCGCTTCCTGCGCGTTGTCGAAACGTGGTCGCTTGTCGTGAATTGTTACGCGATGCATTGCGCGCCATGGGTGCTTGATCGATTTGCATCTCATCATCGTCAGACTCCAGAAGTTCGTCCTCGGGTTCAGGCTCTAGCGTCGCTTTTTTTGCATGTTGCGCTGTCTTGCGAATTTTTGTTTGAGCAGAGTCTCTGGCGACGGGTTTCGGGACGACCTTGCGACCTCGCGTCGGGGCATGGCTTGAGCGCGCAAACGCTGGCGATGGTCCTATCTCTACCGTCTCCTCTACGAGATCGTCACCCTCTTCCTTGACAGGTTCTGGGATCGTCGCTTTCTTCCCGGCAGCGCGTCCTCGCTTGGGTGCCGGGGCTTGCGTCTCCTGAATCTCATCGCCATCCTGCTCCACCTGCTCTTCCGCCGCCTTGCGCTTAGCAGCAGCGACTTTCTTGGTCGCCGGCTTCTTTGGTTCGGTGGCAGATGCCTTTGTTACGCGTGATTTCGCTTTCGGCATGGTGACGCAGCGACGTTTTCTTCCTTTCTTCGCTTGTGTAGTTTTGCCCTGCGGTTCTGTTGACGATGTTGACAAGTTTGAAATATCCTCGATCGCGTCTTGGGACTCCTCTATATCAGAATCGAGTAGATCAGATATGCCGACCATATCGGCTTTCTTGCAAGTCCTTGAGTGGTTGTGCGCGATCGGGGTTCGTAAAATGTAGTAGGAGGGGTAGTGTGGTGCATGTCAAAGTCGCGTTACCGAGTCGATGTAAACAAAGACACAAGGCTGCGGTACAGCCTCGTCTTTGCGACTGGCCTGCCACATGCGCTCACCCATCGGAGATATCTTTCCATAACTTGCAACACAACACTGCAAGTAATCCCCCAGCCGACGAGTCGGCTTCAGCCTCGATGATAATGTCTCCGGATAGAGGCCGGTTCAGCGATCGGTGGATTGAACTGTGCATAACCGCCTTGGGAGTGTGTCACGCCTCGATGCATGACATGCATTTACTGACGGACCTCTCAGTTGACAGGCGCTCTACTTGTTGGGACGTATATGATATCAAGAATATCCGAGGTTTCTGATCCCGATCATGAGAAAAAAGAGCAAACGCGGATGAAATCTGCTGCAATACTTCGCCGCCTCGATGGTCCAAAAGATGGAACTACTGATGGGGATCCTGCCCGGCCTAGGCGGGAAGATCTGGTGCTTTCACAGTATGAGCAGGCGGTGCTACAAGATTTAGTCTTTCCAGAAGACATTCCGGTCTCATTTGATGACATTGGTGGACTAAGCCACATCATTGATGAGCTGCGCGAGTCTGTCATTTATCCACTAACTATGCCGAATCTCTACACCGGCTCCTCATCGCTCCTGTCGGCGCCGCCCGGTGTCTTACTATATGGACCACCGGGATGTGTAGGTTCCAGGTTTCTCCTCATGAACGGCAGCTGACTCTGACAGGGGAAAACGATGCTCGCGAAAGCCCTTGCCCACGAAAGTGGTGCCTGTTTCATCAATCTTCATATATCGACACTCACGGAGAAATGGTTTGGCGACTCGAATAAGCTGGTCAATGCAGTCTTTTCACTTGCACGAAAGCTAGAGCCCACCATTGTTTTCATTGACGAGATCGATGCAGTGCTAGGGACCAGACGATCCGGAGAGCACGAGGCGAGCGGCATGGTGAAGGCCGAATTCATGACACATTGGGATGGTCTTGCATCGGCAAATCGCCACGGTCAGCCTCAGCGCATAATGATATTGGGGGCCACCAACAGGATTGGTGATATCGATGATGCGATCCTCCGACGCATGCCGAAAAAGTTTCCTGTTTCTCTACCGACGACATCCCAGCGGCTCAAGATCCTCAGGTTGCTCCTCCGAGACACCAAGGTCGATACCTCGCAATTCGACGTGGAGTATTTGGCCAGAGCTACCGCAGGGATGTCAGGCAGCGAACTGAAAGAGGCTTGTCGAGATGCTGCAATGATCCCCGTCCGCGAGATGATCCAAGCACAGCGGAGAAATGGACAGCCCATGAACCAAGTACGGCCAGGTCACGTTCGCGGATTGTGCACGAATGACTTTTTTACACCCCAAGGAGGCCGCAAACGTCTGAGAGCCCAGAAATCTACGGAGGAGAAAGAATGGAGCACAGCATCAAACTCGCCGGACGATGCCTCGGATGTTTCAGACCCAGTTGAAGCTGTCGATGCAGCGGAGACCTTGGCACGGTAACGAGCTCGGATGGACTACAAACGAAGTACAGAACAGTAGCTAGTTCGTCCGACCTTGTGCCACACTGATCGGCCAGAAGCGAGCACTAGCACTGTAGTGTGGTCAGGAGGACGGGTGATGTCGAAGCAGGGACGATTGCCCTGCCGCGTCAGGCTTGAGCTAGATATATACTAATGGCAAATGTAGAAGGAAAGCCGGGATCAGAAAGCATGCAGGCAAAGATGGCCGGGCTTCAGGGATCCAGCCGGGACACCTTACCAAGCAGTAGAACGGTGGTGCCGAGGAAGAATACGAGTTACGGTGCGGCATGTGAAGTTTCCCATCGAAGCTTTCTTCCCCCACACTTCGCTTCAGGGCTCCGCCGGCGACAAATCAAGCCTGCCTTAGGCGCAAGTAGCACCCGGAAGCTACCGCCCGCGCCCAGCAGCACCTGCGCTTAGCACTAGGCACCTCGCAGGTGGCATCCAGGGTTCGTCAAAGAACCAAGTGCGGGCGCAGGCACAGCCTGCCACTGTTTCCGACGTCCTCCCCGACACTATTCTTGCGACTCATTTACGACTTCAACGGAGTCACGCCCTCACTAATCGTCGTGGTATTCCTTCAGCTCCTCTCGGCTCGAACCGTCTACGTCGCAATCGTCTGTCCATGCCAAACCCAGCATCTTGAGCCTTGAAAATGAGCGCCGCCAGCGACTCACCGACAGCTTCAGTCGGCCTCCCAGGCAATCCTGGTCCAGCGCCTCCGAACCAAACACCTGGTCACACTAGCTTCAGGAGGTATATACATACAGTATCATCTTGCAGATAGTGGATTTACTGACTGCGTCCAGGCAACGGGCTTCGCGCGCGTGTGGTAAGCCGTCCACTTCTTTTCCACCGTTCCAATTTGCAAGCACGCGGACCTGTCGGTATTTCGAAACATCACGCGACCGGCCTGAAAGAATTTGCAAACTGCTTCCGACTGCGCCAAACAATATATACAAAGGCTGGTCGCGCGACGTCCACGACGATTTTGATATACATCAAGCAGACGCGCCAGGCCGAGAACCTCGGTTCATCCTTGGATTTCTCAACGGTCCGCTGCTATGCGCGTGCGATTACTGTACCTTGCCGCGGTGGTTGTGGGTCGATGAAGCCCATGACCACTTGTTCTACAGGCCCGCAGTCTTGATGAACATGTCGCTGATGCTTTCTCACAGAAACATGCCATGCTCGAAAGGTATGCCATTCGCCATGGACCACCTCGGCCCTCGTAATCAGTTGTCTTGGCAGAATAGAAGCTGAATAGATACTTGTATCTGATCTCTAGGTCAGATGCGATGCTGCTTCCCTGGGGTACGTTCTTGAAGGTTCCCTGCCCGCTTCCCCAAACTGACCTCCGAAGTGTCCCATGCACCAATTGTGTGGCGTTTTCTATCGAATGTCGAATCCCAGTTCCGAAGAGAAAGCGAACCACACTCGCCAAAACCAAGGAAGAAGGGAGGTAAGTTGACTCGCCGTTACTGGGGCACGTTGTTCAGGTATTGACCGGCAGCAGTGAACCGGACCAGTCACAGCCAACATCGACTCCAACAGACCCTCGCTTGACACAACCCGCGACTGCCAAATCCACTGTTCCCTTCAACTCACCAGATGGCATTCCTTCGACGCAGATATCCGAGGCTGAGGCCGGCCAGCAAACCGCCAACAATAATACCATGGCCCAGTTCATGAAACCTAAGTTCGCCAGAGCCCCCATACGAGAAGCTGGAAGGGTTGCGTACCTTGGTGAATCCTCAAATCTGGCCTTGTTGGTGCAGGATAAGCATGGTACAACAGACGTCGTCCACTACCCGCTTCCAGAAAACATTCGAGGCGCTCGAGCTCGATTGACCGAACCAGATCAGCTCGAGATTGAGATCCTTCAGCAGCGAGGCGCTTTTCTGCTGCCGCCGAGATCATTATGCGATGAGCTTGTGGATTGCTTCTTCCGTTGGGTCGCTCCCGTGGTGCCAGTCATTAATCGGAGCCGCTTCATGAAACGATACAGAGATCAGAAAAATCCGCCCTCGCTGCTGCTGTTGCAAGCCGTCTTGCTGGCGGGTTCTCGTGTCTGCACGAACCCACAGCTTATGGATGCAACTGGATCTACCACCCCCGCAGCCATGACATTCTACAAGAGGGCCAAAGCTCTGTATGATGCAAACTACGAGGATGACCGTATCACCATTGTTCAGGCTCTGATTCTAATGGGCTGGTACTGGGAGGGGCCCGAGGGTAAGGAATGGCAGAAAGTCAGGTATGCGGATTATGCACGATCTAACATCGGTGCAGATGTTACCAAAAATGTCTTTTACTGGACGAGAGTCGCCATTGTGGTGGCTCAAGGTGCCGGCATGCACAGAAGGCAAGTTTGCCAATTGTGTCGATTTTTGGCAGATGCTGACTGGCTCAAGTGTGGAGAATTCACAGCTCAGCCGTCAAGACAAGCGTCTTTGGAAACGCGTATGGTGGTCACTGTTCACTCGAGATCGATCCGTCGCAGTCGCCCTGGGAAGACCAGTCTCGATAAATACAGACGATTCCGACGTCGAGATGATCACCGAGGACGACTTTATCGAAGATGAAGGAGATCCCGCAAACGATTACCGCCGAGACCCTGTCCATGTGCAATTCTTCCTGCAGTACGTCAAGCTCTGTGAGATCATGGGGCTGGTCTTGTCTCAACAGTATTCGGTGGCCTCCAAAGCTCGTCGGACCAACGCCATCGATCTGACTCACAGCGACATGGCTCTAGCAGATTGGCTCCAAAATTGTCCAAGAGAGGTATACTGGGAGCGCTCGAGACACCATTTCTGGTCCGCTCTTTTGCATTCCAACTACTAGTAAGTTTGGCTTGCGTACGCCATACCGATTAGTTGACCTCTCTAGTACTACACTTTGTTTGCTGCATCGGGCGCACATGCCGCCTGCTACGGCCAAACCGAGCGATCACGAGAATGTGGACATGGCGTATCCCTCAAGGACCATCGCCTTCCAGGCAGCTGGCATGATCACTTCCATCGTCGAGAACCTTCTTGCGCATGATCAAATCAAGTACACGCCAGCGTTCATGTGAGTATTCCAGGAATCCGGGAACGCTTCAAGTTAACAACGAGTAGTGTCTACAGCCTCTTTTCCGCACTAATAATGCATGTTTATCAAATGAGGTCTTCAGTCCCCTCGGTTGTGGCAGCAAGTCAAGAGCGCATCAATGTCTGCATGAACGCACTCAAAGAGGTATCCAAAGTCTGGCTCGTCGCCCGCATGGTTCACACGCTGTTCGAGTCCATCCTTGGCAATAAAGTGCTCGAAGAACGACTCCAGAAGGCAACAGGTCGGAAAGTTCAACGAAACAGGAACGTGAACCCTAGCCAGCATTCCAATGGCCATAACAATACCGTACCGCCTGCGCCTGCGTCGAACCTGGCATCTAACAAACGTAAATTCGACGATATCGACCTCGGTTTCTCTGTAGGGCCTCCAGCGCCTCAGATGTCATACGAACGCTCGCGGCCGCAAACGCCAGCTGTGACGCCTTCGAGAGAGCTGAATCCGCAACAGGCGAATATGCCGATGGGTTCTCCACCTCTCCAGAATGAGCCTCTACTTCCCAACCAGAATCGCGCATCGTCTAGGCTTCACTCAAGAGGACCAACGCGGGCGAACTCACCATTCAACGGATATTCTATACCAGCGACGCCGCCCGATTTGTTCTTGGTTACACGAAATTCCCCCAACATTATGTGGGAGAACTTCCAGCCGGACCAACTGTTCCCCGACGGTACGATCGGAGGCAGCAACATGTTTGGCAGTCCCACATTGCAAGGCGCTGTTGACCCACAGCTCCAAGTACCGAATCCTGGCTTGGCAGACCAGATGATGGGAGGCCAGACCAGTGGAGCTTGGCCGCCCAACATGCAAAACATGATGAGTGGTGTCGATGGAATGGGTCGGAATGCCGACAGCGACCGGTGGTCCAACAGCTCTATTGGCAACGCGCCTGTGGCCCCGACACACTTGAACGTCGAAGACTGGTTCCAGTTCTTTGGCATTAACGGCGAAATGAATCCCATGGCGGCGGATCCTGGCACGGGATAATTGTAACAGTAACGGCGACGACGGTGACCGTTAGCTAACGAAAATCAGGGCGTGGTCTATAGCTTATGGAGGGCACATACGGTTATCACGCATTCTTCGCCTTTTCGAAGATGCCTCAAAAGTCGCAGTGAATATGGAAAGGGCAACATTCATTGATCATTATTTCTAACAGCCAATCTCCTCTTGGCTCGCGTTCTCACTGCACAGTCAATGTCCATTACTACCCTTTGATCTGCTGACTGTTGACAGAGATCCTTCCCTTTCCTTGGATCCCATTCCGTTTCCCGAGCCGAAAGGCCTCCTGTTGTTTGTCCGTCCCATGCGCTATCGACCTGCCCATGTCGGTCGATCCTCATATCCCAATCCTCAATCCTCATCATCTCACTGCTTCTTCACCCTCGGCACCCAAATCGTCAACACCCCATCCTCAACCTCCCACTTCAAGCCCCCATCGCCCCCGGTCTCCCCACTGGGGTCCAAGCCCAGGCGCGCGTCCTCCGGCAGCACGAACGTGCGTCGCCACTCGCCCACCTCGCGCTCACTCAGCAGGAGCGCCGTCTCCCCTCCGTCGTCGTCGTCATCGGCTGCTTCTCCTTCCTTTCCTGCCTTGGAGGCGGTTTTTGCTTGGCCTGGATTTTCGGCGGGTGGCGGCGGAAGGCTCTCCCGCGTGGGCGTCCGGCAGAGCGTGCCGCCGTCCTGTGCGTCCGGATCGGTGGCGAGGGCGCGGCGCGAGAATGAGCCAGAGACCAGGAGGGTGTGCGGGGAGAGGAAGGTTAGGGAGACGGCGGAGGTGGTGGTGGTGGTGGTGGTGCTGCTGCTGCTGCTGCTGGGGGAGAGGCCGGGGGTGGAGAGCTCCAGGACGTAGTGTGTTGGGAGGGCGCGGACGTCGGCGGGTGGGGTGGTGAAGGGGGGGGGGGGGGAGATGACGGTGGTGGGATTTGTGTTGGTGGTGGCGGTGGGGTGGTGGGCGAGATTGCTCCAGTGGAAGGGGTTGTGGTCGGAGAAGAGGTGGGTGGGCCAGAGGGTGGAGGAGGGGAGGTAGGGGAGGTGGTAGTACGGTTGGGGAGGCGCTGTGTTGGCGTCTTTGGCGGCCGTGGGCTCCTTTGTCGAGGTGGTGGTGCTGCTGGGCTTGCTGTTGCGCCAGAAGTGCGAGAGGTCCACGTGCGGGTGGCGGAGGTGTGGGTGTGGGACGTGGAAGGTCGGCATATGGACCCAGCCGTGCTTGATTGAGGAGGGCGCGGAGGCGTGTTGTTGGACCGTCGACCATTCGTTGTTGTCTCTTGTGATGGATTGTCTGGTAGATTGCGTGTCGCTATTGGTGGAGGTCTCTTGTTGTGCCTGTGCCTGTGCCTGTGTCTGTGACTCTGGAGGCGGCGTGTGGCTGAACAGTGGCACTTCCCGGATCGGCATGATGCCGTAAGTTGGTACGGGGATATGATATGGGGTGTACATTGTCGGCGAAATACTGACTGCTGTTGTACAAGTATCGGTGTTCTGGAAGGTATAGTTGTTGATAGTTTGGTTAGCTTTGCTTGATCAGGGCATGTGAGAAGCTGGCGGCAGATTCGTATTTATATCGCCTCCCTGTATATCATCGAACATGCTGGACGAGCACGAGCAGTCATCGAATGGACACAACCAAGCCATGGTTCTGAGTGTTCTGGCAACCACCTGATGGTTCGATCAGACCACATCAACAATCATCTGCAAGGCGCCGAGAGAAGGGATGAATCCAGGCGCGGCTGAGGCTTTTTTGGGGTGTTCGGCCAACTCCGACTTCACCCCGAGCATTACCGACCTCACATCACACCACGCGCTTCTTATGGTCACACGCTTGAATTCCGCACGCCTAGCCCGTGAGTTCTCGTAAAGAGCGCGCGAGCATGTTGTCGTGATGCCGTAGTTCCATGGCGTTCGATGCGTACCCCATGCTGGGCACGTATATCAATGGCGGGGCGCTACGCGATCCAGGTAAAGACGTAGCACAACCAAAGTCAGGAAAATCAATCACAACCAACAAGTTCCCAGCATGAACGACCTACCAAAAACACAAACCGGTAAGTACGCCGCCGGTGTCATCCTCTTGAGCGCTCGCTGACCTGGCCCTAGTAATCTGCAAAGCCTGCGGTATCGTGCACAGTCCACGCCACTGGGCGGACGAGGCGAAGCAGCACTGCACACCCGCCGCCACCACGGCGGCATCCAACAAGTCGCCAAAGACCCACCAACAACACAAGAAGCACGAGCTCTGGGAGGACAAGGCTGGTCAATTCATCAAGCAGTTCTCTCGCAGCAAGACTGCGCCGGTCTTTGTGGCTTCCTCGGAGGCGGAGGAGGAGGAGAAGAAGAAGCATGTGGAGAGGACGCCAGCGCCGCTGTTGAGACGATCGACGAGTCTGTCGAGGCGGGACAGTTCGCTGGATATGGGAGACGGGGTTATTGATTTTAGGGACGAGGATGGGAGGTTCGCGGGGGAGTGGGATCATGTGGTGCTGAAGAAGAAGGGGAAGACGCTGGCTTGAGGAGGGCTATATGATGTGGTGAAGGGGTTGGTGAGGTGTGGCCGACTGATGACATTGAAACGACATGGTTGACGCCCTTTCTGCGTGTCCCATTAATGATATTGGGGGGATGGTGTTTAGCATGTGTATTAATACAGGTTGTGGCGTGGTGGATTCAGCCACAGCGCCGCGATGATGATGATGATGCCAGTGGCCACCATGCAATATTGGCGGCGCCTTATACTCAGTCGACCCGATTCTGAGCTCGCTTCACTCGCTTTTCCAGCCATGCATGGTACTCTCGCTCTACTTTCCACATCAGCACATGACCTGCACCGTTCCCTAGTTTGAATTCAATCCCCTCCCCAAAATCATCCCTCAGCAGCTCTCCATGTTGCAACTCGACTGCTTCATCGGCTGTTCCGTTGCAACCAGCGACTCTATGCCAGCCGACACGTTTCAGAATCTCTTGTAGCTGCCCTCTGTTCTTACCTGAACGGCTGCTCACCTTCCCGTGATAAGTCCCGCAGCGACACAGGCGTGGTGCCCAAGCCCGGAATATTCCCGTCTGGCTATGGCTAAGCTTTGCCCCTGTCTTCCGAGCCTCGTGCCAGCCATCACGCCACATGGTACTGTTGTGTACATAAGCAAAAACGCGCGCACTGGTGTACCGTACGACCATAAATTGCGACGGAGACCATCTCGGAAGTGAGTTCCTCCACGACATCCATATCAAAAACAAGCACAATGTTACGCTTTTCCACGTCAAACTTGAAAGCTCGTCCACTGGCAATCTTGCGGCCGGTAGTGCGGCAGCCACTCACAGCAAGAATGTTGGGCTCACAATCATCGGCGGGTGACACTGGCTCTGTGCGTCCTGGAGGAGAGGCTGCGAGGTGAGAGCATCCGGACTATATCTGTGCAGTTGGCTGACTTGTGGCAGCGACTCTTTCCAGAAGAGGGAGCAAGCTCTGGAGAATATGTATATCCACCAACGGGAGCTCGAGAAGTAATTGCTTTCCTCTACTTGCTACGTCCGCCGTACTGATGATGCGTTTCTGATGTAGCTTGAAGAAGATCCAGGAGAAATTGGCACGGCATCGTGCACACCTGGAGGAGCTTGACATGCACGTGGGAGAGATGGTTGAGGCAAAAACCGAGGCCGTGGAGAAAGGCAAATGAGGTAGCGGTGCGACCTGGATGTTGTTCAGCGGGCGTCAAATATTGAGACGGGCTCCAGCCACTGCAACAGGCAGATGAGGGGGTTCAGAAGCGGCGTGGGCGTCACTAGGCTCGGTCGTTGTGTATATCTTGTGGTTCGTCTGGCATTGACGGCAAGAAACGAGAGTGATATGTGATTATATGCTGCAGGTTATGGACAGGAGAGATGATGGAGTTTCGATATCGTCAACACATCAGAGAAGAGTTACCGCCGCCTCAATCGTTGTTTGCAGCTGGCAGGCTGACTGCTAAGGCCAACTTCCTTCCCCCAAGTGACCCTCCCATGTGGCACCGTCCTCTCTTACTCAAGTACACCGCCCCAGCAACGCATCAAAGCTCTCTAGCGGTAGGTTCTTCGACCTAAGCTTCCACGCAATCATTAATGAGACGCACACCCATCCCGCGACATCTTTCCTTCTAGATTCCCTCAGACCAGAATCGACACTCCCGCATCTCTCATGGCTCCCACATTTCTCTCACTCCCCGGCGAGGTCCGAGGCATGATCTACGACGAGTTTCTCAATGATGAGGACAACAATAACCTCCAAGTCCAGGCTACCACTCTCCGTGTCTCAACGCCATGGGCGCCCTTGTTGCTAGCCTGCAGGCAGGTCAACAATGAACTCAGTCCCCGTGTCAACGCCTTGGGCCGCTGTCTTGTCATCAGAGCTCCTCGTGCACGTAGAGCAAGCAAGCTCGCAGAAGAAAGCCCTTTGGTCAAGGTCTTTGTCAGGAGACTGATCTGGACGACGACATTCCCAACTCCTCGTCCTTTGCCCTTCGATGACGCTGAGAAGTCCATCCCCCAAATCAAAAGGATAACAGATTATCACGAGAGGAGGAAACTGCCCGCCAAACTCCACTATAGCATGAAGAGCAGTATTGAGGTCGTGCAAGACGAAAGACTAAGCAGGTATGCCTGGTACGAAAGCACATTCTGGCTTAACCTCGACTGAGCGCGAACTTGACTGTTGGCTTCTGCGACAGAACGATCAAACCTGCTCTTCAAACTGTCAGCGAGCCTGACATGATAGCAACTACAGACGACGGGAACTTTGAGGCGAAAGAGACATCGGCAGCGAGGTGCAGTTGAACAAACAAAGCTACACCCGGCGATGTGGGTCAAAGACGCCACGATCTCAAATGCATCCAGCATCCAGACTCTGGACGACAGATCATGATCGATCAAATGCCTTGGTCACGACGGATGAAGTGCCCGACGTTTTACAAGCGTAGTGCTACAGGGCTTCCAGGCCACATCCACGACAGTGGTGGGGGGAAAGGTCGTTTGGTGCCTATGCGGTAATCATGATAGTGCTAGCAGAATGGAGACTGCGGAGTGAGCTTAGGGGCCCCTAGAAGGTCGGCTGATATGCGCTTTGACAGGTGAATTACGAATCGCTGCCGCCCAGGTCTCGATCAAACATGCTGTTTCCACTCGTGTTCACAATCCGATTCGACTGTCTACAAGGAGGACTTGAGCATGGATCCCTGGCACCTCTGCTCGGACCAGCCCAGCGCAACGTCCCCCACTGCCTCTCCTGTAGTCGCGTTCCCAAAGTTCCTCACCGAATTATCTCCTAGAGCCGTATACGTCTTCCATCCTGTGCTCTCCAACCCTTTCGCGCCACCAGCAGCAAATGCCACCCACGCATCCTGCATGGCGTGACTGGTCTCGTACTCGAATGCTGTACTCGGTCCTCGGAAATCCGGATGGGTCCCGAATATGAGCGGGAGCTCTCCCGAGTGATACGCTCCCAGCCATGGCTTGGGCGCAATGTTGCTGAAGTTACCACCGTAGAAGTACGAGAAGGTGTCGAGGCCGGCTTGCTGGCGGAGATGGATCTGGTACGTTACCGGGCAGAAGAAAACAGAGAGGCGAGCGTTCTCGGCGGTTGTGGCGTTGGGGCCCGAAGGGTTGTAGGGCGCGAAGGGCACGCCATCTTGCGCGTTGCTGCCGATGATGCCAGGAATCGAAGGGAGTTTGCCCTTTAGAGCACGGTCGGTGAAGTTGTAGGGCATTGTCACATTGTCGGGGATGGGCCAAAAGCGGAGGGCAGGCTGCGTCTGCGTGTTGGAGTAGTTGGCAAGGAAGTTCTCGAGGTCGGCGGCCGGGAGCTTCCGCATGCAAGCGAGTTCTGCGGACGGTGACAGGTCACCGCAACCAAGATTTGAGGCAACAAAGGTGAAATTTGAGGCGGGTGGCGCGCTAGGGGCATCCTGGGGGACTCCCGAGTCTGCGATGAAGCCGGAGATGATGGGATCCTCAGCATACGAGTAGACGAAGTTCACAACGGCCGTTGAGCCTGCGCTCTGGCCCCAAAGGACCATTCTGGAAGCATCTCCGCCGAACTCTGCAATGTTGTCCCGTACCCATTCGACCGCCAGACGTTGGTCTAACAATCCCACGTTCTGGGCCGTAGGATTGATACCAGCAGCATTTGGGTATCCGAAGATGTTGAGTCGATAGTTGAATGACACCACGATGTGATCCTGGGTACGTTGCACCCACTGGGTTGGGATTTGATAAGGCACGTCCTGACCACCAGTCTGGAACGCGCCACCATAGACATATATTAGCACTGGAAGAAGCTCTTGCTTTTTAGCGTTCTTTGGTGCCCATACAGACAGAGTCAGGCAGTCTTCGGTGACACTGCCAGTAGTGTTGAGGCCTTGAAGGCCGAATTCGAGGATTTCGCGGTTGTACACCGAGGCGCCCGAGCCCAAGAACTGCATACAACTTTGGGGCAGCTCGGTTGCGTGGACGCGGTTCGTAGCCGCGCTGCTGTCTAGCGCCTGTGGAGGCGCAAATCTCAGATCATCCAGGGGTGATTTGGCGAAAGGGATTCCCAGATACTGGCGTACGTCTGGTGCAGCGGGATCGATCTTGCCGTAAATTGATCCCGACGAGGTACTCACAGTGAGACCACCATGGTCGTTCCATGTGGGACTGCAGTAACCGGGCAGCGCACAGAGAGAAGGGAAAATGTTCACGACCTTCATGTTGAACAGTGATGTTCACCGTGGAAGAGGAATGTGAGCGTAGGGGTACCGTCGTAACTACCAGTCGGTTTATCCATTCAAGCAACATCGGTAGTTGACCTACTTCGGCATGCTACAAAGTCGAAGCCGAGGATTATACAACGACATCATTTCCCCACTGCGAGTCATTGTAGCGCGAGGGGAATCTGCTTTAGGCTGAAAACCTCAAGTGGTGTTGTCGGAGAAGCAGGAGGAGCGCTGTTCGCAGATGTCGACAACATTGACGGGCATCCACCCCCTGTAACGAGACGTCATCGAATCTTGCCAAGTCAGTTGTTGTAGCATCATGAACCAACCTATTTGGTCTTCCCGATATTGTTTGTAGTCAGCATAAGCATATAGAACAGCTGTCGAGTGATTATGGTGTTGTGGTGTGATGGGCTGTGAGTCCGGGGAGCCCTCCCCTCATTTTTATTGACCCTGGCAGGCAGTTGCAAGCAATCGCGGCGCTTGGCACCTTAGCTGCACAGTCGTGCATCAATTCAGGCGTATCTGCACGGCACTTGCATCTGCTTTTCCATCACATTTATCGAGAACTCACTGCAGCCATGCCTTCAAGCAATGAAGCGAGTGGTATCGCGCCACATCGTGACCGAATTGGCACGGTGACCTCACTCTTCGAATAGCTATCCCGTTTCAATCATCAACCAGGAAGGTCGGCCATCATGCTCGTTTTATCCTTGAATGATATAACACCGCGAGTTCCATGCCGTAGCCAAGCAAAGACCGACCGTGCTTTCGACTAATGGTGATTTGAAACACAAGAAGATCAACGACAAGACCTCATTTACGACGGAATGTATTTTCAGGCCAGCCTGGGCAGCTGCACCAGTCTTAAACAAGAATAGCATACGGGGCCTTGAACGACCTCACGGGCCCGAATACGCGTCAAAAGAGGGAGCTGCAAACCTGCAAACCGGAATCCGAGCTTACGGAGTGATTGTCGGCCCTTTCCCAGAATTATGCATCAGGCCGCGACGAGTAGGCGAGCCTAGCCACTCAGCAAAGATCAGCTCTACGGCCGCACAAAACTCGTCTGATGATACATGGGTAGAATCCATTCTCAGCTTACGCTGGCCTCAGCCTCGCTAACCCGCTTAGGGTCCAGTTTGCGAAGATGCTCGCACACTACTGTGCCAGCTCAGTATCAAGGAGCGCTGCCTGTTGCCTCGCCCTCCCATGTGGGGGCTGTCATGAGTTCCCATATATCACGCAGTACCCGTCCATGCCTGGCGGCACATGCTGAGTCCATCTTCCGAATCTTCTACAACACCCCTCGATTACCTTATTCACCATCCCCTCGGCTTCCGAGCAGTGCCGTGTTAGGCTGCATGTGACGCCGTGCCCGGTGTCTCTGCACAACGAGCCTCACCTGTCTAGCGGACATATTATATTTGGGTCGATTTCGCATACTGCACTTCCTCTGATGTGATCTCGAGACATTGCCAAACAGCTATGGTTTGCGATCTGCCTTCCTCATGACAACGGACAAAGCCTCGCACACGATCCAACTCTACTTGCTGGCCAACAACGCCTCCACTCGCCTGCAGACCGAAGCCCATCGCCCGGACTGTCACCTCCGCCGCATGGTCCTCCACGCGAACATGCTAGATCACCTTACAACTGAAATCGACGCCATAGAACATGCCATCGACATCAGTCTCAAAATCCCTGTCCAGGCGGCAAAGCCAGGCAAAGGCCACCGGCCCGTCGTCACCGTCACAAAAGCCACTGCTGCATAGAGTCGCTGCCTTCATCTTCCATGGAACATATCATGCTCCTCCTCCTAGAGATGGGCGGGAGCGGTCACGAAGCAGCAGTAGCGCTGCGACCTTGAACAAGGTCAGTCCGACCACTTCGCGCGAATCCAGATCTTCTCGGGCTTCCTCACGCCGATGAGTGGCCCACATCGCAACCCGGCCCTTTCAGCAATTATCGCACAGACTACACGAGCCTCGCCCTCCTTGCATTGGTTGTGGGATTGGATGAAGGATCGGGAGTATTCAAACCTCGGAATCCGTTTCTGAGGGCCTTGGCTCGGCTCGGCGTCTGCTGGTTCCGACCTCGTACCAGACCGAGCTCCGCTAGTACACTGGAGCACATCACACCTTTCTTCGGACGAGTCGGATGAGCGATGGATTTTTCCACAGGGAAACATCTGCCGCGGGTTCTTTACATCGAGAAGCAATATGTTTTCAGCCTCGATGGTCCCATCTGCGGGGTTGAGTGTCACATGCTCGCTTACTCGTCAGGTGTTGACGACAGATGAATAACAGACATGTTCTGGAAGGCTAGTTTAACCCTGCTCTGCCTTAAAGAAGCAATGCACTAGCCTACCATCACCCATGCTTATATGCACTGCACATCGCCCCTCGCGGATATTATGCTGGTGCATAATGGATTGCTCGTTCAAGCTAAACGATTATGCGGGCTTCGACCGAGGGTTCCACCACCGCACCTCTCGGCACGGCAGCAAGGCGTTCCGGCCTACAAAAACGCCATCGACCCATCATCATTGATAGCCTTTGACACAATGCCCATCTGCACCTATTGGATTTCCGGTTGACAGATGTCTGATCAACTGCACAATCGCGATGGGGAATCAGAAGAGGAAGAAATGAGACCCGGTAGGCACGTACCGAAACTCGATAACCTCGGAATGATATGCCATATCCATTATGTTATGGGAATAAAAAAACACCTCAATATCATCCGTGCCATTGATATGTGCACATCGAAAGTAATCCACCCCGTCTAGAACGAGGACGTCCACAGCGGACGTACAAAGCCTCAACGCCGTGTCCAATATCCAACACTGGAATTACACACACACACTCACTCACTTTCCCGCCTCACGCCGACCCTTGCGCCACCGCGGGCGCCACACACTGCACGCCCAAGTCCAACAACCATGCCGCGGTATTGAACTCGGCAAACACCGTCTCCACCACCAACTTATCCTGCCCCAAGCCCGTGTTCCCCGGCACCAGCACGAAATCCACAATGCCGTTGACGGGATACGTGTTACTCCCGATCCCGCTGGCGGTCCAGCGCCAGCTGACCTTGAGATCACTGCACAACTGGCCCTGATTGCCGCCGTACCAGCTGTTCCCGCCGCGCACGCCACCGGACGGGTTGCTGGCCGTGCCGTTCCAGTAGCCGCCGACGTAGACGTCCGTGGTGGTCAGGACGGGGATGGGCGGGGTGGAGAATTGGGAGGCGACGAAGCCGTCGCGGCCGGGGGGGAAGGAGGGTTGGCCGAGGGGCCGGGAGGCGAGGCTGTTGATGCTGTCGCTGTAGACGGTGAAGTTGGAGGCGAGGATGCGGGCGGCGGTGGCGTTGAAGGTGGCGCTGCCGGGGGAGGTGAGGAGGAGGGCTGTTGGGGGCGGGGGTGTTAGTAAGTGGTTCGGCGCGGTTCTTGCGTTGGGGATTGAGGTGGGACGCCGTGAAGCATGGGCGAATGTTCCGTCATGGAGATGATGCAGAAGGAGAGGTACGTACTGTATCCGTTGATCAGGTCATCGATGTTGTCCTGCGATAGACCGCACGCCCACTGGCCCGGTCCGCCGTTCGAGCCGCCAAGCCCGAGCAGGTCACGCTTGTCGCTCACCGCCGCGGCGGTGGCGGTTGAGACGGCCAGTAGCGCCGCTGAGAGGGTTGCGGCGAACTTCATTGTGCTGTTTGGTTTGGTTTGCTTGCTGAGGGAGCCTGGATTCTGGAGAAAAAGAGAGTGACTATACCAAAAAAATCAAACTAAAACGAAGGTGCTGGGTGAGCTGGTGGTGACGGCAAGGGTTGGAAATGGGATGGCGGCGTACGGAACCGGAGGACGTTCAAAAGGCCTTGCGCGGTACTTGTTCCAAGCAAAGATTCTTGGGATGATTGTTGTGATCGGAGCGGCGCGCAGTCCAGGAATGTGGATATTTGGTTTGATGGGGGATGGGAAATGGGAGGGGAGTCCTTTTGGGATATTGGGGTATGTATATCAGTTTCACGTTGAACTTCGTTGATGTCGTAACGTCCTGCGTGGATGTGTATTGGAAAGGATGGCTTGACTAGCTACTGCTCGTAAGTGGTGATGTCGTGGTACCTGTATATACAGGGAAGGGCCTGGGGGGTTGGATGGTAGAATCACGGAGGTGGCTGGGGTAAATTTCGAATAGAGGCATGTTTTGGGCGAGAGTTCAAGTGTCAACATGTTGCTGACGACATGAGTTGTCCGATCCTTGCAAGGCTCGACGTATCGGTCCTGTTGTGGTGGCTGGAGGTAGACAATGTGCCGTGAACCTTTGTATGCGTCAACTTACTTCGGCAAGGCCAGCCATTGAACAACGTCTTTGACTCTAAGACATCCGGGCATAGTACAAGGGAGGGGCGGGCGGAAATGGGACGGCATGCCAAAGTCAATGACTGCTGTTGGTAGGAAGAGGTTGGCCGCCTGAACCGTAAGTCCCCGATTGGCCTGGTCGGGAAACCTCTTACCCTTTCGGGGCTGCGCCAGGCACGAGGAGAGGAGGACCTGTAGAGTATGGGTGTTCAGCATTGCTTGTGTCAGATGTCGTTGGTTAGGATTTCGAGTACTGGCTGGGACACTGGGAGGATGGTCGCTTGGTACGGAGCGATCACCAACGGGCTGGTATGTCGCATAGGCTCAAGACGTTGCGCGCTCCACTAGAAGTCCACTAGAAGTACCATGGACCATGAATGATCATGGCGGATTGGGACACGCGTCTGCTCGACTTGTCCGGAGTTCGTCTTGGATAGCGGTGATCCTGTCCTCTTTAGAGGAAAGGCAGACCAGGGCTACATGCTTTGGGAAGTTGGCACGGAATGCAAAATTAGCAAGCAACAACAACACGAGCATTCGCGCCATTCTCTGGCGCTGTTCTCGATTCCTCAAGGCTAAACCTTGGTCAATATCGCTGCAGCTGGTTTCTCCCATTACCCATTCCTTGATCATACATAGGACATCCACTGCTAACCTCGATCATGAATGCCCCATATTCCTTGCCTGTCCAAGTTCCATGGCGCGTGCAGACGCCACTCGCTGATGCGTGATACCATTACCAAAAGCTGCACCATCCAATGTAATGCTGACACAGATTCTCCACCTTGGTCGCTTGCTCAATGAGCTTCTCCACTTGCTCATTCACCCCCAGACCACTGGCTTCCTGTAATGCCATTTCTCCCGTTATGGGTCCATTTCCATTCACCTGTCCGTTCGTCTGGCCGTGGCCATTGACGCCAACCGTCGCTGCTGCTGCACTGTTGCTGCCAGGGGTGAAGTCCTTGCCCGTCAGCTTATCCTTGATGCGCGCCAAGACCTGCAGCGCCCGAGCGTTCTGTACTTCACGCTCTTGAGCATTGCCGCCTTCACTGGCTTGGTTGAGGAGACTACCGCCTGTGATCGCTGGATCAATGATGGAACTGCGGCGTGCGCGCCGTCCGGGAGGCGCGCCAACCTGACTCTGCGCCATCGGGTTCTCACGTGCATGCTCGATCGGGCTGCGCTCCTCCTCACCCAAGCCGCGACCACCCGGCACGTTGACAATGCTAGCACGGCGTTCCGAACGGAAGTGGGGCCGAGGTGGCGACTCGCGAGTGTTGAGACGCCAATTGAGGAGCGGATCGTGAATGAACGCTTCCAGTACAGCCAGAAGTGATTCTTTATTCTCCCGAATAACGCGCATCGTGTTCTCGCACGTGATGCGGAAGGATCCTTCAATGTTGCTGACTTCCATGGCAAAGGTCAACATGCGCGTCAGCCGGAAAGGAACTCGTTCGGGATATTTCTCGCGGTGCATCGCCACTTCAAAACAGTCGCCAAAATCAATGTGAATAATCTTGCCAGTCACTCGATCAAGCATCAAGTTCGAAGGGTGACGGTCACCGAGACCGAGGATGTATCCGACCATGCTCATAACAGCCAACGAGCGAGTATAGTTGGTCCGACGCTCTAACCAGGCCTCGGAGCTCTTAGACTTCAGCCATAGCACGCGGTACAGGTCTTTTCCGGTGGTGTTGTCCATCGCGTATCCGAAGACTTCGACTTTTTGCATCAGAGTCAGATTATCGTAGTCTGGAGCCATCTGCAGCATAATACGGTGCTCGATGTTGAGAAGGATGCGACGCGATTCACGATATTCTTTGATAAGATTGTGCAAGGTGTCCGAGTTCGGCACCCACCCAATAAGTCCGGAGCTCTGCGACAGAGGAATGGCGGGAAAGCGTTGGATGCTGAGATGTCGCTTGAAGCTCTCGGTATCTGAGTTCAGGAGAGTATTGACCAGACCGAAGAGTTGCATGACACGCTCGTCCTGTCGGATATCCTCGTGGCCTTTGAGGAGGAAGGCGTACGTTACGCCATCGGAGCCCTTCAGAGTCATCTTGCGAGGTCGCTGTTTCGATGGAATCACCGTGAGGACGTGGTCAAAGTGGACAATCTTCGTAACTGGCTTGCCTGCTTGGTAGAGACCGGGCACCGCAAGATCTAGATCGTGCGCGTCTTTCAGTCGAGGTGAGACATATTTCAGATCAAGACTGATTAGCTGTGGCAACTGTCGAGCAATCTTCCGGAAGACGGAATAGTACAAGTCCCAGGCCTGATTGAGGTCTCCGAGCTCGCCATTGCGTCGGTAGGTATTGCAGAAGCTTCGAGCCTCGGACAGGTCGTGACCGAAAGCTTGGGCGAACGAGATTTCTCGAAGAGTCTCAGGGCCTCGATCGAGTAAGGCGTGCAACGGCTCCAGGGTCGCAAACATGCCTTCTGTATCGTGATCACCGAAGTACAGTCGCGAAGCCTCCTCCAAACCTTCGTGCCAAAGCTCATGCCATAGCACTGCAACGCGGATCAGTTCATGGCTGACAAGGTCGGCCTGCTCGACCAATATGGGACTATGCACACGCATATTGTCCATGATCTGCGTGGCATAGTTGGCACGACGGGCCGCAGCAGACTTCATCGCAACTGTCAATGGATAGACCAGAGCCTGAGGGTGAGCTTTGCCAACCTCGCCGAGCAAGCGGTGGACCGAACCACGGATGCGGCTATTTGGCACATTGATTCGAGCAATAAGTTGCGGGATAACCTCAAGCCAGACGTTGATTGGCACCTCTGAATAGCCCTCAATGATTGCCTGATTAACCTCAGCATGGCCGCCATGAGCGAACCAAAGAGTGAGTAATCTCAGTGTGTCTTGAAGTGAGCTGTTCTTAGACAGCTTGATGGACTGGAAGAAACCTCTGACTGCAGGCACAACGTGGCTGTGGACAGCTTGCTCCGGTAGTTGGCGATTACGGTCCGGGTCGCTATGCGACGCCATGTTTGTCACCACATCAAAGTTGGCAAGGGCGTATGCATGCCACGCCTTGTACCAACCTTTGTTAAAGCGCGTCGCCTCCTCGTACGAGTATAGAATCTCATTGGCAGCGTCTCTTGCTGCTGAGCTGGTCCAATCTGACCGAAGCACGTAAGATTGCCACTGGCCTTGTCGGCGATAGCATTTAGCCAGGAGTATGCCGAGGCGATCGACGTTTTCCTCCTCGCGCTGGCGTACAAGAATCTCATGAGCCGCGCCTTCTAGCCCATTCGAACCATTGTGTTGGTTATTGGGTAGAGCCAACCGAGTCCGACGTTGCTGATATTGGTCAGCCTTGCGTTGAGTAAAGTCTTTCAGAGCCGCGAGAGCCTCAGATTTATTGCCAGTAGCCCAAATGAACTTCAAACGGGCATAGGCGACTGCAGGAGGCGCAATGTCGTTATTGTCGGTGACACCGCCGAGGCTGATGAGCGATCGTTCGGCAAGGCCAATACGCTCTGACTTCCGGCACAGGTTGGCAAATTTGATCCAGATATCCGGGTTCTCTTCAGGCCGCAAGACCAGAGCTCGGACTTTCAGCATGCGCTGCCAAACCTCAACATTTGCTTGGCAGCCCAGAAGACGCCGGTTCCAGAGCTCCTTGAGCGATTCCTTCTTTTCTGGATTGTCTTCTTGCTTGTAGGAGATGATCTCTTCAAGCTCAGCCAGCATTTGGGTTCTAACCACAACACTGTAAGCCCGATTGTACGACTCGCCGATGGTGGCGGTTAGCTCGGAGTTGAGGGCCTCGCGCGCTCGGAAGATGAACCTATCAGCATCATCGAAATTGTTTCGCTGGATCGACAGAATAGCGCCGAAGAAAGCTCGATCAGGAGAGCTGTCCTTCATGACACTGATGTAATCATCCATACGGTCCCACTCACCACGACCCCATGCGGCAGCCGCCGCGAGTGCAGACATATCGCGACGGTGTTCTTGACTGGCGTAATTCCACTGCTCGCGTGCGATATCGGACAGCATCTTCCATTCGCCAAGAGCGTGCAAGCAGCGCATCTTACCCATAACAAGGTTGAAGTTTTCGGGCTCGAGTGCTTCTTTCTTTTGATAAGCAGCAAGAGCTTCTTCCCATCGATGCAAGCGCTCGAACCAGACTTCCTTCAGCTCTACTTCGCCGAAAGCTTGGGCGCGACGCAGAATGCCAATAGCAGCGTCCGACTGTTGGAGTTGGTTGTTGATAGAGATCAAAGCCTCAACACTTTGGCTGTTCTGGTCCTGCTCAAATTCTAGCTCTTTGTAATGTAGCGCTTTAGCAAATGCGTGGCACTTCGCTGCATACCGGCCTAGGGTCCGAATGTCGATTGGTAGCGACTTGTCATCGTGCTCCATGAATTCCGCCAGGTTTAGTAGTGTCTGCAGGATATCTGGTGGGATGTTGGTCGAAGTCAGGGCCTTCTCGATAGAACGAATTAGCTCTTCTTGATACTGATCGTACAATTCAGTCCAGCATGACACGAAGGCCGAGTTGAACAGATCTCGCGCCAGGGGCTGATATACGCCCGCAAGGCTAGCGCAAGCTCTCAGGGCATGAGATGGAGACTCTTTGAGCAGCTCCACGCTGAACCGCCGCATCCACTCTTGCCAGTCCTCCTTGGTAGATTTTTGCGATGTATCCCATGCATTTTTCAGATGCTGCTGATTGACCGGCAAGCGCATTGATGTGATGTTCATGTAGGAGGTGTCTTCAGACACACCGCCGTACTGTTCGTCAGGATACAGGTCAACAGGCAAGGGCTTGCCAGACTTCAGGTTGTCGATGAGCTTCTGATATCGTTCAGAGTTAATTTGACCACTCTTTGTGGCTCGCTCGATAAGCGGAAGGTAGTGTACAAAGTCATGGCCAAGATGATAAATTAGAGCGCAGACGCAATCCAATGCAGCAGCTTTCAGCGAGCGCTCCGAAGAGTTGGTAGTAACCTTTTCGGAGGAGCCCAAGATCTTAGCCAGGGGATGCAGCATCAGTGAAGCGAAGTCGGTTAGATTGACAACCCGCGACAATTTAGCGAGAGTATCTATAGCTTGTCGTCTGGCATTAGCCGGAGCAGCCGTATTCTCGAACATGCCCACGATTGCAGGGATGATCATGTGCATGTATTCTTCCCCACTGGCGCCGAATACTAGGAAGGTCTGTAGCATGCGGATCGATGATTCTCGACGGGGCTCGGTATCGTTCTCGATCACTCCTAGCATCAAGGGTAGAAGGCCTGCGAGATACCTCTTGAACTCGCCTTCGAGTGATTTGGAGATCGCCTCGATGAGCATGAGTATGGTTGATTGCACCTGTCTGTTGATATTCCAAAACTCCCGCATTACCGGAATGATGTCCGGAAGGAAGACTCGAATATGCTGGCGCACAATATTGACAAGAATCGCAAGTTGGTTAAAGTAATTGTCCAGGCGAGTAACATGGGAACTGCGAATAACCGTCAAGAAGCCAGGGATGATCTGTCCGAGATATGGCACACACTTCATCCCGATGGTCTTGAAAATCGTCACTATCGCATCAATGACCGCGCTATGATATTGCACAAGGGTGGAGTCGGCGAGGATGTTCTGCATGAGAGTGTTGATAACCACAGTGGGATAGTAGTCCTCGCTAGAAGGTGTCAAACCCTGCATGATCAGGGCCACATCTGAGACAGGCTGGACCTCGGTCTTGCTTTGGTTCTCAGCAGCCGATTCCGTCAACTGCTGGTACTCGTATGGGTCAAGGGCACCCAGTACGCCAACCAGTTTGATGGCATCTGTACGGAGCTTCTCGTGAGCTTCTGTCTTGATGATGTTGATCAAGATACCCAGCAGCTCGGGGTACTGTCTATATGGCTCAATGACATAGCCAGAGTTGACCGCAAGCTTGCTGAGCGTCTGCATAGCGGCATCGCGCTTGTCGTGAGAGCCTAGATCCTGTAAGGCCTGAAGGATTATGGGCATGAGTTGGGGTATATGCGTCTTCATCTCCGGACCGCCAACCTTGGTAAGGTCGCCTAGAGCCGTGAGCGTAGTAGAAGCTACACCGGGATTGGTATCTCCTGCCTTGGGTAGAAGCGCGGACACCATGGGCTCAACATAAGTTCGCACTAGAGGAGTGGCGTTATTGACGAACAAGCTGATCAGCTTGGCACTGTCTTCCTTCTGCTTGGCGGTGTTGGAGTAACCGAGCCCGGTCAAGAGATTGACGAGTAGCTTGCGTAAAGGAGGGAAGACGTATGCCGGGTTGACTGTGGTCAGACGGCCAATGATGCCGACAGATTCCTCGCGGACCGAAAAGACCTCATCATTGACGGCAAGAAATAGACAACGGATGTTGTCAGGTCTAGCAAGGTGTTTGTCAAAGCGCTCACCCAGGGCATGCAAGACTTGGGTTCTGATGTTGGCATCAGAGTCACCGACAGCCATGGTGAGTAACTTGTCAACGACTTCACCGACCACTAAGATGGCATTGTTCCCCTTCTGGTTGAGAATCGGATCGCGAATGAAAAGCTGAGAACAGGTGATCGCAGCGGCCAGCCGGATCTCTGGATTGTCATGGGTCGCATAACGAAGCGTCACATCTCGAACAAATTCGTTGAGGATGTGGCCCGAGAAGTCGAAATGACCCAGAGTGACAAGAGCTAGGCGGAGCTCTGAATCCCGATATTCAGCGGGAAGACCGCCATAATCCTTGGCGAATGAAGGTAGTGGTGGGATCCGTGTTGGTGGGCAGCCAAGGGGTCGATATGGGGTCTTTAGCAGAATCAAGCTGAGAAGATCGAGCAGTTTATCCTGGATGGTACTGCGAATGGGTGGGATATGGTGGGCCATCTCCCGTAAGGCCTCCTCTAGAGGAGGCGTCAGGCCACAAGCAAAGATCGGATCCAAGAGCGCCTCCATGTATTTGCTGAGAGTCTGACCAACAGCCTGAGCGAGCATACTGATACACTTGAACATCGGACCATCATCAACAGCCGCTCGATTCTTAGTCTTTGCGCTGAGAGATTCGCGGATGTAGAGGATGATGCCATCGAGATAAGTTGCGATCGCACTCCCAACAGCTTGTGCAATTAGTCCGATTGCCAGGAACGCTTGATTTCTCTCCAGACTCTTCTTAAGTTGTGTTTGAAGGTAGATCATGAATTTGTGCAGATACTGATTGATGAATTCAATCGGGGCGTATTTGGCGAGGATGGGGATAGTCTGAACAATCTGAGAACGAATGCGTGGATCCTTGTGATCTTTCAATCGAATGATGAGTTCGCAGACGTTTCGGTAGAAGTCATGCATAAACATGTTGCCCTGCTCCAAGAGCTGCTTCAAGATGAGAAGCGCTCCTAGCATTTCGTCGACATTTTGCGAGCGTAAGCCGTCGAGGGCTTTGGTGTAGATCTTTGAGAACCATTGCGCCTGAAACTGTTGGTCGCGAGCGATCATGACCCCAAAGCAGGCACTGACGGCCTCAGCGGCGATTTCTCGAATGATGTCTCGGGGGTCTCGAAGCGCATGCCAGATCAATTCGAATATCTGGGGAATGAATCCATATACGAGTGTTGGAGAATTCTTTGCCAGTTCGCGAATGAGGAGAACAGCAGCGAGCTTGCGGGATTCTTGCTTGGTGTCTGGCTGCAGCCATTCAAAGGCGGAAGTCATTTCAGCCTCGACAAGTTCCGCTGTGAACGCCCCTCCCGGTCGCGCCAGGTGACCGAGTGCGCGGCTCGCCGCATCGAGGACTGCGGGGTCATTGCTCTTCAACGCAGCGCGCAAATAATTCGAATACTTTGATACTTTGGACGCAGCGTCGATGGCCTCGCAGTCGATTAGTCTGTCAAGAGCAAATATGCCTCCGACCTTGTCAGTGCCTTCCGGGGCTTGTACGATGAGTCCTGAGATGCGGGAGGTGATGCGGTCGTAGAAGGCGCTGAAGCGCTCCGGTGCCCATTCTAGATCGCTGTCAGTTTATGTATCTTGAAATCGCCAGTTCACTTACCGCGTGAATAAAGTACGACAAGGTCACGTAGGTCGTTAGCCGCTCTGGACTTTGTCTCGAGGTTTTTGGAGCGAAGGTCCGCGAAGATGCGCTCACTCAGGTCTGCACCCTGACCCTGCAACGCCATTCTGCTGGGTCATCTCCCCTAGCAGGAGGCAATTGCGGGAGAATCAAGCGGCAGACAGGTATTGTGGTGCTACAGACTGGTAGCGATGCATGTTCAAGGTTAACGTTGGGCTACGATGCGGAGAAGGTCAACTAGCTGCGGTGGAGCCTGGGATTCACGGCCAAGCCTTTTGTCTTGGCAGAAGGCAGCAGCCACGTGCAAATGGTCATGTGTGAAGATGGCATGGGGAGAGAGGGAGACGTGGCCGGTAATCACGCACTGAGCAAAGAAGTGTAAAGGAGAGATCATATGCTTGGTGTGAACAAGTCATGAAAGCCAAGCCATTGAAACTTACCGCATCGAATATCGGATAGCACCTCCCAATGAGCAATTGCCGCATGAATTTCCTATATCTATTCTCCCCGAAAGGTTGCTTGTAGCAAGCCTAGCGATGAGAAAGGCACAGAAGTTGCGCTGCTTCAAGGAAGCAAGGCCACTGCAGCGCCAGGATAATAATGTTTCTGATATGCACCAGGCGAGCATTCAAGCGTCGTAACTGCGCACGGCTGAGCCGACACGAACAGGAGCGACCCAGCTGAGACCATCGGTGACTTATGACTGCGGCATATCAGCAACCGAGAACTACGCAAGGCCATCGGCAATCTTTGTCTGCACGAGGCTTGCGGTCCATTGGACAATAAAAGATCTGAATGTTTTGGGATTATGCAAAGTTACCCATGCATTTTCATCTCTGCTCTGATAGCAGGTGCAAAGGGTTTTCGACCGCGGGCTGATCGTAATGGTGCGAGGCGGCAGGTGACGCCCTATCAATGTGAGTGGAATCATGCCTTGCTCTTCTTCTTTTTCTTCTTCTTTCGAGCTTTCTCGGCAGTGTTCTTTTCCTTTAGCTTCTTCTGCAACACTGCCTCAACTTCAACATGCATAGCAGTTCCATCTGCATACCCGCCAATTCGGACTGCTTCTGCAACTGAGATTGTTTCACCAAGCTTCTTCGCAAGATCGGGTCTTGCATCCTTCAGACGTGCTGCTCGGTTCTCGGCCTTCGAAAGCTTCTTCTGTGGTTCGGCATCATCCATCGTCAGCAGCGACTTGGCATTGGTGGCCACTTTCGACGGCCCTCGGGTCTAACTCTTAGTGATTGGAGTCCTTTGGACTGCGCACTGCGAGAACTTACGGACTTGGTCTTGACGGGTGGTTTTCGCTCTTCTGCTTCCCGGCCTGTAAGACCGAAATAGAGACTACGAAGCTTCTCGCGTTGTTCCTCGTACGCCGTGAAATTGCCGCCAACAAGGTTTTCCAGGAAACATATCTCGGTGTCGCCTTCTTCAAATGAAGTCAAGCGCTCCTGCAATATGTCGTAGGCCCGGGCGAACGAGTCGAATATTTCCTCGATCAAACGTGTCCCTCCAGAAATGTTGTTCTCGGGTCGATTCGGGTCAATGATAGTCAGGCGATTGCGCTTCTCGTTGCTGAATAGTAGAGGTTTGTAGAGATCCTGCTGAAGCGTTAGTGAGCCGTTGTCGACGGATTTGAAACGTACCTTGTCAAGATAGCCTGGTGGATCCATCCTGATGGCCACATGTTGGCGGTCCAGCAAATTTCCGTATAGATTGAAGAACTCAACAAGCAATTGACCAAGGTTGGTTGTGGTGTCAGCGCCCGGCATGTGCTGCAAGAGGCTGGTCACAAGACAAATAATCGAGAACCCGCCCAACCCTCCGGTAGCGACATCGTTCAAGCCTCGGATCATGAGGAACTGTTTGATGACCGACACAATGACTGGCATGGCAGGGTATTCCACTTTCCAGGTCTGAAAAGTTTCATTCGCAATGACGCCGGAGTCGTTATCGAATGAGAGATCTACCCTCAACCCGCTGCGTGCTTCGATGAACTTGACGATGGGAACCTTGGCGAACGGAATGACAACAACAGATCCTGGACGAGCAATGTTCTGATTCCGTAAAAGACTGGCAAATCGGTCTAGTAATCTCTTCGGTGGCTTGAAAGCGATGCCATTCTTTCCCACATTCCCAGGTCTGAAGGACCGAGTGAAATAGACGAGATCCATATCTCCCACTGGTAGATAGAGGCCAGCAGCATAGGAACCAAACGCTTTGAGCTCTCCAGGTTCGATACGATTGAAAGCAAATGACAGCCGCTGGAGGACATCTGCGCGAACTTCTCGTTCGTACTCCTGAGGCTTCACCCACTCGTAAAAATCAATCACCTCTTTGTGTAGGCTACCACAGTCAGTATTGTGGTTACAGAATGGAGACACACTTACGCTATGCCGGGCGGGTCGCCATCGGCTCGTGGTTCGTACCAGGGAATCGCGCTGGACTTCTCCAGCGGCGCCCACTCTGGCAGGACAAGCTTGTCAGGGGGTAGGTAGCCGCCAGGTGGTCGAGGCATGGCTTCATCGTGGCCACGCTTTCGCTTGCCGAGATGCTCGCCGGCAGAACCATCGATCTGTCCGGTGCTGGTCGTCTGTGGCTGGGGGGCGGCGAAGGGTGAGTCATCCCCAAAGTCGAATGAGATGAAGTCTTCGGCCTCTGTTACAGCAGTTCTGTCTTTGTCTTGCGATATCTTCGCCTTGCGAATCAATTTGAGGACGTCTGTTCGTTTGCCTGAACCTTCGGCGGCGGGAGGCAGAGCTGTGTACGGGTCGGGGTTTGACCATTTGGAGGCGGGAACTGCAGCTGGGCTGTCTGAAGCCGAAGTCTTGACCTTTTTCGCTGGCTGCTCTTCGTCATCTGACTCTGACATGGCATCCTCATCGCTATCGGTGAGTTCATCCACACTGCGGAACTTATCGGTGGCCGCAGGGTCTCGTAGCATCTGCTCGCCAGCGCCATGTGCCTGGCTCAGAAGGGGACGTGAAGCAGTTCTGCGTGCAGACCTATAGTTCGGCCCGTATTGACGATTCTTGTTGTTTCCGTTCTGGCCGTAGCGACCGCGGGGGTTGGCTGGCTTTCTAACTCCATCGAAGGCGAACATTGACTCGCGCACAGACTCTGGTATGGGAGGCGGTGGGCCACCATACCCGAAGTTCGGGCGGTAACTGTCACGCATTCCTTGCATACTCTATGCCGTAGGACGGATGACTTGCAAGTTGTTGGACTGTTCAACTGCGATGACGGCACATTGAAGCGAAATTCTGCGATTGCGGAAGGCGTAGCCTTGGCATCCCGCGTGGGGATATAAGCCTACTATGTCCGACAGTCGCGACTCTGATCCAACTCCAGGCTGAGCACCGAGGATCATTGCACAGCAATAACGACTGTGGCCGACAGGCGGTTGGTACCAGCCGGGCTAGGAGTACCAGAGCGGGCAACAAAGACTTCGTCTGCCCGCCATGTCCTCGTTTCCGAATACTGCCAGCAAGCTGAGCGCCCCAACCAAGAAATCGATATTCGAGCGGCAGAAAGAAGAGACCGAGGCAAAGAAGGCGCGAGAGAGAGCCGAGACAGCGGCGGTATACGAAGAGTTTATCAAGAGCTTTGATGATGAGGCACCCTCTGCACCCATCAGTAGAGGCCGTCCTCCTGGTGGCCTGGGAATGGGGTCGGCGCCAGGTCCCGGAAAGAGACACTTTACGAGCAGTGGAATGAAGAGTGGTCCAGGGAGTTTAGGACCAAGTCCATCTGCGCCAAAGAGCGGACCAGGCAGCCTTGGCCCTACTTTTGGCAAGAAGCGGCCCTTCGACGATTTCTCCGGCCGGCGAGATCGCGATCGCAAGTACGGCTATGAGGAGCGACAAAGTACCGAGGAACGAACAAGTATTGGAAAGGATGAGCCAGATCACCTGGACGAAGAAGAAAAAGCCGCACGTCCAACACTACATCTATCATCTCTCCCTCCCGGAACTTCCCCCACGGTTGTCAAAGCTCTGTTTGCGCATTCACCTCTCGTTGTCGAAAATGTTCGAATCATTCCAGGCTCGACAGCCGATAGGAAGTCTATGTCTGCTATCGTCACCCTAGCAGCCGAGACGGCTGCCACCGACATCGATACAGTGGTATCTCACCTGCAGAACAAATATCTTGGGTTCGGCTTCAAACTCTCTCTGTCTCGCCACCTGTCTTCTGCGGCTCTCATCGGAGCAGGGAACATCAGTGCTCCCGGTTCGAACCTTGCAAGTCTACCATTTGGGGCGAAACCCATTCAGCAACAAACCTCTCTTTCAAGAGCACCTCCTCCTGGACAAGGTCGCGGCTTCGCTCCACCCACATCATACACGTCATCAGTCCCTTACGGCGGTAGGCCACAGTCACAGGTTCTAGTGCAACCTCCGACCGACTTGAAGCAGCTCAAGCTTATCCATAAGACTCTCGAGGCGTTGTTGACCTATGGTCCAGAATTTGAGGCGCTCTTGATGTCACGTCCTCAAATTCAGCGAGAGGAGCAGTGGTCATGGATATGGAATCCGCAATCGCAAGGAGGTGTTTATTACCGATGGCGCCTTTGGCAGATTCTGACCGACACTGAAAGCCGCGGTAGTCAGTCTACATTCGGTGCCAGGCAAAACGGTGATGTGCTCTTTGAGGGGCAGAGCCTGTGGGTCCCTCCCACCGAGGGCCTTAGGTTTCAATTCACCACCCAACTAGAAGAATTCGTTAGCGATGATGACTACAATTCCTCTGATGAGGAAGGTGATGAGGATGGGGCTGGTATCTCCAGGAGGCACAATGATCACAATGTGCCTGGCATGAACCAAGACACTAACGATCTAAATGATGGCCCTGGATATCTGAATCCGCTCGCCAAAGCCAAGCTTATACATCTGCTTTCACGACTACCAGAGGTAAATACCAAGCTTAGGAAGGGTGACATCGCCCGAGTGACAGGATTCGCAATCGAGCAAGCCGGAGCTGGCGCAGATGAAGTGGCAGCATTGATCACTCGCAATGTAGTGCAGCCATTCAGTCAGCAGCGAAAGAACGAAGACAAGGACGACGACGACGATTCCGCGACACCTACCAACACGGAGCAGGGTCAGAAGGACACATCTGCGGCGAGCCTAGTTGGTCTCTATGTCATTTCGGATATTCTTTCGTCGTCCGCATCCGCCGGTGTCAGACATGCTTGGCGTTATCGACAGCTCTTTGAAGTAGCGATCGCTCAACAGAAGGTTTTTGAGAAACTGGGCCGTATAGATAGAGATCTCAACTGGGGCAAGCTAAAGGCGGAGAAGTGGAAGCGGAGTGTCCATAACCTCCTACAATTATGGGAGGGCTGGTGCGTTTTCCCGCAAGCCAGCCACGACGAAATGGTGGAGCATTTCAGCAACCCTCCCCTATCACGAGAGGAGCAGAAGAAACTCGATGAAGAGGAGAGGCGAAAAGGTGAGGAGGAGACCCAGCGGAGGAAGTCGGGCTTGAACAAGTGGCGAAGCGTTGAAGCGGAGGATGAAGGCGACGCGGTCATGGGCGATGCTGGTGTCGACGGCCAAGTAATGGTTGACGACGAAGACGAGGATGAAGATATGAACGTCGACGAGACCACGCTTATCGATGATGCTATCGATGGCATCCCTCTTGCCGACAGTAGCGATGAGGAGATGGCGGAGGACACACCTGAGGTGTCAAAGCCGAGCACATCGGCGTCACCGGCGGTTGTCACGTCCAGCAGACGACAGCGCCCTAAAGCGACAGACATGTTCGCCGACGAATCCTCATGATACCCCAAATACATCCTATTTCAATGACCACCACTCTCTTCCCCAGTTTCCTCAGCTCCCCCCATCAACATAATAACTCAAACTATAGTTCAACCACCTACACTGCTCCACATCCACAAACCCGCCCGACCTGGCCGGCCAGTCCAGAAACCTCACCGGCCCTGCCTCCCCCTGCACAGCTCCCCATGAGCCCTGCGTCCTCACCGCCTCCAGCGTCTTCGCATACGCCGCGCCCCTCACCCGCAACGCTTCCTCCCTCATATTCGGCTGCCCACTCCTCACAAACTCGGCAAAATACCCACTCGTCAACTGCAAGCTCCACAGATCCGTCTCGTCGCGCAAGGGCCGGCCGTAGAAATTGCCAAAGATCCAGTCGCCCGTGCTGCCGTGCAACTTGAAGTAGGGGGCGTGCGGGTTTCCGTTGGGATAGTTGGGGGAGCGCGGGCCCTGAATCAGCTCCGGGGAGAGGTTGTTGGGGTTGTAGCCGTCGATGCTGCGCTCGAACTGGTAGTAGTAGGTGGCGGGGAAGGTGTGGGTGACGGCGCCGGCGTAGACGGTGGCCTGGTCGATGCAGCGGAAGGTGTTGTCGGTGGCGACGCGTTGGGTGACGTTGAAGGCGTCGAGGGTGAGGTTTCCGGACGAGTAAAAGGGGAAGAGGCCGGAGGCGATGATGGCGTCGGCGGCGCTGGCGTTGATGGAGAGGCCGGTTTGCAGGCCTTCGGAGAGGTTGGCGACGGGGGTGGGGGAGAGGGTGGAGAAGGAGGCGCCGTCGTTGGCGGCGACGCCGAACATGATGGGCACGTATGCGGAGGTGCCGTTGCGGGCGGTGACGTCGAGTTTGGGGGTGGTGACGATGGTGCCGTCTTGCACGACGTAGCGGGGGATGTCGTTGCCGGAGATGAGAGTGGTTGCGTTGGCGGTGCGGAGGCATGCGATTTGTTGGGTGGTGCTGCCGGAGGTGCAATTGGTCGCGTTGAGGACTGGGAACCCTCCGCGGGTATAGGACTCGTTGATTGTGAGGTAGGATGAGTAGGTGGTTCCGTAGTTGCCGTCAAGCCCGAGATCGACGCCGCCACCCAGGTTGGAATCAGCTTGTGCGCCTTGAAAGAGGCCAATGGCGGGGGGACTTCCCAGCAAGGTGCGCACAGAGCCTGCGCCGGCAGAGCTGCCAGCGATGGTGATTCTCTTGGGATCACCGCCAAACTTGGCGATGTTGGCTACAGTCCACTTCAGAGCATTGATCTGGTCGCCGATACCATAGTTGCCTTTGATGGGAGAATCTGGGATGGCAAGGAAACCGAGCGTGGAAAGGCGATAATTGATGGTTACAACCACGATATCCTCTCTGGAAGCCAAATTGCCGCCATCAGTGCCCGGATCAGCACCGGTGCCACCGGTGAAGCCTCCGCCATGGATCCAGAAGTATACCGGTCTAAGGTTATTGCTTGATCCGGCCTTCGGAATGTACGGTGTCTGGATATTCAGAAATAGACAATCCTCGCTTCCTCCGCCGCCTTGCAAGCATTGCGAGCCGTATGCGGTGGCATTAATGGTCTCACCGGTACCGGAATAGACCTTGGAATACTCAAATCGCTCGGGTGTGTTTGCGTAACGAATACCGGCAAACCGGAATGACTTCTGGTTATGGTAGCCTATGTAGGTGTTCCCAGCGGCGGCTACTGTCACAAGGTTTGATGCGCTAGCAGTCGAATTCGGTGGCTGAGTTTCTCGGTCAGACTGAGTACAAAGGACTGGGAGGTTTCGTTGAGCCGAATTGCTAGCGGCATATGAGAGACTCTGGTCTTGCAATGTAACGACGGCATTGTCGACCAAGTAGGCCGGTCCAGTCCCGTATGTGTAATCAAGGTACGCCAGCGTGTCGGTGAAGTCTGTAGTGTAATTCTGAATGGTGGCTTGGGTCAAGAGTGACTCGTTGATTGCCCCACAGGCGGTCTGCGCGTTGCGTGCGGGCATGGGATCCAAGATGATAGCGCTGACATGGTTTGAATCATCCGAGGCGTTCAGATTGTTCTGGTAGATGAGAGTCAGGGAACTCTGACTGTTGCAGACTGCATGGCTTGATCCTGGATATGCCGAAGCCACTGCTGCCACGAGAAGGACCACGGCCAGGGAAGGTACCGACATGATGCTAGATCTCAGCCTTGCGAAACGTCCTGACGGACTGCCCGGTTCCGGGACCGGAGCAGCTATTATATCCTCCATTGTCGTTGAGTCTGTCTACAATGACCACCCCATCGTCAATCTCGCTAACGACACCTTCAGCCTGTTAGACCTTTCAAAGTTCGATCTTGAGTACCTGCCTTCCTGTTTTGGGAGCTCAGAGGGCTCGGACAGATGGGTGACCAGGGCTTTCTCCATGTCATGAGCTCATTTCGCGTAGCCGGCAGTTAAGCGATTGTCTTGCAATGCTTGATACTCGGCTTGGAGCAGATCACCAGGGACTGCCGTAGAATGTACATGAACAGGGTTTATAGACCCGGGCTTGATTTAGGCTAATATTAGTAGACAGTCTGGAAAGCGGCAAAAATGGAGATGAACTCACGATTTGCGGGGAAGGGTTGACTCGCTCCAGGATCATGGAGAACTGGCATTGCGGGCAGAAATGTGTACCTAGAGGCAGAACCCTTCTGGCAGACCTAGCTGAGCTTGATGTCTGGAAGTGTATGGACGCTGCAGGTCTGTCCTTAGGGATTTCAGCAACATCAGAATCGGTGGACTGTGTTTTCGACAAGCATTTGTGAGACAAGGGTTCGATCAAAATTCGGTGTCTGACTGAACACAAGGCTCTGCCGTGTCCCGGTCCTAGGTTGAGTTGTTATAAAACGTGGCGCCTATTGAATGACCATGGGACCATCAGCCATGAAGGCTGGTCTGTCACAGATCTCAAGCTTGGACCTCGGAGCAATGGTAGAGACGGACCGGTCTATATACTTATTCGCAGCGGGGCAGTTTTTCAATGGCAATTGCATCTCTAGCTGGGGGTTGACACCACTCCTCAAATTGCTGGACGATTTTTGTGATCAGAAAGTACCGACGTGGTTTGCGGCGGAGTTTATTGTTTTGAACCATGTTGGCCGCCAAGTGGAAAGTATGCCACCAGAGCTAGGATGGTCTCGTTGTGCGGCGCGATGAAAGCGTGTGGCTACGCGCTTTTAACGAAAGGGGTGGACGAGAAGCACCGCCGACGTGATGCCCTCGATACAAACTGCTCGGCTCGGGCAAACTCGGCTCCGAGACAACAGTAGCCACAACACTTCTCAGTTTCAAAGTATCTAATTATTTGACATTTACAAACTGTTATTGAATTGGCTCGGCCGTCGAGAACGACCAGACGAAATAAGTCCTTGCAAGGTCTCCCGCATTGCTCAGGTAAGGACGACACGTAGAGCACCGTCTTTGCCTGAGCTGGACATCTCTGGATACATGACCGTGTCGCAGTGATGACAGCTTCCCATGCTGCGCTCGAGCTGTGGCTCAAGAGACTACGGAGCTATTGAAAGCCACACTGTCCATGTGTACAGGTTCAATTTCCCCAGACTCGCCGCCGATCTTGACGATTGGTGCGGTCGATCCCGAGAGCTTGTTTTCAACTCAATCGCCGGAACCGTCCCTGGATTACAGAGTACAGGTACTTCCACCTCCCTCACCCCTCTTACGTGGCGGGTCTGGAGCAGCCGAATCCTCTGTCAACGTCAAGATGGCCATAAGTTCGCGCAAACTTGGTCATATGGCCACCGGCCGACTAGGGCCGCGGTTATGCCTGACAAGCATGGATAAGGAGGGCGAAAGCCTCCCAGTGCCCTCTTCTTCTCCCCCGTCTTCATGGTCTGTCCTTCCAAACCCGTCACTCCTTACTTGGCACCATGTCGCGCCGTTCATTCCTTTATCTAGCTCTCTTGGCTCCTGTGACCACCTTCGCAGCGACACTTTCTGCTCGGACAGATAGCCCAGATCTCCCAATCGCAGACCCCCTCCCAGCTGGTTGGTCCTATTCGGGATGCTTTGTCGACAGCGTATCGAGCCGCAGCCTGGACTCAGCATTCCTCCAAGACGATGACCAGATGACTGGTGTGGAGTGTATGCAGTTTTGTGCTTCCAATGGCTATCCATATGCTGGCATCGAGTACATGCAGGAATGCTACTGTGGCACCGCGCAGCCTACCAATGGTCCCACGACTGGCTGCAATATGGGCTGTCGAGGGAATGCCTCGGAGGCCTGTGGTGGCCAGGATCGTATCACTGTCTACGAGAACCCCGGACTCACCCCACACGTCTATCCGGGGGATTCGTGTTGGAAACCTCAAGGTTGCTACACCGATTCTACAAATGCCCGTACATTCGAGCGTAGGGTCGCGAGTGGCGACGGCGATGTCCAGACCTGTCTCAATCAGTGCAAAGGCCAGGGATTTTCATGGACCGGACTTGAGTACGGCTCTGAATGCTGGTGTGGCAATGCTCTCGCCATCACTGCCCAGTCCACCACAGATGGCTGTGACATGACTTGCCAGAATGCTCCTTCGGAGTACTGCGGCGGCAAGGATTCGCTGAATGCGTATCAATTGGACTCTTCTTGTAGCGCTGGCATCATCACTACCACAACATCAAGTACCACGACTGTAAGTTATCTCCGATGTGTTCGGATGATGATATACTGACTATTTAGACAACTACAACTTCTCCGACAACGACAACGGCCACATCGGATACAATCACTACCACTATCACTTCCGACACAACCACTACGACTGAAATTACCCCAACCACACCTTCGACTACTACTACAACAACTACGACCACGCCTTCAATTACTACTACGACCACCACCTCACCCACCACCACCACCACCACGACTTCGTCCACAACTACCACAACCACAATCACTACGACCACCACTCCTTCAATCATCACAACTACAACTTTAACCAAGCCTCCGACCACCACCACCACCACCAAGCCTTCAACCACTACTACACCTAATGCTCAATGGTCAGGTGTTCCATCCATGCCTGGCACAACGTCAAAGAGCCCTTCTGCCATCACAACCACAATAACCATGAAGTCAACGACAAAAGCGACCACCAGCTCCATTTCTACCAAGCCAAGCACCACCTCATGCACCACCACATTCAAAACGAGCATCAAGGTAAGCATCACCCTCCACCGGCCCCTTCGCCAGCACTAACTCTCGCCAGCCCATCCCATCCTCCACCTGCAAGCCCACCCTCCCCTCCAGCCTCATCACCAACGGCGGCTTCGAAACCGGCCTCTCCCCCTGGCTCACCAGCAGCAGCAGCGCCACCGGCTACATCTGCAACAAGACCGGCGCCTACGAAGGCTGCTCCATCTTCATCATCACTCCCTCTTCCTCCTCCTCTACCTCCCACACCTACACTCTCACCTCCAACGCCAGCATCCCTCCTACTACCACCACCGCCCTGAGCCTAACCCTCTACATCGGCCGGCGCACCGCTTCCATCCCCCCAGTTTCCAACCCGACCATCACCGTCTCCATCAGCGGCACCAGCTGGTCCAAGTCCTTCACCGCCTGTTCCGGCAGCAGCTGCAACCTTTCGGGCGCAAACGGCACGGTATGGAAGAAAGTGACGGCGAATGTGTCGCTGCCGCCGCCGGCGTCCAGGGCGGCCTCGAAGAATGCGGCCGCGCTGGTAATTACCGTTTCGTGGCCGAGCACGACTGTTGGGAAGTGCAATTCCAAGGGCTATGGAGAGGATGATGTGTTGATTGATGGTGTCGGCTTTGCGTGAGGAGTGCTGCTGCTGTTGCTGCTACTGCTGCTCATTTCGAGTCGCGAGGTTAGAAAGGACGTGCGTGCGTGCGTGAGTGAGTGAGTGAGTGAGTGAGTGAGTGAGTGAGTGAGTGAGTGAGTGAGTGAGTGAGTGAGTGAGTGAGTGAGTGAGTGAGTGAGTGAGTGAGTG